CTCATCTCCCCTCCGAATTTCTCATGTGATGGGTTTGGGGATGTCTTGTCTTGACTTCGTCAACGTAGGGAAGCGCCCGTGTTCCAGCCGATCGATCAGCCAGACCATCTTTCCGATCCCGTTGGGGCGAGCAACAAAGGGCTCCATCATAGGGGGTGGGCCTCCAGGGGCGCTACCAGCGACCGAAGGCTCCATCGTTACGGCAAGTCGATGTACCAAATCAGAACCCTCAGCACGCCCACTCCCGGTCTCGGTTACGTATGAACATTCTTTTGGCCTTCTAGGCTTTCTAGCCTCCCAAATGATTGGAACGGTGGAGAGGGAGAGGTATGTATGTAGTACAATGGGTCCGCCCATCATCAGTCTCCATCAGTCTCCCGTACTTCTGCTGTGCCGGCATGTACGGCAGGTCTCTATATAGTTCTGGTCATTCTACGGCCACTTGGCCCTGCCCCCATAATGAACATCAGTCGATAGCATAGAGTAAATTCTCCATTTGTAAACATTCTGGACTCCTTCTCTGTCTCCGTTCACCAGGAACCCGGGAGCTGCAAAGAACGGTGCTTCCCCCCGGCCCCACCCCCATAATCCTCCCCCCCCCTTATTCTTATTAAGGGTATGGTATTTTTTTTTACTATTCTGATTTGGGTGTTTTACTAGCTGTTGCGTCAGCCTATGAATTTTGCCACACTGGAGCCGCGCGAGTGGCTACGGTCATCCTCCATCCAGCCACGTCCTGCCCATCTCCCCAAACCCGGCCTGGTACGTGACGGAACAGTCTCAGTCACGCCCTGGTGCGAGTCTTACACGCCAGGTGTCCCCAACAACCCTGCTCCATTGGTTCGCAAGCTGTGTTTCAGCCATGTCCTAGACGTAAATGGGAGTGAACGCAACGCTCTCTCCAGATTGACCTTCCGTTGTCCCTCCGTACCCCGTACTATACCCCGTACTGTTGTTTTGCGTTTCCATGGTTCTGATATCGGGTTCAATCGTCTCTTCACGCCCCCTCACTATTGAAATCGGGCCCGGGGATCTACCGCGGGATATCCTCCGGGGCCGTTAGCGAGATCGAGCATCAAGACACGGGTGGTGATACTTCGGCTCCACGTCCACTATCGTTTGGAATGATCAATGGTCCTGAATGGTCCTGAATGGTTGCCGTGGTGCACACCTCGTGTTGCCCCCAAGCCTCCACCTTCGCTCCTCTATCTCCTATTCTCCGCCCAGGGACCATTTCCTATTCGTAGTGGATCGGCTCAATAGCCCAGCACCAAGCTAGACAGGGAAGAACGGAGACTTTCAGAAGGGGAATCCAGGTTGATCCCCAGTGGGGTCGTACGTGGGAGACAAGCCTCCCGACCCCCAAATAATGATGGAATTCACGGTTTTTAATAGTGCACTAGGTTGAAAGCCTCCCCGATGCGGACACGCCACGCTTCTCCGCCGGGGTGTTTCAACAAAATAGGAGATCGAAATTAAATATTTTACGACTGTCCGGGAAACCACCTCCCTCCAGCTTCCTTTTCGTCCCTGGTGGGCCCCCGGCAACTGGCTCCATTACGTTGGGAACACCCCGTCTCTATTACAGCTAGAATGGCCCTAGAAACGGGAGAACAAGTGCTTGGAACTCTCTAGTCCCCTCAATCACCTCATTGAGTGTGCTTATTGGACAATTAGAGGGGGCGGGCCCCAGTTGACGGACTCCATCGTCCGCGCCGGACTCAGACTCCGTCTTCCCCGTTGGGGACCTTCAGCCGTTCCTGAAGCTGAACTGGAGACCTGTACGAAGGCGGGAGTACGGGACCCGTATGTATACAGAGTTCACGGAAACTTTGGGAAGTTGAAGGAATCGGAGGGTGATCCATTGGGCACAACGGTCCTGACCCAGGGCCTTGGTTCGGCCTTCAGTCGCTCTTTTTGCCTCCTCTGCTCTCCAGCCGAGCCCTGAACCAATCCACTCGGATGAGCTTGCCACAGCGGGTTCCTGAACGACGCGTCTCCAGAGTGCGGCTCGATGCATTAGTTCTCCCCGGAAACAAGGTTTAGCTGGACTGCATGAACTGCCTTTCCTGATTCCCCTAATCCGTCGAACATCGGGTACGCACTCGTAGGTTGGGGCGATATACTTTGTCTTGTGTCTTATAGCGCTTCCCCAACGAGAATCTATTGTATTTGATCTTATTTCTCGACGCCTGTGCTGCATATGCACTGTATCGATAGACATCAATTTTCCGATCGATATACCGCCGCATAACACAGTGTCGGCCGCAACGCAGGTTCCGTGCACACCTGCAGTACCCCTACAGGGTGGCGCTCATTGGAGCAGGGGTTAGCGAGGGGAAGGAAAACTTGATCCCGGAAGCCCAGCCGGCCACTTTGATTTGGGATAGCTGCGTTGCAGTGAGAAAAAAGAAAGACAACAACAATATTTCATCCTTCCTAGACATGGGATAGAGGGGGGGGGGGGGGCTGCATTCCGGATGTTTGCGCCGGGAATAGAGCGACTGGGGGCCTCTGCTTGTTTTTTGACAGACGTCGATCGATGTGTCAATCTCTCAAAAATTTGACGGTCTTTTCATTGTCCTATGGGCTTCTCCCCTGACGCCCGGGCTGGCCTGACTCTATACACCAATTACGCCAGCACGCCTCGCAACATCCCAACACGCAATTCCACCTTTAGGATAGGGCAAGTCCTCTTGTGCGTGGCGTGCTAGGGCTGCGCGGAAGCAAAGCCGGCCGATCTTAGTGTGAATTGAGGATTTCGCCAAAACAGAGCTCCATTTGCAGAAGCTTTCTGGAACATAGTGGGCATATAGTGGGAATCCAGAGCCCCTCCACCGGAAAGCCCCTTCTCCTCCACTTGCCCTCCACTGCTTGGGTCTGGAGCGTATTCCGCTGTACGCCGCACTCCGCAAGGGCCTGCACTTAACGGGGTAGAGTGCTGCACTCACCCGGGGATCTGGAACCTCTGCTTAGATAGCCTATGATGGATGGTCTATGATCCACGATGTGTGTCTCTGGAAGGCCGATAGAAGAGCCTAGAGTGCAGTCACTTCCGGCTGGTCCGTGTCGTTTTTGCTGATTGGGATCATTCCACCCCGGCATCTTGTGCTTTGTCGATAAGCGCTAGGATCTGCCGGTTCCCTTTTTGGAGCACAACTCAGTTCTTTCATGCTCCCTGTCTCATTTTCTTCTTCTTGTCTTGTTGTCTTGGCTCCTATAGACTGGCAGGAACTGATCACCCTTGACACCACCACGGCGAGACCCGCGAGCAAGGATCCGTCTTGCTATCATGAGCCAGCCGGAAAGCATCCAGATGAGCCGTGTGGATAAAGTCCACCAATTTTCGGAAACGAGACAGCCTCAATCTTCCTAACCCCACCCTTCCAGCCTTCCATTCCTGATTCCTGTGTCGCCTTCCTGGACCCAGCAGTTGACCAGCCCGCAGGTGCCAGGAGGGAAAAAAAATAGAAGAAAAAAAAAAAGGGAACAGCCACCGCCAGATGACGATCGCCGGCCCCATCATCCACCCTGTCGGGTGCGATCATCTTCCTTTTCCTCCCTGCCGGGTCAACCGCCCCTGGATGAGCATCTTACCGTGTCTATCACATCGTGTGTTGCCCAGCCCCCCCTTGGGATGCACGGGGGGCAGACTATCTCACTCAGATCGGGCCATACATAGTACAATGCGGATACACTTGACGCATAGCGCCCCACAGAGTGCTTTTTTGGGGCCGGACGGGTTCTCGCCAGGGATTCCGCAGCCAGTCAAGAAATAACGGCTGATGTTTCCAGCCACACTAGTGCCCGTGAGTGGAGATTCGCTTTTTTAGATGCGTCTTTCTGTGATGGAGCCTGGGTTGGCATCCCCTGGAAAGTCACTGAACCACTCGATACGCTATATCTCCTCGGGGCTTATTCCATAGTTTATCACCAAATCAACGCCATCCAGAAAGCCCTTCTGCACTATGACATACGCCCACTCTCATATTTATCTTCTCTTAGCAAAGCACAACACTTTAACGGGGTGCAGCGCTGATCGCCTCAAATTTGGGATTCCCCCTGTTGAGATTTAGTAGTGGCCTGACTTGATATATGGTGCCTTTCTGCATCATTGAATCTCATTGCCCTATCCATGCAGTGACCGGCGTATCAGGGTGCAGGATGTTGTAAAGAGCCATCCAGATAATCTGGTTTTGGAGAAGGGTTTTTTTTAGGGTCGAGTTGTACGAGGAAGATGATGGTTGATGTCGGATGATACATGGCTGCGGGCAATGTCGTTCTGAAACCTCTTGGTATCAACTAAAATGTGTACACTCTTTCTCTTGGCCGCCTCAAAGTATGTCCGTAATCGTCCAGCGGCATATGTACAGAGTACATTCTACCAAAGGTCCCGATCGACCCCATTCTCTTTTTTACTCCTCCCCGATCGCGATCCTGACTTGCAATCGCCCTTCCCGCATCGTGCATTGCACTAGGGGATCAGCGAACCTTGGAGGACCGGGGAACAGGATTCCCCCCGATGCAAGCTGTCGAATCCGAACAACCGGGGCAAGGTGCAAGGTGATGGGTCATATCATTCCTCTTTTTCGCATTCTGCAGCCCGAGGAACAAGATTGACGGCGACTCCGACCGCCTGGATCTTCAGCAAGATACGCTGATTAGGCGGAGCTTGCATGCATTGGTATGCAGGGCCCTGCTGTGCCGACATGAGGAATGACCAAAGAATTGGAATTGACAGATGCACAAAAAAGCCTGAATGACGCTGCGCGCGTTCTTGAAGATAGATTCTAAGCCCTCCCAAGACCCATTTGGACGCACCCAGTTCTTGACATGTACTTTGTCCACCAGTCATCGTTCTTCTCGGCAGCTGTCAAAAATCAAATGTGAACCTATCACATTTTATTTGGAATTATCTACAGAAGGTTTTTTTTATTATTTCGGACTGTAGTTGATTGCGCCGTACACATACACTGTTTCTCATTCCAAATCGACTCCTCTCAAGATCGCGAACAAACAGTGTGGTATGCCATTTCAAACTGCGAGGAATCATCAGCTTAGCAAACAATATGCTCCCTCCCCCGCCTCCAGATGGGGTAGCTCACCTGTTCATTGGTCTGGCAGATCAACACCCGAGGCCCCTTACCGGATTCCTTGGAGATATCCATTACAGTTTCAGTATCTCCCGGCCCCTTGTCGTTAGCTTCCGAGTCGATGGCGACGCCTAGACTTTGGCATTTCTCTGACAAAACACGGCGCAGGAGCGCGCTCTTCTCACCGATGCCACCAGCAAAGACCAGGGCATCAACTTGCCCACCCAGCTTTACATAGTAGTTACCAATGTATCCCAAGATGCGATCCACAAGGATATCGAAGGCAAGTTTGTGCGCCTCGGTCGGTGGATTCTCGACTGCGATTTGAGCGAAGTCGGTTGTGCCGGTCAACGCCTTCCAACCGGATTGCTTGTTGAGGATTTCCTCGGCCTAAAACCCCCAAGGGGGACTAGGTCAGTGCGTTGGCTTTAAACAGGCCGAGTTTATAGATTGAATACCGTGCTTATGTGCATTTCCTTGGTGCTAGCGGGGCTCAACTTGCCCGCCTCATTGGTATAGTGGAAAACTAGTCTGCCACCGTGAGCTTCATCAGCATTCTTCTACACGAGGCCCCAAGCCAAAATTGAAGAAACTGCTCACGAGGGGTCAATGTCTCCGCTCCTCGTTGCGCCAGGCAATCCAGCAAGAGGAGTCAGGCCCATGCTATGGAGGTGTCAGTTCTCGACTCAACTATCGCACCTGAGACTTCGCTTACGAGGTATCAATGGATTTCCCTTGCTTGATCGCACAGATCGATGCACCACTTCCAATATGCATAGCGATCAAATTAGTCTGCTCCTGTGGTTTCCCCCAAAACTGGGCAACAGAGCGTAAAATGAACGAGTAACTGATTCCGTGGAATCCATACTTTCGCAACCCATTTGCCTTTGCGACTTCCTGGTCGATCGGATAAGTGCGCACGTAGACAGGGAGAGTCTGGTGGAAAGCGGAGTCAAAAAAAGTGACACTTGTCACACTTGGGAGCTCTTTTCTACAGAGCCGAATGATCTCCAGTGCAGAGAAATTATGTCTAAGTGGAGTCAGAATGGATAGACGGGTGTATCAGTGATGCGTTGATAAAGAAGAAACCGAACATACAATGGTGCAAGGTCTTCCAAGGCTTCGAGATGATGGAGAGTCTCATCGTTGATTTCGACTGCTTCTCGATAGTCTCCGCCATGAACTACCCGGTGGCAGATGTACGCGAGATCATGGTCACTGGCAACCTCGGATAGTTCGGGATCATTGAAACAACGCTGCAAAATGTATTTGAACGCATCTTGAGGAGTTTTCAGCGGCTCTTTGAGTTCCTCTTTGCTTTTGACAGGCCCTCTCTGGTACTTGAATGAGGGTGGCGGTGCAGTGATACCGGAGACTTGAGCGTCAGCGATGGCTTGCGGGGGTTCGCGAAGCTATAGAACGTGACTTTGACGGAGGACGAGCCGGCGTTGACGGCAAGGATAAACTTCCCCATGGTAACGATCGGCTTCGTTGAAAATATGATTTGTCGCAAGAATGAGGTTGCTACTGAACCAGTATTTTGCGACAGTCGCCAATTTCTTGAGGGGTGACGTCAGGACGGCGTGAACAAGTTGTGACGTCTGTGAAGCTGAGAGGAACACGGCGGATACATATACCCTGCTGGCATGGCATGACCCATTATTTCGGTAATCTTCTGTTTACGGCACGGCTGGTTGTTTTCCCTTTACCCTTTTCTCTCTTCTGCATATCAATTGTTCGATCGTGCGATACTTGACTGATTTCATTGAAACTTGTGTTAATCGCGTGTTGCTCAGCTCACTCAAATCCCATCAACGGCGAAAATATGCCAGGCGAGGTTATCGACCGACCTAATCCGCAATCTCTGCCGTCACATTTGCCTGATGAGCTAAAGAGGCTAGCAATTGAGCTTCCTAATAGGTCTCTGGATCAAAAAGCCTGTAATGCCTTATTCAAATTCCGAAGCGCGGCAAGTTATATCGCTGCTGGTAAGAAACTACTGTATAGTAGCTATTCAGAGAAGTCCATTGTGGTGACCATTGATTTTTCGCACAGCAATGATTTTCTTGCAGGATAACACGCTGCTTACGAGAGAGCTTACGGCCGATGATATTAAGCCGAGATTGCTTGGTATGTGTGCTTTGCAATGTCTTACAATGCTGCGTATGCGTACTGATTTGATGTACTGTATTTCATAGGTCACTGGGGAACGTGCCCAGGTCTCATTTTGGTTTATTCCCACCTCAACTACCTCATCAGGACAATGGATCTGGACATGTTATATGTCGTGGGACCAGGACATGGAGCACCAGCCATTCTAGCTGCCTTGTGGCTGGAGGGATCACTGGAGAAATTCTACCCCCAATATCCTCGTGATGGCAAGGGTCTGCATCGGCTCATTTCCACATTTAGTACGACATCTGGATTTCCAAGGTCTGGCAATCATTTTGGTCTTGAATTAATCACGTATCAGCGCCACTGACGATCTCTCTCAGCCATATCAATGCCGAGACTCCAGGTGCAATCCATGAGGGCGGAGAGCTGGGCTATGCTTTGGCCGTGTCTTTCGGCGCTGCCATGGACAATCCTGACTTGATTGTTCCTTGTATCATTGGTGATGGAGAGGCCGAATCCGGACCAACTGCCACGTATGTCCAACAAATGCTCTTCGTGGACGAGAGTAGCACTGACAACTGATAGCTCATGGCATGCAACCAAGTTCCTAGACCCAAAAGAGTCCGGCGCTGTCCTTCCAATTCTGCATCTTAACGGTTTCAAAATTAGCGAACGCACTATATTTGGGTGCATGGACCACAAAGAGCTTGTAGCCCTATTCACCGGATATGGATATCAAGTTCGGTTTGTGGAAAATCTCAATGATATCGATACTGATCTTCATATCTCCATGACTTGGGCAGTGAATGAAATCCACAATATCCAGAAGGCGGCTCGATCGGGAGAGCCAATAATAAAGCCTCGATGGCCAATGCTAATACTGATAACTCCAAAGGTATGCTGAGAACATAGCTTTCATCGGTCTAGTTTTCTCACTCCTTGTCTTAGGGCTGGTCAGGGCCAAAGCAGCTCAATGGAGAATTCATCGAAGGCTCCTTCCATTCCCACCAAGTTCCGTTACCCAAAGCCAAATCCGACAAGAAGCAATTGAGCTTGTTGCAAAAATGGCTCTCGGATTACAAACCCAATGAGCTTTTTACGGAGAACGGCGAAATCATCGATGAGATCAAATCTGTGATCCCAGTAAAGAATGAGAAGAAGCTGGGTCAACGTGTTGAAGCGTACGACAAATACATCCCGCCGAAGCTGCCAGATTGGAAAAAGTTTTGTGCGAAGAAAGGTGCCGGGGAAAGTGCAATGCAGACGATTGGAAGATTCATTAATGAAGTCTTCAAAGAGAATCCGCACAGCGTTCGACTGTTCTCTCCAGATGAGCTAGAGAGTAACAAGCTCGACGCTGTGTTTCAAGACACAAACCGTAACCTCCAGTGGGACGAATTTGCCAATGCACGCGGCGGTCGAGTCATTGAAGTTCTCAGTGAGCATATGTGCCAGGGCTTCTTGCAAGGGTATACCTTGACCGGCCGCGTGGGCATTTTTCCGTCCTATGAGAGCTTCCTTAACATTATTCATACAATGATGGTGCAGTATGCTAAGTTCATCAAGTTGGTGAGTTCAAGTCTGGTGTCTTTTGGGTTCACCTTGCTCATTATAGATTTGCTTTCCCCCAGGCCCGTGAGACCAAATGGCACTGCCCTGTGAGCAGCATCAACTACATTGAGACCAGCACCTGGGCCCGTCAGGAGCACAATGGCTTCTCTCATCAGAATCCATCGTTCATTGGGTCTGTGCTAAAGCTCAAACCCAATGCCGCCCGGGTGTACCTACCACCAGATGCAAACACATTTCTGACGACCCTGCACCATTGTTTAAAGTCGAGGAACTATATCAATCTGATGGTGGGCTCCAAGCAACCAACCCCAGTGTACCTGACACCAGAGGAAGCCGAGAACCATTGTCGCTCTGGCGCCTCAATCTGGAAGTTCTGTAGCACCAATGATGGACTGGATCCAGATGTTGTGCTTGTGGGTATTGGCGTCGAGGTAATGTTTGAAGTGATCAAAGCCGCAGCGATTCTGCGACGGCGAGCGCCAGACATGCGTATTCGGGTGGTCAACGTCACAGACCTATTAATCCTTGAGAATGCAGGTTATCACCCCCACGCCTTGTCCACCGAGGCTTTCGACAACCTCTTCACAGCGGACAAGCCCATTCATTTCAACTATCACGGTTATCCAACTGAGCTCCAAGGTCTACTCTTTGGTCGACCTCGCCTAGAGCGTATTTCAATCGCAGGCTATATGGAGGAAGGTAGCACTACAACGCCATTTGATATGATGCTGGTCAACGGCACATCACGTTTTCACATTGCACAAGCAGCAGTGCGTGGAGCGGCGAAACGTAATGAGAAAGTCAGGATTCACCAGCAGGAGCTGGATTCTGAACTGGGTCACAACATTGTTGAGACAAGGAAGTATATCATGAGTCACCACGAGGGCAAGTTCCCGCCCCAGAAGTCGATGTGGTCATTTCGCAGCACTGACCTGATTCTCAGACCCCGATGATACGTATGACCTGCCACCATTCACGTAATAGTTAAGAACGTTCTCCGAAAGCAAGGCTTCAATCTCAACAACGAGCAAAATGCTGCCACCACATTTTCACCCCGGATATAGCCTCTTGAGTCCAATCCATCCGTGCTCAAAGCAGTATAGTCCAGCTTATAGAGCTCTAATTTGCGTGTTTGGTCTATTTTTTAAGTGTAGGCAACAAGACCTGAGGGCTCGAGCATCACATAATTTCAACCTGCGCATTGGTAGTGGGATTTCTGTCCAGACCACGGCGCAGCCCATAAAACTCAGCTGGAACAATCCATTCAACAATTGATTGGCGCTGAGCCGGGGCACAATTGTAATGACAAGATTGATCTTGGGTTCTCGACTAGTCGTTGGTCGGGTTTATCTCAAATTACCAACATGGTTCGGGCGGTCAGGCCAATACGTTCCAGAACCAGCCATGATTTGAAGATTCTGAAGCTTGCAACACGTAGCCACCAACCAGGCCCATCAGTGGTAGGTATAAGGTCCAGATGAAAAGCATCGCAAAGAGGTCTCCGTCCTCCGAGATGCCATTTTCATCTCCATCTGCATCCCCCTTCGTATCCTATATTGGACATTTATACTTTGCAATGCACTGGAGTCTTGAACCAGCACATCAATGCGCTCGAGGAGAAAATCTCTGTTTGATTGGAATGATCTCCTTGAAACTCAGCTTGTGCTTACACCCTATTGAAGCCCAATAATCTTGATTTTCACCGTCGTGTCTCGAAATACTTGGTCCTTGGCGTCACGCAGAGACAGGGTCTGTTTGTGATTGACACGGTCAGATCCATCCAACAAATCGCGGGGGGGCCTAGACGACCAGCCACATGGAGCAATTAGCCCGAATACCGATTTTTGCAGCCTGATGCCTGAGCGCGCAGCACATTTCGGCCCTCGTCAGCCAAAAGCCACAACTCAATACCAGAGACCAGAGCTTGCAAAGGAGGGTATTGATAGGCTTTTGTATTCATCCCTTGTTCCGAATCCGAAGTCAGCACTCAGTAATTGGCAGAGTTACACCCGAAGCTGGCGTCCGGCAACCAATCTCCGAAATGCACTCCGTAGATTTGCAGCGCCTTCAGGAATTTCGAGGCTTAGTCTACGCGGAAGCGTCGGATCGGAATTAGACGGTCTAGCGGCCGATATTCTTGGCCTACCAGGCTCCGCCCTGTTCTAGTGAAGCTAAACCCAAAAGAGAGGATCTTGCGAGGTCCAAGCTTGTGTTCGCCGGCGGACGTGGTGTTCGGCCCGAATTCCTATCAGATCCAGGCTATTTCGCAGGGTTCCTGGCTTGGTGTCACTTTCCCATGGGATCCCAAATGTGCCACCGCCTCGCCCCGAGCCACCATGTTTTTTTTGGCGAATTCCCCCACTTGTTCAGGTTTTCTCCGCCACTCATTTGCGAGATGCCCGCAACCTCCCAGCGCCGTTCGGGATTGAGGACCCTCCGGTGCGTGGGCGTCGTGCTAATCCCGTAGATCTTGCGAGTCATAGTGGGACGTGTCAGAAGAAATGCAATATAATTTATCCATGGGGCTCCTCCGGCCGCGCACGACCTCGCAAGCCTTCTCTTATTTGGTTGTCATCCTTGGGGCTCAGCCTGCCTCTATACAAACCTTAATACTTCTGCCGTTGCGCCTTGGATGCTGACGCCTCTCGTTTGTCTCCTCTTACTATAGTGCACTGTTTCGTATTTTCTCAGCCCCAGATTTCTTTCTCTCTTTCCACGACCTATCAAACTCTGACCCTGCACATTCAAACGGCTTTCCCCGTCCGCTCATTGCCTATTTCAATTCGGGAATCCACCGCTGTCTCCTTCGCTTTCTCGTGACATACTTCAATTTCCATACTCTGGCTTAGGCCATACCGACTTCTCGTTTCTTTCCTTTTCTTCTGATCAACTATTCCGGTCCGCGCGGTTTTCCCGTATCTATAAATCGAGCGCCCATTATGTCGGAACGACAGTTTTTAGCGACAGGGTGCCATGCCAAAATCGATGGCGTGGGCACTTCGTATGGCTATGTACCAACACTAGCAGCAGGCATTGCCTACCTCACTCTGTTCGGTATTTCGATGATCCTCCATACGGCGCAATTTTGCTGGAAGCGGACCTGGTGGTGCTCTGTGTTCAGCATCGGCTGCCTGGGTAGGGCTTTTCACTGCTGATACTGGTGTTGAATGTGAATCCGATCAAACTAACATTATGCTGCTTTAAGTGGAAATACTCGGTTGGGCCGGTCGTACTTGGTCTTCCAAATGCCCATATAATTCAACAGCATTCCTAATGCAGATCTCTACACTGATCATTGGTAAGTAACAGACGAACACACGCAAGCCTTTCCCCATTGCCTAAGTGGCCCATCTCACTAACCGGCATGCCAGCCCCGACCTTCTTCACTGCAGGCATCTACGTCCTGCTAGGTCGATTTATTCAAATCCTCGGCCGCGAATCGTCCATCCTCAAGCCGAGCCTCTACCTCTGGATCTTCTGCACTTGCGATATAATCTCTCTAGTCATCCAAGCTATCGGCGGTGGCATGGCATCTGGTGAAGCAGATAAGGTCAACGGCAATACGGCACCCGGTACTCATATCATGGTGGCGGGCATTGTGTTCCAGCTCTTCTCAGTGACGATCTTTGTGCTGTGCGCCGCGGACTTCCTTCGTCGAACCATGCGCCGTGGCCTCCTTCAAACCCTTCCTGGCTCGACTCCTCTGCTGATCGCCATGTTTTTCTCTGTTATCTGCATCTACGTCCGGAGTATCTATCGTACTATTGAGCTGTCACAAGGTTGGTCTGGGTACCTGATTACCCACGAGTCGTACTTTATCGCGCTGGATGGAGCTATGATGATTGCTGCTGTTGCGGTCTTTAACATCATTCATCCTGGCTGGCTGCTGCCCGCTAGCTCGGAGAGTCCTTCATCAAAGCGGCGATTTTCGTCCGACGAAGTGGAGATGAACCGACCGGTTTCGGAGGGATTGCGCTAAGAGTCTGCTGTCTATGTCTTTTTGAGTTGTTTGCTTTTCATTGCGAGCGCCCATCGCAGATAGAGATACCCTCTGGGTGGAATAGGGTCACTTAGTTCAGAGTTTTAGCGGCCTTGCTTATATATACTGTTGTTAAATAGAATTGCAAATCATACATATGTGAACTGGTATCGAATTTCAATAACATGGGCATGAAAACCAGCGCCAACTTTGACGCTCGCAAACAAAATCCGAGAAAACAAATCCAAAACAGGAAATACACATCACGCGGGTCAGAAAAAGAAAACAGGGCCATTGGTATACTCCCACAGTGCTCACCCAAACAGAAAGCTCAAGGCGTAAAACACAGAAGTCCTCCGAATAGAACAAAATTGCATCAAGCAACAGGTACTGCCTGAAATAATCGATCAAGACGTGTCGATTCCTTCAGCCCTTCAATACCCTGTGGAAATGGGACCCCGTATATTATACACCGTCCACAGCCTCGATCCAACCAAAGGTAGCGCCGGTCGCCAGGGTTGCGACAGCCCAGATGGCGCCCCAGGTGGATGCACCCTCGACAGACACGCTCTGAATAGTACCCGCTACCTGCACCGTTGTGTTGAGCAGCACTGCGGTGGCTAGGATGAGAGTACGCGACACGAGAATTCTGGTCTTCATCGATAGCTGGCACCACGTCTTGCGATAGATAGCAACAATTAAGTATTCTCCCTCTCGACTCGCAGGTTGCTTTGCTTCCTTTGCCGTAGAGCGACCAGTGGAGCTCACGAATAAGAAATCACGTACCGCATAACCAGCCGGGACTAGAGACAGAAAGAGAGCTGGCAGGCCGGCAGGGCCGGCGTGGGCAGCGCTAATATCGGGAATGCTCTCGAAATGCACGACAAGCTGCGCAGGAAGCCACGACGCATAGCTTGCGTACAAAATGACGCTATAAATCGAGGTCGCGGCCAGAGAAGTATAGATGGTGGTCAGCCGGTCTTGCAGAATCCCGCGGTTCACGATCGCGTCGGAGGGAGTATGAGACAAATCGTGGACCGATGCGGATCGGCGCAAAAATGCAAATGGAATCACGGTCGAGAGGATTGTAATCGCATACGAGGCGAGGACCGAGGTGGGCCGCACCTTGTAGAAGAACCAGAGCAGCGAGTAGGTAGGGAGGTGGGTTAAGAACAGGTACGAAGCGACATCCCAGCCTAGACATGATTGAAAACATCCATGATCAGCACCATATCCTTCCTCTCCGAGGACGCCATCAAAAAGCTCATTAGAAGAGGAAGCCTGTACTTACTGTCAAAGCCCAGCACCCACGCCAATCCTACTTCCACGCCCCTCCACGCGATCAAGCCCCCCACTTCCCACCATTCCTCTAGGTGTTTGCTAACCAGACCAAGGTCACCGCGAGTAAGACTGGCCGTAAGCGTGAAGAGAACCGAGCTCACAACCAGACTGCCCAGAGCGACGAGGAGGAATCGAGCGGGAGAGGGGATGCGCGCCAACCGAGTTGTCGGCGCAAGGACCATCAAGGCGTCCTTCGGGTCTTTGGGGTCCGGGGTTGGACGGACCTGGCTCCCGGCGGATAATGTGCGCTTCTTCGGAGACATTTGTCGAGCTTTAACGGGATCGCTTGCAGGTATTGCACTTGAAGAGGTAAAAATGAGAGCCCAGTGCAAGGAAGAAAGAGGTAAGAAAGATGAATGTTGTGGTCGGCGGTGAGGGCGTGATGATGTCACTACTGGAGGTTTCCAAGGTCGCGTCAAATTCGGCAAGTTACAATAGTGTACAACCTCCAAGTATGAACGTCAAAGCGATAACATAACACTAATAGTACATACTTCACAGCCCAAAGGCTCAATCCTCCTCCTCATCTCCAGCTTCACGCTCGGCCACAGCGAATTCTACGGTCCCGCTCTCCCGTCCCTTAGGGTCCTTAACCACGATCCGATATTTACCTTGGTCCCATAGGTCCTTGATAGTCAGCTCACGCGTGCGGCCGAGACTCTCAATGTCACCAATGCGCTCCAGAGTTCCATCCAAGTGCTTGTCGAATCCATCGATTGCGCAGATCTCGCGGAATGCACGCTGCATGGGCACAGAATCCGCGCGCACCATAGCACGTGAATCAATGGTGAAAATATTCTCGTGATCATAAGACTGGATAAAATCGGCCCGGGTCATGATTTCACGGGCTTCATGAAGAGGAATCTCTGGGAGAATGTGACCTTTTTCAGGGTCGTAGATCTGTTCCATTTTGTTTTCAAGGTCAACCAAGGCTTTGGCGAGGACCATGGCCGCAGACTGGGTAGAAAGAGTTAGCAAGGTGTATGATGCCAACGATATGACACTCTGTGTAGAAATCGGCTACATACCGAGTACTTCTGTTCATCCATCACATCGTCATCCATCTCCTTACCGAGAATCCAGCACTTGTTGAGGAGCCAGACTTTCTCGGCGCGGCAGATCTCTTGACAGGTCTTCATCACGTCTGGAGACTTGGCAACTCTGTTCAAAAAGGAAAGCCGACCGCCTACTCTGTCGTAAACCTGCTCGAGCACTGAACTTGGCAGGTCTTCGTGACAGAACTGCTTGCGGTATCTCTTCAACGCAGCCATCGCCTTATCCTTGGGTAAATCGGTCACCGGAACAACCTCCATACGAGTCGCGTAGCGCTTCAGCCGCTCATAGACCCAGTAATCATCACTGTTAAGGACTTTGGAGGTGATTAATGAGCGATTCGTGCTCTCCTGGAAGGACTATTTGGGCGACTTACTAGTTGTGACTAGGCCACTCGCGGCCCATTGCTCTGCGCGCTGTTGGATCATCTCAAGCAAGTCCTGCCCATCATGATCATCCCGAACCAGATGAGTGCTATTGATGATGAGGATCAATGGCTGCGAGCCTTGTCGTCTTCTTGCTAACGCGACCTTCTCCAGTTTGTTGAAAGCTCGCTCGATATCTAGGAGTGCCGTAGTATCCCGTGGGCCACGGATGCTGAACAAACTGCCAATATAGCTGGAGATATTTGTTAGAACCAGACATCAAAAAATCGGATTGAAATCAAAGATGGGCATACTCTTCGTGAAATTCGTAATCCAAAGCCTTGCCCAGTCGAATCCGGAAGATTTCCAAATCGGCGTGAGCCTCAAACATTGCGCAGGCGTTGCCGTTGATCTTGCGCATGGCCTCAAGGAGCATGGAGGTCTTTCCAGTGCCCTTTTCGCCGATTATCAGATAGTAATGGCCACTAGTTTTCCCGGATACAATGTCATCAATGTGAGGCTGCTCGTCTCTGACAACCCAGTGTTCCTCATGGCGGTACTGGTGCTTTCCGGACACAACTCCGGCAACCTCAAGGGCTGGATCACCTGGTTTAAATGCATTGTCCATTTTATCCAGGATCAAGTACTTGTAGTATTGGTGGTATGAATAACCCGCCGCTCTAGACGGTCCATGTCAGTATGCCTAGCCTGGATTTTTTCGAGGTAAGGTAGCCATATATTAGATTGGGGGAAACTCTTACCCCAGAATTGCAATTGACGCTGCGGTTGTAGCTGCCGTCTCAAGCATTTTCAGAATTGTGGACTTCAAATTGGGGTCAGAGTCATTCTTGCGACCTTTGCCCTTGTCATCGTCCCCGTCATTTTGGTCAGTCGGATCAGGTGTGTATTGGCCCGTGTTCTGCGGGCTGGAAGAGTTGAACCGCTTCAACCCATACGGCACATATCTTCCGCTATACTTGAGGGGTCTGGACAGGCCCTGTCGGGCAGAGGATGCCAGGGGCTGTGCAAGTCGGCTCCATGGCATCTTGAATTCGATGTTTATCTAGGCAAAATGACTCGGTAATATTTTGCGTCCAAATGACAGAATAGATGCTCCAGTGCTTTGAGTCCTAAAACACGCCACGGCACGTCAATCTGCAGGTGATGTCGATCTGATGCGCTTCTTCAACGATCACAGCAATATTAGGCGCTTATAGACGCTTTGCGGGTCAATGCCACACCGCCAGGGGGTCCACGTCAAAGGGAAAAGAGAATGGACAGGGATAAGAACCCCAAAATTGTTGGTATATGAAAAGAGATACAAGGAGAAGAATCAAAACGACAAAAGTAAAGAAAGACTGGAGAGAAGCTGAATGGAAGCGACAGAGGAAAGGGTGGAGTGGAAGGCATTGTGGCTTAGTCGCAGTGGAGAAGTCCAGCCTCGACAGTGCGCGGCTTGGCAATAGTTTGGGCACTTGGTGGCGCCTCTGACTTGATAGAACTGTTGAATAATACGAGAATTTTTGAATTTTGTTTGATCGAGGATGCTTCAAGGATAATAGATACCAGTTCGAAAGACTGTGCAATGTCGTGAATGCAAGTACCTATAATTTGTTTTTTTTTTTTTTTTTTTTCTGTGTAGGGGCCATCCCGGACAGATTATATATATTAACCCCAGTTTTCATATATCACTCAAGTTAATATAAGAGCAGACATAATGTAATAAAAATCGCCAGTTCATCCTTACATCCCCTCTTAGTGAATATTTATTTCTCCAAATCATGACTACTTATGTTGAGGATTTTAGCGTGTTTCTCCATGGCCGTCAACCGAAAGGGTTGATCTGTGGGAAGTACCTCCGACATCAAACGAGATTTTCTTTGCACCGCAAGGAATGGTCCATCTGGAACTCAGGCTCAGTCCCAAAATCTTATGAATTGAAGAACGGACTGATTTATCGGATACAATGAAAAGAGCTGTTCAAGTACTAGAGCTAAACCCTAACAATCAGCAGGATATTTCGCGTCTCAGCTCTCAGCCCATTTCAGCCTGAGGCACCAATATTGAACTATGGCCAGAACTACTATGCTCCATCTTCTCGATCATCCGGCAGTAGAATTCCATAGTTAAGATTCATGAGGGAATGGGACATCTTTGATTGGGTTGATTTATATGAATTGTGCAAGGGTCTGCACCCCCCGACCATGACGTGGGTTTTTTCTCAAGTTGTGTGGAGAAGCAGAATCTCCGCGGTGACTTCCCCGAACCCACCGCCCGAGCACTTCCGAGGGTATGCCGCATCCGCGAAATTTTCTCCTCCGTTCAACCGCCGTTCCCACTTACACCGGACGATTTTCTTTTGCATCTCTCTGGGGTACGGGGTTTTTTGGCTTTATTGCTTCAATTACCCTGCTCCTTATTGTACCATAGCGACCCTTTTTTTCTTTTCCATTTTTTTTCTCTCTGCCGAATTCCCGCAGGTCCTCATCCTCTCTTCCCGCCCAAATCCATTATTGTGTCTCTTCTCCGCTTCGCGGCCGTGAGATAGCTATTGATCGCAAATTGATTTTGCTCAAGCTATCTTAATCATCTATTAGACACCATGGCTCAAACCAATGGGGAATTGGAGCACTCGAAAGGTCCGTCCGCCCGCCCCTCGACACATACATGCCTTCAGATTGAAGCATACAGAACCATGGCAACCCTCATTTATGACAAGTTCTAATCGTACAATAGAGGTTGCTCTGGATTCGCAAGATCAGACTGCCGTTAACCACACCGAAGGTGCTGCGGAGGATGACAATGCAGGTGGTATGTGGCATCATCGGAGCTAGGGCGCGGGCATTTGTTTCTGACTAGTGTCAAGGTCTCTTCCAGATCTCTGTGAAGCTTCCTCATGAACCGTACAAGATCCAGGTGATGGTGAGTATTCGATCATGGCAAACTTGGACGGACAATCCCCTCTGACCTTGTCCCTTTTCCTATAGGTCTCGAGCCAAGAACAAGTGCAAGATGTCCGTCAATCGATTGTCGAGCTGCCCGGTACTTTCCAGTACACGTGCTTCCACCTTGAGTTCAACGGGTCTCGTATCAACGACTTTGTCGAATTGTCCGAGGTTCCCGACCTGAAGGCCAACTCCGAGATTGTGCTGGTGGAGGATCCCTACACCGAGAAGGAGGCCCGGATGCACGTTGTGCGGATGCGGGAGCTCGTTGGCGCTGCCGGTGACCGTGTTGACACACTGCACGGTATTTCTGCCGGTCTGTCCCTTCACGATGTGATCTCCGCCGAGGCTGTGCGCGCCAGCGAATCGGAGAAGGATCATTCGCTCACCAAGTACAACTTGACTGGTCCCTCCTCTCTTCAGACTATCCTGCCCCAGTCGCAGACTCCTCTCCCCAAGACCGTGAAGTCGATTTCGCTCTCGCCATGGAACCCGGCTCCTTATCACCTCCGACAGAAGGGTCATCTGCTCTATCTGCAGGTCACCACTAACGAGGGTGAACAGTTCCAAATCACTTCTCACGTTTCTGGGTTCTTTGTGAACAAGTGCTCAAACACCCGTTTCGATCCTTTCCCGAAGACCATTGCCAAGAACGGCAGTGCCCACTCTCTCCTTACTCTGATCTCCAAGCTGTCTCCCTCATTCAACGCTTCGTTCGAGGCTTTGCAGGAGTCTAACAATCAGAAGGACCTCCTGACCACCTTCCCATTCCAGAATGCCATCCCCAATAGCCCATGGCTTGTCACTCCGACCTCTTCCAGCCTAAACACCCACCAGGCTGACATCACCCGGTCTCAGGAAAGCTACTTGATCTCTGGCGTGGACAACGCCGAGACGTTGCGTGACTGGAATGAGGAATTCCAGACAACCCGCGAGCTGCCTCGTGATACTGTCCAGGACCGCGTATTCCGTGAACGCCTTACCTCGAAGCTGTTCGCTGACTACAACGAGGCTGCTGCCCGTGGTGCCATCCTGGTCGCCCGAGGTGAGGTTGCTCCTCTGAACCCTACCGAGGCCCGGGATGCTCAGATCTTTGTCTACAACAATATCTTCTACTCTTTCGGTGCCGACGGCGTTGGTACTTTCACCTCCGAGGGTGGTGATGAGGCTGCTCGTGTGGCTGTGGGTAAGGATGTTTTGGGTATTAAGGCCGTGAACCAGCTTGATATTCAGGGATTGTTCACTCCCGGAACTGTCGTCGTTGACTACCTCGGCAAGCGTATTGTTGGACAGAGCATTGTGCCTGGTATCTTCAAGCAGCGTGAGCCTGGCGAACACCAGATCGATTATGGTGGTGTTGAGGGCAAGGAGGTTGTGGCAACCCACTCCGACTTCGTGCCCGTTTTCGAGAAGCTGTCTAAGGCTCTTCGGATTAAGCAGCACCCGGTTTGGGACAAGGATGGCAAGCGTCACGATCTTGAAGGCAGCGTTGAGACCAAGGGTCTCCTTGGCACCGATGGACGCAAGTACGTTCTTGACTTGTATCGTGTCGCCCCTCTGGATGCTCTCTGGCAAGAGGAGGAAGGTAGTGAGGCCTATCCACACCGCATGTCGGTGCTCAGACTGGAGTTGGTTGAGTCTTACTGGCGCAACAAGATGAGCCAGTATGTCAAGGCTGAAGTTGAGAAGCGCCGTGCCGCCAAGGCCGAAGAACCGAAGCCTGAAGAGGGCGCCGAGGAAAAGAGCGAAGATCAGGAGCGGGTTGACATTTCCGGCTTCAACCTCTCTCTCAACCCTGACGTTTTCAGTGGACAGGTTCCTCAGACTCAGGAGGAGAAGGAACAGTGGGCTAAGGATGAGAAGGAAGTGCGTGACGCCTGCGACCACCTTCGCTCCAAGATCATCCCCGATCTCATTCAGGACCTCCACGATGGCGATGTCGGCTTCCCTATGGATGGTCAGTCCTTGACTCAGCTGCTGCACAAGCGCGGTATCAACGTTCGCTACCTGGGTAAACTGGCACAGCTATCGAGTGAGAAGGGATCCCGCCTTCAGGCTCTTTCCACTCTTCTGACTCAGGAGATGATTGCTCGTGCCTTCAAGCACGTTGCTAACAACTACCTCCGCAATGTCCCGGCTCCTTTTGTCACCTCCTGCATTGCTCATCTGCTGAACTGCCTGCTGGGCACTGATGTCAACTCTTCCCCTCGCCCTGAGATTGACGAGTCTCTGCGTGAGATTTACCCTGAGGGTGACTTCTCATTCGAGAAGGTTACTCCCGAGTCCCTCCGCACTGAGATTGAGAAGCAGATCACTATCCGCTACCGCTACTCATTGGAGAAGGGATGGGTTAGCTCCCTGCGCCACCTCCAGCTGCTGCGCGATATCTCTATTAAGCTGGGTCTCCAGCTTGGTGCTCGCGACTTCCCTTTCTCCAAGGACCAGGTCAAGGAGCAGGCTCCGGCCACTAACGGTGCCCCCAAGACTAACCAGGATGATGGGAAGAAGAAGAAAAAGAAGGGCGGTGACAACAAGTCCCCGACCCGTGTTGTGGTGGAGACCTTGCCTGCTACCTCCATCACAGTGGATGACATTCTGAATGTCGTACCCCTTGTCAAGGATGCCGCTCCGCGTAGCGCCCTAGCTGAGGAGGCCCTCGAGGCTGGTCGTATCTCACTCATGCAGAACCAGAAGCAATTGGGCCAGGAGCTCATTCTGGAGTCTCTGTCTCTTCATGAACAGATCTACGGCATCCTTCACCCCGAGGTTGCCAAGCTGTACCACCAGCTCTCCATGCTCTACTATCAGACCGATGAGAAGGAGGCTGCCGTGGAACTGGCCCGCAAGGCTGTCATTGTCACTGAGCGCACCTTGGGTGTCGACTCGGCTGATACCATCCTGGCTTACCTCAACCTGAGTCTATTCGAGCATGCCTCCGGTAATACCAAGACTGCTTTGGTGTATATCAAGCATGCTATGGATCTGTGGAAGATCATCTATGGTGCCAACCACCCCGACTCGATCACCACTATGAACAACGCCGCCGTGATGCTGCAGCACCTGAAGCAATACTCCGACTCTCGCAAGTGGTTCGAGGCCTCACTCTCTGTTTGCGAGGACCTGTTTGGTAAACAGTCCATCAACACTGCCACCATCCTTTTCCAGCTTGCTCAGGCATTGGCCCTTGACCAGGACTCCAAGGCTGCCGTTGGCAAGATGCGCGATGCCTACAACATCTTCCTTGCTCAGCTGGGTCCTGAGGACCGCAACACCAAGGAAGCTGAGACTTGGCTCGAGCAGCTAACCCAGAATGCTGTCTCTATCGCGAAGCATGCCAAGGACATCCAGGCGCGTCGTCTCCGTCGTATCAACATTAACCCCCGTGCGTCTACCATGGGCACCCGCGTCCAGCCCCAGGTTGGCCAGACTGCACCTGAGACTGCCGGAACTGCTGGTCCCTCAGGTTCTTCCTTGGACTCGCGCAGCATCGATGAGCTGCTGAAGTTCATCGAGGGTGGTGACAATAGCTCCTCCCGGTCCAAGACGAAGAAGCGTACTTCTGCCAACCCCAAGCTCCGGGGCTCCAAGCAGTCCAAGGCTTAAATGTAAGCAGTGGTCTATGTGTTTTTTGAAGGGTTTAAATTGACCCAACCCAACTCCGGGGGTTTTCAGCTTTTCAATTTCTTTTCTTGGCCATCTCTTGTCTTAACAATAAAATACTCCATGATCGTTTTCGGAAGGCGGCCCGGTTCGGCTTGATGAACGGAAAACTTTTGTACTATTTAGATCTCTCCTCTCTTTGTTTTTATGTTTTCTGGACCTGTTGATCTTGTCCTGGGCAGTGAATGGGAGCGTGGACTTGTTGTATTTATATGCCCCAACATCTTGACGTGCATTTACGATACGACGGCTCCCTGTACGTAAGAAATTTGCTTATTGCAATTTGGCTTGGGGCTATTAATAGATTCTTTCGATCTCAATTTCGTCTCGATATTTTTTTTTTAGTCTAGAGCGTCATGGCTCTGTCGCTTGACCGAAGTGCAGAGCATTGATTGAAGGGGGCCATGGGGCACGGATTTAACGCCTGACCGCCTTCGGGAGCCCCCCGTTGTTTACTTTGTTTTGCTCCTCCGATTCTCCGTCCGATCGTCGCATTTCATGCTCCACCTTGAATCCTCCTTATCACGACCTTTATTTTATGTTCTTTGAGATGCAGCTGATAGTATCTTCTTTTTTTTAAGTGCTGGCCAATTACGTGGGGTCGTAGGGACTTATTAGAGGCTTCGTACCGTGGTTACCATGCATGCCTCATTGAAGTGTCGGTGGTAAGACCTGGTTGCTCGAGTACGCCTGAAGCTCCCTCCCAAATCCCTCCTGAATCCCTTGATAGTGTTGCTGATAACCTCGTTGGCATTTTTATAACTTATTTCGACATACTTATCTCTTTTATTCTCGATGGATGACGTCCAAGCTACGGCAAGATGGGCAAACCGCGTGTTGCGACCTTTGACCTCTATCTATCGCCGACTAGAGAAGCACCAAGAAACCCTATCGATCATTGCGACCGAATCGAGCAATTCAGATACGACAAAAATCGTAAATACGCATGAACCTAATACATACGAGACTACGAAGGCGCGAGACGACTATTGCGGATCAGACGCGGACGAAGATGACCCAGTCTGGATTCCAGGCCAGAAGCCCGACAAGCGGCGAACAAGACACAAATACTCAGCTCGGGGATTGGGGAACGCAGGGAGGAGGCGATCTAGACTATCTATGCACAGCCCAGAGGCCTCTCGCACTCTGCCTGGCGCAATAGAGCTTGCGACACCCGTGATTACCGGGAAAAGATGGGACATCCCTTCAAGTGCTCGATCCCAATTGTCGGCGGAACAAACCAAGTCAACAAAAATTCAAGGACAATTGCAAGCATTTCGTGATCGGTACCCCCTTCACAGAAGTCCCTGGCAAGAACTCCTCGACCAATCCGGGGACTCAGGATTCGCCAACATCGCGCATAACCTTGATCGCGTCCTGCAAAATTTTCTTTGCAACACACGTATTACCAAACAACCCAATATCGAATCCAATAAATCTTACCTTGGTGCACGTTCTCTTATGTCTATGGTGGTTCGGCGCCTTCCTGAATTCATTGCTAGTGAGCAGGATGTACAAAACGAGCAGGATGCAGATGGAGATGAAGACATGTGCGATGCATACCTTACCGAATTGGAATCATTTTATGCACCTCACGGGAAAGGATGGAAACCGCTTCGTGAGGCAGTTCGAGCTCAAGGCATTTACCTAGTGTCCATGATGATAACGAACAAATGGCTGACCGATCCAATTGCCTGCATGTTGATTGAAAAGTGTCGATATCACGAACCAGATGCATGCGAGGCCCTTCTTTCGAAATTTTTGTCTACATGCACGACCTATCCACATCCTACTGCCCTTAAGCCTTCCGTTGACATTATCAAGCCAGGAGACCCTGTGCGGCTGCTGCGAAAATATGCCCATAATGGTCCAGCCCATCGCTCCTATATTTTTGATGAACTCACTCAACTTCTTTTACGTGGAGTCTTACCCCCAGAGTGGATGGCAACTAAGTCATGGACTAGTTGGATGACTAGGGCCACAATATCATTTTCAAAAGGAGATGACGATTGTGCAACGGCCTCGAGATTAATTGAATCTGTGCTCATCTCGGCAAGTGATCTTCGCCCAACAGCTACGGTGACCAAGCCTAAAATGCTTTCTATTAAAAATCATATTCCTCGTGGAAGAAAGACCCGGGCGTCGTCTGTTTCTATGGGACACACGCCTGACCCCTTCCGACCCTGTCCTGTGCCAGTAGAGGATGCATTGAGCAACCATGTGACAAGCCTTTTGGCAGCGCTTTGTGGCATGCATATCTCACGGTCGCGACAGCCCGGTGTAGCTGAGACCATGGATGGCACAAAGGCTGGGCACATTATCAACTACCTTTCTTTTACGCTTGGGCGAGATATGGAATCAAAGCCACTCTCCCATGTGACTTCTCTCACACCTCATCAACTATTACGACGTGGATGCGTATTACTGGCATCATGGCTTGTACAGTGTAACGACACAGGCTTGAAGGGCGATACGAATTTCCTGATAGCATCAAGTGCATGTCTTGAACGATATTGCGAGGCTTTGGCATCTCGCTCGGATCTTATCAAAGAACTGGCATCATTTATGCGACAGAGTTTCCGGTGCTTTGGAAGCGCTACGGATAATGAACGTCTTCACATGGGTCGAGAGGTGAGGCAGATGGTCTCACGACTCCCTTATATAACGAATGCTGTAGGACTGTCGTCATTACTCAGGCGCGTTGCCGTTGAGGCAGCTATGGAATTCGCCGAGGGGACTGGCGAACCCGACGATCATCTGTGGGCCGTTGAAATCCAGGAGGCAGTCATTTCTCTCCAGGGCCAGAAGGATGTCAGCTCAGAATCTGCGGATGACACCGAAGATCAAGGACCGAGACGAGGATATCGCTGGGAAGAGAGCATCGGGGAGTGGGTTGCTCGCACGCCAGCAGTCAAGATTCATCCAGTGCCTATGGTTCGGCCGAGACAGCGAGTCTTGGCCACCTCTAGGCCCAATTCATGTATTCCCTGCTCGACGGACAGTAGCCCGCTACTATCAGATCGATCGACAGAGGCTGCATCTAGCTTGACGTCCTCGCCTCCATCGATTGGGACCAAACGAACATTTGATGTGATTGATTCCTCTCCTTTGCAGCCGGCGAAACGGCGACGACCGGCACCTGTTGTTATTGTGGAAAATCCCGATAAAGACCTCCATAGCAAAAGTGGATCCTGGGCTGCTCCTGCCCCCATCTCCCCGTCACGAGAACCGGTTTCTTCTCACCGTCGGGTCCTCCGCCAGATGTTAAATTACAATTCAATCCAGCCATCTGCGCCCCCGAGAACCAAGCGCCCAGCCAAGGTCGAGGTGGTGGTTATCAACAGAAAAGAAAAGAACATGAGCGAAGACTCTGGGCCGTCCATCCCAGGATCAGGCGCCCGGTCGGCACCAAGAGTAGAGAAAGAACTGGTCGAGAAGCAGATCCATCGAACGGTGCCACGAAGGTCCGGGCGACCTCGAACTTCCTACGTCCCCGCTGCTACCACGCGAGTGTCCCCTAGGCGGAGTTCGATAGTGGTCCCCTGCTCCGAGGAGGATAGCGAGGACGAGCTGAGCTTTCTCTAAATTTCTCCGCGTGGCCTTCTATGCCAAGAACCAGGCTCAATCTCCCGGCTGAACTGACATTGAGATCCCGTTGATGATCAGGGTTCAATGCCCACCCATGGTTCAAGTGCCTATCGCATTTTGACATCGCGAACGGACCTTGATTGAATGGAGGTGTTCATGGATGGCGGGTCAACCGAGGTCCCGACCCGGTGACAGTGTTTATCTTCCAAATTACTAGATGAAACGAGTGGTGGAGATGGGCGGTTCCGCTAAATTGTTCGTGGGGAGGCCCTTGCTCGTTCGGTCTATGAGTTTTTCCCCCCCTTTTTTTTTCTTTCTTGTTTCTCCTTTTTTGATATGATTGATACCCTTGGCTTTGAACTGGTGTTTCTTTTCACATTCCTTGATTCTGTACTGGACTTGTCAACCTTTCTGGAACTAACAATCCCATTCAATTGTCTTCGTTCGTCGCATATTATTTCTTATCCCCTTGTTATGGACAAAAACCCCACAACAATAGAGCAGGATCGAAAAAGAGGATATTGGCTGAAACATTTGGAACAGCCATGTCGCGTCATAGTCCTGTGGAGGAATAGAAATACATTCAGAGTACACTGACAGCTGTCAATCGAGAATCACGAAACATGTCATTGTCTCAAGGGCAGTGCTGGGGTAGATTCTTGGGCCACTCCTGCATAGTTCACTAATCGCATACACAACCTCTAGTGCACGCAGGGAGAAGATAAGAAGAGGCTGGCGAGTCTGAAGAGACATGAGGCAAGCCCTTCGGTGCAGAGACTGTATTAAGCATTGCCGTCTCCGGCGCAGTCTGCATGAAGAAAGCAATGTTTCAGCCGCCTCGCCATGAGATACTTATCGGGCGGAGACGCCGTGGTACGCCATGCTCACAGGGTTATCTGGGCATCATGGTTGGATTGCCTTGCGAGGATAGCGGAATGAAATTTAGATCCATCCAGGGGAGATTAGAGTCTGACATAGATGAAAAGTGCCAAGCCTGACCTAGTCGCTAGCGACTAGGTCATATTGCCGGCTATTACACACACTGTAAGTAATTTTGATCGGGTTCGAAGTGTTTCAAGAACAAGGATGAGGCGCATGGAAAATCCTTCGAAGTGCTTAACTGGTAATCGAAGGCCCGTGACAGCGATCGCGTGGTTGGCCGATGGGCGCTTCCAGACTTGCGCCTTCCAACATCACCCCACGACGCCTCCAACAAGTCCAAAAAAGTCTTGGGGACGGCAATCGATCGCGGGAGGCATGACTCAGGCCATCTTGATCTATCATTAGTTCACTATGGAACGATTCAGGAGCTAAGCCCACTGAAGTATCAGAGTGTCCCGCGACAACCACCCCCTGGTCTCCACCACGCGGACATCAATTGGCCCACCAATCAAGCAAGGGCGATTCTCAAACCGCCAGTTGGCGACCAGTCGTCGCCATGCGGAGTGATGACGGAGATCAGCATTCAATACTGGCGGGCGCTTGTTGGTTCACAGCTTTGCCTGGGACGTTTCAGCGCTAGCCACTCACACCACTCACACCAGCGTCGCACGTCCCACCACTCGCTTGCGTCCAGCCGGCCTCGACCTGTCGCATGTCGCATGTCTGGTTACTGTTGACGGCCAAGAGGACCCATCCGAGCAGCTTTCCCCGTCAGGTCAATCCAGGTACCCGATTCGATCCACAAGTCGAGATCTGCGACAGGTTCCAGCTTCGGACTGGTCTTGCTGTAGTGAACGGGGCTTTGCTCGGACCTGAGCTGTGACATGGGCTATACCCTCCATCCCTTCCTCTCCCCTAGAATTCAGATCGATGGGGAACTGATAAACATTCCTGCCGCGAGGGTGGCGGACTAGGCGACAAACAATCTTCCTGTTGCCCCCTCCTCTTGCGACACTGCCATGTGCACAGCTGGGTTGGATTTGATCTCGCAATTCTTAGATGACGAAATGATACGTGGTTCGTGGAAATCCTGAGTAAAGTACCTGTTCCATCCCGGCCCAGCCTTGCTTAGTTTCGACCTTTCGCTTTCTGGCTCTGACGCCGACTTGGCCTTGTCTCATATCTCCCCACTTTCCGGCCAAAGTGGATGCAGGGAATTAATAGGAAAAGGAGGGAGAGAAAAAAAAGGAAACAAAGTGCTCTGTGCTCCTTTGTGGAGGTGCTGGGGTTTTGTCTTTCTTCCTTCCTTCTTGTTGAGACAAAACTTATTGTCTTCCGCTCGTTTCTTTCTTTTGGCTTTTGTTCGTCCTTCGTTTTTGAACAACCGCCTTCAACGCGGTGGACTAGTTCCACTCGCATTTCTATATCTTTTTTTTTCGCCAGTGACAGGGTCACCGAGCATTCCTTTCGTTGCCTGCCAACAAGCACTGTCGCTGTCAAATATCTGAGCTGGTCGGCCATTCTTGGCGTTGTATACGGAGCAACCGACTCAACCTGGAACGATTTATCGGTTCACGCCTTTTTCGCCTTGTCGTTTTTCTCTCTCTTCGTCCAATACTTTCAACCTAGGCAGGTCCTGTCTTCGGCTGCTGCGACCCAAAACCGCACTTCTTCGACTCGGCGGGTCTTATATCGCTGTCAAAACCCTGCATTCTGAACCGAGCAGCCTGGTGTTGTTAGGTATTACATAGGGTCTCTAACAACCCTTAGTGCAAGGAAATCACGGCAGCTTTGTGGTCTTGGTCGAACTCGTCTCTTCAAATTCACTTACCATAGCAAGCTGGTCTTGTCTCCTCAAACCCCCGGGGTTTGCATTTAGACTCCAGAGGCCAAGAACTCCACATCATGCAACCCTTTCTTCTGGCACTATCCCTGGCGGGACTGAGCAGTGCTCAAGAACTCGAAAAGCGACACGGGGGAAACTCCATATATGAGGCAATTAACGATGATCTGGCACGCTACTCTCTCCTCGCTTTTGGTTGCGCAGCTGCAGCATATTATGTTTGGTCTCTAGCGTTCCGATTTTCCGGTCACTTACGGCGACTCGCCAGCTTCACCGATAACAAGCAGCGGTATTTTGTGCCTTCCCATGATACGTTCTGCTGGCTCAAGGAGCATATTATCTATGCACCGCTATTTCGCACCCGGCATAACCGAGAGTTCCAAGTATCGTCGGCCATCAACATGGGCACTTTGCCCAGCCGATTTCATGGACTCCTGGTTGCCGCTGTGGTTGCCATGAATGTCGCCCTCTGTACAGTGACTACTCCCTATGGGTCAGAGGAGGATACCCTTGCTGGGATCGTGCGCAACCGTACCGGTACTATGGCTACTGTCAACTTGATTCCACTAGTATTGTTGGGAGGTCGCAACAACCCGCTGATAGCTATGCTTCATGTTCCCTACGACACATGGAACCTGCTCCACCGCTGGCTGGGCCGTATGGTGGTATTCGAAGCTCTTGCGCACACATTTGCGTGGGCGATTCCCAAGGCCCAGGAGGCCGGCTGGGATATTGTTGGGAAAGCCATCTCTTCAAGCAGCTTCTTGCTCGCGGGTCTAGTGGCCACGGCTGCATTCACTGCGCTTTTGATTCATTCGCCCTCGCCCATCCGACACGCATTCTATGAAACGTTCCTCCATCTCCACATCGCCATCGCTGCCCTTAGCTTTGGCTTCCTGTGGGTGCACTTGAATGGTATGATTGCCCAGACCTATTTGATGGCTGCCATCATTCTCTGGGCCTTGGAGCGAGCCACTCGTCTCTTCATAATCTTATATCGCAACCTTGGCCGTGAATCTACGACTGCTCTCGTCGAGGCCATGCCAGGAGATGCGATGCGCATTACTCTTCGTATGGCCCGGCCGTGGAAGTTCAAGCCTGGCCAACACATCTATCTATACATTCCAGCCGTTGGATGGTGGACATCACATCCATTCTCCGTCGGCTGGAGCGAATCTGAGGACACCTTGTCTGACGAGAAGTCTCTCCCAGTTGCCAATCAAGATCTTCTCGGCGGGCCCCAAAAGACGACCCTCTCTCTCCTGGTCCGCCGGCGCACGGGTATGACTGACAAGTTATTCCAGCGCGCTTCAAATGCCCTCGGCTCGCGCGTAACCCTACGTGCCTTCGCCGAAGGCCCCTATGGCAACATCCATTCCATGGACTCCTATGGCACCGTTATGCTATTTGCTGGTGGTGTCGGCATCACCCACCACGTTCCCTTCGTCCGTCACCTGGTTGCCGGTTTCGCTGAAGGTACCGTGGCCACCCGCCGCTTGACCCTCGTCTGGATTATCCAGTCCCCAGAACATCTAGAATGGATCCGCCCCTGGATGACCAACATTCTGGCCATGGACCGACGCCGCGAAGTTCTTCGCATCATGCTTTTTGTGACCCGACCCCGCAATACCAAAGAAATCCAAAGCCCATCAGCGACCGTGCAGATGTTCCCAGGTCGTCCGAACATCGACACACTAGTCGGGATGGAGGTTGAGAGCCAGGTTGGGGCTATGGGTGTGCTGGTGTGTGGCAACGGCAGCCTGAGCGACGATGTCCGCAAGGTGTGCCGGAGGCGACAGGCCACCTCCAATATTGACTACGTTGAGGAGAGTTTCTCCTGGTAACTTTAAACATATGTTCTGCACGCGTCTTGCATCGGAGGAAGACGAAATTTTTTGATGTTTTTTGTGCGAGAGCTCTCATGTCTTGGTCGCTGTTTCGGTTTTTTTTTTTTTTTTTTTTTTTTACTTTCTTACCTTCTTTTTTGGCTTACCTGCCTCGAATCCTTTTTTATCATTCGTGCTTGATGTAGAGTCATCCCAGCTCTCGGCCTGGGTACTTCTATATCCCTTTTCTGAACTCTTTCTGCCTTTGAAGGTGTTTTTATTTCTAGTACTTGGCTGTCTTCTTTCCCTTCGACTGCGACTCATCAGCTTTCTGATACTTGTGTCTGCCGTGTCTACGGAGAGTTGTTGTACATATCTTTCCTCCCTGCGAATGCAAGATATGGGGTGCTTTCTTGAAAACAAACATTTTTTTAATGAAAAAAAAAGATGTTGAGCAATATGATTCCATGTCATCTCACCGGTCGGGATGAAAAGCTAGTGTGCAACTACACACAGGAACACAGTCGAAATGTTTGATTCTTTTCCAGAGCCTCATATGCTTACTATGATTTCCATTCATGCGGACGCTAAAATTTCACGTTATATTAGTGCTTTTTTCCTCGGCTTGCCGTGCGCCCGCCTCCTTTGGGCCCCCATCCGGCCCCCTGTAATCTCGGTAGCAACTTGGCCAGGAAGGCCAAGCATTTAATACCATCGATTGCGACTAGAGGCGCTAATCATGCAGTCACTCCCGCATCTATTTGCCCATGGTAAGATCAAGGAACACTGCACATATGTTGCATTCGACGCACTTGAAAAGTGTGGATGCATCCCTAGCTATCTAATCACAGCGTATAGGCATAAAAAAGACGTTCAAAATATCGTTCCTTTCCCATTGGCTTTCATTCTCCTGGCCTTGAAGACGAGGTCGTTCCACTCGCATCGCCATGTTGGCCCCCGTGATTCGTGTGGACCCTCGAAAACAACCAAATAACAACCAACCAGCCCGAGATGTAAACATGCTGGCGGGGGCGTTGACATCATTGTCTCGCGCAGTTCTCCTATGCACACTCTTAAGTAATCGCACTCTTGGTTTTTGAGAAATCTAATCAACAGCGGACTTGTGAGTTCTGTTGTATTAGCCCCCGCATACTATTTCTGCAATTACCAAACACGTTGCATATAGAGCTACCTAGCGCTGCCAATCTCATACCATGGCAAACCAAAGCCCGACCGCGATTCTCATCATCCATGGTGCCTACCTCCTTCCCTCGGCCTGGCACATTCTGAGAACGGATTTTGCCTGGTCCCACCTGGCCGTTCGTTGTCCCCGCCTCCCCAGCTGTGGTGATGAACGGCCACAAAAGGCCACTCGAGACGATGACGTTGCTATCGTTCGTGCCGCCGCCAAAGAGCTTATTGATGGTGGACACAACATCCTCGTGCTGGCTCATTCCTACGGTGGCATGGTCGCTTCAGAAGCGATCACAGAAGATCTATACGCGAATGGCGGTCGTAAAGGCATCGTTTCCCTCGCCCTGCTCAGCGCCTGGCTCATTCAGCCAGGGGAATCACTCCAGGACGTGATCAAGAAATATGGATTCCAATGTAAAGTCGACCTAGGCCAGAATGAGGATGGAACGGTCTTTGTCAAGAATGCACCCGAGTCATTCTACAACGACATGGACCCCGACGCGGCAGCCGAACTCACCAGGGATCTCAATGTCACCTACAACCGGGTCGCTGCATCAGGTCAAATCACTGGAGCACCGTGGAAGGATATCCCCACGACATACATACACACCACTCGTGATCTTGCAATTATGCTGCCCCTGCAACAGTCCATGGTGAAGGATGCAATGGACGCCGGGGGCAAGGCCAGGTTCTCAACCGCAACGATTGATTCGGCTCACTGTCCTTTCTTGAGTAGACCGGAAGCTGTAATTCATGTTTTGGAAGGGGTGCTAGATGAGTTAAGCCGATGACTCGGATGTGTCCAGTGTACATAAACAAACATGTTATGATGTAATCGAGAAGTATATAACTAAGTTAGTTACCGACGGCTGCTAACTTTAACCCTGTACCTAGTAGTAACATAATATGCTTCCGACTCATCAAGTTTCGGAACCCATTCCCCCCTGCTTTGAGGGGCTCTGATTACATGGATGGGATTCGATCTATTATTCGGGCCTGGCTATTTGCGACTCGAGAAGACCCATTTTTTACGACCAATATGGCCCTATCCCCATCTCCGAATCGCGGGATGGCGGGTGCCCCGGACCTCACAGGTTAAAGCGCTTAAGTCCGTTCGCCGCGCCCGCATTTCCAATGGGTTTTCGGCCTAAATCCCCGGAGTCCGGGCCATCTCGATAGAACCACCCTCAATCCGTCGCCGTTTCTTCAGCTCGTCGTCTGGAATTTGCGAGTGGCTTCATCAGCTAGAGACATGTCACCAGAATTATGGATTCACCCGTTCGGCTTAAATCCGGTTCATGAACGATGCGATCTCGATTTCTGCGTCATGCAGACGTATATAAGCCGATCTTGAGAGCCACTGAAGTGTTCCAACCCACCAAAGACAAAATACGTTCTCCATCAAAAAGGGCGCATCCACTCCAACAGGGCTGCACTAATAACTTCATCATTTGATCATGTCTCTTTCTGGAAAGGTTGTCCTGATTACCGGCTCCTCTAAAGGAATCGGCAAAGCTGCTGCTCTTCGTGTAGCTAATGACGGTGCCAACGTCGTCATCAACTATCTCAATGATAAAACTGCCGCCACTAGTCTAGTGCAACAAATTGGCGATGATCGTGCTCTAGCTGTTCAAGCCGATGCCTCTCATCTGGCCGATCTCGATCGCCTTGTTGATGCCGCGGTCGCAAAGTTCGGCAAGATCGATGTCGTGATTCCCAACGCAGGAATTATGCCCATGAGAGATCTGGAGAAAACCACCGAGGAAGATTTTGACAAGACCTACAATCTGCTGGTGAAAGGACCGTACTTCCTCGCGCAGGTGAGTACCCACTACCAGACTGCTACTTTGTTTGCTGCTGTAAACCTTGGGCGTTAGAAATTAACCATCTTTGCAGAAAGCCGCGAGGCATATGCCGCCTGGAGGGAGGATCATCTTCATTTCTACTGGAGTTGCGCGCAACTCAAGAGTCGTACCCGAATACCTGCTCTATGTCTCCGCCAAGGGCGCTATTGAGCAGATGGCACGAGTCATGGCCAAAGATCTAGCGCGTAAGGGCATATTGGTAAACGCGGTTGCGCCTGGCCCCACCACTACGGAGCTTTTCTTGAACGGAAAATCGGAGGACGTCCTGAAGACTGTGGCCGGATTTAGTCCCTTCAATCGGATTGGCGAACCTGATGAGATTGCCGCTGTTATGGCATTCTTGTGTGGCAAAGATAGTAGTTGGATTTCTGGTCAAGTCGTGGGGGTAAATGGAGCTATGGCTTGATGTAATTGATATTGATAGAGCAGGTCTAGTTCTTAGTGATGCATAGCGAATTGCTTTCTTCAGGCACATCTTTGGATCGACGTCCAGTTTTCTTCGATGATCCAGCTTCCTCTACTGTTCTGTAGTCATTCCCATCATCATGATGTTCTCATCCAGTAAGCACTCGGCGTCGGGCTTTTGCTGACCCCGGGATGGAGGCATACTCTTGTTCAGGCATGCTCAAGGAGGAATCCAGCTTTCGCGCCAAGCCTAGGTGAGACATTACATAGCTTAACATGCCAATAAGTGGGCCCAAATTGCGCCTCTGTGGTGCCGTCATTCGGAGACGGAGAGATTTGGCGGGGCAAGATGAATAATTGCCCAACGCGGCAGAATGACGATTATAAATCCAAGTGGGGGAAGTTGAAGTTAGTAGCTTCTAGTATTTTGTGACCCGGACCCATCGATTTAAAAACATTGCAGATTCCGGCACGAAGCTCAGTCGATTCTACCATCTCCACAATAATCAGATAGTCGCATCACTGTCATCCAACATGAGTCAACCAAATATCACGCTTTACACGGCCCAGACGCCCAATGGAATCAAGATCTCCATGGCCCTGGAGGAATTGGGGTATGGAACCTAGTCGCATATAGTCAAACTAGCACTAACAGGAGGCCAGACTTCCCTACAAAGCCGAGAGGATCGATATCTCGAAGAACGTCCAGAAAGAAGAGTATGTGCCTCCACAGTCCCCTCTTCTGAGAGCTATCTGGTGAAGCTTTGAGTCTGATGATGTATTCAGGTGGTTTCTCAAGATCAACCCCAATGGACGCATTCCGGCCTTAACCGATACTTTTGCCGACGGTGAGACAATCCGTCTTTTTGAATCTGGCAGCATATTGCAATATCTGGCGGAGCAGTATGATAAAGACCACAAAATCTCGTACCCCAAGGGCACCCGCGAGTATTACGAGACCAACAACTGGCTCTTTTTCCAGAATGCCGGCCTCGGCCCAATGCAAGGTCAGGCGAATCACTTCTCCCGATATGCGCCCGAACGCATTGAGTATGGTGTGAACCGATACGTGAATGAGACCCGTCGTCTGTATGGTGTCCTTGACAAACACCTGGCCGAGTCCAAGTCCGGCTACATTGTCGGTGACCATGTCACCATTGCTGATATTTCAACCTGGGGCTGGGTGGCAGCTGCCGGATGGGCCGGTATTGATATTGAGGAGTTTCCTAATGTGAAGGCGTGGGAAGACCTTATGGCGGCGAGACCAGGCACAGAGAAGGGACGGCATGTCCCCACCCCGCACACTATTAAGGACCTGATCAAGGACAAGGCCGCCATGGAGAAGCATGCGGCTGAGTCGAGAGCGTGGATCCAGCAGGGAATGAAGGATGATGCAAAGAACAAAATTTGAAAAGTGTGACAAGATGAGATGTTAGCTTCGATACCATAATCCAACTATTTCCAGAAAATATCGACTCCATACCTGATTCATGGGGCCGATAAAGTCGGCAGTAAACCAAGTCGTAATGGGCTTATCGGCGTATCATATCACCGCCTTCTGAATTCGACGGTCTTACCCTTCCACCTGGATAACCCATCTCACCGCCTTGTTGAAATCACGTGCGTTGATTGCCACTTTTCACAGGATGGGAGCTCTTAACTTCCCTTCATCTCGAGGTTTCTCGCACCAACTAACTTGCCATATTCCACTTCAAATAGAAGCTATGGCTTGGCGCAACCAAGGGATCACAGGCTCCAACAACATCCCCCTGGGCCGCCGCCGGTTTACGGGTGAGGAGGAAGAAGATGAAAGTCGCACCGCGACTCCTTCTTCCATGCCCGATGGCCCGAAACGTGGCCGCAGCCCTGTTCGAGGTGAGTCCTGCCACCCACACCGTATGAAACTCTTTCAAAATCGATGCTAATGATGCGCGTCTTTGAAACAGCCGATCCTCCCGCGGATGGTGTTAAGAGGCGCAAGAAGCGTAACCGTTGGGGAGATCAGCAGGAGAACAAGGCCGCCGGTCTGATGGGTTTACCCACCATGATCATGGCAAATTTCACTAGCGAGCAGCTCGAGGCCTATACTTTGCATCTGCGCGTCGAGGAGATCAGCCAGAAGCTGCGGATCAATGATGTGGTTCCGGCTGATGGTGATCGGTATGTACCTTTTTTTTCACTTTCTCTTCTTCCCCCCGCTGGACTGGAATTATCTAACACTTAGCAGGTCTCCTTCGCCACCGCCGCAGTATGACAACTTTGGTAGACGTGTTAATACCCGCGAGTACCGCTATCGCAAGCGACTCGAGGATGAGCGCCACAAACTGGTCGAAAAGGCCATGAAGACCATTCCTAACTACCACCCGCCCTCTGACTACAGACGCCCCACAAAGACCCAGGAAAAGGTCTATGTCCCAGTGAATGACTATCCAGAGATTAACTTCAGTATGATAACTAACCCTCTAACTCCTAACTATCCCTCCACCATGTCTGCCATGACTCCTTGCTCGACTCGAGCTGACGAGACATTTCCTTTGATCTCCTCGGCCCGTTTCTTGCTAACCCTTGGTGCTTAATGCTGCACATTGCTAAATCTGTTTCACAATTACCGGATGACTAACACTTAGCTCTTTGCTATCTTTTTTAAAGTTGGCTTACTCATAGGACCCCGTGGAAACACTCTTAAAAAGATGGAGACTGAATCTGGAGCTAAGATTGCCATTCGAGGCAAAGGTTCCGTCAAGGAAGGAAAAGGTCGCTCTGACGCTGCCCACGCTAGCAACCAGGAAGAAGACCTTCACTGTCTTATCATGGCGGATACCGAGGAAAAGGTTAATAAAGCCAAGAAGCTGGTTCACAACGTCATTGAGACTGTAAGTTTCCATTGAATTCCGCTCTGAAAATTGAAATGTATGCTCAACGAATGTTGCAGGCCGCCTCTATTCCCGAGGGACAGAATGAGCTCAAACGTAACCAGCTCAGAGAGTTGGCTGCCCTCAACGGTACTCTTCGTGATGATGAGAACCAGGCCTGCCAGAACTGTGAGTCTTTCCCTTTCCTATCTGCCATGGTCTTGATAGCATTTCTAACGTTGTCTAGGTGGTCAAATTGGGCACCGAAAGTATGACTGCCCCGAGCAGCGCAACTTTACTGCAAACATTATCTGTCGCGTTTGTGGTAATGCCGGTCATATGGCTCGCGATTGTCCTGATCGCCAAAGAGGCAGCGACTGGCGCAACGGCGGCTATGGTGGCGGTGGCCGTGGTGCCCCTCGTGGTGCTATCGGCACTGGTGATGCTGTGGACCGTGAGATGGAGGTATGTTTCCTTTTTTTCTTCATACCGGGCTTGAAATTAAGATACTAACAAAATCATTAGCAACTCATGAATGAGCTTTCTGGTGGAGCTCCTGGAGAGAATCCACCTCGTCGTATTGAGGCTGGCCCCGATCAGGGTGGTTATCCTGATGATCGGGATGCTAAGCCCTGGCAGCGTGGGCCCCCCGCTAGCGATGTGGCTCCCTGGCAACAGAGAGCCCCGCGCGAGCACCGTCCTCGCGACGACTATGGCTCCCGTGATCACGGTGCCGCACCTCCTTGGGCAGCCCAGAGCCGCGGTGGTAACGACTATGGTTACGGATCCCAGGGTGGCCAGGGTGGCTACTCTGCTCCTGGCACCGCACCGGGTGCGGCTCCCTGGCACCAACAAGCTCCTCCCCCTGGCGGTCAGGCGCCTGGATACAACTACGGAGGCTATGGGGGTTACTCATATCCTCCCGGTATGGCTGCTCCGCCGCCACCTCCTGGGATGGCTCCGATGGGTGGATATGGTGGTGCTAACGACCCTCCTCCTCCGCCTCCTGTCGATGGACCTCCCCCTCCTCCCCCCAGCGATCAGCCTCCTCCCCCTCCCCCTCCTGCGTGAAACTGGGGAGCAGGGTCTGGATCCGGTTATTTTGAGCTTTTTGCGAGAAAAAGTCCTAGTTCATGGGGTACTTGCGTTTTCTAGGTTGTGATCAATGATACCGACGGGGATTGCCTTAACTTTGATCTTCTTATGTGGAGTGATAATTATTGCTATTTATTATTCGATACGTCTAGTGATTCTCGGAATTCCTCCCTTTACAGGACCCTGGATCCTGCAATCCTACCGTGTAAATTTCGGGAGTACATATGTAATACTACATAATCAAACTTAGTGGGAACTGGAACTTGTCGACAAAGTGTCAAACGTTCAAACCGGCTGTGCCTCAGGCCCCACATGCTCGGCTTGGCTCCATCACCAGCTCCCCGACTTTTTTTTCTCCCCTGCAAAGCACGCTCGCCTGTTCGTATATCGATTCTTCGATTATCAAACCGGTCAAACCCCCTTAGAGTTGGACTGCCTCGTTGAACCCCCCCCCCCCCCCCCCCCGCATTACACATGCACTGACCGCCAAACGCGGATTCATCCCTATCTTCGGATCCCAATATGCACGCTCCCGCCTCGTCCGCTCAGCGGAAACCTTCTTGGCAGTCCCAGCGTATATCGCCCATTCGCTCAGGCACGTCGGGCCATGCTATTTCCCTCCGCCATTCAGCTTCATCTGCCAGAGCCCAAGAAACCGCACCGCAAGAATCGCAGCCACGCCGCGCGTCGACTACCGCATCCGCGCAGTCGTCGCAGCCCAAATGGTGGCGGGTGCGCTTTTTTCGGGGCATGATTAAAGATGTGAAGCGAAGAGCGCCATTCTACTGGAGTGATTGGACCGATGCGTGGGACTATCGCATTGTCCCTGCCACTGTATATATGTACTTTGCCAAGTATGTGCTTCTCTCCCTCGACACGTGTTGCAACAACCCCGGATTTCCCTCTTCCAACTAGCCTTCTATTCTCTCTCGTAATCTCTCTGGGGGCAACGTAATTGAGTTGAATTGTCCATGCATGTCATGGCTCCTATACTCATGAATGCTTTAGTATCCTTCCGGCTCTGGCCTTCTCTCTGGACATGTTTGAAAAGACGAACCAGAGCTATGGTGTCAATGAAGTCCTGCTTGCCTCCGTCCTTGGCGCTGTGGTGTTTTCACTCTTCGCGGCGCAGCCATTGGTCATTGTTGGTGTGACTGGTGAGTTTGCTTTTTCTTGGCCATCGTGAATTCCTCAAAACGGGCGGACTAAGAATCTATTTAGGTCCTATCACTGTGTTCAATTATACTGTCTATGATATCATTACACCACGAGGCACGCCTTACCTTCCCTTCATGTGCTGGATTGGCATGTAAGTTGGCCTTCCCTGAATCTCGATCGACCTCTTATTGACCTCCTCTGTAGTTGGTCATTAATTATGCATTGGCTGCTGGCAATTGCAAATGCCTGTAACGCTCTGACTTATGTTACTCGCTTCTCATGCGACATCTTTGGGTTCTATGTTGCTTTCATCTATCTCCAAAAAGGTATCCAGGTCTTGACTCGCCAATGGGGCACTGTCGGAGAGACTTCGGCGTATCTAGCCATCATGGTGGCACTCCTTGTTCTGATGAGTGGATGGGTATGCGGAGAGTTGGGTAACAGCAATCTCTTCAAGCGGTTTATCCGCAAGTTTCTCGAGGACTATGGTACCCCTTTGACCATTGTTTTCTTCACTGGCTTCGTCCACATTGGCCACATGCGGGATGTTGATGTTGCCACTCTTCCGACTAGCAAGGCGTTCTTTCCCACTCTCGATCGGCCATGGCTGGTACATTTCTGGGATATCAATGTTGGGGATGTATTCTTGGCCATTCCCTTTGCGATACTTCTGACAATTCTTTTCTATTTTGACCACAATGGTAAGTGGCCCTACGAGTTCGTTAAGCCAGTATGTCTCGACTAAAATTAGTCTCCAGTATCCTCTCTCATTGCCCAAGGCACCGAATTTCCTCTTCGGAAACCCGCCGGATTCCACTGGGATCTATGGCTATTAGGTCTAACGACGTTTGTTGGCGGTCTTCTTGGAATTCCATTCCCTAACGGACTCATCCCACAAGCTCCCTTCCATACCGCTGCTCTATGTGTCACCCGCCAGGTGGCTGATGAGGACGATACAAACAAAGGAAAGGCCATCCGTATTACAGACCATGTTGTCGAGCAACGAGTGAGCAACTTTGCACAGGGACTTTTAACTCTCGGAACAATGACAGGACCGCTCCTCATTGTCCTCCACCTGATTCCTCAGGGTGTCATGGCTGGCCTGTTCTTCATCATGGGTGTTCAAGCCCTTCAGGGCAATGGCATTACCCAGAAGCTAATATTCCTTGCTCAAGACAAGAACTTTACACCGGCATCGAACCCTCTGAAGAGGCTTGAGCGCCGGACGGCTATTTGGGCATTTGTCCTCCTTGAATTGGTTGGTTTTGGCGCCACTTTTGCGATTACACAAACGATTGCTGCTATTGGCTTCCCTGTCATCATTCTCCTTCTGGTTCCCGTGCGGTCCTTCTTGCTTCCACGATGGTTTACCCGCGAGGAGTTGAGTGCGTTGGATGCACCCACTGCCAGCCCTTTCACCATGGAAAGTGTCGGCGGTACTCACGGCCTAGAAGGAGACTCGCCGGATGCGACCACCAGTGGTGCCGATATTTCTTCAAGCGACGGCAATGGCGTTCTGAGGGGGCGCCCTTCTTCTTCCTCGGACTCCGCCTTGGAAGACAATGACCTGGAGAGAGGAGAGTCATACGAACTTCGCTCGTCTGTTCGGAGACGCAGTACCACCAGCCGGGCGGATTAATTATTTGATGACTGTGGAGTTTGGTCAAGATCATGGCGGAGATTATGGAGGGATATTTCAGACTCTACATCCATTTGGACATAACATGCATATACTGAGATCCATTTTAAAATAAATGCGTTGCATACTGATCACCTTTACTACTAAATACTATATTCAAGTATAATAGTAGCGCAAACTGCCCCGCCAATTCTCGGAATTGCTGGTATGTATATTGAGCATCAGCGGTAGCCGAACGAAAGATGACGGTTCAAGTAGTTAAGGTTGTCAGACTATGATACTTTAAATATAATATCAGCCCACTCCTGGACCGTGTTTGGTCGAGCGAGTCTCAAAAGAGAATACGGTGGACAGTGTTAAGGATGAGACCTGTGCTGTCGCATAGACTCTAGTCAACTTTCATGGCTTCAACCACGATGCTCAGTTTTTGGTGGTCTCCCACCGTTCTCCTCGGAGCTAGGGGGTTTAATCTAGTAGTTCCCCAACTACCTGGGATTTTATCCAGAGGTATTTATCGACCGCTCCAAACATCGTCGGCCTGATTGACGTCACCTGATCTGTAGAGTGTCAGCTTTAGTGCCATATTTACAAGGCATTAAAATTTTCACCGCCAGATTGAGATCACTTTTTCTGCCGCAAAATTATTTGCCCAAGAACAAAGCAGCAAAGCAATGGCACCACCCAAAGCTGATCTCGAGTCTGAGGACTCGTATGCTTCGGATAACTCTCATACTAGCCAACCTGATATTCAAGACCGTGCAGCCAAGCGTCGCCGCCTCTCCCAGTCAGACGACGACGACGAGGAGTATGTTGCTCCAGCACCGCTCCCCGCTCTCTCTCGTATCAAGAAAAAGGATGATACTTCGAAGAAGCCCGAGGTCCCAGAGGAGGAGGTACCTGTGACGATTCGCGATGCACTTGAAATTGGATTACGCAGCGAGGCATCTACCTTTGGTGCCTTGGATGTCTCCCCATGGCTTGTTGGGTCACTGTCGACCATGGCCATTCGACGACCCACGGCCATTCAACAGGCTTGTATTCCCGAGATCTTGAAGGGACGGGACTGCATTGGTGGAAGCCGGACTGGTTCAGGTAAAACTATGGCTTTTGCTGTCCCGATCTTGCAAAAATGGTCGCAGGATCCATTTGGCATCTTTGCCTTGGTTTTGACACCGACCAGGTACGTTCATCTTGGGCCAAACTTGACGAAGATGAAATGTAAAGAATTTATACTAACTTGCAACCTTCTGTTTGATAGAGAGCTTGCGCTACAAATTTTCGAACAGTTCAAGGCCATCTCTGCGCCACAGAGCATGAAGCCCATTCTCATTACGGGCGGTACGGACATGCGCCAGCAAGCAATTGAGCTCGCATCACGGCCACACGTCGTCATTGCGACCCCGGGGCGTCTGGCCGATCACATCAAGACCTCCGGACAAGACACAATTGCCGGACTAGGCCGAGTGAAGATGGTCGTACTCGACGAAGCAGATCGACTGCTTGCCAGTGGACAGGGCAGCATGCTGCCTGATGTGGAAACCTGTCTCTCGGCATTGCCTCCCTCTTCAGAGCGTCAGACCCTTCTTTTTACTGCCACTCTGACAGCCGAAGTGCGGGCATTGAAGTCGTTGCCCCGCGCTGAGAACAAGCCTCCGATTTTCGTCACAGAGATCTCGACCGAGAACCAGGGCAACATCCCGCCGACTCTCAAGCAGACATACCTCCAGGTTCCCATGACGCACCGCGAAGCCTTCCTGCACGTCCTATTGTCCACTGATGAGAACGTCACCAAGCCTGTCATCATCTTCTGCAACCACACCAAAACCGCCGACATGCTGGAGCGCACGCTCCGCCGACTCGGCCATCGCGCCACCTCTCTCCACAGTCTACTTCCCCAGTCAGAGCGCACTTCTAACTTGGCCCGGTTCCGTGCTGCGGCAGCCCGCGTCTTAGTCGCCACGGATGTCGCCTCGCGTGGTCTCGATATCCCAATCGTTAGCCTGGTCATCAATTACGATGTGCCCCGGAACCCGGACGACTACGTCCACCGTGTTGGTCGTACTGCACGTGCTGGCCGCACTGGTGAAGCAGTCACGCTGGTTGGTCAACGTGATGTCGAGCTTGTACTCGCCATTGAGGAGCGCGTGGGGCGAAAGATGGAGGAGTGGGCCCAAGAGGGCGTTAGTGTCGAGGGCCGTGTGACTCGCACCGCAGTGCTGAGGGAGGTCAGCGCTGCCAAGCGTGAAGCTCTCGGTGAGATCGAAGAGGGTCGGGATGTACTCGGCCGGAAGCGCAACAAGTTGAAGAAAGTCCGGTAAAGCACATCTTTCTCTCTATATACTGTTCTGCGTACTTGATACCATGTTTAGAAGCATTGGAATTTTTAGCGTTTGTTTTCTCGTGAGATTTCTATACTTCAAAAAATAAAATAAAATAAAATAAAATAAAATAAAATAAAGTTCATTGAATCATTCACCAGAGAATAATTACCCCCTAAGCAATTCTTTGAGATATCACTTGTCCACTCATTTTCATTCCGACTGTTGTTCTCAGGTCTTGGGACAAACTAATGAAAAATTAAGGTAAAAAGGTGTAATGACTCGCATTCTCTGCGAGCGACATCCTATGAGAATTTATGTTTGGCTCGCTGTGGCAATGGGAGATTTAACGCCTTGAGAGGACACAAATGGTATCATTTATTGCAAAGGGGAAAGCAGCAGAATTCTAGAAAGACGCCGCGCATGTCCAAAATTAAAGTGCCCATGTTTAGGGGCCCGAGGATAAAGCCTCAATGCAATGGTAGTAAAAGAAACATGTTCGTCAGAGCACACCTCGTCATATCCAGCCATGCACAAGTTGTGGCAAAGCAATTGTTTGAGAATTTTCACACGAATTTCCATATAATTCGACCTTCATCAAGGCTGTATGGACAGGTCACGACGCGTCACAAGCATGGGATTGCGTGGTTAGTAGTGGCAAGCATTATCCACTCCATGCATCCGGGTTGTCATGCCTGTCCGAGGTGCTCATCAATTTAAGCAGCCCGTCTACCGCGTCGCCTCTTTGGGACGGAGACAAGTCGTCATGTGATGCCGGATCTCCCTCGGGTTCTGCTCCGTCCACCAATTCTCGACTGCGACTTTGGCGGACTGTGGCTGGAGGGCTGCTCAATTGCATGGGGGATCCCAAGGTGCGAGGAGGGGTGCGGTGCCCGGTCTTTATGGAGTATGAAGTGTGCATCATGACTGATGGTCGTGCAGGAAGATCGGGCGTAGATTGGAAAGGTGTCGAGCTCAAGTCTGCAGCCGAGCCAATGCGCGGGGTCTTCATCTGAGAAGGTGTGACGGTGAGGGCTTTTCGGAAGGACATGGGAGAAGAAGAGAGCGCGGAGAAGGAAAGACGAGGGCATTTGCGGCTGTGGGCCTCGAGCTCGGAGACGCGTCGATCAATCTGGTGATCGGTCACATTACGCATGGCGGTTTGTAGGGTATTTCGGAGGAGTGCGGCTTTCTGGAGTATCATGGTTAGAGAAGTGCGGGCAAGGCATGCAAGACAGGTATGAGCCCCGCTTACTTCTTGAATGAATATCTTTCGTGCATTGGGATCTTCAGGGATCGAGGATGTTTCTGAGCACTGCGACGCGTTAGGGGATCGGTCGGGGTCCATTTGATCCCGCTGGTCGCGTTCTGGTTGTGATGATGGGGTAGCGACGCGGACATCCAGCGCGTCCGAATCATGATTCAACTGTCAAGCGACATCTCAATTAGCCAATTGCTTTCAATTTGACTCAATACTGCCGTCAACACATCTGGGCTACATCCACAGTAGCTTACCTCTTCGCTGTCAGGTGTCATGGTGGCTTGAAGGCTCTCGTCGTGGAGGCCCCGCGGCTGCTGCCCGTGTCCATTGTTTTCATCGGTCTCATCCACCTGTTCTCTCGTCCGTTTTTGGCCTGCAAAGATTGGCGAGGGAAGTAGTTTCTTTGGCGAAGCTGCCATGAACAGCGTCCGTTTCACGGGAGTTCGGGCATCCGGGAGGATCTGTTTGCCATGATGGGCGGGGGATATGCACGCGTTGGAGTTTTTTTCGCCCAGGATCCGGCGTCCATCCTTGATGGGACTGAATAAGACCGAGGCCTGCTGCATTTTTACAATATGCCGGGAAGTCACCGGGGTGTTGGGGGGATGAGTGAAGGTCGACAGATGTTGAGAATCGAGTACGTCCACAGATACCGCGGCGCGGGGAAGAAAGTGGGCGTGTGGTACGTGGGGATGTAGAAGGCTAGGCCCAGGATTCAAGCAGACCACGCTCAAAGGGAAGAGAGGCAAGAGTGATAAGGGAGAAGAAAAGATTGAGAGAGTTGGGCTGTTACTCGCCAGGTGAAGGGATTGAAACGAAAAACGGGCGCGTCAATCGCGTATAGTGTGTGCCACGATACCTTACTAGCTCTGTATAGAAGCACGGACACGGGCTCCACAGCGTGGTCGTGTTGAGCACGCGTCCACGGGTTGCCCTTCTGACCCTAATGTCCCGTCGTGCCCTCTGCAATTTTAGAGGTCCGTGTCAGAACGCGGAATTCCCACTCAAAAACAGGGGTTGGGGGGTAAATAGGGTTTACAACTAGAATCTAGAGACCTGTGAAATCGACGCCGAAAATGACAACCTTTGCATCCAAACCCGACCCCCTCTTCTTTTCGCCCAGCTTGGCCGGGCGCCTATAACATGCAGCGTCCGCCCTCTCATCCGGAGACTTTGTACACTCTCCTCTCCTCGTCCCGACCCCGTTGCCTCAACCGACCTTGAATCACAGGCCTCTGATCACAGAGTCTAAACCTTGGTCCCTGTACCCGATAGCTCCTATAGCTGTTCGAACTTTACCCCCTGCTCAAGGAAATAAGCATTAATTTTGGGCCGATCCTATCCTTTGCAAGGAAACGCGAGCTAGACTGAAATATTCTCGTAGTCTTAGCCTTCCTCCAAATTTCAAGCTAAGAATGCTGATAGGAATTGCTGTAGTCGAACGGTACTAGCGGAAGTAGGTACACCCTTAATAAAATACATGCCTCGTGGAGAATAATATAGAATGGGTATTATATTCCATCAAACCAGGACTACGTAGACTATCTTCTACCAGAAGATCAAGCAATTTATATGAACCTTTTCGACTAGATTTCTAAGACGTAACGTACCGAAAGCAAAATTCAAAGTCGCAAAAGATAATTAAGACTACGATGATACATTGTTTGCTAGATACCTCAGACGGTCAAGACTCCTGCTTGAACAATCTTTTCTGCCCCAAGAACGACTTCAATTTTTCTTTATCCGCAATTCGGTTTCTGTCGGCCACTCCAATCAAATGCGCTGTCGCTTCGATTTGGTTTTCCTTACAGAATTGCTCAATTGTTTCATTGTAACACAGTTCCACCACAACTTCTGCGGCAAGTTCAGTAGGAGGAAGCTCCGATAGCTCAGCCTTTCTATGGAGAATCAACTCCTTAAGCTGAGAAATTCGCTCTTGCTCGGGGTCAAACGGTAAATCTAGTTGCATAGATTTGGAGATTCTCGAGACTGTTTGCTTGAAGAAGCCTGCCAGGATGATGCATCTGGATTCATATTTCCACAAGTCGGCGTCTTGCCAAGTGTCCCGCGAAAGAAACTTTGCAATCAAAGACTCCAGCGCTCGCTCAACAAGCCAAATCGTGAATGAGCGATCACCTAGCTCGATAACCCCTCTCAGGATGTTTTCAGTAACGCCGATCGGCCCATACCGATGCTCGATAACTTTCATTACGTCCTTAGCGAAGTATGTTTGCGTTGCGGCTACTAAAACATCCTCTGTGATATGTAAATCACTTCCTCGAGCCTCCAGCATCACACGCATCGAGCGATCGTTATTTGCAGCAGCTATGAGGGCCTTCTCAGTAATTGGTGCATCTGACTTCCAGGATAGTAAACCGTCCAAAGTGTAGAAGTTGATCGCCAATGTTTCCACCACGGCTTCGTCAATGCTAACGAGATTTCGCTCCAGAAGCACTTGTAGGTTCTCTCTAGACAAAGAACGGTCGTTCCAAGCATAACGATTAAAGTCCGCAATCCTGCGTAGCATTGACTCAATAGGTAGATTGTTCTGGCGTCGATTCAGGAGTGCTACCATGGCAGTTTTGTTTTCACATGCCTCTTCAAAGACCTTGTCAGTCAGTATACTAAGGGGCGCATCTTGCAGAAGCATTTCAGGAACTCTGCGCCATGTTCGGAATTTTGAACGGCTGCAACAGCAGCAGATTCTGTGACTGGAAGAGGCTTTAAGATTGCTATAGAGAACCTAAATCTAGCGAACGATACTATTCGCAAGATTAGGGAAGCTCAACAACTACTACAGCGCCCAATCACTAAGCGCTAGGTTAAAACGCCGCTTAGCAAAACAGGGGTACTCTCTATTAGAGATGTAAATCGTTCTATTGCTAAAAGAAATAAGAAGGAAGCGGAGGCAGAGCGGAAGCGGGTAAGGACGCAGTGGAAGAAAGCGTATAGAAAATCACCACCACCAGATCCTACACAGGAATCCCAGGCATCATTGGATAGAGCAGAGGAAGCACGTCAGAACGGGCTAGGTTTCTTTATAGATACTAGTGGTATGCAGTAGTAGATAGGGGAAATAGGAAAAATGTTGAATCTGTGTGTGGTGTTGAATCTGTGTGTGGTGTTGAATCTGTGTGTGGTGTTGAATCTGTGCGTGGCACACCCACAACGCGGAAGCGGTGTGGGTGGGCGGAGACACTGCTAGTGAAATACGTTGTACCTAATTTAGGGGTATCGGTAGAGTCGTGTACGACCACTTCACGATATCAAATTAGTGAAATTAATTATATAGGTAGGATATCTTACTAAAGGTCTCCACGAGAAAGGCACACGTGATCAATTGGCAATCTGGTTGATCGTGTTTGTTGTGATTCTTTGCGAACGCGTGGAATCTATGGTATCTGATATCTAAATTCAATGGTCAAGACGCGTAGATTCCTGTTGAGACGGCTTCAGGTGCCGTTTTGACTTTAGTGACGCGCGGGTGTTTCCCAATCGAACCGCAATCTAGGGCTTCAGTTACTGGTCTCAGAAGTTCGTTCACTCGACCCCGTCGAACCAAACCAAACCAATATTAGATATCGTTCGTAGTCCAATAAACATAATGTCTGGATTATCATTTGATTGTCGGGAGTAATACGGTTAATTTACATTGACCCGCTATATGGTGAAGGAGGTGCTATAATGATCCTATAGCCGCATGTAGTCGCTGAACTTGGATGGGCTGGCATGTCCGAATAATATATATAGCTTTCAGCACAAATATCAACCTCCCAAGTCCTTTGATGATTTTCATTGACCAGAAGGACTCATCTATAATATGGCTCCATAATAGACATCGATCCATATTGACCGTACCAGATACCTCCAGCTGCGCTGTGTCCTGTAGAATCGCCGATCGGAGCTGTCTCCGCATGACGTCATCGGGGATGGGAAGCCTCGAGGACCAGCGAGCAAGTCGGATCATATAGATCCTGAATCTCTTATCCCATTTAGAGACTCTAGCGGTCACTCAGCACAAAGTACCACCGGGCCACCAATCCTAAAGCTTTCCCCGCAATTCCCTCCCCCCGAACTGCAGGCGAACCAAGTCTCCAGTCGATCTCGATCTTGGCTGAGCTGACTGACCCTGGCCCCCCCCCGCGCCGCATTTCACATTCCCTCGGTCCCCTTAAGTACACCTTTCTTCCTCATCGCTACATACCTTCATTTGGACTCTGGTTATACTGTTACAAGTACTGCTATCATCACTGCCGTTCCTTGGAACCAAGCCGTCACGATGCAGCTACCACTAGCCGTCCTAGCTACGGCCTTGGCGCAGGCTGCCGTCTGTGCCGCCTCTTCCCTCACTCCGCCGGCTCTACCGTTAATTGTGCGAAACCCCTACCTCAGTACTTGGCTGGGAGGTGCTCGCAAAGCTCCCTGGACCAAATGGCCCATTTTCTATACTGGACAGGAAGTGGGTCTATCTTTGATGGCCCATGTCCCCAGCCAGGGAACGGTATACCCACTAGTGGGCAAGCCACAGGACTCCCTGGCCTCGGACATAGGGTGAGACAGACTCGGGAGCTCTTGAGCGTTTTCTTGCTAGATACCAAGATAAATTTTAACGAGGAATAACAGGTACAATGTAAAATATCCCGAATATCTTGGACATAACTACGATGCCTCGACAACCAACTTTACCTATCATATTGACACTGGGTCCTCCAAGCCTCTACATATCACCGTTTCGTTCCTCTCGCCTATCACTCCAACATCGACTCTGCGGCAGTCGATCCCGGCCTCCTATGTGACAATCGACGTCCATGGTTCGGTCGATGTCGATGTGTATATGGATGTGGATGGGCGCTGGGTAAGCGGAGACGATGGAAGTCGTCTTCACTGGGAGCGGGATTCTGTGGAGGTCGAAGACGCAACGACGAAGAAATCCGGTCTTCAAAGATGGCAGCTACGACGGGAGTCGGAGCTTCTGCTATCTGAAATCCGCGACCGCGCCGAATGGGGTACTCTTCATTTTACTGGCCCAAGTGTGAGTGGCATAGTGACACGATTTCGGGAACCAGTCTGACATTCTAATACTGGCCTACATAGGATGCCCACTTTGAGTCTGGCGAGGCATCAAAGGTGCGACGGCACTTCGCCAGCAACGGAGCCCTGCGAAACAAGAATGATGACCAATTCCGGGCCATTCGGGACCGGTCGCCTGTTGTCGCATTCTCCAAGTCTTTCAAACTTGGGCACGGGCAGACATCAGACAGTGTCACATTCACTGTCGCTCTCATTCAAATTCCCGTGGTTCAATATGCTGCCGCTCGTGGACTCACCCTGATGCGTCCGCTGTGGGAGTCGTGGTTTCCCACCACTGAGGAGCTGTTGACTTTCCACTATCACGATTATGCTGCGGCCAGTGCTCTAGCTTCCAATTATTCGGAACAAGTGGCCAAGGATGCGTATCTTTCGGGCGCCGACGACTATGTCGATATAGTTGCGCTTAGTGCACGCCAGGTTATGGGCGCTACCACTTTCTCCGGCACCCCGGATAACCCTATCCTGTTCTTGAAGGAGATTTCGTCCAACGGCAACTTCCAGACGATCGATGTCATTTTCCCTTCCTTCCCTTTCTTCTTATACACCAATCCGCGATGGCTCGCTTATCTATTGGAGCCCTTGATCGAGCATATGTTGAGCGGACAGTATCCCAACACCTATGCCATGCACGACTTAGGCACCCATTTCCCTAATGCCACGGGACATCCCGACGGAAACGATGAGTATATGCCGGTAGAGGAGTGTGGCAATATTCTGATCATGGGCCTGGCGATCGCCAACTCCCTTCAGTACGAGGACAGCTCTGAGGCCTCCTCTATCTGGGCCGCCCAGGGTTCCCCACGTGCCGCCTTCTCCACCCTATCGTCTGGTCTATTCCCTCTTGACGACCTCCAGGTGAGGTCGGGCATCGCCCACCAAGACAGCAAATGGGGCGGTGGCGTACATGGTCAGCGTCTCGCAAAGAAATGGGTGCAGCGCAGCTACCGTCTTTGGAAACAATGGACCGGATATCTGGTCGAATTTTCCCTGGAGCCGGCCAACCAACGTGAGTAACGAAGCACATATCTTCCCTTACTGGCCGAATGTTCACAATTCTACAGTGTCTACAGATGACTTTGCCGGCTGGCTGGCGCTCCAGACCAATCTAGCCCTCAAGGGCATCGTTGGCATTAATGCCATGAGCAAACTCGCCGAATTGACCGGACACGACTCAGAGGCCTCATACTTCAAGGTATGTACAAGCAGCAACGCTCCCTTCTTTCAAAGAAACTAGCATAGCTCTACAGACTTAACACTTTGTCTAGGACATTGCCGACAAATACATCGCTAAGTGGGAGGAATTTGGCATGTCGCGCGACGGCACGCACGCCAAGGTCGCCTACAACTGGTACGGCTCATGGACGACGATCTACAACCTCTACGCGGATGCCCAGCTCTGCTTCCACCTCGACGGCACGGACACCAAGCCTGGCTTCGTGCCGCGCCACATCTACCAGAAGCAGTCACTGTGGTACCACTACGTGCGGCAGAAATATGGGCTGCCGCTGGACAGCCGGCACCTGTACACGAAGACGGACTGGGAGTTCTTCGCGATGGCGGTGGCCTCCGAGCCCGTCCGCGCGGAGATCCTCGAGTCTGTCGCGCGTTGGGTCAATGAGACTGTCACGGACAAGCCATTCACGGACCTCCACGACACCGAGGGCGACGGCAACTTCCCCGGCGTGACGTTCTTTGCGCGGCCGGTGATCGGCGGCCACTTTGCGTTCCTGGCGCTGGAGCGGGCGTGTGGGGGGCGGGCCATGGCGGGGCTGTCGTTCTTGAATGAGGTTGATGGGGAGACGGAGCGGGCCTGGGCGAAGAGTGCGGAGGCTGCGGTGGCAGAGTTTGGGCGACCGTGGAGGCTGCATTCTGGGGATGATGAACTGTGAGCTGTGAGCTGTTAGCTGAGATTTGGGGGAAGTGGTGCTTGGCTGCTGGTAGGTTGCGTTAGGGGTTGAGTGGGAACGGAGCATTGTCCTGTCTTGCTTGGGAAGGAAGGGCTTGTTCATAGTTCCTGTCGAAGTCAGGCTGTGTTTTTCATACATGGCCTATATATAGCGCATTTGCTTCTAGTATGCGAGTAGCTATCTCGAATGAAACGATCTAGGCTTCCTACACCCACAGAAAGGATCGAGATATACCTCACATTGTAAATGAATGAGAGCCAGGTAAAGTGGAGGCGGCTGCCAGAAGACTTACCCGGGGGGTTGATATTGACTATCACCAAGACCCAAGGACTAACTAGATCAGATGGAATGATTTCATTGCGTTCCTTGTTTTGTTTCTTTTATTTTTTTCTCTTAAAGCCAGACTTCTGGATCGGATCAAATTACGCATGGGGCCCGTTTGAAGTTCAGTTTCATCCAATTCACATTTGCACACATCCACATCCGAAGTTAAAAAAAATTGGTCAAGAGCACACAACACACAAGAACCCCGAGATTCCCTCTCCACGCTCGATCTCATCCAACACGAGAAGAAAGGTAAATCCCCAGGGGGCACTAAGATTTTTTTGGGAAGAGGCGCATTCCCTGGAACATAGAATGCGACTCATATGACCTGGCCCCAAACCGGTTCCTCTTCTCCATTCGACTGCAGTCGGCAATCTACTCAAAACACTCACGGAATCTTGAAAACTCAAGAGACCGCGCGTGAACACGAATGAAAAAAAAGACCCATCAGCGTCATAACCAGAGATTGAAATTGCGATTGAAAGTTTTCCCATGGACGACTTAGAGCGATAGATAGGGTCGATTCTCGATGGTGTATTACATCACCGCCAGAGAACGGGCGAGAGAGATACGAACACAGACAGAACGCGGAAGAGAAAATGGCTGGGAACAGAACATAGAGCAGGGAAGCAGTCTTGCGGGGCAGCTACCTGGCACCCGTCGAAAGCGCTAGGGGCAAAATTTTTAGTTGCCGCCCAGGCTGGGGAAGTTCTTCTCGTCGACGGTAGGGCCAGCACTGACGGGAGTGTTGGCAGCGCGGCCGCGAGGAGTGGTGGGAGTGCCACGGGCACCACCGCGGGGAGCACCACGGGCAGGGCGGTCGCCACGGGGAGCACGGCCGCCACGGGGGCCACCACGGCCACCGCGGGAGGAGGTAGCGGGCTGCTCGGAAGTGTAGCGGATGTCGACATCGAGGAAGTTCTTCTCCTTACGCTGCTTCTCGCGCTGCTTCTTCTCCGAAGTGCGCTGGAAGTAATCGGACTCCTCCTTCTTCAGCTCAACAGCAGAGGCCCACTTGGAGTCCTCGACGCCGTCGTTGGCAACACGAACGGGCTTGGCAGCGAGGCTGCTCTTCTCAGCCTGCTCAGCCAGGTAGGCGCTGAAGGACTTGGAGTTATCGGGCTCCTCCTCCTCGGCGGGAGTCTGAGGCTCCTTCTCATCGGATTCGGCGATCTTCTCACCAGCCTGCTCATCGGCTAGGTTCTTGTCGCCGGACTCACCACCCCAGCCCTGCTGGACCTGCTTGCGGGTGTCACTGAGATGGTCATTAGTTTTGATGTTTCAACTATTTCATCCAACCATGGTCCTTCTCTCCAGACTGTGGCCCATTCAAACACATGGGTATGTATATAGCCTTCTCACTCATATACCATCCACTGTTGATGATGGGGAGGGGGGTTAAGAGAGGATGGCTTACGTCTGGCCAGTGCGGGACTGGCGGTCACCGCGGGGGGCACGGTTGCGGCGAGGAGGCTGCTCGGCCTCATCAGTGGGCTTCGCACGGTTGTTGGCGCGGCCAGCGTTGCGGTCACGGAAGGCTATATATCCGGAGTTTATCAGCTCCATGCCACGCATATTATCTCTTGCCCCTCCAATCGTTCAACACATACCACCATCGTTGCCAGCGGGGCCACGGCCACCACGGCGGCCAGAGCTGGGCTTGGGAGTGGTGACGGGAGCCTCCTTGGGGGCATCACGCTTGCCAATGCGGTCGGAGGGACGGTCGACAGCCCGGGCGGGAGGGGGGCAGGTCTGGAGGGGTCGAGCTCGGGATCGTTGCCTGTAAACAAAAAGAATCCATGATTAGCGGCTGATTGAATTGAAAGAACTGGATTGTTGAGTGATGCTGGAGCGAGGAACTCCATTCCGCCAGAATCCGCCACAGGGATTGCATGAATTCCAACGCAACACAAAACGACCAAGGGTAAGCAAAAGGGTGGATATTACCAAGAAGCTCATAGAGGTTCTGTTACCGAACAAAGAATCATGCCAAACACACGTTAGCCATTGCCTCCGGGGTGTACCATGCCTGCGCTGAGCTTGATGAAGCTGGGAGGCGGACAGGCAAGCTCTCCCCAGGTTGTCCTCTGTTCAGCGTACCTTGGACCGGACGTCCACCATGACGCCTGGTGTTGTGAGTCCTTCCGGGCGGGAAGGCGCTCGACTGTGAAAAAAGGGGTGTGGAAGGGAGGGTGCACACAAGGCAGAACCTTCAGCAGATCCGGCCTTTATGAGGGATGATGAAGCGGGTTGATCGTACCGGGTAACCGAGATGTCGAAGGGAAAGGAGGAGAGGTTTGTGGTGCATCCCGAATCCGGTAAGGCGCCATTTACTAAGCGAATCAGGCTAGGGCTTAGGGTATCATGGCGTCACTGGCGGAGCATCGGCATCATACATTCAACACTTCCCATTGCGACAACGACACGAGAGGTTGTACGGTTCATACGTAGTAGAGTTCACACATTTGGTACAGTTCATAAATTGGCAGCTCCTTACGTGGCTCGTTGCCAAGAGTCTCTCAGTCACTCGTACAGGGCCATGCAACTCAATTGACAAAACACAATACATTTCCCTACCACGGTATTCCCTGGTATCAAAATTCCCCAATCAACGCCGGGCAATGCTCAACAAAAGCACTTTTGGAGGGCATGAGATGAAAAAAACAAATATAGTTTTGAAACAGAAGAATGATACCATCAACCGCTGATACCGATTTATTTTTCCTCCTTCCCATCTCACTCACTGTGTCATGTAAAGCGAATATCATTCAATGGCGAGAATTGTTCTGCTCATAGTTAAACGGAGTGGGGAAATGCATACTGGCACTGAGGCCGAAAGGGTCCGCGTCCAGCATGGGCTCATATTGGCCCAGGAGATGGTTGGCACTGGCGTAGTCTCCGGGCGCTCCGTCCCCGCCGGGCGGTGGGTTGAACCCGGACAGGCCCGAGGCAACTGACTGCGGTGTGAAGCCCGGGACGTAGGACGTATTGGCAGAACTTTCATGGTCCTCGTCCACTAGATCGGCCTGTGCATCGTATTCTTGTTCTAATCGTGTTCCGTCAGCATTCTAGTCAATTGGACGATGGGTTGACTCAGGGACCAAGACGAACTTACCAAGTTGGTCGTAATGTTTCTGGAAAGGAGATGGGTAATAGGCCGCGGCAACGCGAGCAGCACCACGAGGACCCCGAAGCTTCGCATCCGTGGGATCAGTCTGCGGCATACTGATCGCCGGAGGAGAGGTTTGGTTGCTAAAAGCTCGGGGCTGCGGGAGCAACTGTGGACGTCCAGCGCCCTGAGCCTCCACTCCGACGGGGGACATGCCCTGAAAGCCGAAGCCTGGAGACTTGGCATGGGACGGCGAGGAGACATGGGAGGTCGGGGTGGCCTGGAACTGGGGCGAAGAGACCCCATAGGCACCATCGCGCTGTGATAGACCGAACGCATCGGGCTTGGAGGCCAGGCCGGCCGAATGTCTTTGGACAGAACGAGGTCCCGTCGGCCCCGGGGCGGTTTTGGGAGGCCCTGGATTTGCCTTGGCCGCTCCGGGGGCGCCGGTTTTCAGCCGTAACTCAGCTTGTACATCAATGCCTGGATAGAAAGCATGGGTCAGTCGTGCTAAGAGAAGGGCGCAAAGGGTGGAAAGGACGAAGAGCGGACCTTTTTCTAGTAGGATGCGTTCCAGCAAGGAGTTTTTATACCGCAGCATCAGGCATTCATCCGCGGCGCTACGATGACTCTGCTGTAGGCTCTGCAGTGACTCTTCATTACGCTTGATGGTAGTCTCGAGCTGACGGATGTACTCTGTACGACGTTCTCGGAAGGCTGCCTGCGCCTGACGGTTGCGCTGTTTGCGCTCCTCCGAGGTGGCATAGATCTAAGATAACGAATGAGTAAACTGCCACAAAATCTAAACAATGAAACTCGAAGAAAAAGCAAACATTGCCGGGGGGGGGGGGGCTTTTAGACGGTGGGGGAGCGGGCAGGCACATGGGAAAGGAAGCGTTGGTTGGGAGAGAGAGGAATGCGGGGCCCCGGATTAGTGCATCAGATCAGATGCAATCACGAAGAAACGCCGAACCACCCCCCATCGCAACCCTCCCATCTGGATCATTCACGTACCGGTTTGCGGCCACCTTTTCGTTTCTGAGTCTGGGCTGGATCCTGCGTCAAGGGCTCTGCCTCGGCATCGGGGGTTGAAACCGTCGAGGAGATGGAACCATCCGGCAGCGGCTCGGACTTGGGGACAACGGAGTCCATGACCGTGTCATTTTGATCGGGATGGGAAGCGGTCTCGACCATAGAGACCATTGGAAAGAGACACGGGAAATTGCTGTTAGGGAAATAATGGAGAGATTGTGGTTTCTCTTGTCTTTTTTTTGGTTTTCTTATTCTTTTTTTTACCCATCCAACGACATTCGCAATGGCCCAGTTACTGGGACGCGCAGCAACGCCGGCGGGCAGGCGCAAGCACCTTCAACACAGTCCCGGGCGTGTAGAGAGGGAGGGCCAATCTGACCTTCTCGTCTGGAATCCGATGCTGCGACGACCTCTGTGCAGGCGTCTAGGCTATCTCCCCCCGCCGAACCACGGGCTTTGGGAACCGGAGGGCAAGGACAGGGCAACCGGGTCAGGCCACAGACGCAGGAGACGCGCGGCTCGGCGGTTAGCAGGGGACGTGCGAGGAGAGGCGAGAGAGTGACATAAAAGAAACGGTAGATTATGAGAAAGGAAGAGTCAGAGAATTCGAGATAAAAGGAGGTAGCGGGGGAAGAAGGGAAGAGATGAGGTAAAAGGATTGACTAAACGAATAAGACGGTCTTCCGCTGGGTCTTGTTGGCGGGTCTTGAGGGTCAGACGAGGGCAAAACGAGCCCCCTCTTTTTTTTTTCTCGTTTCTTTTTGGCTCGCCTCTCGCGACTGGGCTGTTATTATTTTTTTTTCTCCTCTGTTGCTCCACCTTCGTGAGTGGCCGCCTCTCGGTGACGGCACGGGTCCACCCACGGCCGCATGGTTGGTGGCCAATTCGCCAGGTCCCCCTCTAGCGTGTCGTACGGGCGATCTGGCCGTGGAGAAACAGCAAGAAAAATTCGAACGGGCGCAGCCGGCTTCCGCGGAGAAGGGGTAGTGGCCTGCCGACAGCTGCCTATAGGCACCTGTAGGCTCCTGTAGGCCTATAGGAGGCAGTTAGGGGGTGGGTTTGGGCTGCAAGTCATGGATCATTTGGGGGGGGGGGGCAGGGCTGGGCTTCGAGGGCCCCCTCGAACCATTGAATAGAACGGAGTATACAATATATCCCGATGTCCACCTAGCTACCCAGACGAGCCACCCTACACACTCCTCCCGCAAAAGCAAAAAAAGCCCCCAAAAGTACGTACCAGAGCAACAGTCAGAACGCGCCATGCTCGAAACTGCAAAAGACACGAGGGGCGACTTGGAAAAACCAGAGGCCGCATAGCCGATACCGGGGCGAACCGAGGGTCGCCTCCAAACCTCCAACTGCCCCAAACCTACTTGGGCCAGTTGAACCAACCTTTAACCACCACAGGCTTGGCCTCAGCCCAGCCTGTGCCCCCTCCGCAAAGCAACGCTTCGGCGCATTCCGCGCCTAGTCCCCCTTCCACCGTGGGGCTAACAGGGCCGGCTTCAGGGCAATTGCTGGATCCTGCCATTTTTCTGTCGTCATCCGGTTCCTGTACCTAATGGCCCCTCTCCAAGTTCCCCTCATCTCTAGGCGCATCCTCCCCCCGTGTACTCCGTACTCCGCATCCCGTATTTCGACGATGTATATGCACTCATGTAGACCACATGATGTCGGGTGGGGCTTTTCTATCCTGGCTGCCGCCGCTTTTGTAAGGGGGATTCCGCGGGCTCAGGCTCAGTGAGTAGATGTCAGCACGGGCTCAGTCTCCAGTGATCACACCAAAAGCGAAGTCATGTGAGCAATGACTAATACTCGGTGGTCCCTCAGTGATCCCGTCGTATTGTATATAGTAGCCCTACTTTCCTTTTCGTGATTAGTGTATTACTGAGCAACATAGTGAGACATGCTAACCACTCATAGGAGCGCATCGGACATTGCCATCGCTCATACTCGACCTGTGAAACGTCGACAGTAGGCTTATGGGATATAATAGTAATAGAAGTCGAAAGATTGAAGGCGTGTACTGAAGTTAGTCCAGACTTCAGGGAGTCAAAACTGCAAACCTACCTTGGACGCCAGTTGGGCGACTCCCAGCCTTGTAGACCTCTGGCTGAGTATCTAAGGCTAGGTCCATAGCCAGAAGGATTCGGTCAAGACCATATACTGTTGATGGAATCAAAATCTATTCCCTATTCTTATTGCTTTATGAAACTTATCCTATTTCTCTTTTTACAATCGCTTACATGGGAGTATACGAGACAAGATCTATACACTTAGCGAAACTACCTAGCTCCACGAGTATGGGTCATGATTGGGCAAATTGTCATATTTGAAAATTAAAATCAAGCTGTTGCATTCTCTGCAAAAGGTGAGATCCGTTTCCAACTAGTGTCTACACCCGTCAGCCCGTTACGTATGTTGATATCTTTTAGGCATCAGTATTTCGTTTTGATCCTCGTTGATTGGCACTAAACACCAGCCAAGGAGATTTCAAGATCTTCAATCGAGAAGTGTACATATTACATCCAGAGTCATCCATCTAGGCTAGGTGGTATGACTTGAAGTCTGATATATTATGGAGGTAGAAATCTCGCAAGTCGGCATTCTGTTCCTTTGCTTTCTGTCAAGCCGCCTTCTTTAACCAGCCAACTGAAGCAAGAGCTCGCTTCAAATTGGAGCCTGTCACCCAAGCATGAATTCCATATTATAGAAATAGTACCATCTCATGCACGTATAATCCGGGCTTCTCGAGAAGATGGTCACACAGAGTTTGTATCATCGGCGGCGGACGCGAGTTGATGAAGCCCTAAAATTTTCGGACAGGCGAAGATTACTGCGAAGACTGATTATCGAAACCTCGCAGCACTTAGTAGCCGCGGCAATCTGTGACGTGGTCAAGGATTCGCAATCTATCATATCGCAAATCATCTCTAGCTTGGACGAAGGCAACCGGGGCGAGAATACAGTTCACCTCGACCCTTTTTCGAGTTTCAGGCTATAGTGTGGGGGTGATATTCAGTTTCTGACCTGGGGAAGGTCTAGTTCATATAGTTTCGTCCCACTTTCAGATACAGCATCTTTACAATCAAAGATCGCTTAGCGAACTTGAATCCTACTTACGCGAGACCGGTATTTTTGGAATTCACTTAACAGCTTGATTTAAAAAAAAGATAATCCTTCTTTGAAAGTAGAAATACTTTTTACTGTATTTTCTTAATTAGACTTAGGGCGGGGCTAAGCGAGTGAGCTCAACTTCAATACCACCTTGGAAACCAGGGCCTCGATTTCCTTGCAGAGACCCCTGCTTTGGGCTGCCCGAGTCCTCGAAGCATATGAAAGCTTCAAAGTTAAGGTTACGAGAATCCTTGACCGTATAGGAAGAACTCTAAAGGCAAATAAGCAGATGACTCGCCTGAAGGCAAGAGCCATCGTAGCTAAGGAATAAAAAAACAGGACGAGGCGCAGGGCTCTTTTATATTGGCGTAGTACGATATACGTGCAAGGAGGCTAGGTAAGGAACGAAGATTAACTGAAGGGTCTACTAATCAAGAGGGTAGGTTATGAATGAGAAATAGACTAAATCTTGCCAAATCAGCCAAGTTCGATTTATCTATTAAATGCGTATATATAAAAGCACCGGAATTATATAAGTGACCACTTCCTGATATAATCTATAAGGGGGGTTACCTATCTCTTTTCATATCGGAACACAAAACTCCGAGGTACATGATCCGACACCCTCTACAGCTACACACTCCCACAAATGTATGTCTAGCCCACGGTTAGGCCTGGCCGAGAAATCCGGCTATTTTTGCTATTATGTTGCAAGTCCTGTCAAGGCAGCTAGCGCTCTCTACGTACCGGCAGCCTCAATCTAAATACCAAAACAAGAAAAGAATAGCAATTTATTGGAATAGGAAATTCAAATGTCTACACGTGATAAGGCGGCAATGCGGGAAATCCATTTCCTCCGGGAGACACTGCATCCCGCGCAGCGAGCATTCCCAAATACCATAAGGCCAAAAGTGGCGTCATCACAGGGGCTGCGACAGTTCCTGATGCTCGAAGGCTGATAGGAGCCGAAAGCTGCAAGTGGCCTTCATCCTCCACCCCTTGGTTGTTGAACACACGTCGAACAGCGATGATCTCTCGGTTGGAAATAACGAATCCATACCGAGTACGGTGCTGCTTCATATAATAATAGACTTGACTCAACACTTGCTTGAATTCATTTTGTTCCCTTTGGCTTTGACTATTTCGCATGGCACTACTCCATTTCCAGGACACCTTGACGTCACCGGGTGCGCGATTTGGTCGGTTTTGCGAGTTGGCAATAGTTTCATCAAAGTAAGCAAGATCAGGTCTGAAATTCTGTATGAGAGCGGCAGAGTCTCCGGCGTCAAAAGTCACCACCGTCATACCACCCAGCCGATTCGCCTGCGTCAATGTGAGAAACGCTGAGCGAAGAGCACGGTAAACTCTTGGGTTAAGATACACGGCGAGCCTCTGTCTCAAAACATCCTCCGAAGTGATCGGTCTAGGTGGCGTGGTCGCTGGCTCGGGGGCGATTTGTGCAGTATTCAGAAGAGCACCATATCTATTGAAAATAACTTGAGGATCGAAGCTGTTCCAAGGAGTTAGATTTCTAATTTGTCGATGACTGTATGCATCATTGGTTGTGTTCGGAGAAGGTTGCACGTTAGGTCCCGGGTTAAGCGCTGGCAGAGCTGTTTGCAGATACTGCATAAGCGTGACAGCGTTTGCGGCAGCCATAGTTGTTATAATAAGATAGAAAGAACCTCTTGAATTGCAAAATCGAAAGCTTTATGATTTTATTCTGTTTCTGGCGGGCCAGAAGCTCCTTAAATACTAGAAAATATGATCATCTAGTATGTAGGCCGCCTAGCACTACAACACTACAACAGTTTTTGGTGATTCTCAAAAGTGACCAACATAGATCCAAGGAGAAGAAACTGTTGCACACATTTCTTCTGGTGGCCTTGCAGGTTTCATTTCAGCGTGGTGAGAACCGGAAAATGGTGCAATAGGACTCCGAGAAAGGTTGCGAGGCGAGCCATGGGCACGAAGTCAGAACAGAGTGGAGTTACCTCCCAATGGGAAGCAACACAGAACTGGACTCTTATGGACAACAAAGCAATAGCGAATTCAGGCCCTTAGTTGGTAATCGTGAGGGGATTCCTGGTATTTAAGCTGTCCATATACCGCCAGCTCGATTTTATGAGAGGTGAAAGGTGAATATTGAGTCGAGTTTTTGGCGGATAAGAGCCACTAGCAAGAAGTCGAAGCTAATCACCTGCACCTTGGCTTTGCATGTTCCGGGGACAAAACATTGAGTGACTTGATATTTTAAAGATACTTTTCATGGCTGGCCCTGGAAGTTGATTCGATTCATGCTCGTTATTTATCTGGTCGACAATACCCTGTTTCAGATATCGCACGACTCATGAACTGATGAATAGCAGCCGCCTCTTATCCATGCTTACCAACGATCACGCCTCAGTCGCCTGGGCCAATCATCGCCGCAGCAGCCCGTTGCCATCTCACGCTGGCATTCGCGGCCCGCAATTTCGGCTCCGTCACATGACCATGTCCGCGTTTGGCACTTGTCAACGGTATCTTGTCCTCAATTTCGATTCTCTCTCATCCTGGACTCTACTGACCAGCAAGCCACTCACATGGCGTCCGAACTAAGTGATGTCAATTTGGAGAAGATTGAGTTCCTCAAACGCCTTTTTTCCTCCGACTACGCAGTTATCTTTCTCGTCAGGGTCCGTGATCTAGAATGTGTTATGAAAGTAGTAAGTCGATCAAGCGAGGTAGGAGAACCACTACGAATTATTAACTATAAAAGCATCGGGGGAGAGGACCCCGACAATATTACGAACGGGAAGGGGAATTAGATATACATATCCATGAAACGAAGGCCTACGCTCGACTGAAAGAACGGGGTATATGCGATCGTGGCATTGTACCTCAATATCTCGGGTCAATTAGCAAATTTGACCCCTCGAAATGCCAACCACACCTATCTATGTTTCAAGAGGACGAGTACCTACCCAGCGCCCTTTTCCTAGAATACATTCCTGGTCTAGAAATGATCAGTTTAACAAATTATACCCCGCAACGGGTTGAGAATCTCGTATCCGGTATGAGAGAAATACATAAGGCACTCGTCTGCCATAATGACCCGCAGGCGCGCAACATGATGATCGTGAAAGATTCTCCCGACCGAGTCGTATGGCTCGATTTTGATCGGGCGAGGACTTTTGATGAAGACCACATCACCGAACAAGAAGAAGAAGAATATCTCCGGGCCGAAGACCGGATTCTCGAGGAGTTCAGGGTTGGCATGGTATGAGATCGAAACCCTTTGAACCTTCATACTAGTGTTTTCCCCCACATACTAAACCAGATTACCAGGAAGCCGATTACCAGAATGGAGAGATCAATAAGACCTTTCTCTTTTTTTACGCCTAGTGGCTCTTCGAACCCGCGCCATTATCTGTGTCCGAATCTTGCATCATCATTTCTTAATTTATGATATCGAGGGCCTCCAATCATTGCCTCGGACTGTAATGCAAGCCGTATGTATCAGGAAAGGATGCTCTACTACCCAGGGAAATGAACGCACTGCATTTCTCTGAATTAGAAATTGATTGAAATTTAATTCAAAATATCTCTCCGTAACTTTGATTTTGATAGTGAGAATAGTGGGTCGTTTGTGTGGGGCTCAATTGGTGGCCATCCATTGTCTAAATTGGCACCTGGTTTTCGCTGTAAACTCTGATAGTCCATGGTTGGTGTTTCCGGAAAGTTTTAAGGCTTTCACACTTGTTAGATGAACTTTTACTCGAAATGTGTCCCAACACCTGACACCATAAAAGTGGCGGTGGGCGAGAAAGGAAAGCCCCACCCGTCACGCATTATCTGGTCCATAAAGGTAGGTGCATGTTGGGGGCGATATTTTATGTCAACAGCCTTGTCCACTGATGTTAGATAGGGCAATTAGTGGTGGGCCTGAAAGTGGGATTTGGAAGGCATAGGGCTATAGTGACTGGGTTTGATCACTCATTGTTCGATCGACTAACTAGTGTGGGTCTCAGGATCTGGTCACATCTCTAATCGTGCTCTTTAAGCTGACCACAATCACTAATATTAGGTACGACTGGCACTCGGTATTAGACAGCGTGATTAAAGGAGACATCCGTTTTTACCGACGAATTTTTCCAAAAAGCCGCCTGCCACGAGATATGTTGCCTGGGGGCCGTAAGCTGAAAGGGCATGCAGGTAAATATCTTTAATTATGTGACTGGTCAGTCATATCGTTGATGACTCGACCATGCGGGGATTATCCAGCCTTCTCTCAGGCAACCTTCATGGCCTAGAGCTTTCTAGCAGGGGGCGGTTTAAATCACTGGGACTTCTATTAATCCCAACAAGTTGTTGCACTCCACAAATCAAATCAAATGAAACCGAATTCTATTAACCTAATACAGCCTAGCTCATGTCGTAATGGTTATGTCGGCGCTTCCTCTGGCGGAAGCAAGAGGTATCTCAATGCCAGCGATATACGCTACAAAGCTACCCACTAATACTCTACGGATTAAATTAATAAAAGATCTATTGAGACTGAGAAGTCTTACGGTCATAAGGAAGGCTAAGCAGAGGCACTTTATCAATAGAGACTTCTGCTAGTCCCAATCAGTCATTATTTTTAGCCTCCAACTACCACGTCTGTCAACTCGGGATTATAGAGCACAGGAGAGTCTATTCATGCATCTTATTTGTATGGATCGTGTGTCATATTGCTAGAAATGCGGATGCGCGCGACTACGATGTTACTAAGATTATCTGAATGGGTGCAGTTCACTCCCACCCGACCAACCTATTTCAGAAAAATTTGATAGATCCATCTAATAATCTCTATACTTGGAAATATTCTAGGTCTACCGATGCCGCCTTGATAACTAATTTGGAAGATACAATGAGAGTAAATGGAAAGGGTTCATTTTTTGACCCGCGTTGATACACTCCGTGGTCTTATGCTCGAGGGGCTCAGCTATATCTAATCAGCCATTCACTTTTATAAGTGAAGTGTACTTGATGGTCAACCTGATTATTACGTCACACTCTATACTACCTTGACAGGATTGCGTATATAAGAAGGCACGAAATACGAGTGAAATTAGCCACAATCACACATCGAATACTAAGTTGATTAGAATCCCAGGGTAGTGTCGACTATGCAAAGACCCTTACAGGTACAAGTCCACTATCAAATACTATATTAACTGAGAATAGCACAGGTCTTATAAATATCGAACAGATAGATCCTGACTTCCTTAGCTATCTCAATCGAGTATAGTATTAGTCTGCAGTACTACTAAGAGGTGTCTATCTTTCGCTGGAGTGCGGGCGAGGGACAAACTCTTACTTTCATACCATTTCCCCGGTACTTGGTACTTGATGCACAATTTGCGTTTGGCAGTGGCCAGCGTGTCAAACTTAATCCGACCTGCTATGTAGAGTTGTGGGTGGTCGGAACAAGGCTTTCTGCCAGGAAATCTGGATTTCGCTTCCTGATTTTCACAATAACTGATGAAAATCTTTTATCATTAAACGTGATATGTAGAATAGATAATCGGAGTATCTCTACTCTAAATAATTCAGAATAAGAATTTATATCTAGTCATATTTAATATTAGGAAGCTTTTAGACGCGGAGTTAAATTATTCTACATATAAAAAGAAGCTAATAGTAAAGAAAAAGGACATTATTAATCAATTAAAATTCTTATTCTTGTTAGAGCTTTCTATATATACAAGGTGTCATACAGGAATTTGCTCCTTCTGGGTTCTAGCCCAGTGCGTATTAGAGGTGCTACCCGCAACATAAGGCCCATGTACAGCTGTTGGAACGAACAGATAGAAAACAATATTGGCCAAAGAAAATAGCAGGAACGAAGGGATGAAAGCATCCGCCCCGCGGTTCTAGTTCCCCTAACTTTGCTAACTTACATCGCTTAGTCTCGGGTTACACTCATTAATCGAATAGCGATATTGAGGTCAGGCCCAGTGAGCTTATCGTTTTGATTACGTAAGGATTAATAACCAGCTTAAGTTGATCAGGGGCGTGCTCAACTCTACTCAGTGATCCAAAAGCGGCGAGAAGTGAGCACGGAAAGAGAAGGCCAAGTGTTGTCGGACAGTATCCTGTGTCTATGGAGCACAGGTACTCTGGACAGATCATAGTCCAGGTCAGACCGGTTCAAGGGTTTTCTTGGCCCAACCCACATGACCCTCATCACGCGAACCACCAAGCCCCAATCCAAGAACCCCGTCTGTTCGGCCCCCGGCCCCCAGATCCTCAGACATTCTGGAAACCCCCGCAGATGCTCGTGCTCCCTTACGTCTTGTCCATCATCCAGATGGTTCAATTGGTCCGGCGCTCGCTTGAATCCTTCGGTTTCTATCAGAGGCAATGTGGAGTGATCGGGTGATGATAGTAATGGTAACCTCATACGGGTAGGGATATGGTCGAATAGGAGTATAAAAGAATATCATTAGGAACGTAAGAGGAATAAGATGGGATATCTGAACTCATCTTACAATGTAGCGGAGCATCCAGACTATGAAAACATGATTATACGCGCGAGTCAGGTCACTGCTCTGCCTCGAGACCGGAAACCACAAGTATACGGACGGAGCCCTCGAGGTATGGATTGATGGGGTATCTGTACTCACTAGATGAATACATGTCTATCCGGTCGACAGTGATCTATAACTTCCATTGACACTGTAGACGAACGCGAGGTAATACCATGACCAGTGGAGAGAAACCCTAGTTAAGCCGCAGACGGAGCAGACAAGAAAAACCTCGTTAGTCGGTAACCCTGCATCCAGTCACTGATCATCTCTGTAACTCCATTGAAAATGTTGCTAGGATTATCAATTACACTACTTCTAGCCTTTTTTTTCCCTTTTCTTTTCTAATTCCGCTCCTTCTCCCTATTCCCCCCGTTCTTTTCTTTTCGCTATTCTTGTACTCAACCTCCTCGGCGATTTAGAGGTTACGAGGATTATGCTTCTTTCATAAAAATGCCGATGCGACGGCTTTCCCTCGGCGATCGGCGTTCGGTTCCCCGCCAAACCTAACCCCATCACATGCCATAGCACCCTCAAACAATCACTATCGTTCATCTCCAAAAACACAAACCTGCACCTCTGTTTGCCTTCCCATCGGTCTCTACTTTTGTTCCGAGCACCTCGCCGACAAGCTTTCCGCTCGGTCCCTCGCGTTGTTTCTCCGTGCTTAGCCCCTCCCGAAACTTGCACTATGACCGACACTGCCTCGGGTCCAAGCGACCAGCCGCAAGGGTCCGCCACTGTACCGGCCAGCTCAACGGCGACCTCAAGTGTTCCTGCTCCTGCTGCAACAGAACAATCGGATGCAACTGCGTCTGTCACGGCGCAAGCAGTCCCCGCACAGAAAACCCCGTCGGAGCAGCCAAAACCCGCCGACGATGATGAAGACTCGGACTTTGACGAATTGGACGGTGCGAACCTACTTCCCGCAAACTTCTGCCCCCATCACAAGTGAAAACTGACACAATCTCTCCCTACAGATGTTCTAGATGACTTCTCCAAGCCTAAAGCGCCGCCCGCACCGCCCGCCGCGGCGACCCCCGCTCCCACCACAGGTGTCGCCCCGCCCGACTTCGACGAAGATGCCTTCCTGAAGCAACTGGAGCAAGATATGGCCAACATGATGGCCAAACCGGGTGCCAGCGGGCCCGCTGACATGCAGGGCCTGCACGCCACGGTGGACCAGGGCGCGGACGCGTTCGCGAAGCAGCTTGAGGAGAGCGGGATCCCGCCTGGCGACTTCCTGAAGCAGCTGCTGGCAGACGTGATGGCGGAAGAAGGTGGCCAGAACGGGCCGGGTTCGGCGATGGAGGAGACGCCTACGCCCGCACCCGCGCCCGCAGCGGATGTCGAGCAGCCCGAGTCGTTCAATGATGCAATCCAGCGCACTATCGAGCGCATGAAGCAATCCGGGGACCGGGCGACGGAAGCGGCGAGCACAGACGACGGACTGTCGGATGATATGCTGGCACAGCTACTCAAAGCGGTGGAAGCTGGGGCAGCGGGCGCGGGCGAGGACGGTGACCTGACGAAGATGTTTATGGGGATGATGGAGCAGCTCTCGAACAAGGAGATGTTGTACGAGCCGATGAAGGAGCTGGATGGGAAGTTTGGCCCATGGCTGGAGAAGAACCGGGCGAGTGGAGCCGTCGCCGCGGCAGATATGGAACGGTATGAAACCCAGGCGCGAGTGGTGAAGCAGATTGTGGAGAAGTTTGAGGAGGAGGGGTACTCGGACGAGGATGCGAAATGTCGCGAGTATGTGTGGGAAAGGATGCAGGAGGTGAGTTTTCGGGGAGCTTACCCGGATTTTGCTGGGTGTGTTTTAAAGAGAGAGAGATCTTATGCTGACTGGTGTTGTTTTTTGTTTTTTATAGATGCAAGCTGCCGGCAGCCCGCCGGAGGAACTTGTATCAAACCCGTTAATGGAGGATCTGGGAGGTGCTGCTGCTGCTGCCGGAGCTGGACCAGGTGGCGTGCCTGATTGTCCGCAGCAATGAAAGAAGAGTGTGGAGGGAATATAGAGGGAAGAGAAGAAAGGAGACCTTGGTCTTCATGAGAGATATACCATTCATGTTCAATCGGCTTGCTGTACTTGTACATACTATATACACGCGCGTCGATACCCTTATTTACACCGAGATATCCACGCATTGGCTTTGTCCGAGAATTCCAGCCCATCGTAAGAAATAAATAAAAACCCTGAACGCCGCCGGATGCAAAACCTCACGCTGACAGAAACCTGGAACAAAGAACAGAAAACTTTGAAAGAAGCCCAGACAAAGCAACAGGGTTGTCGCACCACATCTATGACATATCCATGTCCTGGTTGGTATCCGACAAGCCCATAAAGATGTCATCATAATCCTCATCGCTGAACGAAACGTTCGGCTCCGTCGGCTGCTGATGGTGCGCATTCGAACCAGATCCCAAATTCTCCTGCATGGCCATCTCCATCGCCTGCTCCTGCAAGACATACTCATCCAGCGCGCGGACATCAGCCTCGTCTATAAATGAAATACCAAGTTAGCCCACCCTCTGAAGCCAATCCAGCCACTAAAAGCAAACTTTTAGAGCGACCCTCGAGACTTACCAGGAAGCATATTGTCCTCTTCAAGATCTGCATCAACGCCGTGCATCGCCCCATCGGCCTCCCGCGCCATACACTCCTCCCATCGTCGCTTATCAGCCAAGTGCTCCGCCATCATCATCTGCTCGCCGCGCGCCTCAAACCGACCCGTGTCGCGGTCCTGGCGGATTCGGTTCAGGAACATCTTACGCGTCTTTGAGCGCGCCAGCGAGGTCGTCGTCTTCATCGGATTAGCGATCTCTGAAACGTAGCGGTCCGCATAGCGGGGGCGGGTGGACGGCGATGGCGATGCCGGTGACATCGGCGCCGGGGACTGGTTGTGCAAGGGCGAAGACGCGAAGAACGAGACTGGCTGTTGGTGCTGGCGCTGCGGTGGGGGCGCACTCTGGATGGAAAAGCGTGGGAAAGAGACGGGGGAGAAAGGCGCATTCTCGTCATATTCGGTGGGCTTGTGCGATTGTCCCGCGCGCGTCGGAGAACCCATGGTCCATGGGGGGGTGACGATGTTGGAGTTGCGCTGGCCGAGGGGCGAGGGCCGCGCTGGAGAGTAGTGGGTGGTTTGGCGGAAGGGGGTGGAGGGAGACGAGGGTATTTGTGAGGCGAACATGATGAGATGAGATGTTGGAGGGTTTTCTTGAGGGTGGAGTGGGTTCCGTGGTTCGGATGGGGAAGTCTGTTGTGGTTTTGCTAGGTCCGGATGTCGTCTCTGTGGGTGAACGAGGATGTCGGGTCTAGATGCAGATCCACTTTTGAAAAGTGAGAAGGATTTCAGGGTATTGGCTGATTATGGGTCCCAATTGAGTCGGAACTGTCGCTTTTGAAGGCGCTTGGAGGCTGGGAGGAGCGTTGATCGCATCGCGACGCGCATTCCAGCGCCACGTGATAAGTCGCGTCGGCACTTGACAGTTGGCGATCGCGGAATCGATCTACGATTTTTACTGGGGCTAATCAATCGCTGAAGTACGCTTGATATTCAAGTCACTGCTTTTCACACATATCGTTTGCGAAATGACGATATGTTTCCCCTGTTATACACCTGATATTAGGATCTTACTACCGTATAATTTTTATCGCAACCAGATTGACGGAATTGTCAATGGTTCTGTCCATAGGCATATAGCCTGAGTTGGAAATCCCCCCAAGAAGTCATAACGACGGCATTGACTAGTGGGAAGAAGTGCTTAGATTTAGTTCCCAGAAACATTCATTTTACTAGATTCGATGTACTAAGGACGAAGTAGTGCACAAATCTTCATTAAGATATCTCGTACAAGGTCATTCATTTATCTGGTACAAGGTGCTTCACAGGACGGAGATCCAAGTACTGCAGATGTACATACAGGCCAAAGAGATCATATACTTGATTCAAATAGAGAAACCCATTTCTGGATCGAGTATGAATCATTAGGGCTAACGCGTCACTACCAGGCGAATCAAAATCAAGCGATTCCTAACGGAATGCTTTCAGAAACTGGTCACAACCAGAAATCCTTGTAAAGAAACCTGTAGAATTTCTCCAATTGATTCTTGTGGTCACTTTGTCAGGCCCGAGGTAGCTTCCCAGTGGATAGTAAATGCCAGCCAAGGGCGTGGCTCCACAATACTTCCCATTTAACTGCCAAAAACGGACTAATCATCCACGGTTCAGGTAGGACCCAACGGGAGGCGTATACTTTAAGGACAACCAAAAAAGATTTTATTTCACGTGGTATAGTTGCATGCATTTATTATTGATTGCCGGGGGTCGCTTTACTGGACTATTTAATCTATCATTTGGCCAAAAGATTTTATGCTAATCACGACTCCTTACCTAGCAAGAATCCTCTTTCATTAAAGCCCTGCAACTTTATTACGCTTTTATCTGAATCTCAAACTCAACGATGAGCAGAACAGAGATCGTCCAGAAATTTCTCCAAGCTGCTCATGTAGCCCCTGAGATCTTCCAACTACGTCCTGATTACCGCGCCCTCTTAATTGTTGTGGAAGGGATCCCTCCAGGGCCCAGCGATGAGTTCAGCGAGGCCCTTCTCCACGACGCCGAATTAACAGTCAAACAACTTCTATCCAAATCCCCCATCGTGGATTTCCCACATATTGCCGCATGGCGCGACACATACAAGGCCTTTGGAGCGAAACCAAATAAGACCCGCAATAGCCTAGAGGCCCTCACTCGCCGCGCAGAGGCAGGCCTGCCGCGTGTTAATCGCTTGACCGATATCTACAACGCTGTCTCAGTCAAGAATCAGATCCCCCTGGGCGGCGAGGACCTGGAAAAGTACAATGGTGCACCGCTATTAGTTCGCGCCACTGGTGAGGAGCCGTTTCTGACATTTTCTGGTGGCGAGCCCCAAATGGAACTCGCAGCTCCTGGAGAGCCGATATGGTGCGACGAGACTGGTATCACTTGCCGGCGGTGGAATTGGCGACAAGGCCCTCGCACAGCTTTGACTGACGAGACTACTCGTGTACTGTTCATTCTAGACGCATTAGAGCCGCTTTCTTACGATGCACTCCTCAAGGCAGCTGATGAGCTTGTCTCGGCATTGAAACAGCTGTCTCCAGATGTGAAAATATTTCACCGCCTCATTGGCGCCTCGGCCCCTGATCATACTGTTTTGTGAAAGAAATTGGGTGTCGAGTCTTGTAGAATAAGAAAGATCCGCGTTTATTTTCTTGTTTAGATGCTGTTTCTCCAGTATACTTGTGTACAATAGAATGTAATATCATGAATATAGCTAACTTCATTGGTAAGCATGGGTGTTACATTGAAGTACATAAGTAGTGTATGAGAAATTCATGATCTGTATAGACATTTCCACTCTCAGAAGTGTACAGATAGACTGTTTCCGCCCGCCAAAACCCCTTGCATCTACTGTAAGCTGCACCAGCTTGGCTGACATTGTGGCAACAGGCATGTGACCCCAGCGCTATGTTCAAGCTTGCTCCGTGAGGGTGCTTTTATGGAAATTTCTTTTTCTGATTGACAAATTACAGAAATGGGAGGAAAAAATCCCATGCGGAAAAAGATCTCTAAGTCATCTTTGGCACAGATAGAAATCCGAAGTTTGGTAGAGGCGATATTTTGGCCCCGCTCCGGTCAACTTCCATAAACGGACGTGGAGATCAAGGTAATGGAAGCAAGGGTCGCTCCGAAATATTGTGCATTTTATTTAGGTTTTCTCAGAAAGGAAGTCGAAGGGAGAGGTTCTGTAATTCTGGCCCTGGTTTCAAACCCTGGTGCATGAAATCACCGGGTGGCCGTCTGAAAAGTATTGCAGAAATTAACGAATTGAGACCGGTACAGAGAGAAAAGGTGACCAAGAAATATGACACGACTAAAAAATACTCCTATAAAGGATATTTCATCGAGCTATTAACCCGTGAAATGTATTTTCTTTTGGCTGATCTGTTCTTGTGTTCTGCTCTGGATGAAAGTCTGGAATGTTTTGGATATTTAAGACCGTCAAGAGTGTTTCAAAGGGAACATGGTCCTGCTTGAAAAATCAATTAGCCCACTAGGCATGGCTTTCAACTTCGTGGAATATGCAGCACACATCATTTGCTCCCCTACTATACGAAGTGTTTGCTGCATATTCCTCGATGCTGAAAGCCGTGCCGAGTGGGGTGGTTGCTCTCTGGAGAATCAGGGTGCCAAGGTGATTCTTTTGTTTCTGTTCTAGATCCTTCAATGAGGGAATTGGTCTATGTGAAAGGGAATATAAGGAGTAGGTAATTTACTAAGGACATAAAGATCGGACGGAACTTTTCATATTGTGAGCGCTAGGCTAGGAATGTACACCTTCAAGAAATCCAAATTGACTAGGATAAACTTGAAAGGGAAGTGATGTATTAAGTAACAAAATATATCTCGAAGAAGCAGGTGGACCCAAGCACTTTGACATGGGGAATCAAAACGAGAAAAGCAGACAGAGCCCAAGAAAAACGACTGAAACCAGCAGGAAAGATCCCGAGTGGGGTTGGATGTCGCGAAATGACTGAGAAACTTCGATCAGGTAAAGAATGTGAAGGTTGCTGGTAATAACGCTCAAAGGAGTGGACAAAGCAAGTTGTGTCTATGTGCTGAAGGGACAATGAAGGGGCAGGGCGGCCGAGAAAAACTGCCTGAACCAAGATGAAAAGAGCAGCCCGCAACCAGAAAGAGGATGAAAGATGGGAGGCGAAAAAAAAAACAAAACAAGAAATCGCAGTCGTGACCTTCGCCTGAACTGCCCATTGCGCCTGAGAAGAATTGCATGATGATCGTACAAGAGATGGAATTTTACACATCGACAAACGCAGTTGCGTCGAAAATCTGCATCATGGTCAAGGGGCTTGGAGCCCAGAACATCAACCTGAGCCGAATGGTACCGTCTCTAGAAGTTTGATGCAGCGTTTACTGGGCCAGGATTGTGATACTGGTCGAGTGTGCTCTTGAACGGAGTGCCGCTAGCCGCAGGGCTAGGGGCCTTCTCTCGAGGGCCAGAGCCGACGGCGGTGCCGCCCATCAGGTCGTCATCCTCGTCGTTGTAGGCTTCGTTGCGCTTCTTCTGGATACGCCAGATGACAACACCGAGAACACCCAGCACGATTGCACCGCCAACACCCACAACGACACCGATGATAATCTTCTTTTCCGAAGACGACAAACCGCTGCTGGACGAGCTGCTGCTGTTATCGTTGAGTGAGGGCGAGGTAGTTTCGGCAGCCTGAGGGGATGTGGTGGTTATAACGGTGGCCTTGGTGGTTCCACTGACGGTGACCTCGGCCGTGATCGTCTTGACTACGTTCGAATGAGTAGTCGAAGAGCTTTCAGCTGAAGTGGTCTTGTCGGCATTGGAAGAGTTGTGCTCTTGATTCTTGGAAGAGGTTGTCGAGGTTGTCGTGGGCTGGGCGGTATCCGATGTGGTGGTTGTAGAGGACTCGCTAGTAGTAGTGCTGGTGGTAGAAGAAGTGGTAGATTCCTTGGTACTAGTGGTACTTGTCGAAGTCGGTTCGCTGGTCGTCGAAGTGGTGGGATCGGCCGAGGTCTGGCTGCTGGTGCTCGACTCGCCAGTCAGATCGCTGAGGAGATCGCTGGAATCGCTGGTCTGAGCCGCGACAGCGGTCAGGAGGAGAGCGTGCAAGAGAAAGGTGAGCTTGGAGAGACGCATGGTGGGCAAGTTGTTGGTCTTCTCTGAACGAGGCGAGAAGACGAGATATAGAGCGAACGAGTGACCGGGTTTGGAGGGATGAGAAAGGGTAAAAGGAGAGGGCGTGACAGACGAAGAGAAAGAGAAACACAGGTGGGCGGGCAGCGCTAACCCGATATGGCACGCTAGCCGGCCCTAGTTTCAGTGTTTTTGTTAGGCGACCACTGAGCATCAGGCCAGCTGGGCTGAGCGTTAGGCCTATTTCTGGGCATGGGACATACTTATTGGGCTGTTGCAACCATGGTGCAACATTACGGAGACTCTATAGCCCTAATACCAGATTTTATGCCCATTTGACCCCCGACCTATTCATGATTGTAGGCGAAAACCTCCCTTGGACTGTTTGCGTGGCCTTTGGGTCTCCTTTGGCCAGGCTGACGCCGCGCAGATGACATAAGCACCGGAGTGTGCAGGCACGCCAATCACGGGACTCCATCATCGGTCCAGGTCTGAAATATTGAAAAATGTACAGTAGAGACTCCACTCATCGAACAGCCAATCCACTGCGAACCCACCATGGACCGCCCAGGACCCGCTCGTCCGCTCTTGTCCCTCTGCCATAATTAGCCCTTCCCTCGTCACCCGAAACGACCCTGGTGCAGATGAAATGCTACCCTCACTCTGTCAACGTTGATCCTAGCGGTGCTCTACGAAACACGAGGGCCATGACAGGTGTTCTGCAGCTTCACCGTCTTTGCCCAGTTCCATGTCATGACCCTATAATGCCCTCATCTCTTGGGCTTTCTCGAGCGGAGATTGCAGCCGACTGACTGGCCGACTAGCCCCGAGTTGGACGGGGTGGCGCTCTGCTTGCGACATCGCTCTCCCGCTTTCACTCTTAGTATTGGCGCTTTGAGAATCGCCAGCCTGGCGCTGGTCTGGATTCACGCCGGCATAATACAGCAGCATCGTTGCCAGGCCAAACCCGGGGCGTAGAGGGGGTACAAGGGGCATCTATCTCGCTGCCCCTGTCACAGGAGATGCTGCTCTCTTCATAACACCTCTTAGCGCTCATATTATTGATTGGATCGGTCATACCAGGGTCACTCGGGGTGGACTTCTTCATCCCTCCCCCGGAACACCACGGATGGACCTGTTCCCTCTGTCCCTGAAAACCAGGACCCTCGCTTACAAAGACCCCTGGAATCTTTATCTGGGTGCTCAGCCTCAAGTGAGGGATTACCGAGCGATTATATGAATCACATAATGCCTCTGATCTCTTGACTTCCAACTGCTGAGCCGAGACCCCGTCGAAACGCGCCGCTTCTGTTTGATTCGCGCCGGCCTTGCGTCCTTATTTGGAGCCAATAATTGTAGTCCGGGCTGATTTCGGCACAGGTCTTTGCAGCGATCATCATGGGTCAAAAAAGGTATTTTTTTAAGTCTTTGCTATAAAACATTGCTAGTCACTTAAAAAAAATTTTTTTTTACACTCTGTATATTCCGGATTTCAAATCCTAATCGTACGGTCTTTGAATAAATCAGGACAAGCAGAAGGAACAGTACTACTTTCCGAACGAGTCAAAGACACATCCCATGGCAAAAAAACGCGTCCTAAATCAACGCCCAATTCATGTTTCGGGAGAGATCCTCCGGGATGAAGGACAGAGGAGAGAATATGAAGTGATATAAATGGAAAGTATTATTGGAATTTTGGGTATCGTCGATTTTATATCCATGAACGCCAGCAAAATGTCGATGTTGATGCCTCATAAAGCGATCACAGCTTGTTCGGAGGTTTGCCTTTCATTTGATCCTTTAATTCCTCCTTGAAGTATGCCACAAATTTGTTCATGTTGGATTCTGGACGAGAAATCAATGGATATTCCAACACAGGGCTTGGCCCTCTGCCGCGACATACCGTTACCCTCCAGGGTGGTCCGGGATTCCTCGGGTGGGATCCCATGACGGACTTGCTGCACACGCCGGTGGACTCGACCGACCATCTGATGGAAAAAGGACTCTGCAGGAGCTGGAAGAAGAAATATGTCAGGATTTGAGGATCGGAAGGAGGGAAAGACGCGAGGCGGAGGTTTCAACATACTCTGCGGGTCAACCACAGCTGGACTTGTCAGCAACGCCAGGAATCAACATTCACCATGTCAAGAAGCACTTACCTCCAGCTCTCTTAATGCTAACAGCTGGAACACCATGCTGTTGTGGCTCTGTTGTCAAAGTGATGAGGGAACGAGGTGTGCAGACAAGGTCGTGAGGGGATTTGGACTCCAAAGTCCAGCATTTCTTAGGTAAGCCCCGCACCGAATTTCTTCGAGTGACACACCGCGTCCGGGGAATCGCTTCTTCATGCTGCTTTGGAAGATCGACGTTGCTTGGCCGGCTCTTTGAATCTCTACACTCGACTGATGCAGTCTTGTGATGGCTGAGTGGCTTCCTCAATCAACCCCCATTCCTGACCGCGATGGCGAGTGACACTGCACTCTCTAAGTGGCTAGGTTTATCTTTGATTCGCAAAAATCCAGATTTCCTCTGACACACAAGATCATGACAAAGGGTTGCTATACCTGCCGACGCCGTCGCATTATCTGCGATAATGGCCAACCTACCTGCAGGAAGTGCCGCGACGCCGGAAAAGAATGCCTGGGCTATCAGAAGCCGTTGGTTTGGGTTAAAGGTGGCGTGGCCAGTCGAGGCAAGATGATGGGGCGCAGCTTCGACGACGTGATGAAACCAGAGAGTGTCTCCAAACACCAGGAATCCGCGGCACCGAACAGTCCGACAGCACCGACAGACAGCTTTGGCTTTTTTTCCGTGGCTGAATCATCCTCCGATACTAGTTCACCAAGCTCTGGCGTGCATACAAGTCCGGAGGCAGACGCTTGGGCCACAGAGGCGCCAGAGGTTGCCCCATGCGCGTTCGTGGAAGAGGACAATTCTGTGGGGTTGAATTTGCACGAAGAATCTGATCAGATGGTTGTGCATGTGCCTCGAGGCACATCCGCTGAATATATTCCGACTCCATGGGGTCTGGCAGATCCAGTGCTCAAAGATCTCGGGCAATTGTCACGGTTTTACATTTATCATTGTATGATTTGGCCTTTATATATTGATGTTTTCAGTCTCTGACACATCTGCTAACTGCGAAAATCTAGACAATCAGAGTATGACCGGTGACTTCGTGGTGTATTCCGAGTCCAACAACCCGTGGCGCAATATCATATCGCTGGTTGGCGGCTCACCTCTTCTCGCAAATGTCTTATCTGCCATGGGAGCTTTGCACTTCTCTTTGCGGTCAAATTCAGACTCGACCCAAATGCCATGGTCTTCCAATCTTCTGTCAGATGGTTCCAACTTGTCATCCGAAGAAATTGAAAGTTTTGTGACCCCAGCTGGTGCGCGACGACCGTCCTCGAAGGCTTTCCAACATTTCCTCGAATTCAAGCAACGTACGCTTCACCAATTGTCGAAAGACCTGTCGAATCCCGTCATGCAGAAAGATGACCGAACTTTGGCTGCCATCGTCGTTCTTGCTCTTCTCGATTTGATCGAGTCGGGCAGTGGGGCATGGAGTTATCACATTGAAGGTGCCAAAAAACTCCTCAGAGATCGACCAGAGAACGAGCTAGGGCAGGGCATTTTACAAGGCCTCGAAAGCTTCGCTGTTGACGGATGCTTAATGTGCGTATCTCCTCTATCACCCCTATCACCCCCAAGAAAATGTCCTCTAACCCATCCGAAGCATGGAAATCATGGGATCAACCCTCGCACGCCCCGGCGCTCTTTCCAAACCATTCTACTCCGCCGCCATGGGTCCAGCCATGCTCAAGCGCCTCGAGCAAACTTCCTGGGTCGGCTGCCCGGCCTACCTGCTTGAAGTCATCTTCTTCATTCATACTCTCTGGTACCCAGACTCCGAATTCGCCGCTGCCGCACCCCAGCCCACCTCCCTCCCCGTATCGATGCAACCCGGCCAACCTCTCTCCCTGGAGTCCTACTTCGCACTCCTCCAAGGCATTCGCGACTTCGACCCCGTTGCCTGGGCCCACGAAATGCAAGCCTTCTACTTCCTCCCCGACGTGTCCTCCCGCGCCAGCCTCGCTCGCGCCTACCAAGCCGCCGTCTACCTCTATACCAGCCGCGTGCTGTCGCGCGCACGCGAGGGCTACTCGCCTCCTTTCGCCAACGTCGCCCTGCCCTCCGACCACTCGGCCGTTGCGCATGACCTCCTCACTCAGATATGCTCCGTGCCTCACTCCGACCCGCACTTTAAATGCCTGATCTGGCCGACCTTCATCGCCGGCGCTGAATGCCGCCGCTCTTCACAGCGCGGCCTGATACTTGAGACACTCGGAGCGCTCTATCAAGCCGTCACCAGCGTCAACGTCCAGAATGCCGCATGGGTGCTGCGCCTTATGTGGCAGAAACGCGACCAGAAACGGGACGCGCGCACCGAGCACCTTCCATCTGGATATAGTGATAGCCAGACAGATGCGGGGAGTGATACATTCGGTGTTGGCCCGTGCGAAGATGACGATTACGATGATACGTTTGACTGGGTCGATCAGCTGGACGAGTCGCGCCTGGATTGGCTGTTCATTTGAATTTCTGGATTGGTGTGGGAGCGGAGTGGGGTCTTGGTGTATGTGCACGAAGCAACGAAGCAACGGATATCGGATATTTTTAGGCGCTTTCTGCCTTCCCTCTTCTCTCTTTTTTTTCTTTTTACTTGTCACGATTAATGCCTTGCATACTTGTACATAATCTGACGGAAGTTCTTAATGATTCAGGCGGAATGATTCATTGAAAGCCTGTGAATCTTCATACATATATTAGGAAATCTATTCATTGACCCTTACCGGGGAAACTAGTGTATGAATTTTGGTGTTACAAGGTAAAAATGGAGGCAATTTGACCATCCTGCAGGACTCACTGCAATTATCAGTTGCATTCAGAGAGAAAATGGACTATTCGACAAGGAGAGTAGCGGGGAGATTCCATGGACTGAAGAAAGGAAAGCAGGGTATATCAATTTTTGGGGGTAGCCAAAAGGAACATAGAGAAGCCGAATACCCACAGAGAGAGGACTGCAAAGGAGAAGGAGGTATGGATAAGAAGAGAAGAGGAGATGTGGGAGAAAAAAAATTCACAAGAAAAAAAGGATCTGGCCCGCAACGAAGGGGAAGGGAGGATGTTTTGTAGCCGCGGAGAGGTAAGAGAAAGGAAGCAAATGTAGATAGAGGGGAAAAAGCATGAGGAGCAGAAAAGAGAAAAAAGATGAAAGCAACGAAGGAAAGTTCTTATCCGGAAGTTCTTATCCGGAAGTCTTTTTGCAGAAATAGCACAGGGAAAGCGAAGTGGACACAGCGCATGAGTTCTACTGCAGCTCAACGATCCAGTCAGACAGAATTCGACATTTAGGGCAAAATCAGAAAGAAATCTGATCATCAGACAGGAAAAGAAGACAAAAAGCCTCGATAACGTTGTTGACAGTATGCTTCGGATCAAATCAAGGATATATAACGGGATAGGAAGGAGACAAAAAAAAGAATCAAAAGACCAGCAAAGAAAGGCTGGAAAAGACGAAGGCCTTGCGCAACGCAAAAGAGGAGCAAAAAAAAAAAAAAGAAAACAAGACGCATGCTCCCTTCCAGTTCTAAATGCAGAAAACATATTCCCAACACGATTAAAACACGCTCATCACGGTAAAATGCAATGGGGAGGTAGGACAACCAATATGCAGAAAACGCCCGTCCTGTCTGTGTGAGTGTTGCAGGTAGGGGGAGAGGGCCCCGGGATGATAAGGTAAAAGAAGCAGAGAGAGAGAGAGAGATGAAATGAGACAGCGAACAAATGCTGTGGTCGACATTGACAAGAGAAGGCAGATTGCTGAAATGGCGCACATAAAGCAATGAGAAGCGAGTTCGAGAGGCCAGGGGGAGAAATCAACAATATTAGAAGACAGCAGCAAGTCCATTCTTAGAATGCCGCTTGCTAAACCTCTTCTTCCCTTTTACTGAATCTGAATCGTTGCCTTGATGTTTCACCAAGTGATTGCGGCCGGAAGCAGGAACATTGCTTTCATTCTGAAGTTCTGTACTGCGATCAAGGGTATTGGCATGGCTGGAGAAGCCCGAGGAGATGTCCCGGAAAGCATCTTCGGCAGAGTAAGGGCCAGTGCTCTGTTGGGCCGAACCCATCTCACGTGCCCGGTCCAGTGCATCGAGCCATTCTTGTGTTGACACGGCCGCATTCCCGATGTTGCTTGAGGTCGGCTTGGGATCCTCGAAGACGTAATGCTTATCCCTCTAGAGACAGACTCAGGTTAGCAAATACAACACTTTTTCATTCGGACAAGTTCACGTACCGTATCCACAATCCAGGAAGAATGTCCCTTGGCGTCAGTCGTACTCCGATAGTGAGTCCCGGGAGCTAAGAGGGAAATTTCCAGCTTCGCTTTCTTCTCATCACCACCAGCCGCGGCTAGAATGATCCGCGCCGAGGATGTGACCATGACTAGACGTGAGCGTTTCTTGGTCGCCGAACCGGAGAAGAAACGAGAGAACTTCTTCGGGGCTTCGGCTTCACCATTGTTCTTCGAGGTTGGGCTATGAGATGCCGAAGAAGACAATACTACCATGTTTCCTAGCTTTAGAATGCGTTCATTGGACTTGCTCAGCACAGGCGACCACTCAATGTCGAGCTGGCTGGGTGGGGGTAGCTCAGTTACCACTCGTGGGAGGGCACGAGAGTTGTTGCTCGTCGCATTGGGCGGCGCGGTAGAGATACTTGGGGGGAAAGCATCGCCACCTTCACCATTGAGTTTGATGGGCTCACGTGGGGGCGGGACATATGCTTTCAAGCGAGGTGCCTTCTGTTTCCATAGCTCCGGACCCCACGAAATCCCATCAAAGAATTCATGGTTTTTGATGTGTTCGATTTGCAAACGTCGAGCTGGATCAAGGACCAGTAGACGCTCGACCAGATCTCGAGCAACGGCGGGAAATCCGACCGGGAATTCGTAATCCAGGGCAACGATCTTCTGGAACGTCTGGTATTCATTGCCGGCTTTGAATGGCGGGCGTCCAGCCAGAAGCTGGTAAATAATGCACCCGAAAGCCCACAGATCACTAGCCTTGCACGCGTTCTTATCGGTCAACAGTTCCGGGCTGACATATTCCGCGGTGCCGACAAAGGAGCTTGCGCGCTCCTCCTCCGGGATCTCGGTCGAGTCGAGCGGGGGGATAGAGCTCGTGCTCTCGTCCGGTCGTCGTGTTTTAAGGATCTTCGCGGTTCCGAAATCGGTGATCTTGACATACATCTGGTGATCGAGCAAGACGTTTTCCGGTTTCAAATCTCTGTGAATCACCCCGCGCTTGTGCATATAGTCTATCGTGTCCAAGATCTGGGCGCCGTAAAATCGGGTGCATTCTTCGTCAAAGGTGGTCATCCGCTTGAGGACTCCGAGTAACTCTCCTCCTTTACATAGGTCCAGCACAAAGTAAAGCGATCGTTCATCCTGGAAGGTGTAGTAGAGTCGTACAATGCCCGGGTGATCAGTCAGGCGGTTCAAAGTATCCTTCTCAATGTTGACGTATTTGACCTTCTTTTCCTTGATGATGTGTCGCTTGTCGAGGATCTTGATGGCATATTCCTTCAATGTTTGTCGATCCGTCGCAAATACCACGGTGCTGTAGGAGCCTTCGCCGAGAGTATTTCCGAAGGAGAAATCGCGCACGCCCTTCTTGATGTAGCGAGCCACGGTCTTTCCGTTGGCATCGACTTCCTGCCTCACAGCCACCGCAGCGCCACGATCCTGCCAGTCTTCACTGCTTGGGGTCGGCCCGTTTTCCATGCCGTACGGCGATCGTGACATTTGGGGCGCAGCTCCTCCGCGGGCGTGGGCACGAGATGACTGACGCATTACCGGCCCATTGGTCGGAATCTGGGCTGTCCGATAGGAGCGGTCGCTGTGCGAGTTATCCCGCGCTGGAACGCCTGCCTGCAGCGCTGCCGAACCCCCACGGGTGTCAATTAGGCGCGAATGGGAGGTCGAGGTGGAAGAGGCGCCGGAGTCGGTTCGCATGCGATAGGAGTTATCCCGAGGGAGCACGGACGAGACGGAGCCGTTGGTGTAGACGGAGGATAGGGGGCGGTTCGGGTTTGGGGGCGTGGAGTGTGGTTGGGCTGAGTACGGCTGGTAGGCAGACGCGGGTTGGGGGGCATCGGGAAACGAGTAGATGACTGACGAGCGGTTCTCGGTGGCGGGCGCATCGATCGGGGCGGGAGGGAAGGATGTTGCGTGGTCGTCCAGCGTAGGTATCGGGGGCAGGCGTGGATGTGTTGATACCGAACCGGCCGGTGGTCCGGCTGGACCCGTCGAATCCGCGGTCGCATCCTCCGACTGGAGGGGCGAGTCATCCGGATTCGCTATGCGGAGCCCGCCCAGGGACTGGGACAGGCTCAGATCTCCGTTCATGGCGACACAGCGGAGTGGTCGAGACACAGCCAGGGGGAAAAGAGAGGAAATCGGGCGCGAGGCGCAGGGGGTTGGAGGGGAGGGTTTTCGGTCGTGCAGGGGAAACGAAAGGAAGCCGACGAACTAAGACGGCGATCGTCGACACCGGGGAGGCATGATCCAGCGGTGGAGAGGAGGAGAGGAGGAGGAGGAGAGGAGGGGGAAAAGGCCAAAGAACAGGAATCGAAGAGCAGAGAGAGAACAAGAGGGGAGGGGGAGAGGACGAAAAGAGAGAGAGAGAGAGAGAAGACACGGAGGGGGGCAGAAAAGGATCAACAGGAGGTTCGTCTAAGGAGCAATTGGGCTTAGTGTCGAGGGGGGCGGAGCATGACAAGCTATTAATACTGGGGACTCGGAGACGTTGAAGCGGGCATCCAAAAACCCAAGGCCGAGAGCTCAAAGCCCCAAGCCCCAAGCCCCAAGCCCCAAGCCCAAGAATAGAGACCAAGAGCGCCGAGCAAAATGCTGGTGATTGTGAAACTAGGATCCGCGCTGCGCGTTCTCCTCTCATATTATGGTCTTATGATATGATGATGGGCGGGCGGATCAGGACTGGATTGCAATCCTCCCAGGCGTCGTCATCGGCGAAGAGGGCACAGGGAAAGGAGAAACTGGGACGAATAGCAGGATAGCAGAATAACAGGGTTCCTGCTGATTTGCCGGGTCTCCAGAACCACGATTAACCCAGGCGACATACCGGAGACCCGATCTATACAGCCTCATACATCGCGTCCATCTATACTTCGACTCTTCTAACGCCACGGTCCAGAGTCCCTTTTCTCACGATCTACTCGCCTGCTTCGGATCGAAAGGAAGAGTCATCGATCTATATCGACAGTGATTAATCGAGACTGTCTACGGGTTGACCGTCGGGATGTCCATCTGTTGACATGCCTATTGATGTCGAGATCTATATCGACCGTTCTATTCTCGACTCCGATACGACCCGGCTTGGATCCCAAATGTTCCACTGATTTACACCAGATCGACCAGCAGCCCGAGTAACGGCAATCTGAATCATTGGGGCTGGGGGATTGGGGATCGGTCTCCCATGTTCTCCCTGGAGATGATGTAGTTGGGGTTTAACATGGCACTTTCCCTCCTTCTCCGAGACTGTGCAACACTTCCCTTTCTCTCTCTCTCTTCTCCCCTCCCTCCCCCCGCCTCTCTCCAGCGATTCATTAAGGACAGTCATGATTAGACGCCCACCGACTATCATTGCCCTCGGAGAAGAGGATCTTCAAGCGCATCTGCACCGCATGTTTCTCCGGACGCTCCCCGAGAACCTGGACCGGCTGCACCTGGACGATCCCGATCAAAACCGCCCTCGGGATGCCTCTTCCTCAGAAGATCCCTATGACTTGTCCGACCAGTCAGATGGGGACCGGGCCTTCAATGCTTCTCATCGCCCTCGTGGAGGCCCATCATGCGTTGGACATGCGTCGCTGGCTGACGCGGGTTCCTCGCTCCCTGCTTCGATCAATGGTTCGACCCACCGAACTATTGACCCAAACAGGGCCCCCGCGGCTACACAGCTGATATCATCTACCCGCGCCCGAGCATCTCAGCGTCGGGATCGATCTTTATGCCCTGGCAGCGATTGACGATTCCACCCCATGAAGTTCTCTCACACCGCATTCGTCCTCCGCAGTATGGCAAAAAAGGTTGGTTTGATCGGCCTGGGGAGAGAGGAAAGATGGAGGAAGAGGCCGAGAAGGAAATGATCGTCTTGCAAGGCTAGAGGATCAGAAGTCATTGACCAGGCTTTCCCCCTCTCACAGAAAACAGTCAACGGAATCATCCGCAGGATGTTTGGACCCGGATGAACGATGAATCGCGGCTTTCCCTCCCCAATACAGCCCGCCTATCGCCCGCGGCGATTCCGAAGATGCCCATCGACACTGTCCCACTGCGGGACCTAGCCTTAGCGCCAACAGAGTCTTACGAGGCCGTCTCGGCTGGCCACAAGTCTGCACCACCTATCGCGGAATCACCCTGGGAATTTGGTGCTGTTCAACCGGATTTGATCTTTAGGGCATGTACGGATATTGTGCTCGAACCACCGATGGCTGGTCCAGGAGTGCTACAGCCATGATGAAGCCATGATGAAGCCAGCAAGTCGAGGGCTACGCGCGTTCTATGCTTGGAGAACGCCCCGTCGTCCTGATCCCTGTCATTTTATTTATACCCCAGTGATGTCTAACGGGTGGATTGCTTGTCTTTACGTGGCGGCGGTGGGTCATGCTGCAGTTGCCCATGTTCCTAGTGGCTAGTGGGACGATTGCCACATCTTTTCCTCCTTGCTTGGCTTGTTGTCATCAATCAATGTATTGGGTGGTTGAGTACGAAAACATTCATTGTTCGACCGCTCGTCTTTGATCGTGCCTTTCAATTCTTCTTTGAGGACTTGCGATTTCGTACTAAAGTGCTTCGGCGGCGATAAGCAAAAAGAACGGCCGATGCCGTTCGATACTCCATTCCGGATTCTTCTCGACATCCTCCCTCGACGGTGCCCAATCCTTAAGGCCGGTCAAGACAAACCCGTTCTCCAGCAGCAAGGAGACATATGTCTCCGTAGTTCGGTGATACTTTTTCACGCCTTCAGTCCCCAGCCAGCTGGTCACTCGCCACCCTTCTTCACTGTAGGAGTTCAATGGCCACACTGTGTCCCCCTTCACAGACGTCCAATCTGGCTCCGGGTTGACAGGCGCAGAAAAGATGGGGTGCTCGACTGAAAATACCAATCTCCCTCTCCCTGGCCCATTTCCCTTCCTCAAAGAGGCGTGAATCTGGCGAAATAGCCGCCCAAGGTCCTCGATATAGTGGAAGGTCAACGAGCTATAGACCAGATCGTACGATTCGCGCTCGGCGGCACTATCAAGAATAATGCTTCCTATGTCGTGCAACTCATAGCAGAAGTTCTCTCTAGTCTGGACCTGGTTCTCCTTCTCGTCAAGAGACTTAGCCCGTTCGATCATCTTCGCTGAAATGTCCACGCCCTTCACGAATTCGACCTTGTTCTCCCGGGCCCAGCGGACAAACCAGCCATAGCCACTCCCAAGATCAAGAACCCGGGATCCTTGCAGCCTCATTTCGTCGGAGCCTGCGGATGGATGCAATATCATATCCTGCAGAGTGGGCCATTCTGGTGCGGCGGCGAATCCGTGCTGAGAGCGTGGAAGGGTGCTGTATGCGGAAAAGAATTGAGGGTCATCGTAGATGTTCTGCGCCTGGGAGAACATGATGGCGAGGATTAACAACGTGACTTTCTAGGCACTGAAAACCTGACTATTGGAGACCTGGCAATGCCGTCTCCCATATAGACGATATTTTTATTGGGGCGGCGGAAACGATGAGCGTCCGACGTCCCGACGTCTGTGGGGTTGAACTTGCCTGATTCGGAGTCCGACTTTCACGAATTTCCCGAGGAGTCATATTATACGCTACTCTCTTCTACGATGAAGTTTAATTTTAAAGTATCCCATTGCTTCAGATGGATCTTGTTAGCAAGTATCAGAATTGTGACATGGCCAATAAAACAATGCTTTGTCTGAAAGACCAAGTATATAGATCATGTGACGCATATCAAGGCTGTTTTGGTCTCAATACGATGTTGTTATAGTATTAGTCAAGATGAGGCTGTGCAAACCGAAACATAGTCTTGGATAGCCCTGATCTATTGGTCGTCCAGCGTTGGCTTGAATAGGCACACGTTCAGGATCCCGGGCGCTCTAATTTACTATCAGATTTATGAATGTGGGTGGGTATATTTACCAGGCCGGGATAGAATTCCCTCCAATTTACCGAACTAAAGGTGCACGCCGTGGAAGATGAGTATCGTTCTCTGCCTCTCCACGAGATGACGACTCCGCTTAACGGCTCTGTCCAAATATAATAAGTGTAAGAAGGTCAACTGGCCAATGACGACATGACGCTGTGTCTCCGGTGCTGGTTGGCACGTGATGTCAAGCTTGGAATTGCTGGTCTGGTGTCAACCAAGGTGTTGCGCTGGACCACAAGGGCCTAGGCTATGCGGGCTGCAACAACCGGCCCGGAGACGCCCCCTCCCTTCCTTCTTCCCCCTTTCCACCAAGCTAACTAACTACATTTAGACTCAGTTAGGCGGGCGGGAAAAAATCGCCGAGGCCCAGAATTTGGCAGCCTCTGCTGACCCAGCGACTGACGCGGCCTGGCGGCAACCACCGTGTTACGGATTAAGATGAAGAAATTTTAAACAGTGAATCCCTATGCAAATCTATTTTTGTCCTTGGTGGCTTGATATTCTAAGTGCTCCGTAAATGCCTGATTTCGGAGATAATGATGGGTTTGCAGTATCAGACTTCGATCGATCCCAGCTCGACCTATCGTAGCCTGTTTGGTTGTCTCTCTTCATGCAAGTACCCTTCCAGGCTACCACCAGACTGATAAATATAACAGCGCGCGAGTAGAGGCAGCTTGCAAGGTAATAATAGAAAAGTGGAACCTGCAACACAGATCTGAACAGTAATGCCAAGGCATGTCTGCCCACCCCACAAATGGGCCCGGCTGAAATGCCGATCCTGTTCTGGATAAATGGACAGCGCAGTATACGAAGGTTGAGACATGCCCGGTTGAAATGAAAGACAATTAAGAAGGCTGTATTTATCTCACTCTGACATAAAAATATGAGAAACATATGCAATGCGGTGTATCCGACGATCTTGACCTGGTCAGATTCACAATCGCCGCTGGCTTTGAGGCTGACAATCTTCGCGTGACACAATCTTGCCAACTCACTATGAATAGAAGCTCCGTTGACATTAATCTAGACTCGCTTCATTCTACTTGAGACACAGATCTGGATGGCCATGGGAATGAAGACTGTTGCGTCTGGAAGGTGTCGGGGAGTCTCTCCCCGCGTACGTTGAGGACTTTGATGGAGACCAAGGTCAGATTACGGCTTTGAAATAAATCCAATGTATCTGCAATGAAGCAAGAGAGACATATTCATGAAATTTTCGATGACTTGCTCTTCAAAACGCCATTTTATAGCTTGTCTGGATTGGCTTTGTAGGATTATTATGCAGTCGGTCGGACGCGGTACTGATTCGGGGATTGATTGCGAGGATTGCATCGATCAGACCAAAGTATGAATTTCAACATAGAGCTTTTTTATGAAAATGCATATATTTACAAGCATCATCGTCATCGCAGACAGCAAGATCGCCTCACAATCAAATACAGGCGTCGCATGCAACGAATATATCATATCACCTTTGCCGTTCCCGAACCTATCTTTCAAAGAGACTTTCTGAGCTCAAACACTGTCACATACAACCATCATAATACATACAGATTTGGTTCATCAATACATACGCTTATTGCTAGGTTTCGATGTCTACTCGTTACTATCTTGATAATTTTTGCTCGCTCTGCGAGATGACCCTGCCAGCGTCTTGGCTAATCCCACGATAAATCCGACCGCTACATACGTAGCTTTCTGGTGATATCTAAGCCAAGAGACTCTTTGAATAAGGAATCTTAGCCTCTCGTTTCTAAGCTTGGTTCGTTTTACATGATGGATATTTCCTGCAACTGCTTGAACATGATTTCTGTTCTTTCAACAGGAGAAGTTATCGCCAATTTTCAACGGACAATAATCTCCAGGCCAGAACCAATTTATGCAATCATGGGTGTCAATACCCAACGAGGCTTGCTCAATATTTTTTTTGAAACTTAATATTCTTCGCTGGCTGGCGAATATGCCATTTCAAGCCGTGGGAGCCGCGATTGTATCTTCCAAATGGAGTTGCTTTCGTTGAAGCCTCTCAGCCACGGAAAAGTCTCTTGCGACCGGAAACACCCTGCGACCGGTGTGTTCAAACCGACAAAGCAGGTAGCTACCCTAGGAGCTAAGGTAAGCTCTTGTTGAAACGAAGCCGAAATGTTTATTGGACTGGTAATTCAAATGACGGGAAGGCTTCGTGGCAAATTACCACGCCGAGTCGATGACTCGTTGTCGCCATCCTACCATGGGCATCGTGCCTAAGATTTTTCTAACTCCTCAGTAAAAAAAGAAATATCTCCATCGACAGAAGTCCTTTTTAAACTGGAGAAGTACTGACTAATTGGATGACCTCAAGTGGAGCCACCGAGGGTAATGCAGGATTCTCGTCCTAGGCAAGCGCTTGTCGAGGAACCGAATCGATTCCCCAGATCATTGTCCCGACCTGTCATCCAGGGGCAGCATGGCTCTCAATGACACTGGCCTCACGCTCGGGTCGAAGATTTCCCTCCCAGTCTCCTATATCGTCGCGTCCTTTCTCTCAGTCGCCCTCTACAATGTGATCGAGTTAACGATTACTCTCTTCCTGACCTTCAAACGTCGACGCGGTCTCTATTTCTGGAGCTTCTTCGTCGCAACCTGGGGGATTGCCATTTATGCCGTCGGTTTCATTCTCAAAGACTTTGGGCTAGCAACGTCGATCTCATATTTTTACGTCACTTTAATCGTCGTGGGCTGGTGCATGATGGTCACAGGCCAGTCATTAGTCCTTTACTCCCGGCTTCACCTAGTTGTGCATAGTCGTCTCATACTCCGTTTGGTCCTTGGGATGATCATCACCAATGCGATAATACTCCATATTCCGACCATAGTGCTTTGTTATGGAGCCAACTCTCCATCATTTTCCCGCTTCGAAACACCATATTCGGTGTACGAAAAAATTCAAGTCTCAATATTTTTCGTCCAAGAAACCATCATTTCGTATATTTACATCCATGAAACACGAAAATTACTTCGTTGTGAGCGCGAATTTGTTGAGCTTAATGGCGACTCTGGCAAACGACTCCTACTTTTTTTGATTTTGATTAACGTCACGGTGATTATATTGGACATTTTCATATTGGTACTCGAGTATGTGGGCCGATATACGTCACAGACTGCAGTCAAAGGATTTATATACAGCGTGAAGTTGAAGCTGGAATTCACAATTCTGAATCGTTTGGTTGAGTTTGTCCAGAGATCACGATGCTCTGTTTCGAGTTTGGTCGATGGAAGTGGCTCTCAACATAGTTGGAATATCCGACACGAGGAACAAAGCACTGAAATTCGTCATCGTCGTTCACATTGTTCTTTTGCTGTTTTCGCTCGCAAGGTTCATCATGAGCTTGGAATATCTGCCGAGAAATATGTTCTGAAGGTTACGCACATTGTGAAGAGGAAGCAGGTTGTTGGAGCTTGTGCGGCGTCAAGCTGAGTTCTAATAATGCCCGAGACCGGGTTCTAAATATATGAAAAAGACCAACAAATTCCTTTTCAACACGAGACTGAAAAGTATTATTCCTCTAACTACAGTCAGTACCCTCGTGCCTCCACTCACCAAGAGACAAAGTTCTATTAAAGTAGGCGAAAGGCTAGGCTTCACAAGATTTACACTCTATCGCTCTTTCTCAGCGCCACAGTATGATACTAGTCTAGACCTGGTACTAGCCTTGATTTTCACTATGCTGGCACTGTTACCGGCATAAAAATACACGAGTTAGGGTAAATTATATATGACTAGAGCAGTGCGAAACGTCTTTAGAAACCAAGGCTGCAAAATAGTGGCAGCTCGCCCTAATTCCGAAAAGAACCACCAATCTGAAGTGCATAAGAAAATATATATAGTGTTGGGAAATCCGCCAAGCTGTAGGTGCTTAGCCTTGAACCTTTTGCCAGCCGTACTGTTGGTTACCACTTTCCATAATACCCATGAGATGGTAATCGAAGAGGGCAAGTGCGAATCTCAGAATTTCATGATAGTAGTCTTGTCGGACGGGCGTGTATGTTGCCATGAAAAACTCAAAGCTCTGGAAGTGATGACTGAGATTCTGGGCAAAGGCACGCGAGGCATATTTTTCACTCCACGCATTGTCTCTCATAATAACTCGAACGAGGTTCAAGTAAGCGGATCCATCATCGCGGCTCTCGAGGGACTCAAGGTCTTTGTGTAACCCGATTATATCGTGAAAGAGAGCAATGAAAATAGAGATTTGAATAAGACACGGGTCCTCCGGAAGGTAGAGTTCAACATGGGCTGGTTGAAGAAATAAAAGGAAAATCATAGAGGTACCAATAGTGAAGCCTCTTGTCCGCAAAATGTTCTGTGATGTTTCTTCCGCGCAGAAGATGTTACCTTCTTCATACTGTTTATCGAAGAAAAGGCTTAGTGTGTCGACACACAACTGGACATGCCGAGCCGAAAGCAGTTTCCTCTTAAGGGGCATAAGATCTTGGGCAAGGATTTCTTGTGCATTTATAGCCATCTGAAGTAATTCCTTAGGACAAAGTCTCTCGATTGCATCAAATCAGTGACAGGAAGCCCATTCATGATATTTTTCAGATTGTCAAGGTACGTTCTCTCGAGATTTTCGTGTAACTGATGAATTGGTAATTTCTCGCAGACCTCATCCATCAAGAAGACCCACGATAAATGTCGGTGGAGAAGAACTCTCCGGTCGTATGATATATTAGTTTGAAGAGAACAATAGCGAGACATGTCAATCCCTAACTGAGCGAGGTGCTGGGGAAGTGTTTTGAAAAACTTCCATGCACGGATATCATTAGAAAGTTGACCTTCGATCTCTCGATCAAATGAAACTCCGATGTTAGGTGGGAAATATATAACACAATCGTTGGGAGAATCAGTCATTGCTAGCTGAGCCTTTTCGTGGCTACTTGAGAACCTCAGATTTAAGTCGGTTTTTTCATGTCTGAAAGAAATATATTCGTTGTCGATGTAATAGGGTAGATCTCGTTGAAAGGCGGGAGGAATGTAAGTTGTAATTTTCTTCTGAGAGAGGTTCTGCATAGCACACATCATTTTCTGGTTTAATTCAACAGCCATATCGACAACATCATTAGTTTGTGCGCAACTTCTTCCTTTAAACTATATTAGCGATGATCTTTCTAGCAAAATGGAACTAGCTTTTCGTTCTCTTATCTGAGGACACGTACTTTATAACGTAAGGCTGCCAGACTATGGGGACTTCCAAGGATATTCCTTACTTCTGGGCAACACATCTTCACATTATTAGTAACAAAAGGGAAAGGAGAATATCCCCTCTTGAATGGATGTAGTCCTGTGGCTAGCTCTCATCAGATAGCTGGTGACTGCGGTGGAATGTGATCATGCTGATCTACCAACGACGAGCCATTGATTCCTTCCTTTTTAGTCAATCCTTACATTAGACTTTCTTGCAGTTACTCGGTTTTCTGCAGCCTTAGGCCAGAGGGGAAGGGATTGGCCTGAGTTTCTCTTAATAGTCCGACTCGCGCTAACCCCTCTCAATAGCGACTAATATCTAGCCTGGAAGCGACGTAGTACAGCGACACGTTTGATAATTCTCAATACGCCACTCTATATGCTCCCATCTCATTTTAGTCTTAGTGACATATCTACTTCCCCTCCCCCTACCTAGTACATAATAGCTTAGAGTGGGATCATTACGCCTAGACTACTACCTATTGTAGTGGGAATACAGACTATGCTATGCGATCTCTCATTGGATGGTGTTTCCTCCCATACACAGTCGTTACTAATATAGCCTCAGATCTCAGATAGAGGGAAATATAACTTCTACACACTTCTACCAAAATCAGTATCTGTTTCTTCTTTGGGCATGCCGCCCTCCTAGTATGGTGGTTAGGTGGTTTGTTCGCCGATTTTCTCATCCTGTCTACTTGCCAAACTTTGCCTCCGAGCACCCTGGCTCACTATATGGCATTATCATATCTCTTTAACTCCAAGATATTACCTAAGACTATCATAAGCTTCAAAACTCGATCCCGTGATACAAAATTCTGAATCTTAAATATAGACTCTGTTACTTTTGTTATTTCTATCTCGAAAGCTAATTTTAGGGATATTATCGATACGTTTTTAGGAAGCGCCTCTTTTTCAATATACTCTTTTAAGATCCTGCCCTTAAAGGAATTTTAAGGCTCAGTGTATAATTTATAGAATTAATTAACTCTATAACTACTATGCTAGTAAAATATAGTACTAGGGTATCTTAGTAAATATATCCTTTCTATATCCTAGATTCATAACTTCTTACTAGGCTACTTGCTATTTTACTGTAATTAATAATCTTATTAACAAATTTTTAGATAATAGTTAGAAAGTTACTCTAAGCTAAACTTTTCTAATTACTTAACAAGTCTTTTAATAAGTTTTACTAGGCTCTTTCCCTACTACAGTATATAGAGGTAAATCTGATTTTAATTATTACTGTCATAATTACGTTTCTATATTCTATTAGGTTTAGATTACTTACTTTCTATTTTTAGGAGATAGATTGTTATGGAATTGCCACATTTGATATAATTCCAGCCGACCGGCTTGTTTCGGGTACGAATCGTACGCATAACGATATTTGTTCATGAAGAACAAGTTGGAATCGGACTCCTTTATCGTCATACCTTCGACAGGCAGCGGAATGATAACATTACGGTTATAGAAAGAGAATCCCCCTTTCTTTCGAACTGAATCACTTCAATATTCAATTATTGAAATAATATACTCTTACTATTCTCTCTTGATTTTATTACGATTCAATATTGTATCTATTTTACCTTACCTAACCAACAGGCCGCTAGTTACCCTGCAAGTAGCACCTTAACATAGATAAAAAGGAAGAAGTACGTATATTATAAAGAATCTATTAGTAAAGAGGGAGGCCTATATAAGCTAAAGTACTTTTTAATTAGATCTTAGGATATATTTGATCTAATTCTATCGAAGGTTAACTAGTTAACTAGTTACCGATAGAATAGTGCTTAGCTAAGATCGATACTTAAGTTCTTCCTAAATATAAAGTACCCGCAAATTAACTTCAAAAATAACGTTATTTAAGTTTACGGCTATAAAAATAGAAAAGGTTAATATGTTAATTAAGTTATAAATTTTGAGGTGTATAATATGCTTATAAACTAGTACTATCTCGATGTCAGAACTACTTTGATTTCCCATTATGAACAGGTATATATGAAGCATTTCTTGCCTGAAGGTTATAGAGATTGGGTATAGTGGCATTTCATTCGACCAGGATTGTAGATCTCGAGGAAGGGTTCTCTAGTTCAGAGAGAGTTCAGCGACATATCTGAACCCATAGGTGTATGGTGACAAGAAATCCGTCCGTTGATGCCAGCACTTCAAGTCTAGGTGAAGGCTTGAAACCTGAGCCTTCTGCTAGTTCCGGCCTGCTATATGAGCGGCCTGGACACTACATATTTCCATTGTATGACATGCTGTGAAAGCCTGCCAAAGGGCGACGGCGTTTATGTACATAGCGAATAAGATACAGACATGAAATATCTGATGTGAGCTGCCCCAAATATCGAATCTTCCTGGAGCAAAACGTTCTGGAGTTCGGGACTAATTCGCTCATTAGATCTTCTGGATCTACACTCAAAGGAGGAGGAAGGGGGAAAGGGGTCAGCTTACCCCATAAAGACCAGCTCCACCGCCGTAGACGACAAGCTCCACTAGATACCATTTCATTCCAGAATATTTCAGCATGTAATCGAGCCCAAATAGCTGAACTCCATGCATTAGGGGAATAAATGCTGATGCACCCAGTGCAACATAAGCGCCTACCCTCACTTTCCTCCAGCGAAGCGTTCTGAAGGTAGGTATCGAGATCAGGGCAGCGGTGACTGAGCCTGAGGCTACGATCTAGAATTCATGTCAGCATCTGGCATACGGCAGAGTCAAAACCCAACATTTGAAAATAAATGTAGCTTTGGGGGTGTTCATAATGACTAACAATTGCCCAATGAAATTTTTGCAGGCCCGGGTCACAGTAGAAGATATAATAGATACCCGGAATAAATGTGCCCACGGTGACAATAACAATTCCCAGTAAGTCCATTCGATGCCAGAACTGTTCAACGCCATGCGAGTGGGGTCCTATTAGGTGGTAGGTTGCACTGAAGACCAAACAACACTCCGCACACCAAAAGAAAATTCGGAACATGGCATAGTCTGTCCCCGACACATTGAGAAAGTGAGGTTCGCCAACGGCCCGCATGAAGACGGTCGCGATGAATGGTAGAAGTAGAGCCCCAATGAGGTGGGTGTACACATTGCAAGTCTCGTTGTGCAGGAAAGTTAAACTGGTGACAATCTCCAGGTAATCTGCCTTGTCCGGGCGATAACCAGTGAGAATATATTTGTTATCCCGTTGCCTCTCTGATATTTCGTGCCAGGTCACAGTTCGTGACTTAGTGCCCGGAGGAGTGGTGGGCTTTGTGGGTGCCTCCATGGCGCCGTTACAGTCGCCTTGCACGTGTCGTTTCCTAATTTCTTGCCCAGCCATTATCTCTCCAAACGGGACCTTAATATGAGACGATTTTACCGTCCAGGAAGGAGCACTTAGGTAGTGGCCCGGGGACGAAGGGCAGATATTCCTGGGGGCGGCTGGTTTTTACTGGAAGGGGAACAGAAGAAAGAACACGTGTCGCAGCGAAGATGTGAAAATGTGACTCAACATGCATTAGTACGGGACACGCGAGTCATTTGTATCTGCAGGGGCTGGGACGTTTCAGCTGTTCAGTGGGTTGGGCGAAGAGCCATCTTTTGAAAGCCTGGTCAGCATATAGGTCGGGAAGATTTGAATTCCGTGGGTTAAGTGTCTGTCCCAAGGTTGGGTTGCGAATCAAAGCTACTTCACCTTGGTTGAACACGCTGAATGGAGCGGCGCCTGGAGAGTTCAAACGTCGAAGGCACCGTGAAAGGTGGGGACAACAGGCACCTGGGCTCCACACCTGGCCGAGTAGTCCCGGAACCCAAAACACTACATACATTGTTACTAAGTACCTCTATATACGCGTTCAAATCCATTTTATTTTTAGTATGCCAGTATGTGCATGGCGTCAGACAACGGAACATTTTTTGCAATCACCTCGTTCGTACTTCAGATGGGCAAGGTTCAGCTTAGATTGTGTCGAGAGGGAAGACCGCATAACACAGGCGAGACCCACTTTCTCCCCGTGTGCGTCAGATTGTTACAGGGATACTCGATTTACTACACATTTTGTATGATAATCCGAGTATACTCGAAAACCCAGCGCCGTAACACGCTAGACAGCCAGGCAGGGGATATCTAACATTCGCCCGGCTACACACGGAGATAGTTCAGTCATCCAAGGCATCATCAGGTTGAGCATCTCGTTCCATTGGATCCCAGCTTCCCTAGCCGATACCGTTTCCTACTATACTGACAGATTGCTTCAAAAGTATTCAAACTGAGCACGGATGTCCAAGTGGATACCGCCAGCGTGAAAATCGTCGTGCTCTTTCAAGCAAGTTTGAATGAAGTCAATCCAATGTTGTAGAGCTATGCCAGGAAGATCCAGAACATAAGAACGAGAGATGCCTGTCGTGATGCGAGCGGCTAACGTGGGATGTGATTTGAATTCAAGAGTTCGGCGATTCGCCCACCCCCTGCAAGAGGACTCGTAAGAGCCGTACAGAATACTTCGTAATACGGAGTCCCTCCAGATCAAAGGCTAATATCGCCTCGCCTGAAGAAGGGCTTTCACTTTGCAAGTTACTTACGCCCCGCCCCCCTTTTCCCCTCGGAAACGACTAATAGATAAGACGTGTCTCTCGAATCTCGTGGCAAGACTGGCGTTTATTACGTCTTTGAATCTTAAACCAGTGAGCCATAGACTTGAGGATATGGATCGAGTTGAGCCTCAGAGTCTTTTAAAGACGATTCTTGGCTTTTTTGCTCAAAGGCCATCTGAAAGGTCGACGCGGCCCCCCTCGTTGAGGTCGCAGGCGCGCGACGCCTGGGTGCGAACGGACGCGTATCTGCAGCACGAAACCGATGATTTGGACGAAGCAGACCCCAAGCAATTAGAAAGAACATTGACAACATTTGAGAATCTTATTCAGTATGGTTCTGATATAGAAGAAAACTCTGTAAGTAATTCTGTTTTATGGAAATTCCCCTTTCTAAACTTTTCTCTCACCTCCCGCTAACAGAAGACCGGGGATAAGAGCGTACAAACCGATGTTCCGTATCCAAAGCTTCATGCGGTTCGTCACATAATCCAACGTCCAAATAATGATGCGTACGCCAGAAGACGATCAAATATTCGCATAAGCAAGCGCAAGCGAGATAATGATGCTGTTATTGAAGAGCTCTCACGCCTTGAAACGGAGGCAAAAAAGCGCCGAGTGCTGCCCCGCGAGGAACCAAACATGGCGGACGAAATGGATGAGCCTGAAGCAGATGATGCTATTTTGATGCGCAAACACTCGGTCTCATTGCATCAGGCGTTGCGGACCCATTGGACTTGTGTGTGTCAGAAATGCTCGGGCTTGAGCGTGAGACTTTCACTGCCCCAGCGGAAAAGGAGCTCTCAGATAGAAACTTCCTTCGAAGTATTTTTTTGGTATACGTTCCCTTCTTGCAATAACATTACAAGAGGCAAAAATCACGGTCAAGTAAGGCTTGAGTCTTTTTTTTTTTTTTTTTTTTTTTTTTGAAACGAATTTCACTGAGACTTTCGGATTAGAGACGTACAGAACAGCAAGACTATGACCGAGGCACCAGAGTTTGCACATATCTGCCAATGTATCACAGAATCGCTAAATCAGCAAAACTGCTTACACCTAGCTTTTGAGGATGGCCAGTTCCAGAGGCTTCGCCCACAACCAAAGACCTACGACGACTCTCAAAAACCCATGATGGTGTCTTTGTCAGCCCTGTTCAAGCGTCAACAAGAATTACACGGTGGTTCATCTGTTTTGCCGCTTAAGGGGAAGAGAATATTGGCAGTCATACTTGCCACAGCATTACTTCCGTTGCTGGAGACCCCGTGGGTGCAGCCTTCCTTTGATCACTCAAAGATTCAATTTTTCCAGCCACTTCATGACGGAGAGCTACCGGATATCACAAAGCCTTTCCTTTCTATGGTAAAAGCACCAGTCATCTCGGCGAGGACGGCGGGCTCTGAAACCAGCCAAAACGAGACGGCGAGCTACAAACATATGGTGCATCCCAATGCCAGTGTCTTAGCGCTAGGGATCCTCTTGTGTGAGCTTCACTATTGCAAGCCCGTGGAGTCCTGGCAAAAAAGGACAGAGACAGCCCGAAATATCAACACTGATTACTATACTAGCCTTGATCTTCTAAAACAATTGGAAGGCGATGTAGGCGCCGATTATTATCTCGCGACGAAAGCATGTCTGCAATGGGAGTATTTCCCGACTGGTGAATCTACTAGCTTTGAATCTGCTACTGTTCAGAAACTATTCTACCAAAAGGTTGTCAAAAGACTTGAGTCTGAGATATTCAAGTCATGGAACATTCGACTAGAAGATCTGAATTCTCTCGACTCTTTTGAAAACGAACGCTGCTGGGGCCTAATCGGCCGAGAGGTAGTCCACCGACAAACGATAAGGCACGGATCCTCGGCTAGCAGTAATTACGAGATGGTGGCATCTTCTGGGCTCGCCTCTGATATGAAATTTTGGGACCATTCCTTGGAAGATGCGAGGATGCTTATGAGAGTGCCGACTCGGAACTCTCAATGTGTTCAAAAGCACCCGAATCTTATGGGACCATCTAATCAAAATCTCTACCTTTTTGATGCAAGTCAACCCATAGCCTCCGAGCAAGAGTAAGGAACCTGTCGCTTTCCTAGGATCCCTATGCTAAAACTTTATCAGGGTTGAGCTTTCCGAAAGATGGATGAATAGTCTTTTGTTGTCCATTCATTCTCATGTTGAACCGATGGAAATTTTGACGCAGTCATCAGGAGTATCTATCATTAATGAATCGTGGGCATCTGAGAGAGTCCGAATAGCAATCTTGGACTGTGGATTTGATACCAAGAACCCGCTCATAATCGATGATAGCCAACAACTTGATCCGCGCATTAAGGGTGTGCGAAGCTTTGTACATGGAACAGACCCGATGGACATGCAAGATGAAATTGGACACGGCACTCATGCTCTTGGAATTCTCCTCAAAGTGGCCTTGTGCGCCGACATTTACATTGCCAAAATTGTAAACCAGGAAACATTGGGCCGCGACAGCTACGACGCTATCACCGCGGTATGACATGGCTCACTATCCAGTTAGAATGATACAACTGCTAATCCTTTGAACAGGCCATCAACCACGCAGTTAGTGAATGGAACGTGGACGTCATATCGATGTCTTTTGGAATCCGTGAATATTATGAGCCTATGAAATCAGCAATATCGAATGCGTTAAACAATCAAACACTGGTGTTCGCTGCGGCATCGAATGATGGAGCAAACTTTGGACGCGCCTTTCCCGCCAAATATCCAGGCGTTTTCTGTATACATTCGACCGATGGAAACGGAAATCCTTCTGCATTTAATCCCACAGCGGAGGAAAAGGATGTCAACTTTAGTCTGCTCGGAGAACATGTTCGCTCTCACTGGCCCGCTGGCAAAAATGGGCACAACGACATTGTCAATATCATGTCTGGAACTTCAGTGGCAACCCCAATTGCTGCTGGGCTTGCTGCTTCGATTCTGTCATTTGTGCGACAGCAGGACCAGGGTATACCTGACGGAAGTGATCTGCTGGGGTTGTGGTTGAAGGACGTTCATGCGATGGATGCTGTATTGAAGAGCATGGTAAGACAACGGAGGGGAGTGGGATATGACTACATCACCCCTCATCTCCTCCTTGATACGAATTGCTCAAGTGAGCACGTTTACAACAAAATCAAAGATATCAAAACCCACATGTATAATTAGAAGGATCGACTTCAGTTCATTGACCCCTGAATTATGAGCTTCTCCCGTATAACAACGGACTTGGATGAATACAAAAATCAGCTTGGAATGCAGTAGATATTATCACATTCGCTTATATCAGGGACAAGTGTCGCATTCGGGATGTCAGAGCCATCCAAATCGTCCACCAAGACACATTCTATTCCCCTAGTCCTGTTTTCTCCAATCGCCAACAAAGCACCTTTATTGTATTCTTTAGCCTCAACCTTCCGTCCAAATCTGAGTCTTTTGACGCGAAAGGCGAAAACAAACTCAGAATTTCGACTGAATTCCGTCTCATCACCATTGGTTTTGGTCCAGTGCGCCTTAGGTCCTGCAGTAATGGCAAGCGGAGCTACATCAATGCCGATGTTTCCGGTGACTCCCTTGGTGCCCGACACTGAGTACTTTATTTTCGCGCCCTTAACGAGCTTCATACCCGTGACCAGATAAAGGGATACAACAGGAGAGAACCGCTGCTTTGGCTCTTGTAGGTAGGCCTGCACAGCAGGCGCCTTAACAGCATCGTCGATAAACTGCGGCGTCGGCTCAAATGACAAAGTCGTGACTGTGTCAAACGCGAATGTATCCGCAGTTTGACTGGATTTTTCAAATTGCACCTCAGGGCGCAAACCCAACCCTCCTGTAGCAAGCTGGAGGAATTGCGCGTAAACGCCACACCCGATTCCTGTCTCAGCTGAAATAGTCTTCTTCCAATCAGTTTCCACCACTGGTGGGTTTTCATTAACCACCGGAACGATATTTGAACGGTTGAGGGGGAACTGCGGGGTTGATGTCGACCGAATTATAGAGCCCAGGCAGAGGGGGCCAGCTGAAGGAGGATGAATGAAGTCGGACGTCGGGCAAAGAAAATAAGTCTTGGTGAAAGGCATGGTTCGCGGGTTTCTGATTCAACATTTGAATTTCTTTGGGGTATATATTTGTATTGTACGGGGCCAAGGTTTGGGTTAATAAAGTTCCACTTAGCGCCAGGAAAGCAGCAGGCACCTGTAGCCCTGTGTGATCAAAGGATTATGTGACTGGTAATATGCCTAACCGCCCAAGGCCTTGGGGTGCGTACCGAGATGACGGTAAGTTTATATGAAAAAGACGAATAATGCACGTCCACAGGAGCGATGTTGTAATACAGTAATACAAAGCCAAGGAATAAAACAGTCAAACGTACGTGTCTACTGTCTTATCTGCTGAATGAGGGGAAGAACCTTTTTACCTAGAACGCTCTGCCTTGATTCGTCACGTGGGCGCTAGTGATTCGCGTACTCTTGAGCCTGACTTCGGCATCTTAGAAGCCTTCCAAGTTCCAACTTAGCCTTTGTCTCGTCCAAAGTAAAGGAAGTCTATCAAGACACCTAAAGCACCCCACGGTGTGGATATTCCAAGGTTTAGCGCAGCCAAAAGTAACGATCAACGGCATAGTCTCCTCGCCAGGGCTTTACTACCAAGTCATGGAGCTTGATTCCATGGAAGATGTCTTTCTTCGAGACAATGCTGGCCCGACCATCGCAGAACACAGCTTGAAGTGTAGTAATTCCTTCAAGAAATACATGGTCATGCCTGCGATTCTATCAGATCCGACGTTGATAGACGATCAGCACGCACGTTTTATGTTATGGGCATCGAACATGGATGTTTTTGGGCCGCCCCACGTCTCGTTGGATTACAGACTAAGATACAGTCCAACGATAGTGGAGATTATCCATCAGCTCTTGGACGTAATCTCTGATTCTTTGAATTATCGTAAGTACTTACTCAAAAAATAAAGTGCTAAACTGAGCCTTGACCTAATGGGAGTGTCAATACTATACAGTCCAGCCAATCGACGATCTACCACTGAGTCCAAGCATGAAGAAACGACGCATATTAGGAGCGGCTAATATGGAGGTCACTAAGAGAGCCGATGATGATTCAAGTGATAAAGAAAGTGATTATGATCAAGGCGAAAAAAATGTTTATTTAATCAGCGATATTATTGGAGGCACTGTGACGCGACTGTTCCGCTTGTCAAATGCTATTAGGAAATCCGCTAAAGCTTCAAGGACAACCAGAATAGACGGGTACAGATATGATGAAGAAACGAACAATGCTGTCGCAGAATTGCGAAATTACACCGAGTCCTACATTCGCTTCCGATTTCCCCAGGCACCAGAGGCCCTTCGCTCAGCTTTAGTCGAGGCCAATGCACTGCGACTTCGACGACTATGTTACCAAAGATCACATCGGAGACGCATTGCACTCAGCTTTCAGAATCCACAATCAGGCCCGACACATGTCCAGACACCTATTCCATTGGCTAGCGACTTAGCAATTCAATCCGCACAAAGCATACCACCAAAACCAAAGATTATTGATAAAAACTTGAACCCGAAACAAGCCGGCCCTCCACCCGCCCCGATGACATATGCAACCACCGCTCGACAAACCGCCGTCAGAGATATATTCGCTAACTCCGTTATGGAGGTTCCGCGGGCAAAGTCTATCCTGGTCAATAATAAGCTATCGTTCCCCCCAGTACCAACAACAAGTGAGTGCCCGTACTGTGGTGTAGTTGTTGAGTTTGAGAAGACTGCAAAATTATCTGTGTGGAAGTAAGTACTCTGTTTACCAGTCCGGCTAGGATAATATCAAGTCTAATCAATTCATTGTAGCGAGCATGTCCTTAGGGACTTGGAGCCCTTTGTCTGTCTCTTTCCTCCCTGCATCGACTCAGCCAATCCCACGCCTGGGTCTCTGACATTCGAAACCTCGAATGCCTGGATGAGCCACATGCAGAGTGCCCACGGATATGTATGGGAATGTAGAGCCCCTTCTCACGACCCAATGATCTATGAGGATGAGGCCGAATTCCAGAAACACTCTTGTAACGAACATGGCGTCCCTGAAGCGCATGTTGGAACGCTAAGTGGTGCAGCCAGAAGACCGGCTCTTGAGAAGATACTGGAATGCCCGTTTGGAGATGACTTTTCAGCCCCGGAAAATGCAGACAAAAGCAACCTTTTTTTAAACGGGGCTCTCCATCAACATGTCGCGACCCATATGAAACAAATAGCCTTACTTGCTTTGCAGAAATTACCACACGGCGATGAGGAAGACTGTGAGGATGTCGCTAGTGACGCCCCATTGGACGATGTCAGATTTCCAGAACTGCGCAGATCTATGTACAGTCTACTGGATGATGAAACTCTAGAGTTTGAAGATACAGTTGAGGATGGAGTTTCAAATACTCTCGAAGATCGCATCATGTCATCTGTTGGTAGGCTCGGTCTTGAGGACAGAGATCTAGAGGGAATGACGAAGCTTCACCGCGCAGTACGTGATAATGAGTTTATGGTAGTCCAGTCTCTCATCGAGCAAGGTGCAAATTTACGCAGCACATCGAATGATGGGAGAACCGTATTACATTATGCTTCGATAGATCGGTCTAAAGGCGTGGAAATGATCAAGCTGCTGTTGAATTCTAATGCTCAAGAGGCCTTGGGCTTGGTCGATGAAGATGGCCAAACACCCCTGCATTACGCCGCAAAAGCAGGCTTCGCTGACGCGGCAGATCTATTGATTGCGTCTGGGCTCTCTGCAGACAGCCTTGACAGGTTTGGATTCTCACCATTCATCTGGGCTGTCATTGTTGGAGATATAACCGCGACTCGTCTGTTCTTGTCCCACGGTAGTAACGCAAACTCCACCAGCTCAGATGGAAAATCCGCGTTGAGCTGGGCAGCAAGCTTAGGCCACACATTAATTGTTGAATTGATATTGGAGATGAGGGCTGAGGTCATGTCTGCGACCACGAAGGCTCGGCTGATTCCTTTGGAAGAAGCGGCCGCATATGGTGACGTTCGCACTGTGCAATTTCTCCTTCACTTCGGTGCAGATCCAAACTACCGTGATCGCGATGGATGGTCCGCAATACATTGGGCGGCTGAACAAGGTCATCGTGATGTTTTGCTTTTACTGTTCGAGCACGGGGCCGACATCCATGCAGTCAGTGCTTATGGTACTTCCGTTCTGCATTGTGCTGCAAATGGAGGCCACAGTGACATTGTGACAGAGCTTCTTCAACATGGGGCCGATCCTAACAAGTCAACATGCCACGGATGGACTCCACTGCACCATGCTGCGTTCATGGGACATTCCCGTGTTGTACGGGCGCTTCTGGAGAGCAACCGAATAACATCAAGCCCCGCTCAGGATAACCATGGCTGGTCAGCCCTGCACTTGGCAACTCACCGACGGCAACTAGATACCGTTATAGCCCTACTTGAAAACTCTGACATTCAAAAGGCTTATGCTCAGTGTGATGAGAGTGGCCTCACTGCGGAAGAGTGGCTAGATCTTGAGTTCGAGAGTCATTCATACAAAACCATCCGTGAGTTAGCTTTCGACAAATCTCGTTGCTGCAGGGCAGTCACAAAGCTACGGCAAGCTATTCGGGACAACCACATTGTTCTTGCACAAGTCTTTTTAAATCAAGGATGCGATATCAATGGTACAGATTCGGGAAACAGGACCGCTTTATACTATTCTGCGACAGCAGGCGACCTTTCAACAGTAGATATGCTCCTGCAGTGTGGTGCGGATCCCAATATAATCCCCGATGGGTACAGATCATGGGAAGAATTCATCTCCGACGATACAATAATGCAGCGACTTCGACGGGCTGGTCATCAGGGCATGACTTTTGATCCGGAGATAGATTACCAGATAAGGTTTGCGCTCCTGAAGCGAGGTCGAAATCACGCTTTGAGTCAGCAACCCTCGCGCCTTTCCCTGCAGCCAGCTAGCAGAAGCAGGCTGAGAGACATTTTCTGGGGAAGACGTAAGAGTACCACCCCAGAAAAGAAAACTGGGACCGAAAAATAATAGGATTACAAGAAACACATTGGATTAATAATGACGAGACGCCTTCAAATGCTAATAGAACAAATACTGGTTGATGCAGAATAGATACCTACAAAGATCAATCAGCTTATACTGTGAAAAGAACAATCCATATATTTGCTTACATATCTGATCCGAAGGGCTGATCTGTCAGAACATTCAAGCGTTTGAGCAGCGAACTTGAAACCCCTGAACAAATCAAACATTTGAAATATCTACGCACAGCGCGGAGAGGGCAAAATCTAGGACGGCAAGTTATTTCAACTCTCAAGTGCTCAATTGAATCACATATCCGAGCACTTAAGGGCCTCAATTGCTTGCAAGGTTATCTTCCAATTGGCAAGTACTTATAAATTAAATGTCGAAAGTACGTATTAGTGCATAGAACATACAGACGGTCAATGAAGAGAAGGCTCGCGCAGGCAAAATTGTTTCGCAATGATGTGTTACCGTGGAACGTTTTCCAGATATAGATATCAGACCGCAGAAGAGGACAGTATCATGTGTCAATAATTCGAGGCAGCAACTCCTTGACGCTATAAATTGAGTTGAGGTTTTTTCCTAGCGTTTTTCGGAGTTCCGCAGGCAGCGATAATTCATATTGCTTTCCGATGACCAGAAGTTCCACGAGGGCTTTGAAGGCGCGATTCTGGACCGCTCCTTCTGGTTGCTGAGATACTAAGGCACTCAAGGTTCCTGGAACTGCATCGGTAATCAACCACCGGTGGGCAGTAGGGTTCTTCTGGCATAGAATCAGACATGACATGGGAGTCATATTGAGGAATTTCTCCTGTCCTTTATCCTTCGAGCGCTCAGCAAATTGAAGAATAGCAGTAAGAAAGAGAAGTAATCTGTGTGAATCATGATCCATGCTGATGGCTTCAAGCTCATCGACACATGCTTGGGTCGCATCACTAAACAGTTGTTCTTCATAACTGCCGCCGATAAAGCCTTCAAAATATTCCGCGATCACCGTTGAAAAGTACTCAATTGGTCGCTGATCCTTGGTATCGATGATCGCAAAGTGCGTACTGAACAGAACTACGGTCCGAGCCACATTTTCCATCCTTCTGCCACTCCAAATGCAGGCATCAAAATCGATTAAAAATTCGCGGACTCCGTAGTGCAATGACTCTTCGGCGTCTCTGTGGTAAGCGAGGGAGGCAAACTGTGCAAAGGTCCTGGCTGAGATATCGACCCCTTCTCTCCATGCGTGTTGAGCTGCTGCCAGAATGACGCTCGAGCCTACGAGGACCCCAATCACTAGCAGGGCCTCAAGGTCTGCGGTAGATACTACCTGGAATATAAGGACCGATAGCCCCGTCATATTTGCCAAATTCTTCGCATTTCTGGCCTCAACCAACTGAACGCCGAACTGGATGTATGCCTCCGCCCACTTCCGTAGTTTAGTCGTCCTATTATTCTTGACGAGGTCTTGCAGCACGTGCATAACCTCCCAGCGGCCAATCGAAGAGTATTTCAGGTACAGCGTCATCAACTGAAGAATAGGTGGGAACTTAAAGGAAGCATTAAGGGTCTTTATTGTGAATTCAACTCGTCTGGACGAATTCTCGTATCGTGAAGCAAAAATTTGCTCTTGAAGCCCCAGCAACTGTTTGGCTCGCTCCTCGAGCGGACCCGTGGATCCTTTCAGGGGACCACCCCCTGCGGGAGTGGGCAATCCATCGACCCGAGCTCCGCGCTCAAGAAGCAGCTTTATGATATCCTCGGAATTCGCCTGAATAGCTCGAACCAACGGCGTATCTCCATAGCTTGCTCTCCCCTCGATTCGAGCGGACCTGTCCAGTAGCAGGGAGACCACTTCTTTGTGTTCTCCAGTGACTGCGATATGGAGTGCGGTCAGTTTACTCCGGTCTTTTGAATTAACTCGTGCACCATGATCGAGCAACAGCTTTACCACGGCTAGATGGCCTCTGGTAGCGGCCCAGAAAAGTGGAGTCCGACCGTAATTATCCTTTTGCGAGCTCATGTGTCGAAAAGGGAAGTGATTGAAAGAGGAATGCTCGAGCAAAACTTTTGCCCAGCCTAGGTTCCCAAAGAATGCAGCGAGATGTAAGAGCGTGAACGAAGGTGGAGCGCCACCGTATTGCTCCTGGTCCCAATAGAGTGTCCACCAATCCTCTCGCACCGGAGACTTAGCTCGGAAGAACTGAATTGATAGCTCAGGCGGCGAGTTGGAAGGGTCGAATGCGTGATGAAAATGGTCTGGCCAGTATTTACAGGCATAGGCCAATAGAGTATTGTGGAGGGACTCTTCTCGAATGCTACCGGGAAATTTGTAACATCTTTCGAGTAGTGCTAGGCAGGTCTGCAGAAGACTTCGATGGGTCGTGTGGTCCATGTGAAACATACTGATCCCTTGAACTTTGACTTGGTCACTTTGAAAAAACTCCTTTGCCGACTCGTGAACAAGATTCACTACCTTTCCATCAATTTTCACTAATAGTCCACAGGAATCGAGTTTATTCTTCATTATTTCGGCTGGTGTCTGACCATTTGATGCTTTGATATCTGCTGCTGTTGTCAATTCATCTATTGTCAGAGGTCGAGCGGCGAGAACGACCCATTGAAGTATGGGAACCAGCTCTTCTTTGTCTTCAACTTGATGGAGCAGACGCTGATAGATCCCACCCAGGCCTTTGGGCACACCACGAAGAACAATTTGAATTTTTTGCCAACTTCTTCCTTTGAGTTCGTTCGCAACAAACCCGACCCATAGAAAAGTACCGTCGGCACCAGCCATCAGTGCTTGCCGAATGTGCGCAAGCATTTCTTCTGAAAGAGTATTCTGGGATGCGAGCTCGGTTACTTTAGCGGAGACATATTTCTCCACATCTTTCGCAACTTCAATATCAGCGTCATCGAGCTTAATTCGACGAGAGCGACTGAGTTTGTTCTCCAAAATTGCTGGCTGGGATCGAGAGAGGAGAATAAGCTTAAAGTTGGGTCTTCTTGTCTCCTCGGAGCCGAAGAAACAGTCCTCCAGGGCGTTCAGAAGCTGCCTTAAAGATTCTTTCTCGCACTCATCCAGGCCATCCAGCACACAAACCACCCTGCAAGAGCTGGTCTGCTGAAGCAGGATTAGGAAAATCCTCCATAGAGCTAAAAAACTGGAAGTCGTATATTTGATTGTTTCAGAGCCTTCAAAGTAGTTCTTTATATATTTCGCCAGATGGGGACGAAAGCTGAGCCATTGGTGTATGATGCCTCTCATGATAGTCACTGCTGTATTCCGGTTCCGGTCTCGGTTACTACAGAAGTAATAAAGAAGAACTCCGCTGAATGAGTCGACCACTTGCTGAAGCTCCTCGGTGATATAGATTGCCAGCATAGTTTTACCTCTTCCTGGGCCGCCTGAGATCCAGAGTGGTAAATCAGGGTGCTCCAACCATTCTTGATAGCTTGGATGTCGTATGAGCCATTCACAAGTGCCAACGACCCTCCGACCTTTTAATGCGATGAGAGAGCTTCTGTCAACCTCAGGTCTGGTCAATAGCAATGCATCGAGAATAGTTGCAGCCATTCCGTTTGTGTCCGATGTTGCCAATGCTGGCTTTGGCGTCGCTGGGATCACCAACAGGATCTCCTTAGCATATGCAGCCGCAGCTGCGGCGGCATATCCCTGCCAGATCTTGCTCTTGTGAGAATCTGCATAGTCACAGATTCCACGGATGACGAGGCATTGCGCATTGTTCTTCAACTCGCCCGCGTCCGTTTCAAAACAAAGAACGCCATACCGGCGCGCTAACTTGTCCCGGGTCGCGGCCTGGCACATCGATTGGTTGCAGGACGCAACCAGGCCATAATGAACTTCAGGATTCTGGTTATCTCGCGGTGGTCGGTGTTGGACTCTATGTGGGTCGCAACGATCGCACCCACTTTCTGCGGGAGCGGTGGTGATGTGGCCATAGTCCTCCTCAAAGAGCAGGTCCCGCTCCGGGCCTGGACTAGCAAAGGCCATAGGCTCTTCATGGACAATTTGAGAGATGTAATGGGCCATTCGACTCTCCCTGAGAATATTATTTGTCTCGGCCTTACTCGTGGCCGTGAGTAATATGGTCGAGAGCTTGTGTAGCCCCGCCTTGCAGGTCAATTGGTCATCTACGCAATCTGTCTTCTCAAAATTGCATTGAATGAGGCCCGGTCGGGCTGCCGTTGGTTTGCTCACAACAACATCGCCCAGGCGTATGTCCTCTTTCATATTTGGCACTCCTCCTCCCACCCCAACCACTAGGCTGAATTGAATGGACTTGAAATTCGTACGCATTTGTGTGTCGATGGTTGCAGCTACAATGGCCGGAGTGACTCCATCAGTGAACGGTGGATATGCGAGTACGACGTTATGAGTGCTGACACTTCCAAGAACATAGTTGTTGTTGTCATCCACATTCTGGTCCGTAGGTGGGTTATTGTGGATGCGGTCAAGCATTGCTTTGGCTGCGATCACATCCAGAGGACGAGTGCAAATCCAGCCGACCGTATAGTCATCTCGGGAGGCCATTTTTAAGCTGTTAGCATGGTATCCAAAACAAGACACTGATCAAAAATGTCTCTTCAAGCGAGTCGAGCGAGAATGGGGCACGAGGCAAGGGAGGGGGGAGGGGGAAGGATCAGCTTTGCGCGGCATATTAACAGGGGAACGCCTCTCATCTGGGAGAAACACGGCAAGAGTAGCTGAAATTATTGCTTATCGCTTGAATGGCTAATTTTAACCCATCCGTTCGTTTCGGGAGGCGCCGGGCGGGGGGTATGGTTCGGGCCGTGTACTTGGCAAGGATGGCCCGAGCACAACATTTGAACCCCTGAAAGGGTATACGAGCATTAGAAGCGTTAACCTTCCAATATTGCTTGAGTGAAATTGAAACTTTTAAAAAACCCTCTAAAAATAAACTTCTACAATGTAATACTATTTAAGACATAAGAAGAACAGAAAATCGATAAAATAGAATCTGTCTAGGGTAAACATCAAGCTCCAGAAAAGCATAGTTAGAGGCGTTCAGGGAGTATCAGAAGGAACAGTAAGCCTAGATAGATATTCCTAACTGATTTTCGAATGCTAACCATTGCTAAACTATATAATAGTGTTCTCAAAACCGAAACAGGCTTTCTGATACATCGAGTTCTTGGTAAGCCTAGGCACCTAGCTAAGAAAACTCTCGACAACGCAGAATCCGTTTATCAATCTATTATCCTACAATATTAGATTGCGATCAAAAGGGAATCCGGAGCGAGGCAACTGAATTAGCCACCGCTGGATCAAAGAATCTGCAGCTTCATAAATTTCTTCCTTTCCAGAATAGCCACCTTCGACCTCAATTGAAACAACGTTATTACCGAGTCGCTGTTCTGCTTTGAGGGTAATGGTCCCGCGAAGATACATGATATTCTGAGTATACTGGAGGAGCTCATGGTCATTCAGAGAAGCTGCAGAGGCCAAGAGCTTGACGTTCACGAACTGGACCGCCATGATGACTGATTTTGAAGCGAGATTACCAAATAGCAAAGGTAAAGATCCCTTAAAACTCGTTCACAAGGGCTTGGAGAGCGAATCATAAATCGGGAGCATAGTGACGATCAAAGTACAAGGCTGGAGAAGAGAAATAAATAAACTTTAGCCCTCACAGAACACCAGACATGAAAGAATAGACACTTGTCTATAATCACCATGCAAGACTTTTGAGCTTCTTTGTTATCACATGAGGAGGCCTAAATGGCCCTTTCAACCGGGTTATCAACGGCTCTAACAATGCCAGATAATTGAACCCTTATGGACATTGTCTACTGAGGAGAAGACCTCGGGCCAGAACAAAGAGTTAGGCTTCCCGTGAAATAGAAGACATCCATAACAATACTAATTGTCGTGTGAAATTCGGATCGAAACCTTCAGCAGGATGAATCGAAATATTCTGTCTGTCCTTATCGAATATGAGTATTCGGTCTATTTGCATTCATTATCTATGTATTTGAAGCCATTTGGGTGATATCATCCAGTAGGAAGGAGGAAAAGCTGTTGTGTACAAGAGCCATCAGGGGATCAAAATAAGTGGTTATTGACTAATTTTGGGCTGCATTGGGCGCCGTGTATCCGTTAATGCAGCAAGATCGAGCTTAGAATTTCGACCGGGCGCGCAGGGTATTTAGGCAGGGGCCATTCCAGTCGAGGTTGGCAGTCTCAGCTAAAGTTCCAAGTCTTGTAACCTAAGACCTACGACGCCTGATGTATGGATAAAGGAGAATCAACACGGACCATGTCGGCTGAGGGGGTGCTGAAGTGTGATGCAGTTGCCAGTGGTGAACTATCTTGATTGGGCTTAGTCCAATGCGCCTAGACATTTCTCCTCTCGAGCAAGTTGACTTCAGCCCTCGGGATGCCTCCGCCAGCTCTAATAAGCTCGCCTCAGAGTGTACCCAGAGCATCCAATTTTTACTTGATCGCAGCGGCCCTCCACAGGTGGGACCTCCAGTAAGAGCGACCAAGATGGCTATCCGGCTAGCTGAGGCGTAAGTAATCGACCTTTTCGACCATGATGTATTGCATCATATTCTGACCCCAGGAGGTAGAGACTTGAGCAGTGGTATAGTGAAGCTCGATGTAGGAGCATCCAACACTCCATTTGATGTTCATTTGGAACTGTTATGTGCCTGTTCACCCTACTTTGATACGCTATTCCAGTGCCGTTTTGACCAGCCTCTGGCCGATCCGATCATTCGCTTCCCCGAAGATGATGCACAGGCCTTTGCCCAGGTTATTCTTTGGATGTACCGTGGCAATGATTCTCTCAAGCCGCTTGGTGAAAAGAAACTAGCTGTATTGGTTCGACTGTGGATTCTCGCGAGCAAGCTTGAAATGGTCGACCTTCAGAATGAGGTGATGCGGATCTGCACAGAAAAGACCAACGCATCGACAAACAAGATTGTGGGCATGGACGTGATTGAGGACATCTATACCCACACTCTGCCCGAATCCCCAATGCGTTCCTTAGCAGTGGATGTATGGGTGCGAAATGCAAGCTCTCTTGAGTTTGATAGAAGACGAGAGGGACTCCCACGGTCGTTTCTGGAAGACCTCTGTCGTGGATTCATTAGAAAAAGAGATAATTGGGGTGCACCAGATACGGTCTGCACATTCGCTGAGGATGATTATAAAGTTTTTCCTCCATTGGGCGACAGGTTAGGAACGCTGTTACCACGAAGAACAGAGGAGGCCGAAATATGGCGTCCTGCTTCTGAGGCTCAGATGGAATCACGAAAAATCAAAATTCCCCGCTCTCGCATCAGAGATACGCCAGAGACATCGGCTTCCACGCCCCGTGATAACGATGGAAATATTAATAAGCAACCGCATATAACCGAACAAATGATGGAATTGAGCATCTTGCCAGCATCAGATGAAAAGCAGGGAATCACCGAATGCATCTCAGGTCAATAGGCCTTCTGCTCTGAAGTTTGGGCTTCACCGCTGCAATTGTCATTCTATGACCCACCCGTTGCTGAGCAGAGTGGCCTGAAACTAGGTGTGGGATGATGGTAGAAGCGAGGCATTGTGAAGAGATGGGCCTCAACTTTATCCACTCTAGTTGTCCTAGAGTACCAGTGGAATATTATCTGCGCAAGCACTAGAAATCCCTGATGGGCCCTGTGGAAATAGCAACGCCGGTAAACAGTAAATTTCAGACTTGAGTGTATGACATGATCTGGCTAGATTTTTCTGTCCTTGAATTTATTATATGCTAACACCGCTCGCCTTCAGCCCATGTGGTTCAAATCAATCATAGGAGGAGCGGTGAAATCCATATCAACAGACAACATCAAGCATCCTGCATTGAAGACCCGGAGCCGAAACCAACATAGAACTAGTCTAAAGAGATAGAGAGCTTGAAGAGAGGGCCCGCGTTCTCAATTCACTTGCTAATAATGATGTTAATGGGTAAATCTTTCAAAGTTTCTTTATTCGAGCCCCTTGAGTCGTGTAAATTGCGGTGTATCCCACGAGAGCATAGTTCAGGATCCAGAAACGGCCTTTTCATGCACCCCGCTTCTTTTTGCTTAAATAAGAAAGGTCGGAATTTTAAGAGCCACTTTATGTGGGCGGCATATCTACGGAGATAGCAAGCACGTTGATCCCAATATAGCCTTGCTAGTCGCCTCCCAGAAGCCGCCGCCAGACTGTGGAAATGTTGGGGGCTGAAATGCTAGCTTAGGGGGCCAGCACCGGGGACTGGCGTGTAAATGACAACACGATCTGCAATGCAAGATGAATAAGATGGTATAATCACGATTAACGTATGAAACTATGAAACATCCCCATATAGTGCATTTCGCGAGACTAAAGCTTCTTCGGTGGGGCCAGTGTGGTCAACCGAGTGGTCGGATTTGGGGGCGGATTTTGACATTGGCCTTGTGGAGTCGGATCGACACTGGGAACTTCAAATCCAGCATACCGATTTCCCATTATGGCGAAATTGCGTATCCCTGAGGCAGAAGAAGATCGGGGTCCGAATGTTAAACGAGCTCCACTTCATCGGGCCCTGAATAGTTGTCGGCGGGAAGCCCGAATTGTTGGTCCACATTTCCAAGATATTTCTAGATTCAGGACAAGTTCCCCGTGGGCGGGAAAATCTTTGATTATATTTAGAAGATCCGAATTGAGCGTATTCGACTTCCCAATATAGGCACTTTCAAAGGGTATATGGCGAATAAATTCAGCCCAGACACCAGGTGGTGTGTGTACCGCAAATCTGTTACTAGTAATGGTCGGGATATAAGAGAGAGACCAAAGTGCACGTTCTCGCTGGAGGGCACTGAAGCTAAGCCGACTTTTAGCAAGAACTCTTTGATATGAGGTGTAAAATATACTTCATGTTGTGAGGTGTATAGGATATGTCACTGTTGCGTCTGGATGAGTCGGATCTATTGGTGGTGGGGTCGGCCCTCCGGGGGTCCCTGATACGCGGACGGGGTCCAGGATGTGCGAGGCAGGATTGAAAAGATAAAAAGTAAACGGGATAAAAGCTGTGCGGCCGTTAGTAAGGACGAAGAAAAGAAACTTAATTATGAAAACGATTTGAAAAAGAGAGCTTGGCTGCAATGCTAAATAGAATATAAGATGTGCACTGTAGGGAGAAGAGAGAGAGAGAGAGAGAGAGGAATTGCCCGAAGGGGGCAGGTGGTAACAGAGACTGATATGTGAGGAACAGAAGTGAGTGGAATTGAGAATTAGTAGGTAGGTAGGGAGAAAATTTCAATCTAGCTCTCAATGGAGCGGCAACAAAGTGACTTATACGGGATATCTTAGTCTTGGAGTCACTCGTGGGTGGCTATTAAGCTCCGGATGGTAAAATAGTGAAACTTTCACTAATGAGTTAATCTTGTTGTGAGCTAGTAAATGCTCGGCATGTTCTCCAGGACCTAGTCTCTGGAAACTAACAGAAAATCAAACATGAAAATCCTAGTAGTTAGGCTGATTATTCTCTCCAGGAGAGGTGGTCCGCGGATAATTCTTATGTTCTTTGCCTTCAAGGTCTTTCTTCAACATTTCCTCTGATGATTTCCTGAATGCCGGCTTCAGGGAATTTGGAACACGACGTGACAGACCTTTCAACGCGAGCATATCAGCGATATTCGTACTTCCGTTAGGATTCAAACCTCCACAGTCATCATAGTCATCCACAATTTTATCGAGTAGCTCCGCCATTCCGACCATATGTAGGAAATTGCCAATGCTTGCGTGGACTTGGATGAGAGCAGGGTCAGGAAGCGACCAGTGACCGGCATGGTTTTTGAATTTGATTAACCTATCATTTGACAGATAGGTAAGGGGATTTGTTGCGGCATTTGGGAAGGCCTTCACATGATATTGATGGGTCACTGATGTAGCTTCAAGAATGATATGAAATTGCCCGAACTCTAAATGAGTGACCGGATCAAGCATTAAAACATTGCTTTCGTGATTAATGATTTGCTGGTCTGCTGCCATGGCACGAAGAACTGGGAAATATCGCCGCAAGTTTACCCAAATTATGGCATTTCGGTTTATTGGCTCGGAGTTATCAACATTGAAGGACCCAAGTGCAAATGGTATAATGTGAGCTGCTTGCAAGATGGTGGTGATTGAATTTGGGGGATGTCTGTGTTTAGAACTGTACTGACCAGTCACAACACATCGGTATCCATCTCGTTCTAGGCAGTGGTCACGAAGTTGGGCCTGTGGGCCTCGCGTAATTGGTCTCACATTCAAGCTCCGGAGCTCTTCAATCGAGTCTTCCACACCCGCACGTGGAGCGGGTGTGATTTCCGATGGGGTTTTACCCCCGAGAGCCCTGAGGGGGTACAACAACCCAGTCCGAATGGAGTCTACTTGCTGTCGAAGCTCTGCGTCGGTATTGCACCTAGCAATATTGTCCGCCAGATTCTTTTTGCCATCGTCGGGTAGAACAGTAAAAAAGCTCTGCAGGAAATGTCGTATACCCCCTTGTTCGGTCGGGTCCTCCCCATTTAGAGGGACATACTTCCTCAATCTTCGCTCTAGTATCTAGCTTGGGAATAAGCATCACAATGACCGAACTTCATCATGGTTCTTACCGAGCGATCTGAAGGCGGCATTTTGCAATCTCGGGCACGGGATGACTAGGAACTTGATGTAGTGGGATGACAGTAAAGGTAAGGAACAGCTGATGATCAGACGTAGGCGTTGCAGATGGTAAGTTCGAGTGGTGGTATGGGAGCTTTAACCCAAGACTGACTAAAATCGTTATATTTTGGGCGTTCCACATTATTCCCAGCACGGTGTAATTATCATTCCATAAGTAGTTTAGCCTGGGCGGTAGTGGGGCGGAATCCCTTCCTACTTGCTGGGAGAGGAACTTTCATCCTTCTCAACCCTCAGCCAATATCATCCAATCATTCTTGATTTTGTCTCCACCCTGTAATTCATCTGTTTCCGTTCAATACTGACCTTGTTGGTCTTGACATTTCAGTGGGGAGGAGATCCATGGGACAACTAGTTACTCCAGTCCGTTTTGGTGTTGCTAAACCTTTCTGTCAATGCCTGATTTACTAGGCGCTTATCAAAACCCAGAACGGGTAACATAATTCACTACTGAGCCGAACACCCTACCACCCACTACTTTTATCAAACACTATATTTCCACCAAAACGCCATATGTTTGATTCAATTATCTAGTATTACATTTATTAATCTTATTTACTATAGTACCACATCCAGAACATCGAAAAACACGCCTAGTAGTAGGCTCAGCGCCCTCAGTAGGCTGCTAAGCCAGCTCTATAGCATCGTTTTGAATAGCTTCAACGCTTGCTAGCAACGTTGAATCTATAGATATAGATTCACTGACCGTTAAATCTTATTGACTAGATATCTGGCGATTAGAACGTGTCAGTTGCTAACGCTTCTTCTTGTTGAATTGTCGTAAACCTCTAGCTTCCTAAGCTAGATGTTATGGAATAACCGCATTTGATGTTAATATTCTGCACGATCGGCTCGTTTCAGGTATGAATCATACACGTGATGATATTTATTCACCACGAGGAGCAAGTTGGAATCGGATCTCTTTACCGTCATTCCTTCGGCAAGCAGTGGAATGACGACATTTATGTTATAGAAAGAGAATCCCCTTCCTTTCGAACTGAATCTCTTCAAGATCCAGGTATTGGAATAATCTACCTTTAATATTCTTCTTTGATTCAATCACGATTCAATATTGTATTCATTTTTCCTTACCTGACCAACAGGCCGCTACCCTGCAAGTAGCACCTTGACAGGCAGTGCAGAAGAAGAAGAGATAGAGAGAGACGAGTGATCTTACTAAAGAACAGGAGGATAAAGTTCTTCCTCTACCAGTCTCTGTAGAAGGAAGCACTCAAATACGTCAGTCAGTTCGATCACGAAAGCGCGCTCGACAAGAGAATGATCAATAGGCGTATCATTAGTGCTTTCTATAACTAAATACACCTCTTTTCTGACCGTGGTCAGAATCAAGCTATACTATATCTCCTTGCCCCTAAGAACTTTCCTTTCCTATAGCCAAATACGCCTTTTAGTAAGCTTACTAAATAGATACCTTCAAATTTAGGCCATTATTAAAGAGTAAAGTAAGGGAAATACACAAACAAATATCGTCATGGACACGATTCGTATCCGAAACAAGCCGGTTGGCCGGAATAATATCAAATGTGGTTGTTCCATAACACCTTACGTATAGATAATGTAGGATCCTTTTGAACAACTTTAATTGCTAATGGGATCCTACCCTCCTTATCTGGCGATTTTGAGCGTTTTTCAGAACGTTTTGGTGGCATGGTGTATGGTGGAAGATAGTAGGTGACGCGTGGGAAGCGTTTTGTTGATGGGATGTTCCACTCGCTAGTGAAATACGTTATGCAAGTCCCTAAGTAGATGACTAAAATACAAATGTATGCACAAAAAGTGGAGCTAGCAGACGATCGAGCATTTTGCGTGGCTGTTGGTATGTATATACCGTTTCACTGAGAGTCTTAGCCTCAGTTCGCCTCCAACGCTACCAATTAGCCATGAGTGTCAATGACCACCCCAGAATGTCGAAAATGACACAAGGCACTCTGTTTCAAGATCCAATTACCTCAATACGCCATTTGAGGAAAGTTTGAGACCCTTGTTCTATGTCTTCTTTATAGCGCATCAAAATACGTCTAATATACGCCTTCAACTGAGAGAAAAACACCTCGACAGGATTCAAGTCAGGGTCAAAAAGGTAGTAGATACGCGAGCTTTACTCCTGCTTCGATACATATTCACGCAACACGATTAGAACGATTGAAAGTTGCATTATCTATAATTAAACGGACTTTCTCGTATCTCACAATTCGAAGGCAGTTACGATGGGGTTTGGATTTTCTAGCTGCAGGCCGCAATGAGCCTACCAGCTCCTGCAAATCAGGACCAACAAGAAAGTTAAGCACAGAAAAACAGCAAAGGGCAGAAATCCGACCACCCGGGCCCTGGGCGGGGCTCCTCGCCCCGTCTCTTACGCAATCTTCAAGTCCCTGGGTCGTTCCGAACTTCCACGACCTTGCGCTACGTGTGATTTCGAGACTATGGTGGTTGTGTGGTTTTTTCATATCATATTGGTCAATTCATGTACATTGCCAGGCTAGTCGATGAGCTCCTCAGCTCAGCAGTAACAGATGATTTGGTTAATTATTTAGTGGAGGCTGCTTATATATCATCACTGGTTTTGGGGGCCAAATAGTTGAGGCCCCGCAAGTGTCGCATGTAAACCTCTCAATTTCTTCTGAATTCTCTTGATGCCAACACGGTCTTATCCAGTTTGCTCGACGTAGTCGGGAGAACCAGAATCATTACAGAGATGGTTGGTAATCCATGGCAATCTAAAGCCTGTGTGACATGTCGAAAGCGCAAAGTGAAGGTAGTCAAAAATCACCTGCCCTCTCCAGGATTTCGCCTAGTCCCCTAACGATCAATCCCTAGTGCGATCTGCAAGAGCCAGAATGCGGCAATTGCCTCAAGCGCGGCATTAAATGCCAAGGTTATTTGAAAGATCGTATCTTCATTCACCAGACCGCCCAGTCCATGACAATAGCAAAGAGTCGGGGAGGATTGAACAGGCACTCAGTGACTCAGCTTCAATTCTGTCTCCGGGCTCAACCGATTTCTTTGAGCCCAGTCAACGCGGTTGTGGATAGCGGACCCATGAAACGCGAACAGCTGTTCTCATCATATTTTACCGTCTATTTCCCTCCTGATATTAGGGGGAAGCACCGATATAGACCCATGGTATACTATGATCTCAGGCATCATGGCACTCCCGAACAAGACCGTGATGTTGGAAAGTGCTCTATCTGCACAGGCTTGCATACTCCTTGGGAAACAAAACAGGGATGATTTTCTTTTCTATCATGGACTTCGACTATACAATTCAGCTATACGGTACATGTCGCACATGATAAGTCGCAAACACTACTACGATGACCTGGTCTATACGGCTGCTATCTTCCAGGCGCTAGAAGTAAGTCTGCTCTTCTATCTCATTCTTCGAGACTTTCTTCCTGAATTCAGGATGATCTATAGGAAATTTACTGTCCGCACGGCATCCATGTGTGGGTTGCACATATAACAGGCATGAATGAGCTGTTAGATCAGTGCTATACCCAAGCGCATGGGAGTCCTCTCATGAAGATGATATATCAGAGGTTTCATAAATTCAAAATTGTGCGTGACGTGAAATGACCAATATTCGAACCTATAAATTCGTTACTATCATATCATTTACTTATCACTACTTCTCTAGATATGGGCAACGACAGGTATAAACCTGACGGCGGACGAATATAGTTACTTCATGCAGTCCAGCAATGATGAGCCCACAGACGAGCTGCTCAAATTAATAGCTGATTTTTCCATCATATTCAAGAACCTAGATGAAATTGACGAATCGGATCCGAACGCTTGCCAGTCATTGCTATCCCAATGTCTCTCACATGAAGCCAATGTTATGGCATGGTACGCTTGGAGAAAAAATACTATCGGCGGGAGTCCTCGGACATGTTCACCTGATGAAATTCAGAGCAGCGGATTATCGATGGACCCAATCTTCGGCACTCCTTATTCCTTTTCCTCGCTCGATAATGCGAGATTACATGTGTTGTTCTGGATAGCGATGTCTATGACGCAACGCTTGATATCCAAAGCCCGGTCCTATACCTATCAATTTTCCGCAGAGGATGGGTCAGGGAATAAAGAGTATCTGCTTGCCGAATTTTTCGCAGATGAGATCAGCCGGGCAATCCCATATTGCTTCAAAGATTGCACCAATCTGTGGAACACTCATATTGTGAGCATGGGCGTGGGCCAAATCTGCAAAGTATATACAGACCATCAAAACTATAGGAAATTTCTTTGGGGTCAACAGGCATATGGCATCATCGCTAACTTGGGGCATGAATTGGCGACTCGATTAAGTGAGGTGTTTTGGCAAAGATGGAATGCTGCCGAAGAAGCTGCCGCTTCAAGTGGGGCCAATCCCATCAACTATCTATCCCTGAGGCCAGGGTTTCCCCATGAGAAATCCTTGTCTCGTAAAATGCCCCTTCGATTCAAATGGCCTGAACAGTAGGCCATTTCGAGAGACGAAAGTGTACATACAAAGAGATCCCACGGAGAGCTAAGAGTACACAATGAAAGATAGTCTAAATCTGTAACATTTTTAAACTGATTAAAAGAGCGAATGGGAATGCCATCAAGTGAGTGGCGGGTGGACGTGGGTTCATGAAAGACAACCTCATCGTCCTCCCTAGCGTGACCTTTCCCCTATATGGAGCGCCGAAGGATGAGGAGCGCTCAACTAAGGATACTGGGTCATCTGCATTGGTCCAAAAGGTCATGACTCACATTTTGCGGTAAACACACTCGCGTTTAGGACTCTGATCAGGTGGTGCGGTGTTGTTAGGTTGGCGCGAAGCGAAGCAGAGGCGGCTCTGCCTGAATTTCTGCCTGGCCCCGCAGAGTTCCGATGGCTACAAAAAGGAGGGAAACAACCGGAGAACAATATGAGTCACGGTAGACATTCAACTTAGCTGGTCGATGTTGCAGTTATTGCAGATTTAGAAGATGTCGTCACCTAAAAATGCGCACCTGGATATGCCGGGTTTCAATTTGCCTTTGAATACGCCTGCTGAAGTAAATTAGCATTCAAAGGGCTTTTTTCCTACGAGGGTTCGCTGACCAAACAGGACTTTGTGTTTTATTCGGTGGTATGCGGGTTTCCCAATGCTCTTGACTCAGAGCATTATGAGTTTGGAGCTCTAGAGTAAGTTCAAGGAAGATGAGCAGGCATCAAGCTATTGGCTGACCATTTTCCTGTTCAGTTTCCTGGTCACGCGGCGTGAGATTCTCATGATGCGGGTGATGAATTCCATTACGGACAAGCCCGAATGGGAACGAAAGGTACCGGGCTCGGGATCCCATCCTCTGATGATGGACATCTACTAACATCGGACAGGTCTTTGACAAGGAAATTACGTCCAAGTGGCGTGAGGAGGTTGTCCAGAGTGAGCAGGATATTACGCCAAAGATGATGGATTTTATCATCAAGGAACTTCAGTGGAAATCCACTGTCATGAAAGAGACAGGATTCGTACGTGTCTTTGATGCTGGTGTTGTCAAATCCGATACAGCCATCTCCAAAGACCTGCAGAATGAATTAAAGCAGGCCGTCATTCCTCTGGAAGACATTCCAGAAGCTAAAAAGGATTACCACCCTGGTTCCGATGAGAAGGTTGTTAATCTGGTGCATCCTTCATTGTTCCCGGTTATCTATGGTATATCCCGTGTTCTTCCGAACCGAATCATTGGCCTCGAAGACTCTCTATCCAGCATTGGACAAGGGGAATTGCTACCAGTACCTTCTAAAAAAGAAGTGAGCTCAGGTGACACCACAATACGCCGCTACTACTACCAGAAAGTAATCCCACATTATAGTCCAAAGTTTCAATGGCTTCCGTGTGACGTGGAACTTACCGAGGGCGGGGGAACTCAAATCGTCTCTTATATCAACAATGTCCATCCGTTCAAAAATCGTGCGCTATATAAAGCGATCGAGGGAATTATCGCACAAACAATCCCGCTGTGGAACCAAAGCTTGGCCGAAAACACCTTTAGCGGAGAGCGGATCCAATATACCGAGGTTGAGTATGGAGAACATCCAGAGCCAGAGCCAGTCCACCCTAAAAAGAAGAGCAAGCAGGGCGAAAAAGAACAGCATGATGGTGAAGAGGAGGAGTTTGACGAAGCAGCATTTCGGGAGCGCTGTGAAGCTTGGAGAGCTTCTCATCCCATCATTCTCCCAGAGCCGGAGGATTTTGAAGGTTATAAAAAACGGCAAGGAGAAAAGGCCGACCTGCTGGGCCAATTCCCTCGTAAAAGACTACAGATCATTGTCAAGCTCGCCAACATTGAACTGACACCCGAACACCCGGAATATGAAGGAGGCAGCTGGCGTATTGAGGGGCAGCTAGTAAGAGAACTCATCTGGACAGACTCCATCCAGAGCCAGCCACTAATTGAAAGCAGAATGAGCGCATTGCCGCGTCAGCGATATACTACTACGACAGTGAGAACATCACGCCCAGCAGTCTTGCTTTCCGTCAGCATGGAACATACGATTTTACGGACTTCGACTACCCACAAGGCCGCTACGAATTTTTTCAAGCGGTCTATGGCTTTGATGATCCCGTCACCAGGTACTCGAACGTCAATGTGACTCAGGAACTTGGCAGTGTGACATGTAAAGAAGGCCGTCTACTCACGTTTCCCAACTCACTTCAGCATCGGGTCACCTCTTTTTCGCTTTCCGATCGAACCAAGCCAGGTCATCGCAAGATGCTTGCACTTTTTCTCATTGACCCGCATCGACGAGTCATCTCGTCCGCAAACGTGCCACCGCAGAGGGAGGATTGGGGCCGAGAGATGCAGGAAGTCTTGCACAGAGAGCTTTCAGAACGACTTCCGCCAGAGCTAGAATATACGGTTACCGGAGACATTACTCAGTATCTAATGACAATGGACGAGGCGAAAAATTACCGGTTGGAGCTGATGGCTGAACGGAGTCTCCTGTCTGAGGCACACAATGAGAAGTTTGAAATTGGGGAGTTCAACCTCATCTAGCACTAAGAATCAGGTAGTCTCTTGAGAATTCTGGGGTTGTTTGGAACCTTGAAACGCCGACCTACTTCTAGCATTCGGGCTTCACCCTTTGTGAATGAGACATCTTATGAGAACATGGCAATATAGCCAAGTCTGAATGAGAAAGCGATTCTAGAACCAGGGCTACGCATCAATCCATGCAGTAGTGCGATCCCAATTGGGCACTTATGGCTTGAATGTTTGAAGGTAGCCTAAAACATATGCAAAATAGATTGCCAAGCCACATAAATTGTTATTTTGGGGGGAGGCGAAGGGGCTTGTATTCGATTGTAAATCACCCACTTCCTTCAGCAGCTGCTCAACCCATATGTTCCATAACCGTGCAAGCTTCCACTCAAAAACTGCTTTCGTTGAAAGCAGTGGTGTTAGGTGTTCAGACCCCCTTATCTTGGTTCTTGATTGGACAGATGAACGTTCATGTAACGATCTTGACATCTACTAAATAAACTAAAATGCCATTACAATTATAAATCTCAATCTATATGTAGTAGCTGTGTTAGATTGTAGGTCCTCTTCATAAGCTGCCTCCACCTAAACACTACGTAGATGACATGCCGGCTCTAAATATACTTCCAGATGTACAGCCATAAGGTCACGTGAATCATAATCGACGCCCAAATTTAGCAAAAGGCCCCCAATGGGAGACTTCAGCCTCATTCTTACTCCCTTTGGGGGCTTGGTATATCTTGACTGTATTTTCCTCAGTGGGCTCAAGCTGATGATGATCTGCAGAACAGGTTGAAGCCGAGCCGACATACAAACCGAATACTACGTACGCGCATTCGGCGCATTCAAGTCTCATTGTTTCCCTCATATCTACGAATGAGCGGCTCAGCCGATACCTTTCAATGTCAGAATCTAGAACAGCATTCGCATCAAACCAGAGAAGGAGGACTGGTAAACCTAAATCCAAAACAGGATGCATAACCTGCAAGTAGGTGAAGCTCATCCAATTTCACCACGACTCCAATGTCTCTAACTCAATAGGATCCGTCACGTTAAATGCGGAGAAGAGAAACCAGAGTGCAATAAATGCACCTCCACAGGACGGAAATGCGATGGCTACACAGAAGCATCCCAGAAACAACTTCACCAAGTGATCGTTACGTCTGCTTCTCAATATGCTTGGGGCCTGAGCCACGACCGGAACCTTGTGCTCGTCCCGGGCACACGAGAAGAGCGCGAATATGTACAATTTTTCTCTACGCAAACGGCGCATGCTCTATCAGGCTTTTTCCCATCAGATTTCTGGACCAAGTTCCTCCCACAATTAAGCCATTTAAACCCGGCCATTCGGCACGCCGTGGCCGCCGTGGGTGCTTTGCACCAGCGTCAACTACGGGGCACATTTTTGTCTGCGAATGCTGACTCGGGCGAGAATAAAGTGTTTGCACTGCAACAATATAATAAAGCCATCCAAAAATTTCTAGAGCAGATGGGCAAACCGAACGACATGGAGATCGACAAGATGCTGATTCAATGCGTTCTATTCATCTGCCTCGAAATGTTGAATGGAAATATCAAACAGGCAATGGATCACGTCGAGGGTGGATTGAAAATTTTAACAAGACAGCTTCAGCATAACAAGCCTGCAGCCCAGGGTGGACCTGGGAGAGAGCTCTCCCAGTTTTTCTATCGCCAAAGGATTCAATTGTCGTATTTCGGTCGGCAGCTTGTCCTATCCACGGACATGGTTTCTAACGAAGATATGTTTTCAGCATTGGACGGAACGCTTGTTTTCCACAATATTGATCAAGCACGAGACTGTTTGACAAATGTCATGACTCGGGGCATGTTCTTCATTCGCTCAGTACAGTCCCAAGTTTGGGCATCCCCGCAGGAGCCATTGTCTGAGCAGCAAATCCAGCAGCAAGCTAATCACCTGGAGGAGGTCAAAGGTTGGCGCAAATCCTTTGAGAGACTGAGAAAGAGGTCAGCGAAGACAATTGGTGTATCAGATCCACGTGCGCCGCTTTCTATGATATGTCAATGTTACGCTGCAGAGATATGGCTCAGTACGTGCACCTCGCTAGACGAGATGAATTTCGACAACTTCAATGTGTATTTCGAAAATATTGTATCAGCAGGAGAACAGCTGGTCGAGCTTTGCCCAAAGGCGGAATCGAACGCAGCCACGGAGCACTTTTTCCTGGATGCGGAGGTCATGCCAGTATTGTATTGGACTACTCTGCGGTGTCGACACCCAATATGGCGACGAAGAGCCCTAAGCGCGCTATCAAGTTACCCAGCTAGAGAAGGGCTGTGGGATAAAGGATTGCATCTCGCCGTTGCAAGAAGACTTATTGAACTCGAAGAAATAGCTCTTGTGCATCTCCCCGTTGAGCAGAGAGTTCCCAGCGAGCGCCAAAGAATATACGACGCGATGATTAGCCCTGATATGGAGTCGATTATCAAACCATGTCCTGTCTGTTTCCACTACAAGTCGCAGGGGCCTATGGGACCCTGGGACGCTCACTGGGAAAACGTGTGTTGGTGAGAGTGAATATGACAACCATAGAATGAAAAAATAAACATTCTTTCTGCCAAGAATTGAATCCTTTAGTCAAATATGCACATCTGAGATTGCAAAAGCCGAACCGTAATATTTTAGTTTATCCCCACTCTTGTCGAGGCCTTCGTAGCCATGCCGGGAAGGTGTTTCGGTGCGCACTGGCGTCACTTCACAAGACAAAGCTGATCCCATACTCATAAACATTTCTGCCTGATAATTCTTCAGAAAAAAACTGCCTTGATTAAATTCAATCGATAGGTTTATAAGTCCTCTTGGCTTTTGACATGACATGCTTGCCGCATATGGAAACCATTTCATGTTAGCCCCCACTTTGTCAAATTTACGAGGAGGCCAATCAAAGCTCACCATATCACCGACCGACTGCCAACGTGGCTGAGTTTAGGGGCCAACATTGACTATAATATTACTCAGGTCTTGGCAGCCCGCCCAATCCCGACAGGCGAGTGGGTTTGCAAGTAAGATATCACCCAGTTGCGACGTGAACATCTGCATATTAGAGCTCCTGAGTTACGAGCACTCCAATGAGGGAGCTTGACTTTTGAGTGATCGCTTGAGGTGGGGCTAGTTTCAAAACGAGGGATCAATCTAAAGATGTTTAGCCTCAACCCTTTGAGAAGCTGTCCATTATCACAGCCTGATCAGGCTGCACATAGCTCCAACTTTTGGTTGGCTGGTTCGGGTTTTCTTATTTTTAGCTCTCGATGAGCTGAATTCCCTTTCTAGATGGAATTGATGAACGCTTATAGCTGACTGCGGCGACAAGTTCCCGTCAAAATTGACTTGACTATATAAGCGGGTTTCGTCGTCGAGCCGTTCAAACATTCAGTTCCCATTCGACTTACGGTTCAGCATAATACTCGGATTATTTGTTTCTCTACTAAGCTTTATCCGTTATATATTTATATATACAATTTCTTCGACTTCCCCTGCCTTTACGTTTCTTTCGACCAAAGATGTCATCATCAGATAACGACGACCTTTATGTTGGCTGCAAAGCCTACGTAGAAGGCGTCAGCACCTCTTACGGCTATATCCCGACAAAAGGCGCCGGTATTGCATTCTGCATCCTGTTCGGACTGTCAATGGTCCTCCACATCATTCAATTCTGCTGGAAACGAGCGTGGTGGTGCAGTCTATTTAGTATTGGGTGCATGGGTACGCTGTCTAGTCCGCATTGACAAAACATTCAACTAATAGCCACAAAGTGGAAGTACTAGGATGGGCAGGTCGTACCTGGGCAGCTGACTGCCCGTACAACTCGACCGCGTTCATGATCCAAATCTCAACACTGATCATTGGTACGAACCGCACTAGATTATCTCCACCCAAACAGACTCTAATATACCATTGGAATAGCACCAACTTTTTTCACTGCCGGAATTTACATCCTCCTTGGTCGTTTTATTCAAATATTCGGTCCTGAATCCTCGATGCTGTCGCCAAAACTATACCTCTGGATCTTCTGCACCTGTGACGTCGTTTCCCTGATTATCCAAGCCGCTGGCGGAGGCATGGCTTCCTCCGAGTCTAACGAAGTCAACGGCGACACCGCACCCGGCACAAACACCATGGTCGCCGGTATTGTGTTCCAGCTCGTCTCCTTGACGATATTTGTCGTCTGCGCTGCCGACTTTCTCCGCCGCTCGCTGCACCTTGGGCACCTCCGAACACTCACCACAGGCAAATTGAGCTACCAGCTCGGCGCAATGGTGCTTTCGGTTGTCTGCATCTACATCCGTAGTATCTACCGTACCATCGAGCTCTCGCAGGGCTGGTCAGGCTACCTGATCACCCACGAGTCCTACTTCATCGGGCTGGATGGTGTCATGATGGTCATTGCAGTTGTCGTGTTCAATATCTTTCACCCTGGATGGCTGCTTCCTTCTGAGATCCTTTCTCCTGTCCCGAAGGATGAGACTTTTCTTGAGTTGAGGGAGCCCGAAGCACAGAAGCTGAATACCAGCACAGAGTACACGGGATATGGGCATCGCTAAGAGCGCGACGCGACATGCCGTCTGTTTTTGAGTTCGGAGTATATGCATGGGAAATTCAGGTGTTGAGACCGGGGTTTGTGGGTCTCCTTGATAGAATTTAAGCGGCACGTTGACTTAAATTTGCTTTCTTTTTTCCACTTTGTCCTTAGCTTGAGACTTTTATCACTTCACCTTATAGACCGCAATATGCCGAAAAAAATCCGACAGATACTGAGATTGCGTGTTTACGGTTGTTTGAGAAGACTTGAGCTCCCAAATAGATGAGACGGAACGTAGATGTATGCTGAGCAACGGTGCATAACCCCTTCATTACTTAGTCCAAATATCCCAAAGTGCTTTGCCGGATTCATGATTCAATTTATACCGCTGATTAGCTACAGTGGCGAGCATGATATAGTCGGAAAATAGTCGGGTCACGGTGGTTTATATTTTAGGAACCAGAGTAACAAAAGAGGATATCGATATTCGTCAACAGGATTCAATTAGAGCAACACCACATCAAGCAAGTCTAAAAAAGATGTATCGAGAAACGAACAGCCACAGGCAAATCCAGCTCTAAGTGACAGAAGGGGGAAGGCGGAGATATGGGGTGAAGAGATTGAAATAAAAAGGAGTTAGATAGAATGGGGGAGGAATTGAATCACAAGAAACGCCAATAAAGATCGTCTCCCAGATGCCGCTTCAGATGCTCCCATTGCGTGTATATTTTCCCGTGACAGTGTGACCTCGTGCAATTGTACCAGAGAATAGAAATGAAAAAAAAGGATGAGATAAAAGGGGGGTTAAAGGAGAAAAGAGAAAATTATCTACTGCTGAGCCTTCTTGGCAAAGACCTGAGCGCCATCAACCAGGCGTCGCTCAGTGTTCTGGCGGCCGTTGACGAAGTCAGGGTAGTTGAGGGTCAGCTCAACAGCACCGTTGACAATGTTGTCAACAGCCTCGACACCCAGCATGAAAGAGTGGTCCTGGTTGCCGACCTCGTAGCGCCAGCTACCGAAGCGACCACGGGACCAGATACCCTTCTCCTGCAGCTTGGGCAGAATCTGGGTAAGGGCACCCTCACGCTCCAGGGAGGGGGTGGGGTAGCCGTGGTCGAAGCGGCGGTGGTAGGTGGAGACGATCTCATCACCGGGTTGGAGCATCTCGGTGTTGACCAGACCCTGGATGGAGTCGGCGAGGAGGGTCTCATGGTTGACAGGCTTCATAGAAGACTCGGAGACCTCCAGCATGATGGACCAGTAAGGGCCCTCCTGAGCCTCAGTGTTCTTGGGCTTAGAGCCATCGGCGAGCTGGAGAGTGGGCAGCTTCTTAGAGGCATCGGGCTGGTTGTAGGGGGAGTAGTTGGAGAAAATGGTGGCACGATAGAAGGGGCAGTTGTCCTCGGGGAAGTACAGCCAGCACTTGTCACCGATGCGGTCGGGGCGAGCGCCACGGATACCAACACCAATGACGTGGGTGGAGGAGTAGAAGAGCTGCTTTGTCAGGGGCATCAGCTCCTTGTCATCCATGGCCTCAGCGAGGAAGTCGACGGCCATGGTGGAGACGAGTTTGGAGTAACCAATGGTGGTGCCATCAGCCAGGGTGACGGTCTTGTTGTTGGCATTGACCTTGGTGACCTTGCCCTTCTCGCCGAAGCGGGTGTTCTCCTTGGGGATGGTGTTGGCAACGGCGATCCAAATACCACCGGTACCATCACGGGCAGGGAAACGGAAGGTAGCGTTGGGACCCCAGTTACCGGCGGTCTTGTTCAGGATGACGTTGGTGGTCACGGCCTTGAGGTTGGGGGCAGCGACACGCTCACCGAGCCAAGCGCATTGCATCTGTCATCCTTGTCAGCCGGGATCTTCTCACTCAAGGAAGCTGATCTCGCATGCTTCGAGAAGGGGCAAATTCAGGGTCGTACCTTGGTGGTCGGCACAGCCCAGACCTTGTAGTTGTAGGGACGCATGAACAGATCAGCGATACCAGTACCCATCATACGGACGATCCACTCGTCGAAGTTCTTGGGCTTGGTGTTGGCGACACGAGCCTCCATAGCGGCATCGATCATACCGTCAATGCACTTGACCTGCTCCTCCTTGGGAAGCATGGAGATGTTGTTCTGGAAGGGGTAGGGGACCCATTCGTTCTGGCAGCGAACGTAGGAGATACGCTCGTGAGTGTACCAGTCCTCCTCCTTGGGGAGGGCCTCATCGATGCAGTCATCGAAGTACTTGTAGTGGGAGAAGATAACGTGGCCACCGACATCGTACAACTGTGACGCCGAAAAACGGGGATTGTCAGTGATTTGCGCGCGGCGGGGAGGGGGGGAGGGGGTTTGTCGGTCAAGAGAATGACCAGGGAGGCAAAAAAAAAAAAACGTACGAAGCCCTCAGGAGTCACATCAGTGGAAGCCAGACCACCGGGGATCTCGTTCGAGTCGATAATCAACCAAGAAGGTCCATTCTATGCGTCATTGGAGTTAGTTTCTCTGCATTCTCTCGTGTTTACCCCTCCAAACTAAGCCCCTGATTTATTTATTTATTTTTATTTCTTTTGGCGGTCGCGGTTTCACCGAGGGGAGGGAGAGACGTACGATCTGGTTAAGACGCTTGGCCGCACCCAAACCAGTCGGGCCAGCACCAATGACGAGAACGTCAACAGTACTAGAAGAGGTAGTCAGTTGCGGTGAATCGTGGTGGGCGGAGGGGAACTTGGGGAGGGGGGGCTCCCTACATGTCGGGGTGGGTCATCCTGCCTTGAAGGAGGTCCTGGAAGCTGGGCACACGTTTGAAAGTCTTGCGAGCGATGTTCAGCATAGAAGCAGTGGCAGCAAAACAACTGCGAGGGGAGGATAATAAAGGAGAGAGGAGGTGGAGGAGAGATGGAGGGGAGAAGGAGGAAGGGCAGGGAAGACGTGGACCGTGGAGTGCGGACCGTGGGAAGGGGTTAAAACGGACCCGGCACTTTGAGCGGTGTCGCCAAGTGGAGTTGCGGTGCCTGTTTCAGATTTACGCCCAGCATCTGCTTCATGGATTCGGGGGGAGGGGGGCAATTGGGGGATTTGGATTTCTGAAATTTCTGAAATTTCACAATCCAGCCATTGAGATCGCAGCATCGAGCCCATCTTCCGGCATCCAGCGATTGTCTCTGGTATTCGCCGGACCTGAGCACAGAAGGGACTCCCTGGTCGCGGCCAACCCCAGCGAAAGACCCGATCCAGACCTCTCGCGAAAGATATCACATTGTGCCCGAAACCATCCCCACTGGCTCTCAGGGGCTGCAAGCAGCGCATTCAATCGGGCGGGATTCTGCACCCCATAATGGACACCCTATCGTTATGTGGATGATTATAGAGTTACAGAGGGACCCGCCCGCGTCGGACCAGGTGTAGACTCGGCATACCCAAGTCTCTCCCTTCGTGACCCTCCATCCTCTCTATACTCCCAGGTCCAGAGCAACCCACCACGCCGCCCCCGAGGACACGTCCACCCGGGGAGGACCGAGTTCAGGATACATACATCGTAGTGCAAGAGGCGCGACACAGAAGACGGGGGAAATCCGCCACAATTACAAAATCACTCCAGCATGTTTGTATGCTGGCTGCCATGATCCGCACTGGAGAGGCCCCTAGGGTGCAGACACTCCCGGATCTATCGAATCTATCACAAATCATCCCGGGCCGTTGGGATCTTCGCACCCCTTTCTCCATCACAACGTATGTAAAAGACAACAGAGAGCCGCCTATCGCGCGGGATTCCAAAGGATCATCCATTGCATGCGGCCCGAGTCACAGGCCGATGACCAGAAGCAGCGTCTTGGCAGGGAGTTTCAGAGCTCCGGCACGAATCAGGAATGTTGTTATCGGACTCCCATCTCGGAGCATTTTGATTCGCATCAGGAGAGACTACAAGGGGACGCAGAGCAAAGGGGGTGTGAAATGAAAATATTATGATTATTATGATTATTATTATGTTATTATTATTTTATTTTCATTTTAATTTTTTTTTCCACAAGAAAAGCCCATGCTCGAGAACCCCATAACGCAAAATGCAATGAAGGTGCGAGTTCCCGATCGGCCCCTTTAACGGGCTAAAAAACGCCACCGATGTCGTCCAGCACGTTGGAGGACCACGGGTGCGTTTCGAGAAATTGGGAGCCTCCGCAGTGACGAAGCTCGGGACCACTCGATGTGTAAAGAGAAATGCTGCCAGCGGGGGACACTGGGAGACACAGCTAAACCGCTAGATATCGGCATCGTCCCTAGGTGGTTTCGGTCTGGTCACTCTATTACTCTATTCCGTACGCCCCCTCCCGAGCAAATGATCCATTGCTGCCTATCAGTGCCATGTACGGAACATGATGCAACGGCTGCCGAGATTTGGCAGGGGAGTTGTGATCAGAATTGATTGCTCCAGGTTTACGGTGAAGATCTCGGGATCATCGGGAGAGGCCAATATTTTCTTTCTTTTGCCTTTTGCCCCTGCATGACCTGAACCCTATCCCGGAGCAACATCCGTTGAAGATCATCCAGAAATCGCAGACTCGGTTATGAGATAGCGTTCAGGGTACCGTCACCTGGGATCCAACTGACTTGTGCGAGAGAGCAGGAACAGCAGCAAGCCAACCAGGGTCCACTGATGGTTGTCCCGAGGAGGGAAAGAATCAACGAGGATCTCTCTCCATTGCAGGACCCAAAGCACCAGCGACGCAGAGAAACAGGGCACTGATCTCAATGATCGACAGTCGCGGGCCCCTCTCCCCGAGAAGACTTCTCGAACCCACAGTTGGTCCCAGCCCCTTCGTCCGGGCACGCTGCTCGAGTAGTGGATAGAGTCGACGGGTAGCTTGGGTCGTTGTACGACCACCAAGAACCTTGTACCGACAAGAGTATGTGTATTGAAGGAATGGATTGCACTGGGGCTACAGTGGTTGGCTGCAGAGACCCCGGGCTCTGTGAAAATTCAAGAAAGCTTCTTTGTTGGCCTCCACTCCGCAGCGGTTCGGTCTCCCCCGTTTGCGCGCCGCCCGCCCAACGGAGTCTCGACATGGGTCCCAATACGGAAGACTCAATTCTGGTTGCTATTTTGGACTCTTGGCCGCCGAGAGAGGAGAGGAGGCAGTAGGGGGAAGGGCCAGCTGTCCGGATCATCTCTCGTGGTTGGGGCTGGTTCGCAGTGGTTCCCAGGGTCCTATGGAGGAGTCCTTCGTGCCTTTTCCATGGGCTGGCGCCTCTGTATTGTTTTCTCGCCGTTCCCTTTTCCCTCTTCCCCTTTTGCCCTTTTGGCTCTCCAGGATTGGTGGAGGTGGAGTCGACAGGAAGTCCCTGGATGGGGCGATGGCGTCAGACACAGCCTCCCAAGACGATCGCCGCATTCTCCACCCGTAAGGGACCAGGGCAGCCTCGACACAGAGTGCAGAGCCCAGAGGACAGGAGGGTCGCTGAACGCGGGCTCAGTGGGGCCGGATCCAGTGCTGCTTGCGTAATGCGGCCTTCTACAGATGTATCATGGCCAGAGGCCGGTTAATTTGGATCAGCACGGGCCTGGATGCAGCAGTCTTGTCTCGCTCTATCTCAAACCATTGCGCGGATGGCGATAGCATGGCGGAGGGCCTAGCGCCAGAGGCCGGGATAGGTAACATCCCCTGTCTCGTTTGTTGGTCTTGTTGGTCCTTTCCGGGCGCGTCCCCGGATTGGGCCAGCCGGGAAGAGCAATTTAGTGATCGGATTCCGCAATGGGGGGGGGGGGAGGGGCGCTGGACTAGACTAGCCCTGTCACTCTAGGCCTGCAGGTGCAGCCGAACCGTGGGAAACGACCGACTAAGAATAGCGTTGAAATTAAAGCAGAGGGTAAGAGAAGCGGCGAGTGGAGCGTGGGCAGCAGTGGTTGTGCTGATTGGCGCCGAACCGCAGTCGCCACGAGTCGCGCTTGTTCCGCCCCCGAAACAGGTGCATCTCCTCCTGGCGGTCGCGGTTCCTGGCCGTACCGGTATTGGAATTACCACCTGCCAGTCTTGCGCGGCCAGACGATCAGCCCCCGCCGCGCCCTGCGAGTGGTGTGTTTCTGTCCAGGTGGCCTCAAGTGGCCTCACGCCGCCCTGCAGCCTGCGTCGTATCGTTCTGACCAAACCGTCGCCGGTGTTACGCTGTTTGCAGCCGCTCCCAAGCGGGCCTCGACTCGACCAAATTGACCATTTTACGATCTCTTGAACCACTTGAACCACTTGAACCACTTGAACCACCTGGACCACTCCTTCATTTCCTTTCATTTCCCGTGGTCTTGCACTGTCGCGACGTATACCGACCTCGCCGGGATCTAATCTGGTGCCGAAGCTTCTCCCAGAAAGAAAAAAAAACGAGCGTTCACGGTTCCCCGTCGAAGTACGTACTCCATTCCATCCCTTCTCCTTCCATCATCATTTCTTCATCACCCCCCAACACCCTCCCCCCCAGTCACTCGTTTGGTTTTCTTTTTCGCTGCTGCTTAGGCGTCTCGTGGGGATTGCACATTCCTATCAATTCGTCCCCTCCAATCCTGTTGACCCCCGGGACCTGTTGGATCCCACTCGTTCACTGCCCGGCACCCCGATCCATCGGTTCATTTGTTGACCCCAAGTAGTGTTCGCCTGCATTATCTTGTAATCTCGTCCATTCCCACCCCTCGTGGCGTCCTCCGCCTTTAGCCAAGGAAGCCTTACTCGGCCGCGGCCTTTCGAATTCCGACAGTTCTTTTCCGAGCAAACACGAGCATTCACCATGAGCTCTGAAGGCGAGAAGGTTCGCGCCTCTGGCGAGACCCCGCGGGAGACGTTGCCCACCGTCAACCCGGCGGCAGAGAAACAGGAGCCGCCCAAGGCCGCGTTCCACCCCGCGGTCTACGTGAGGTGAGTCGGATATCAGGGATCTTTTCCATCGTCGCATTCGGGCTCTCTCTTTCTCTCTCTCTCTCTCCTTTTTCCCCTTCCCCTTCCCCTTCCTGTCTTCTCTTCGATGTCGCGACCCAGCGGATATCGAGCACGATGGGAGACGAGGAGAGACGAAGGTAGACACCGAGCCAGGCAGCAAGAGACAGTCACCACTAATACTGGATGTTGCGCAGTGTCTGGATCACTCTCAGTTCCTCCGTCATTTTGTTCAACAAGCACCTCCTCGACTATGCCAACTTCCGTAAGTAGTCGCAACGGCCTCCATTCCTCAATTTCAGCTCTCGGGATCCGTCAATGCTGACCTACTCGCTATTCCGCAGGCTTTCCCATCATCCTCACCACATGGCATCTGGCCTTCGCAACTTTCATGACCCAGATCCTCGCCCGAACCACCACCCTCCTCGATGGCCGTAAGAGCGTCAAGATGACCGGCCGGGTCTACCTCCGCGCCATCGTCCCAATCGGCCTCATGTTCAGCTTGAGCTTGATTTGCGGTAACATGACATACTTGTACCTGAGCGTGGCCTTCATCCAGATGCTGAAGGTATGTTTGATCGTGCAGATGAACTTGTCAGGTCGCCCTTGAATGTTAGGCTAACGGGTGTTTTTTTTCCCCTCTCTTTATAGGCTACTACTCCTGTTGCTGTTCTGCTTGCCACTTGGGGCATGGGCATGGCCCCCGTGAACTACAAGACCCTCATGAACGTCTCAATCATCGTCGTCGGTGTCATCATTGCCTCTTTCGGTGAGATCAAGTTCGTTCTCGTCGGTTTCCTTTTCCAGTTGGGCGGTATCGTCTTCGAAGCCACCCGTCTGGTCATGGTGCAGCGCTTGCTCAGCTCCGCTGAGTTTAAGATGGATCCCATGGTCTCGCTGTACTACTTCGCCCCTGTCTGTGCCATCATGAACGGCTCTGTGGCTCTGTTCCTCGAGGTGCCCCGAGTGACCATGGACCACATCTACGGCGTCGGCATCTGGGTCCTGATTGCCAACGCCATGGTTGCCTTCCTGCTGAACGTCTCGGTCGTCTTCCTGATCGGCAAGACCTCGTCTCTGGTCATGACTCTCTGCGGTGTCCTCAAGGATATCCTGCTGGTGGCCGCCTCCATGATGCTCTGGAACACCCCCGTCACTCCCCTCCAGTTCTTCGGTTACTCCCTAGCTCTCATCGGTCTCGTCTACTACAAGCTCGGTGGTGATAAGATCCGCGAGTACACTGGTCAGGCCAATCGTGCCTGGTCCGAGTATGGCAACACCCACCCCGCTCAGCGGAAGTTCGTCATCTTCGGCGCCGCCGCCCTCATCTTCTTCCTCTTCGTTGGTTCCTTGGCCCCAAGCTATGCCCCCGAGTCTGTGGACCGGGTCAAGACCATGCTGGGTGGTGCGGCTTCGGGCAACGCTTAAATGCCCCCGAGGCTCCCTTGTGCCCTCGAGCATTGGTAAAATAATCTCGGGACACCGGGATGGATGGCCCATCTCGATCAAGATAGATCTGCTTTGATCGGCGAGCGCTTGATATCTACAAGCTTGATTTGCTGTTTTTGGGAGTTTGCAGTATCGGCGCAGTTGGAATAATTGAGTGAAGTTGTTGATAGGGGATAAGAGAGCATAGCGACATCCCTCCGTTTTTTCCCCCTTGTTTTCTTTTCTGCTCCTCAAGCGAGGCTATCGTGAGCAGGCCCCGGCGACGTGCAGGCAATCCAACCGGTGGCTAGGCTTCGTTTCCGGCGTCCTTACAGTGCTAATGGGAAACGGAGAGCTCCGGTAGCTTCTGCCCCGTGGCTTTCTCGACCGCGTTCCCGAGCGGTATACATTGATCCTAGAACGTTAGGGGTTACTAGCGGTGTATTCTCTCTCTATTATTTCCTGCTTTTTTTTTCTATTTGCTGCTTCGCTTTCTTTTTCGACAAACATTGGTTTGAATGTTTAAAACTTGCACAAGATCTGGTGTCGGATTGCTTTGGACTCTTTTCTGGGGTTCTCTTCTTTTTTCTTCCCTTTTCTTCCCTTCGTGTTTCCATAATTTGGCAATAGAATTTTTTTTCGAGGGTTGCTTTGACGTTGTACTCGGCTATTTGGGGGTGATTCTCCCGGTTCTAGACCTGATGAATGTGATTGAGTGTGGGTGGTTGGGTGGTGCGCCAAAAGTACCTGGGTATACGGAAGGAGAACCTGGGGGGGGAGCCAGGTCGGGGTGCAGCAGAGGGTGGGAACGGGGGGGCCAAGAGACCGAGGGAGACCCGAAGGTGCAGGTGAGGGCGTCCAACCGCCGTTGGTTGACAGCCCCAAAAGGCTTCCCGAGGGCCTCTGAAGGGCTGGCCCCGCCATTGGCCAATCGCCCCCAGCTGAACGTCGCCCCACGCCGACGCACAGCCAAACAACGCCGCTTGCGCCAAACCGCTAGGGGCCCACCCGGCGTCGTACGCGTACGGTCATGGGTGATCGGAATCCTTGTCCACGCCGGCCGTATTACCGTCTGGTACGGTAACCTCCGCATTGCAGATGGATCCTCCGATCGCCTCAGATCGTCTCTTTCGCTGCTCTTTCTCTTCTTCCTCTTCCCACCTCTTCCTCTCCGAACTTCTTGCCAATCATCTGCCCCCTCCCCACTCTTCTCTGTCCTACCGCCATCAGGACCGTTTGTTCCCTCGCTCTCTACTTCTACTTTCAATCTACCCTCTCGTCCTTTTCTATTCTCCCCATCCTTCCCAATCCGCGCACGGCCGTTTTCCTTCGTGATCTATAGGTGGTTGAAGCTTATCGTGTGCTGCTCACTTAACCCTACAGAACAGTGTCCCTCGTCCTCCCCGTCGCAAGGACCCCCTTCACCCCATCATGTGTCCCATGATTCTCAATCGCCTATCCGACGGTCCCGCCATGGTCCTTGCTCCCCCCAAGAACACGCCTTCGCGCAGCTCCCCTCCCAGTCTCTGCTCGACACCCCCGGGAGCTTCTCTAGCTACCCGGCGCACCCAGGCTCGGCCTTCGCGGGAAAAGGCTCATTCCAGCCGGCTCTGAGCTCCAGCTTGTCAGAGACTCCTGCTCCCCCTAAGCCATCTCGCAAGAGGTCGCGTGATGAGGCGGCGTTCGAAGAAATCCTCGCTGCCCCGGCGCGGCCGGAAGCGCAACCAGCTCCCGCTCCCAAGGAAGAGCCCATCTACGGCGAGGGCATGGTCCTTCTGAACCCACAAACTGGCATGGCCATTTCTGCTGAAAGCCAGACCGGCACTTGGTACGAAGAAACGGCCGAGTCGCAACAGGTGGCCGCGGCCCCAGTCTCGTCGCGGTCGATTGCGTTGCACACTGATGCTGCCGACCTCAGCCGCAAGGCTCAACGGCTCGACACCTCCGCGCCGGGCCTCGACGACATTGCGCTCTCTTCGATCAACCAGCGCTTAAATGGCCCCGACATGGCTGATCAGCACCGCAGCCTCAGCGGAGGATCCACACCACCCGCCGAGCCACTCATCGACGATGCCACCCGCCTCCTGGGCATCAGCTGGCAACGCCTTGACACCGACAATGACATGGCCCCTGCCGTCCGTGGCTGGACCAAGTATATTGACAACCAATACGCCGCCCACCTGCGTGGCTCGCAGATGCTCATGAAAAGCCGTGCTCTGAACGCCTATCTCGTCGCCGCGACTCCTGTCTCCGCCTTCTCGCCCGCTTTCTACCTCTTCAACGAAGACCTCACGCAAGCCCAACTGGTGGCTTCTTCTTGGGAGACTTGCCTGCATAACCTGCGCTGCACCCCTCTCGTGTTCGAGGGTGCCACTCCTCTTGCCGCTGCCAGCCGCCCACAGCCCGCGGCTAATCCCTTCAGCACCATCGTCGAACCTGGTGTCCCTCTCCTGCAGCAGGCTCTCTCCTCGCACTCCCATTCACCCATCACCGGCATAGATACGGGAGTGGAGCTGAACGGAGGCGTCGGAATGGGGATGGAGATCGACTCATAACCGCGATTTCGGCTTCTCGTTATCCGTTATCTGTTATTTCTCTGATCTATTTTTCCGCGCCTTTACAAAAATAGTCAATTCGATCGAATCCGCGCCATTCCCATATCGTCGACTCGACTTTTCACGCCTGGTCGCGCGGTCGCCACTTTCCGCGTCATTCTTCAATTCTTTTTTTTCTTCGTTCTTTTTTCTTTTTTACCTTTCTCTTTTATATTTTGATCTGCTTCATCACTACTGGATTTAGTTCTGCCTCCGCTCCTCTCACGCCTCACTGACCCAATTCGGCATCTCAGTTCAGGTCTCGCCCCAGGAGGGTTGGTGGGTTTGGTGTTATTTACTGGTTATTATGGGGATCTGGTTCCGGCGTCGTAAATGTCTGGAGTTCCTCGTTCGTGGCCACTTTTCTTCTTTTTTGTGCCGGTGGCTCCTGGTATCTACTATCTACTCTTATCTCTCTATTATGATGCCAATGAAACAATGACATATAAGTTTGATTGTGATTCTCGTGCTTTGTGTCATCCTTTAATCGTATCCGGAGCTGGAGAAATGATTATCTTGTTGGGTGGCTGGTGTCGAGGTGTGATCCATGTCGCATTTTGAGAACAAGAAAGAAGCACTACATTGGGTTGGTTTCCCATGGATCTTCAAATTTGGAGAACTGGTTGGAAGACACGGGCATTTTCAATTGTATAGTCCATAGGTAATAAGCACCCTCAAAGCTCAAGAGGTTCATTTGGACTTCAACAGATCACTGCAGGACACCTCTCTCAACATTCTCCACATCTCAACACCATTACTGGGCAAGCTTCCTCAACCCCCAACTCAGCATCAGTCAGCAGAGCCCTCGACCAGTCCGATCGAATCGTATACCTGCAAATTCCTGTCGTGGCCTATTCTTGATCGGCCACGATGGTCCAATCACGCATGGCTCTTGAGTGGCTCTGCCCCAAACGGGGGGCCACCCTATGTAACTTAGTGGGGATCTTGAAGAGACGCACTGCCCCCCTCCGCCTCCCTCGCGCAGTGCTTTTGAGATAATCCGTCTTCTATCCAAAAAGGCGACTGAGCTAGTTTACTAACGGATTAGTTAGTTACACAATAAATCGGTTGACTAACTGGACAAATAAAGCACGGATTGCCCGGCGAGTTTCCGGGCGCTCTCCCCCCTTGCCAACCCCAAGACCATCGATCACCGGGGTTCAGCCTTACCGCTGGATGTCACGATTATGGTTGGTGCCAAGCATGCTGACAGCCGTCTAGGCAAGGTCACGGCGCAAACCACGTCGGATTTCTTGTGGGTTGACTCAAACGAGCCAGACCGCACTGCATTCAAGACGAGGCTAGCTTTTGTCAGGGCACGAACTCACCGCCGCAAAAAGGAGGCGCAGTTACAGGAGTTGAAGGCGTGGGTGAGGCCGTGGTCGCACGACAACAGATCAGGAATCAATCCGGGGGCGACCGAGACGACGAGGGTTGCTTGTCCGCCGTTGAGCCACGGGCCCCGGATGGGCGTCGTGGATGGCGTTTTGAATCTGCCTTTGAATACTGATCAAGACTTGAATTTGTATTTTGATCACTGTGAGTGCTTGCCAGAGCGCTCACTGGCTCCCGGGCGCTGCAAGATCCCTGTCTTTCTGCCATGCTTTTGCTGACCACCACTCTATAGTTGAGGCCCACTGCTCCAAATCCTATCTCCCATTATCCCATCAGCACACCATCTGGTTCATACGCTTGGCACTGAGCCAGCCAGCTCTGCTGAAAATCATTCTATCTATCAGTGCGTTCCACCGCTCAGTTGGGCTCTCTATACGCGATGCCAACCCCGGGACTATCCAAGCGACTACGCGGGACGGGCTCCAGCTGCGTGGCGAGGCAATCAAGTCACTTCGACAAGCTTTGGAAAACCCAGTCCATGTCCCTTCCGAGGCTATCCTGCTGGTGGTGATGCATCTTGTCTTCGTTGAGGTAAGCATCTCCCACAACCCTGTGTTCTTGTCCGACGAAGCCTGTTCCCGCCCTGTTCAACTCAACGAATTTAAGCCTATTAACCAGATCTACCCCTCAGGGCGCAGAGGGAAACCTAGAAGCAGCCGAGGCCCACATGGATGGGGTCAGAAGAATCATCGAAGTCCTGGGCGGGTTTGAGAGCCTTGCATATCCGTTAATGACCCTCGTCCACTGGTAAGCCATTCCTCCATCCAGAGACATGTCATCTGTACCCCGAGCTGACGCCGTTTAAACAGCTGCGAATTCATCAAATCCGCCATCGGTGCCCCTATCATATTCTCCATATCACCAAAATGGGCCCGCAAACTATTCCGTGAATCCGCCTTCCTCCAAGACAAAACCTATTGCACTGACTCTCCCATGGGCACTCGCTTCTTCACCTCTCCCTGGTCTTCAACCCTCAACCCGACCCTGATATCCGTACTTCATGCCCTCAGGCGCATAATCATATTCCAGACACGCCAAGCACAGCTCCCACCCACAGCTGCCGGCCCCAGCGAAATCAACTACCTGGTCCTCGTAGTCCACCAGCTCCACTCCCTTGGCCACGCCGCGGTGCTTCCACCGTTCGAGGAAATTGTCAGGCATGCTGTCCATATGCAAATTCTAATCCAGCTGTGGACTCTATACGGTATGCCCGTCGCCGACATCAGCGCCAGCATCTTGCGGCGTAGTCTCATTCGGAACTTCGCGGCTGTAAAAGCCGACCCGAAACTGCTCTTCTGGGTACTTTTCATAGGGGCATTAACTGCGCGAGAGCCGAGCTGTGCGGCGTGGTTCCGGATACAGCTTGGGCGGGCCCGACACATGCTCGACTTGCAGAGTTGGCCTGATGCGCTGGCTGTTCTATGTGGGTTCTTTTACGTGAGCCTGCCCCTGGGTGATCCGGGGAAATTCTTATGGATGCAATTGCAGCAGGATGGTAGGGGGTAAGTTATATATATATATGTGTGGTGGGGGGGGGGGGGGGGGGGGGGGGAGGGAAAGGGAAAGTCACATGTGCTTTGTAGAATCAGCGAGCGAGTCCTTTCTCTGTTCACTTCTTGCTTGCTGGAGTCGTGGAGGGTTTTTGAATTATGTGTCTATCCCTTCCTCTGTGATGTGGTCCTTGCTTTGGACCAGTTAGTGGCAGCAGTATAGATTAGAATGAAAAGTTCGATAGATCGCCAAGAGTCAATACTTACAAACATAATCTGGATACCTTCTCAAGAAGGTCGGAGGAGCCCTGCGATCCTTGTACTAAGACGGACACTAGAAAAATCACTACTTCGATCCCATATGCTCTTCCAGTTCCCACCATCACTTCTTCTAGATATATAGATTGGGCGGAGTTCACATCTCTACCACTAGTACGAAGCAGTACTAATCAGCCGAATTCCCCTATGGCACCCCAAGAGTGTAGGCATATGCCATATGCCAAGCAGGGATCTATACCCAAGAGCGACCTTTGAAGACACACAGAATGATCAAAATTCTTCTCTTTGGGCCGGACCTGCGGGCGGCAGAATTTGTGCTACAAAGCAGACGCCGTTAGGTTGATTGACCAAGTCCCCCGAATGCCCTGGCATTGTGGTTTAGCTAGCCAGGGAAGTATTGGGTATTAGGAAGAGCTAGATCTAAGGAAATGGTAGGTGTTGAGATAGCGACAATATGTGGCTACGACCTCAAAAACGAGTAATCAGCCCAGTTGATTGATGTTCCTTCCGTCTGGTGCTATCAGTAGCTGCTTTTCCCAATTGCATACACCGACCGCCACCGCCAAAAGAAAGAGAAAAAAAATGAACTCCGATAGGGGGAATCGAACCCCCGGCTGCCGTGTGAGAGACGGCGATGTTAGCCACTACACCATATCGGACTGTGCTTGTGAAATACTCGTTCGAATTTTGGTTCATAGCTTTAGGCTTAGCGTCCCTTGCCCTAAGTATTGCCGTGCCTGTGTCTATATAGTCCCCTGCTGTTTCCCCCTCTAACCAAGTCCCGATTTTCTTTTTTCCCTTGTTCTCCGACGCCTCGCAGGCGAGGTATTTTTGCTATTGGCCCGGACCACCGAGCTCCTGAGCTCCGCCACCCCTTTCCTCGTGTGATTTGTCTGCTCTTCTGCGATCCCGCGATTGCAATCTGCGCTGACCTCCCTCTTCCGGCCCGGTCTTCTCCCAGCTCGTACCATTGCGTTCGAGATGAAACCTTTCGCTTTAAATGACCACAATAGTGCATGGCGGGCATGTCCAGACTCCTCAACGATTTTTAGATCTACAAAGCCATGGGGTGGCGCCGTTGGTTTACGCGTAAATATCCATTCCCTCGATTTAAACCAGTCTATCATGCAGTCGATTACAGAGATCTATACCGCCGGGACTCGTATCATCAAAATGCCTTATAAACAAAATCCTCCTTGGCTTTACGACCGATTAAAATAGAGGAAAAGAAAGAAGGACAAGGAATTCGTCATACGGACTGGAGACGGAGGGAATGTGTGTCTCCTTATTAGGTCCAGTCTTGCGTGTTTCGTCTACTGTCTCGAGCTATAGAACAAACATGGCTACACCGAAGTAGATAATTAAGCGAGATTTATGCTACTGCGGATATCCGCAAAATATCCTCATTGAGGATGTGGTACATGACTCGATATCCAATGGAGAGAAGATTTGCCGCAGCCTAGTATAGACTGGTCGACACTAGACACCACACTTACCCGACTTGTTTGCTGAGAGCAATATTGATATAGTAATAGTGAGATCGCACCATAGGAGCTTTAACACCCTTCTATCGAAGAAGGGGCTATAGGAAGCGCTTCATTGTCTACCTAGGGAGGATACCCCACCTTTTCCTCTTATTATAGAGCGAGCCGTCTACTCCCAGTCAACTTCGCTAAAGCGCCTCCTGTGAGCTAGGTCATTCAATATAAGCTAAGCCATGTAGACACTAGTAAGGAAGTTTAATATACTTCAGGATGGAATTTTGCGAGCCAGACGAGCATCCAAGGACAGTATTCACCACGTTAACGGGCGAAGGCCTATATTTCTCTGCAGGGGCCGATATTCGAGACATAACAATATCAAGATCCAGATTTATCTCATACGTCTTGCTGGTCTAGAAATAATGGGGTCCCCGCCGCTGCAGGCGACGGCAGCGCAAGGGAAACTATTCTATATCCAGATTCTCCCTTACTATGTGTCCACTTCTTCATATCGAGTGCTGGGAAAATCATTGGAGAATCTCAGATTCTTGCAAATCCTTGGGCAAGAAGCTCACGTGTGATGATGTTAAGCCAAGAGCTCATTGTCACCGCAATAGGCAGGTGTCTTGGGAAAAGTGTGGGTTATTGATTAATGTTACCAGGACTGAGATAACGGGCATTTAGAAGGGCCCTTGCTAACACACGTGAAGCTTTGATTTGAAAGTGAGAGGTAACGGAAAGGAAAGGAAAGGAAAAGAAGGGAAAGGAGAGCTGAAACTGATTTTCTCGAAATGAAATCACGCCCAACGCTCGCATACTCTCTTTCTCTCACTTGAGCAACTAACAGAAAACTCCCGTCTCTTCTCCTAGCCTTGAACTTTCAATAATTTGAGTCCGCTCGAGCTCATACGCACTACATAGATAGAGCACTATTTGCGCAAGTGTGGACTGCTAACATAGTACGTCGTTGATAGTCTTCCTCGTCAACTGCGTCGCATATCGCAAAATGCCAAGCACGATCAACCCGAAGAAAGCTGTCGAGTCCGCTGCTCTAGCTCTTAACACGTCCCAGTACCGTACAAACTCGAGTGCTTTGCATAGCATCTACTTTGTCGGTGATATTCAGCCATGGCCAGGCTTCCTCAGTGCTGTTCAGATATGCCATGAGAACCGTACCTGGCGACAACAGACACTGGGTTACATGATTCAAGCCCGAGATCTGTATGCGTATGGAAATGTCGAGGTTGGCGATGAACACGGTGTCCAAGGCCGCTTCCAAAAATTCTTTGGGGACGTACTACCATCTTCGAGTCACAATCGACCACCAAGGAAAACATCAACCTCTGTTTCGCAGATTTTAAATGTATCCAGTCTACATACCCCGGCACACCTGACGTGATCCTGAAAGACAGCAATCACGCCTTAAAGATCGTGGGGGAGCTCAAGGCACCCTGGATTGGCGAGCATCAGATAAAACGGAGAATTACCAATGAGAGGCTTTTGAGAGAGATATTGGCCCAGCCTATCATGTATATGAAGGATCTGGGCTGCGTGTATGGCTTTCTTAGCACATACGAAAAGACGATCTTCTTGCGACAAGTTGTGGACAATAATGGCGGATGGAGTATTGAGTATTCTCCTGTGATCTCGTCATCCACCACTTATGATAAAAGCACAACCACTTCCCCTGTTGTTTCTGTGAAGCAATGTTTTTTTCTATGTGGGCGTCAATGCGTTGAATCAGGGGTCGGTCAACAACATGTCAACAGAGTGGATTGTAGAAATTAATGTTTCAGGACTTCTGCACATTCGAATTAAGCACATCTTGGGTATGCTCTGTGTCCATTTCGGACACATTGTTTATAGGCTCCGGATAGATCTACCCCTTTCCTCAACTGTGACTATCAAATAAGATTTTTCTTTGTCCCAGACAGGCTTCCGACGTATTTGGTCGTAGTGAAAGCTATTCGTTACCCTCTACTCCAAATTTTGAAGTGTATGCCGTAACTCCTATGTGTACTGCATGAGCCTGGAGGAACGCAGAAGAGGATGAAATCGAGTCTTAATAGACATTCCCCGTCCATGAGTGGTACCCGAAGTATATATGGTATCGAATATTTTGGAAGTAGGTTACGGTTGGAGATATATCGATGGTGTAGAAGAGGCTTGGCTACCATCGATAACTTCTTGGCATCCGTGAATCTAGCGGAGAAAAGAGGTACATACCAAGATTAGCGTCATTCGAGTGACCCATACCATCCCAATGTGGAGTATATGGATGTCGATGGAAGATATCAGCACATACGATACACGGGGAGCAAAAGAGAGGGCCAGAACAAGGATAGAAATTAAGCGGATATTTTAAAGCTACTAAGTAAAGCTACTAAGGAAGGAAGAAGCAGGATGCCTAGAGATAGAAAAAATATCGAGCGAAGTCAGCGAGTGATAGCTGCCTGTCACCATGAACATCCCCCCAGAGATGGATAAATTGATATTCCTTATATGTTTGTTTCGTTTGCATTTGTATTGCCCTTTTAAATTGTCTATTCTGGGATCATATATTACCAGAGTTCTTGATGCCTTTAATTGGGTGACCATTTTCGTATTTCCGACACTGCCATTTGATCACCTGACCATCCATGTTATCACTTATAGTTTTGTTCACTTGTGTTCTCTCTTTCTTCCCCTAAGCTGAACACCCATCGCTGTCAAGCCATCTTGCTTTCCAAAATCCTACTTTTTGCAGTCCTCGCCATGGCATCTAATACCAGAATGACATGCTTCGACGCTCGATTGCTCCGCGGCCTTGTAGGTACCACGGTCACCACATACGACCTTATCTCGGATGGCGCGTCACCACAATCTACCTCCCTTGCTCCTTCCATTGAGCCTTCTCGCGCTACGACCTCCCCCACCACACCCTCTACTCTGGTGGCATCTCCAATGACCGTCGTGTCTAACTCTTCAGCAGTCTCCCGAACGTGGGTCATAACGAAGAAACTCACGGAGAGGGCAGCCCCTATGACAGATCACGATGTCAAGATGGGCCGCGGTTCAGCTAAAACAGTTGGCAAGTTCCTGTGCCACTCTGCAGGGGACCCAAATCAGATAGCGTTCATGCGAATCTATCAACAGATTCCTATCACTGGAACGGAAGACGCTGACCACAACACTCTAGCTAGACAAGCCGTTGCTCCTGGAGTTTGTGGCGAGCTTGAGTCCTTCAAAAAGTTGCAGAGTGGGGGCCGTGGAGCCGTTCCTCGGTTTCTTGGCCACGCAGAAAGTACACAAGGAGACAACGACCTCCTTCCAGGCGGCTATATCAGATACCTTGTGTGGGAAAAGGTTCCAGGGGAGCCTCTAACAAAGGAATTCTTCTGGGGCTTGGATATCACCGCGCGCAAAGACATCCGTGCTAAGTTCCGCGACGCCTATGAGTAAGTCTCTGCAAATCTCAGGCAGGTAGGTGGGATGTTGACATATTCAAAAGACAGCTACTTAGTTGCGGAATGGCACCAGGCCAATCCAGGATCTCGAAAATCATCTTTGATCAGTCCACAGGCAACCTGTACGTCAGGGATTCCCTATAAATACCTTGGAAATATGTACTAACGGATTTGAGTCATATCTCGGGGTTCCGAATGGGATGGCCAATTATCGGTAAAATTGAATGGTCAGATGCTCGTTACGTTGAATTTGAACTGGCGGAGCCGAGTGAAGAAGGAGACTGGTACCTCCACCCGGAGAACTGGCAGTGGTAAATACTCGTAATCATTTAGAATCAAGTTCATTTCAAATTGCTGTAGTCGGAATGAATAACTTCTCCACTATCTCTTGCTACTCTCTGGCTCTTGAGGGTGTGAGTAACTATTATGTGGTTATACTATCACGAATTTTCAGTCACTAACGTCCCCTATTATCTCAAGTAATACATAACGTTTCAAAAGTCTGTTCCGATCCCCACTTTCACTACCCAACATTAAATATATATATCTGTTACAGTACACACTACACTGGCATCTTTTTAGATATTGCAGTGGGGAAATGCCCAACGATAGGTGATCTCTGATTAGGAGATATCTTTCCTAGTACACAGTCTTTACAGGATATTGCTTTGCATCTCCGATAGGGAGAGAATCAACTTCTACACATCTTTCGCTGAAGCAGCATCTTTTTCCTCCTTGGGAGGCTTCATATCATCGTGGTGTGGTGTAGTTTATTAGCTGGTTCGCTGACCCATATCATCCTGCCTGCATTCGCAGGTTTACCCTAGAGCGCCATAGTTTAATATATACGTAGTTCTAATGAAAAAAGTTTAAATTCGGGTATCGTTAAACTCACTTAGTAGCTACTAATATTTTGTATAATAACCCTTGACCCTACGTATAGCTTCTAATCTTCTTCCTATCCCTAAAATTAATCTATCTATCTTCCTTTAACTAATATCTTCTAAGCTTTCTTTATATATACCATAGAATAACACTAATCCTACTTAGACTTTCCTATATTAATAAGCTCTAGATATAATTCAAAGAGCTTTAATTTAAATACCGCTAGATAGGATTAATAGGGTGTAAATTAGGTAAGTACGGAGGCTGACCTTCTACCTAAACCCTATATATTTTAAACTACTCTTAGATAGTCTTCGCAATATAAATCCTAGTATTATCTTATGAGAATATAATCCCCGGCCTATATATAGGTAGAATAACGCGTCTAGATAGGATTTTATTATAAAACCTCGCTTCCGATTATTAGATTCCTCCTATTCTTCTATTATCATGAGATCCGATTAACTACTAAGCTAGATAGTACCTTAAAACTATCTATAAAATATCCTGAGCCGATCACCCAGCCTAAAGACAACGATAGAGCCTGAAAAATGAGCCTGAGTTGTAGAACGGTGCAATAAATCGCAGAAGGTCAGTGCCAAAATAGTGTAAACACAACTTGCTCATAGCCTTAGTGGCAGTTGGTTAGCCGTGAGCTCTACACTTGCAACGACCTCTAGGGCACACAAAAGGACTCTAGCCGGGTAAATAAACACTGGTTGGTATGTAGACATAATCGCCATACGAAGCGGCAGGCCCAGGTCGTACATGTGGGGTTTCATAATACGATTGTGCTATATTTGTATAACTACTAGGGGTGGTGAGGGAAATAAAGAGAACAGGGGACATATAGGATTTATGACTGATTGATTGGTTCGCATCCCTAGAGGGCGGAGTAAGTGTCCCTTATATACCAGCGTAAAGAAGAGACAATACGACGTCTTTAGTGTACGCGAATGGAGCTTTGTCCAATGAGAATCTACTATTATATGGGTAGACCTTTTAAATGGATAGACCTATCATATGGGTTGGAACTGTGTCCTTAGATTAGAGCCCTTTTTTGATGCAAGTGACACTCGTTTGTTCTGATCGTACATGATATTATTCCGATACACGACGGTGGAGACTGATCTCCTCTATTAAATTTACGATGAAGCATTCGGTGAACCAAGGACAAGCGTGAGGGGATCTCTATTGAGGCCCCAGATAGCTTTCGCTTAGTCATATTCGTAATCGCTGTCCGCCGCATAATAGTCGTCTTCGTCGTAATTGCCATTGTAATTGCCAGCAAATGCATCATCGACTTGATCATCCTCCGCGTCATCATAATCTTCGTCCATATCATCCGGGTCTCGGTTTTCTGGATTATCTTCAGCCTGGGCGTCAGGCCTCGGGGTCACCTTGGCGGTAGACTGAGGTGCAGTGGGTGGTGGAGTAGGCTGAGGAGCCAATCTAGTCGCAGGAGCCGGGACTGGAACAGAGGGTGGTGGAAGGATAGGATTAATAGTAGCCTCAGGGGTAGCAGCAGGAGTGGCTCGAGAGGCCAGCCGAGCCGCACGGCGGGAAGCACGATCTGGCTGCGTGCTGACGCTCCGGCGTGATACGACGCTTCGGCTTCGGCTTCGGCTTCGAGTGTGGCTCCGACCCTCGAGTTTTGCTTCTTCAGTCTCACCAGAACCTTCTTGGCCGTACAAGGTGTCCAGAAGAGAGTAATTAATCTTCTTACTGTATCCACGTCGCTCGAGCATGCGCCGCGTGGCCTCAGCTGGGGTCGAGGCACGGGAGCTGCGACCATCTTCGCCTTCCCCATCACCTTCCAGGTACCGAACATCGCCGAGTCGACCCTTGCGACGTTTTCGGGGTTTGCGAGTGCTTAGATTTCCCGTAGCCTCGGCCAGCGCACGCTTCAAGGCCTTTGCTTGTTGAGTGCGGAGATACTCCTTGTTCTCGTGGACCCAAATTCGCTCTTTGAGGTCTATTTCAGCTGGGGTGAGGAGGCAGTTAGAAACCTCAGGGTCGTCTTCAAATTCGCTTTCAGCAATCTCGGTGCTGTCCGGAATAAACTTGGCCGGCTCTGAGGCAATGACGCTTTGGACCATATCTGAGCCCTTAGCTAGCATGTCTCGCATCTCGGCCTCCAGAGCCTCCTCCGACGCAAGCTGATCCGCGGACGGGGCAGGATAGGATGGGCGTCGAGTGCCCTTGATTTTGACGTTCTCAGACTCGACCGCATCTCGCTGAGTCTCTTCAATGATTTCCTGGACAACTTTGCCAACAGAGGATCGTCGGGGGAGGCTGTCGTTCAAAGACGGGTCAATGGGGAGGCTTGGGATGGCAAAGCCATCAGCATCAAATCGAGGAGGTTGAGTAGAGTCTGCTTCACTATCTGCCACCGAACCTTCAATTTCAGCAGCAGTCTCGGTGAGCTTCTTGGTAGGTCGATTGAAATTGGGCCCCTCACGTGCTCGGGTGAAGGAAGGGGGATCTCGCGCATTCTCCAGTTGTACAGAGCGGAACTGGTCCACGGTCAGTTCACCACTCTCTGTGGTGCTGAACTCAGCTAGACGTTGGTTGATCGTGACTTCAGTGACTTTGACGACGTAGACCACTTCGCGCACGGTCCGACGGAAGTTGTTCATGCGGGCTGCCAGAATCAAGGCGGCACCGCAGAGACCAGCTGGGCGCCGACCAGTTGTCATCCAGTCTCGATTCATTCGTGACACGATGCGAACCGCCTCACCAGCCACTGGCATGGTAGCCGATCCAAATTCGAGTTGCTTTGCGAATCGATAGATTAAACTTTCAGGGTCAATGGGATTCATCAGGAAGACATTGCCGCCCAGCCGAAGCTCATCCAGAAGTCGCTTGTAAGTACGACCTAGTTGGAAAACGTCCTTCATGAGCACATCGGCAAAATCGATCAACATGACAGTATTGCCGTCCTGGCGACGGCAGGCAATGTACAAACACACAGCGGCCACAGTTCGAGTTTGGCGACCCTGGATAAAGTTCAGGCCGACAGCAAGTTTGAAAACCTGACCGGCGGCCTTGGTAGCGCTTTCGGGGATGTGTAAGGCTCGTGACATCTGGGTGATGAACCGATTGCCATTCTGCTCTGTCATCTCTCGACTTTCCATGCCTCCCCCGCGCTGGAAGCCAGGACCGTAGCTGCGGACATGGGTCTGACCTTCTCCAACGAATGTTCCTTGGACGACAGCTGCACCAGAGGAAGATTCACCGAATGTGACCTCGGACACAATGTTTGATTCACTGATGACTGTACCACACCCTGAGCAGACCTTCTGTCCGTCATCCTCGACGATGTGCGGGGCTGGACAGCCCGGGTTGGGACAGCTCTGGGTTTTGGGATGTGTGGTAGGGCGTGCAGGTTGAGGGCGCCCAATCGGTTGCGGACGCTTAATCGGAATTGGATTGGGAGGCTTAAGACTGGCCAGACGCGAGACTGGCGCCCGGGGACCACGGGGCGTCACCGAGATCCGCGTGCCAGGCTTCGGTGCCGACATGGTTAGGAGATCAAGAACGATTGCAGATCCAACGGCAAGGCTGCAAAATCCCGGGAGGCCGGTGATGGAAGAAGACTATGCGAACCCTCTTGATAGTTCAAATATGGCTGTTGTTAAAGCCAAGGAAGTGCAATGGTATGCGCCAGCACATGTGCTGATGATAAGAGGAAAAAGTTGCGGAGAGGAGGGAGGAAGGGGTCTCAGTCGGTGTATGGTGAATGTGGATCAAGATGAGAGACCCGAGAGGGTATGATATGCCGTCCAAGCGCGTATGCGCTCTGAGCCCACCGGGTTGACGCTGCAAAGTGCTCGACAAAGTCACGACGAAAAGGGAAAGATAAGGGATAAGATGAGGCACGCGGAACAGACGCGAAACGATCGCGAGTGGCGGGGCTGGCGATCGAGGGAGGAGTTTTTTCTGTGATCGCCCGTGGCGTAATGGACCAGTCACGTGGAGATCTGACTTGCTCGGCACGCGTTCAACTCGCGAGGGCGAGTTTGTCGACCCACATTCACAATGGTGGAAATCACAGGAAAGGGGGAGTAAGAAAGGGGCAGAAGAGAGTTGTAGAGGAGAACGAAAATGAACGGATATTTTGACACCTTTTGGACATCTTTAGAGGTCACTTTGAAAAGTGGGAGTCGGGGGGGGGGGAAACTGTGAGTAGCCCGGCAATCTCCACGTGACAGCGTTCGCAGTGAGTCAAACTGCACTAGTCCCAGAACGGATATATTGACAGCGACATTTGGTGGCGGCCTGGTGCCTGGTTAGTGCCTGATAAACAAGGAACCAATAGTGGCTCAAGCACCATTCAGGCATCGACCAGGCATCAATCAGGCACACAATTCACAATCGGTCCAACAACGTGCAAGACAGCAGCACCTAGCACGGGGAGGAACGCCATCAAAAGCACCTGGAAGGGCAGTTGGCTTTGCAATATCCCGCCCAAAGCTGGATCTCTCATTCCTGGCTGATCCAGCCACCAGCTAGTTACATACTACAAGAGGGTCATGGCCATGTCCACGGCTGGAATGTGCTCTCGCGGTGCGGCATTTGTGCGTGGTTTGCCTGCCACCACGCACAAATGTCGCATCCTAGCTTTTCGCGCCTTGTCCACCCACTTCTAGCTCACGATTTTGTACTTTCTTTCTCTCCTTTCTGATCCATACAGCCTGCATCCAGCCAATGCTATCTATCCTTTCCCTCCCTCCTGGTCCTTTATGATGTAATCGCCCGTCTCGTGGTTGCTCTTTTTCTCCCGGTGATTTGTTATATCAACCAACCCAGAACCCGCGCGGCACCCTGAACAAGTTTCAGAACCTCCCAACCCAACTCCTCTCGCTGGCTGTCATATCAGTCCAGATAATTCCTCTTTTTTTCTGTCACTCTATCCTATTGGGCTATTCCCCAGAAGTCGATCTCGGCTGTGCTTAAACCTCTTGCTATAATTTTTTCCTCGGTTCTTTACCTACCCGGCCTTGGCAATCGAGCTTGTCGCAGCCGATCATGTCGCCGGAGAAGAGGAGCCCTCCCCAGACTCCAAAGATGCAGGGCCATGGCTCAGGACAGGAGACCAGGAAAAGTCTTTTCTGGGTGGGCAATGTCCACTGTTCCTCCTGTGTTGCGTATGTCAAAGAAGTGCTATCGGAAATCCCTACAGTGACCGATATCGATGTTTCAATCCTGACGCACGAGGTTCGCGTCTCTCATGGCATCACCGCACAGCCGGCTGACCTTGCAACGGCTCTGATTCATGCCGCTTTTGAGGTCCATCATGTCACGACCTGTGACGATCGGGGAACGGTTGTTGCCGATCTGGATACCACTTCGTGGAACCATCGTGGCTCGGTGATATTTTCCACACCTCGCACTTCCTACTCAAGCATCTCATCCAATCTTAAAGAACGGCTGCACACCAGCCGGGAGAAGCGACATATCGCCAATTGCGATGCCTGCAAGAAGGAGCAAGCTATAAAGCTATCCTGCTGTGCTCCCCAGACCGACACCGCATCTCTACACGAGAGGTCATCACAAAGTGCAATTGGGCGTGCCCACGAGGGGGACGAAGAAGATGAGAATATAGCTGGCCTCAATCCATTTTCAGAGAAGGCGTTTCTGCACCGCTTATCGTCGACTGCTACCTCTGAAACCCGGATAGACATTGATGCAACTTCTACAATTGCTCATGAAACACCCCAAACACCTCCACAGCAACCACAGCCTGCCGTTAAATTTGTAGCACAGATAACCATTGGCGGTATGAGCTGTGCATCCTGTGTGAATAGTGTGACTGCTGCAATTCAGGACCTCGATTTTGTCGAGGATGTCACAGTCAACCTTCTTACCAACAGGGCAGCCATAGTATATAACGGACCTCGCGAGAACATCGATCTCATTACTGAACAAATTGAGGATATCGGATTCGAGGCTTTTCTTGAAGAGGTCCATCCTGTCCTGCAGGCCTCAGCGCCGGGAACAAGCCCCGCACTATACGAAACTGAAATTGCCATAACCGGTATGACATGTGGCTCCTGCGTGGGGGCAGTGACCCGAGGGCTAGAAGAGCTATCTTTCATCCGCAATGTCTCTGTCAATCTACTGTCTCATAGTGGCAAGGTAGAATTCCAAGGGCGAGAAAACCTGGATAAAATCGTGGAAAAGATTGAGGACATGGGATACGACGCCGAAGTCAACTCGATTAATCCAGTTTCCGAAAGCGAAGACCAAGCTATCCCTGTCCTGGAAAGAACTATCTCGATCCGTGTTGATGGAATGTTCTGCCATCACTGCCCCGAAAAAGTCCTTGCTTCCTTGGAATCACTCCAGGACGTCACTGTCGAAGAGACTATTTCGGAGAAAAACCCAATCCTGAGAGTCACATACAAACCCCAGCCGCCCTTGTTGACCGTCCGCTCGATTCTCAAGACAATCTCTGAGGCCAACGATGCTTTCAGCGCGCACATTTACCACCCTCCCAGCATTGAAGATCGCTCTCGTGCGATGCAATTGCATGAAAGACGCCGTCTACTCAGTCGCCTGCTCTTTGTATTCGCCGCCGCCATCCCGACTTTCATCATCGGCATCGTCTTTATGTCCCTAGTGTCTGCACAGAATCCGATTCGACAGTACTTGGAAGAGACTATCTGGTCCGGCAGTGTGACCCGCACGGAATGGGCATTGTTCATCACGTCGACCCCCGTCATGTTTTACGGGACTGATGTGTTCCACACCCGTGCTTTGAAAGAGATTCATGCATTATGGCGCGTCGGAAGCCGAGTACCACTCTTGCGACGATTTTATCGCTTCGGTAGTATGAATCTGCTTATTTCTGCGGGCACCGCGGTTGCCTATTTCTCCTCATTGGCTGTTCTTATTGTTGATGCGGTGGCCGGAGATAAGACTAGCGCTCATAGCACAACTTACTTTGATTCGGTTGTCTTCTTAACGATGTTTATCCTTGCAGGGAGGTTCCTGGAGGCATATAGCAAAGCACGAACTGGCGATGCTGTTTTGTCTCTAGGCAAGCTACGTCCGTCGGAGGCGCTCTTGGTCGAGAGCCAGCCTTCTCCCGATCTGGAAAGTCCCGACAGCCTCAGAGCAGACCAAACAACCCGAATCAATGTGGATCTTCTGGAGGCTGGCGACACGGTCCGTATTCCCCACGGTGCATCTCCTCCGGCTGATGGTGTTGTGGTTGGGGAAGGCTCGTACCAGTTTGACGAGAGCTCGTTGACAGGAGAGTCACGTCCCGTCAAGAAGGCAGCTGGTGACTCAGTATTCACCGGCTCGGTCAACGTTGGTCAGCCAGTGCAAATCAAAATCACAGAACTCGGCGGATCCTCTATGCTCGACCGAATTATTGCCGTGGTTCGCGAAGGTCAAAGTAAGCGTGCGCCGCTTGAAAGAGTAGCAGATCTTCTCACGTCTCACTTCGTCCCTGTCATCACCTTGATTGCCGTCTTAACTTTCCTCATCTGGCTTGCACTTGGTCACTCGGGCGTGCTTCCCAATGACTATTTGGACATTGCGCGTGGTGGCTGGACCTTTTGGAGCTTGGAATTTGCCATTGCGGTCTTTGTCGTCGCTTGCCCCTGTGGATTGGCATTGGCCGCGCCCACTGCGCTATTTGTTGGGGGCGGCCTTGCAGCGAAGCATGGCATTCTGGTGAAGGGTGGTGGTGAAGCTTTCCAAGAAGCTAGCCGGCTAGATGCTATTGTATTTGATAAGACAGGAACCCTGACAGAGGGAGGAAGTCTCAAGGTGTCCGACCATGAGTTTCTCACACAGGACAGTGATGTGCTAAAAATTGCATGGACTTTGGCTCGAAGCCTGGAAGAAAGCAGCAACCATCCAATCGCACAAGCTATCACCGCTTTTTGTGAATCCCAACCTTCCGTCAATGTACTTAGCTCTGATATTCATGAAATCTCCGGCCAAGGGATGAAGGGAACTTTTATCGTCTCTGACGAGAAAACGGAAGAAGGCCAACGCTACGAAGCTGCGATAGGCAATGAGCGCCTTTTGCAAAGCATTTCCCCTCCTAACACAGACACCTATTTCGTCTCCAACCTACTTTCGAACTTTCAATCCGCCGGCAAATCGACTGCGGTGCTTTCACTGCGGTGTGTCGATTCCCAAACTGCCGAACCCTCTGCATTTATCCCTACAATTGTCTTCGCCACGTCAGATACCATCCGCCCAGAGGCAGTTGAGGTCATTTCGCAGCTCAACAAACGTCATGTTGAAGTTTTCATGTGTACAGGCGATAATCAGACAACGGCACATGCTGTTGCAGACATGCTGGCTATTCCACGTTCCAACGTCATGGCCAATGTCCTCCCTGCTGAGAAGGCAAGTTTTGTCCGCCAGATCCAAGACGGCTCGGCGCGGGCAATACCCACCACTACTGCCGGATCTGAGGCTGTCCCCGGTAAGGGGACACCTCGGCCTATTGTTGCATTTGTTGGCGACGGCGTGAATGACTCTCCCGCCCTCGCCGCCGCCGATGTGAGCATCGCCATGGCCTCTGGATCGGATGTCGCCATGAACTCTGCTAGTTTCATTTTGCTGAACTCGGATCTCAGCACGATCCTCCAATTGGTACTCCTGAGCCGTCGCGTTTTTAATCGCGTTCGGATGAACTTCGGGTGGGCGGTGGTCTACAATATGTGTCTCGTCCCTGTCGCCGCGGGAGTCTTCTACCCTATCGTTAGTGGGCACCACCAGAAAGTCACAGGTAGCGAAGTCATCATGGTCAATGACCACTGGAGACTAAGTCCAGTCTGGGCAGCTCTGGCTATGGCACTGAGCAGCATTTCCGTTGTTTCGAGTAGTCTGGCTTTACGTGTTGATATGAAGAGCGTGAAGAGATTTTGTGGCTGGAAGAAATGATATAGCTGGGGGCTCACTTTACAAGCGCAACTTGAGCGTATTTGCGTTTAGATATCCCATGAGTTTTATTTAATAGTTCCAATTATTTTTCATATTCAATCTATGCATCTGCATTCATGGAAGAGCTACCGCCGTGAAGGCATTACGTGTCTTATCCACCTTCTCCCCAGACCTCTGCGATCTTTTTACTGAGAGCCTTGCCGACCTTCTTGCGTCCCACCAGTGACTGCAACTGATCTGAAATCATAGTTTCCCTTGCTTTAGGATCTAATGCCATGTATGCCTCAATCAAATGCTGGGGGGTTTTCCATCTCCGTTGAATTTCGAGCGCTTTTTCGCCCGTGACACCGCGAGTGCACATGAGCATTTTCAAGAAAATATCCCGTAGTGATAGCACATCAGACTTAGAGGTGAGCGCAGAAAATGTCGAGAAAGTCACACCATACGTGAGAGACGGATCTCTGGCACGAAGATCGTCTAGGCGATTGATATAGGATTGTGTAGAAGACAGGCATCGGCTGGGGATGAGAGCAACTTTTGAAGAATTCGAGAACTTGCCGCTCTGACTGGAATTCAACTCGCTGCTGGGTAAATCGTGAGCTCCATACATATTGCGAAGCAGCAGGGTCATGCGGGCCAAATAGCGGATTGAATCGTCAAGGTTCCGGGTTTTCTTAATGAAGTATCCGTTGACTACTTGTGTCGAGGCGATTGCAGAGGCGACCATTTCTTGGTACTTGAGAGTGCTTCCATTGCCAGCATCTGGATGCGTAACGGAGAATTCTTCTATCAAGTAGATAACGTTTTTAATACCAGATCGCCGCAGGCGAAACTTCTGCTCGTGAAATCGACCATCCTTGATGGATCCAATAAGATCATCGAGGCGCTTTCTCTCGAGAATCCAGTCCAGCATGATTTCATCACTTTCTTCGCCGTGACGGGCGAGGAATGCCGGGTCTCGACATTTAGCTACCCACATCGCGTCTCCTAGTTCGAGAGCCCGCACCTGAGGAGTGATCCCCTGTTTCATGAGCTCATTGGCGATATAATCTCGATCCGTTGACGTGCGTACTTCGCGAGTATCTAACACCAACTGTATCGTGAAACTGTTTGGAGGCAGAATGATAGGATCAACCGGTCCGTCTGCTCCAGCTGAACGGTTAAGAGCAAGGTGTGCGTTGGTAATTGGTTGTATCAGGTCATTGTCGTCATCGTCTTGGGTGGCTCCGCCGCCGATTCCGGCGGCGCTGGCTGCAGAGGGTCTAGGGTGTTCAGTGTATCCAGGAAGAGTCTTCTGGATGCGCTTAGCAACTTCCCAGCCATCCTCTGAAAGCGCATACTTCCGAAGCGGGCGGCCATGCTCATAAACGAGGTCTTTCTGGATCAATGTTTTCATGGAATTCCACGCGGTGTAGAACTTAGTAGGGTCCGTTGGTGCTGTGAAGGAGCTATCGCAGTAAGGCTGGGCGACTTCAATCAAATGCGCTTTGGTCATCCCCTGGTTTGTGTGTTCTCCCAGAGTCGCGAGACCCAGAAGAAGCGCGTATGCGCCGGACCGGAGAGCCGGTACGTATGGCTTGGCTTTTCGAGGCTTCTTCGCCGGCTGATCGGCAACACCAGTGTCCGACAACCTTTTGTTGGCTGACGTATATGTTAATTTACTTGGGTCTAGGAAGATGCATCGGTTGACTTCTCACCTTGACCAGACAGCTCTGGCATAGGAAGCCCATTTTGCTCACAGTGGGCTTTGAGTTTCTCTGTCAGGCGATCACAAAGTTTTGGCCCGAGTCCATTCAACTGTTGGGCTTGGGATGGATGCTCAAATGCCAAAGGGCATGCCTTCATCGACTCATAGGCCTTTTTGTACCTGAGGAGCGTTAGGGCGACGGAGTAGATAAACAGGACATAGGCGGATACTCACACTGTCACACCCTTGCTATTGCGCTCACGAGCTTGATCCAGCCACTCCTTGATCCACCCCAACAGCAGCGGATTTGCACATTCTTCGCTCATCTTGACCTTGCGGCCATCTGGCTAAGAGGGGGACGAAATGTTAGTTGCCATACGCGACGTGGATTTCCCTTTCGGAACGCGAATGGTCATGTGACTTGTTGTAGAGAAGCAGGATAGGATAATGCTCAGATAGGCGACCGAGTATGTGACAGATATGATCGGTGGCAGGTTAAAGATTACACATTGTTTAATACCATTTTATTATATTGTCTTCGATTTAGCACCCAAATAGCATGCTTAGTACCGACGCCAGTCCTGCTATCTGACAACATGCATCTGATGACGTCGACATGCCGCTGACCCCGGGTTGCCAGGAAAATGGTTCTACCATCTATGGATAAAAACCGGACTTGGCCCGTTCCTGATTCCTCCTCTCTCTTTCAGGCCTCCTTATTTATCTGCCCCCATTAACCTTACTCTCAGTCTATTGACTGTTTCTCCAATGGGCGAAGGAGACGAGATTACTGTTTCTCCACCATTGGGTGGCAGTGGCGCTACAACAACAACCACCACCACTAGCAGTAATAACTCTGAATCCATCCAAGTTCCAGAAGGACCAACGGATAGCCATGTTCTCTCTCAAATTGAACCGGAGAGAAAAGGTCTGTCTCAGCAAAATGACGACACGGCGGAGACCACCGATGTAGGATGGAGCATATCTCCCGACGAATTCGAAGAACAGTTGATTTCTGGCTTATCGAATGAGGATCTATGGATGCTTTTGAGGCGTTTCGACAAGGTATTTAGAAATCTAAACAAAAGGGTCTCTGATTGAGCAAGTGCTCGGAACTGAATCTTTCATCTCTATGTAGCAAGTCTACAATGTCAAAGCGGTGCCAGAAGCCCCAATGCAAAGGCTTGACCTCACTCGGGCAGTTGAAGATGAGTTCTCACCTGACAAATTACGTGCTACGCTGGAAAGATTTTACACGACTGTGGTTGTCAGTTTGACAAGCTTTGTTAAACATATTGCTCGGCTACGGTCGTGGAAGGAGTCGCGTCGCACGGCAATATTTTGTGTGGTATGGCTATGCAACCGAAGATTTCGCCATCTTTTGTTCTCAAGTGGGCGCTGAAAGAAAATTGGTCTAGGTTTATTTTCTCGCTTGGATCTTGGATCTGCTGATTCCAGCATTCTTCGCGGTCTTGATCGGTTTGGTTATATATCCTCCACTTCGCCCAATGATGTTCCCTCCAGCACCCATTGCCCTTATCGACAAAGACACTGGAGGAATTCAAAAGCCCCAAGCTGGTGTTCTGGGGTCCCATGATAGTGTTACTGGGGCCCCCGAGAACTTCAAGGGCGAAGCAGCCGAGCGAGAAGCCAGCAATCTAGTAGCGAGCGTGGCTAGCGTTGCTGTGGGTAGCGCCGTTGGAAAGCACGATCAAGGGGTTCCAACAGAGGCACCACTAGAGGAGACCGTTCCAGATCCGATGGACATTGTGTCTGATACTGCAGATGCTCAGAGCAAAGCCCATGGCCTGACACCATCAGATTCCCATGATAAAACGCGGCAACCTATGAAACAAAACGTGCTAGATATTGCGAATCTGTCAATGCAGGTTATCAGCGATGTCACTGACACATATGAAAAACTCGGGAAGTAAGCTCGATGATTGCATTGCTTACACCCCAGCTATTATACCTCTCTACTACTTGGTGCTGATATACCATAATCCCAGTGCTCTGTCTGCTACTCCACCATTTCCGCGCATGAAACCGCGTATACGCCTGTTAGCTTTGCTGACCCCAGCATTTCTTCTTTCCACCTGGATATCTAGCTATATCTTGATTAAAGCAATAGGATTTTCAGTTGGCTTGGCTTTTTTTGGAGATCCTATCATTATGCGCGGGATTGCGGTTTTGAATCGTGATTTCCCTCATTGGCAGGACATCTTCAAACTCCAGAAGTAAGTATTTGTCAATGAATCCCCGAGAATCAAGAAAGAAAGTTACTAACTATTCGATAGTTCCCTGCTCAAGGGAATCCCAACCAATGCTCAACTGACCTTGACACTACTGCGTATTGGCGAGGCGAACGCCTCTCCTCTGCCACCTCCACCATTATCCAATGGCAAACCTCCCTCGCGCCCTGCTTCGTTACGCCATGAGGACCTTACCGTTGGTGCGACTCGCGAGGAAATTCAACAAGCTGCTTCTGTCGAAACCAAGAATTCCAGCCCCCAAAATCCTCCAAGAGCCCAGAAAAAGACACTGACAGCCGGGATTCTCAGCCTATTTCGTGGAGGCACCGCAACAGGAGTTGAAAGCAAACGTGCTATTGATCGTATGTGGGCAACAGCTGGCTCTCGCCATGCTAAAAATAGAGTCGGTGTGTTACGCCGCAAAGGGAAAACCAGAACACCAGTTGGACCTGTCGAGTTCGATGCCAGATATCATGGTAAGCGCGGCGTTGCCGTGATCGACTCGTCTCAGGAGCCTCCCATACTATACTTCACCACAGATATTCCGCAAAGCAACGATCTTCATGTGGACAATCGAAAGAAGAATTCTGTTCTCTTCACCATTCCAGTTACAGATATTCGGGAACTGAAAAAGCTGGGTGGTATGGGGTGGAAAGGAAAGCTGGTTGTTGGGTGGGCTATTGGTGGAAAAGAAGTTGTTGACGGCTTGCTTGTTGTCGGCAAAGAACCTCACCAATCCTTTCAATTAACGGCCATGGCTATGAGGAACCAGTTATTCAATAGGCTGGTTTCTATCGATGGACAGGTTTGGGAGCGCTGCTGATATTATTTGTTTGCGAATGAATGCTAAGACAATCCCAGGTTTGGAGGTAGAGTACCCCTATTTTTTATCTAGCTTTGAAAGCAGTGATTCATGCTTAAATCGGTGTTGAGAGTTAAACTCTAAATTTATTCTGTGATTTATGATAAACATGGAATGAACTTCCAATTGTTGAACAAACCTAGATCTTTAGCTTTGTGACAAGCTTTCCCGTGTTTTCACCTGAAAAGAGCTTCATCCAGGTGCGCGGAATTTCGGTAAAATCGGCTTCAATGACCATCTCAATCTCGTCACTAATGATCAGATTACCTTTCTTCCATTCATCTACCAAAATTGACCGCACTTTGGGAAGATGCTCAATCCAATCAAGGTTGACGAATCCTAGGATTTGAATACGCATAGAAATAACGTCCTAGACAGGTTTAGTACCAAAGAAACCGGCTAAAACCATAGCGATGGGGGGATAAGGGGCGTACGTAGAAATTTTTGATGCCGATGATGTCTCCTTCACGATTATAGTTCGAAATGGAGCCACTGTACTGGGTTAACAATTGTCTTCCTTCATTAAATTCGCCGCCTCCAGAACCCTACCAGGCTGCAACTCGACCAAATTTGGCCAGTCTGGTCAGCATGAAATCAAGGATCTCGCCGCCGACATTGTCTACATCACGTTCTGATTAGACTTCATCCAAATTCTGTATGAGCATGTCAATATCGAACCGAAAAATATTTCCACAAAGCCTTCAGTCTCCTTCGAAAGGTCGTCTTTGAAGGACGCCGATTTGTAGTTTACGCAAACGTCTGCTCCTAAGCTCTCCACCCACCGGCATTTCTCTTCCGTTCCCGCAATGCCAATCACCTTCATATGTCAATGAATTAGGCAAAATTTTATGGGAGAAGGCAAACATACTTTCCGACAACCAATGACTTTCTTGGCAATTTGGATGGCGATGTTGCCAACAGCGCCAGCAGCACCACTAATCACAATGGCATCATCCTTCGTGGCCTTGGCAATTTGCGTAAGACCATAGTACGCCGTGTGACCGGGAAGCCCAAGTGCACCCAGGAAATGTGTCTCGTGTAGGCCGGGAATGGACTCAATAGGAAAAACGTTGTTGGCATCATCAATAGAATACTCTGTCCACCCTGGAAAGCCCGTAACCAAGCTACCAATAGGTAATTTTTCGCTGCGTGACTCCACGACTTGCGAGATCCCTATCGACTTCACGGTTTCTCCTATCTGGACTGGTGGTAAATACAGGCGCTTGGGGTCGACCAGTGGCGAAATCCATCCTCGCTGAGCAGGATCATTGCTCAAGTACAGGGTCTTCAGCAATACTTGACCATCTTGAAGTGCTGGGAGGGTAGTATTCTCCAAAGCAAAGGTAGCTTTGTCTCCATCCAAGACTGCCTCGCCATATGGCTTCTCGCGGAGCACCCAACGTTGAAACGAAGAGGTCATTTTAGCAGGGCTTGGTTCGAAGCAGATTAATGCAAGACAGAAGTGAGCTTTAAAAACCTTTCTGGGAAGGTGAACGATGAAATCAGAATAATTCGGGGGATCAATCTGACATCTACCTGGGGACATTTGGTTTATAAGCGGCAAATGCATGTTTCAATTATTAATCTACCCTAATGTGTTGTCTCGCAACCTCAGCGGCGCACTGAATGCCCTATTTTGGTTTAATGCGTCTAATATAGTATCGCACCGAATCAAAATTCTCCATCTCAAACAATTTAGTCCATCAAGCCCCTGCTGATCGGAGGAATCTGTCTCCGAGCGGGGATGTACGTACATCGGACAAAGCAGGCGGCCTAAAAGAAGCGAGATTCTTCATGCTAAGGTCCGTGATCATATTACCATTCATTCCATACGAAAAGAAATAAAGTCTATAGAATTCCCAAACGAACTGTTTCAAAGTAGTAGATTTATTATTTGTTCTTTTAGGCTGCAGCTGTAAGCCCCGGGGTGTTGAGATAAGCCGATTTCGTGGACTAGCCAAGAGGGGGCGATTACGTCCACCCCGAATAATGCATGGACTAGTGCAGTGATTGGAGCGACTCCTAGGTACATTTATATGCATATCCTGGTGCCTGGACACCCAAAGTACTTGCCTTTCCTCTGAGAGGAACTATTACGTACAGCACAATTAATAATGACATTGCAATCATGAAAATCATGAAAATCATTTTTGGAAGGTATATACGTATTATCTTTTCAAACATTTGAAACAAATCTCAAATATATCTCTACAATCATGAACACTTGACACTCTCCTGGTAGTCCCTCACAGTTTGTTCAAAGGACTCGTCACGCTTGAATCCAAGAGAGATAGCCTGGGTGTTATCAAATTGGGTGGGCCAAGATTTCAAGATGGGAATTAACGCTGGGTCGTTCTTTTCCTGGAGAAGAGCTAACTTGTCCTTGCCCGCCACCGCTTCCAGGGCATCCATCATGCCTTGAACGGTGACACAAATTCCAGGCACATTGATCTGGCGAATATGGGGAGGAATTGAGTCGATGGGGAGACGGAGGGTAAGAAGAAGATTGTACACGAGTGTCTTGGGGGAGCAAAGCCATGATTTGAATGACCGATCTTCAATAGGGATCACGCATTCCTTGCCATCCAGAGGCTCGCGGATCATACCGGACAAGAATGAAGAGGCTGCGGCAGTAGGTGCGCCGGGGCGGACTGAGATTGTCGGGAATCGAAGCGTGAAACCATTGATGAACTTGCGACGGGTGTATTCGTTAACGAGTGTTTCGCAGACCACTTTCTCAGCGCCGTAGGAGGACTCGGGAGTTGGCACGACGCTGTCAGTCACAATTTCTGGCAGCGGTTGGCCATAGACAGCCTGACTTGAGGAGTAAATAACCCGAACTCCAGGGCATGCGTGCCGGAGTGCCTCCAACAAGTTACGTGTTGCGTCGATATTCACACCCATGCCCAGGTCGAAATTAGCTTCTGATCCGGAGGACATGATGCCGTGGAAAGCGTAGACAGCGTCCAGTGAGGAGTCGACCACATCTTTGACACTCGTGAGCAGATCCGCCTTCACTGCAGTCGCGTTTTCGGGGTGGCGAACGCCCGCGGGGATTGGAGGTTGATGAATATCAGTGAGAGTGACGCGGTAGGCAGGGTCGTTCAGCAGTTCTTTGGCGAGCAATTGGCCGATGAAACCGGCGGCACCGGTAATTAGAATATGCATTTTGGTGGAGGAAGACATATAATAATGGGCCGAAACAGAAAGCGCTCGAGATTGTCGTGATGGTGGGTTTATAGCTGGTGGAGAGTCCCTGGCGAGCTCTCCGCATTCGCATCAAGTCCGAGTCGCCCCGTTGATTCTCCTCCGCACCGGACTTTGCCCGGCTGGACAGCGTTCAGGGTGGATCTACAGACAGGCACGGATCGCTGGGCCAGTGTCATTAACGCCTCAGTGTCTTCACCACCCTGAAGACCGGCATGCTTGACCAGCGACAGGGAGTATTCGATCCCCGGAGAGTAAGCCGATCGATGGGCAAAAGGAACAGGACTGGTATTTGAATGATCATAGGAGAGTACTGCGCTATTTCCAAATCGGTAGAGCTTGATGTACAGATTGGTGACAGTCAGAGAGTGATTTAAACAACAAAGATGTCGTGGCTACGGAGTCTAATCTTCAAAGCGCAGCACACCGACCTTCTAATTAAAAATGCTGCATCCAAGTAAAAGTATAGCAGCCGTAGTAGTAGGAGTAGTAGTAGTAGTAGTAGCGGTATAAGTGGGAGTAGTGAGGAGAGAGAAAGGAGGAGAGAATGAAGAGGAATTAGCGAGGGAGAAATTTGTGCATATTCGTCTCATAAGGGAGCTAGTGGTAAAATATTCATGATCTATGGGCCGCGCATTTCCCCTCCGTCTCAACCAGGAAGATTGCTCGCGGTGGTCGGACTCCGAGGAGAAGGCGAGCAGAGTAACCGCCTCGGTCTCCCCCGACTTTCCCCCCTCCGCCCCGCCGAATTTTGCCCCCAACCGCATGCCGGAGCATCACCGACTCTTCATGGATGCCTCCACTCCACTCAAGAGGTCCTCAACGGAGGCGGGCTTGGAATCACCCAGGGCGAGCAATCGTTCTGGAGATACACGTCCTGCAGCTCCTAGGATATCTAAAGCCCGAGCCTGTAAGTGGTGCTGTTCCCCACACTGTCGCATCGCTGACCCCAGTATCCCCCCTTCCACAGGCGCAGAATGCAAGCGACACAAGATCCGGTGTGAGTTTCGTCCTGGAGAAACGAATTGCACCAAATGTACACGTAGCGGCATCAAATGTGTGGTGAACGACTTTTCACAGAAGTTCGTCGATGACGATGGGATGTATGTTTCCCCGGACCTTTCGCCTCCGCCGCCAACTTGGTTGCCAGATGAGCCCTCTCAAACTGGCATGAATGACATTGGCTGACACCATTCCTATCTCTGGTAGATGGAAGTCCCAGGCGACCGCGACGATGCAGCAGTTGCAGACTGCGGTGTCCCAACTGTTGCGACAGGCAGGTCTGCCCGATCTCTCGACATATACAAGCGGTGACAGTGGCAATGGGCCCAGTCCGGCCGCCTCACCCCATGGCCATCGATCCTCGATCTCGGTCGACATATCGCAAACGCCAAACAATCACACCAGCCATCTCAATCATTCCAACCATGCCCATCATGCCCATCATGCTAGTCATCATGAGGGTCCAGGGGTAGTAATGGATGTCACTCGCGAGCCGTCCCAGGAGCCCGATCTCCAAGACCCCGAATTAGTGCCTGCCCCCATGCGCAGTTTATACGAAGTCACTAAGCTACGCAACCTTCGAAATAACCACATTGAGGCACCCAGGAAGACATTACTAGAGGAGGATTTCATCACGCGGGGACTGATTTCCATCCATGAAGCCGAGGAGCTGTTTGCGTATTTCAGTCGCACGATGAATCAGTTACTTTGGGGTGGGATCATCTTAGTCCATCGCGATCTAACCTCAGTTCGCCGTGCCTCGACACTCCTCTCGGCGGCAGTCCTCACCGTCGCAGCCCTGCACATTCCCAATCGTACCGAAACGCTGAATCGCTGCTATAACGAGTATGTATCCCTTGTGTCGAGTATGGCTCTCACCCGCGCACATACCTTGGACGACATCCGCGGCCTCTGTGTGGGAGCCTTCTGGCTGTCCGAATTAAGTTGGAAGTTGTCCGGACATGCGGTGCGTATCGCGACCGAAATAGGCTTGCATCAAAGCTACCAGCGCTTGACCCGTGGGCATACGGATCAGTATGCGCGCGCTCAACTGTGGTATCTGCTCTACGTGTGCGATCATCATTTCAGCATTGCCTACGGGCGGCCGCCCGTCATTCATGAAGACGTTGCGATCCGAAACTACGAAGCCTTTCTGGAGTTGCCCATGGTTGTCCCCGGGGATATTCGGCTGCTCGCCCAGGTCGCATTGTTCATGATTTTGACCGAGGCGTATCGAATGTTTGGCAGCGACACCGAACAGGCATTGACGGAGGAAGACTTTGGGCAATTGCGAGTATACAATGTCGCTGTTGATCAGTGGCGATTGCTCTGGCAGCCGCGATCCGGTAGGTCCGCTCTCAAATGCCTCCATGCATCCTCTTGACTGACAGGGAGGGGATTAGCCGACAGCCCATACGTGCGCACCTATCCCTCTAAGGGAGTGGTGCTGCATTACCACTTTGCGAAATTCCAGCTGAATTCGCTTTCGTTGCGAGCGTTGACTCCATCGAACACTCCTGTGTTCTCCATGGACCGGAAGGAGTCGGCCAATATCGCGATCTCCTCGGCCATGGCCTGTTTGAACATGGTTCTGGAAGAGCCGGATATTCGGGATGCGATCGTCGGGGTCCCTATTTTCACCCACACCATGGTGACCTTCTCCGCCGTGTTCCTACTGAAGGTGGCCATCAATTGGAATTCGGCATACCTGAGCATCAATGCCCGACAGGTGCGGCGGCTGGTGGAGCGGGTGATTGAGCTGATGAACTGCGTCTCGGCCGGGGAGCGACACTTGACACGGCACATTGCCCGTGGGTTGGGCAAGATGTTGGAGCGCTTCGACTCCTGGGAGGCGGCCTGGCAGGTGGGCGCCAACAGCGGCAGTGTTGACGGGCGCGAAGTACCTGGGGGCGCAAATGCGATGGCCCAGGGATTCCCGCCGCCGGATCTGATCTACGACATGGTCGGAACTTATGGATTTGGGCTTGACGAGAACTTGTTGGACCCGAGCATGGCCAACTTTGACTTCTTGGCACAGTAAGCCGGGAGGAAAGTGAGAGTGGGAGGAAAACCGAGCAGGCTGGGAAGAAGACCCTGGGGTGAGGGGGCGGGGAGAGTGATGAGCCTGCGTCCTCCAAGTGCCCCGAGTGCCTCCAGCCCCAAAGGTCCAGAGCCTCGGGCCAGCCTCGTCCGCCTATCACGGCCCCTGCGGACGGCCTGCGGATGGCGGGCTGCAGCGAGGAAGCGGGAGTCTGGAATGTAAATAGAAGCAAATCATGCCGGGTGGCCACACGCACCCGCGTGCTCATGGCCACGCACGTCTCCACCGGTAATGTAGTGTCAGCTCTCCTCCATGTCGTCACCCCCCGGTGCTTGCGCCCCCTCTCCCTTGGTTCACTCGTCCCCCTTGGGAGCTCCGTGACTGTTGCCCGGAGCCCTACTGCCACTACTCCCCTTTTCTGACCTTATAAATTGTACTTCGCCGAACCCCATCCCGTTATTCCTCTCTCTATACTTCCCTTCCCTCGACTCTCTCCCACCCACACCCTTTTGCGCCAATCCCTCCCAACCCGTTACCACCATGTCTACCCGCAAGAGAAAGCAAGATCCCGAGGAGGAGCTGCAGGCGCTTCCTAGTGACGACAGCGAAGAGGAGGAGGAGTAAGTCATTCATCCTCCCCCTTCCCCCCAACCTCATCTCTCCCAAGCGGACTCGATTGGAATCCGTCCCTTCGCAATTCCAGTCCGTGTGCGCACTCCTCTGCGCGGACCCTTATATCCGACCTTCTGCTTACATCCGGGGGGTTCGCGCATGTCATTGCGCTCCATCCCCCCGGATCCGAGAGCGTCCCCAGCACCCAACACATCAAGCGTTCAGTATCTAAGATCTAGGCTAACCTGTTGCGCCTGGCGTCTTTCAGATATGAGGACTCAGAACCCGAAGTCTCGGATGTAAGCGACGAGGGCGAAGAAGAAGAGGGCGAGGAGGACTTTGACGACGAGGAAGACGAAGAAGACGAAGGGGAAGAAGAAGGTAATCATCGCCCTACTCTGCCATCCCCATCGCCAATGGCCCATCTGCGATGATACTCGGAGCGCCTGCTAACATCACGCGCCGCAGGCCCTCCCGCCGCCAAGCGGCAGAAGACTAAGACCGTCCCGGTAGTCGACGACGAGGACGAGGGCGCGGAGAACGGCGCCAATGGCGACAAGGATGATGAGGAAGAGGAAGAGGAAGAGGAGGCGGCCGATGAGGAAGACGAGGACGTGACCGAGACGGCGAAGACGAGCGGTCCTGCCGCCGCGGCAGCCAAGGCCAAGGGCGGCGATGTTCCCAAGGAATCGGACCTGCCTGAGGTGGATGCAGAGTAAGCTGTGCGTCCTTGCATCAAACAAGGCGGTCTTGCCGTGGGACATTTTCAACTTAAAATGCTCGCCTTCTTTTGTGACGGAATGGCGTATGATTGGACCTGAGTTGATAGGTGGTATCGGTCCTGATGTAAGATCTCTAGCCAGCACCCTGCGGAGGTATAGTCATAGACGTTGCCTTCGGGTTTGATTTCGTCCTTTCTCGTAAGCAGCCGCGACTGCGCAATAGTATAGATCAAGTCGGATGCTGGCAGTCATTCTTTGACCTCAAAGGCTACAACAGGCCCCGGTCTGACTCTTACCTGGAGGTACATGAGATCGTCGGGGATATGGGCAACAATGGACTTCAAAATAGAGCACCATAAGATGAGAAGAGAAAGAGGAAAAGAGAAACACCTTATATACCTTCTAAGCTAGGTAGAAACAATCGATTGGCAAGAATGATATTGAAAAGAACACGCCTCATCAGTGATGGTCATTAACCCTGCCGACGCTCGCATATCTTTACACCCAGATCGATGCGAAGAACCGGGAACATGGCTCTCCGCACCTAAACTTCACAAGACTCGGAGCTTCAAGTGTCGCTACCACTGCTGCGGAAGGTTGCGCAAAGCTGGCAGTACTGGTGTGTAAGGTCAAGAACGGGCTGGGGCAGATTCGTGGCCTGGACGATGCTTCGGACCTTGACAGCACCCTCATCCTCGATCAGCTTGCGCATAAGGTATAGGAGGTCGGGGGAGAACTAAGTCAAAGTCAGCAAAGAAACATAAAACGATGCGAAGGGAAGTCGAGAAAAGAGTCGTACCTCCGAGTACCAGCGGTACTGCCATGCGATCAATCGGATCAAAGCGCCTAACATTCCCCGAGTATCATTTCGCTTCTCATAGAGTTTCAGAAGTCCACGCATCGCCTTGGGCGAAAATCGAGTGCCCAGGCAGCTCTGGTATGCCTCGATACTCTCGTCGAAATGGTGTAATCGCTCAGCAAGCTCACCCAGAATCTCCCATTCGGTGGCAGACTTCTTGTATTCCATCGCTTGTTGGCGGAATTGGGCCATCTCAGTCCGCCAAATAGTGTATATGCGCAAATCTTCATAAAGAACCATGAACAGATTGTCCAGCCAACGCTCACAAAGCCGCTTGTTGCGGAACTGTGTATATGTGCTGTGAGAGGGATCGGGCTGTTTAAGAATTCGTTAGTCAAGTAGATTATCAACTTCCCATGAATTTGAACACAACATACATCTTCATTCCCAGATTTGACAACCTCGGAGGCCATCGATTGCTCGGGGCGTTCAATAGCGCTTTCAACCTGTGAATCCTCTCTGTCGCCGTTGGTGGCAGCCTCGGGAGCGACGTCTCCAGATCCCGATACAGAGCCAGTCTCGTCATCATCTTCATCCTCGACAGCCTCCCCATTTGTCTCCGCTCCGAGCGATTGAGCAGGCTTCGGCACGTGCTGCCGCTCGACACGGTATTCCTCCTCCATCACGAAAACCTCGCTTCGGACCTTGAGAAGCTGATCCCATCCAATTGCAGCAGCAATCTTTGTCAACAAGTTGTAGGCTTTCAGGAAAGTTCCTTGGTACCCAGCAGCATGCAATTTCCGGAGAGAGGGGTGGACGTAATCGTGAGGGTCTCCCTGTTTGGGTTGTCCCTCGTCAATCTCGTCCAGAATGCTTTCAGCTAGAATCGGAAGCATGATGCGCGATGGCTGTGGCATACGCGGGGTGTCTTTATCCTGGTAAGTGAACATGGGGCAGGAGTTCAGGGTCAGAAGTGCGAGATCCCATTGCTCCAGGCCGACATAGACCTCCGCCAGCCGAGCCCAAGTGCTGAACTCGCTGGGTGCGGCAGTCACTGCTCGCTTCGCACACTCAAGAGCCATGTCGCCTTCACCTTTGCTTTGACAGAACGCTGCTTGGCAATCGAGAAGAGCGTAATCCATCGGAACATCCTGCAGAGCATCGTACATCAACCGCACAGCCTGCACTTCTTCATCCGCCATGATTTGTACCCGAGCCAGAAGAGAGGAGACCTCTACATCCCGTGTGCGCAATTTCTCGAAAAGATTGATACCAGATGTATAGCGACCAGTGGTATATATGTATTTAAGTATACCGGACGTCAGGTGGTTGCTGACGGTGTTGGGAACTTGGGTTTCGGGGTCCGAGCTGAGCTGACGGCCTAGATGCTTTTTGTCAGAGATATACAGAGCCCATTAGTATTAGAGCAACCTACCAAGGAAAAACAACTTCTCGGCGGCATCCAAAAACTTGTGCTCCATCTCGGTATTTGTGACTGGGTTAAAGCGCCGGACGCCCACAATCTTCTTGATGGCATCTCCGCTGCCATCATCTGCGTACAGGTAGGCCCTGAGGACGGCACAAAGGAATGTTTCCAGCCAGAGAGCTTCGGTTGCCACGCGCTTGTCTCCTCGCTCATCAATACAGTAGCTTTCCAAGCTTCCAGGGATCTTGACTTCGACTCGCATATCCAGGTGGGAGAATGCATTGTAGCAACTATGCGTATATCAGTGAAAAAGCCAATATGATTCTGAAAGAAAATTATTCTTACCAATAAATGCCCGATACCACCTTGTGCGTCTTGTCGAGGGGCGAAAATGTGAGGGTGTTGACATAGGCGGCTAGGCTAGCGGACGAAGAAGCGTCAATGCCGGTGACATGGTGGTACACACCGGTCTGGAGAACAGTGACAGCTCTTGTTAGATACGAAGCTGTTTTGTTTGAAGCAAAATATTGAGGCATACCTGTCGGGTTGAGTTGGCCTTGGGCTGCTTGACTAAGTAGACCAAATCTGGGGGACCGAGTTCTCTCAAGCTCTGCAACGACTCTGTTCGCGCATCGACTGCAACAAAGATATCCTCCTCCTCATGGATTCTAGTCAATTGATACCCAGTCAGTCATATATCCTGCAGGCTGCGATTTCCTACTCCCCGCGACAGGCCCGCAATGGCCATGCGCATGCATCCCGGGGAACACGTAAACGGGGGTTTCAGGAGTACCTACTCTGGGACAGCGGGCGCGACCATAGCGCCTGCTGAAGCGCTGCGGAATCAACTGGGAAGGGTATCTGAAGGAAAAAATTAAAGCAAAAGAAAAGAAAAGTGCTTTTTCTCGGCGCAAGTTGCAGAGGGGAAGTTGGTCGCTGAACAACCAACAGCTTCAGGCCATCAGGCAACTAAGGCGGAGAGCGTCCTTGCCTAATTTGGCCGCCAACGCGTGAACCGCGATTAAGTTAATTCCGCGGCGGTCCTTACCTCTACACCTGGACCTAATGATTCGCGATCTCGTCGGAGCTCTCTGCGATGCTGGTGGCCACACATCTACTCGTTTTACATCCCTGACTAAAGATCGCGCGACGCTGACACCATGGCGAGCTGGGTCGCATTGAATGTCGAGCCGGATGATGGTATTGAAGATGAGGTTGACGATACGAAGGAGCTTCAGATTGAGGAGGCATTGAAGCTCTATCATAATGCTTTAAAGCTCCATTCACAGGGCCCAGAGTTCTACTCCCAGGCGGCAGAAGCATACGAAGCTCTTCTGAACTCCGAGATCTTCAAATACCCCGAGTCCATCTCCGATTTTAGGAGACCTGCGCCCCTAGAGGCGCAACAGGCGGGGGCAGTTGACGATGCAGTAGCAGATGTGGTCACTGAATTCAATGTTAACGATTCTACCTCCAGTCTCTTCCAGACACTCTACCTTTCCTACAAAAACCATGGAAAATACCTGCTCGATTCCCTGCATGAATCCCTACGAAATGTCCCTCAGAATACCGACACGGCCTCGGTCACCACACGCAACACAAAAACAACAAAGAAAGCATTAGGATCCTTCGCAGATGCTCTTGAACGTGATGATACTGATCTGAATCTATGGAGGCAGAGCGCAAGGCTCAGCAGCGCTCTCCAAAGTTATCGCCTAAATCGATTCTGTCTCGAAAGCGTCCTGGCCGATGACGAGAATCGCCTCGAGATGCGCTCGGAACAACTTGGCTTGGAAGAGATATTTTCAGAGGAGCGCTTGCGCAGTATTCTACGTTCCCTATTCGATGAGCTTTCTGCGTCCCAAGTACCCGTCAAGAAGCCGAAGAAAGCCCTCGTGAAGTATCTCAAACAGCACGCCGACCTTTATCCTTACCTGCCTACCCTCCCTGTGGAACTACACGCGTTAGACCCTTCTAAGAATACCCTCGCCATCTCAACATCCCGTCGGGATATAGAGTCGTCTGATGCCACCTGGGAATCAGTTGGCAGGGCCATGCTCGAGACATTGGATGCCGAGGACGATACTTCTATTACGACTATCCCTAGTCAATCTATACGTCTCATCCTTCCTACTCGGAGTGCAGAGGCAATAGATTCTGTTGAAATGATGGAAGAGCCAGACAAACTTTCTGAGGATGGCGTACAAACGAAAGTGGAGGAGGAAGATATCGACATGGAAAAGGAAGAAGACCAGGAGGCAGAACCCGATGATACTGCTGCCCAAGCACCGAAAGCTCTGTCGGAACAGGGAGAGGAACAGTCTTCCATCGATCAGAGTGCAGAAAAACAACTTATGGAATCATTGGAGGGTCAATCCGTCCAGCCAGCCGAAACTGATGTCCCGGCTGATGAAGCCAATCCTGAAGCCATTGATGAGAATGCTGACGAAACGGAGCCAAAATCGCCTTCAAGTACTCGAAAACGATCGTCTGCGTCGGCTGCGAATGAGGATCAGCCAGAAGGAGGGAGGATGAAGAGCAGGCGGACACGGGCTCGGGAGTCCATTGCCGAGAACCCTGTACAGCCGGAAGAAGTCGCATTTGATCAGGAGAAATATTACGAAGACCGCCTGGAAGTCTTTATCAATGCCGATGACTGGATGTTCAATACTCTCGACTCTCTGTTTTCCAAGGTTGGAATGGAAGCACTAGGGAGTATTCAAGATCTTAGGGAGAAAGCCGCAGCAATCGACGACTCCGAAGATGCGCCGGAAGACCCTGAAGCTCGACTGTTCAAGGATATACGTGGCATTATCAAAGGCTGGAATGATGAAAAGTCTCGATTGATGCAGCAAAAGGATGATTCCTCATCTGTCAAAGATATCCGCGGCACAAGCAAGTCTGGTTTATCTGTCTTTCTTGAGCACTCAAGAACAGGCGCTCGGAAGCCGGTAATCCAGCAAAAGCTTTATTCTGAGGACGAGCTGTATCGATTCTCGGATATGATAAATGAGAATTGCTTTCATCCACACGAAGCTTCATACGAGTGGCTGAGATCCCTTCTTATGCCTGAATTTGGGCAGGTATCTTCAGAATGGCCTGTGATGAAATCAACGTATGCGTCTCTACTATGGCCACAAGAACTAAAAGACACTGTTCTTGAACTCATATTTCGGGAGGATGAGTACATTTATACTCGTCTAAGTGAACTTGTTGCTGCCGTTGAACGGCGTGTTCTCAAGTGTGACCAAGAGTCTCCATTTGAATATCATCCGATCGATTTTTTCCAGGTTGAAATGATCCAAGCGATCTATGAGCTCCAACTGGATGCGTTTGGATCTCTTGATAGTCAGGGGAATGAGGCTAATCAAGAAAAGCGTCGAATGCAAAGCGATCGCCTTTCTAGATGGTGCATTCTTTCCCGGTCATCACTGGAATTACTCATTGATTATTGTCCCTCCGAAGATTGCAGACAAAACATTTCTCTTCGTCACTTATGGACGTCGACGTTTCATATGAACCTTGCTGGCGAAGCTGAACGTGAGCATGTCCTGCTGTGCCTCCAGGACCTCAAAACTATTCTTCAGTCCCTTGGAGATCGGACCATGACTCTCCTAAACAATTCCATCATTTCAGAACTGTCTGTTGCGATGATAGATCAGGAGATGCTCAAGCTCAAGTGCATGGATTTTTTCGCCAAAGTCTTCAATACTAAAGACGAGGATCCCGTGTCTCTGATTGAGGCCATTGAACCGATCCTTGAACCTTCCTCAACAGAGCATGCAGAGAATTCTCCCAAAAAAAATGAGTCAAATGATTCCTCATCAACTTCAAGTGAAATGGCTGCCTTTCTAGACCGAGGGGATGCAACACTTCGACTCTTCCTATGGCGAAGACTCCGGGAGGCATACCAATCAATTGATTACCCACCAAAGGTAGTTTCATGTTATCTTCGAAGCATTGAGACTATCATGACGGAACTCGACGATGCGAAACATCTCGAGGAAACAACCGCGCATCGACAGCTCAGTCTACTGGGCTGGCTCAAATCACTTGATGCAATCATGGGGAAAGCTATACCTCTCATCACACAACAGTTGGAAAAAGCATATGAGTGTGTAGATATGGATCATTTGCAAGCTTCTATGTCCGCTGTCGCCAGGCTGTCCAGACTTCTTCAAAGCCTCATTATGTACGAGGACTCGGTTCGTGTGGGCCAGATTTCTGGCCGTGATCTTCGTGGATCTTTGGCAAAGTCTTTAGAAAACTTCAAAGAAAGAATGCGAGAACTATATGTTCGCTGCTGGATATTGCAGTATACCTTATTCGTGGAAGCTGTCGACCAAAACAAAGATCTTTTTAACGAACCCCTGGAAGATCGAATTCACATTCTTCGGTCTGTGCACAATGCTCTAGGCGTCCGATCCATGTGCAGATACTCGCAGAAGAGATTTCTCAAACTCATGAAGTCTGAAATATTTGAACTTGAAACGAAGGGCGACTATGAGCTCGACGTCTGTCAGGTACTCCTTGACCTTCATGGCATCAAGTTCTCGCCGCTGGATGGTACTACAGACCATGGATGCTCCCCCGAAAAATTGGACCGCCCAACAGCGATTATGATGATCGACTTTGTGATGAGACAAGCACAAAAAATGAATATGAAAGATCTTTCAAAATCCGAGTTGAAGACAACAATCGAGAAAATGCAACAGGCGATCGGCCCAGCGAAACTTCTTGCTCAGTCACCTCAGATGGCTTTCAATCGGCGTATTTTCAATGGCTATATCAAATCTCCCATCAATCCTTCAGGACTTTTGCGCGCTGTTCAAGGAGTATCAGAACTGTCAATGAGAACTGTTCCTGGCGAAAATGCACGGATTGCCGCCAAGGGTTGGTATTTCCTCCTTGGTCATGCCACACTGACAAAGTTTCGCTCCCAAAAACGTCTTAGTCCCGGCTCTACTACGGAGCTTGACGATGCCATCAACTTCTTCCGACAAGACCTAGATCATGGATCAGGCCGGTGGGAAACCTGGTATCGTCTCGCCCAGGCTTATGACACGAAGCTTGATGAGGACATAACATGGGCAGCGGATAAGATCAACAATAACCGCGGAGATCTCGCAGCTACTCAGAGATATGCCATTCATTGCTATGCAATGGCGGTTTCAGAAGCTATCAGGACCGCAGAACCCAGTTCTGAGACACGAGGACTTTTGTCGGATCTCTACACCGATTTCGGAATCCGCTTGTACTCATCCTCTCGCGAACCGCTGACAATGGGCGCCTTTGGCCTGGAGGACTTCCCCCGGCACTTCAGCAGTGAAGAAAGCCAGCAAATGTATAAGAGCCGTCCATTCAAAGAGATGTCCCTTTTCTCCGTGTGGAACTTCGCAAAGAACCTTCTCAAGAGGGCCCTCGTTGATAAACCGAAACGGTGGATGTTTGTATCCCCCTTTGTGACCATTTACTTGAAGATGCTAACCTGTGTGCAGGACTCATTACTTCCTTGGAAAATGCCTTTGGAAGATGTATAACTGCGACGATTCAATGCGAACGACATCAAAAAGTGTAGAAATTCAAGACGTTCTGGATGCGCTTCTAGATGCTATAGCAAGTCTCCCCCAGCGTAAAGACTCGCGCTCTGATCCAATCTTTGAGCCTCATTTTAAGCTTCTATCTGTGGTCCATAAACTTGTTGTCAAAGGGAGCATGACTGTAAGTCCCATGCACGCTTTTTGATCCTCTTCCATTTTCCTGACTGCAACATAGCCTTCCGAGGCTAGCAAAACACTACAAGCCACGCCTTGGGCTCGTAAAGTGGACTCTCCTGAAGACATTGAGGGATGGAAGCCTTACATCCTTGAAGTTATCAGAAAGTTCAAGAGTGCCGACAAGTCTAATTGGCATCATCGGATGAGTGCCAAGGTATGTGATATCATCCGCATTCTTCTATTTCTGTTTTCCTAAAGAGCAATGACAGGCTGCACATGTCATATATGACGATGAGAACAATGCCACTGCAGCTGCTGCTGCCAAGCACGAACTTTCCCAGATTTTCACGAAAACGCTCACTATCCAAGTATGGCGGCCCGAGTACGAAAGACCTGGTAGACACTTTGTTTATACTACGCGCTACGTATACTTCTTTGTTTCCCTCCTCGATCAGCTTGACGATCGCGGAAGCTTGGACCAGTTGCTTCGCCGTGTGAGGAAGAAACAGGGTGATTTTATCAACCACACAAAGCTATGGGAAGATATAAGCTTAACATATGCGAAGATGATTCGCCGTGCCGCGCAGATAACCGAAGGATACGAGGAAAGTGTCTTCAGACCTATTGGATGGGAAGAATTCTCCACAAAGACAGCTCGTCTAGAAGGATTATCACAGCTTGCAGCCGAGAGTCAACCACTTCTTGAGCTTATTCGAGATTCGCTGGAGCTCAAAAAGCTGAACAATAACCTCATGAAAGTTACAATGTTCGAGGATCTTATCGCTGATCTTTACTCTCGACTTTACGAGGTTAACGCTCCTCGGCTCATTGAGCAAGTCAATGAAGAGAACAAAGAAAAGATGAAAGTTGATCATCTTCTTATGACTGGCGAAGGAACTACTGAGGCATCTACTCCTGCTACTGATACCCCAGCGCCTCGCGGTCGAACCAAGGGAATTGCCCGTCGAGATATCCAGAAACGCGCAGACACCATTGTCAATCTCAAATTAGGGCCTCGGACGGCAAACAAATTCTGTGCTACGATTGAAACCGAACAATCATCGGCTTCACGCGGTCCCAATACCTCTACCGCACCTACATCTGCACCTCAGGGGCCGGGTAAACAACCATCTTCGACGGAAAATGGAATTCAAAGGAGCGACCATAATAGCGGACATGACAGCGCTGATGAAAGCGAACTTACTGATCTCGATGAGTCAAAACCCGACAGACCATCGATGCGCAAGTCACTTTTCCCTGGGTTGAGCAAGAACGAACAAGTGGATGAGACGGAAACTGAGAACGATGGTGCTGACGAAGGGGAAGGAGAGGATGAAGAAGAAGATATGAACGACAATGAAGGCGAGGATGACGGTGATGCTGGCGCTATTGAAGCTGAGGCTGGTGGCGAAGAGGCTCAGGAGGGTGATGAAGATGAGGAGGATGAAGAACTGCCAGAGGAAGACGAGGAACCTCTGGATGCCGATGATGGTAGGTCTGGTGACGGAGAAACCACCGAAAAGGATGTTGAAAAGGATGATGCTCCAAATCAAGCACAGCCTATTTTGAACCAGTCCGAGGATCATGGCTCCAATGACCAAATAAAAGATGAGAATACCGAAAAATTGGAAGATGCCATGGATATCTCGTCTTCTCAATATCTCTCTTAATGCTCTTTGGCCTGGACTTCGGATCTTATGATGTTTGATGGATTGGCCTTGATATAGCTAAGGTCTGCTACATTTTTTCAAAGCAAGGCGTTCTGGGGCTACGGATCAAAGACAAGTCATGTCTGTTCATTGATACCTATAATTTTCTTAAGCATACTACCTATGATCCTTGGTTGTTCAATGTCTATCTTGTTTCCGGGGCAAATATTCAAAAGACTTACATTTTATTGCGGATTCAAGGACTATTGGTCTAGTCTAGAATCCTTTGAAGTTATATATACGACGTAAATGCCGACCTGGATAGCTCTTCCTACATGCAGTACGTCTATGAGTCCTCTCCAGCACAGCACCATATCCATCTTTCTCGCAATTGTTATTCCTGCGATTTTTTCAATAGACTCGTGTCAAAAAGATCTGGTCCCTCTCGGAGCCACTAATTTCACCTCTTATTCTGCTGTCACAAATACGGATCATCCCAGCAATTTTGTTTTTACACTCTCATTTGGGCCAGTCGTGTGAAACCACCTTTGCATTGTTCTATTTCTGTTCCAACAAGACTCCGGCCGTGGAGTTCAACGAATTTTCTCCTGGAGCAAATTGGAAAGTGACTCGGCCATTATTCCAAAATCTCACTACCACATCGTAGAAACCGGTACCCAGTGGGTCTGCGAGACCCTCAATATGGAACTTTTCAAGTAGACTGTAATTTTCAACCCATAGTCGCTCCATATCAGCGAGCGGAGTAGTCATCACCTCCCGAAAATGGATCCCGCGTCGTTTCATCGCATCAACCAGGCGATATTGGTAAGATGTTGGGTCAAAATGGGGAGGTATAACAGTCGGGACAATATTTTTCTTGAAATGCATCCTTAGAGCGACAAGTAAAATGCAAATTACGCTGGTACCAAAAGCCGAAATTTTTAAGCCAAATCTTAGTCTTTTCCGCTTTCCTTCTTTCGTATCGTCCTCGGTCTGGACTATCATTTCAGTACACAAACTGATCGCTTGGAAGATTAGAAAAAGAAAAGCGCATATTGTTCTAGATATAACACACGAGGTCAGACGGAAGCTTCCTATCAAATGCACTGTATCAAATGATTATGGTAAACTGGCTGTGTAACACACTTCTTAGATCGATAGCCCCAAAAGCGCAAAATTCGAGTGCCCAAGGATGATCGGTTGATAGCTTCTACCCCCGATGGCCCAGCAAACATGACAGCCCGGTCATCAGGGATAGTCAGGTTCGTGAATAAAGGGTCTGTACGGATTCCACGACGAGCAGCAAGCAAAAGTAGTAGCGGCTCGAGAATGTCTGAGCTGGGCGTATGTTCTTCGATAAACGTTGTCTTCGCAGTCTCCGCACCAGAGATTCCAGTCTCCTTCCGGGTAGTTTCTTGGATGGTCATGATGACCCTTTGTTGACGAGCTGCAGCAGAGAAGCCTAAATTGGCCCCCAGAGTGGTGAATATTAGTTGCTGACCAACCAGGTGGGGGCTTAGTTGAGTGGATCAGGGTCTCCAAGTGGAAAAGGGAAAATGCAACGTATCTCGTATCTCCATGCTCCAGGCTGCCTTGTCCCTGCTATTGTATCGATTTCGGAGCCAATGGCAACAAAAAGGTTTACTTGGTATGCTTTCGTAGCAGACCACATATTTATTGAATCCTGTAATGCCCTGACGTACGTAGGAACATGTGAATCCTATCGGTATTCAGTAGTTTCTTCCTCTCGATGGAGGCCTTCCAATATACAAAAAAAAACTTTCACTCTAGCCTTGGCGCTAGGGTAGGGAGGTAAATCCTAGTCCAGGCCTTTAAGACTCCCGCTCAAGCACACAAAGACTATAGCCCGATCTTGGATTTCGTTATGGGACCAAATCAAGGACAAGGCATCCCCGCACCATACAACTCGAAAGGTAAAGCCTGGGATCTTATCATTAATTCAAGAGTTCTCAATGGCTCATTCACTGGACAAGCTCCTGGTTGGGGATAAGGAGAGTTGCAGGCGGTCATGCTTGCTTCATAGAAGAACTGTGGCATTCTCAGCGCTTCATCCATGGTTGATCTCTCCTCACAAGTGACCAGAACTGGCCATATCAGTCTAAAATCTTCCAGTTCGAATAGCATTTTGTTCAACGTCTACCTTATTCACTCTGAATACCGGGCACAAGCGAGCCCGCTTGATATAGGAAGCTCTCAATCAACTCCAAAAACGTGGATCCAGAATGGATTGTTGGCAGTAGATCATTTCTCAGCTGCAGGAGCGAATACAATGACAGAATTTTGAGAGCAGCACGTGCTCATCGACTCTGTCAGAGAGCTTGTACAGGAGGTTTGAAACGATGGCTGAGAAGACAGCATCGAAATTCAACAACCATACTACTGGACCAGAGCAGAGTTCCAAAGCGATCATGGATATTCCTTTCTGCTGTTCCTGCCAATGCTAGATGAGTACACAACAAATGAGACCGATGCTGGTAACAGCCACATTTAGGATTATAAAGCCACCGTAAAAATGAGCCACTCAATCAACATAAAATGATAAACTAATTTTGGTTAGACCGCTCGGTTATGCGGGGTCTACCTTGAAACTTTGACGAAATGGGCAAATGACTACCTTGGTATCCAGTATTTGGCGCAATTGTCCTATGGCTGGTCGCTAGATATGCTCGAGAACATACCTCTCGTCGATGCACCTGAGTGTGAAACTCTCGCTTTTGACCACTCCATTAATTAGTACCGCCAGTACACTCGGCCTTCCAATCTGACAGGGCTGCGGGTCATTTCAAACGAATTAGCTGCCAAGCTGAGTGAAGCTTACCAACTTATGCTCCCTCAGCTTTTGTGGGGTTTCAAACGCGCAATCGCGGAGGCGTGAATCAAGCTGGTATACACGGGTCCTCATACTCCGGAAATTACGGCAACACGACGTGACCTGGTCTTACAACGTTCGAATATGCGTTGCTGAGAATTATAACCGTCACTAACCCGGCTTTGATTTTTACTCGAACGCGATGAATTTCATGGCTCGTAATTAGCTAATCTTCCAGTCCGGGACTCACAAGAACATTGTGATTTGGCAGGAATGGACGAGATATATGGATGGAAACAGCTATCAGTCACCAGACCTCCTCGATTATGGTTCCCCCGGAGTGCTCTGGGAAGCTTTGGGAGCACTCAGGGGGCATATTGAACAATCGGGGCGGGTAAAATCATGTTGAAAATTCATGAGTAAGGCCATGATAAAAAGGATGCTTAGCGTAGGGTTAAAAATAGTCGTTTTTGGCCTCAGATTGATCGTCAGCGTCGGGGTGTAAGATTATAAGACGCGAATTTCGGGAGGGCTTGAACGAAATTGAAAACTTAGTTTGAGTAATGAAACATGAACAAATGGACTTATATTTGTAATTTCTAGATTATTTTCATGATCACCCAAGTTTATTTGCGAGTGAGGCTTGTAGATGGAGCTTATCCAATCATATTCGACTACATAAGCTCCAATGTACTAAGTTCTGCGATACAAGTATGTGGCCCGGAGTGCTCTTACATCACACATCATTTAAAACTGCCAATTGATAAGTCTAATACTCCGATATCAGTCTTCCAATGAGCTGCGAAGCAGGGAGACGCACTCCCTTGATTCCGCGAAAGCAAAAATTCTCCATCCCTGGAATTCAGTCATGCGACAAAGGTCCGTGCACATACTGTAAGCATCTTTATTGCAAATTACGTCGTAGAAAACTGTTAAATACATGTTTAAAAGATATTTATCCACGTTCTTTAAAGGAACTGCGCCAGGACTATCTAGTGAATCAATCTTCACTCTAATCCAAGTCATAGCGTAAATTCAAACATCTGCGTTTAGAAGTGGGTACAAGCTTGTAGATCAAAAAATAGCCTCTGAGCCGCGCGTAGATCACAAGGGGAGCTCCTCATTCCTCGGAGTAGTTGTGCTCTTCTCTTATACTTGCATTGTGAAATCAGAGAAAGGCTATTTATTCCTGGACGCGTCATATGGTTCTGGAGCGCACGAATTTTCATCATGATATTAATGTCCTATTTGCTCTTGTCAGTACCCGCTGCGTGAGCATTTACATCAAACACCACCCGAAGATGAAGTCCAGTTGTTCAGACACGACAGACGAACCCAAGGAGTCGGTGCAAGAATATTTGCAGGATCATCTATTTGAGTTAACATCAAATGGCAAGTTTGTGCGATGGCGATGTGATAACCCGAGGCATCCAAGAAACTGGTCAGTCTTTCGAAAGACTTACGATGTCGGAGTTATTTGCGCTCTAGATCTTTTCATGTAAGGATCAATTTCAAGGAGTTTTATAAGCTCAAGGCTGATACCTTAATCTTTCTATAGAACGGCAAGCAGTACGGCAGGCGTAAGTGATCAACAGTCATATATGGTTTTGACACCGGCTGAAACGCATCATCTGTAGGCGGCTGCCGCAGCACAGGCTAAATACGAATACCATTTAAGCCATACATTCGCAACTTTTTGCTTTGTGACTCTGTGAGCCTATTTTTTGAAATGAATTCCTCACAAATTCTAACTTTGTAATGATTGCACAGATTTCTCTTTGGACAATCTATAGGCACCATAATCTTCCCTCCCTGGTCCGAATCTTTTGGTCGAAAAAAAATGTATATTTTTAGCAGTGGCTTGAGCTGCATTTGCTGTCTTTTAATTGGACTTGTGCATTCATTAGGCGGAGCGATTTCTATGCGGATAATTGCTGGTTTACTTTCCGCGATACCAGGTACTATCGTGGGCGGTAGTATCGAGGATATGTTCAACTCCCAGGCTCGCATTTGGGTTGTGTTTTTTTGGACTATTGCATCAAATATTGGACTGATCATTGGGCCCATAATGAGTAGCCATATTATTGAGCTCCTGAATTGGTATGAGTCTATATTGACCACTTATAACTGATCAAGCGCTGATTCGATATCTAGGAGATGGGTTTTTTATGTCTATGCCATTATTCTCGGGGCAGTCACTGGATTCCTCTGTTTAATTCGGGAATCCCGTTCGTCGCTGTTGTTAACTCGCGAGGTTTGCCAAATGCAGAACGAAGTTCCGACCATTCCTCCTGCTTTGAACCATGACCACTCACCGGATCTGCGCGCCTTCATGAAAGAAGCCCTATTCCGACCCGTACAACTATTCTTTGGAGAACCTATCATCTTCACCATCGCTATAATGATCTCTATCGCCATGTCGCTTATATACATATTTTCTGAGGCTCTGCAGCCTATTTATCAGTCCATGGGTTTTTCTGCATCCCAGTCATCCCTCATTTTCATGGCCATTGGCCTGGGCACATGTGTCAGCACATTAACTCGCATTCTTGACTCTCACATCTTCAATAAGCGCAGAAGCAGGGGTAAACCTATCAGACCTGAAGATAAACTCGTGGGCCTGGCACTCGGTGCCCCATTTCTCGCTATAGGTCTATGGTGGTTTGGCTGGACTATTCCGCCTTATACTATAGGCCGTGATATATCGTGGATTGTGCCGACATTATCCCTTGTTTTAGTTGGATATGCATTGACGGAGCTAGACACCGTGCTTTACGGGTACATCTCAGATAGCTATTTGAGTTACTCTGCCAGCGCAACTGCTGCGGTGGCCTTTCTTAGAGGGATGCTGTCTGGCACATTCCCCTTATTCACAAATCAAATGTTCGGTTCACTTGGCTCCAACATTGCGATTTCAATTCTGGCAAGTGTGGCAACAGTTTTTTGTGTTGTGCCACCTTTACTCTTATGTTACGGGGAGAATATTCGGCGGCGAAGTCGGTTTGCAAGATACAGCTGGGAAATTCAGGCAGAGATGGGGAAAGGTATGGATATGTGATTGTCACTAGCCGTGGACTCCCGTGAGAACTTCTATGGAGAATGCTCTTTACTGAATATCAATCAAAAATGCACATTTTGAACGATCGCAGGAAAATCTCGCTAGATTAACAAAGATTGATCACAAATGAAATAGAAAGCATTCAATTGTTAGTACTGTTGGCATCCTAGACCTTCTGCTCGACTTGACCAGTAGTAACTTGCTGCTGTGTCTCATTGCGCTCCCAGTAATTCTCCTTCTTGCCCCGAAAAATGACGAGACCAATAAGATCAAATGGGTCCACCACGGTCAAGATCCAATGTCGCGGATCATGATACCCTGGTCCTTCAATCTCTGTCACCCCATCTTTAGCAAGAAAGATCTTGTTGGAACGTGGAAGTGCCCTCATGGGGTGGAAGACATTGAGCAGTGTTGTATTACTATACATGAACACCACTTCGAAGAACCAAAAATACCATTCTTGTTTGAGCACGGGGCTGATATGCTGGATGTCGGTGTACGCATTGAGACTTGCTGCACTGAAATACTCATAGGTACGGTAAATTGTGCGGATTGTGATGAGTGTACAGCTAAAATATAGCACGATGAGGGCACGCTTGATCTTGTGATTTAACACTTTTGCCTTTCGGCAGTTGTGGTGAAAGCGTGCAGCCAAGGCGACAAAGGCAACCATGAGGGCGATTTGCAAAATGAGTGCCGCTTTCAGTAATGCTTTACCAGTGTTCTGCTGACTGGGTGTAGAATCGGCGCTTGCGACCCGCACAGCTCCATTGGCAGTGATTGACTCAATAGCCACACCCACCGCAATGAAGGTCGTGAATACACGGCCAGGGTGAATAGGGGAGTGATATGGGATATAATATAGAATGCGACCTAGGATAAAATAGTTCGCACCTTCGTACACAGGTCTTGAGGTAAAAAAATATTAGTCAAGGAATTGGCATCATTGCGAAAGGTTACATACGGGCCAGCTAGAAGAAGAACGGTGCTGGCAATATAAACATTGATATTGCCCCATTGGCCAAACGCACCTACTGTTCGCATGATAAACCCTGCGGTAAAGAGGAGTGCAGACCATGGCAAAAGACCAGTCACTTTCCAGGACCTATATCTTCTGTAGAGGGTATTAGCCAGGAGTAAACACGGTTTTCAACCCAATTGAACACACATATTTTGATAAAAATGAATCGCTCCCGAGAGCGCAAAGAGAATGGCAAAGGCGATCGGTGCTCCTTTATTTGGCGCATAGAACCACAGGCTCCCTTCCTCTATGGAATATTAGGTGTGACCTGATCAAGGAGGAGTTTATTACAGGAAGCACTCACGGTATGAGCGAGTCGCGAGCATGGCTGATGGCTGTAATTGAAGTTATATCACCCAGTGTATTCACAGTATAGAGGTATAGAGCAATAAAAGTATGGAGAAGGTTGATGTATGATGATCAGAATAGAGTATTTGGCATGGCTATTTGATGGATTTGATACGACTATATATACGATGTGAGAATGATGACCTTCATCGTGCTCTCTACACGCCAACCAACAAGATTAGCAAGCGAAAACGAGCTTTCCCGATCGGGTCACTAGTCACGAAAGCTAAGTAGGGCCAGGTTGGCATGAGCAAATCATAAGACAGAGAACCCGCATCTCCAAGATGGAATGGGTGGCAGTGGCCAGTAAGGTTCGCCTAGCAACTTGGAAACCATGGCAAGGCGCAAGCCTTCTTCGGGGCCCCAATACGAGGTCATATTGGGTCCAAGCGTTGATCCTCTGCGGCCCGCTAGAGGAAGCCCGGAGATGCTTGGTACTAGAAATGCGGCTCTAGTTAGCTGACCGTAGGGCGTCTGGAAAGATGATGGAAGATCATCTTGCTAGGGCAGTGGATCAAAGTTGGCTTTTCCCGGAACGGTAAACTCGTATTGGTGGATGAGGCAGGGCCGCTTAGCCGTGGCGGAGCTCACCATCGTGCTTCCAGAAAAGCAAAAGGGTTCCAATATGACAAGACAAAAGAGTTAAACTTTATGCAGTCAACTGTGGCACTTTTAATTGCCAAGTGTTCGACATTTGCGCAACTAAATAGATTATACGAACGGAAAGCTGGAATCGAACGGCGAACAATAAGTAATCACGTGGCTGACTCATTGCCGGGGCAACACGAGGCTTACCCGATTTGGATTCGCCGTTGTTGATCTGTGGACGAGGATCCAAGTTTCGAATGCCTCGACTCCATTTTCGATCTTTGACCTCCACATCCAACTTATCGTCGGAGGCTCATTGCGAGACAACAAAGTCAAGATGCCGTCCAAACAGCCCCAAACTTCGTTGTTCCAAGTCTACTTGCGCCTGCGCCCGCCGATGGCCCAGAATCCCGACGAGTCCGATCGATTTCTCACAGTCGAAATCCCCGAGACATCTTCCGATGATGGAGAGATCGTTGCATCAGCTCCCACACACATCACGCTTCAGCCACCTAGCGACTCTCGAAAACGCGCCATTGAGAGGTTTGGCTTCACCAAAGTGTTTGAAGAGAGCGCATCACAATTGGATATCTTTCATGACACTGGCATGGAATCACTAGTCAGAGGTGTCTTGAAGGAGGGCCGGGATGGATTGGTTGCGACACTGGGAGTGACTGGTAGTGGAAAGGTTCGGACCTCTGCCGTGTGATACGGCGAGATTTGAAAGCTAATGGCCTATATTATTACAGAGCCATACTATCCTAGGATCCAAGTCCCAGCGCGGTATCACCCAAATGGCCCTTGATGTCATCTTCCGATCCCTGGAGCCGACTATCAAGACCGAGGATGGTAGTATCAGTCCCTTGATGCTTGCATCTCTCGCCGCATCAGATGCCTCGGAGGCACAGCTATTTTCCGCTCAAACATTTCTGGAAGCCGTCTACGGCGAACCCAACGGTGGTGACCGTGGCCGCAACTCAAGGGCACAGACTCCCATGAGTCCATCCCGCGCACACACCCCACTCACGGTACGGAGCCCTCATACCCTAAACCCCCATGAAGGATCGCCAGCGAAGCATCCACCCACCCCTGGAACTGGATTTCCAATGCCATATACAACCCGTGGAGACCCTCAGAGGGCGGACCCAATCAGGATGTCGAGTCCCAACTGCGCGGATAAAACCGGCTTTGGATCACTATCAAATGACCAGTCTGGAAGGATTGTCTCAAGACCCTTCACTCCTCTCCCCTTTATCCGCCCCGGCACGTTTGAGACCCGCTTAGCTAAATCGCGACTTTATGTCTTCAAGGAGCCCACCCCAGCATTGGTTTTCCCTCGCCGTCAGCCCCGCGAAAAGCCCGTCACTGCACCAAGGCTACCCGATGTCAGTCACCTGGCGGTCGATCTAAATTCAAGCTCCGACTACGTGGTGTTGGTATCTATGTACGAAGTGTATAATGACCGCATTTTCGATCTCCTGTCGCCTTCTCTGGTCCCAGGCCAAGGTAACACTATGTCCCGTGGAAACACTCAAAAGGACAGACGACGCCCTTTATTGTTTAAACCCACAGAAGGCTCGCCGGACCGAAAGCTCGTTGCAGGTTTACGCAAGATTGCTTGCAGCACCTACGAGGAAGCATTGGCAATTCTGGATGTTGGCCTGACGGAACGCAAAGTTACTGGAACTGGAGCGAATAGTGTCAGCTCCCGAAGTCATGGCTTTTTCTGTCTCGAGGTCAAGAAGCTGTGCCATAGCAAGCGATACGGGGAAGCGAGCTGGGTAGGAAATACCCTTACAGTTGTTGATTTGGCGGGTGAGTTTTGGAAATTGTTTCTAGCTTTGGATGTTTGTCAATTAACAAGGATTAGGTTCCGAAAGAGCGAGAACTGCGAAGACGGCAGGGGCTACTCTTGCAGAGGCTGGTAAGATCAACGAAAGTCTCATGTATCTGGGCCAGTGTCTGCAGATGCAAAGTAATGTCCAAGACGGAGCTAAAGTATGCTGTTATCTAAACAAGTTCGAGAATTAATGCTAATGTACCACAGACGGCGCTTGTTCCATTCCGCCAATGCAAGCTCACGGAACTGTTGTTCTCTAACTCTTTCCCCTCGTCCAACCAGATGTCTCGGGGCCAGCATCCCCAGAAGGCTATCATGGTTGTCACTGCTGATCCTCTGGGCGATTTTAATGCTACCTCCCAAATTCTGCGTTACTCAGCGTTGGCCCGGGAAGTCACTGTACCTCGTGTCCCATCTGTAACAGAATCGATTTTGTCCGCTGCGTCTGGCAGTCATCGTTCTGTGAGTGGACGGACATCACCCAATGATGCACCGACCGAGGATCTAGATCGCGCTACAACGGAGATAGCACGACTTACCAAAGATTGCCATGGTCTTGCAGTGCGGCTCGCAGAGGAGGAGATCGCGCGATCAGAACTTGAGATCAGGCTGCAGGCGGCCGAGGATCGTTGCGTGATGATTGAGCAAGAAGTCCGTGAAGAATGCTGGGCTGAAATGGACGAGCAGATGGAAGGAGAACGGAGACGCTGGCAGAATGCATGGGATGAACAGACTGGCCGTAACGACGAGCATATCGATAAAAAGATCGAGCTGGTCTCCCGCGGTTTTAATATTTACGAGGATCCCGAGTCATCTGTGGACAGCCGAGTGGAAGAGCTTGAACACGAGAATGAGCAGCTGCGTCGTCGCCTGGCCGCTCTTGAACGTGAGATGACATCTCACTCACCTACCCGGAAACCGCGATCGAAGAATGCTCAACCCACTGCCGCCGCATCATCTCATATTCTTGGTCGGGAGAGTGATGTTGAGAATGCTCTTCAACGAATGAACCAATTGAACCTCACGGACACGATGTTCAACCCTGCATCCCAAACATCTACTGCATCTCCCGGCAAGAAAACAAGGAAACTCGGAGGAAGGAAATGGGACTTGGTCTCGGAGAACGAGTTGTAGAGAAGCTCCATGGCCACACTCCGTTCCGTTGAAATCTTCCATTTTTATGACCGTCATGATTTGTTTTGTGATTTTCCAGGATATCTGGGGGTGTTTCTTCTCATTTGGCGGATATTGGATTGGTTTAGATACACCCATGGGCAAGGAATTCTCGGTTGAGGCGTTCTCAGTCTTTAGTTTATCAGGATTCAAGGCTCAGGCACTGGAATTACCTGTCCGTTTTCTTTCTGTTATATTTTGTTCATAATATTTATTTCGTTACATTAATTCCCCCTTCCCGTGGAGCTCGTCGCGATGATCTCTGGAACGTACTGTAGATCGAGTTGGTTAAGCGGGTCGCCCAATCAGCAGCAGATCGGCCGTCCCGAGGAGGCCACCTCTCCGCAATCTTCAACTCGGCCACAACAAAGCACCCAAGCAGCGCAGCTGGATACTAATCGTGAGTTATGTCTGTCGACTTATTGTCGCTTTAGCAGATCTAACATTAATCGCACTGACCTTGCCAGGCACTTCCAGCCGCTGTTGTTCAGAAGCCTGCCATCCTCGGCGCGACGGTGCCCAACTGATTCCGCCCTTCCGTCCCTCGCTCAATCGCCCATCATGCTGTCGTCGCTCTTCTCCAGCATGGGAGGAGTCCGGTCCTCGTTGACTCAGGCCCTCAATTTTGCACTGGTTTTGTCTACAGCTTTCATGCTGTGGAAGGGCTTGTCAGTAGCTGCCGCGAGTAGCTCGCCTATTGTTGTCGTGTTGTCCGGTTCCATGGAGCCGGCCTTTCAGAGAGGAGATTTACTTTTCTTATGGAATCGCAGCCCGAGGACAGAAGTGGGGGAGATTGTCGTGTATAATGTGCGAGGCAAGGATATTCCGATTGTGCACCGGGTGGTTCAGAGCTTCCCCGAGGTGGAAGGCAAGGCCAAGAAGGTCAAGGAGATCACAGCGTGAGTGACGGCCGACACAGCTTCTTTGCGAGGCAGATTTTTTGTCTTCTTGAGGCTCTTTCCACTAATGGAACGACCTAGTGACTCGGATTCGAGCTCCCAGTTGCTCTTGACCAAGGTACGTTCAGCTAGTCCTCAATCTTCTCTGTTCGACCTTTTTCTGCTTTCCAGCTTGGTTCCGGGCTAATCGCATTTGGTTCCCAACGCATAGGGCGATAACAACGTTGCTGCGGATACTATGCTCTACGCCGATAATCAAGACTACCTGAACCGACAAGAGGATATCGTGGGCAGCGTGCGCGGGTATATTCCTGGGGTTGGGTATGTGACGATCATGCTGAGTGAGCATCCTTGGCTAAAGACGGTTCTGCTGGGCTTGATGGGCCTGATGGTCATGCTTCAGCGCGAGTAATTTGCTCACAGCTATCACTTTTTATTTACAAAACAAGCCTTATGGGTCGATAGAATAGGCTGGGCAAATCAAAATTACTTTATGATTCACCAGAAAAAATCCGCGTCACCAGGATTTTCGATAGAGATAGGCTAGTTTAAAGTTCCTTGTTGATGTACTTGTCTTCTCAATCTGCGTTCCAGGCAAACTGTATAGCTGCAGGTGGGAAGTATAGAGTCATCTCCTCGAGTCACGCTGTGCGGCCATGGGCGGACGGGGCTGGCCACACTGACGTCTTCGGGCACCCCACTCCGTGAGCTTTCAAGCTTCAAAAGCTCCCGGCTTCCCTTTGACACCCCTTCAGCGTGACCTCTTTGTTCCTTCTTGGTGCTTGCATCGTCGACTCTTGAGCCCTTGCATCTTTCTGCAGCGATCCCACCGCAGCGCGTATTCTGTCGTTGCCACCTCCGCCACCACCCCGCCCCCATCACGCGCCCCGCTACAACTTGACCGGACTTCACAACATGGGGAGCCAGAAGCGTATAGCGAAGGTATGGTGTCTGCCGAGGTTCTTTCCAGTCATCTCACGAGCCAGCTGACCCTTCGGACGATCTGATAGGAACTGACCGAGCTCGTCGGATCTCCCCCAGAGGGAATCACGGTCGAGCTTGCCGACGAATCCAACCTATACGATTGGAAGGTATTCATGGAAGGGCCTGAAGGATCACCATACCAGGTACGTTCTTCACTGGGTTATTGGACCTATGCTACCGGGTTGCAACATGCCCATTTGAAGTCCAGGACGGAATGCCGAAGACTAAGAAGACCCTGACACTCACTCAACACTTAACTGACACCCGCAACAATCTTCGCAGGGTGGAAAATTCCTCGTCAAACTCTCCTTGCCTACCGAATACCCTTTCAAACCGCCCACCGTTTCGTTCGGAACCAAGATCTATCACCCAAATGTCACAAACGATGAAAAGGGGAGCATGTGCTTAGGCATGCTGCGCGCAGACGAGTGGAAGCCCAGCTCCAAGATTGCCGCTGTACTGCAGTTTGCACGCCAGCTGCTATCTGAACCGATGCCTGATGACGCTATCGAGGGCAGGATTGCAGAACAATACAAGAACGACCGGAGTCGGTATGATGAGATAGCGCGCGAATGGACTCGCAAATGGGCGACATCCCAATAGCTTGGAATGAAAGCGACGGGGGAAGAAGGATAGGGATCGAGATGATGTATAAGCCACGTTTTACGACCTGATGCTATCAAATCTTCGAACAGGATCTCACTTGGAATGGGGTATCTTCTGCGTCCGACTTCTTTTTGACATTGTTTCGAGGGACGAGTAGAGAGCCGAAGTTTATGTGATTGCCCTCAATCTTGGAACATAGACACAAAACAATGAAACGTATACTACTAATGTCCACAGTTATGTGCATTCATTCTAGAAAGCCCCTTAGATCTCATTTCCAGACCCTATTCCCCTGGTTGATGCGGCACGATTCCGCCAGCGGATCATCTCCCCGTTGGCCAATCGAAGGAATTGCAAAGGAAAGCTTTACTCTTTAATTATGAGATTTAAGATAATCCTCTTAAGAGTCCAACGTCTTTTAAAAGGTGCTTACCAAGTCTACACATGGGTCAAGCAAGAAGCAGAGACTACCCAGATTATATATCAGTGACAGCTGGTTTCTACTAAACACTTTTAAAATAAGTACCCACTATTTATCCAAGAACCTGGGGGTCTAACAGTAATCATTTAAATAGCGAACCTCAGTCTCGTCAGCGGAATTATCCCTCGTTGGTGGTCCTCCTTCCCCGCAGATAGCCCCGCATAACAGTCATGCCCCGGCAGTTGTTCATGACTATCCGGACCCCCTTCTCCAAGTCCTTGGGCATAGGCTGGACTATTTAAGTTAGAAAGCATTTCTAAGGAATGATGTGAATTATAAAACACGGTCAATCCTAGGCGAGCCAATACGAAAGCGATTATGGCTTTGGTCTCTGACTCCTTGCTTTTCCTGGGAGAGCATATTTGGGCTTTCCTCCTCTCTGTTTTGGTGCTCCATTTTACAAGAAGCTATTTCACGCCGGGCGTGGCGTCCATTCCGGGCCCACTATTAGCAAAGATAACCAATTTGTGGAGGTTCATCGACGTAGCTAATGGTCATGCCGAAGTGACGTTGTATGAATTGCACCAAAAGCATGGGGACTATGTTCGGCTTGGTCCGAGGGTAGTGAGCGTACAGAACCTGGATGCGCTGAAAACAATATACGGAATTAATAAGGGGTACGAGAAGGTCAGCAACAGCAATCTAGTCAGGGTTGGCAATCAACTGATTTCCACCATAGACGAACTTCTACCATGTACAACAACAGCTAGCAAAGGGCAAGCCGACACCCACGCTATTTACCACAACAGATGAAGAGTTCCACGCAGCCATTAAGCGACCCGTCTCATCGGCCTATTCAATGAGTACACTGACTGAGTTTGAGCCCTTCGTGGATACTACTATCCATACACTATTCAGAAAGCTAGATGAATTCGTAGCAGAGAAGAAAGTGTGTGATATTGCCACATGGCTGCAATACTGTATGTGTCTTCAGGAGAGCGCGGCGGCGGATGGCGTAACAAGCTTTCAAATCGATTTTCTAACCTTGTTGAATATGAACAGATGCTTTTGATGTGATTGGTGAGTTGACCTTCAGTAAGCCACTCGGGTTCCTCGATCATGGGGCCGACGTGGATGGAATTATCGCTGCACTTGAAAAAATGCTAGACTACTCGGGAAAGGTTGAGTTCTGAATCACATATCGCTGCTGCTGCAGGCTTGAATTTACTGATCAGTTTTTCAGATTGGACAAATGCCATGGCTAGACTATCTCTTTATAAAGAATCCATTGCGACAGCTTGTTCAGGGTGGCTCAACGGGAGCGGTGGCGCGATTTGCGCGAGCAAGACTAAACGAGAGACTTCAAGAGTCAGCATCAGCCAAAAAAGGCCCAGTTGCACCGATACCACTGCGCAGGGATTTTCTTGCGCGTTTCCTGGAAGCGAAAAAAGAGCACCCGCATATTGTGAATGACAATCAGGTCTTTTCTTATACTGTCAGCAATATGAACGCGGGCTCCGATACGACAGCAATTTCACTACGAGCTATTTTATACTACACACTGAAGAGTCCCAGAGTTAAGAGCAAGCTCTTTAATGAGCTCAGTACAGCTTACAAGCAAAAACGAATCACCATGCCTGTTTCGTGGAAACAAAGTCAAGAGGAACTTCCGTATCTCGATGCGGTGATCAGGGAAGCGCTTCGTCTGCACCCAGCTGTTGGGCTGTTGCTCGAACGTATCGTCCCACCCTCGGGGCTTCAACTTCCAGATGGGCCTTTCTTACCAGCTGGGACCATTGTTGGCGCTAATCCCTGGATCATTCATCGTCATGCTATATTTGGCAATGATGTGGATTCTTTCATCCCCGAGCGATGGATGCAGGTAGATGGGGAGACAGAGCTCGAATTCCAGGTCCGCAGACAGCAGATGTTACGGGCGACCTTCACCTTTGGGGCTGGGCCCCGGACATGCATTGGAAAGAATATCAGCCTGCTAGAGATCTATAAACTCATACCCTCGCTTATACTAAATTACCAGGTGAGATTGAGGCATCTATTCCACAGAATGAAGTGTAGTTTATGCAAACGGAGATTGAACTGACAGAAAAACATTAAAGATAGAACTCGAACATCCTAAGCGAGAGTGGGAGACTACTAACGCGTGGTTTGTGCGGCAGAAACACATGGATGTTCGGCTGACCTGTCACAATCCTGGGGCCTTTGAAGTTTGTGGAGGCGAAAAATAAAGATTGTGTTTAGTGATAAGATGCTCTCACGAGTTCGCATTTGGTTTTTTTTCCTTTGTTTTTCAGTCTATAAGGAAACTTTCAACTAGTTGGTTATGTAATAAAAGCAAGGATTTGATAAAATGCACCATTACGAATACCAGTGCGTACGTAGACTGGGGGAAAAAAATTAGAACTATGGAGCATGCTGGCCCCGACCCGCTGTGGGCGCCATCCTTCGTGTAGGAAATGGACAGGATGCTTGCACCCGTCTGAACTACCCGGCTGGCACCGATGAGACTGGCTACGGGTACAGTAGAGCGGATGGAAGATGAAATTGCCCCGCCTATCAGAATCAGCATTGAGAGAGAACGCGACCGTGGCCGGGATGGATTGGTTCATCCCCAGGCGTTTTCCCGCCGCTTCCCGCCGCCCCGGTTCCAGGTAGATAGAATGCATCTGATGCATCGGAAAGGCGCCCGTCACTTATAGTTGACCAATCGTTGATGACATTCCAACAAACCAAGATCGCTGTTACGACACGTCCGATGGCCTGGCCCCTCCTGTCTGTATAGAGTACGGAGTGCATCTTTTGTAGAAGGAATGAGGTCGCGGCAATTAAAGCCGACGGGCCGTTCTGTCGTCTGGAGACAGAAGGATAGAACATCGACAGGTCACGTTTGGTGTGTTTACTAACATTCCGGGGACAGAGCACCGGAAGGTCCGCCACAGCGATAAAGGTTGGTCGCTACTCATCATAGTGGGATCAAATTTCATCTAGCCGAGTTTCAGACCAATCTAGCTTGATCTCGCGGAAGAAGAGCTAATTCCGTGAGGGGTTGTGGTAGTCCGAGACTAGAAAAAGGAGCCGTTCTAGCCGGTCCCTGATCGACGACGCATCCGTGGTCGGCTTCTTTCCGGCTTCCTCCCGCCCGGGGGGAGCTTCTTTGGGGCACTGGGGGAAGTGTTAGAGTCTCCCCCGGGGCCGGGGGCAAGGGGGAAAGCCCAAAGGGAGAGGGAAAGATACCTTGCACCTCCAAAGCTATAGAACGGACCGAACTATAGAATCATACGCACATCCATCCCGCATGATGGTCAACCAAAACTACATGGGCTGCAGAGCCGAAGACGAGATGGGTCACAAATGAAGATGACCCTAATTTAATCCGTTCTGATTACCGGAGGAGGGCTGTTAATTAAAGGCAATTCGGGCATCCTGAAATCCGCGAAATCCTGAAACCGCCGCGCTGCGCTTTACGTCATGTGACGCTAGCCCCGATCGGGTTCTGTTGATTTTTGTCTCGGCGTTTTGTTTCTTTTGGCCCTCCAGTGTCCTGTTTCCTGTTTCCTGTTTCCCATTTCCCATTTCCCACTCCTCTGGCAGGTGGTGTCTGTGGTCGTGATCTTCAGTCCTTCGTTTTGCCCTGTTCTGCGCTTTGCTTGGTTTTCCTCAGTTTGCCCATTGCTACGGCCGACCTTCGGCGTCCTGGGAGCTAACCGCTCAACCCTTTTTCCTTCTCTGATAACACCCCGTATCTGCTTGCTTGCCTACTACGTCTTCAACTGCAACCGCCTCGTGTACCGTGTACACTCGACTATTCCAACCTGCTCACGACCTTTCTACCCTTCAATTCTACTATTTTCACACGCAGGGTCTTGACAGAACCTGTAAACCACTCCTTTACCAGTCATAACGATCAATGTCCAGCGGGATCTGGGTGATACTTCGTGGCCATGGTCACAGAAAATGGAAACCCTCAATATCCTCTTCCCTTGGCTGATTCGGATTTGCACGGTCGCCGAAAAGCCCTGCACCCGCCGCGTCTAGATCCCTTGAAGATCGATTCCGGTGCGCCACGAACCATACATTCGACTCCAAGATCAGCGCCGCACTCTCCCCACTCGCCGCACCATCATCCCGCGCGCGTTCGCCAGTTCCCCCAAGTGCGCACAGTACAACCGATGACCGTCCCTGGTTGCCAGAGTCTCTTCGAGCAGGGTCGCCACAGGGGAGGGAAATGTGGAAAGCTACACAGTCGTCCACTCGCGCTCCCCCTTACACGCCGCCCCCAGATCGACAACCCCCGGTCTGGTATACTCGGGACAACGATTATGACCGACCAAATCATCGGAAAGCCCCGCCAGCTCGAGGTGGCCTGCGAATTTCAATGTCGACGTCTCGATTAAATAGTCGACGCCCAAGGCTGCAGGAATCCCCCGACCGCCGACAGGGTCTGAACACTCATGGCCTGCCCTTGCCGCGCTTCCCTTCCAATGGACCTGCAGACGACAATACCCTCAGGACCAGCGTCAATTCCGCGATGACCTCACGGTCTAGTATTGAACACACGTCGGGTACCGAGCGGAGCAGTGTCCTGACGAAAAGCAGCTCCATTACGGATTTCTCTCCGGACACGCCCGACGCTCCTTATGACATCGATGCAGGTATGAGTGTCGAGGATGCGATCTCGATGTATCTCGATGGGTTCAGCGACGTGACTGAAGAGCCCGGGTCACCCAAGTCGTATGCAGACAGTAAGGCGCCATCAATCACACCCCCACCTTCACGAGATGCGCATCTAGAGGAAGTGGTATTCCCACCACGAACGACATCGCTGGAAGACGTCCCTCCCATTCCTCCACTGCCCCAATCCAATCTGCCAGAACCAATATCCTTTGAACGTCCACAATCGGATCCGCCGATTTCACCACAACCTTCACCCGATACCACTTCACCAGAAACTCCTCCATCACCATCAGCGCCGATACCATGTCTGCCATCTGATTCAGCTTCCCCAGAGCCCACTATTTCCCAGCAATCATCGCACGATCGCGAACCTCATCGCCAACGAGAGCCGTCGCGTATCATTATACCTGGACCAGTCCCTCCCCCACTCGTGTCTGGAAATGGTACGCGAGATGATTACGGATTCCGCAAAGCAACCCAATATGTGACACAGGAGCAATATGACGCCTGGAAAGGCCCGTATGCTAATTATGTTTCTCATCGTCGAATCAAATGGCATGACATGCTGAAGGAACATGGTCTACAGACCAATAATCCCTCAGTATTTCCTGCTCAATCCACCAAAGTCAAGCGGTTTGTTCGAAAAGGTATCCCGTCAGAGTTCCGTGGTGCAGCATGGTTTTGGTATGCCGGCGGGTACGAATTACTGAACAGTAATCCTGGCCTGTATGATCAGCTTGTGGAAAAAGTTATGGCATCTCCCAGCAACGACGACAAAGAACATATTGAACGAGATTTACATCGCACGTTCCCGGACAATGTCCATTTCAAACCGGAACCCACCGACGCGGGGACTACTGGAAACCACCCGCATGATCAGGGCATTCCAACTGAGACTCAGATGATCCAATCATTGCGTCGAGTGTTGTATGCCTTTGCTCTCCATGCCCCCAAGATTGGCTATACGCAGTCTCTGAATTTTATCACCGGCATGCTTCTCCTGTTCCTTCCCGAGGAGAAGACATTCTGGATGCTCCATATCATCACCTCCGTGTACCTGCCAGGGACCCATGAAATCAGCCTGGAGGGGGCGAATATAGATCTTTGGATCCTGATGGTGCTGCTAAGAGATTCAATGCCGGGCATCTATGCCAAAATCGCTAGTATGGGTGGAACGCCATCTGGCCGTGGAAAAGCACCGGCCCTTACTGTCAACTCACGACTGCCAGATATCACGCTGGGTCTAACCAACTGGCTCATGTCTGTCTTCATTGGGACATTGCCTCTTGAAACCACCTTGAGAGTATGGGACATTTTCTTCTATGAAGGGTCCAAAACCTTCTTTCGCGTGTCCCTTGCGATCTTCAAAGCCTGCGAGCGCGAAATACTGGGAGTCTCAGACCCCATGGAAGTATTCCAGGTGGTCCAAACTATCCCTAAGAAACTCCTCGATGTCAACTCTCTACTCGAAGATTGCTTTGTGCGACGACATCGAGTTGGCCAAGGTCGAATCGACGAGTTGAGAGCTGCTCGACGAACCGCAGTGCGGCAGGAGAAACTACGGCGATCGGTCGCGTTCAGCAAAGGCCAAATCCAGCTTGCGACCGACGACTTTGTTCGCCCCCGCAATGGAGGCACTGGGATCGAGCACCGTGTTGTGCACTCCTGGCGCCATCTCAAGCAACACGCATTCCACAGAGAGCTGACTCGTTGACGGATTAATGGCGCATTTGCGACCGCATCCGCCCGTCGAATAATTATGCCGCTGGCATCCATGGCTCCTATCATCATACAGCTGCGACAAGACACCCCTTGTCTACTAATTTCTGTAATCCTAATTGTCCTCCTGGTAGGACTTTTTCCGGTTCCCCTTGCAGCTCCTCTGGCGGGGGAACCCTTGCATTTTTTTTTGGGCGTCTCCTAGGTCGGGAAACAGGCCCACATCATGCCTGTCATATTAGATATCCTGTCTGCATTTCTACTTTATTTTTTTTTGTACATAGCATCAATGAAGCCGCCAAGGTGTGCATGCCCAGCAGGCAATGCAGGTGTGATCGCTTGGCGCCGCAAAATTGGGGTTGACCCTCTGCGACCTGAACCTTACAGGGCTGATCGTTGATCATCATTGGGCCGATCGCGCTTCTCCCGCGAGACCGCTTGTTGCACTTGCATGTCGTCATGGATTCAAAAGCGGAAATAAAAGCTCCTTGCATTCCCCCCTCGTTGATCTTTCGAGATTCCCACTATTTTTCCTCGTTCGTAAGACAGAGACTTGTCTTGCTCTTCAAAACTATTGGCTCTCTGTTTCGAAGCATGCAACGATGAGTGGCCAAGCAGCAAACTACTATAACCCTAACCAGGGCTTTGACGATGGGCAAGCTTCCTATGCAAACAACACGAATAGCAAGTATACCCAGGGCCATGACGATCGCAATGGCAATTATCAGCAGCCAAGCAACTTCCAGCCACCTGTAAACTATCAACAGCCTGCGAACTATCAACAGCCTGCAAACTATCAACAGCCCGGCCCTGAGCAAAAGCCGCCGCCAACCTATCCCGATAACCCTCCGCCATACACTACATTTGACGATGCCTTTAAAATCGAGAAGCCCAAGTATAACGACATCTGGGCAGGTCTGCTGGTAAGCTCTTAATTGCGGCAAACCACACATTTCAAAAATAACATTCTAAACCGTTTCTTTGTCCCAGTTGATCGCTGTTTTCTTGGGCTATGTAGCACTCTCGGGTGTCACCATTCACAAGTATGCCACGAACAAAGGATTCAGCGGAGGCGGAATCTATGACTCGTCCAACGACTTCTCCCTCAACACTAATACACTGGTGCTGTTCATTTTTGTCCTGTGTGTAGCTCTCGCCTTCTCCTGGGCCTATTTCCTAGGCGCGCGGTATTTTACCAAGACATTTATCTGGGCGACGGGTATTTTGAACATCGTTTTTGCCCTGGCGACCGGCATTTACTACATTGCGCGCAAAGAATATGGAGGCGGCATTGTATTCCTACTATTCGGAGTCTTCGCCATCATCTGTTTTATCAGCTGGATTCCGCGCATCCCATTTACGGCTTTCATGCTGCAGACTACTATGGATGTTGCCCGTGGCTACGGTCATGTCTTCCTCGTCAGCGCTCTTGGCGGAATTGTCACTGTAGCTTTCGCAGCTTGGTTCTCCGTCACCCTGGTCTCGATCTATGTGGCTTACGAGCCTGACTCGACAGGTACCAATCCCTCATGCCAAAATGGCGGCTGTAGTACCGCCAAGGTCATTGGATTGACCGTGTATGCGACTTTCGCCATGTACTGGTTTAGTGAGTGGATTAAGAACACCGTGCACACAACTATTGCTGGCGTGTATGGGTCGTGGTATTTTTGGAGCAAGTCCGCCGGTGGGATGCCCAAGGGCTCGACCCGTGGCGCGTTCCGACGAGCCACTACGTATTCATTCGGAAGTATCAGCTTTGGCAGTTTGATCATTGCGATTATCAACATGCTTCGCCAGGCTTGCTCAGTCGCACAGCGGCAAGAAGCGGCGCAGGGCAACCTGGTTGGAAGCATCTTTATTTGGATCCTGGGTTGCTTCATCTCGCTCCTTGACTGGCTTGTTACGCTTTTCAATCGATATGCCTTCTGCCACATTGCTTTGTATGGCAAGGCCTACATTCCTGCGGCCAAGGACACATGGAAGATGATGCGAGACCGCGGCATTGACGCTTTAGTACAAGACTGCCTGATGGGCCCGGTTCTGACCATGGGCTCTGTTTTTGTCTCCTACGTCTGTGCGCTGCTGGCCTATCTCTATCTGCAGTTCACCAAGCCGGCTTACAACTCGAATGGAGAATTTACTCCGGTAATCATGGCCTTTTCTTTTGTTATTGGTCTACAAGTCTGCCAGGTTTTCATGACACCTATTGGCAGCGGTGTGGAAACTATCTTCGTCGCTATGGGTTGGGATCCTCAAGTTATGATCAATGATCACCCAGAAATATACTACAAGCTGGTTCAGCTGTACCCGCGCGTGCAAGAGGCCATTCACGCTTGAGTGGGGCTAAAATCCGACCAGCCTTGCTGCACCCGCGAAATAATAATTATATCAGCTCGTTAATGAGTGTGGGGCTGGTTATAGAATGAGACATGAGAAAAATCCTCTTTTTTTATGAATAGTGTTCATAGTATATAAAGGAAAGGCACGTTTTTCATTCATCATTACAATCTTGATCCTAAATCTTACATGTAAGACTAAAGTATAGCCTATAACAAATATCAACTCCTAAAAACATAGAAAGGAAGCCCCATCAAAACAATAATCATAAGGTACGAGTATTCTTGAGAAATGAAAAGATATCCGTCAGTCATCCAGCAAAGACCCCTTACAGAGCAACCATCAGGCCCAGGACAGCAGCAACAGCAACCGCGGCGACACCGCCGACTGCATTAGTCTTGGGAGCAGCACCCTTGAAGGTGTTGAAACGATTGGCGCTGGCACCGCTGGGGGTCGGGGTGGCGGCAGACATCTGCGAGCCGAACATGGCAGACGATGAGGCACCAACCATAATCCCGTTAGAGTACGCAGGAGAGGAGGCGGCGACCATGGCACCCATGCTGCTGCTCATAGGGACATCGACGGGGATCTGAGAGACGTGCATAGGGTCGTGAGGGAACGGTGTGCTCTTGCAGCTGCACTCCGTGCGGGTCTCAGTCACGTAGATGACTCGAGGAGCAGCAGTCTCGACAAGGGCAGGCTCTTCCGGCCGATAGGCACGCTTGTGGGCCATGACGCCGAATCCAGTGGCCGGCTCCATGGGCTTGCTGGCATGGCGGGCGGGAGAGGTGGACGTGTCGCTGTCACTGCACATCGAGGAGCTGAGCTTGCTCAGGTCTTGGAGCACAGAAGAATGCGGTTAGGGTTTCTTTCTTTCATGGAGCTATAGCTCATCTAGGAGTCCATTGACTTACCAACACCAGCATCTTTACAAGCCGCCTTAGCCGAGTCACTCAGGTCAGTGATGGCATCTTTGTTGGCACAGACGCACTCGGTGCTACTCAGATCGGTGCAGTCGCTGAACTTGGACGTGTCAATGCCGTCCAGAGCAGCCTCGGCGCACGCCAGGTAGTCAGACGTAGTTTGTGCGGTAACACCGGCAATCAAAAGAGCAGCGAGAAATGAGCGCATTGTGAAGAATTTGGAAGGTCTTTATTAAACGGTAGGGTACGAAACTAGGGAATTCGGTCCAGTATCAAAGCAAGCGAGAGAATTGAGGATGAGTCTGAGCCGTGCACCCGGCCATAGGATGCGCTGCTTCTTTAAGTAAAATGTCGTAAGAACAATAAACAAGATAAATAATTGGCCCTTCTTCAACATCCCTTGATCTCCCTCGGTATGGCTGAGCGAGCAGTTGTGACGTGCAAGCATTCTAATGAAAATCCAGTATTGGAAAGGAGACAACGCTCTCAATGTATGGATAAGCTTTAACTGGCATCTTAATCAGGTTTCAGGCCTCCAAAATCACATATTACGCGCTGCGCGTAAGTAGGAGCTCATATGTTGATCGCTATGGAATGATGTAAGAATGTGCCAGTTGCCATGTCCCTGTGTTTTGTTCCTGGCCGTGCCCCTAGTTACCCTTTACCCCGAAGAATGCCTACGTCAAGGAACCGCCTCGCCCAGTCTTTGAGATCCATGTATTGCTGATTTGTGATTAAAGCCAGTGGCTAAACTCATTGACTGCTTCATCTGGTCATATTATATTCATCAATAGGGTGGTGTCTATTGGTCTGGTTAATGACGCCAGCAAATAGCTACATCACTGACGCACAATATGGATTGAACGAACGTACATTTAATCGGTGATTTTGAGTCCTTGGACAATGTGCTATTTTAAACCTATGAATGCTCCACCGTGTATATCCTCCGGTGTAACGTGATAGCTTTTGGTTCGGGGTTACATGCTTTATGTGTGGCAAAGTGATGTGCTTCGAGATAACCAGGGATTCTAGCTCCGGGATACCCATTGGGTCAAAGTCAATTCAATTCGAGAGATATTTTTGATTAGTATCCACTAGAAAGATGACAGAGCAATTACGTGTGGGAGAGCAGAATGAAGGAAGGACGAATGGCAATCCATGATGTGAGTAGGTCGCTTTAAGCCATATCTAAACAAATTGCCAGATTTGAGAAAAAAAAAAAAAAAAAAAAAGAAATCCTATACAGAAAACGTAGGTAAAGGCTCAAACGGAGATGTAATTATTCTGGATATTCGATCTTGAAACTCAGTTCAATTATTATAAACGAACAAAATATTTCTGCTGGAAGAAAGTTGCGAGAAATCAAAACTGATGAAGAATGTAAAAATTATATGCGAGGCTTGAAAGACATGGAAACATAAAATATGATAAATCTAGCAACCCATTATGTGCTTAGTCATCACCTGGATCCCCCTGAGTATGATGTCTTCCCTTGGTACATGTGAGAAACAGGACGTGATTCTGCTTGTGGAGTCGGTAGCTCCGCAATAAAATGGGTTGCATCCATTTCATGGGCTGGTAAAACGGAATGAAACTTGTGTTCTGTGCCATATACCTCAGCCGGGGCAAATCTTTGAATTGAAGCGCCATCAACCTCCGATGGAGGGGGAAGAGAACTTGTTGTCGGTGAAACAATGCTGTCTGTAGGTGCATTATCTGCTGGAGCAGCTTGATATACCATACCCGGGTCCATTTTGTTCTTCTTCTTCTTTTGAAATAGGAAAAACATGAAAATTGCCGCCCCAATACCTGCTAGGCCCACTGCTCCACCCACAACACCACCAGCAATGGCGCCAGTACTCGAGTGATGTGAACTTGAGCTACCTGAACCAGATCCGGATCCTGAGGATGATCCGGTTGAAGTAGCAGAGTTGGGAAAAGTGGAGGTTATGCCACTCGATATAAACTTGTCCATATTATTCTGTGATGTAGCTGCCGCGGCGTTAGATAGGTAGCCTGAGACAAAGGCATCATCGATCACCGATCCAACTACAGAGGCAACGGTTGGAATTCCGTTCAAGTAACTCAAGCTACTGGGATTCGGAAAGTTGTTCGAGTACGGGGCGGCCTCAAGGTATAAGGTCTGAATCGTAACGATGTCCGAGCATCCGTAGTCTGTGATTGAGAGCTCGGGGTAGGTCCACGTCATGCAAGATGGAGCCGATGATCTTGTGCATAAAATAGCAAAGGGCTCTTCCGTAAGAGTAGGAGTTGCGGCCACTTCGTTTCTGTCGTAACATGTGGTTTCGAATTGACATTTTTGGGAGTAGGAATTGTCGCAGCAGCCCACAATACCGGGAAATGCATTGTTGGCAGTATGGAACACGCATTGGGTATAACCGTAACATGCGATCTCAGAAGCTGCCAAGAGCTTTAGCTATGGTAAAATGACAATAAAGTTGACAGGAATACACCGAGCACCATTGCTACATACAATAATCCAAGACACCGTCCACGAAGCCGCACACACTGGCACTTGCCCAAGATGTGTATGTAGTTGTTGCGCTTCCACCTGTCACAGACCCCCCGGAAGCTCCGTACGAGTCGTAATACACAGATCGTCTGCGTAGTTTTTCGATATCAGCATCAGGGACCGGTGTTTCCTCAGGAAGGCCGGGCTGTAAGGCATCATGAGCTGTTGCTGTGACCGAAAGAGCTGGGTGTATCAAAGCGCGTGCTAACGAGAACATAAATAAGAAATATGGCCTCAAAGCCTGTTTCTGACCCATTTTGGCAACAAGAAACTGGTTAATTATTGGGGTACCCTCGCGAACGGCCTTCAGGGCCTTCATATACAGGCGCTAAAAAAATGCTTCCGGCCCACGGACGTGTGCCTCATTTCCCCTCCGCTTTTTCTTGCATTTGCGCAAAGCACGACCCTGCACCACATTTGATGATTCAGTCTTGGGATTACCCACTTTTCGCTTGAGGGTCTTTTTGACTGGCGAACACGAATCGTGGTAGCGTGAGCCGATGGCTTGGTATCCGAAACAACCTCACGAATACGAGGTCAATGAATACGGCATTGGATGGGTCTCAAGGGAGAGCTTTTCCGAATCTCGGGAATTAAATCCTCTGTCAACCTCTTTAATCTCAGCTCGACTTTCTCACCAAATTCTGGATTTACGAATAGAGCACAAGAGGCATGTTGGACTTCGAACTATATTATATACAGGGTTCTAAAATGGTCTGAGCCCGACCCACTTGGAGAGCCTCCACGAAATGAGTGCATATCGGCCAATGATGAAAGCTGAGCTGAGCTGTGGGAAATGAGGATTGAGAGCCTTTTCCGAGGGTCTGGTGCTGTTAAAATGACATAGGAGATAATAATTCCGATATTACAGGTATGGAAGAAGCAGGGGGGAAAAGATTGACCATTGGGTATAACGAAAAAAAATTAATAGACAGTTCCATCGCTCAATACATAGGCCATAACTCCGGCATGATGTCTCATGATAAGATAAATAAATTAGGGCGTCGGCACAATAGGACGATATAGACAGACAGGTCAAAACTTTTCGCTGGTCACACATTGAGTCAACTTGACAACAAGCCATGCCAGCAATTTGACCAAGAGAGTCAATCCTTTGACAATCAAATTTAGCCCGAAGAACAAAACTTTCAGTAGGGTCCGGGTAATGCTAGGTAATTTCTCGTCCTTGCGCGATGAGCTCTTGCCGTAGCGGCCATACTTCTCTAAATCAAACTCCTCAATCACAACCTCCTGATTCTTCTTTGATGATCGGGAGCCAGCCCTCGAAGAAGATTTTGAATTATTCCAGAATTGGAAAAAGCCTTTGTTTTTCGATTCACGCTCGGCTTTGAAGTTCGAGGCTTCAATTTGAGATGCTAAGTGGAGACTCTCAGCGTAATCCTCGCGCTCAGCTAGAGTAGTGATGAGCTGCCCACGGAAGGGTAGTCCATAGGCGGGCTCAGACACCTTGCGTTCCTCCGGTAATGCGGGTGATCCTAGTACCATGTCTGCCAGTATGGGATTTGTGACTTCATCAGAGACTGCGACTGCCAGCATGGCCGCAATCAGTGAGTCAATCGCATAGAGCGAGGGAATGGTTTCAATGATAGCTGCAGGGGAAATAGACAGTGTTCGTGTTGCAAAATCGAGAGATGCCAATGGCTCATCCGTCTCGTCGGAATCAGATAGTGGCAAAGTTGACGTGCGTACGTTTGCGGCTTGCTGCGAGGCATTAAAAGCCGTCGATGACATAGGGCCAGTAACAATAATTGTTGGTGGTTGATGAGGAGTGAAGTGGCTGGATGGTGCAGAAACAGTGATATGCAGAAGCCCAGATGATTGAGACCTGACGGGCGAGAGGGGGATGCCTGCGGCCCCGACAAGTGCTGGAGGCTGGCGTTTTGACAGTGATGGGTGCCGAAGCTCATATAGTCTCGAATTGCAATTCCAGGATAAGCGACAAGATTCCTCCGCTGCTGCTCGTTTCAATACTTTCTTTTCAATATCGGCAGCTTCAGATGGATCGAATTTGTGAAGCTTGCTGAGTTCACCAGCTTCATCAATGGCAAGCATCGCCGCTAGTCTGGAGAAAAGAAGAGCAACAAGACCGTCATTGGGCTGGTCTCGTCTCGTTCGCTTTTCGAGGCTCAGTGTCATGATCGGCACATTGCTGTTTGGTTTTGATGGCATTGCACGGGAAATAGCCAATTCATCATTTGAATAGGTCTGTAACGTATAGAATGGTTGCTCAGAGTCACCGAATGTGAATGTTGCGGGTCCAGTCCTTAATGGAAATTAACGAGAGTTGATAGCATAGTCAATCTAATAAGGAAAGAAATTACCTTCTAAGGCGTAGATGAAATTTACCAACAAGACTCTGCGGTCTTTGTCCATTGGCGGCTTCCCATAAAGTCTCTAATTCTTCTTTAGAAGAATATCTAATTTCCTCTGGTTCTGAAAACCCCGTTGGGAAGTTCAACACACTGGCGGGGACAGTCTTTGGTCCAAGGACATGATCGATATCTGGAGAGCTTGTCTCTGGAGACTTTGCAAGCATTAGATTGACATTGTGAGAGCCCATTGGAGGCGATGTACTATTATTAGATTTTGGGGTGTGATCGTGCATGGCGGGTAAAAACTTCGAATCTAGCCGAGGAAACATTGATCTCATCTGCTCCGGTGGAGCAGACGACTTTGATGATTGTGACAATGCACCTGAGCCCACTGTATGAGCATCACTGCTGCTGTTAGTATTCGAGCTAGCCTGCGAGGGTAATGCTCGATGACAAGGCTTGTTGGATTGACGGCTATCGGTGCGCGGGGGCGACGACGACTTCAAATTAGCTGATGCCTCTGGCAACGAGGGAGTTCGGGGTCGTGAATCAGGCGCCGGTAATGCTGGAGGTGGAGGAATACGACGAGTGTCTTCAATTATTTGGAGCAATACCGATTCAGTTTTGGCTGATTCCTTAGTCGCCTCTAAAGAGAGCGGGGAGCTAGGTTGAACATCGTTCATCGGTCGTTTGACTCCTTTGCGAAAGGGATTTTTGGCTGCTTTCACCTCCAGTGAAGGCGACGGGAACAAATGAAATTGACTCATTGCGATGCCTGCTGCAATATTTCCACAAATATTCCAAAGAAAAGGAGCAGAGGGCAGCTATAAGCTCGTCAATATCCCGGACGAGCTTTACCAACGCAAAAGAATTGCAGACAGGGGAGGGATGTTTCCATTGACATATAGTCCATGACCCCTCAGCAAGCCCTGCTAATTAATGCAGATATGCATGAAGACGCTCATATGGCCCGTGAGCATAGTATGTGACAGCCCTATTTTTGGGGTGGGCGCTTAGCCGTTAGCGGATGTGATTGGGCCGTTGAGGGTGGGACGGGGATGGTGACTGCAGAACGGGCAGACCGGCGGTTCGATCAAGACTGCTGATTGGCAGCGAGACCCTGATATTCCCTGCATTTATGGCATTCTGGATGAACATTGGTGGTCACGTTTGTGAAGAAGTCAAGAAGTCACACCGGTAAGTTCGGGGCTGACCATCAGCGCATACAGCCGGCCTTGGCAGCACAGACCCGAGGAGGCGCTGAAGAATTTCTGCAGATCTGCAAGATCAAACAGGGAATCTATACATTTTGCAAGATCGTATTTACATCATATGGTACAGTTATTAGTCGCTTCGACCTTGGTCGTGTACCAAGGCCTCCTCATGCACGGAATAAGTGAGCCCTTCGGCCATCGAAATCGCACCCTCCATATTCCCCTTGTTATACAAAAACAGCCCTTGTAGAGCAGCAGCGCTGGTGTTTTTGGACCTGTCGGCCTTATGACCATTCTCATCCTCAACCAAGCCCAGCTGCTGAAGTCGGTCGAGGAATGCTTTTCGATGGGAGCCATCCGTGTCGAGCTCCTCGTAGAATCGATTCCAGAGGCGCTCGACCTGATAGCGCGTGACTTCACCCAGGCGCACGGTCATATCTACGCGCCCAGGTCGGACTAAGGCCTCGTCAAGTCGTTCGACGTGATTGGTAGTAAGGAAAATGATGCGCTCCTCGGCGCTGGCGACGCCGTCAAGCGCATTCAGTAAGCCGGAGAAAGTAACGTTGGCTCCGCGATAGCCGTCCGCGTCGCTTTGCATGCGCTTGTTAGAGAATGCTGCATCGACATCCTCGAGTAGGACCAGGGTCCGGTTTGGTACAATAGTCAAAAGATGATTGAGCCGGTCGTCGGTTAAGCCACGTTCGCTGAGATTTAGAATCGCAATGTCATAGTCCAGTTCGCCTGCCAATGCCTGGATAAAGGAACTTTTACCGGTCCCCGGTGGCCCGTATAGCAAGTACCCACGGCGGTAAGGAATACCCCGGTCGTTGTACCAGGATGAACTCGAGATGAAATCTTCCACGTCTTCCACAATCCGCTCTTTCACGCCTTCATCCAGAACCACCGAGTCCAGCGGACGTTTGCGACGTGGGTTTCCAAATGGTCGCCACTCAGTCCCCCAGCTATTGTAAATCGTCGTCTTGCCTTCATGAGACTTCGCGGCATACGCATGGGCTTCAGTGAAAATATCTTCGAAGATGTGTCGATGAGAGTAGAGAGTGGTCAAGGTGATCGTTTCCCACGGCTTTCCTGTTTGAATATCGCGGGATTTGGATTCACGTATGCGATTCACAAAGATGAACGCATTTTTGTATCGGATAATATGTTTTCCGGGTCCCGGAACCAAGGAGAATTGGGTTTGGATGGCGCCGTTCGAGTGTTCAACTTTCGAGGTCTGGATGGAGAGGTGGCGCATGCCGGGGGTCATCTTCTGGAGGAAACGATCGACGACACCAGGATTGCTTGTAGCTGCACGGGCTGTGTTTAGTTGTGATTGTTGATAGAGTGTCATCCAATGCAGGAACCATGGATATGAATCGTCTTTAATGCTGATCTCAACGTCCACCAGCATGCGGCGTCGCAGCAAAGCGGCGCCATGACGAACCCCCTTCTGCGCAAAGGTCAATCCCGCACCCAGCGCTCCAAGACCGAATCCCTAGAGAGAAAAAGGTTGTCAGTCAAGTTGAATCAACTGGCATTGTTGGCAATAGGCCATACCGCTGTGAACAGGGGATTGCTGGTCACTTGCGACCAGAGGCTACCATCGCCCTTGGGTATTAACTGTTGCGCTGCTGGCTGCACGGACTGCGGGCTCTCGGTCCTCTGGAGCAGAATCAAGTCTGCGGCAGACGGCGCCGCATTGGCAGCACCATTTGGCTCCATGCCAACCGAGTCAAGGTGGAAGTGGTGGTTGGCGAAATCATCGGAAGGTTGGATTGATGATAAGAATCGTTATCGGAGTTACAACGGGCCGATCAGCTTCGCAGGCAACGGGACCCTTGGTTGCACACTACTTAGTCAGTCCATAGAAGCATCTACTGGGTCTATAAATCCATGACCATGTCTCAAGCAAGAGTCTACTGTTTTCCGAAGGATCTACCGCCTGTACCACTCTCGGCATATACCCGGCAATCGGACTCACATGAAGCCGTCGGGGAGTTGATGCCGCCGGTGCGGAGATACCGGGCATAGACGACAAAATGACTTTTTCCAGCCCCCAACATTCCGTCTCCCTATCACAAAAGCAGCCCTTTGCGCATGGTGCGCCTGATCTATTCGGGCTGACTGATTAGATTGGGCTTTTAAATAGCACCGCGATTCCTCTTCCGCCTATGCGTAGCTTTCTGCAGCGCGCTCGGCTTTGGCTGAAGACAAATCACCGGCACGCTTACTCTCCCACCCGCAAGATGAGCTCAACCACCACCGGAGTACTGTATGCCCTCTCTGTCGCTACTACCCCTTCTCGACCAGCCCCCGAAGATGCTACGGCCAAGAGTCATCACGCGAAATCTGGGTTCCGGAATCCATGGGAGTAAGTAGAGCGGAGCGTCTCTCATCGCGTCTGTTACGGAATTCTGACCAGAGAATGATTATCGGCAGCTCATGGCAGGATATCAGTCTTGGAATTGCGCGAGAGATGATCATGTAAGTCCATTTGAAGACCATAGTTGCGACGGCACGACCTGATGTCAGAATTTCTTGTCCAGGCGCCGCATAACCGGCAAAGCCAATGTTCCCAATACCACCCCACCTACAGTCCCTGTCCGCAAGCCAGAATTCCTTCCAAGTCGCGATACCCCTAACTTGCGCGCAACATGGCTTGGTCATGCGTGCTACTATGTCGAATTCCCTGGTGGCTTGCGCATTCTGTTCGATCCCGTCCTTGAGGAACGCTGTGGACCCTACAATCTGTTAGGTCCCAAACGTTTTACCGATGCGCCTTGCAGAATCCAGGATATACCGACCATCGATGCAGTGGTCATCTCTCACAACCACTATGATCATCTATCCTACCCCGGTATTATGGAAATTGCAAAGAGACATCCAAACTGCCACTTCTTCGTTCCACTGGGTAACAAGTCTTGGTTCGGCCGCTGTGGGATCAATCATGTTACTGAGTTGGATTGGTGGGATGAGCGCGAGATAACAATGTCGCCTTCACTTCAAAAGGGTGCGGAGGTTTTAGCTCCAGGCGAACCGATCCCTGCTGCAGAGATCAAGTTCCGGATAGGCTCCCTGCCCTGTCAACACATTAGCGCTCGTACTCCGTTTGACAAAGGACAAACGTTATGGTGTTCTTGGGCTATTGAATCTGGAGGCAAAAAACTTTACTTTACAGGGTATCGATTCATATTCTTCGTGCTTTGATGCAGTCTTCTCACTAACACGCGAAACAGAGATACCGGATATCGGAAAGTGTCTGAGTTACCCGAGGGAGAGGACGATCACGATCCCAAGCATAATTTTCCCGTCTGCCCTGCTTTCAAGCAAGTGGGTGAATTTCGGGGTCCATTCGACCTGGGTCTGATCCCTATTGGAGCATATGCCCCACGACACATCTTTAGCCCTGCCCATGTCGATCCGCATGATGCAGTGGAGATTTTCCAGGACACAAAGTGCAAGAAGGCTCTCGGCATGCATTGGGGAACCTGGGTTCTGACTGAGGAAGACGTGCTCGAGCCACCTGAGAAGCTCAAGATGGCCTTGAAGAAACACGGGCTCCCGGAGAAGGGTATTTTCGACGTGCTTGATATTGGCGAAAGCCGAGAATTCTAGAAGTTGGGGTTCACCTGAATTTCCCGGTCGCTGTGTTCTAGTTCAGCGCATTTGACCGCAGTAAATTGAGTCTATACTTCTGTGGAACCTGTCTGGCACTGAAGTGGACGTCACTCTGGCATGCATAGTGGAGATTAATTTTTTGTACAATATCTGGATTAAGGTGGCATATTAGTTGGAAAGTTAAATTCTTTCCTCTTCTCACATCATTTAATTGGTATTGAATGTGCCTTATATGTCCTCCAAAGTATGCAGCGGCCAGAATTTTTGGAAAAAGGCGACATGGCAGTTCCACAATCTGACGGGGAAGCCGAAACTATGGGACTTTGTCATAGCCTTAGACCCCTCCCCCCAGATTAGATCAGCTTAAACGGCACACCTTGTGCAATAATCGAATCAGGGAACGAGTCAAGATCACGGGTGAATAAATGTAGCGCTACTTGGCTGACTAAGTGGGGAGCAAAACCCGAAAGGAGTTGAACTGAGGCTAGGTAATAGCCAGAGTGGGCAGGGCAAGGGTACTAAGAGGTATCAGACAGATTCTGCTTATCTATATCTATATGATTCAACGGTGTCCTTTGGGGTGTGCATTACAAAGACTTTATGTGAAAAAGGGCGGATAGCCCAACACAGGTTTTTTTAATGCATCACATTTTCCAACAATATCATGTCATTTTTTGCATGGTTCATAGCTTTCGGTAGTGCATCATCTGCCCTTCCTCTTCCGCGTATTTCATGATCACTGGCTTTTTTCCTTTGATGATTATTCGTGCACTTACCTGTGCTAAGACTTCTTAAGCTTTGCGGGGCTCCGTCTTGAGAAGGGCAAATCCTCCGCGGCACTTGAGCAGAAACGGAACAAAATGCCGTCACATGAAACAGTCCCGCTGATTTTCCCATGAATGATATACCAGTGTTGAGGAATTGGCTTGCTTTTAATGCTCTACCGGCAGTTAGCATACTCCGCCTTCTTTCTTAATTGAGGAAAATTAAGCTACATGCAATAGGAGCGCTTAGAACTTGGGGAATATTCAGGAGTTGGACAGCCCCGATGGATTCACGGCGATGTGTCAAAGTGTATTTGCAAAATTCTTCCGGTTCTTGCGATTAAATGGAAAATTTAAAGCAGATTAATCCCTCATTATTCAATTTCTATAAAACCAACCCAAATGACTTCTCGCTGATTTATTCCGCGTGGACAATCATCGACTGGCATTATGCTTATGAGCAAGCTTTTTCTCGGCCTTGGCTATTTCACCGTCGCCTTGGCACAACTCGCGGATACCTCCGACTATCCAATTGGACCATTGACTTCGTCTGATGCCAAATGGGCTGTCAAGGTCTGTGACATCACCGACTACGGTGCTGTAGCAGATGGGGAGACAGATGCCGGACCTGCTATTTTGGATGCATTCGATGCCTGTTCCTCCGGTGGTGTGGTCAATATTCCTTTAGGAACCTTTGCCTTGGAAACATGGGTGACATTGAGCGGCGGAAGCGCATGGGCTATCAATTTAGAAGGCATCATTGTTCGTACTGGAACTTCGGGGGCAATATGATCTATATCGAGCACAGCACGGACTTTGAGATTTACTCCTCCCGCGGCGAGGGTGCCATCCAAGGCTATGGTTACGAATTTCACTCTCAAGGAGAGTATGGCCCACGTATATTGCGCCTTTACGATGGTATGTCCCGTTGCAATTTATCAGAGCCAACAACTACTGACAATCCGAAGTGACAAATTTCGCCATCCATGACATTGCCCTTGTTGACTCGCCGGCTTTCCATCTGTCCCTCGATACTTGCAACCAAGGCGAGGTTTACAATATGATCATTCGGGGTGGAAATGAGGGAGGGCTTGATGGCATCGACTTGTGGGGGTTTGACATCTGGGTGCATGATGTCGAGGTTACTAACAAGGATGAATGTGTCACCGTAAAGAGTCCTGCCAATCATATCCTCGTTGAGAATATCTATTGTAACTGGTCTGGAGGCTGTGCCATGGGCTCATTGGGAACTGACACCGGTACGTCAACGGAGCTCTCAGACATTAGTGAAGAAAAGACTAATTTCGGAATCCAAAGATATAACAAAGGTGACATACAGCAATATTTACACAGTCAATTCGAACCAGATGTTTATGTTCAAGTAAGTTGCTTTTAACTTATATTGAGCGCGGTGCACTTCATGAATGAGAGAATTGCTAATCATTGATATAGAAGCAATGGAGGCAACGGATCAGGTATGGAAGCGTATCGACGTAGCCCATTGAACTCCACTAACTGATGACATTATGTTAACTACAGTAACCGAGGTGACCCTTGAGAACTTTATTGGACATGAGAATGCCTATTCGCTTTATATAGATGCCTACTGGACCGACGAGACTCTGGCAGACGGAGATGGCGTCCTTTACAATTCCATTACCTTCAGCAACTGGAAGGGAACATGCGCAAACGGTGCGACTCGACCTCCTTTATATGTACTATGCCCTTCAACTCAGCCATGCACCAATATCGTCATTGAAGATTTTGCCATGTGGACGGAATCAGGAAGCACCGAGTATTACAAGTGTGCCGATGCCTGGGGATCTGGCTACTGCCTGCACTCTGGATCGGCACATACAGAGTATGGCACAGTCACCTCAACATTGACTTCTGCACCATCGGGGTACTCAGCGACGACTATGCCTGGTCAGCTAACTGCTGGGTTGGGAATTACCACTTCCATTTCGATCCCGACTGTTCCAAATACATTCTTCCCAGGGGCTACACCAGCGACCGCTCGAGTTTATGGTAGTTGATCTGAAGATGCAATGATTCACTAGCAATATATTCACGCTCAGTGATATGTGGCCTGTTATCCTCTCTTCTCTTTAGTGCACATGTCACTGAAACCGAACTTTACCCATCCAGTATGCTTATATATGTTGTATCTGGAACAGAAGCACGGGTAAGATCTTCACGGTGCTGAAAATTACTGTGTACCCAATTATTTCAGCTTTCTCCACGCAGAAACCATTATATTAGTGACCACATAGATTGAAACAAGTCCAAATCAATAAACAAACTTGGTCAATAGCAGAGAAGCAATTGAAAATCCCCATGGATGCGTGCTTTCCATGCTGTCAATAGAACGGTGTAGATCTGTTTGACTGGTTTGACTATTTCTGCGCCCGTTTCGGTTTAGTGCCAGGAGCTCCCACTTTGGAAATTTGGGATGCGGGCAACCTTCAACGTGGATCCGAGTTGGCTCCTTTTCTGTGTCCATCCGGTGTGTTCTTGTTCTACCGACCTCCAAGTTCACTCTCTTATTGTTCCCGATTCCTTACCTGACCTCCGCCAACATGCAAGCTCCGGTGGTGGTGATGAGTATGCTACCCCTCATTCCGTTTCGCTCCCGCCATTTCTCCTACTGCGGCAACTGCTAACAATACGGAACAGACACCAATGCCGGCGACAGACAGGTTGGTCGCCGGGCGCAATTGTCCAATATTACCGCAGCTAAGACGTTCGCTGTCCCTCATACCTCAACATTTTCTGCGCCCTATGCTAATGAAATACCTCCAGCGTCGCCGATATTATCCGGTCATGTCTCGGTCCCAAGGCCATGTTGAAGATGCTGCTCGACCCAATGGGCGGCATCGTGCTGACCAACGATGGCCACGCCATTCTGCGAGAAATCGAGGTGTCACACCCCGCGGCAAAGAGCATGATTGAGCTCAGCCGTACCCAGGATGAGGAGGTCGGTGATGGAACTACAACGGTTATTATCTTGGGTACGAGCCCCATTGTTCCCCCTATATAACGATGTCCTAAGATCTCTGACATTCTGGAAGCCGGTGAAATGCTTGCTCAGGCCCTTCCCCAACTGGAACGTAACATCCACCCCGTCGTCATCATCTCTGCCTTCAAGCGTGCGCTCGCCGATGCTCTCCGAATCGTGGAGGAGGTCTCCCTGCCCGTCGATATCCATGATGACAAGGCCATGTACTCTCTGATTCAGTCTTCTATCGGAACCAAGTTCGTCTCTCGGTGGTCTGAACTCATGTGCAACCTGGCCCTGAGTGCGGTGCGGACAGTGTCCTTCGACGTTGGTGGTGGCAAGCAGGAGGTGGATATCAAGCGGTACGCCCGTATCGAGAAAGTCCCTGGTGGTCAGATTGAGGATTCCGAGGTTATCGATGGCGTCATGGTCAACAAGGATATTACCCACCCTAAGATGCGGAGGAGAATTGAGAACCCTCGTATTTTGCTTCTTGACTGCCCACTGGAGTACAAGAAGGGCGAGTCACAGACCAATATTGAGGTGTCGAAGGAGGATGACTGGAACCGTATTCTGCAGATTGAGGAGGAGCAGGTGAAGCAGATGTGTGAGGCTATTTTGGCATTCAAGCCTGATGTTGTCATCACTGAGAAGGGCGTTTCTGGTAAGTGGAACTACACTCAGCTAGGACTTTCTGGTCTAACATTTGATTTTTCTTAGATCTCGCACAGCACTTTTTGATGAAGGCTAACATCACCGCCCTCCGTCGGGTCCGGAAGACCGACAACAACCGCATTGCCCGCGCTACCGGCGCTACTATCGTTAACCGTGTCGATGATATCCAGGAGTCTGACATCGGTACCCGTTGTGGTCTGTTCGAGATTGAGAAGATCGGTGACGAATATTTCACATTTATGCGCAAGTGCCAGTCCCCTAAGGCTTGCACTATCCTGCTGCGTGGCCCGTCCAAGGATATTCTGAACGAGATCGAGCGAAACTTGCAGGATGCCATGGCTGTCGCCCGTAACGTGATCTTCCACCCTCGCCTGTCCCCTGGTGGTGGTGCTGTTGAAATGGCTGTCTCAGTCAAGCTGAGCCAGCTGGCTCGTTCTATCGAGGGCGTGCAGCAATGGCCATACAAGGCCGTCGCTGACGCGATGGAAGTTATTCCGCGGACACTGGCTCAGAATGCCGGTGCTAGCCCCATTCGCGTTCTGACCCGCTTGCGTGCTAAGCACGTTGAGGGCCATACCACCTGGGGTCTGGATGGCGATTCTGGCAACCTGGTCGATATGAAGGAGTACGGTGTCTGGGAGCCCGAAGCGGTCAAGCTCCAGAGCATCAAGACCGCTGTCGAGGTAAGCTTTTGCTATTTTCTCATGTATGAATACAATATACTAATTTATCCTAGTCCGCATGCCTGCTCCTTCGTGTCGATGACATTTGCAGCGGCAAGTCGGCGCAACAGGCAGGAAACGGTGGTGGCGAGGAGTAATAGACGAGCAAAGGGGAGAAAAGAAAAGAGACCATGATTCAGGACTTCATGTCCGTACATAATGCTACACGACTGCCTCTGGGGTGTTTCTTATGTGTATGAATATCCTAGACCAAAATGAAATGTCATATGGGTATCTTCGTATTATATCGTACATAGATCTAGGCCATGTCTTCAAAGCTTCTCATCTAGTCTTCATCGTGAATAATTATACCGGGAACTTCTGCCGCCGGTTGACCCTCCGCATCCTCTGAATCAGCATTCTTTTCCTGCACCGAAGGATTGGGTTCTTCCATGGACTGGGCCTTGTCGACGTCCATTGCGCTCCCAGCTGGTTTCTTGTTATTTTTGGCAGCGCGCTTCTTCTCGCGCCTCCGGCGATTCTTGTCTGTCTTCTCCTCATCCTTGCGCTTGGATTCTTCCCGCTCCTTCTCCCATGCCGCATCGTCATTTTCGTTGTCCACCTCTGCCTGCATCAATCGCAACCGCTCATTTTCCCGCCGACGGCTGGCTTTATAAACATGAAACTCGCCGGAGCCAGCACCGGCCGACGAACCCTGCACGTTGGCTACAATTTCTGGCGGGGGAGCGAGCGAAGAAGATGTCCGCTGCTTTGAAACCCCGGGGAGCTGAATCTCCTTCGATGGATCCTTGAACAAGGTCTCAATTTGGGTTGCATGTTCGGAAAGAGGTGTGATGGCACGTCGTTTGGTGGGCCGTTTACTGCGAGGGTCGGCGCTGGTAGGGATGGACTCCGGGCCTGGCTCAGACATGATGGCACTTTTAAGAACCTGGACAGATTGTCGCTTGAGATCTCGAGGGAGAATAAAACCAGAGGCTTGGGCGATTCCAGGTAGGTTGCTGTGCTTTCTCCCCTCGGCACAGGATGACGCAAAGACGGTTTGCAATTCCGACAGAGCCAACAGTTGATCAATATGAACAAAGGACGTGCTGGAATTAGATTGTTCCCATGTATATCCTTCACAAGAAGAGGGTTCAAATGAGGAAATGAGATGGGGAGTCACGGAGTTTGGGAAAAAGACCGCGGCGAGACCAAGTTCGAACTTGCGACACGCTAAACCGTATCCGGATGTTTCGGCCCGAAGTATATGAACACTTTTACCATGGACTTATCCGTCAACGATGATAGTTCGTAGAATTCAATGTTTTAATCATGGGCAAGAAAAAAGTCTCTGAAGATTAAAGTCCAATAGTCAAGTTCTCCCAGTCAATGGGCTATTAGCATGCTCGCCTACATGGTCAAAGATACATTCGTATGTTCATCTTGGTAGGAATGAATCACAATATTCAGGATTTCCTCAATTCGCTGAGGCTGTTTACATTTGTTCTACATAGACAATGAATTTTATTCTTGATGAATGTTGCCTTTTGCAAAGCTCAGCCATAGCACCGCTAACCTGGCAGAGCGAGACCCTAAACACCACCTAAACTAGCATGTTATGCTCACCGATCATCTGCCTCGCACTCTCGGGAATAAGAGTTCTTTTGATTACACAAAAATAAAGAATGCTCTCTTTGCACAAATTCCAAAGGTATGTAAATGGATGTTTTTGGGGGGACAAAAAAGAATCAATTGGGCGATTATTAGCCGGCAAATCGCGTAGCAGTCATAGTAGCCATGAAAGAGTCTGAAAGGAGGCGCCACCCCCCTAACTTAAAATAAAATATAGAATCTAACGGGCAACTATTATTATAGTTTATTTGTGATCAAGGTTAGTGTGGTATTCCTCCTGGTTGACATTCCCGATCATTTTAGGGCATTGTGGTGGACTCTATCTCTTCTGATTCTGCTGCGCTACGCGTTGACATCACATCACGCACTGCCGCTCCTCAGTCCCACGGAACTTTCTCTCACCCAAACCCAACCTCCTGGGACCACACCAATCCACAGCATCACCAACCTCTATCTTCCTGCATATTTGGCCAGTCTTCACCGGCTTCATCTTAGAATTTCACTCACTTCTATCTCGTAACCCCCTATCCTGAATCCACTCCCACCATGCCTCACCGTTTTGGTAAGTCGACTCCCTCTTCACTCATTCTTGCACAATGTTCGATTTCTTCGTTGCTTTGATTATTTCCTGTCATTTCTGGCCTTCGACATATGCGCTCCGAAAGCCTGACATGATCTTGGAACTTCACGCGTGAGTGTGCAATATGGCTGCCAGGTGCTCGAGTTCTCCCTAGCTGGTCCGTGCACTGAACAAATCGAGATACAACCTCCCCCATGTCGTCTCATATTAAACATTCAAATAACACTGATAGCTGTTCCATTGGACTAAATCCTTTTCCAGAGATCTCAGCAAATAACCGTGCCGGTTGTCAAAATCAGGAGTGCAAGAAAAACAAGGACAAGATCCAGAAGGGTACACTCCGTGTTGGCGTTTGGGTCGAGTCCAGTTCCTTTCAGTCCTGGATGTGGCGCCACTGGTATGCCTTTGCTCACCCTGGGAAATAGACTCAGTGACTGTACTCTAACCTTGACTTATTTTTAGGGGTTGTGTGACTCCCCGTATCATTCACAATGCTATCATGGACATTTTTCAGGTGGATAAGCTCACGGGCAATGAAAACTTTGAAAATATCGATGGCTGGGAGGACCTGCCTGAGGAATGGAGAGTGAAGGTCCGCCAGGCTTTAGTCGATGGCCACGTCCCTGATGAAGAGTGGAAAGGAGTATGTCTTTTTTTGACCCATGTTTCTTATGTTCCCCCCGTAGTGTTCTTGACACCGAATTTTAAACCAATGATCATTCTGACTCGGTGTTACAGGATATCGAGATGAACCGCCCCGGAAAGCACGGCTTCCGGGTCCGTGCCTCAAAGAAGGCCAAGCCTGTATGTGATATGTCTTGACATTTCGGTTTTGTATTCACCACTGATTTCTCTGACGAGCGAAGGAAGAGGACGAGGCAACCGCCATCGACAAAAACGACACTGCACAGACTGATGAACGTAACGATAAGGATCCTACCAAGGAAAATAAGAAGGCCTCTTACGGCAAGAAGGCGGCTTCCGATGGCGTTGTGGACACTGCGATGAACGACAGAGATGAGGAATCTGTCAAGCCCAAGCGTGCCACCCGCACCAAAAAAGCCACTGCCGTTGAAAATCCCAAGGAGGAATCTAAGCCTGCTACGAAGGCTAAGCGTGCATCTCAAACCAAGGCCCCTGTTGCTATCAGCGAGGGTACGGACACTACTGCTCAGCCAAAGAAGCGTGGTCGTCCCGCCAAGACGGGTACCACTGAGACTACTAAGAGTGCTGCAAAGGGAACTAAGCGCAAGGTCACCAGGGAAATTGCCGAAACTGATGGTACTGTGGAAAACCCAAAGCGCAGCCGTGGCAGGCCCGCGAAGGCTGAACAGCAGGACTTGGTTCCTGAGAGGCTGCAGCGGAGAGGACGCAAGAAGGCTCAAGAGAACTGAACGTTTTTCTAGCTCCTGCCCAGGTATTTCCAGTCGAATGGCGAATAATTATCTTCTCTCAATGTACTGATTTTAATACGATTTCTCCCATCCTGGTTTCAGCTGGTTTAGGATTGTTGATGGCTTGTGCTAGATAATCAGTTGTTCACATGGATCCATTATATATACCTATCTGAAATCTGCTCTTAACTTTGTCTGTTCCGCGCTTCATGCCAGAAAATTCCAATTTAACCAGGACTACGAGAAACACTAGTGTACTTCAACTTGTCTTGGCAACATTAGCAGTTGATACATATACAGTGAAATCATGGGAGCCAATGACTTCTCTGCCTGTATTCTGCCTCCCAGAAAAGAGAGTAATAGTGAATATAATCTAGTATGATTGAATTTCACTGCTTCCACGCTCGTAGTTATAGTGAAGCCACACACCCTTCCTGTGTTCACCAGGAGCTCACGATAATCCACGATGATTTGAAGGCTGACACATGCGCATATATAATAAAGCCTGAGATGTGACTGCTCAAAGGGGTTCTCCACCATACAGAAAAAGTTGCCAAGGAGCTGGTAGCTCATTAGAATTGCGACTTGTGATCTAGTAAACCTATCTTTATTCCCTCAGAGTATTTTATGATTAGATTATCTGTTCATCTTTCATAATATATCTGACACGTAGCTCAGCAAGTCAATTTTCGCGGACGCAGACACAGCCTTGATGGCAGCGGCAAAGTATGGGATTTCCTGTCCATTGTAGTCGCAGCTGTGGCCACGAACATCGATGGTAACTTCTCCACTATCGCCGTCACTCCATATAACTTCCTGGATGAGCATTGACTTGTTGACGTTTCCCAAGGCCAAAGTACTCGTGTTATGTTGTTCAAGCATTAGGTGAGGCAGGTCCACGTATCCTAGTGAAGTGCCTCCCATGCTAAGATTGAAGGTGACATGGCCCTAAATATGTCGGCCTCGATGAAATCTCTTGGACGAACATTGAATAACTTACCATCTCAACGGTGAAAGGGGTTGGATTGCGTAAAGAAAGGGTGGCATTGAAGTTGTATCCGTCCACTTCCGGATCTAAGAGTTCTAAACTTGTGATGTTGAAAGCGCCTTCAGAATTTACGAATTCTAAATTGTATTAGCGAATAGTATAAAGTGGACCTTGCTATATCAATTCTTACCGGTGACGTTGTAACCTGCATTTAAAAGCATGTCAGCAATGGTATATTAAATCGGCACATTACATAATTTTCGTGCGACCGCAACTTACCATTCATGTTCATGGTCTTATGAATATTCAAATGAGCAGTGGGAAGGCCGCCATAAGTCAAGTCAGGCTTTCCGGTAACCAAAATCGCGAAGCTCTCATTCGAAGCTGCGGCGACGGCCACCTTCGACAGGCAATCCACGCAAGACATATCGAAATCTTGATCGATATTAAGATCTGCACCATTGTCGAATTTTATTTCCGGCACTGGAAAGACTGCGATCTCCTCGTTTGTGCCTGGAACTCGAATAGTTGCATTGAAAGCGGATAGATGGCCACTGCCACTGAACCCCCCGCCCATACTAATCTTTTTAGACTGGCTTATATGGAAGGCCATGGGTCGAGGGTTTGTAATTGCGAGGCCTTGGTAGTCATATTGGTAGCCATCAATATATTTGTTCGCGAAGTGGGGTATTCCGACATAGATTCTTTTTGGCATTAGTCTCGATTTGACCGGGCTGTGAAATCCCAAAGCTTACATTGGAAGGAACACGACCAAGAAGATACAACAAAATGCGATCAGGTATATCCACCACCACTTCTTCATATGCGTTCCCAATCGTTGCCATACCTTCGGCTTGGACAATGGCGCTTCGGTCGCACCGTTGCTATCGGAGCCAGAGCTGTCTTCAAGGTCAGACTTCGACATAAGGGAGTACTGCTGATACTGATATTGAACAAGTTTCTTCGCGTCTATTAAATTCAATACCGCTCGGTGACTTGATCAGGATCAAATATAATGGGGTGGCTGAGCGAAGATGACATAGGAGCTTCCCATCTTTAGGCGTGCAATGGCCTGTCCAAGAATGGGAGAAAGTCGGAGAGGAACCAAAATACAAGATCTTTGAGATTTTCTCCAGATTTTATTTTAAGCTATGTCAGGGTCGCAAGACCCCATGGGGAATCGCTGGTGTTAATCCCGGATCCACTTCACATGATAGAAATGCCTAGGATTTCGTATTCTGAAGCCGAGTACGCGACGGATCGACAAAGTCAGCACCCCATGTGGAAGCGGGCTCAGGAGAGATGGGCGAGCGACTTGACTTAATAGGCATATGATATGACCACTTCCGAAACCTCACTAAATTGAGGGGCACTGCAAATTTCATGTCGATTTTCGATGACGATGCGAAAAAGACTTGATAACCTATCATATACTAATACGTATATACTCAGGATGGTGCCGCCAAGTAAAGGTTCTTGAACTGGGCTGCTGCCGCTTTTGAGAAGCGAATTATTGTCACGGGTTTTGAAGTCTTTCAAACAGATAAATTACACACTCAATAGTGTGTGATCCATCAAGATAGGCATGACCGCTGAGAGATCCCGCCGGCATTTTCTGTTCTTCAAATTTTGTGTGAACCACACGCTCTCCATGAAACGGACAGAGGCGATTTCACCACAGGCAGGATCCTCTTGTCTTCAGTAACTACTCAACGTTTTCGCCTCTGGAATCCATCATGCCCACAATCTCAAAACTTTTCCTTATTTGCTTGGCTGGTTTGGCTGGTTTCCCCGAGACAATATACGTATATGGGCGAATCGCCAAAATGTGACCCTCATTTTTACTTTCACAATGGTAACATTCATATAAGGATTTCTTTGAATTGTAAACAAAGATAAGAAAGTTAGATATACGTGACAGCCACCAAATCATTAGATGTATAGATTATCTTGTCATTGAATGACATACAATTTCGTCAAGTTTCAGTATGATTAAACAAGCAAACATGGCTGTTGTAAATGCAACTCTGATAGCCAGCTGAAGCTACGTATGTGCTCCTGGAATATTCTTTCACCAGACTTGCTGCAAAACTCGACCAATATGTCATTTGTTATCAAATTAATTAGTGTTTAAGTGATGTATAAAGTCTACAATCATAGTAGCTATATACAGGTAGATATGTGTAGGGGGGTGGACCGCAAAAAGCCCTTTTCAACCGGCCTTGGAGTAGCTTGTAGTGCTACTGCTAGACTCAGCGGGCAGCCACTTCCCGGCAACGGTATTATTATATGTGAGCTGGGCAAGTGTGAAGGTGTGGAGCTCGGACACCAAAACTGTGGCATCCAGGGGAAGGACACGGTGCACCATGGCGTTTTGAGTGAGCATAGAAACGTATTCCTCGTCGGCAACGGATGTGATGGCGGAATCAAAAGTCACGCGGATCAGGGCATCGGGCGATTCGGTGCTGAGCAGGGACGTCGACAAGAGCCACAAGGCTGGACCGCCAGATGCGGTCGAGGCATCAGCGATATGCAGTAGACCAGAATTGGAGCCGAGCATACGATGCTTGAGCTTGAAAAATTTCATCTCGCCAGAAGCTCCGATATGGCCAAAGGTGCCGGTGCCACCAGTGGAATTACCAGCAAGAGTGAACCACACGCCACTCAGGGCACCGTAGCCAGTCATCATTCCGACGGCGTTATTGCCGACACTGGGCGGGATTGGTAGCTGCGCGGTCGCGCCACTGGTGACATTGATGCGCATGATGGACGAGTCGGCGTCTTGCGTGACATAGATCAAGCCGGTGGTAGGCTCCTCTTTAATGAACACGGGGCTGTCGAGGCACGGGTATAACTTCTGGTCGGTGGAGTTTCTGATATCGGCGGAGAACACGTAGTATTTGCCAGTCTGCTTGGATGCCACCTTGAGACCAGCCCAGACGCGGTGGCCGATCTCAAACACGCAATGAGGACCGTTTCCGGGCGCCGGGATGTTGATTGTTTTTTTGATGATCGGAGCAGCCGAGAGATTCTTGCCGGGGTCTACGAGCAGCAGCTTGTTGTCACCCTGAAGCGACAGCCACATCAGACCGGGATACACCGTCGATGGCCAGACGCCATGTAGCTGAGAGCTACTGTTTCTTCCCATGGGAAACGAGTTGAACGCGATGGGCTCCTCGGTGGTTGGATTCAGCTCGATCTTGATCAGCTCGCTATCCGACATCTGGGTCAACAGCACAAAGTTCGAGTTGGGTACACGCGCAAACTCGTGCGTCTCCTTGGCGACCGGCATCAGATACTCAGTGAGACGGCGGCTCACAAGGGAATTGGTAGACTTCTGTGCCGACGTGGCCTGGGCGCTGAACGCCAGCGCGACCACGAGCGACTTGAGAGCATTGTACAACATATTTGTTGTTGTCTGCTTTGGCGTTTGTTGCTTGAAGCTTTGGCTTAAGATTTCTGCACACAGGTGGAATACACCCCTTCTTATTGGGATTTCATGCCAAATCCTCGTCCAGCGCCACATCTCGCACTAGGTGGACCTCGTAACTCAGCTGGTATTGTATACATCTCAAACCAGGTCGAAATATTCCCAGTTGCTGGGAAGGATCGTCGATAGCATCCATGCAATACCACACAGCTAGAGACCTGAACGGTTTAGTGTAAAAAGTGGGCTGGAAGGATTTATTGGTTTGGAACGTATCTACGTAGTGGTTCATGCAGGATTTGACCCGTGGCGCACCCCCTAGATCCTGTACGATCGTAATATTCCGCTCATCTCAAAATCTAAAATCTTACCCGGTAACTAGTGTAGTGGGGAAATGGCCTACTAGGGAGACCTCTAATTGGAGGATATCTTTCCTCATACACAGTCGTTACAGAATATAGCTTCAGATCTCCAATAGGGAGAAGAATCAACTCTTACACTCTCTTCGCTCTATCTGCTTCTGCTTCCTGTCAGGGAGGCTTCCTCTATCGTGGTGTGTGGTAGTTTGTTAGCTGGTTTGTTGAAGCTATATCATCCTGCCTGCATTCTCAGGCTTGCCGCCGAGCGCCCCGGTTCACTAGTTAAGTAACTTACAACATGCCAATGAATCAATACTACGGATCTGTCCAAAGAAGATGATCAGTTGGTGTTTTACCTTCCATACTCCTATAAGCGATGGTGGGTCGACCTCCAACTTGGTTCTTGTAATCGTGGCGACTTTTCACGTGGTCGGGCTCTAGTTAGTTATCAGCTAGACGAATTACTTCAGCTAGCCAGAGCGGAACGGACCTAACTACCCAAGGCAAGTTAGAAACTTGCCCTTGCAAGCTGCATCAGAGGCAGCTACCAACCCCGAGCCGTTAATATATAATGTCTAGGTTCCTATAGATAAGATAGTATATTACCAGTTCCTTGTCAAGTGAAAATAATACATATTATTTTATATCCTTTAGGTAATTAAGTCCAGATAACTGAGTATTCGGTCTCTTAGGCGACCCTCCGTAAAATTAGCCGATCAATAGAAATGGTTATTCTCTAATTAAGCTGCGGCCTATATCTTCATAGCTGCTATGCTACTAGGGGATATCGATACCTCGATACTCTATGATATAGATTTCCTTCTATCCGCCTATCCCCGCCCCCTAGGATATTTCTAGAGGTAGATAATTTATAGTATATAACATATTTCGGGCAGTCTTGCCATAGCCTCTTTCGATTCGATAGAATCATATAAACAGGGGATTCGCCCACCCCTAAGCGGCACGCTGTTACAGCTCTAGTCTTAAGGTAGCGACCGATCCGGTCGTTACTTTAGCTTCTTAATATTCCGGTGGGTAGTATCTGGGCTCCGAATTGGCCCTTAATATCTCATCTCTCTTCCGAATTTCTCACATGATGGGTTTAGGGACATCTTGTCTTTTCTCGACAACGTAGGGAAGCGCCCGTATTCCAGCTGATCGATCAGCCAGACCATCTTTCCGAAGTCGTTGGGGCGAGCAAAAGGGCATCATTTTAGGGGGTTGGGCCGCCAGGGCGCTAGTCAGATTCCCACTTCCCTCTTGGCGACCCACAATACACGGAAAATGGGCCTCGACTCCGGTGCGTAAGTGTAGTGGTATTTAATTTTGGAGGTGCAATATTGAAAAATACGATAAAATCGCGTAGGCTAAACCAATAGCGGAACAAAGATTGAAGATCTCAGGGCTCCGGCCCGGAACTCCAAGTGGTTTAGGGCTGGGCGGAATTCTTCTGGGCTACTCCAGGGAAATCCTGCTTTTCACTTTAAGTCCGGAATCCACCGACTGAAGACGCCAAGTTGATACCAACTTTTCGTAAAGGAGCCTTGGTCACGCATAATATAATCATGAATATTCTTCGTTCACATTGAAGGCTTATATTATTTTTGGTTCCCCTCCCATTTTCATTCCAGGCTTCCTTTCACTGCGAAGTTTACTGCATTCTTGATTTCCATCCACTATTTCTCTAACCTTACCTTCAAACCCTTTCAATCCCTTAACCTTGCAGTAAAGCGCGTGGAGTTGAATGCCCTTTTGAGGTCATACTATTCAACTATGACATTCTCTCTCGAAAAATGCTTTGTATAGAGCCTTGATCTGATTTCTCAGAAGTTGATAGATCGGACTGCTGTGTTGATCCTTCCAGTTCTTCACTTCTAGATTTGGAGTGGATTGAATTTTCCCCGTAACACTCCTCCCTAAGGGGACCTCATGCTCTTACTAGCTGATAGGTAGCACCTACCGAATAGTTATCTGCAGTAATTTTGTAGTAGCATTGGAGGAGAGTAGGGCGTTCAGTTAAGGTGGAGAGGCACAACTAGATGGACTTTTGAGACTGAGAGATGACCAATGAAGAATATGGCGTAAGCTCGAAGGGTGGTGGTCACAAGTTTACTGTAGCAGTGGGCTGTGAATGCAGAATGGATTTGACCGGAAAGATGCTGACTTCCTACGAAGTATGACACATCGAGGTTTTACTACTTGGTTGAAATGATGAAGCGTAGGATTGAGACGTGGAAGTTCTTAAAGGAGTTACCTCAGGTAACATGAGTCGTATAGAAAGAACAAAAGCGAAGAATGATGGAATAGGTCAAGAAAGCTTTCTAGTGAGACGGTCAGAGTTGAGTGGTCTGGTAAATGCAGTGATCTCGTTTCACGATATACGTATTATTGAATAGCATTTCAATTACCTCCCGAGTTTTCAAATATGCTCAACTGAGCATTGAAAACCTTCAACGAATATAAAGGGGACATTCTACAAGACGAGAGACATTCATGAGGTGGCCGGATTTCTCATTTGATTCTCAATCAATATTGGGCATAAAGCCCCTAGATATCGCACGCGTTATCCTGTCACAACGTGCTAAGGAGTGGAGACACAATGTCGACAAATTAAAGACAAAGCCAAGAGTCATGAAGACAGAAGTGGAAACGGAGAGTGAAAAGAATTGGATCGATCAACACAACGCAACTCAAAACACGCCGGGAAGATCCCATTAAAATGAATAGGGTTGATTTTTTCAAACCATAAGTGGCGGCCAACCTCGAAAGAAGAGAAGAAGCAGACTTGCTGTCAAAGCAAAGTCTCATAGTTCAAAATCAAAAATCGCAGTCAGATAGCCATTCTGGTTGATATAATAATTCTTCCCTTTCAATTTAATTTCAATTTCAATCTCAATGTCATTTGAACTGAATAGCAAGAAAAAAAAGGAGTGACGATGAGGCAATCGACTAGAATATCCTTGGGGTCCGCTTGTTGCTAATGAAAAAAAATAGTAAGCAATTATCTCTGACCTATGAGGACTATGCGTAAGGCAGATTGCAAAGGGAGAAAGACACATCCTATAATTTGAAATGAGAGAGAGCCTACCGGAGCTCCGCCAGGTCGTCCATGTGATTGCACATCGCAACAAAAAGGTCAAAAAATAACTTGCCACCGTTCTGCATTTCCATTTGCATAGTCCCGCTCCTTTTGAAAGTCTTGCGACTTCGGATGATGAGAGCCAGATAATGAGCGCGAAGTCGGGACTCCGAGTCCGGGGTGTTGTCATACGCGTACCGGGCAGATCGTAAGATCACATCAGCTGGAATACCAACCTGAAGGCCTTGCTTTCGGAGTGCAATACGCTTCAGCTCTTCCAGGCCGAATTTCTCCGCTGTACAGTATACCACGGTGTCTCGGAGCACGACATCCCCCACTCCAGGGTGGAAGAATGTCGCTTCACTCGACCCGCGACCACCATTTTCGTCACTATCCTGTGCATTTTCGAGGTACCAAGAGTCTCGATGTTTGCTGTGGAACAAGCGTGGATAGTAATCACCCTTGTACAGGAACTCTAGCACACAGGATAGGATCTCAGGCTCCCTATTCAACCGGTTAGGCCATTTCATTACGTATAAGAGCGGAAACTCTTCCAAGTTCTTACTCGTCAGGTAAAGCCAGTTGCTTAGCACCGTCTTCCAGGAGCTTTTCTTTCAAAGCAGTGCGAAAGTACAGCGAAGTAGACAGAACATCCTCGTGCGCAGCGAAAAGACGCTGTTCGCTGCCCACCACCATAGTGATGATAGGACTCGTCAAAGCACTATGACGGTATATTAGTTCGATTTAGATTCCTGGATCTCAGCCTCTTAATATTTACCACCTTCCCATCGACGGAGTCTCTGCATGGGCTTCCACTTTCTGTTGCATTTTCTCTTTCGCCTGCTCATCATACTTCTTCCTGGAGGACTTGGCGGACTTTCCCGCTCGGCTCTTCGAATTAAAGGAACGTCTAAACATCACGACACGAATGAAAGATCTTTCATCCGATACCTACGGAGGAACTCTGAGAAAATCGGAAGGAGTGATACGAGTTGGTCCAAAAGAAGGGTCGACGCTGCGGATCACACGAGCATGTGAGAGTGAGAGTCTGGAAGTCTTCCTTCGAAACGGCTTGCCCGTATCATCAAGAGACGGGACGAAACGAATTTCGGAAGATGACTTTGCATTCGAGAATCCCAGATGAGACTCACGGGCGCGGCTTTGTCGACTCTGGCAGGCGTGAGAAGAAGCAGAGAAGAGGGGAAACAGGGCGTTATTTATCACACGGGGTCAGGTGATATCAACTGCAGCTGCGCCCGTCACCAGGGTGCAAGCCAAGCCCTCTGATTGGAATCTGCCTGGCCTCTTCGGCACCCGGCGTTCGGACTGTGGCGTCCAAGGCGGCCCTTGTATTGGCCAGAAAATTCGGCGATCGACGTAGGCATATGCACAGTATACGCACAGGTATATGCACGGTAGTTTGGCCGCCTACCCCATCTTATTGCAGGCTACCCGCAAGGTAACCGGAAGTCCAAGATACAAAAATGAGAGAGAGACCTACGTTGACAACGATTTTTATATATGCCTATGTACAAATCATTTCAAAAGAGAAAAAAAACAACAATGCTCACAGGCTGTCAGCCATGTTGAATGACTAGGCATCCGGTTTGTTTCCAAGTCAGCGCTGATACATCACCAAACACTTTTTCCTCGCCTGCGAGGAAAAAAAGATAGCCACTAGAACCATTCTCGGACCCAAGCTTGCAAAAGTGCCTTGATACTAGACGTAGCCAGTCTCATCGTCGCTTCGCATTGCTCTACAATATTTATGAGCAACCAGCATAACCGAGGCTGACACCGAAGCTCTGGAAATGGCCGGCGGTCACACCAACGAGACCATTTCCGGCGGAGCAAGAAAGATCACGCTCTCCCGAACACTTCAGGCAAGTTGCGGCTAGGCCAGAGCTGTAATATTCCTAGATACAGCAGAAGGATATTAGCTTTTCTACTATTCGGCCATGGGGGTTCTGAGTGGTAGGAATAGCGAAGAACGTACGGTTCCAGAGTGCTCGAAGCTGTATGGGTAGCTTACATACATGTTCTATATGGGGTCAGCAAGTATGGGCAAGTGTATTTACACTGAGTGAACTTACAGGGACTCCATCCAGGGCGTTGTTGCCGCGGTTCAAAGTGCCTTGTTGCGAACTGGCAAAGTTGGCCCAGGCTGTGTTTCCGATCGGGAATGCTGCTAAAGCATTACTGGTAATCTTCTTGCCTGGGAAGTTCTGTGCTAGAGCGACGTAGGATAGATAGGTGAGCGAGCCACCTAGCGAGTGACCAGTTGACTCTAGGGTGTAGTCCGGATACTTCGCAATGAGTGACTGGACCTCGGAGATTACAGTATCGTGCACCGCAGACCAAGGGCTGCTAATACCCTTCATGATCTGTACTCCGGACGGGAAGGTCACCCCTGACAGCGAAGGGGTGACCAGAGTAGTATCGACATCGTTCAGAATATCCGTGACTGAGGATTATCAGTAAATTGAAGTTGGTTCTAGGAATAACAATTTTATGAGATACTGACCGGTCGTTGAGCCCCGCATAACCACAGCAATTGTTTTCTTGGTGCTCGAGTATCCCACATAGCCCTGAATATATAAGCTCTATATTTCCAATATTTTCAAATATTGTGGAAGTTTGTTGTATTTACCTGGGTGTCGGTCGCAATGTCATATATCTGCTTGGTGATAGTCACATCAAAAGCACTTCCGATACAGCCGGTATACGCCGCAGACGAGAGCTTAGCTGCACGCTGGAGAGACGCGAAGGCAGAAGAATCTAGTGCCATTGTGATAAATAAGAGCTCTGATACTTGGATTGTTTCACCTACCAAGAGTTGCCCGCGACTCGAGCGTTGGGATGGCGGTCGCCTGAGAGGCTAGAAGCACAATTGCGAGCAAGGTAAAGCTATTGGAATGCATATTGAATAGAGTAGAAATTGAGGCAGAATAATGTGCAAAATGAAGATAGATAACAAGAATATAGTTGGGCAGAAACCAGTTCTGAATTTCTGAAAGCTGACATTGAGATGGGATTATTCTCAGTTTAAATGCTTCGCAGGGTCATTGCTTAGCCTATCCTTTTGGCGATGTCATTTTACTACATGCCAGCATGTCCGACTTTTCCTCGTCTCTAGCAATGAGATCCGGTGTGAGAAGTGGAAAGCGTCTCACCATCAAACAAATTGGTGCATTTAGACTTTCGGGGCAATCTCCGTTCTGGCATACCTCGGATCTACGAAAAGTGGAGAAGGTAGTATAGGGCTCAGAAATGGATAGAATTGGAGAGCAGCCAGAGAATTCAGAGAAGCCGAGGCAGTAAACACATATTCAATCACTTGAATTATATACTAGAAATGAGGAGCTCATTGGTGCATCGCTGTTTCCCCGGGTTCGCTGTTACTTCTAGCGTGACGGGCACAGATGCCCAAAAATTCTAGGCGCATACTCGGTCAGCGAATGGACCACTCTGTGGCGTTGATTAGCCCTGTTCGCACTTGGAGCATTGATCTATGGTAGCCAAATACATGCTAGTAAGCTAATCCACTTTGTTTCAGGGTACAAGCCTAACTTATTTCTCGAACGGTCCGAGGAACAGTTAGTGTGGGGAACTTTAGCCCCGATGGGTCCCGTCTCAAAAATGAGTCTCTTTACTGTACAACAGTTTCGGTATCTGACCTTGACCTTCTAGTCCTGCATGGCATGGAGTGGTGGACCAGAGGGGTTCGGCTCTTTGGATGCAATTATCACTATCGAATGCTACTGCTATCGCGAAGTTCCACTACTGTACAACCATTTTTGGGCTTGAGCGGGGCCCATGAATCATGAAGCACAAATTCCAGACATTCCGAGGTATTACCGAGAAAATGGCTTTGATGAAATCTGTACACAATAGGCTTCAGATGCCGGGTTCTTCAGTTGAGAAGTCATGCGCCTCTCAATAAGCCACGCGCTTCATGGCTTTACCCCGCACGTAAGAAGAATTTCGGAGTTGATGGATCAACTATTACCAGGCTCGATCAAAACCCTGGGACCCTGATTGTAAATTAAAAAGACCCTGCATAGACCCGAGATCTAGCCCTGCTGGGAGTCCCTCGAGGATGCAACAGGATCAAAATTGAAACGACTGTCGTTCAAATACTTCCGTCATTCGCCTATTAATCTAGTTCCGCAGAATCCCGGATCCCAAACAGGCCAAGACGAGGCCCAAGAGCCCGAAATTGAGCGTATTAGAGCAGCTGCCGAGCCGGCAGTTAGAGAATCGGCATTTGTGGGCCGAGGTCAAGCCTTTGATGAATGCCGATGCGTTAATAGACGGACAATGCCCCGAAGGCAGACATGCCCAATCGAGGATAGCGAAACAGCCAAGTTTGGGTATCTGGTTCACAGGAAATCAGTTCGTAGAATGCATCCAACTGAGGTTGAGGGTGCATACCTTGTAAAAATTGGATACCATTTTTGACTGCCTCTCTTTTCTGGAAGCTAATGTGAGTGAACCGCCGGAGGTGGGAATACATAGTAAGACGCTAGATCAATATAGTCAAGTATAGCGGACATCAGATATTTCAAAAGCTATCAAATGAACTGCCAGGCTGTGAGAGTGTTGTTCGGGAGTTCATTATTTTAAACCGTCGATCCTCACCCAATCCTGCGCTGCGAGAAGTACAGGCCATGGTTCTATACGCCGTAGACTTAGAGACTGTCCCATACGCAGCTATTCACTCAGCCATCGATAGAACCACGACTATAGGATTTCACCACCATTCGCAGTTAGATAATAAATGAATCACAGCCAAACGAAATCCAGCAGATATCACCTGTTGCGGAGATGCAGATTTGGCCGTAACATGATTTGCGTGATCTCATGAGCCACATGAGCAAGTGATGATTCGGTGGCGGTGCCATTTAGGATGTGGCGGTGCATTCGAGGGGTTGTGGGGTCGCTCCACATGCCAGCCACCCGGTCCCAGTGATATCATCGATCGATGTTGGGATCACAGCTGACTCTACAAACCTCGCGCCTGTTCTTTTCATTTCTTGACTCACCGAGACCATCATACTGAAAGATTGCGATCCATAGCCCGATCGCTCTGCGGCTTGACGCAGTCTCTGCAGCTGTTGACCTGTCAACCGCAGGCGCTCAAACCCCCTGCTTCCACAACGCGCGCAGACTGTATTTCCCCAACCTACTGTGTTTTTGGTTTCTTTCAATTTTTTCAACCACCTGAACATTACTGTCCTCTTTAACGGAAGTGGCAGCGTATCTCGCCAAACAAGGCCAGCATGGCTATGCAGTATTTTAACCAAATCAAAAACCGCCGGCGCTCGTCACAGATTTTGAAGCCTCCAAACCCCGTTTTAACCGCCGAAGACGAAGCGTTCTTGCAGCAAGTCACCTCCCAGCCAGAGCAAAGGCCTCCCTCGGACAGTCAAGCCAGCCTTCAAAATCAAGGAGCACTTGCAGGGAGCTCTCAAAGGCCGATCTTGGAGGATGGGCCCCAGAACGTCCCCCTACCCGCATCGCCCGCAGAGGAATTTGGAAAGAAATTAGGCGAAGAGGAACGGAAAACCCGTGATCAGGCGGAGAATGTCAGAACCCAATCGGAGCCAACCCAGCCCCAGGATGCACCGGGCCCAGAGAAGAAGAAAAGATGGAGTGGCATGTTCTGGAAGAAAGGTCCAGATTTGAAAAAGGTATGCAGTTCCACCAACCGATCGAGCTTCTTTTCCTCTCTGTACAAGGCTTATAGATCTGCTTCCTTTACAGGAAAAAGAAATCGGCACAGCTGACCAAGGGAAGTCACAAAGCCCTGCGCCGGCTTCGAGGACCACTTCCTCGCCCGAAAATAAAGAAGATGCTCAGAAGGACCAGGAGGACATGACGGATATTTTGGAGCGGTTGAACCTAGCGGCGGATAACAACCGGGTCTTCTCGATCAGCGATGAGACGCAGGAGCTCCTCAGGAAGTTCAAGTTGATCTTCAAGGATCTGGTTAATGGGGTTCCCACGGCTTATCAAGACCTGGAGATGCTGTTGACCAACGGCAATAGGCAACTGCAAGATACCTACACCAAACTTCCAAGCTTCATGCAGAAGTTGATTGAGAAGCTTCCTGAAAGGTGGACCGAGTCTTTGGCGCCCGAGATGCTCGCTGTGGCCAGTGAACGAGCCGCGCAGAGTGGTGTCAACATGGAGAATGTGGGCAAGGCGGCTGCTGCCGCTGAGAAGATGGGCCTTAATGTCCCAAGTCTCAAGGAACTGGTTTCCAAGCCGGCGGCGATTGTCGGGATGCTGCGATCAATCATGGCATTCCTCCGAGCTCGCTTCCCGGCTGCCCTGGGCATGAATGTTCTGTGGTCGCTAGCCTTGTTCAGTATGTTTTTACCCCCGCAATCTCTGCTTCAGTACCCTGTTCCGTCATTTCTACTTACACTGTTTTTGTTTCAGTCCTACTCTTCGTTCTCTGGTACTGCCACAAGCGTGGCCGTGAGGTTCGCCTCGAGAATGAGCGCCTTGTAACCGAGGAAGAGATCCAAAAATTGAACGAAAATGCCGGCGAGGGCAGAATTCGCCCTACCGAGACCTTAACCACTACCGCCCCTCGGGGTGCGCCGGCCGATGAAGTTCGCGCAGGCGTACGGAGAGCAGAGGAGGCCCGATCTTCGACCGCAGTCTCCGTCGTTGCTTCGGAACCAGGTGAAGTGAATCGGAGCGATGAAAATACTCGCCCGGCCCCTGTTCCTACCCGGTCAAAGTCTCGTCTCTCTATCTGGTCGCGGTCGAAGCCGGAGCCGATTCCGACCAATATTACCCCTTACCCTGGGACATGACATTGGTAAACCCTTTATATTCCTCCACCATGTATCTCGGTTGGGAGAATTGTCTGCCAGCTCTGGGATAGACATAAGAGAGTCTATACTGTGTGTTTTATGGGTTGCCGCCTTGTGAGAGTGCGCGACTATAAAACGGTTCTGAAATATCTGATACCCATGCAGCTAACAGCTAAGCGACTCCTTGGATGTATGTAGCAATAAAGCCATACGTAATCATTGCGAATACCATTTTCTTCTCCAAATTGTATACAAAAACTGCCAATAAATAGATCCGACCACTATTGAAGCGAGGCATCGTGTTCCTCTCCGGTGTAGACCAACCAGTACCGGCCGGTAGTCCGCCGAGTCGGATCCCGGCCCGCGCTCGGATGTACCCGACCTACGACGACGAAACCCAGATCACCAATAAAGCAGGCGACCAGAAACAAACAAGACTGAAGCAAGACACACATTTCCCCCGAATCCAATTTGATCCTTCACTCTCAGACCCTTTACCCCGAAATTTCCCACACTACACCAGATCCTTGCTCCGATTGCCCATCCGGCCAACCCCAATCATGTCCACCAGTACCCCATACTTCCGCCCGGCGGCACATGCCCAAGGCCTCGCCAACTACCCGCACGCACGCACCGTGGCCGGCCCCTCGGGCCACGGCGCCTACATCTACGTGTCGGGCACATCCTCGCGGCGCGGCGATGGGAGCTTCGCGGGGGCCTCGCGCGGGACGGACGGGACTATGACGTTTGACATCCGGGCGCAGACGGAGGCGGTGCTGGCAAACATTGACGCGATTATTCAGGGCGCGTCGGAGGGGCGAGCCAGCATCCGTGATGTGGTGGATGCGACGGTGTTCTTGACGGACATGAAGGGCGACTATGCCGGGATGAACGAGGAGTGGAATCGAGTGTGGCCCGATCGGGAGGCGGCGCCAGCGAGGACGACGGTCGAGGTGCGGGCTTTGCCGCGCGAGGAAATTTTGGTTGAGATTAAATGTACGGTGTACTACGTATGAGCGTGGTGAAGGGGATGGTTATCAGTTCTGGCAGATGTACATATTGTGTTGGGAGGATGGAGGGAAAGAAGATGTTGTGGCTTGACCAGAGCCTACCGGGACTGGGTGAACTACGTATAGGGTTTATTATTATGGAAAAGAACACGGGCTCTATCGATTCACGAGGTCTATTGGCATGCAATTAGGGAGCGAATATTAAAGTACAAAATCAAATCCCTCGTGGTGGACATTAAACCCCAGTCCGTTCACTGGTTTCCCGTCATGAATCTGGTCAAAGCGCCTGGAGGAGGCACGAACGCAGATCAGTCAGGTCGTGAAGGCATGAAACAAATTGAGAAAGGAAGAGAAATGGCACAGGATATGTGTATCAGCAAAGGATCAGAATATCGATTCGATTTGATAGAGACAAGAAGGTAAAGGAAAAGATAAAGATGGTGAAATCGCAATGGTCACATGGGGCATGGGATGCCCGAGAAAGAGTAGGGGTTCACGGTGTCTACAGCATCAAGCTGAAGAGAGCGACCACAGAGCCCAACAAAAGGCTGGAGGCGATCGACACAGTCGAGGCCGAGTTGAAGACCGGCAAGGAGCTGGCGGAGGCACCTGCAGTGGCGTGAGGAGTGTATGCCACGCTAGTGGCGATGGTCGACGACGCACCCACAGAGACGGGGCTGTTGCCTGTGTTGACAGGCGAGGCACCACTGGGAGCCGCAGGGACAAGGCCAACAGTCGGGGAAGAGCCAATGGCAGTGGTGGTAATGAAGGTGACCTGGGGCACAGTGACAGTGTAGGTCGAGTAAGTAATCGTGGTGCAGGGAAGCGCGGGGGCAGAGGTGATTTCCGCGGGAGTAGAAGTCACACCGTTGGCACTGGCGCCGGTAGGAACGGATGATGAGACAGTCGGGGCCAGGGTGATAGTCGAGGGGATACCAGTCACAATGCCGGGGTTCTCATCAACCCAAGCAGCACAAATACCGGTGAAGTAGGAGAGACCGGCTTGGATCTCGCTCTTGGACGAGCCCCATGCCTGAATGCAAGAGATGACCTTCTCGGTAAACTTCTCGTTGGGGCAGAAGCACTTGGCATCACTGTTGGAGGTGCACTTGGGAACCAGAGAGAGCCAAGTGTTGATGCACTGGGGCACAGTGTTAGGGCAAGAAGACGAGGGAATGGAGCTCGGCACGGACGAAGAGCCAGTCGAGCCAGAGCCTGCCGAAGTGGTGACAGAGCCAGCGCCAGCGCCAGTTGGCAAAGCAGAAGTACCAGTAGCACCAGCACTACATTTGGTGCAAACAGTAGACGTCTCGGTGACCGTGATGGTGGACAAGGTGCTGGTAGGGACAACAATGGTCGAGCCACCGGTGGTCACGGTGTTGGTCACTGGGCAAGTAGTGACAGTCTCGTATGTAGTAACGAAGGTGGTGGAGTCCTCCGGAACCGAGGGGGTAGAACCAGCGCTAGCACCAGTAGGAATCGAGGTGGTTGGAGCAGAGACAGTAGGAGCCGGGCTAGATTCAGTGCCACCAGGGGCAGTGCCAGTCACGCTGGGAACGGTGGTGAAGCCAGCAGTGCATCGAGTGCAGATGGTCGAGGTCGAGGTCACAATCACAGTCGAGATGGTGTTGGTGGTGATCACAGAGGAAGAGCCGCCAGAGCTGATAGTGCTAGTAACAGGGCACTCGGTGGTAGTCGTGTAGGTCACGATGGTCACAGTCGACTCCGGAGGAACAGATGAGGCGCCACCAGCAGGTGCCGAGGGGGTGGTGACAGGAGACGAGCCAGAGGGAGCCGGAGAAGTTGCAGGCAAGCTACCGCTAGGGCTAGAACTGCCAGGAGTCGATCCAGCAGGAGTAGAGCCAGCAGGAGTAGAGCCAGCAGGAGTAGAGCCAGCAGGAGTAGAGCCAGCAGGAGTAGAGCCAGCAGGAGACGAGCCAGCAGGAGAAGTCTCCACCGGGCTAGATCCAGTGGGAGTTGATCCAGCGGGAGAAGTCTCGGTCACAGGGCATACGGTAGTCGAGGCGTAAACGGTCGAGGTCACCACAGTGGAATCTGCGGGGCAGTTCGTGACAGTCGGGGCACAGCTGGTGATGGTGATCTCGCTGGTGATCAGAACGGTCGAGGTAGTCATCTTGGGCGGGACACTGACGGCCGTAGAAGAGCCAGCACCCGGCGTGATGCTGGGCACTGACGGGCTGGACACCACAGGCACAGTGGAACCAACTGGGCTGGAGCCGGTAGGGCTAGAGATGGCCGGCACGGTAGGCACCGAGGAGCTCACGCCGGCAGTGCTGGAGGGCCCCGAGGGCAAGGCCGAGGTGGTGCCGGGAGTGCAGTCGAAGCCAATGCTGTAGATACCAAAATCGCAGCTCTCGTGCTCGCTGTCCTCGGGCAGCTCGAAGGAGACCGAGGTAGCACCACCACACTGGTCATTGGTGACGGTTGTGCCGCCGGAAGTGCAGGAGGCGGTATTGTGACACTGGGAACCATCCGGCATGTTGTAGATGATGTTCATGTCCGTATCCTTAGAGGTGGAGATGTGGAAGTGGGTGACTGAGAAATCATTCTCGGAAGAGCCGCACGAGAAGGACGGGGAAGAAGAGCCACTGCTGCTTGAGCTGCCCGAGGACGAAGACCCTCGAGAGGAAGAGGAGCTGCCGGAGGAAGACGAACTTCCCGAAGAGCTTCCGCCACGAGAGGCGGTACCGACGATGCATTTCTCCTATAAAATACCAAAGATAGTCAGCAAAGACCATCCTATAGTAGGCCGCCCTTTACCGGCCGGGATAAACAAGCATAACTGACATTGCGCTTGGAGAGTCCGGATCCGAAACTGTTGGAGCAGCTGAAACCGGAGAAGTCGAAACCACCATACGAAGAGAACGAGCCAGTGGACAGGCTTGACCAGTCAAAGCCGGACTTCTGGTAGTCGTTACACTGGTTGGAGGATCTTCCTGGGCTAGAATAGCATTGTTCGGAGCCCCAGTACTATATCGAGGGTCAGCTATCCAGAAGAACACGAACTGTAAACAATGCGTAGCGGGAGGCCGCGAGGAGGCATGTCCACATACCCCGGAGGTTGCCTGAGTGCCCGCGAGGAGCGATAAAAACGTAGCAGATGCGAAGGCCTTCATCGTGGAAGGAAGTGGTGGTGGTTGGCCGTGATGTTGATGTGTATATCGTAGTGAGGGAAGTCGATTGGGTCAACGAGTGACAATATGGGGGAATAGGGAACGAAAGTGGGTAAGATGACGGAGAGAGAGTAACGAATAGAGTCAGAAAGGCCTGAGAGATGAGTCTCTTTTGTATTGTTGGAAACCGGCAACAATGAAATCAAGCGAAGGTGATATCAGGCTGCAAAGCGAGTGGGACAAGGAATCACGATCCCTGAACGAGTGTGTTTAGTCTTCGATGAAGCGGAAAGTAACCGCGTAGCACCACTGGCTACGAACAAGGCAACAAGAGAAAAAAACGGAAACGGAAAAAGAGAAGCAAACTACGCAATGGAAAGATCCACGAAGGCGAGGGAAGAGGAGGCCATTTAAACCATCTATGGGAGCAGCCAAGACCCTTGACGCCAGGGTCTCTCGCAACTTGGATGGGGGTTTTTTTGTTCTGTTTTCTTTTTTTCCCACTTTTATTTTTATTTTATTTTATTTTTATTTTTTACTCTAGGATTAGTCCTGCAATTGCACTGATTCCAGTGTCCTGAATGCAACCACAAAGCAAGACCCTTCTTTTTCTTCGGCCCCTGCGGACCTGGGGCTCTCGAGCGGACCTCCAGTGGACTGATCAAGACTTCTCCACGCCGCCAGAGGGACAAATGGTAAGACATTTTGTCAGAGAGCGCCCACTCGGCTGCCAATCGGCCGCTTGCTCGCCATGCTGAAACGGAGTGTGTCCCGAAGGAGACCGGGATTGGGCTGTTGTGCGAACGGGGGCGCTCTAGTGCAGGAACCTGCTGGAGCCGCTGCAGCGCCAGGGTTCGAAGCGGTTAAGCCGGGACCAAGACCCTCGTTTCGTCAGGAGAGCAATGAGGGACATCTTGTAAACAGCAACCCGCTAGAGCGACTCCGGTGAGATCCGTGCAGCAGACTCAAGCCTGCTCTAGCGAGTTCCATGCGAGCCAGTCAACGCTCCCGTCGGGTCCGGGGAGAAGTTCAAAGGTAAAAATAGCCCGCGGTTGCTTCATTGCTTATTTGCTGCATGGCAACCGGTCTCCCTGAACCAGGAACGAGGGTTTCTTTTTGGTCATTCGCGGTCGAGTTGTATTCGGATGACTCAGTCCAGGTGACGAACAGGCGCCGGATCGACGCCGGGTGCAGGGTTGATCACATCTGCAGAAACCACCAAGGATCCGGCAAACTGCAAATGGTAAAAAAAACTACGATGGCCTACAGACGCTCTCTACCACGATTGAGCCCGCAGACGAATGCCGACGTGTGAGCTTCTTCGATCCGGGTCAGGCTCCGATCGTCGCTCGTTTCCCGAGATGCGTTGTCTAGTCTCTGGGTCGGCTCGTGGACTCCACAGCCAGGCATGGAGACTCGTAAGGCATCGGCGCAAGACTTGTAGCTAGAACGCAGGGTTGAAGTCCACCGGGACCCGTTCTACTATACTCGATGCATCCCCCCGTCGATGATCATGCAGCGATAGTGTACCCTGGAGGGTCGTCCTGGTGCAGTCGACTCAGGGAATCGATCAGACGAACCGAAACGGCCCAATCCAGCAACTGGGAACCTGCAAGCCCAGTGTTGCCGCCGGCGTCTCGCCCTGAGACCTTTTGGTCAGAGATGGACAAGGCCCCGGCTCGAGACTGGCCCACGCCCTTAGGAGGATTCTCTTCGGCTGATCGGATGACGGCAAAGTTTGCTGTCCGCGAGTTGCCCTGTGCGTTTATGGTTATGCTTTGTTGGTGTTGCTTCCCCTCCCAGATCGTCTGGAAAGGCTGACGGTGGAGTCGTAGCGCCGGGCGGCATTGCAATTGTCCAACCAGCGTCCCTCGCGCCGAAGTCGATCTACAGGCCAAACAGCATCGAGCATCACGGGCATCAGCATGGCCAGCGGCAGTCTATCTGGTCTTGTTGCTGGTGCAAGGCAGTAAGAAAGAGGTTCGGACTCAGCTTGCATCTAGTTCTGCCTAGTTCAAACCAGGGGCTCTCGACAGGTCCACGACTTGCCCCCTGTGGCGTTGCTCGCGGCCCCTGTGGAATGGATCGTTCCTTTCTCGATGGAGATGGAGAACCAAGGAGGGGGGGGTGGTTTGTCTGGGCTTGATTTGTGCCAAGAGCAGCCACCGAACAGACGGAGCAGACGGATTGGAACTATCGCAAAAACGGGTCGCTTCTAAGAGCGCCATCGACCACGTTCTCCGAGGCCCGCAATGGGGTAGAATGGGCTTCCACTAAGCGGCCCTTATCCCCGTCCCGGCATTTTTCGTTCCTGCATTTGCATCGGCCGAACTAGCCTTCCGGTCTGTGCAATCGATGTACATAGGCTCTCCGTGACTCCGCAGTGATTTATAACCCTATTCGACATCCCGATCTCGCTCCCCACTCTCTGAGAGCCCAACAATACCAGGTGCATTCCGTAGGAAGATCCGGCCTCCCCGTCTCCAAAGCCCATAATTCCATAAACCTTTTCAATGAGGTTGCGTTTCGCATGAATTGATTGCTCTCGTTCTCCTGTTTCAAGCCCCGGCACATATGCCAATGTTCTCCCAAAACAACTGGGCAGCTGTTGGCGCCCCGCTGGTCGCACGATGGCTTTGTCTTGCAGCCCCCTAAAAATACGAGCGAATAGGAGCGCCCACTTCTCTCCTTGGCGCTCCAAAGAAGAGCTTCTCCTACACTTTGCTACGGGGCCATTTGTTCAATTGTATCGCTTTCGGCTAGGGTCAAGGGGTCAAGCTTCGTTCTCGCGTACCGATCATATCATGTTTCTCCCCCATGTGTCCCAATGTAGGATTATGGTTATACTTGCGGGGAGTATAATAGGAGGGAGCTGCATAGTATACCTCCCCTCCCCCCCCCCCCTCTCCGGGGCCCCCTGTCCCTGCTTCTACCAGCGCAGCCAGCGTTCCCCCGGTTCGTGCCATGTTGCATTGTTCACACAAAAACCTTGCAGGCCCGTGGCTTTGTGGACTCGTCAAGCCCAGTTTCAGCTGTTGCTCCCTGCAGAGACCCTGTTCAATGCCCGTAAAACCTGAGACCCGTTGCGAACGGTAGGGCTAGACCCAATCCAGCTGCGACCTCTTTAGTTGCCCCTGGCTGTCTCTCTCTACAGCTAGGTCGTGCCAAGGAGGCTTGTCGCGAGAGAGTTAAGAGAGCTCTCGCCGACAATAGTACCTCGGAGGGCGGCCCTCGGAGACAGTACGTTCTGAGCCTGGTCGTACTACCCCATGTCCGGCTTTATGGGGAAGCTAGACCCTCGCTAGCTTGTTGGGCGATGTGTCTTGTCTCTCGAGAGGCTAGGTTTCAGGCGGAGGGATTCGATAGATCGATACTGTTTTCCCCTGTTCCCCTGTTCTCCTGGTGGCTTTATGTGTATGCCGCTCCTGTTTTTATGCTTTTCCGGCCGATATCTTGGTGAATTGTTCTAGTCTTGTTTAGAGTCCAGCCGACAGACGAGTGGGAATCGCGCCAAGGGGAGGGGGAAAGGGGAGGGGGGCAAGGTATCAGAGAGAGTTGACGGATTGACTTGCTTTGGTATCTATCCACCAGGGGTTGTTTACCATGCTGATTATTTTGGCTTGGGACTGCGGGGTTTCGTTGCAGGATGATTCGTACGAGGCATTCTAGTCAAATCAATCGATAGACAGGGGGCAGACGTTCCGGACATACGAGTTGATGGTTTGAAGGGGGAGCTGCAAGAAGAGATTGTCTATACAAGCGAACAATTTTGAAAAGATTTGAAGTTTTTTTTTGTAAAGACTTGAAATGGGCTAGATAAAATAATCAAAATACAATCCATCATTCATGACATAAAAACAAAGTGCAAAATGGGTTTTAACTCCATAGATAATCACAGGACCACAGGTATCACCATATCCCTTGGATAGCCAAAGAAATCATGGGAAATGAAGAGAGCAAAAAAAAAAAAAAGGAAATCAAAAGAGAAGGAAAAGAATGAATATTAGCAACATGCAACATCCAATGCTAACGCAAGAACGGATCAACTTTTTGCGGCTATGAGCCATCGTCCATCAATCAATCATTCTTTCAGTAAACAACATAGAATGCCGGGGAGTACATCAATGACTCTTCCACCTCCAGCCTCTTGGGAAGATAGAGAGAGGGAGGTAGGTTTGAAGCCATCCGGTCAAGAGAAACAATATAGCTTTAACTGCACCTTGACAAAAGAATGACAATGAAACTCTTTAACCATGTCCGAAACTCTAGATCATGGGAAAAAAAATCATCAACTGCCTCCCGAGTAGCCAAGTCTGCCAGCGACTCAGAACATGTAACAACGTCCGTGTGTATCATGCGATCTTGGGGGGGGGGAATCCAAATTTCGTGGAACTCGTTAAAAGGGGGGCTGGGCAGTTCCAGCCATGGACTTGGATCTCGAAAAGAAACCTCCTCTCTCGAGGAGTTCGTGTAGAGACCCATGAGCTGCGTTTTAAAACGGGAGCTGAGTACGGCGGTGCGCGTCCATTAACTTTCGCCGCACCGCCTCGCCACCCGCATAACCACTCGCTTTACGCTTCCGCGTGGGTGTACGTTGATCGGTATGTTTGGCATGGCGGAACACACTCGCGGGCCGTGAGGGAGAGTTGGCAGGCATGAACTCTCGGTGTTGAGGGAGGCGGAGCAATGCCTGATACCGATTGTGGTTGCGACGAAAAGCAGTGACAATGCCCTTGTCCAGGTGATTGAGGAAACGCTCCTCTTTGTTGGCCGGCTGCTGGTTGCGAGTGGGGGTAGGGGTACCCAGAGTTTGCATGCCTGAAGTCGTGGCCATTGGGGAAATAAGGGCCTCGTCTTCAAAAGTATTGCCGTTGTCTTCTTCATCCGAGGATCCATTGCCAAAGTCAATGAAGTCATCCACGTTCAGAGCAGCCTCGGGATCATCGTCGTCATCGTCCTCAAAGGAGCTGTCAATGGTAAAGTCTTGCGAAGGGTAAAAAGCCTCGGGGGGGCCCATCACCTGCCCACCTGGGGTGAGGTCATTGCCGAGAGCGGTCATCATCAAATTGGCACTGGATGCCAGCATAGGGCTGAAGTCGGTCTGGTTCGGGGAGGCGAGGGCATCGGTGTCACTCTCGTCGATCAGTTGCAGGGTGGTTTGACGAGGACTGTTGTTGGCAGTTCCAGGCATGCTGTTGGCAGCCGAGTCCAGCCAATCGTGTCGAGAAGAGGCATAGGCCGGGATAATGACGAGGTGCTTGCCAGTGCAGTCAACCAGAGCAACAGGCTTGTGAGGGTCAGCCACGAAGGTTCCCATAATGGGGCCTCGGCGACGGGGGATGCTATCAGTTTTGTCATCACCAGTGGCAGCTAGGGAGTCGGTGGAATCTCTGCGGAGGAGGGAACGAGGATGGGTGATCGTTGCGGGCGGGGGCAGGTCTTCATCGGTGGTGTCACCGTCATCGGCTGCAAGAGGAGGGTTAGCAAAGCAAAAATATAACATGCACGGGCAGCTAGCATACTCTCGTATCCACTCAAGCTGCCCTCGGAGGTTCCGTCAGACTCGACATGGTAGATATTTCCATGGCCGTAGTCCGCATCACCGAACATCTCCTCAGACTGTCGGCGATTACTGCGGTGGTATTCATTGTCGTTTTCAATCATCCGACGCAACTGGGGATCCAAAGAATCCTGCTGAAGGAAATCGCTAGGGATCTCATCATCGGTGTGAGATTCACTGTCCGAAGAGGAGTCCGATCGCTCCTCGAAGTGAACTCGACGAGCCACGGGAGTCTCCACGGTTTCACTAGCCATATCGGTTTCTCCAAAAGTATCCATGGCACTGTAGAGCTGTTCCTCATCAAAGAAAGATGCAGCGGGGAGAAGCATCGCATCCCCAAAGATTTCGGCGGAACCATGCCACTGCCCATCAGGAACTTCGGATGAGGGGAGAACACGGTGCTCATTCTCCGATTCCATGATCATGAGCTCCTCCAGTTTCTCGACATCACCCTCCTCATCATCAGCATCAGTGATGTAGTCGACTGCGGCATATACATCATCCGAGCTCTCATCCGAATCACTGGCACCACTGCTGAAGTGATCATCGGAATCTTCATCATCGGAAACCCGTCTTCGCTTGCTTTTGGCGGGTTGGCGCCCCGTCTTACGGGCGCTGTTTTGACGGCGACTGTAAGACGGGGCCTGGGCTAGCGGCCGATCTTCCTCATCGTCCGCATCATCTTCCGAGTCGTCCGCCTCGTCACTCAACTCTTCCAGCGAGGACACGGAGGAGACGCTTGAGACGGAGGAAGAAGAAGCTCGTCTCTTTCTATCGAGTCGGCCATTGCTCTGTTTCTTTGGTTGGTTGGCGGTCTTGGGTGAGATATCGAGTTGCCGCAGTAAGTGGGACTCGGGAGTGGCGGGGCGAGGAGTTTTCAAAGAGCTCTTCGGAGCCCGCTTGGAGGCGTAGGGAGATTGCGGCATTTTGGTGAGCGAAATCGTCGCTTTTGGTGTCTTTGTAAATGTGTATGGAAGGTGATAGATGATTCGTTGAAATGGGATATTCACGAGATACTCCCAAATGCGGTTGATGGTATGAGATTACGTTGGGTGAAGCAACGTCAAGGTTTTTTTTTTCTTATCAAGGTCGAGAGAAGGAGAGAGTCGAATATGGTCGAATAATCCCGGGGTTCGAGGGGGTATTGGCAGACGAATCGAGAATGGGGATGAGAGGAGACGGCGAAATGAGGAGGGGGTGTTTTTTTTTTGTTTGTCGATCGTAACCACGAAAGCACCTGCAGTCCAATAGGGGGACGCTGAAGTGCTCTTTCTGGGACTGTACTGGGGGGCAATTTCGACGCTTCAGAGCGGGCGTCGAAAGAGAAACAGATATCGTCGAGTGGAATTGAAGGGTCGGAGCTGCTGGACTGGGGAGCCGGCAGCGTAGAGGGCTCCCCAGCAGAGAATTTACAGCTCAACGAAAGCCATTTGGCAGGAATTCACGACGATATCTTTTCAAGGGGGGGGGGTAGACAGTAATAGGTCAAAGGTGTGGCACGAGGGGTCAGTCGAGGGAAGTGGGATGATGAAGAGAAGAAGGGGAGGATGTGAAGGGATGCCATCGATTTTTCCCGCAACGCAAACGCAGGAAGTGGAGCCGGCCGGTGATTGGCGCTGCTCTCCACGCGCGCCCATTCGCTGGCGGCAGTTCACCGCATCTTTTGCGCCAATGGGACGCTGCAAATGGCAATGCGCTGCTCATCTCCGAACCATCTACTCCATACAGTTGACCCCTCTGAGCCTGGAGGGACTCGACTTGGGGGAGGAGGGAGGAATCTGACTCCTCGGCGTGTATACTCTCGTATCTACTTCAGTCATCGAGCATGACTCACATCTACTCCCTACTGAACCCTCGAAACAGAACCAGAATCACGACGATGATGAAATCAAAGTTTAAAAACAACAGTAGATGACGGAGTGGAAAAGAGGGGGAAAAACTATGAAAAAAAAATCATTCCACTAGTCCACGCAGGCAAAGAACAACAAGCGCAAAACTTGATGCTGCGGGTCCATTGTGGCACGGGTTAGGGACCACTGAACCATTTCCCCCCCCAATTCCCCTTTCCCCCCTCCATCGAAGCAGAAGAACAGAAAAGGGGATCCTCGACATGTGAGGGAGCTACTGTGGCTTACTGTCGGCACAATCAATGGCATTGGGCAGCCGCGAGGTGCAGGAGCTGACTCCATGCCGACCTATGATTCATCGCCCGATCACAATCATCCATAGATGACATAGGAACACAAAAGAAAAAGGTGAATCATATTGTGTCTCGACCGCATCCAGCTCCGACCAAAGAAGTGAGAAGATGGTAAATCCGGGCGATTCGATCGCCCTCGATTGGTTGGGGACTGGGATTTTTCCCGCGGTGGCAACTCGGGACTCTCCTTTCCGGCACAGCTGCCGCCCCCTTTGGGCGAGTCTGCTGCCCGGGAACCTGCAGCGCCTTAACTATCGGCACGCCCCCCTCAATAATCGAGGGGGATCACAGGCGGTAAGCAGGGGAGTAATACCCTAGACAACGTGGCTCTGCAGACTGCATGAGATAGATATGAGAGAGATGAGAGATCGACCGAGGTCGAAATCTATATCACATCGTGGCCCGCGCCTTGCCCCCCTCCCCAACCACCCAGGAGGGAAGTGTTTTCCCTCGAGGAAATCCAACTCCACGCAAGGGCGAGCCTTCTGGCCATTCCCGTCCCCATCTCGTGGTCTGCTGCAAGATCATCTCTGCCCCGCAGTGGCTAGAGTGGGCCCAGAAAATTCTCCCAGTGCCAATCAGGCTCCACCGGAAGAAAATCCTCACGCCGCTAGCCTATTTTTAAGTCGTTGCTAGAGAGAGAGAGAGAGAGAGAGAGAGAGAGAAACGTTGCTGGCCTTGTTGGCCTGTCATTGAAGAGAAGACTACTAAAGTCGAGATGATGTCTTAGTGCTTGAGCCACAATAAATGGATCTATCGTCACGTCTAAGGCCGAGGTTCTGGTTACAGAGCAACATCCATCGATGCATCGAGATGCTGGCAGCAGAATCCAGGATGACACGGGCGTTCCGCTTTGGGAAGGGCCTAGAAAGGCCACTCTGGCCCGCCAGAAAAAATTGGTAGTCCACGTTTAGTTCCTCGGGGATTACAGATTACAGATTACAGTCTTCTAGAAGGACCTGTTAGCGTCTCGCTGTACGGGCAGCCATTGGCTATTGCGGCTTTTTCTTCGAAAGGGAGATGAGCAGTTGGTCCGCTGCCAATATATGTTGTGGACATTTTTACCAATAAATCGCCACCAGAACGTCGCAATCGATAATACTATGTCCATATCATCGTCTGACTTTTATCGTCACAGCTCCCTATTATTCGTACTGAGTCGATGGAAAGCAATATTGCCTAAATCTCAGCAAGTTGGTATACAATCCATAAGAAAAAAAATGATTGGCCGTGTTGTTATTGATCAGAGGTAGGTCTCAGAGAAATCCAAAATGAGCTAAAATACTGTAATGACTAGCTCACTCTTGTTACTAATAGACATTCATAGCATCGTGTAGAAAAAGTCCTCAAATATAAGGAAAGATACAGGTAGAAACCATGGCATGGAAATATGGCAAAACATAGACCGGTCGTATGAAAACGTTGAAGAATAGTACTAGAGTGTTGGGCAGCATTTGTTCTCTGAACTATCAAATTGGTGACTAAGACCTCAAGACTCTTCTTGGTCCATTTGATCTCTGCCGCGCTTTCGTTGCCTACTGCCACGTTGGTTATTTTGGGTTTGTTCCTTCAGATCCATGATAGCTATCCGTTGTGCATCATGGACTCGGTCTGCAAAGACCATCACTTCATCCTTATTCGTCTTGTATTCATCCAGTTTCTTGTCGAGAGCGTTCTCAATCCGAAGCCAGATCTCCACATCATATTGAGTGACAAAGGAGAAAGCCCTTCCGCTCTTGCCTGCACGGGCAGTTCGTCCTACTCGGTGGATATAAGTTTTGCTGTCTGAAGGAAGGTCACAGTTGACAACGAAATCCACAGCTGGGATATCTAATCCACGAGCTGCGACATCAGTGGCAATGAGCAAATTCCGAGATCGTGACCGGAATTTGTTCAGAGCTCCAAGACGAGCGCTTTGGGACAGTTGACCATGAATGGGGATGGCAGGAAAGCCGAGGTTTCGTAGGAAAAGGGCCAATCGCTGAGTTTCGAGAACTGTGCGGGTGAAGAGAATGCCCATCTGGCCGACCCGCTCATTTAACAGATAGACAAGATAGATGTCTTTCAACTTTTGCGGTACGAACAGGTATGACTGTATGAGGTTTGTGGCGGTTTGATTTTTGCTCGATACCGAGATCTTGGCTGGGTTTGATAATGATGCCCGCTGGAGAGATTCGACCTTGCTGGAAATGGTGGCGGAGAAAAGGTATGTTTTGCGACTTGGCAGAAGTCGCAGAAGCTTATCTAGGATCGGGCCAAAGTCGAGATCCAGGAGTCGATCGGCCTCATCCAGTACCAGATATTTCAAGTGTTTCAGAGAAAATCCTTTGGTGTTTTCAAGGTGATCAAGGAGACGGCCCGGGGTTGCGACAATGACATGAGGCTTCTTCCCTAGAGAGATGGCCTGCGGGATCATGTCCACTCCTCCAATCAACAATGTGCATCGTACATTTATAAAAGCCCCCAAGGCTTCAACGGTCTGAGCAGTTTGCTGAGCCAATTCACGCGTGGGCGCTAGGATCAGGGAGTGAAAGGCTTGCGGGTTCTCCATAAGCGCTTGGAGCAAAGGTATCGTGAAGGCAGCGGTCTTGCCACTTCCAGTCTCAGCGAGACCAATGAGATCTCGCCCTTGTAAAGCGACCGGAATGCAACGCGCTTGAATTGGCGTTGGAGTTTTGAATCCAAGGGAATCGCATGCTTCGCATAATGGGTCGATCACACCTAATTCCTTGAATGTTTGGGGGGTAGCGTCGGAGGTTTGCGCGGGTATGGTGTCCGAAGATGCATCCTCAACAGAGGAAGCCTCGCTGGGAGGACCCTTCATGGCAAGTAAAAGGCCGATCAAACAGTTGACAGACTTTTCGAACCAGAGAGTTTGGCAATCAACAAAGCGAAACGAGAGTCAGATGAACAAGTCTATTGCCCCGAGTATTGGACGGTGCAAAAGGTCAAGATTTTTTTTTTTTGGTTGCCAAGTGCCGGTCCTGGTTGGGCCCGAGAGGATTACATAAGTGAATACAGTGATTATTTCAGCGTTTTTGGTAGGCGGTAAGGGCGGTGAGGAACGGGCGGTGAGGAGCTGGGAAACACTACAACTAGAAAGTATAAAGGACCTCATGAAATTGACGCCGAAAATGACAGCTCTTGGCGCCAGAAACGGCCACCTAGAAGTACGCCTACGATGGAGCCAAGAATCGACCCGAGGGCTGTCATAATGGCAGTGGCAACCTCAACTTGGCTTGAACTGATTGATTTGGCGTCTGACATGGTGTATCTTGAGCAGCTCATAGTAAACGGACAGGATAAGAATGGCGACAGCGCGCAAAGAAGAGAAGAAAGAGAAGGGGATGAAGGCGTGGGAGACAAAAGCCAAGATGGGGGATCACGACGAAACGGGAAGGCACGATGATGGCCGTTACCGACTTCCAGTGTGTCCATTGATTTCACGGAGCTTACGGGACTTAAAGATCCCTTACGTGCATATAACCCTGTGCTCCGGAGGACGAGAGATATGCAGTGCCTTGTTTCAGTGTAGGGATAGCCTATAGGGCCTGTCACGTATGCTATATAGTACGCCCAGGGCACAAAACCTGAGGTAGAATTCTTAAATTCAATGTCCAACCACGTCAATGCCTAAACATAGGGTGGATATCATTAAGCAAGCTTAAGAACTTAGATCACAACACATTGCAACCGAGAACGCTTGGTCTCGTCTTCATGGCCCTGTAGAAACCACCACCCAGGCCCCCATTGCTTCATAATACGTCGATGACGCTGATCTCGCCAAAGCGCCAAATTTCGAGCCCAACATGTCATCGACTGACAACCTTTGAGACCAATGACCCTGAGGATCTGTCGCATGCATCTCGAATCGTAACCACGGATCATTTAACATATCTGTGTCCACCAACGACAAAAAGGGCCCCCATGGAAGCTGAACTCTCCACCGGAGATCCTCTGGGCTTAGTCCTGGTCCTAGGTCCTTCCAGCGTGTGAGAGCAAGACACACGTCGTCAACCTCTACTTCTCGTAAATCCAAATTCCAAGCTGTGTTGCATTCATGGCATTTCCCATGATTCGAGAGCTCGGCAGCACTTTGTCCTTGTTGGTGATAGGCTTCAAATACCGAGTCGATCATTTCAATGAACTTGGACGAGTGAGTCCCAATATGCCGGCACACTTCGACAGGAAGCTGCCCAGGGAAAAGATGTGATGCACTTTGTCGACTAGCTATCGCAAGTTCCTGTATGCGTAGACAGAGGCTTGGGGGCTTTAGGCAAATTCGTGCCTCGACGGATCGAAGACCGGTCCTCCTGCCAGGATGCAAATGGGTTTCTGACATCCGTTCCTGGGAGTAATAAGTAGAGTGAAGGCTATGCGTCGTCACCTCGGTATAAAATCTTCACTATGCGTCGTCACTCGGTATAGAATAGTGACTCTAATGGAATACCAAATGAAGGACCCAGGTAGAACCGCCGCATTGCAAGGTAGAGGTGTAACCAATAAAATCCATAGGTTGAGAAAGCGGGGAATTGAACCTGAAAAAGTGAGAGACACAGGCTCTTCCTTTTGTCCCAGGGTAAATCATCGTGGCACTTCCTGGGTTTGATATCCGAGCCTGGTAAGTTGACGTATCGCCAGAGGTGCAATCGCATACAAGCATAGCAAGGATAGTATTCCGGCAAATGTCGAGTGAGTCTGGTCAACAGATCGATACGCAGAACATCCGTTGGACTTCCAAGGCCACCTTGAGGAAATGGCCTGCACAAAGTATTCCCAAACGGTAAAGTGAAGAGGCGATGGCTGCAAAGTGCCAGGCAAGTGGAATCGACCGGAGAGAGATATTGGGATATCAGAAGCAGTAGCTCTGGCGGAAGAAGATCGACGTTTGTTGCTGCTGTTTTCGGTGGCATATTTAAGACCTTCATCAGAATATTATCTGATTTTCACAGGCGAGAGGCGAGAACGAGAGTGCACAACCCTTGCCTTCGGCCCTACATGATTCTCTGTTTTGAATAACATCGGAACAGAGGCAAGTGGATCATACCGGTGCACCCATGAGAGTCATCTGGCAATTTGGACGGTGTTATGTAGCCAATGCATAAGTGCGATCATCACACGTGACTCGCACCTCAATATCTTAGGGGGCTAACCCCTAAGACTTAAGAAGAATTCAACACTTTATGATCCAATTACGCTTCAGACGGGCTCAATGCATGACTAATCTTGACGAAAGATAGTATATCCTGCTTCCGGAGACCCTTATTTCTGCTGCGTTCCGACGAATAAAGCACTACGAACGTCATGTGCCGGGAAAGGGAAGCTCTGGTCTAACGTGCCTCTCAAGAACTATAAACCATGGATGGATTCCGCCACTACCGACTCTCAATTGAGCAATTAATTAATACAAGGACTTTTTGTGAGGATCAAGCTCCCCTTTTATATTCAAAAATATAGAAACAATTACTACGTAGAAAATGACCATGTTGATTTTGGTGCGAATTACTAAACAAGGCCACGTTGAGCATTAGCGCGGCTCCCACGATCAGAATGCCTGTTTTATCGACCACCAATGCCTCAAGGCCTTATTATCTGATTCGGAATGAAATTAAAACCGGGTACCTTTAATGACCAAGGATTGACCTCAACTATCGTAGCTCTGAAAGGTGATCTCTGAGGTGAGATTGAGTCACAGACGACACTTTTGGAAGCTGAACAATCCAATATTTTTGACGCGCCTCAAATCAATTAATTCAAAGGTTATTAAATGACTAGATAGTCTCGCCCCCTTCTAACAGGCGAAATATTGCTCGTCCCTAAGCTTCAACAATAAATATTCTTCCTCTACGGACAATGATAAGCCGTTTCTTGTGCCGGCGCAATCAGAGACGAACAAGGCTCACTAGCAAAGGAAGATCTAGATAGCTTTATAGTGAGAAAATGCCAGCGAGCAAACGGATTACCTGGTTTTATTGAATTATCAAGCTACACAATAAGCTAGATCTCTCTAGGGAAGCTACAAGCCTTCCGCTCTATGATTCTCTGTGCTTCTCTTATACTATTGTAAAGCAACATGAGCTTATCATTCATCAATACCTTCAAATTGGCCAGCTTCCATGAAAGGAGAGAATTTTTGTTCTAAAAGATTCGACATGAATACACCTCATGAGCTGGAAGACTAGTTTGCTCGGTAAGTAGTGTACCTAAAACTTGCAGTGGAGGTTGAATCGTATAATTTTGTGATTTCTAGAATTTTTATCATAATTAAAAGTTCAAGAAGATGTGGCAATGAGTTTTTCGGCCAATTCAAGCAAATTGTCAGCCATGACTTCCATCTTCGTGTCAAAAATCTCGATGCAAGACTCCTTCTCATACACCGAGCAGTAAGCACCACGGAATCTAATCACATAGGATACATATTAGCCTCAATATGTCACTCCAGATTCTTGGGAGTGAGAACAACGTACCCGGCCTTGACAGCTGCACTGACATCCCACATATGAGCAGCGACAAACCACTTCTGGTCCTCAGGGGCAAATTTATCCAACATGGGCTGATATGATCCCATTGATGGCTTGACCATTTCTAGAGGGGATTCTGACGTAGAATTGTGTTTCATAAATTGATGGCAGCTGACTAGGTTTTCAGCAGGCATTTCAAAGCCTGCGCGCTTGAAATAACCGCCAACCCTTTCCGCGTCGCCTGTGGTCAGACACCAAACGGTGAAGCCGTTATTTCTCAATTTCTCAATCATAGCTCGGCAATCTGGGCGAAGTTCCAACTTTGAATACGCGCCATGACATATGTCTCGCTCTTCATCGGTCGCGAATGATCTCGGATTCTCGATTCCGGACATATATAAGACACGATAGAAAAGAGCCTTAAAAACCTCCTTGTATGGCACATTTCGTCGGGACATGTGAAGCATAAGCGACTCGAGTTCTGCTGACTGCATCCATGCAAAACCAAATATTTTGGCCGACACATTATGCGCCTGCAACCGTGGGCCGAGGACTTGTTCGATAGTATTCAGAAAAACATCAAATGACACGCAGGTGCCGACCACGTCGAAAACGGCATGTTTCTTGGGAGTTATCATATCGTTGAATTAGGAAGACTGGGGTAATGAAACGTGTGCTATTCTCAATTCACTGGTAGGAAACTTTTGGAAAGGCAGCCAACTTCAGGGCTCTTTTAGATTCATTGAAAATTATTGGATTACGGAGTACATCATCGGCATTCCCATTATCTTTTGATTGCGGAACGGAGTACCCCGACATCCTACAGCTTAACAATTCTCTAACCAATCAAGTTGATAATGAGATGCATTCAGTGGATGGAGGCCTTTGTTGATATGATGCACGGAGTCAAGGAATAGGGCGATGTGGGTACTCCGGCACTCCGGAGCCAACGATATCTTTACTAGGACTCCGTAAAACCCCTATCTAAAGGCAGGCCCCACTCCGGAATCCCGGGCATGCTGGATTGGGTATAGAGCATAGCGTCCATCGAGTCCTCTGTTTGCAGCTGTCTTACGTGATGACGGCGCTTGAAATATCTAAAAAATTAAGCTTTCAAGTTCAACAGAGCACTATTACATACTAGAGAGTCTGCGTTTCAGAAAAAATGTTGTTGAGAGGACTTGAGGAAGGTAAGGCAGTCTGCTTTTTCAAGAACCTTCAAACGACAATTAAGATTTCTAATACAGCGATTTGATAGTTAACAACTATTCCTAGCTCAGAGATCCACATAAGCTATAATTTGGATTATTTCTTAGTTGCATTCAATCCCACAGTATGTTAAGTTTCCGAAGACCTTTCTTTGGGGCTGGTTCAGGTTCAGGATTACGATTCGCGATGTCAATGAAGGGCTGAATAGGGATATCTTCCAGGGGAACGATCTTTGTCTTGCGGAAGAGCTTGTATCCAAAGTAAAATATCAAGAAAAGCGGAATGTTGATATACGATGAGACAAAGCTTTCATCATCCCAATTTCCTTTGATAAATGTCGAATAGCCGCCTGTAATAAGGAACAGAGAGAGCAGAAACAGCGAGGCCCAGCTAATGTATGGCTGAAACGGAGTAGCCCATGGAAGGGAATTCCGAGAGATCCCTTGTTTCTTGCAACCGTAGTAAAACCGAAGATACGTAATCAAGATGCTGAGCCAGTTGGTCAAGGTTGTAATGGAAACAAGGTCTTGCAACCAATCAAACACGGTGTTGGCAGTCGAGGAAAGCGACATGTATCCTAGACACATGAATAGACCATAAAGAGAAATTGCGATCCAGGGAACCGAGAATCTATTGAGTCGAGTAAAGAATTTCGGGGCATGACCGTTCATGGCCAGTCCGACCAAAACTCTAGATCCTCCTAAAATATTGGAGTTCCCTGAGGACCAAGCTGAAGTGATAATAACAGCATTGATAATGGATGGGACTACTTTGATTCCTGCGTTGGTAGCGGCAATCACGAATGGTGACTCTGAAGCTGTGCCACTGTCGTTACTGAGCTTTGGATCATTTGATGGGACAACCAGGCCGACCATGAAAATTGAGACGACTGTAGGAGAATATGGTGTTAGCACGATATAATTATCTCGTTTCATAGGAACATCATACTATAGAATATCAAGATGCGAACGAAGATCCGCTTGGCGGCCTTTGGGATAGCTTGTCTTGGTGACTTTGTCTCTGAAGCTGCAACCGTGATGGTCTCGATTCCCGAGTAGGCATAAAGAGCGCTGTTCAAGGATGTCCAAACACCCAGAAAACGGCCAAGCACGCCCGTTATTCCAAGGTACTGGACCAGAGGTCCAGGGTCGCGCCAATACTGAAACCCGATGGACTTGTGGTTCGGGCCACCGCCACACGTTATGACAAGAGCCTAGGATAGAATTCTCAGTAAACTAGTTTCTATTTCTTCGCAGGGGCTTGGGGAGCCTTCACCATTAGATTGATTCCAATGATTAACATTATTTTCATTATGGAGAAGAAGAATTCGAGCTCTCCATAGACCCGAACAAACACAAATGCAGAGCACAGCATCACTACTCCAAATATAGTGATCCAAATTGCGCTGTTGAGCTCGGACCAAAATTGCACAAGGATAGCCGAAGCGACAAGCTCAGAGGGAATGGAAACAAGGTAGGAATATACCAAATTGTATCCATTGGCGAAAGCCAATGCAGGGTCAACAAAATATTCAGAATAGCGGACTACTCCACCGTTCAGAGGGACCAGTGTGCCCATCTCACCAATCGCAAGAGTCACAGTACCGGCTACACAGCCCATAATCAAGTATCCTAGAAACGCACCTAGGGGGCCGGAGTGAGCAATCGCTCGACCGGAACTGAGAAAGAGACCCGTTCCTATAGTACCAGCTAGAGCAATCATCTGAATATGTCGCTGGTGAAGGCCCTGCCGCACATTCGAAACCTCTTCAAACTGCCCTGTAGATTCATCGGCCAACATGACAGGTGGTTCATTGCCATGTATGACAGACTTAGGCTGTTTTTCCAAATCGTGGATGGCATCCTTCGAACCGTCTTGATCAAAATAACCATTATTTGTAGACATACTGCTCAATTAGAATACTTTCTCCCCCTCGCTTTCCTGCAAAAGGGGAGACTAGGTTGTTGGAGATGTTGAAGCCTGGATATGAAGGAAAGCATGAGATGGACCTGCGACCAGGGACAGTTTAGCTTTTGTTTATAGACATAGAGCGGACATACGGAGTAGGATAAGTCGGCGTCCATCTGACCGTGATACCCCTGACTTGCCATGCCGTGTTATCGGCAGAGCTAGCCAATGCGGATAAGACAGTAATGGGATTTGCAAGCGAAGATAACCTTCAGATTGATGCTAACGTCGGGAGCGGGGAAAGACGCGGATCGAAAAATTGATGGAGACGTGGCTAGAGATACACGGTAGCAACTACCCAATTAAGTGACATGTATATCCCGGAAACAAAAGGCTACTGAATAATACTGAAGATTAGCATTTCTGGGTTGTCCAAAATAGCAAAGCTCGAGTCCATGGAAAGTGGGGAGCCGGAATTCACTCCGTTAGATAAGGCGGGGATTGCATGTTATGACCCCACAGGCTCGGAGTTACTATTGAGTGTGAAATAAAATTGCAACAAGACTATACCTGTCTATTCGCTGGACCACATCAGTCACTTTCAACCTAGAATGTCCCCTCCCGAATCATCATTCTTTGCACCCTCAAGTCTCTCTTTCGTTGTTTGGAATACTCTTGGAACGCCTGTATCTACGAACTTCTCGCCATTCCGTATCATTTTGGCAATCCCCAGAGCAGACAAGAATACCAAAGGCATTCCATGGCCATTGAAGCCCGCAATGACATATTCATTCTCTTGGCCAGGCAGAACACCGATATGTGGGTTGGAGTCCCAGCTGTAGCCCATGATCCCGGTCCAAATCTTGTCCACTCTAGCACCGCTATTTTCCCAGCCATAAAACATTCGCTGCATGTACCCATCAAAATGGTCCTTGACTTCTTGGATGAGAACAGAATCATCCACGTTGTTATACCACTGATCTAGAAACGGGCGATATTTTGAGTTGGCTCCCCCAACAACAATACTACCGTCGGCGCGAGGGATGAGGTATGAAATAACATGATCTTCTTCACGCACTATGTAGGAGTTGTTGAGATGTGGAACTTTTGTGCCTCGTGGGGCTGAAATATGAGTACACAGTCCTTTGCAGGGGACGATGGCTTGGCTGTACTGCGGAAGAAGGCTCGAGATATAGGCGTTGTTCGCATACACGACTTTCTTCGTGATTATCACGCCTCGTGGTGTTGAAATGAGGAAGTCTCCCGACGGTCGCCGGGTCACAGATGTCACCGGAGTGTGGGTTTGGAGGTTGATTCGGCCGGTTTCCAGAATTGACTTCGTTAGGTGGAGAATAAGTTTGTACGGCCACAGAGTTGCTGAGGTAAATGAAGCGCATGCCTTGGCTCCCTTGACTCCTGATATACCCTCCGCATTCTTGCCGAGTACGAAGAAGACATCCTTCATATAATCCAGATCACGGGAGGCAAGCGTGTCATACATCGCCTTAGCTTTAACCGCAGCCTCTTCCTCGCACCAGACATCAATTGACCTTGTGAGTGTAAAGTCGCAATCAATCTTTTCTTTTTCAACCAGAGACTTGATGGCATATATGTGGGCGATTTCAAATTGCGGTACTTCCAATGCGAGCTCATGACCTACTCGGCTGATGAGCTTGGACATGGGTGTGTACATATCGGGCCGCAGATGGCCACCATTGCGTCCCGTAGCACCCGAACAGACCCCACGAGCCTCTAATATCGTAATAGACAGATCATTGTCGCTTAATTCCCCCTTTGTCAAATGGTAAGCTGTGCTGATACCAGCGTATCCAGCCCCTATAATGACGACATCGCTCGACGCTGGAAGTTCTTCTGTCGTCCTATGATCATGTAGCTCATGGATTTCTTGATGCCAGAATGGCACAGTGGAGTTTTCAACAGGCAGACGGCCTGGATTATTTGATGAAGACATGACCAGAAGACTGTGGTCGGTTACAAGTCTTCAGCATGGGTAAATTCCAAAATGTCGATGAGCTAGGATGTCGAATGACCTAGTTTGTCGAGGTCAAAGCCTGGTTTAGCGGCGATGTAACTCTGAGTCGTGCTCAATGCAGACAATTCGCTCAGAAACATTAATTTATTACCTAGAGTCTACTTGTTCGGGACGATTATTGATTGTGATCGTTATCAACTCCGCAACTCCGGTGGTCCTTAGCCTAACAGCCCGGCCCCACTCCGAACCCCCCCCCCCGGGAACTCCGAAAGCACTCCGGAAAGTCGTCACAGGTGAAAATAAGGCATTCGGCATAAAGAAAGCCAATACAAGTCAAATTATTGCATCATTGGAGGATGCGAATTGGAGGATGCGACTCTTGAGTAGGGTCTGTGCCAAATGGCAAAGGTGACAGAAGCCTACAACCACTATTCAATATACTAGCTTGTACCAAAGCAGCAAAGAAAGCCGCTTTAACTTCTGTTGCAGTAAGGCCAAGCCAATCCTCCAGAATCATATCAAAAGAGACGGGTTGCTCTGCTCGAGCCAGTCACCTTGCGTCCAGTCGACAGTATTCAGCCAGTCCATATCATTGATGGCGGTCAATTCAGGGTTGAGATCTTGCTGGATGTCAGTCGCCGTAAGATTTTCTGAATTTTCGTTTCCCAGATTGTGATTCTGTATGCCATACTGCCTTTGACAACTGATTTGAATATGTGAGTGCTGTGCTTGCCCAGCACCTAGGGAGCTAAGAGCACCTAGCACTGTATCGATGATTCTTTGGAGAACTTCCCTGAATTTTTTACTTAGGGATGAATTGTTGTCCGTAGGCCTTATCCAGTCGAGTAAGGATTTAAACATAACGAGATTTTGGACGACCTTGGACCGGGGAAAGTTGAACGGGCTCGTTGACAGTGTGTGGGGATGAAGGCATAGTTGGGGGAGGTTGGGCTAGGTTAGTCGCCCGAAGGAGCTCCAGGCATAAGATTCCGGCACAGGGCATGCCGTATGATACAGCCTAACATAGAATTAGCTTGAAGATATCTTTTCCATGTAAATGAATATTCAAAGGCTTACAATCCAGTCGAAAGCATGGTGAAACTCCGGTAGTTGATCCCGCTTAAGCCAGAGAGTCAGAATAACAGACATTGTCTCTTGCGCAACATCGAATAAATCTTGACCGCCACAAAATTGTCGTGAAACAAGAAGGCGTTGTAACAGAAATTGACATTGCAATACATCGAGATGAATGCGAGTAGTAATGTAGATGTCGTGAGCACTTCGCCCATGTGGGTACAACATTGATTTCAGGGACCAGTCAGAGTCACCGTGATACTGAATATGTGGAGGATACGAAATCACTATTTTTTCTAATTTGAAGATGAGATCCCTATCCAAAATAAGGTTAGTAACTGAAATTTGCAAAATCTTAAATCCATATCAACTCACTCGACTTGGGATTTGGTAAATTGTATGCCCACACTCAGTGAAAGTTCCAGAATGCCCTCTCGAATGGGACTTAGCATCGCAAGCGCTCGAAGCCAGCTAGCTGTGAAGATATTCCCATCACGGTTCCAGCCATTCGAATCAAGTTTGGCAACAGCCGCTGCCAGTCGCTCTCGACCACCATAAATATCTTCTTCTGATAGATCGAGCGGAAGTGGACATTTACAATAACGGGAAATCAGCATGGGCGGCCGAGCATTAAAAAGGCTGTGGCATTTGTCGTAGTAGTACATAGATGAGGCGACTGATGCTCGGTGTTGCGAGAATGGTGTTACTTCCTTGAGCGGGCCCAGACGGTGTAATCCTGCAGTTATGAAAGCACTGCGAACAGTGCCAAAGTCGACCAGTATACGATCGCCTATGCCAAGGTGAGCTTTTAATCTGACTCCGTGCGGATAATTTGGTCTGACCAATATGCGACTTACTCTCGTCACTGATAATGATGCTTTGCAGACGGCTACTATTCTTCATGCAAATGACCAGGAGATCACTGATTTCAAGATTCTCCTGGCAAAGCTTCAAACATGCCGCAGTGCACTCTCTCATATTTTCTGCAGCTGTGTTGCGATTTCGCCCATGCTGTTCAGGTAGATCAAAAACTGGATCCCATTCTTGTCTGTGTCGGAAAGCCATTCCAGCCCAGCTGAAGATAATCCCAATCATTTCCCATCTCAAGTACGGTCCACTAAACCAATTCATCCAACCAGAAGGTTCAAAACTGCCGTCACTATCATTTTCCGAGATAGGATTAAGTTTTTTGTCATTTATGAGGAGATCGTTCGCCATTCTCAACACGGATTCATGCGTTCGACGACCTTCCAGATCCCTACCATATTCGATCCATATTTGGTCCAAACACTGTTTGATCATAGTTGGAGATACCCAGGGGTCATAAATATTATGAATGCTTGTCAATAACATATCACATGTACGAGCTGTAGGGAAGTTAAGAAGCGTCCTGACGGCCAACTCGAGGCGAGGCGAAGTGACATTAGGCTCATGTTCTAGCATCTCATTGGAGCTCGTGGCATCGAGAATCACTGGGCCAAAGCTGTCTTTATTTTCTAAAAAGACAGCAGAGAACCGTGTTGTCTCATTATGTCCCATTTCCTTCCGGAAGAGCGTATTCCGTTTCGATGTATTTGATGCATGGGAACGAGCGACTAGACCCGAACTCGCAGCGGAGCCAGGATCTGCAACAGAGGGAGAGGGTTCTGCACCTACTTGAGGTTCAACACGCATTTGTGTGTCGCTGGGGGTATTGAAAATAGCTTCTATGTTTGTAGCTCGAACAGCGTCGAAACTTGATGTTGTCGGAGAGGTCGGCGGGCGGCGTTTGGTCATAGGAGCTGGGTGATAGACGCAAGTCAGGCTGCGCAAGACACAGCGCGCGCACTTCGGACTGGAATGATCACAGCGAACTTTGGCCTTGCGACATGGTTCGCAGGCCTGCGGTTGGCCATTATGGCGTCTTCGGGGCCCTGTAAGCATTCTGTCCTACCACACCGTTCGCAGAGGGCGTTCTGATCGTGCGCGACTCGAGATTCCATCGAAGTCTGTCATGCCTTCCCCATGACTCGATCAAGAAACCCGGGACCTGTTGATCCACAGTGATAAAAGACGATGCTTTCAAGGGAGGTGCAGATTAATGATTGTTTATTGGGTGCTATGGTAGCCTGAGATAACCAACATATCTGTTTGTATGACCCGGACTGAAATATACACAGCGTAGTTTAGAGCCGATAAAGGCGGCAGATACGAACCGCCCAAGACCCGCCGCGAGATACCAATAGCGATATGAGATCACAAGAGTAATGTATACCTCCATGTATAATTATGTGTGTCCATCGAGCTACCTCCACAGTAGTTAAAGAGAGACATAGGAGTATGAGCGATGTGTTTTATCTGTTGGTATTAACGCAGTTACATAAAAATAGTTTCCTCAGTAATAACTTCACCCCTTTGTCAATGCTAAGATAGGGCGTTTCTAGTAGTTAGACATCTTGATCTTCTCAATTTACTTTAGATTATGGCGATTTCCTTTTTGATGTGTCCATTCCAGTGCAAGAAATCGCTCTCCGCTCCAATTGAACATGAACCAACACGGAAGAGTTCCTGACCCCAGCCCCTAACTGACACTTCTATCGTACATGTAGCGTACGCAGATTGGTGAACACATCTCGACTCTGTGCGCCTCCTTCACGACCGATGCCCGATGATTTCATGCCCCCGAATGCAGTTCCAAGTTCCCGCACCAACCAGCAGTTTACCCACACCAAGCCGGCATCAATCCGCTCTCCCACACGTCGCATCCGCGATATATCCTTGGTCAAGAGGATGCTGGCTAAGCCATTCGGATTGTCGTTAGCCAGTTCAATCGCTTCTTCTTCCGTGTGAAAGGAAGAAATGGTCACAGAGGGGCCAAATATTTCTTCCCGTATGACGCAGCTATCAGCTTGTAAGTTGCTAAGCACGGTCGGACTGATCCAATAGCCCTTTGATGGATTCTCCTCAGGGACTTCGCCTGTCAGAAATATTGCACCTTCTTTCTGCGCTTGTTGCAGATAAAACCGGACTTTTTTATAATGCTCTCGTGACACAACGGGTCCAATTGTTTCTCCAAGTCGATAGTGTTTCTGGACATACTTCACGAAGGCAGATTGAAATTGCTCGTAGATGTCGTGGTGTACATAGATCCGAGAACCACAGAGACAGATCTGTCCGCTGTTTTCAAACGCTGCCTGGGCGGCTAGAGGAACTGCTTGCTCGAGGTCAACGTCGTTAAACACCAGGGTTGGATTCTTCCCCCCAAGTTCTAGCGATAAATGCTTGCCAATATCAGTCACGGTGTCTTGCCGGATCCGAATACCCGTAGCCGTTCCGCCCGTGAACGAGATGCCTCGCACGCGGGGGGATTTAACGAGCGCCGAGCCTGCACCAGGCCCATCACCAAATATAATGTTCATGACACCACCGGGAAGTTTGGCTTGCCGGAAAACTTCGCCGAGCACTGGAGGACACGTCAGCTTGCTATAATCTTTCTTCTAGGGAAAGGTCTCAACATACAGAAAGCGGTCATGCTTGTAATTTCGCTGGGCTTTGCCACAGCTGTGCATCCGAACGCGATACAGGGAGCCATTTTCCAGGTCAATAGATAGAGTGGCATATTCCAAGGGGAAATCAAAGTAAAAATTCCAATCGGTGAACGGTGCTCGTAAGTCATAGTAGATACAGGTCCATCGACAAAGCGCACTGCCCCCTCTTCATGGAGAATATATGTCGCAAAATACCTATCCACCATTCAGTATCCCGAAAGCATATCTTGAAACGATGCAGGTAAGCATGACGAAGGTAAAGGACTGACCGGAAATTCGAAATGGCGCGCTCAACTTCTACTCGAGCTCGAGACAATGTCTTCCCCTGATCAATACTCTCCCATATAGCAAATAGATCTTTTTTCTCATTTAAGATGTTTGCTATGCGTAGCAGATACTCAGACCTCTCCTGTCTCGAAGTCCGGGACCAAGATGGGAACGCCTGGGCGGCGGCATCAACTGCGCGTTCAACATCAACTGCGCTGCTGCGAGGGACACGAGCAATTTTTGTTCCGGTGCGAGGATTAAAGGATTCAATCCAGTTTTCTGGCTCTGAGTGAGGAGCGAACTCATTATTTATGAAGTTTTGCAAAATGAGGGGGCTGCTTGCTAGACTGGTTTCGTATTCATGAATCCGGTCTGCGGCATCGAGCTCCCACAGCTTCGAAATCGTGTCCATTATGGGGTACAAGATGATGTATATGTCGCATAAGCTTTGAATGTTGGAGATAAATGGGCAGTTGATTAATTCTTATTCTAGACTCCCGATCATTTTAATACTTGTATGTATGTAATGACCCCCGTAACGCCCTCGGATAGCCATCCGATTCGGCCACCGCACTTCATCTACTCCCGCGATACACAATATAGAGCTTCAATGCAAAGTGACCTAAATTTTTACAAATGCACGGTTTCATTTCATTACGATAAGACTCTTCCATATTCTCGGCTAAATTTTGTGACTGCGCATAATAGATCCTATGCTTTGTGAAACATGTCGTGCAAGCCTAAGAACTCAATAGCGTTTCCTGCAAGCATCCGTGCCCTTTCGTCACTAGAAAATAGTTCTCTCACTCGTTTATCGCTGCACAACATCTCTCCTGGAATGGGCATTTCACCAAGTGGGAATGGATAATCGCTTCCCATTATAATTTTCTCCGGCCCAATTTTCTTGCAGATAAGTTGCAGCAGGTCAGGGTCATGAACTAAACTGTCAATCCAAATGTTATGTTGCTGAGATTCGAGATAACTTTTCGGGGACACCCCTTGAGAACTATGAGCAACAAGATCAGGCCTGCAATCATAGCCGTGCTGAATGCGGCCGAGAAGAGGCAAATATGCACCCCCAGCATGGGCAAAACACAACCGAAGTTTCGGGTGTCGTACCAGCACGCCTGACGAGAGTATGCCATGGATTGCAAGAGCCGTCTCACTGGGCCTTGATTAACGATACGAGTTAGTAACTCATTCTTTCCAAATATCTTCAAGGATCACATACATTCCAATCAGCCATGCAGACCAGTAATTACTCCATCGACTCTTGTTCTCCCGCTCGAGTTCATATCCCAGAGGATGGACGAAAATGGGCATATCAAGTTCTTCACAGGCAGCCCAGAAGGGTTCAAACTCTGGATTATCGAGGGAACGCCCGTTTATCTCGGTTCCGATTTCAACACCTTTCAAACCCAGATCGTTCTTAGCACGATGGAGTTCGGCCACTGAGCACGCTACATCCTGCAATGGAACAGTAGCTAACCCAACAAACCGGCGTGGATTATCTCGACAAACTGAGGCGATGTGGTCATTCAAGTACCGGGCTGATGCAGAGGCTGGCTTAACAGGCTTGTCGTAGCAGAACAAAATGGGTACCGTGCTCAGTACTTGAACATTCACACCAGTTGCATCCATTTCATTGATACGAACTGCCGGGTCGAAACAGTTCGCCTCCACGGTCCTAAAGAACTTTTCACCCACGTACATGTCGACTTGGGTGGAGGCTGCAGCACCTTGTCCATTATGTAGGTGACTCGAAGTCGAACGTGGTCTGAGATTTGTCCAATCTCCCCCGTTCTCCTCCGGTGATCCATGGGACTTTGAGAAATCCGGTAGACATGGCGGCATGATATGGGTGTGCATGTCAATTCGAAAGTGCGATCCTAGGCCACTTTGGCCATCAAAATTGTATGTTTGTTTATCAGGAACACAATCGCAACAGCTTGAAGTGAAAGTCATCCTTGTTTGATCTTTGAAGGGTATGGTCCAAAAAGCGATGGTTTGTTAAAATAGTGTAGATCAGGTCGAATTCTCGTCGATGTAGATAGAGCCAAACTTCATTCACCAATACCTTTGATTTGATTTTATTTTCGAATGATTCGGTGGCAATACTTATTTCTAGTCTTTGAAATTAATTACAATGATACTTTTACCGCGTAGTACTATCTCGGATCTATCCGGCGGTTCAATCGGACGACGCTGCGGGGCGGATAGACCCGTTCCATGCCAAGACCACATACTTCGAAGCGAGATGCGGTATATACCAGCATTGAAGGTGCGGGGAACGTGGGTTGAGACCCGAGATTGCCATCTGAAGGTATCTGTATATTAACATTTCCTTCCAGTGAGTTCTCTGTATGAGATTCTAGTATACAATACAATCCTTCTATCTTTATTCCTGGAGATACAATCATGAACGGCCAAACTGCAACTCCAATGTCTATTCCGGGGCCTATTGCCCTATCGTCTTGGCTGGATGCCAATTCGGAGAAGCTGCAGCCCCCGGTAAATAACATGTGTTTATATTCCGGCAAGGATTTCATACTCATGGCGGTTGGGGGCCCCAACACCAGAAATGATTATCACAGTACGTTGTCATTAGAGAGAAAAAGATACACTTGAGTTCTGCTGACACAAGAGATGAAAACAAGTTAATGAAACGGAGGTAGAACTACAACGGTTGCAATATTTTGAAGTTATATGTATGCCAGCTAACAGACTGTATCTTCTCAGGAGTGGTTCTATCAAATCAAAGGAGACATGAACTTAAAGATCATAGAGAACAATGACTTCCGTGATGTTGTGATTCGAGAAGGGGAAACTTTTCTTCTGCCAGGTGATTCGCACCACCTCCAGTCAATATCTTCCATTCCCATCAATAATCTGGCTCACCATTCTGCTGACTAGCCAATACTCCACATTCTCCAAGGCGAGTGAAAGACACTGTTGGCCTTGTGATGGAACACGTTCGGCCTCCGCAAATGATCGACCGTATCAGATGGTACTGTGAGAACAAAGACGCCCATAAAGACTCCCCGGTAATTATTCGGGAAGAATCGTTCTACTGTCAAGATATTGAGACACAGCTGAAGGAAGTGATTGAGAATTGGATGAATAATGAAGAAAATCGTAAATGTGGTGTCTGTGGACAGATTGCACCAGCACATTGAGGTCAAAGCCCTGTACATACAAAGATGATAAAATACTATCGCATACACAACATTGAGATAACGTCATATTAATAGAAATCATTAACATCGCACCTCCAATCGCTAAAGAAGTTCGAAGAAAAGTCCTCTGACACGGACTGTCGAGGTGAGATATCTGGAAGGATATCTCCAGTGGTGATCAAATGATCCAGCATCGGAAAATCGCTCCCATCTGGTAATATTGGCAACATGTCCAATGCGAGTGGAATCTCGGAACTTGTAGGAGCCTGTGAAGGGGTTGGTATCAACTTTCGTCGTTTAGAACTACCTTCGAGAGACTCATGATCTCTGCCTTGCTTGCGTGATTTCGAAGGTTGTTCTGGATGTGCCATACACAATCTCCGATTATCCAATATATCAGTCTTATGCTGTGTGTTGGTGTGTTCCATTGACTCTAGGAAGCCCCCTTGATCTCGTCTTTGACCTGTGCGATCCTGATGAATAATCTCACGGTCTTCAGGTCGTACCAGCACGCAGCCTGTTTGACCATAGCGATTGAATGTTCTATAGAACATGTCATGCTTATTCAGATCATTTTGCGTCATATACATGTCCTCTTCCGTGAGTAGCTGGTATTTCTTGATCTCGGGCCATTGGATCTTGATCTCTCGCAGCATATTGAGGCCATCTTCCACGTCAGGCCAGGCCCGATTAGTAAAACTTGAGTTCCGTGCCAATCGCATACAATGTAAAAGGACCTTCGCGCTCGCATATATTGCACGGCTTTGCTGAATGACAAAATGACTGGCAGGCACGGTGGCAATGACTTGCGGCGTGAGTTTAATACATTTTGATGCGGCTTCAGCGCATCGGAGGAAGGCTTCCGGTTCTGCAATATTGAACCTCTCAATGAAGGTTCGGTAGAGTAGCACAACACCAATATAGTAGGAGGAAATTGCGACTGTCTGTAATGCGACGGGTCCCACTTGTTGGTGGGAAGCTGCAATCCTAGGCAGGACTTGTTTCGTATAGTACTTTTCCAGCTCTGCATCATGTCGTTTGACATATGAGCGGAGGGTATCTTTCGACTTGGTTTTCTGGGAGGGTTGAAATTTGCGAATCCATCGCACCGACCTATATATGCGGCCCATTGTTATATGGAAGTCTGCAATTACCGAAAACCATGGATCTGTTCGAGTTTCTAGAATAGGCTGCAAGTGATCTTCGTCATCGCAGGATTCGATATCACTTTCGGCATCATCGATTGCCAGAGGCTTGAGAAGGGCTGTTGATAAGGAGCGATCCAGGATATATAAGCACCACCAGAGGTTGCTATGTGAATTTCCAATATCGCCAATCTGATGGAGTGTGCTGGCTTCATCTTCGACATCCAAGCCTTGATATAAGCGAATTGCGTGGCCAGCAGTCACCCAGGCATCATTTACCTTCCCAACCTCGATGAGATACAGGCTCAACAAGCCTTGAGAGGCAACCGCGTTGATCGCAGCATTTTTGTTACATTGATACGGTTTGTATGCGCTGATCGATATAGCATGGCGGTAGAGCAAGTCTCCTAGGTCGACTCGTCGATAAACTCGCAGGTCTGATCGCTCGAATGCCACATGGTCTTCTGGAATCACCGATGCTGCCACGGCGAGAAGCGCATACAGAAGCAACGGGAATTCACTGTTATCATGGTCGGCGTAGTTGAGTTCACCACCTTGGCGAGTCGACAACCATCGGTCATACTGCCGTCGAAAGTTATGACAACTGACAACCGGAAATATCGGATAGATAGAATGGTAGAAATGGTCGATGAGAACTTCCATCAAAGATTCCGACATTTGTGTCACGTCGATAGTGTCAGCTCTATTGGGCTCGGTATTTTGATTGTTTAAACTCAACGGATCCAGTAGCGGCAAAGGGCTTTCACCGACTGGGGGAGAATAAGGTGCTGCTGGCAGTGATGGCAGCTCTGGCGTCTGGACTGCTGCATCACTGAAAGGTCCTGGTGCTGGCATGGATCTAGTGGTCGGATCGGGTGGAGCACTCTCGTCGGGAGCGGCAGCCGACTCATGCCTGTGAGTGTAACGAGGAGCATTCTGGCCATTCTGGCCATTCGGGTCATTTTGATCGTGGCTGCTTTCTACGATGCAATTTATTTCCGGCTGTGTAGGTGCGACGCCATTTTCTCTGTTGTTGAGATCAAGCGCCTGTTGTTTCAATCGCTTTTCCATGAGCGAGATGCGGTTCTCGAGTTTCAATACGTATCTGGCACAAAGAATAAGCTCTCTTTTCTGGGATCTTGAAGACACAGTCGTGACAGGCGCGAAACTCACTGGGGATCTACCATTCTTCCATTACCATGCGGTTCGACATAGACGCATTCTGCTTTGTTGCGGCTGCAACTCTGACACGGGTGCTCTCCGTCGCATTTGATCTTCCGGCGACGACATGCCTGACATGCCCGCCACACTCGTTGCCGCTCGTACATGGCGCAGCAGGAGGTTCCTGACAGCCTCGGAGCAGATGGAAGATGTCGCGGAGGACAGAGGACAGGACGCCGTCCAGCGCGGTTGGGCGGTCGGATAAACCCCCGCTCTCAAGCGGAAATCATTTCTACCGACGGAAGCGTGGGGAAGAACGAGTCGCTCTCCTCGACAGACCCACTTGGAGCGCCTGGGGATAACCAGAAATCGTGGGCGCTTTCATTGGCTGCGGCTTTGAGATAAGCCATTCTACACAGTTCGGCTCTAGGATCCTGCCGCCCCAGATGTTTCGATGATAATTACTCTGATAGCAAAAGGTTGGCTTCGACAAAAGACATAAAAAGCGGTAACCATCAGAAAGCATAAAGGTCAACAACATAATATAGAACACTCGACAACACAAAAGCCAAAAGGATCAATTCGGGTCTGACCATGTCCATCACAAAAAACAACAACAGGCTTGAACAACAACATAATCAACTAGAAAATGACAATCTGCCGAATCCGGCCGCATTTGAATATTCTTCGGATTCTTGTTTGATATCTTCTTGGGGCTCTTCTTGGAGTTGTCTAATGATTGGAGACTCTCCACCAAGAACGGCCTTGTTGCGATTGGCATTAGGTATAACGGAACGAAATTTACGGCCGGTAGTAGCCACGATCATCTCTCGCTTATTATCCGGGACTTGACCGTTGAAGACCATTTCTCTCCACCAGGAACCACTGAGACGAGGCATACCAATGCCAGGGCCTGCCAAGCGGTTTGCGTCTGGCCATTCCACGATCTGGCGGTAAACCCAGCGAGTCATAGGTTTGAAGGAATCAAACTCTAACACTCTCAGCGCAAGGACGATGGTAGAGAATGGTTCAATCGAAGTCGCGCTCTCTACGAGTAGTTCCCCCATACAATAGGGTTGGGGCCGATCCGGACCAGCCACGGTCCTCAACATCTCCACGTCGTCGGCATACATGGTTGTCACAGAAGACGCAGTATCATCAATAAATTGCATCTTCACCCCAAATTTAGTGGAACTGGCGATTGCGGCTTCGTATTCAATCTACAGGCATCCCGATTAGTACATTCTTTCTTTTATATAATAATACTTCAAGAGCATACATAATGCATGTTATCCCATTCGTGAAGAGCCCTCTGTCTACCAAAATAAGCCATATGTGTCGGTCCGGGGCCATTTAACTAGGTCAGACAAAGACAATTAGCTATGACCTATGACCCATGGCTGGCCATCGGCCTCTTATTATACTTACGCCTTCAACCCAGAAGCCCGTGTGGCCGTCATTTTCACCCGCAGTCTTCCTGAAATCTTCCCAGTCAAACTTCCTTGGTCTCCCGATCTGCTCTCCTTTGGACCAGTATGTGACCATCTTTTCGGCGTGCCAGTACAGCTCGCCTGCCTTGTAGGCTTCGATGATCGCCCAGACATTCGGGAGCTGGTCATACCGGTCTCCTTTCTTCTCAAGGCCAGCTTCAATGAGCTTTAAACACTCCAGCCGCAGCTTCACATCTGAGTCATTCACGCCAGGCTCCCGAGACATGACTTCCTGACGCTTGGCTAGCATGTTCTCATATTTTGCCAGTTTCCTTTCAAAAAAGTCCGGTATGATACCAGTCGCAATACGCTCCTGGCATCTCTTGATATTGCCTTCGATGTCCCTGTTCACGGCTTGTTTAGTTTCAAGTTGACTAGACTTGCTTTCAGTTAATTCTTACTTCTCATCAAGATCATAATCATTCGGAGTCCAATTTAATTCCTCTGGCACCGCGTTGATATCCGTAATTGGGGGGTCCTGCACCGGCCAGATTCTATGTTCTGGAAGAGCTCGCTTGCTCAATTCAGACGGTTCTAGGGAGAGTCTCTTTTTCTGATTTTTGCCCTTTGCTTTGGCATTTGGCTTATGCGGACCCCACAGAGTGCTCGCTTTTGGCCCCTTGGGGGGTTGTTTATCATGAAACCACATCGGAGTTACCACTTGCTCTGCGGCCGCGGCATCCGCGGTGGGCGTTGCTGTATGGAACCTCGGTGAAGTTCTCAATTTCTTCGTGGGTGGAAACTCCACCGTCTGGGACGACATACCAGCAGCATGGAAGGATTCATACGCAAGACCATTCTCCGAGGAATTCTCAAAAATGTGGTTTCGCTTCCGTGGACCCATCTGAATGATGAGAGCTCGGGTATTTTGTGGAGTGATAAGGAACGATGTATGTTTTGAAAAGTAGAACATCATGTTGTATTGGGAATCACGGTGCATTTTATGTACAATATGGAAAAACAGTGAAAGCGACAGACATTCATTGATTCAGTCAGTCGAATCAACTTTGCCTGACTTTCTTTCACAAACTGGCCATTCGAAGAAGTGAACGAGGCCTAGGGAGGCTGACATCCTTTGCCTTCCAGTGAATTTTTGAGCCACAGAGCCCAACCTGGTGGAGCACTGAGATATCTTGGGAGTTAGCAACCAGGTCTAACAAAGAAGAAGCCCCTCTATGATGCGCAATGGGCCCGTGTGTTTCAGTCTGCCATGCTAAACTCACAGACAGCCCTGAAAAACCGGCTTCAACTTGAAATCCTGGTTTTCAGACACTTTTCTCTTTTCTTCCGGTATTCCAACTGATTCCCAAGGTGCAATGAAGGGGGGAGAGTTGGTCATGTTAGTCGCGTTGACCTCGAAGTCGGATTATGGACTATTGACTGCATAAGCAGCAATAAAGAACTACAGAACTTTAATTTGAACTGCAAGGACACCAGGCAAGGAAAGCCCATGGGATCTTGAACAAGGAATGCTGCATTGATCGCTTCAAAGTTCCACAACAGGATTCTGAGTGGACAGGTCAAAGAACATCTATCTTGAAAATAAGCAACGACAAAATGGATGTTGAGATCTTTTTTCCTTGGACCTGAATGGATCTGACAGCTTGTAGATTTCTCTCGGCGCTGAGCTTGCCACTGGATGTCACCAAGCTCGGGCAAGTAGGAAGATCTACAGGGGTGCAGATTCAATAGCGTTTTCCCTCGACCGGGATCTGAAAAAGGCAAAGAGGGAAGAGGAAGAGGGAGTAGGATAGATCTCAAAAGGTCCTGCTAAAGCCGATACACCGGGGTTACCTCCCGCAATAGGATGCTGGGCCATACAAGCCAATCACGACCACTCAGGCTTAGGCAAGGTACAGTATTTCCGGGAAACGGTGTCACCATCTACACCGTTTCATTGTTTCTCACCCCTTTTGCCAAGAATTTGTTCAATGCTTGACAAAAAGTGCGGTCCTGAGGGATCGAACTAAACCCTGAACCATTTCCACGTCGCTTCAACTAATGGGCGATGCCACAAACGAACTGCCGGACGGCTCCTACTTTCACGCCGTATTTGACTGAAAATTCCGGATGTTGATCTTTGTGAATTTACTTGAGGTCGAGACAACTTTCAAGGGCCACATCCCGGGCTTTCGAGGTATTTTCTCTGAAGATCTCACTGCTCACCGATGACTGGTGCTAGGTAACATATTTGCTGATAGCTATGTAAAGAAGCCCATGAATATCATGTCAGTTTGTTTGGGAGTTGGGTTCATGAATTCAGCAGTAGTAGCAGCCGCAGCTATGGGGATGGACGCCTGGGATTACTGAGCTGGGAGATGAAATAGAAATGGAGGATACGTCGCTCTGTAAGTAGATTTAACTGGGTTTTTTCTTCCGTCTTTCAAGCCGATGATCTTCCTCGGCATAAAGCGGTCTCGAAGGCTTTTGGAATTATCATCATAGCTCTCGATGACCCCTCCTTGCTGCATATATTTGGCGAGGGCCTTCTTTTTTCCGTAATTATAGTGCCTTTGCTCCGTCGGAGTCCTGTCCGCAATAGTCCTTTGAAGCAGGTTGTGACGCGGCGGCTCTTGGAAGTTTGACGCATAGGCAATTTTTATTACCCAATCCTATTCTCGGTATGCCTCAGCCTTCCGAGAAGCAAACACCAATATATATCTAACCCTCTCACGCCGGCTGAGACTCCTTTAATTTGCTTTTACGGTGCTTCGGCGGTGCTTCGGCCTCCCACCCTTGTACTTTCAGTCTCCCGGCCAAGTTGAATCCATGACTTGACGACTAACAGAAAAGATGGTGGATCCTATCGATGATACCTGGGGTCGCGTGACAAACTATCAAGGCCAGTGAGTCCATTCGGTCTTGTTTATCGGAGAGCTCCGATCAGGCGAACGGATCACTCGGCAGCGCGACTCGATTGACTGAAATGCGCCCAGTATAGATTCATCTCCGAGAGCAGTAAGCCCCGTCGCGATAGTTTTCTGTTTTGCTCTTTTTGGTAGAGTCCCCCAAGTGTCGCACGGCTATCCATGAATTCTGCCTGGTGCGGGCCTTCCATGACGATCAGGATCATCCACCTGCATGGACCAGGAGTTTCTCCGTGGACCAGCCGCATCCTCTGATTTTGACTGTTTCGAGAATCGAAGCAGCCAGCCTGAGGCGATGGCGTTCAATTATCGGATTATCAAATGAGGCGCCCTTGCAAGCACAACGCAAGCAACGCGACCATTTTGATCAACTAGATTCAACTAGTCTGGCCGGAATCCTGCCGCCGTCAGGCCGCTTATCTCGGCCGCTTCAAGCGCGGGCAATTTCACCCTTGAACGTCAACTTCAGCTGATAAGCTCCAGGCCCGCGATAGGCCAATGCAGACCCTCGCCACGCTAACAATGCATAATATAGTGAATCGATTGTTTTTCGCCAGCAACTCGATCTATCATCTCTTGGCTGTGCCCTGCTCCAACAGGAGCGATTGGTCGAGATTCAATGGATTCGGGCAAAAGAAAGTTGACAAGTGCTGACGTTGAAGTCTCCCGGAGCTTGCCCTAAGTCTCTCAGTCTCTCCAGTCCCTGTCCCAAACTATTGAACCAACGATGTCTCCCCTTGCGGGCTTGCGGGGAGGTGAAGATAAGCATCAGCTCGACCAGTCGGCGTTGAACACACATCGGAAGCCGTTGGACAAGCCCTAGCCATGAAACTCACTCATTCGGCTTCTCATACTTAGTCTCAAATCCACCGCCGGGGATCACAGAATATCTGTCTTTGCTCTTTGCGTAGGGACCATCCGCGCTTTCGCTCTTGCGCTCTCTTTCTCCTATAACCCCCGTCATCTCATCGTCTCTTGGTACTTGGCGCAGTGCCCTAGAAGCGCTATCATTGCCATTGCCTCTGCTGCTCAACGCGAATGATCCATTGCCCCACTATCCTACCTATCCTGCAGCCTGCTTCTCCATGAGCCATGAACCGATCATGACCCATTCCCACGACCATACCTCCGTCTGGTGGCCGGAGGACAGGATCAAGGCCACCCTCGACACCAAGTTCATTGTGAGTCGCCTGCGCCCCGAGAATGTGCCGCGGCTGTTCGACCTCCCGCGCTGGGGGGAGGGCCTCACCAGCGAGACATACATGGAATGGATTCTGCTCAAAGCCGGCCGGCTGTTCCTGATTCTTGATGTCATTGGTATTCCGGATCGCATCTTTAGCATCGTCGACGAGTCCTGGGACGACGATGACCTTCCGATTGCTGAGCCGAACATGGATCGTCTGCGTCTGTGCCCCGACGGCGAAGACCTCGCCCTTGAGAACCGGTTTTTCAACGCCCAATGGCGCTTTGTCGTCCGCGGGATTGCGGAGGGCGAGCATGTTACATATACTGGGAATGAGGGAGTGCCGGTGGAGGTCCTCCGCACCACTGCTGGCAGTGGCGTCCAAGGCCGCGACGACACGGTCGACCGAGTCATCCTCGCCGGCTCCGTCTGTCGTGTATACATGCGCACGCAGGTGCAAGTCGGCGGTGCGCCACACTTTTTCTCCTCTGCTGAAGTCCTGAACGAAATCCGCGCTCTTCGCAAACTGGCGCACCCGCACCTCGTCTCTCTCTACGGCTCCTATTTCGTGGACGACACCGTCTGCGCGCTCTTCACCGGCGCCGAGACAGACCGCACGCTGCACAGCTTTCTTGCGGACCAGCCCCAGACCTTCAAGCGTCTCTCCAAGGAGCATCGCCGGCAGATCTTGGTCACTTGGCCGCACTGCCTCGCCTCGGCCGTGTCCTGGCTACACGCGCGAGGCCAACCGCACGGCGCCATCCGGCCGTCGAATATCCTCATCGACTCCAACCACCACATCTTCCTGGGCCAATTCCAAGCCCTCGACTCACTCCTTGCACCACCTCGCGTCAATGACATTGAAGCATACAATTACGCCGCCCCGGAGCGCTGGATCCGCGCTCCAGTTCCAAACCTCCCTCCCCCCCAACCATCCCGCGTTCTCCTCCCCTCCGGCGGCCGCACTGGCCGCCGCAAGAAACCTGTCCAGCTCGCCCTACAAACCCTCAGTGAAAGCCCCCGTCGTCCCCGGATCTGCCTCTCCCACGCCCAGACTCCGCTGCCTCCAAGGGTACCGTGATCCGCATCGGACTGCCCGGCTCGCCCTCCCGCTTCTCCTTCGCCTTCTCGACCTCCTCCTCTTCCTCCTCCTCCGCCGCCTCCTCAACCACCACAACCACTCACGACACCCAACCTTCCTCCAAGCGCGTGCCCCTCTGGCCCCGACGCCCAAACACCCTCCGTGCCATGCCCTCGCTTTCCTCCTTGACCACCACGACCGCCTCCTCCTCCTCCGCCTCCTCGTCCGCCGCGTCAACCGCCCCTTCCACCGCCGCGTCAACCGCTCCCTCCTCCCTCGCGCCGCTCAAATCCCCGGCCCTCACAATCCCCCTCGCTGCAGACCTCTTCTCCCTCGCCGCCGTAACCCTCGACATCATCACGCACCTCTGCAAACGCAGTTCCACCAGCTTCACGTCCCACCGCGCCGCGCGCAACCGCTCCGCCGGCCGCGGCGGCGGCATGGCCGACGCGTCGTTCCACCTCGCGCGGAACAGCGTACAGGTGCAGTCGTGGATCGCGCTGCTGGAAGGCGACTCGCTGAAGCGGTGCCGGCGCGACCGCGGCAGCGACGCGGCGTTCTGGGCGGTGCCGCGCATGCTGATGGTGGTGCGGGCGATGCTGGGTGCGGAGCCGGAGCGGCGGCCGAGTGCGCGGCGCGTGGTGCGGTGTTTTGCGGCGGCGGTGAGGGAGCGTGGGGGGCGGGGCGGGTTGGAGCTGCATTGTGTGGAGAAGGCCAAGCCGAAGGCGAAGACGAAGAATGCATGCGAAGGGGTCGAGGAGGAGGAGGTTGTCAAGGCGAAGGGAGGGAAGAAAGAGGTGTTGGTGATGGACTCTTCGTCGGTGTCGGAGTTTGACTTTGGGTTCTCGGACGCGGGAAGTGAGAGTGAAGCGGGGGAAAGCTCGGACAGGCGGGACGAGGTTGAAGTGGCTATGGAAGAGGATGAGGAGATGCCGATTCAGGTGGATCGGGTGTCGCCGCAGTTGTCGTTGCCGGATCTCGATGTGAACATCACGGGGATTGAAGGACTGACATTCCGTGGCGAGTGAGAAGGTCCCTCGTTTACCTGCCCATGAGGGACTCGGCAGAAATCTTCTGTTTTGGTGGTTTTGATAGCGCATCGAAGCCATTGGCACCCTGTATACTTGTACAATATGGATGGAGTGATGGATCTGCACGACTGGACGAGTTATTTTAATTCTGTGATACCAGGGACTGGACTAATAATCATTTCGTTTGTTTATACATCGTGCAACTCTCGGCGACGCAACGGAACAAACAGGTAACAAAATTCCAACCTGTAGTTTAGAAGCCCCCTCCAATCGGTTAAGCAAGATAGACAAAACAAAGAGAAGAAAAAAAAAACTCCCTTCTATCCAATAGTTTCAAGGATGCATATTGATACAATACCTCGTCGTGAGGCCATGACGAACAGTGTCGTTCGAAGTTCGGATAATACAAAAAGACTCACAGCCACAATGCGACCGCTCCAATCACACCGGAGAAGAGCATGGAAATGAATAGAAGACGCTCAGTGGCGACAGAGCCAGTGACCACCACAGCGTTCGCAGCATTTTTCTTGGAGGTCGATGTGGCACTGGCGCCGGAGGCAGTACCAGAGGCAGTTGAGTCTCCCGATGCTGTCGCCTCCTCTTCCTTGTAGGTCTGTCCCAGGGTCGGAAGAGCGGAGCTTGGATCCACGGCCCATCCACCGGAAGTATAGGCCGGGCACTCAACAACGGAAATGCTACCAGTCTCTTTGCGGTACTCGGAGAGAGACACGCCAGTTGGGCTCAGCGTAGCCCACTGAGACTTGAGGTTGGAAAAGTCGGGTGAGACAGGGGTTGGTGTGCCCTTGCGAGTGTAGCCATCTTCAATGTTGGTGTTCGTGGCCGCCGCCGTCTTGGCCGATGTGCCGTAGCTGATCAGGCCGTAATCATTGGTCTCTTCAATCCACTCGTAGATGATGGCTCCGGACCAAGTGCCGGACATCTTGTCGCCAAAGATGGATGCCTGATCGTCGAACGTCCGGGGTGCCGGGGTGTTGCAGCCAGTCTCCGAGAAAAATATAGGGATATTATAATCCGACGCATTCTTCTGCAACATGTCATATCCAGAGACCGTATAGCTGGAATCGCCGCACCACTCATAGGCATTCAAAGAATAAAAGTCTAGACGCTCGGAGGCGTTGGTCGCGCAGGCAAGGTAGTTCTGTAACATGGGTCGTAGATCCGCAATATCTGCGGCCGAATAGCCGACAGGGATCTCCCGATAGCCTTTCTTATCGCGGTACGCCTTGATATCGCGAGCAGCGGCCAGAACGTAGGGTGCGGCGTGAGAGCCATTGGCGGTGGTCAAAACCTCATTGCCAACGAAGACGCCGGCGGTGTTGTCAAACTGCTGGAACTCATCCAGGACCGCCGCGAAGCGGTCCAGCTGGGTCTCATTCCAGTGAGGTGAGGTCTAGAAACCCAACGATTAGCCCTGTGGACCCTCTTGTGTTCGTTCTCTTCCGCCCTCCTCCTCCTCCTTCTTCCCCATTGGGACTCCGGGCTGCTTACCTGCTCAATCTGGGTCGTAAAGGTATCAAGATCGACGAAAAGATAGATGCCCGCATCCGCGAATGCCGTCATGCAGCCCGAATGGTCTCCGTTGGCATCGACGTGGTACACTCGGATCGCGTTGGCGCCCAACTCAGACATACGCACGATATCTCGCTTGCACTGGGCGGTATCGATAAGCGGATCGTCGGGGGTCAGCTGATAGGCGATACCTGTGGCCCGTCAGCATCTCAATCTCCATTCCGATCTCGGTCGGTGGGACCGAGGGGAGCGGGCACGATACCCTTGATGTAGTACTGGGTCCCATTCTCGAAGAAGAACTTGGACCCTACAGCCGAGATGGTCGGGACGGCGCCCACCGTCACAGCCTGCAGGCCGGCCAGCAGCAGCGGGACTGCGGAGAGCGCAAGGGAGGACAACATGATGGTGTCCGGACAGAGGGTTGGATATGAATGTAGTCGGTATTCCTGATTGTCGTAACACTCGTGTAATGTCTAATCGTGACTGGGACTGGAGAGAAGGAGATCTCGAGATGGTCCTGGCAAGAAGGAAAGAGAGGAAGCCCACGCTAGACCACGAAGGCGTCGTACGCGTGTCGGTTCAAGGGGGCAATGGTGATAAAAGGGCAAGGGCGGTGCCTCTGGTCAATTGAGAAAGAGCGACTGCAAGCACGATCCCCAGAAACACTTCATCCAGATACAACCTGAAACCCCAAAGGGACAAAACAGAAAATAAAAATGTAAAAGGAACGGGCACCGGGACGATGCAGAAAGTTGGCAGGGCCAGGCAAATTCTTGGATTGAAGACCTTGGCAAACCGGTATTCCGTAGATTGCAGGTACAGCTAGCGCGATGCCGGCTTTCATTCCGGCCCCAGTCTGCGACATACCAGGGGCAGCAGCCGAGGCGGGATCCCTTTTCCAGCATATAGAGTACGGTACGCCGTTTGTAGTAGCAGACCGAGTCTATACACAGAGCCAATTGGATTACTAGGATACTAGAACAGGATCAACGAGGATAATGGGCCGGGATCAACAAGGACCACAGTATAAACTGCGTACAGATCGCAGGACAAGCCGAAGCCAAGCCGACACAAGACATTGGACCCATTCTACGATACGATGTGTTTGATTTGGCAGCCGAGAGGGGCGGAGCCCGTTGGGGTTGTTTGGCCCCGTGCGAACACCGTTTCGAGTCTCGGCCAAGCAGGGCCCCGTCCGGGGCGCCGATTGGCTCCCGAGGGTGCAAGTTTGTTTGCCCCCGCTTGGGGAGAGCCCTAGCCCTAGTTACCATTTCGCGACAGTGATGGAATGATGGAACGATGGAATGATAAGAATGATAAGAATGATCTAATAATAACCGTATAAGAAGAGAATCATTAAACAGAATTTTTTGTGAGAGAAATTACCAACACCTCGTCCGGGCTATCGAGTTCCTAGACTCCATAGGTGGTGGTACGGCATCCGGACTCCGGGGTCTGTGTCCCGGCTGAACTGGGGAGGATGTGGGCATGAATGCTGGCATGGTCTGCAGACTGCAGACTGCAGGAAACGTGGGGATCCCGCGTATATATACAATTGGACTGGGCAGAATGGTGACGCTCCCAATATCACAACATCATCTTGGGTAGATGACAATGGTCGGCCGTATCAGGGTGGGAATTACACTACCCAAGGGTCCAGAGACAGTGGTGTCTATCGCCGGTCTGCCCATAATGTTCATATTGATGAAACCCTTCCAAGCCGGCAAGAATGCGGTGAGTGTAGAACCAGGTGGAGTGCGCTCTCGCCTTAGCGGCCGTCGATGGCGGCAGCAGCGCGCTAGAAAACTGACGGGCGATAGCGCAAAACATCATGAAGCCTGGACTGATGTCCGCGGAGGTGGCCGAGTTGCACTATGCGCCCGACTAGTCACCACTACTCCGTCCTGGCCGCGACTCGGGGCACTGTGGTATGGACAGAGTACCTCACTACATCTACTCCGGACTGGCTATGGAGAATCCCAATGTGCAAAATGGGAAACCCCGACCGAACGATGCCAGCAATGCATGACGAGGCCCCTCCCTTTGCTGCTCCACGGATCGGAATGGAGGACAAGCGCCCACATGGTTTAACCAACTAGGTCGTCCCCCCCCTTTCCCCATCGACTACGGGCCGTAGTATGTCCAATATGGACGGAGTACGGGGCCTAGAATTATAGAACGATCAAACTATCTATAACCGTCAAATTTGAGACATCTACAACAATGCACGTAAAGCTTCCAACTGACTTTGTGCAAGCCTCCTGAATCGCGAGACAAAAGAGTGAACAGGTCGATCCTGGTCTCTCCATCCCGTCTCAACTGCCATCCCTCATCTCCTCCGATCGGGAAGAAAGAAACCCGGTTAGTCTTTTGCTCGATTGGGCGATGGAACCCTCCAGTCGACCCGCTTCCTCCAGACGGGAACGATCTGCTCCCCTTTCCCAGGGACCTCGAGGCTTTCATTTTTTGGTAAACTTTCATTTTTTGGTCTTCATCACAGCAGCGGTCAGATCTCTGGAAGCCCCAAAAGCTTCAAGACCCCCACCACGGTGTTGGGAGGTGCATATCGGCCACGGTCTAGCTTGTTGGGCCCGGGGGTCTTGGGCCGCGATGGGCTGCCGATCGGGAGGGGCTTGCAATCGTGCCCGTATCAGAGTGATCAGGGTCATCAAAGTAGCGAGGATCGGAGACACCTGGACCAACCCGGTCATCTCCGGTGGTGACGGTGGTGACGGTGACTTTGGCGACGATGGTGAAAACGGTGGTGACGGGAACGGGGCGAGAGAAAGAACCAGATAAGGACTTTTATGGACGACGTTGCACGCCGCAATCTTTCTCCTATCAACCCCCGAGACACTGAACCGGCAACAACGAACGACGAACAACAAGCACTCTCAGACCTCCAGACCTAAGTATAGCCTGGAACCTCTCCTTTGAGATCCTGACCTGCAATCAGGGCCAGTGCCACGGCGAGAGAGGAACAGTCCAGACTGTGGCAGACTCTGATGGACCCTCCACTAATCTCCACCCATTCCGACCTAGCCCGCCAATCATCACCGGCACTGGCGTTGTGTTCGTCAGCAGTGGATCCGGGTCCATTGCGATCGACTGCGTCTACCCTGGACGCTGGCCCGTTCCAGAGGCGAAAGGCCCTGCTACGATCTGCACCCCCAACCTGTTGTCCCCATGACGTTTCCGCAAAGGGGGAAGGGAAGGTCCCCTTATAATCCAAGTCCAGGCCGCATCCGGCGTCCGGGATCTCCCCCACACACAAAAAAGGAGACGGAGAGCTTCGCCTCGTTTATATTGAACCGTCCCCCCCCCCCCCCCCCCTTTACCCCCTGATCAAAGAACCTCTCGAATACTCATGGTCGCAGTCGGGCCGACATGGTGCTCTAATCTAGTTCGCCACTTCCAATTCACTGCGCCATCATCTCCCAAGCCTGCATATCTATAGCGATCGATAAACAACAACCAATCGACCATGTCTACCTATGAAACCACCTCCCCTTTTCGGGTCTCCTATCATGATCAGCTCCAGCTGGAGCGAAATGAGGCCTTTCGCGCCATGCGCGAACAACTTCGCCGTCAGGATTGCGGCATGGATGGCCACAGCTTCTGCGCAACCCATCGACACTCGTGCTCCGCCGCCGACCAGGAATCCTTCCGCCTCCACCGAGATATCATCCACACTCTCCTCGTCCCTCTCTTCCTGATCAACCACCAAGCGGAGCGTGTCGCCTCCAGGGCCTTACCCAGCAAAAAGGGCGCGGAGCCAGAACGGGCCTTTAGGGGCGAGGCCCGAAGTGCCTTTGCCTGGCTCCACTGCATCCTCACCGAGGAACACGACTGGTACCTAACGGCCCGCTGTCCCGCCTGCATCGTCCTTCACGTTCTCCATTCCGAGCCCACCATCCGGTTTGTTACCGTCGCCGCCCAGCTGGCGGGCCCGCGCTCCGGCTTCGACTGCTGGCTCGCCGCGCTTGAGACCGCCGTGCGTGAAGACCCGTTCTGGGGCGATGCTTTCTGGCCCGATATCGAGGATCGCGCAGCCCGTCTGACTGATGGGGTCCAGCAGCTGGTGCGCCAGTGCCACGAGATGCGCGTCACTCTCGACAGCTCGGCCTGTGCGACCCCGGCCCTCGCCAAGGTGGCAACTCCCGTCTGCGAACGGTCTACAGGGACCTGCACGATCGCGCTCAAGCCATCAAGCTTTGCCCGCAAGCAGGTCCGACTAAGTCGCGAGGAGCAGCGATATCGCTCCTCCCTGGTGTGGAACTCGTGGAATAATTGCTCCCGGGAGCTTCGCCAGCCGCTGGGCGGCAGCACTCCGACTCAAGCGCGTCGCCGCTCGATGACCTCCTGATGACTCCAGTTCAAAGGTGAAGCTGAGATGGTCCATATATTATGAGTGACCATATATCTTTCCAAACTCCCACTTTGGCTTCGCATGGTTGACGTCGCCTCCACAATGACCCTCACAGCACCTTTCGAACAGGTGCACATCTAGTTCATGTTAGTGGTCTTTCTACTGGAAGAAGATGGGCCGGCATGTCGAGTGAACCGGAGACCGGCAGTACCAGGGAGAGGAGCGGGGCAATTATCGCAGATGTTATTTTTGTCTCGATTTTCGACACATGGCATCAAACGCCCTCCCGTTGCCCTGCATCCCTCCACCTCCCCGCCCCCCTCCCACCCCCTTACCGACCGAACCGCCCCCCTGCGACCGAGCGATGCCTCGCCACGCAAGGACCGGGTAGCCATACATCCCACCTCCCCACGGCGTCCCACAGCCCAGACTGGCATGTTAAAGAGTGGACGTCGGGAAACCGTTGGAACGCATGGACCAGGGCGGCATGCCATTGTTGCACAGCACTCGTCTTAGAGACCGTCCAGACCGTTGCCAACCGGCGACCGGCGAATGGAGGGGCGGCCCATCGATGAAACCAGTGCAAGTCTCCTCGGTGCAGTCTGCCTCGGCGGATCGCCCTCTTGATGACGATAACTCATTTTAACCTATCGTGTCACGCGATGATTTCTAATTCTAATTATAATGCCAAAATCTTACTCAAGTTGACTCCCAACTGGCTCTTGTTTCTTGTATCGAGATCCCGCGATCCCGTCTATCCCGATTCCGTAGGTGCACTATATGCTGTCCTCCACGCACAGGAAACATGCTGTAGACTCCCATGACTGTGCAACCCTGAGGTCGCACATAGGTACCTGGGAGGTAACTTCCATGTCCCCTCCCCTCATACCTACGTAGACGCCTGTTCCGACTAGCAAGTCCTAAGCCGCCCCGATTGCCACCTAAGGCCCAGATCCTGATCCCCGCTTTCAATCTATCGAGCCATATCCCCGTATACCCGATCGTATGCCGGAGACGCCTGCGTAGGAGCTGACACGTTTCCTGTCTGGCGTAGGGAGAGGGGAGGGGAAGCGTGGCAAGCACTTAACCTGAGACCCCCTCCCCCCTCCTCGGTGGAGTTCCCACGAGCGAACCAGATCGGGGCCAACGGCGGAAATTGAACCGGGCCAACGGGCCCTGGTGTCGCAGCCCATCTAGGGTGGGCCATGTCTGTCATTTCTGTGAGCCTGGTCGGTTTTGATCCGGGCGATCGGAGGGGCAGGGTCTAGGGTATTGGGCGATTCGGAATGCTATGTGAGGGATCATGCTGGTCCGATGCGAACGTCTCGACATCTCGACGGTACATGACGGGGGGGGACAATCTACTCTGGTGGACATCGGTGGTGCTAGGTTGCTGTGCCTTACCGACAAATCAGAGCACCGGGTCATGTTTGCTAATTTGTTAATCTCAATGGGATATGCAGGCGTAATCAACGGGAAGAAACAGTCAGGCCGGGTTGTTGGGTGGGTTAGGGGGAGTTTTGCACATTCAATTTTCAGTTGAATTATGGATTGTGAATTTTTGAATTATTCGTTGGTGCTCTATATTTGAAAAATAATAATCATAATATTGAAATCTAGGGTCGCATTACATTGCTAGTCATTTTCCAAGCAAAGTCGTAAAATGGGGTTGGACGGTATAGATTTGGATTGACCAGTTGACCCAAGCCGGACCCCGGCAGTCAAAAAAAGGTCACGGTGGTTTTGGTGATACCGAATCCTCACTTGTCTGGGACAGTCTTTGTTGGGCCTCCAAATCAAAAGTTTCTCCTGGCCAAAGGAAAAGCAGGGGGGGAAAAGCAGGGAAGCGGGAGAAAGCAACGATGGGAAAACCCCCGGTGGCGACAAGTGTCCGGAAACGGAAGAGGCCATGTTCCTGTCTCGCGGTCAGTGGTACCTCTGACCCTCTCGTGGTCCTCGGGCAGTCATCCAACACAACTGCCCTTCAGGAGAGTCGCGGTCACGAGTACGTAAGCGGGTAACGGGTATTTCCCTATCTGTTAACAATGGACATCATAAGTGCTATGTCACGACTAACTCATCACTGGGATTACTGGATGGTTCCTTCTTCCTGGAATTTCGGCTCCGAGGTCAGAGTCTTCTCGGGTCCGGTACAATAATATCGTATAGATGATGGTATATATGGTACGGGATATAGGAAGGGGTGTCTGAGAGGAGACCTGCGACTTGATGACCCGAGGGTTAAACCAGGGCCAGCGTGGTCCAGCGTGGTCCAGCGTGGTCCCCAGAGGTCCCGGCGACCTATTTAATCTCAATGGTCGAATGATAGGAGCTGGGCTAAGGGACTCTGGGGGAAGATGGGTGGTTCCGGTAATTGCCAGGTCTGGAGAAAAGGCCTAAAAACCCAGGATATTCATCAACTCGATGCAGCGCAAATGATCGCCCCAGCCGCGTGGGGCGCCAGTGGGCGGGATGCACCAATGATGGGGCGCGAGCGGGGGCACACCCAACCCAAAGGCCCCCGCCAAAGCCCCAAGAGGCCTCAAGCAGCCCCCTCCGAGACCCAACGCGACCAGCCCAAGACCCGCGACCGACCCGTCTAGACTGCCGTCGCCCATGCACATTTTTAGCACGACCCTCAGCGGTAAACAACTGCAAGTCCTGCACCAGGGCCAAAGAAGAACACAACCAGGCCACAAATCCAATAGCCCCCTCTGTAAGCCCCTCGAAGTGGAATAAAAATTAAATACCCTTCAAAAAAAAAAAAAAAAAAAAAAGAAACGGGATTTATTGCATCCACCTTGCCCGATCAGTCCCAGGCTCCCAGACCCAGTGAATCGTGGATCCGATGACTCGAAGACTTGGAAGTCTAGACTCCCGCCGTCTGCCCGAGTCTGGACTCGCCCCCCGTATTTTGCTGCGGACCCGGTGTACCAAGTACTTGGTACTCTTGCGTGTCTCGCATACTCTGCCCTCGTACCCGTTACTTCGGCTCGTCCATCAGCTGTACCACCTCCCCTTACTCACGCTCTTCTTTCTTCTTCTTTTACTCAACTCTCAACTCTCCAACTCTCCTTCTTCATCCTTCTCTCAACCCATCAACCTATCGGCAACGCACAACCCAATCGACCACCCTCTCTCTCCCCCTCTCCTCCCTCCTCCCTTCCTCCTCCTCGCTCTGCTTCGCTAGATAGCTAGCTGGCACCCTTCCCATACCGTCCACGATCTTTCCTCGCTCCCTCGACCGGATAGATTGGATGCATCCTCAGCAGTGCAATGGACGGTGTGGGCCAGTCATGGGCCGTCCAGACGATTCGACCATGTCCCCGATTGCTTCCCCTCTGAAAATTGAGACCACTCGACGTTTGTCCAACCAGTCTTTGCCCGACCGATCTCCCGACAGTCCCAGCCCAGCCAAACTCCGTCGACGAGCCTCACAAGGATCTCTGCGAACCAAGCCTTCTCCTGTCTCCCGCTTTCTCTCCAAGGGCAGCGTGGCCGTCAACTTCCCGTCTTGGGAACTCCGCGGCTTCTCACCAGGCTCGCCGCTTCGGGTGGAGTCGCGCACCCGGTCTGCAGATTCTCGTCTGCGCCTGTCGACGACCGTGTCTCGCGGGCCGAGACCGTTGACGGCCCATTCGCATTCTTCTTCGTCGCCGTGGAACTCCCCGCCATCATCCTTCCAGAGCGACTACCCATCCACTCTGCCGCCGACCCCGCCGGATGACGATAACCACATTGCGTGGAACCCGCAGTCTGAGATGCTCTTGTTCGACTCACACTCACACCAGGAGCCTGGCTCCTCCGTCATGATGGATGAGGGTCCGAGAATGAATACCTCGCCTGCGACCGGACCTTCCGACACCTTGAGCAGCCCATCAGATGGCCTCTCACATGGATCGTCCAGCTCAGATGGTAGCCCAGGTCCCCATGACGAGATGGATCTTCAACAAGACGTTGGATCATGGCTGGACCATGGCATCAACGTAACGGGTATGTCAGACCTTTGTGGCCAGAAGTTATCTTCCCTCTTTTGCTTTGTTCATCTTTATTAATGGTAATCTTTGCAGTATCTTCACTCGGAATGTCGAACCCGCGAGGAGACGCCGTCAAGATTGTTTCGCAGACCCTTCCATATCCACGAACATCTGATCAATCAATTTCACTTCCACCAAATGATAGCGTCTTCTGCTCGATTGTCCAGGCTGTGCACAACCACTTACAACCTGGTCAATCGCCCTATATCAACGTCACCCATGCGGTGCCGGAACAATTCAGTCTCTCCAACCTTCCGCACTCTCCCCCTAGCACACCTCGCTCTCCAACCGCGGCGGATGATTATTTCAACGCGACCGTCTTCTCCAGTGCTGCCGTGGTGGGAGCCTACCATGATTACCGGGGGCCGCTCCAACGGCAGCTTGCCCACGCTCCTATGCCTATCGTGCCACCTCACAGCGTTCACATCTCGGTTCTTGAGCGGTATCTCCCTCCCCCTTCAGCACAAGAATACCGGGATATCTTCTGCCGCACCCGTCCATCCTTCCTAGTTGACCGACTTTGTGAACTATCCCCCGACGGAGGTTCCCTTCTTTTCATCTATCCGACCAAGAAGGGTGCATCGACCTTCAAGTCCCAATACCTTGGCCCCATCCTTGATCCTCTGCTGCGTCAGCTTGTGGTAGTTAATGGCCTCTCTGCCGATGTTGGCCGCTACCTTGGCAAACTCTCGACTGTCTCCCAAATGGATGACTTCGCCACCATGAAGGCCAACATTGTCGCTCTCTGCGAAACCCTGAGCTCTCCATCGTCCCAATTCCAAGTTGCCGATGCCGGTAAAGCGAATGCTCACCTGGATCGGAACTTGTGGGTGGAATGGTTCATCCACCAGGAAAAGGCCCGGATGAAGGAAGTCCTCAGTCTGTACTGGCAGAATGGTCGCCGTCCGCCCGTCAACAAGGCCATGTCAACTGGTGGGTCTGGTGGTCTTATGACCGATAAAGAAGTTACCTCCGCTATGTTACTCAGCGAGATATTCGACGGTATCCGCAAGCGCCCTTACGGTGATGACAGCGAGCCGCGTGACGGTGTCGAGCTTGGCGTCTTCGTGATCCGACGAACTCACTGATCAATCTCCCCATCCCTCCCTCAAAATTCTTTTGCCTTCTATCCTGTCCCACCTTGAAACCTTACCATCTTTTAACACCCTACTTTTCTTTTTTCTTCTCCCCCTCTCTGCAGCGCCAGGGCCTTGGGCTGTAATGATATCATATGGGACCGTGGCAAGCGGCCCCCGGAGTTGGTTCTCAATCCCTGTGCTTTTCTTCTCGGCCGTGATTCACGTGCCCCTGTGCATTTTGCTTTGGCTGGAAATGAACGTGAATACCCATGATGTTGGTCCTGCTTTTTTCTTTGGCGGTCAAAAACTGATGACTTGTTTTTGATTCTTGATAATGGAAATATCCATAAATACATATGACTGAATTATAAAATCCTTCTCATATCAATTCTTCAATTCTTCAAGTGTTTTCTGTTCTATTGTCTATGGCTATAAGTTGGATGGGTCCAGGAAGTAGGCTGCGTTGTAGCGCCGTAGCCTTGCGCCAGGGAACACTATGCGTCGTTCCTTGATCAACTTCTAACCTATATTGTTTTCAATCTGCAGAATTAATGTCTAGGTAACACTGGAAAAAAAGTATAAGTGCTCATAGGTATCGTCATGCATGCAGTATTCTCCCAATCAGAACAACAGGCATCTGCTTGACACCGCAAATATGCATTCATTTGATCTATTGTTTACGGCAACTATCCTCCACCAATACCCGTTTTGATTGATCAGAGATACCTGTATCAGGACGCTAGAAGAGCCAAATCACTCCATAATTGCAAGATTCTATTCTGATTCACTCCTTCCGCCCCAAATAAATGCACGGTCGTCACCAACACTAACTCGGGACCGCATCCGCCTCATACTTATTCGTCGGGTCGGGGAAATAATGTTCCGGCACCAAACCGCAATTAGAACATCGTCTGCCATTCTAACGACTGGCCCAGCTTCCTCTTCATCAAATCACTTTTTGGCTTAGGAGCCCTTTGGCGGGCTCTTACTCCCATTTGCAAGCATATATTTTCTCTGTTGCACCCTCAAATTTGATTTCGCAAGACCTTCTTTAATCCAATCCATGGCCTATTCACCAGGGCCTCCGTCCCCCGGCGCTGGGGGCGCCTATCATGGTGGGTTGACTGCTAGGCTGCGGTCAACAAGCCCTCCTGGTGCTGCCTCTGGTCCATTATCCAAGCGAGACAAACGCCGCACTGCACTTCAAGAACGATTGCATGACTTGACGGCAACTTTCTCCCAAAACCGCGACTCCCAGTTCCGTCAACAGCTTCATTCCCTACAGTGCGACATGACGCTCATCAATAATGCTGATCCCTACCAGACCGGCCCTTTGCCAGACTCGTCAGAGGAAATTGCACAGTTGATTGAGGAGACTGTTGGCGGAGGCAAGTTTGCCAAAGAGATGGCGAGCCTCTCCGGTACTTGGTATGCCAAATTTGTGCAGGAGGTCAATAATGTCAAGGAGCAAAAAGATGCGGACCTGGCACAGATCATGGTAATCCATTCGTCCCATATACTGAATGGCAAAATTAGATCGTACTGACTATTACTTGCTATAGAACCGACACCAGAACAATCTAGAGCGCCACCGCCGCGAGTATGACTTCCGCGTTCACTTCGCGAAAGAAGAATTCAACCACCTGACTGGCACACTCCGGGAGCGCTTGATGCAGAGCATCTCCAGCAAACGATCTCGTCTTATGCGCGAGAAAGAACAGCTTGACATTGCCGACACCAACGCGCTCCTTCTCCACCCCAATCAGTTCAGCATAACGAACCCGGCCAGCCCTGGTGGCATTCATGGCAACCGCAAAACCAGACATACCCGGCATCGTGTAGACCTGGACGAGCTGGGCAATGGCATTGTCTCGGAGTTGAACAAGCGTAAGCGCAAAGCGCCGGAAGAGGAGGCTGGGTCGCCCGTGCGGGATGCGGGCGGCACAACCCCGGCCGAGCGCTCGAAGGCATACCTGGAGAAGCAGACAGCCCCAACCTACTCGGTTCAGTCCTTGTTCACCGACAAGGAGCTTAGCGCACACGCCAATCAGGCTCATGTCGCTACGCAGCACTTCTTCTCGACCTCCAAGCGCGCCGACCAAGGCTCGGGTGCCATCACCAACGGCAACAACACTGACGCAGAAGAGACGCCTGATGCCACTGGCCATGAAGACAACGGCACTCCTAGTGCGACTGACATGATGCGTACTGCCAGCCAGAATTTCCATGTCACCCGCTCTACCCGCACGACCGCTGCGCACAGCGCCCTCAGTGCTCTGGCCGAGCTGGCCGACAAACCCGCCACTCGTCCCTCGCTGCCATACCACACTCTCTCCAACTACCACGCCCGACCTAATGGAAATGCCCCACCCCTCACCTCCCTAATAGCCGAGGAAGTGGACGACGACTGCGCTCGCCTTGAGCGCCTGCACAACAAGCCTCCCGGCTGGATCGACGCCACCCTGATCGAGGTCGTCGCCTCTCCTCTGCCTGTGGACCCCGTGGACGGCCACCCACCCAACCCGGACCGCTTCACTTCATTGCACCCTGACTTCCCTCCCATCGTCGGCATGCAGATGCAACCAACCCGGTCCCACCCTGGCGCCGAGATGTTCGCGCCGGTCAGCATGGAGCGCGAGCGCAGCAACAAGCGCACCCGCAACCACTGATCCCGCAATGGGAACATTAGCACACGAGACTTTTTTTTCTTCTTTATTTTTGCATGTACCTTAGGGACTGAACTGGAGAGGTGTCCGCAGTGGGGCATCAGGGCTTTTTTTCTTCTAGTATCTTTTTTTCCGTGGATGGTTAGGTTCTAGGATGCGGGCTGGCGTTGAGACGGCGCTCGGATTTTCATGTCTATTGCACTCTGCTTCTTTTTTTCTCCCCTTGTCCAGTTGGCATAATTTATAGGAACCTAAATGGTTATTTCTATCTTTGAAAGTCATTCTGATCCTCGTACATTCCGTTTCGCAATGCTCGCTCCGGGAGAGCATTTTGAGAGCGTTGAGCTTGTCGCGTGATCTTTCCATCTGGTTCTGAGCATCTGTCTACGCTTTTCCCCAAACCCTGTTCATCTCCGATGGCAGTACGCAATCTGTAGTCGGGCTTTTGCTACTGAGTCTATTTCGAACATACACATGCCTTGTCGACCTTGGACACCTGGATAATCAGGATTGCCTCGGCATGACGATACTCGCTTTGTAAGCCGGGCATAACCTCTCAGTCGCTTAACTAGTAGCCGTCTTTCGTATCTACACTTCCCAGCGACAGACACAAATTCATTGTTATTAAAAATGGGTCTCCCGAGCGCGGTTGGTCTCGGCACTGGAATAAACTTGCAAGAATGAGGTGATTCTGAAGTGAAATGGGGTCATTGTCCGTGTTGCGAAAAGGATGCACGTTAAGTGGACGAGGTTCTCCGCAATTGTCTCCGAGATGACAAATGGAAAATGGGGTCGATGACGGTTGTTGCTCACTAATTCACTTCTTGATAATCCCGTGGATTTTTGCAGGGCTCTACTAGAAGTCCCAGCAGTATATAAACGAGTTGAGTTGACGAGACGATTTTCCAGAATCCAGCATCGAGCGTCTGCGCATTGCTTGCATCCTGTACTCCCCGACTCCACTTCTATACTTCACTCGACTCCACCCGCATTTCTCTACATATCAGAGCATAGTCACACGATATAAACATATAAAACGTCTGACCATGTCGACTACAACCATCACCACGTCGGCTACTACCTCCACGTCTCTCTTAACAGAGATCCCGCGAGGCCCAACAACCGCCGAACTCACCTTCTACGCCCCGCCCGCGGACAACGCCGCACCATTCAACTACGTCGAAACTCCACCCCCCGGCCATCCACAACGCAATTACGGAGAAGAAACGCAACAGGTTCCTCTAAAAGATATCCGTGGCACTGAATCCGCCTTCAACCTCGACAAAGACTCCTTCCAAGCCCTTCAGCACGTCCCCTCCGCCACCACCTACACCACCTTCGACTCGGACGCGGCCATCCGCGCAACCTACTATCCCGAAGTTGAAGCCCTGCTTCTCAAACAACTCCCCGGCGCTCATAAAGTCGTCCTTTTTGACCACACCATCCGCCGCGCAAAGCCTGGCAGCCCACGCCAGCCCGTAAACCGTGCCCACGTCGACCAAACCGCTGCCGCTGCCGCCGCCCGCGTCACCTTGCACATCACCGACCCAGACGAGGCTGCCGCGCTCCTGCGTGGCCGCTACCGCATTGTAAACGTATGGCGCCCTCTCGGTGCAGAACCCGTGCAGTCCGCTCCGCTGGCGTTCGCCTCCGCAGCCTCCGTCAGCCCAGGGGACCTTGTTCCCATCCAACACCGCTATCCGCACCGCACAGGCGAGACGATGGGCGTGCGGTTCAACCCAGCTCATCAGTGGCATTATTGGTCGGGAATGACGGGGGATGAGCGGTTGTTGCTGAAGTGCTCGGACTCGAAGGGGCTGGCGGATGGGAGTGTTGCGCAGTGGGTGCCGCATTCGGCGTTTTGGGATCCACGGACGCCGGAGGGCGCAAGGCCTAGGGAGAGCATCGAAGTTCGAGCATTGGTATTTGGGTGATTGGGAGAGCTTCTATTTTAGGGGAATCAGGATTTGGTCTTAGGGGACGTTATTTCTTTTTCTCCATGGATGCATTTGTTGTTCTCAGGGATTTTGTTTTAGCGTAATATTAATTAAGATTGAGATATATTGGATTGAAAGTGTTGAAATTAGTACTCGTCTTCGGTATATTGTTAGTTTGACATCCGAGTTGAGTTGTGTTATAGGCGGTAGCTGAGGCATGTAGAGTAAGTGGACGGGCTAGCAACATCGATTTGCCGTCGTTCAAATGGGCATGAAAATAAGCGCACATTTTACTATCCTCGGATCTCAGACGGGAGCAGGGGCGTTGAGTTGCCACCGTATTGTTCCTTTTAGGAGCTCGCCGCCAGGGCTCCTTTAGGGCTATTTATATCATCATGATGAAAAGGGCCGGGGACGTGGCCACCCTTTGCAACATGCAATCACCGACATATTTTCCTCCTGCAACTATAACCGAAGCAAGCCTAATGCATTCCTTATGTACAGATTGATTCCACCTGTGTATACCTCCATCCGCATCTACACCCGTCTAATACCGCGGCCATCCCCGATGCCGGACACATCCAGCCACTCTCTCACGGCCGCAACGCCCGCCTCTGGGTCCTCCCAGAAGCCTCTATTCGGCGGCAATATTGCGCCTCCTCTGCGTACCTTCACAGACGCAGCTGCCGCCCCGGCCTCCCACGTTCGGCTCTTACCCGCCGTCAAGCACGATCACCGCGAGCTCGAGGCACACAGCCACAAGATCCTCACTTCCACCAACCCGGACGAGCAGACCCGTTACCAGAACCAATTTACCTGGGAATTGGCCCGCCACGCCGTGGGCGAAGAACTCGTCGTCTATCCCGCCCTCGCCAAGCACGTTCCGGACGGCCACGCCCTCGCTGCCAAGAACCGCCTTCAGCACCAAGACGTCAAGCAGCAACTCAAGAACTTCCAGGGGCTGCCGTCCACGGATCCGCGTTTCATACCCACCCTCAAAGCCCTGATGGATGATCTGGAACGCCATATCCAGCAGGAAGAGGGCGAGGACCTGGTGAAGTTAGAGGACGCGCTCTCGCAGGCGGACAGCGAGGCATTAGTGCGCTCGTTAGATCGGACGAAAATGTTTGTGCCGTCTAGAGCGCATCCACTCGCACCGATGACGCCGCCTTTTGATACTGCTGTCGGACTGCTGACCGCGCCAGTTGATATGGTGGCGGATATCTTCCGGAAGTGGCCCCATCCTGGGGAGCTGGAAAGTCGGAAGGGGAAGTTAGCGGCTGCTCGATAAGTGTCTGCAGCTAAATGGGCTCCTATTATACTTTTCATGATGAATAATGTATTTGAAGTAGTCTTTGGGGCTTCCGGATGGTATATCTACCTCACCATTTTTCACATGGTCTCAAGGTAGTGATCAGGATACAACTGATGTACTACAGGAACTACATATTGACTCTGTCAGCAGACCTTTGAATTGCTATATAGATTGAACAGGGCCTATGCATTATGAGAAATCGTTGTTCGTCTTGACAGAATAAAATCTATCTTCAGGCCCTCTCGTCACTTTCATTCCTTATCCCTGGCAGGCAAGCGCGGTCGTCTCCGTCGTCGTCAGTGCAGGAGCTACATACCCGTACCGATGTAATCGTCGCAACTTATTAAACCTATTATTGCCACTAGCAGTTGTCGGACTATCATCTTGTTTCAGATGCGGCGCGGTCTCAACAGACCGTTGCCGCTTCCAGGCCTTACGGAACTGACATCGTTCCTCTTCCTGCTGCCTCATCCGCATCATCATGAACCCTTCATGGGCTTCTTTCTCTTCACTCAAGGCTTGGATCTTGGTTAGATGAACAATCACATTAGAACCAGTTTTTTTTCTTTCGTGTTGTAGCTATAGTCATGCTGCCTTTGCAAATTTACCTTACTTGGACCCCGGGAAACTGAATAAAAGAGAACGTACATAAGCGAGCCATAACTCCTGCTCTGAGCTCCACGCTTTCTGGCATCTTGCTAGTTGTTTTTCTGCCATTAAAAGCTCCTTTTCCTGCTTGCTCGTCCACCGACATCGACTTCGGACAATACTAGACCAGCTCACAGCCCTGGCAAGATGGGGTCGCGCAAGGGGTTTGCTAGCCTCCGATTGATTCTGGACTTCGTACCCCGGGTCTGAGTCCGACTCCGTTTCAGATGATGTATCTGGAGGTAGTTGCGAACTCGTGGTTGGGTCAGAGCTTTGCTTCACCGCTATATGCAGGCTGTCGGAGACGTCACAATGCAGCGTTGTGCCGGACATTTCGGCATGTTTGCCGGCGGTTCTGGCCTCATGGTCTTCTGAGTCACGGGTTGAGCTGTCGGGATCTGTCTCTATTTCTCTTTCTTTCCCTTTGCCTGTTGAGTTTCGTCGTTTCCAGGGGAGTGAGACGGGGAGGGCACGTTGGACTATAGTAAAGACAGACATGGGAACACCGTGTGGACATGGATGCCGCGTGGGGTCTAGTATTAGGGGAAAATAAACGCTGATCTTGCATTTACGACTCTTTTTTTAATGGACTCCGGGCGTTCTTATAGTGTCGTCTGCGGCACTCGCGGGTTGTACTTTAGTTGCCGCCCAGACCGACAACCCTAGGAAACGAAAACGAGCGTGCAGGACAAACTCACACGAGAGTGGGGGATCGATCAGATACGTCTTTTGCTTGGCTGGCCACGCGAGAGACACGAGTCCTCCGAACCTTTCTGGTTGGTGGAGCTGGTCACGCCTGCAGCTTTGGTCGAGACTCCAACCAGAACCCGGTGCGGACGTTGTGCGAAGGTACCTCAATAGAGAAAGGGGTCGTACATGCGTTCGTCTAAATACCAAGCTATACAAATCGCAGCAATGAGCCCTCTATACGAGGATAACCTACTACTAGGGTTGTTTCTGAATGGTCGAATGCTTCGCAGCGTGTGCTTGAAAATTGTATGTTGTGTATCAGATGGTCTCCAGCTTGCGGCAATCTGTATACATCCATTCGCCACCTTCCAGGTTCAATCATCGGGAAAACAAGGAAGCCCAATGCACAGGGCATCCGGCGTGCGTGGCTAGACCTTTTGGTAAGGTTCTGTTATCGAAGTACCGGATTTTACATCTATGCCCAAAAGCTTTTTGGGGGATCCTTTCGCTTTCAATTGTATAGCGCTGGGTTAGAACTATGTTTATGTACAAACACGCTAGAAGAGCAAAGTCGCGATGCAAGAAACACAAGATCAGAAATCCAGACACAAGACAGCTTATACTCCCACAAACCGAATCCAAGAACCGTGAGGATATCATAAAATAAACAGGCAAAGAAGAAAACCCAGCCCTATAGACCAAACGTCTCGACTCCATCATACCTGCCCAACCGTCCAAGTATACGCCAAAAGACAAATCAGATCAAAGGTAATTTTAACATTGCAATCATCGCCAGGTATCAACAGACACCCCTCGGGCCGACTTAGCCTTTCGCTCCTCTCGGATCTGCTCACCAATGATGATGCTGATCAACCTTCGGTGCAGGTCAGCTTCAGACCATTTGACCTGCCCTCTTCCACCGTACTGGATGTCGGCGCGTGAGAGGTCATGCACAAAGCGATCAATAATAGCAAATTGCACTTCGGTGATGGGTACCCCGTGATGGCCGTCCGAGGTCCAAATCCAATCACCGATGATTTCGGCGCGCCCTGGCGCGTCATGGTAAGAGAAGCGCTCTGGAAATCGCTTTGCCATTTGGTAGATGCGCCGAAGAGCCTTGTAATGTTCGTCGGAGAAATAACCAAAGGCCGCAAGCGGCCTGGATTTTGTAGGGTTGCCACCGTAATTTGTGTCAACCAAGTCGACGGCGATATTGTCGCCAGTGTCCACGTCCACCACAAGGTCATCCCCCACTGAGTCATATTCGGGAATATAATCTTCCACAGCTTGTGGGGCTTCATCTTCTACAATATCACGAAAATCACTTCTCCCAGCAAAGTGTACGTCATCTGGCTCTTCCCCAGACCCTTTTGCCAAGTGGAATGAGTGGGATCCTTTTAGTTGTGGAGGACTAGCAGACTCCTCCAGGAATTTTAAGGGCGATTCACTCGAACGATCCGAAGGTGCATGCTCAAGGACTTGATGGATATCTCTCGCAGATTCGACGCTAGCGAGTTCCTCTTGATCCTCCTGGTCATCCTGGTCTGTCTCCACTCCGCTTTCGGAGGTGACACTTGAACTATCATCTTGGTGCCCAGCGGGGGCTTTCAGCCACCTAGGAGTGAGACTAGTGATTTTCTGGAACCATGTTGAGGCAGGGGCCCCCCGTCGGAGTGACGTGGGAGTTCGGGAGTCGCAGCTGCAGAATGCGTGGGAGGAAACTCGGTCTGGTGAGCCATGTCAGAGACACTTTCGATATCTTCGGCCTCTTCCACAACAGCCTCTTGGGAAGATGGCTTGTGCGCGATTGCAGGAGAATGGAACTGTGCTTCTGGTCTTATTTCTGGGCTTGATTGAGAAATAGGCTGTAGACGAACGCGTTTTACCTCCTTCCGCGTGGACCCAGATTTCATGGCAGTCCCATTGATTGACGGAGAGGCGGCACTAGATCGATAGCTGAGAATACCCCGTGGGGTATTTGTGCCGTTGTAATAGCGAGCACGGTTGGGTGTGTCTTCTTCCGCGAGGACAGCAGATAGGTCAACCTCTTCATCGCGCAATTTTCGTATGTGTGTTGTTTCCAAGTAGTCGCCATGTTCCATGTTCACGTAAGCTGGTGATGAACTCAAGTTATCTCCTTTCGCAGAAAGGCTGGCGATTCTTTTCCAAGGACTGATAGACTCTTGCAAAGGAGCGTGCGCTTGAGGATCTGAATGTTGCGAGAGATAACTGTGGTCCCGGGCCTCTTGTTGCCATATATCAAACCCATCTTCGTCATCCAATACTCTTTCTTCCGGTTCCTTTTCTAAGTCTTGTGCATCGGGTAACAGCACCTCGCGCACAGCTTCAGGTTCGGCATATTGAGGCTCTTCCCGCCAAATATCTACGGATTCATTGTCGTCGTGCTCGTCTAGCATCTCCAGTTCCTCGTGGCCTGCCTGAGTCCTGATAGACCGTGGTTCAAGTCCTAGATTTGACTTCAGATCTGCGGGCAGCTCGTCAATGAATTCCTCGTCAGTTGGCATTTCCTCAAATGGCTTGTCATCGTATCGCTGCTCCTCGAGTGGCTCTTCATCGAACGGTTCAGTGTCGGAAGGCACCACCTCGGCAGCAGATTCAACGTCGGACGCGGATTGATCATGAAATTCATCATTGAGTTGAAGTCCCTCATCGCGCACCGCATCATCACTGTCAATGAGAACGACTTTTTGCGAATTCGTAGGATCCCGAGCCTGCCGGCTTATGGCCTCTCGCTCAATCTGCCATTCTTCCTCTCGTTGCGCCCGTAATGAATTCAACTGTGCAGGATTTTCTTGCGCGAGTTGAGGCGAGCGATCGATAAAATGAACTTCTTCGCGGTCATCCCATTCTTCATTTTCCATTTGATCACTGTATGCATCATGGTCTCCAAACGGTGCATCTTCAGTCTCCAGCGCCTCTACTTCCACATCACCATCTTCTTCGGGTAAAGGTTCCTGAGGAGAAGGTGCAGCAGGAAGTTCTGGGAAAGATATGTGAGCGGGGCTTTGTTTATTTGCAATTTCAGGCTGTAATTGTGCGTTTGAATCATTTTGTAGCGCAAACGATGGTTTTTGAGCCACAGGACTGGGTTTCGCTGAGCTTTGGCGGCTATCGCTTCGAAGGTCGTTGATTGTTCCAGGCAATTGGCGTTTTAAACGATCGCCAATGCGTCCATTTTCTCGTCCCTTGGAGGAACCATCTGTAGTGACTTTGGCGCTCGAGCCCAATCCATATTGCTTAGCCGATGGAAGAGTGTCCAAAGAGACCATTGTGAACCCCTCGCTTTCCATGATTGAATCGAACTCCTCATGTTCGTCGTTTGGGTCGGCCAGCGGCTCAATCAGTGGGTCCTGACCATCTGTCGTCCGGAAGCGACGTGAATGTGCTTCCCTTGTCTGGTTTTCTTCCTCGGCCAACGAAGAAGTCGGGGTAGGAGTAGGGGTAAGTACGCTGCGATCTGGCGCTGCCACTATCCCGGGACGATCGGGCAGACGATCCTAGTCTTTCTCGAGTGGGCGACGGCATTTTGGAAGGTGTGGAATGTATGTTCTCGTCATTGTCTTGGAAATGATGCTCGGTGGCTCCAATAACGGGTGTATCGTAGCTTGTTCTGCCATATTCATGAGTCGTGTTGGTCTCCCAAGTCTCTGGGCGTGCTGGCGTTGGCGCACGGAGATTCGCGACCGGCAAATCGTCTGCGCCAAGAGAGTCGCTGTCTAACCCTCCTTCATCTATGGCAAGGTTGATCGGGCTCCATTGACGACCCTGACCTACGCCAACGTCGGCAGTGAGGTCCATCGGACTAAAATGTGACATAGGCTCCTCCGCCACAGGCGTTGGCTCATCCTCAACCACAGAAATCTCCTGCGTATTCGGCTTCGGGGTTCCTTTTCGCGGTCGCCCGCGTCCCCTTTTCGCTGGAGTAGTACCCATCTGCCCTGGCGTGTTGCCGGGACTGCCAGGCCAAGGCGATCCATTTTGTGCTTGTGTGTCCGATTTTCTGGGGCGACCACGTCTTTTCGCAGGCGTCTTTTCCATCAACGGACTTCTTTCATCTTTTAATGGAATCTTTGTTGTGATAGTCGAGGGTCGTCGCCGCTTGCGCGAGGGGCTGACTTGGTTTTCCTCATCTTGCGTCGCCTCAAGCGTTACTCGGATGCGCCATGGGCTAACGTTGCCCTCTTGCTGGACCTTCTCTGGCGAGAGCGACCTTTGACGGCCATTAAGTTTCATCGTCGGCGAGCCGGGGAGCAGGATATCGTCGAAGCGGATCGAGTGCGCGCTCTTCCCGGGACTGAGGCTCACGCGCGGGCGCTTCGCCGGAGTCTGTTGGCGCTTCACAGTGGCAGGAGATAGCCAGCTTTGCCGGCCAGCGAACGGTTTTATAGGGGACGAAATGAGGTAGTCGACATCGCCTGGCGGGCCCAGGATATCGGGAGAGGAGCTCTGGCTGCGCGACGTGATTGACATGGCGGGCTGTTCGATGGAATCTCAGCACGAGTGCCGCTAGGGGGGCGGAGAGGGTGAGCCCCGTGGAATGCGCTGAAAGTAAAGAGCACAGTAGGCAGGGAATATGTACACGAGACAACAAAAACACGGCGGGGCAAAGGCATAAACAAGTCTCCCGAAGCGGCACGAGAGTCGATCGGTGACGGTGATATGCTTAGGTAATCGTGTCCCAAAAAGGCGAGTTGGAGCTTGTGACGATGAGAGTTTTAAGCTTGTTGGGGAAGTTTGTTTAGGTTATGGTTTCAGCATTTAGACCGTGAGGCTTTTAAAACATTTCATCTCTCTAGAACCCCCCCAGAGGTGAATTATCGGAGTCTTCTATGGAAATCGACGGCCATGTCATCCCCGCGACTTGTTTCTTGTTTATCCCCAATTTATAGCTCATCCTCCACTGTCTCCACCACAGGCACCCGGTCTAATTCGTATCCACAAAAACGCGCCACCTCGCGCACACATTCGCAAACCATCTGGACATCTTCTTTAGAGACTCCTAGTCGCCGGGTACCTCTGACATGCCAGTATGTCATCCGTGGGAGATTTTGTGCCATCACTGCGGGAAGAACAACCAGCTCGGTTTCGATATCACCCAGTTCCTGGCGATCAGACAGATGGAGCCCATAAGCAACTTCGCTGACGATGAATCCAAAGTCGCGGTGTCTCTTGAAGAGATCAAAAAGAGCTTCGGTATTTTGGGCATATATCTTTTGCAGCCAGCTCATGCCACGCTCGTGGTTTTTATGGTCGCATTGCCATCCTTCCCGGCTGAAGGACGTGTCCATTTCATTCTCCGGCTCTACCCTGCTGATAGCAATTATAGCCTCTGCGGGTTTGGGGATCCCTAGCAGTGCGATATCTTTGATAATAACCTCGCGAAGGCGTCGGATTAGGACCATGCGTGCACTGGCTGTTGTATACGCTGGCTGGCTGACCAGATATAGGTATAATTGATCAGCCAACTGAGGCTCGGAGGTCGCTGTAAGGGCGCTGAGTGCTGTGAGGTACCATTTATCAGTGGGAATGTTTGATGAGTGAAATTTCGATTCGATTTTCCGGAAGAGTTCATCGCAGTGCGGCTGGACAGAAGCGCGATCAACCCGACTCGATGTCATGATATGAAGCGGTGCTATTTTTTTGGATTGTTCTTCTTGCTCTTCGCCCATTAACCTTGGAAGATACCTGTCATGATGAAATACGATGGAAGGAACAATAGTTTTTGACCCGTCTACCAATGACGCATTATTGAAGTGACTCGGTTCAGCAGGTGGCAATCCACGGGTTTCAACCCCTCTCGCAGAGCCAAATTCAATCCATTGGTTCGTGGCGATGATGAGTTGATTTGGATGCTATGAGACGGGCGCGCCATTATTTTATATTCGAATAATTTGGATAGCTTTAAATGCAGCACTTCAGTTCGAACCTATCTCGAATTCCGATCAAAATTGCTTGACAACAATTATACGGTGTATTAAGAGATGTATATATTTAGACTAGTTGTCCAACTTGAAGTCTTGGCTCCTAATTAAATACCCTCTCCTAGTCCAATCCATGTACGTGCAGATCGATGCACAAAGTAGAAGAAGAAGACGAAGAAGAAGAAGAAGAAGAAGAAAGATTGTCGATCATGCATCTGCCTTTTGCTTCCTGAGCGAACCTGCGTCCCCCACATATTTTGAAGACATTAGTGACGTCTTGGCGGATGCTTTTCAAGTCGGCGCCTATGCCGAGCAAGCGTGCAGGGACTGGAAATTCTAGTAACCTGGCCGGTCCATTTCACTACTATCTTGCGACAATATTCCTGGGCTTTGAAGATTCAAGGGGCTCTACTTTTAACAATACATAGCCTCTTAGCAGCTTGCCATCAATATGACCAATGCCCAGGACCGGACCCCAAGATTACGTCCTTTTGCCACTGGCAGCTACAAAGATTGATCTCAACTCAGCGATCGGCAGAAGGCCCGCCCGCACTATAGCTCTAACTTCCTTTCATCTTACCTTCGGGCAGGGATACAACCACATGGGCGCCTTGGCCTTTTGATTACCTTTTACCGCTAATTTCAGTGAGATTTCCAGGATTTCCCCGCACTTGCCATACAGGTACAATATTTTGTACATCTGTGATGTCTTTGAGATTTGATGCCTGGCAGCAGTTGCACCTAGCGATCATCAGTGATCGTTTATAAACATACCACCGACCATGGGATGGTCTGGAGTTTGGAAGGATTTACATAAGTTGATCAGGACGAGTAAGTATCAACTCGGAAAAAAACGTCTCTGCTGATATCAACCGAGGAAATTGTGAACGACCGAGTGCACATACAACTAGGGGTTCCGGAAAGGAGCAGTTAATTGTCCGTCGACCGGTGGCCCCGAAAAGGGTATACTCCGGTCAGAAGTCGGACGCCCTACCCTCATCGGGCCATTCAATCGCAAACGAGGGTATGGCCTCGCTTATTGAACACAGAATCTATTAGGAGTCTACTAGGATAGAATGAAGTATTCCCCCTATCAACCATCATCCAGGCTGCCGTCGAGTCTTTGGGCGTACGGGGAGGGGCAAAACAAAGCAACGAGAGATGTCGTATTTGGTTGTTCTTGCCTGCAGGAGGACGTCTGTGGCAGTCAATAAACCCTAAGAGGAATCCAACGACCAGGATCCGACCCAATAACCTAATAACCGACAGGATAAGAATCCAATGAATAAACGACTCATGGTCATTCACTGACTACAACTCAGGCTGGCTGTGAGCTGACTAACTGATCGGCGAAGTTCGCCCAAGTGGAAATGTCCAAGTCTTCCCCTTCATTTCTGCGCGACAACATTCCATCCTCCCCACCGGAGTTTTGCCTTCCGCTTGGATCTCATACCCACTTTAGGTGCCCAGAACGGTGGTCGAGGTAACATTTTATCCGTGGCCTCGCACGGGAAGCACGCCTCTCAGAGCTTGTCTGGAGCCCACCGGGCGTTAGCGGGCCCTCGACTGGGCTTTAGCTGGTCCGCGCACTTGCACCACCGTGACTCCTGCACGACTCCTGCGCGTTCTCCGCTCTTTCACAGCCGCACACTTCATCTGCACCGGGCTCGGATCTTTCCCCTCATCCATCCCAACCTCCACCCCTGCCAGACCAGGCCAATTGCGAGCAGGAATCCCCTCACGCCACTGCTTTCGGATAATTCGTGATCTATCGACCCTTACCCCGGTTTCCCAGCCGTGGCCCCGCCCCCTAGCGTCCAGCCATGCGGAGGTAGGTTAGCCTTGGACGTCGATGTTTACTGGGATCGGAAAGGAGCTTCAAACCCCATAAAATGCCCAGCCTGCCCCTCGGCTGCCCTCGCCCATTCCTGAGCCTGTGCCCGACGCGTGTTACGTCTCGATTGCTAGTTGTTTTCTGCGCCCTCTTCCTTTCAGTCACCCTACTTCTAGGAATCAGGATGCACTTTAAATCATACGTGACGGCTGCCCTGTATGGGCTGCCTGCTCTCGCGCAAGCGGCCCCATCCCCATCCTCGGGATCTGGATCGGCTGCTTCGTCCTCAACCTCCAATGATCCTCACTTTCAAACCTACACAATCCAGGCGGAGAATATCACAGCCAAGCTCATCCCCTACGGCGCGCGTCTGACCTCATTGCTGGTGCCGGACCGTAATGGCAACGTACAAGATGTTGTCGTGGGTTACGATGACCCCCATTACTATCTCCAAGACAGCGAGACCAATCGCACCTTTTTTGGTGCGACAGTCGGCCGCTATGCCAATCGCATTAAAAACGGGACCTTTACCATTGATGGCCACACCTACCACATTCCTGAGAATGAGCATGGTGGCCTGGACACCCTCCACGGTGGCCCTGTGGGCTATGACATGCGCAATTGGACCGTCACTTCTCACAGCTCTTCCTCTATCACGTTCACATTACTGGACCAAGGCTTGGAGAATTTCCCTGGCGACGTGATCTCTCATGCAACCTTCAGCGTCTCCACCGAGAAGTCGGCTGAGAACCCCAAGGGCCTGCCACAGCTAACCACCAAGCTTGTATCGCTGGCCTTGACCAAGAAGACTCCCATCATGCTGGCCAATCACATCTACTGGAACCTGAACGCTTTTAAGAACCCTACCATCTTAGACGATACCTACCTGCAGCTGCCCATTTCACAAAGGTTTATTGCAGGTGACGGCATTTTAATTCCCACTGGTGAGATTCTGGACGTTGACACCGCCTATGATGCTGCTCTGGACTTTACCGAGCCTAAGCTCGTCGGCCAGGATATTAATAAGACCGCCGGCCTTTGTGGCACTGGATGCACCGGTTACGATACGTGCTGGCTCCTAGACCGCCCTGCTGCCTACGCCGCCCAGGACTCAATTGTCCCCTCTGTGCGTCTGGCATCTGATAAGACGGGTATCACTCTAGATGTTGCCACAAACCAGGCTGCCATCCAGATCTACACCTGCAATGGTCAGAACGGCACCATCGCGACCAAGGAGTCGCAGGCCAAACGTAACAAGGCCGAGGATGGCAACGCTGGTGCCACTCACGTCAACAAATACGGCTGCATTGTGGTGGAGACTGAAGACTGGATTGACGGTATCAACCAGCCCCAATGGGGTCGCCGGCCCCACCAGATCTTTGGTCCCGATGATGGCCCTGTCAACAACATGGCCACCTATCAGTTCGGTACCTTTTAAGAGCGATTAGAGTTGGATCTCAGTGCTCAATACACTCTCTAAATCGTCGAAATCATAATTAGTCTCTAATCTCTTATTTGGTCTGTCAATAGGTCACTCTACTGAAGCCTTCTTGGCTCATGTATATACTAAGGCGCACATGGTCTTGCTATGCAAGTCTGGCCAGCCTATACTTTTAGTAATTTGACATTGATTAAATCAACCGCCGTGCAGATACAATAGCCGTACAAAAATCTACAGCTTTGACAGTATATTAAGTCCCGTTTCTCCAGTCCCTTTGATAATCTCCTCTTCCCAATAATTGGGGTTGAAAGTGATTCGGTTCAATGGATTCAATCGATGAGCTCTATTGTAGAGATCTTCGTATACTCGACCATCATACCGTCCAAGGGCACTATGAACAAATCAGCTCACTTAAACTTGACTCATCAGAGCTAGGCCTTTATCTGTCTTACCTATCTAACAAGTAGTCTGGAATCATCCACGAATCAACCAATTTGACAGCATGAGGTCGCACCTGCGCCATCAATTCCTGGACTCGAGGTGGAAGGAGATCAAGGTCAGACTGGGAGACGGCATTGTAACGCAAGACTTTTTTGTTCAGTATCAACTCCAAAATTTGAGTAGTCAGATCGAAGGGTGTCGCTCAAAATATTGACTCACATTCGTAGCCGTCATTTTCCATGGTATAAAAAGCGAATAGCCGATATAGGTCCCACAACACGGCCTTCACGGGATCCGAAAGCGTGTTATCGGCAGACAGGGCCTCAAAGAAACTCCGAACCAAGATAGACTGGGATTGAGCTAGATTGATAAATCAGTTTTATTGACGAGATCAATGAAAGATTCTCTCCAAGGTGACCTTTGCTTAGCTTGTGAAGTTGAATAAGAAGACTATTCCAATTTCGCTTTTTCAAGACACGCTGCTGATAAACATCATATGCCTATTGGCTGTCAGCCGCAAATAATTAGCTTCATCCAAAGCCAATCTTAACTTACAAGTGCGGTCGCGCGAAGTTCAAAACTTTTGACGATGTCTTGATCGTTTGCCAAAGGATTATACGCGGTGTGAGTTTGACTGGACCTTTTGCTTCGGACGAACTCTTTGAACCGAGCATCGGTTTCATCTACACCCGGTGTATCTGGCGATTGTACTGCAGATGTCATCTTCTTGATAAGATATGCTGCAACTTGCTGTGTAATCATCCAATTGTCGCCCTCGACTGTAGGCTTGGAGAGATAGTCATTATTCAGTTGAATCAGACCGCTCCCACCGCCAAATCCGTGTCCGCCTAATGCACGTCTGCAAGTCTCAATACCATCGGCAGCAAGCATTGTGCATAAGCTCTTCAAACCGGATGACATGCTGTGCATATGGGCCAAGGAACGGAAGTCACCTCGTTCAACGTCTTTCCGTGTGTCTTGATACACACTACGCATAGCCATACCGGTATAATGGAGTGCAAATGTTGTAGCTAGCAATGGGAGTATGCGAATTCGTACGGTGGGATAGTCCAGAACTGACATCTCTGGCCCGTTTTTATCTCCGTCTCGATCGTGAAATTGGCGCCTGATCGCAGTATATCGAACAGCAACTGTAACTGCTCGTGCAAGAACTAGCCTGGCATGGTGGACAATATTTGCTCGAACATAAGTCAGAGATCCATATACTAAAGCCGGCTGTTCTGGCTTGGTATAACTGCCAGTTTGAGGATCGACGCTGGAGTACCGAGACAACAGCGCAGAATGAGGGATTCTAGCCACCGTCAAAAAGCTATCTCAAGGCGCCTTGGGAAGGGTTGTTACCGGAAATTGTTAAAGAGCATATAGCCATTATCCATGGTGATGTATCCGTACTTCGGACCAATGTCTCCTATGACCACACCGTCTCGAGGCAAGTGCGTCTTCATATCGCGCACTTGAACAATGAACGCATGAGGACCATGTGGTACGTATTCGCCTGGCGATTCAGACTTGGGGAGAAGTAACTGGGCAACAACTATCGCATGGTTTGCAACTCGACCTAGACTTCCATTCCACCATTTACTTGCCGTCAACGTTGGGCTGTGCAGAACAAATTCTTTTGCATGGCCATCCCAACGGGCCTGGAGCTCCAAACCACGCACATTGCTACCATGTCCAAGTTCTGTCTGGGCGTATGCCCCGATTATTTTCCATGACTCAATCAGAGGCATCCAAAATTCACGCTGCTCTTTGCTTGCCTGCTCTCGGATCGTAGTAATAAACATTTCCATGTGTAGGAAGTATGGAGAGACGTCATCGACTAAATATTCAGCCATCTTATAGTCATCGTAGTTCCATTGGTATTTATCGGCCATACGACGCAACAATTTCGCGCGCGCCAGTCCTAGCTTGAATCGTTTCGGCCGCGACAGGTTCTGCTGTTTCTCTTTTGAGAAGAGCGGCTCCTTGAGCAAAATGGACAAAATGCGAGCCTGGCGCTCTAGAAATCCATCTGAGGATAATAAATAATGACTCAATTCATCAACAGAGACATTCGACTGCTCACGTTCACGAGTAATGGTTACAGAACCATCTGGTTGGCTCGGGCGGAGCTTATCAGTGAAGTCTGGCATATTGATTGTTCGGTTCAAAAAAGAATAAACTGATTGAGAAAGCTTCTCATTTCCATTGATCAGCAAAAGCTTCTTTGATAAACCCATCGCTCCTCATCATGTTTACCAAGGCTCATAGCTGTGTCGGCCGCAAAAATCGCCGAGTGCCGATTGCCGGCCGGCAGTTCTGTTGCGGGGAAGATCGTGGGGAAGTAGCCGACTTGGCGATCAATACACATAAGGAGATCAAAGCGGAGGAATTCCGATAGATTTACTATATTACCATATTTAGCCTTCTGAAAGGCGTTGTCAACTAGGAAAAATACCCTCTCTTGCTTCATCACCTGGCCAGGAGGGCGGCGATTGATCTTTGATAACACCCAGCCGCAATGGGTGACCGAACTCTTTTCGTACCCTCACATGTGGGACGCAATGTGCTTCCTAATCTTCCTTTCTTTAACAAATTGTTACGATATGCTCAGCGTAAGCCGCCCCGCATAGCAGTACGCGACGTGAACGCTGGTATGGAAAAGACATATGAAGATGTTCTGCTAGATGCACTATCTCTTCGCACTGAGATTGAAAACACGCTCAGTCGCGAGACTCTTCATGATCTATCTGAAGACAAAGAAGTGTATATTGGGCTTCTAGCACCTGGTGGATATGAGTATACCGTTGGGTTCGTCGCAATTATTGCGATGGGTGCTGCAGTTGTTCCTATGGGTGAGTTGTTTCCAATCGATATAGAGAGAGGTAAGCGCTGACATGTACAAGCTGCGGGGCTTCCTGTAGATGAAGCATCTTATTTCCTTCTGAAGGCACGGTGTGTTGCTCTGGTGAGCAGTTCAACAAGTGAAGTCCTAGGACGATCTATCGTACACTCCATGAGCCAGAAAAATGATTTCCATATCCCATGCATCGCCCCAATTGCATCTGTCTTCTGTGCTACATCCTTTCCAGCTGAGGAGGTAGTCATATCATCGAACAAAGTTCTTGACATCAACAATGCTAGTGCAGTCATTTTTACATCGGGCACAACCGGTCGTCCCAAGGGGGCAGTCCAGCGTCGAACGTGGCTCACAGGAAATGCCGAGACAGACGCTGATTTCTATGGCATAACTGAAAATGACGTTGTACTTCATGTTCTACCGGTTCACCATGCCTCAGGTGTTGGTCTTACTTTTTTGCCTTTTGTGATTGCTGGTGCTTGTATCGAATTTCGAAGTGGCAGCTTCAACACAGCCTGGACATGGGAGCGCTGGCGCAAGGGAGGATTGACCTTTTTCTCTGGCGTTCCCACCATATACATGCGAATGATGCGTTACTATGAAGAAAATATTGCAAACCAGTCCCCTCACGTACGTGATCTATACGTTGCTGGCGTGCGTGACATCCGTACGATGTTGTGTGGCTCGTCAGCCCTCCCTGGTCCTGTCCAGGACTTCTGGGAGAATCTAAGACAGAAACCAATTCTCACTCGGTATGGCGCTACGGAGTTTGGTGCTGTCATTAAAACAGACCTTGATTCTACAGGTACACCCCGTAATAGCGTGGGTCGTGTGGTTGAGGCTGTTTCTCTCAAGCTTGAAGATGACGGCCATCTGCTTGTGAAATGTCCTTTCATGTTCTCAAAGTATGTGATGCGTCCTTTTAAAAAATCCAGATATCAATCTCATTTTCTAACACCCTTTTCCTATAAGATACTTGCACGACGAAAAGGCAACCGCGGCAGCTCACGATAAAGATGGTTATTTCAAGTCGGGTGATATTGCTCGCCGCGAAGGCAAATATTTTTTCATCCTTGGTCGTGCATCAATCGACATAATTAAATCAGGCGGTTACAAAATATCCGCATTAGACATTGAGCGTGAGATCTTGGGCTTAGACTATGTCTCTGAAGTCATGGTCGTCGGTGTCGATGACGAAGAATATGGACAGCGGGTGGCCGCTACAGTCAGCCTCAAGACGGACCAGAACACAGCTCGCAAGAGCCTAACACTAGCTGAGTTAAGAGAAGACCTGCGAAGCAAGCTGACTGGATATAAAATGCCGACTATATTGCGAGTGATTCAGGGTGAGCTTCCCAAATCAGGAACCGGCAAGGTGCAAAAAAAGATACTAGGACCGCAATTCTTTCCACCGAATTACGAGGAGCTTCCAGATGTCCAGATCTGGAGCAAAGCAGCTAAGGCCAAATTTTAGTATCTTTAGAATCATAGGCAACATATCTTCTTTTTTTGTCATTGTGTCAGAGTATAAAATTTGAAGATAGAGCATGGGAAAACGTATAACTTGTAGGATTCGAAGTATATATAGCCCTATGATATAAAGCATGTGTTTTAAATTCTTCCACAATTTCCTTGTCCACTTTTTCAACTACTTCCTATTCGTTTGTCTAGGAATTCCTATTATCTCTTGTATTGCATGAATTCTTTTTGAAATATCGGAACGTGGTAGGCTTTGCTTAAAAAATCAAAAGCCCATAACCGGTGGTTAAAATAGTATTATATTTTAGCCTTGGCGGGAGCAGAGGTCATTCGACTATGTACATAGCTGATACGCTGAAATTTCTTGATTGCATCTCCCCAGAGCTCTTGGCGTAGAAGTGCGTATACCCTAGAAAAAAAGATTGTTAGTTCATTTTCAACAACCGAGTCTTATACTACTTACCCCATTTTCGCCTTCGGTGCCCACTTTGCCCCAAGCTCGAGGGCAGCATTGAGCATTTGCTCTGGTTCAGCAATAGCATCTACAATACCATCTTCTAAAGCTTCCTGTCCTGTCCATTTGTGTGCTTCCAGGAGCATCTTGCGCGCAACTTGAGGACGAAGTTTCAGTCTTGGAAGTGAACCAATTCCATCGAAGTGCAAACCGAGGTTCACCGGTGGCATGGAGATAAACCCCCGACGCGAGTTCATGATACGGTAATCATGTGCCAAAGCAAGGGGACAAGCGCCGCCAAATGTATGTCCAGTTAATAAGGCAATCGTAGGAAATGGGAAGTCAAGGATCGTGTGAATGAGCTGTGAATGCCTTAGAATCTTCTTCCTTCAAATTCTTCGAAAACCAGGAGATACCCACCGGGTAGAATCCATCTGTATTAGCAAAGGGATTCGTATCGGATTCATCCAGTTCCAATCCCTATTTTCAAAAATACTCAGAGCCCATCCATCGACAAGGGACTTATATCACATACAGTACACCAGAATTTGGTATCGCTACCCCGGGTAATGACAGCTCCTTCAGAATTCGAGCCTAGCAGCTTCTCAACTGTGCGATAGGCTCGAATCATCTCCTGACAGTACCAAGAATTCAAGCGATTCTCAGGAAGCTTTTGCATAGTCAAAATGAAGACATTTCCATGCCTCTCTAGCGAGAGGTTACGAAACTTCGGGATGTCCTGCATATTGATCAATCCTGCATTAGATTAGAGTATGAGATGGAGATTCTGAGAGGGCTCTATGCTTGGTTTTCAGCTTTAGGGAGGCATGTCACACAGATCTAGAGTAACCGACTGTTACGCTCCCCCGCATTCTAGAATTCCCCGAACCCCCTAACGTCGTTACCGAAATTTGCCGATTGCCGAGTACCGTATCTCACTAACATTTGACAATTATTTGTGAGAAAGTCATTGGATATATTTTTTTGATCGCTTCTAAATGATAGCGACCCCCAATTCAATCTAGGGCGCCTGCTATAACCTACGTGGAGCTAGATAGTTACGAAAACTCGCCATTGCAGTCCAAGTCCTTGAATAGCCAGTCACCCATTCCCTGATATTGATTGTGAAAAAAGTCGTCTGTGAATCCCTGCGTCATATCTCCCATGTTAAATCCCATATGTGGATCCAAAATTGTTGTCAATGGCCGATATTCATCCGCAGATGAAATCGCCTCATGGGCCTGGGATTCGGGGAATCCATCAAGTGGAACGTCCAGAGTCCCGGTCGGTAGTGAAATATCAGGGTATTTCCCACTCGATATAGAGCCCGAAGTCATAATATATGACCATGCCCACGAGATATCCGGTCCAAAGTCAGCGAAGAATGGTTGGTGTTCACGGGGCAGCGTCAACAAGGCAGTCGCGTTGCTTCTTGTAATTTGCTGTTTATCTGCGATGCTTTTCAGGGCCATCAGACTTCCTTTGGCAGATGACCAGCGTTTAGCAAGGACATCTAGAGACAAATATATTGTCTGTAAACTAACTTGGGCTTTGCCCCATAATGTTGGTACATTGTTGCAGGAGAGCAGGCCGATTCCAGCTGCCAGCAAATGGAATGTGAATATCGGCCCCAGAAACTGGATCTCATCACGAGCCAGGAAGTCTTCAAAAATTCCAGCAACAAAGGAAGATGAGAGTACCACTGCTGGCGATGGAGAGTTGCCGGGGTTAGACCGGCACATTATTGCAAGGCAAATGAAATATGGGATATGAAGCTGGCGTGCTTCAAAGCTATACTCAGATGGGATGCTTTGTGAAGCAGTCTCCCATTCTGCAGAAGCAGGAGATTGATAAAGTCGCAAGGATGCTGGAAGATCTCTTGTCCACCGGTACAAACGGTTCTCGATAGCTTGTCGCATGTGCCTTGAGAAGCTCTTGCGGCGGTAGCATTGGGTGAGATGGCCAAGAATGGAGCTGATCTCAACATATGCTATGAAAAGAGAACCGTTTGCGCTCGAATCATGAAAGTCCTCCAGGCATGGAGGTGCCAATTCGCAATCATCAATCCCAACTGCAAGAGGTCGCCCCTGCCCGGCGGAAATCAAGCAATCTCGAGCCTTGGAAAAGTCAGTGAAAACTTCTCGGGACTGACTTCTACCGTCTCACCTACAAATAAAGTCCACCAAAGCCTGCGTCTCAATGAGGCTTCTCTCTTGTTCGTGGGCTCCTTGTGCAGTCCAATCTGATGAGCTAATCCTACGCCCACATACCGCCAAAAGCCGCTGGTGTTCGTAGAAACATGCTCGGGGCCTTCTGGATTATACCAATGTAGAATACATACGGCGGCAACAACAGTCAATGGATTTTTCTCATATCCCGACCAGAACAGGGCTTTGGCACGGCGATAGAACTGATGTGTTGATGCATATGAGATGACCGCTGGAGCAGAAGTGACGCGGCTGGCCGCAACAAATATTGCCTGTAGAAGGAGCATTGAAGGCTTTTGGCTACCGCTATCTTCTAACCAATTGCGCTCTATTATTGGCATCCATGGTGCGCACCTCTCCATAAATGTATTGATCAACCCATCTCGTACTGCGCGCGGGGGTAGTTTGAAAGCACCTTGAAGCCGAAGCAATTGAAGATCATCCTCTGAAGGGCCATCTGCGTCTCCGATGGGATAAGATCGAGCCTGGTCTTCGTTGATGACTACTGTATCCTCAAAGTACCGAGATCGAGCCATGAAACTCAGGCTTCGGCTCGATGCATATGGGTTGGAAGAACGAGATCCTTCAGCTAGCCTTGACCATTCGCGTGAGACGGAGACATATGTTTCATCCTGCTCACGCTCGGTAAATTCAATCGGAGATACTTCAGCACCAGAGGTTTCTAGACACACTGGCTCGGCGGTCTTCCAGATAATATGGCGTTTCTGTCGTCTATCTTCCAGTTGTTCAATGGCAGACTCGGCCTCGCCTTCACTGGACCGGCGATGTTTTCTCTTTCGCTCTCGTTGACTGATATTTCAGTGAGCTACTACCTGCTGACTTTGTACGGGATCGCACCAATGAGCTTTTAACTCACAAGCAGGGCCATTGGTGACGTTGGCAATTCACACATGTGCTGGTGCCACCTTCAAAATTACACCGGACCTGACGAGAGTCAGTGTAAGAACGAAGCTTTCTTTTGTGAGCTCCCGAGCTACCTTTTTTTTGTTACACGCTACACACGCCTTGGGTGCGCGCAATGGCGGCGGACTAAATCTGGTCATCGTAAAATGGCATGCAAGTCTGCTCGGTCATTGAGATACAACAAGTATCCAGTGGCCGAATGTGGGTCTTTCCCCCGCCTTTTCCAGTCCGAGGCTGCCGAGGCCGAAATAAAACAAGTCAATAAGGGGTATCGATTACAATATGTTCACTATGTAGCGCAAATTACATGCATCGCATCATGCCCAGCCTGCCAGAGTCCAGCTCGACCGATCGCCAGCTCTCAGACCAGATCGACGATCGGGAACAGGATGATCCAAGTCGCGGGTTGCTCCCGCGAGTCCATGCTGGAGGAATTTCTCACGCTCGATCTCGACCATTCCACGAATCTTCAGGCTTGTCACTAGACTAGCGCCTGCCCAGGCCCCCAGAGATTCAACTTCGCGTAGAATACCGTGGACAGGAGCGGGCGTGTCCCTGTTTTGACGACGTAGCTTCTGCTCTACGAAATCAATCTCAGGCTCCTCCTGTGAAGGGTCGGGCTTGTCGTCATCGCCTGAGAATGGTTTATCACTGTTTGTCGGCTTCTCGCCGTTGATGTGAGATGAAACACGAAGGTCTTCCAATCGCCGGCGTTGTCGTTCAATGGCCTTGCCGCGGATGGCACTCCATCCATGCCGTTGAATTAACAAAGACACTTCTTTCAGAATTCGCTGTCGCAGCCCCGGAATTCGAGCTCCGCCGCCCACGAAGACGATACGTGACATGCATGTTCCACGAGAATCGGGCGGTAAAGCCAAGAGGGCATTGTAGACAAGTAGGGGAATAGGTGTTTCATCGTCATCCAATTCATGCTCTGCTAATCCTGACGCCAAGAGAATCTTTTCAACGGGTTCTGCCAAACGAGAGAATGCGATGTCGCAAAATTCTTGCTCCGGGTTGGTAGGAGATGGAATCAAGATAGTCCTTTCCAGCTCTTCTGGCTTGTTGCCTTCTTCAGACGTCGACTTGCACCACGAAAATCGGCTGACAACTTCCTCGCAGTATGCAAGGCCCACCGAAATTTGACCGTCGGTAATATCATGAGGCTCCTCGTTTGATTTCAGGGTTGTGAGGAGCCGGCCCATTTCCTGCAGGAGAGACTTCATCGCTCTTGTGCTTCGCTTTGTGACGACATCCCGGTACTCATAAATACCTGTCGCCGTGGTTTCCGCCCACCCTAGGTCCACTATGAGAGCAGACCGCAAGCCCGCGGCTGTAGCCGACATGGTCGCACTCGGGAGAAGCGTGATACTAGGAAAGCGCCAGCGACTGAACAGCGTAGAAAGCAATGACGATAGGATTGGGTGTGGCATGAGAGATGGAAGAGTCAAAACTAGGCGGGACGACCCGGCGTCCGTTAAGAGGTGTTGGTTGTAGGTTTCCCGGAACACGCGTTCAATCTTGTCTTCCACCAAGCCCAGATCGATGTTGCGGATGTCTGGCTGCCATAGTTCATAATCCTGTACCCATTCTTCAGGGGTGACAGGTTTTGGTGGTGGGCTAACCCCAGCAGCTCCCTGAATCCAGCCACGATAGTCCCCTGCTCTTCTTGATTTCTCGGGTCCAAATCCTAACACACAAGCCGGAGCACAATTTCCTTCAAATCCAGCCCGTAGCCATCGTGCGCCTATCTCAAATATGATCGCATCGTCTTCGTTTCGAAAGGAGGAGCCTGGTGATGTGGTACTGGCGAACGACGTATTGCCCGACCGAAGTTGCTGCTGGGGCGTGTGAGGTGACGAGGGCCGTGCAGATTGATTGTATCGTGAACTTGAATTTGCTGACATTGTGCGTTTGGGATCAAGTGCCGACTCTGTGATGGTTGCTATCCTATTCTCAAGTGTTGCGCGTGTTGCGGGTTGCCCCTCGTAGCAACCGGAATTTGCGACAATAAAGAACACGCTTCAGCGACTCTACAATCAAGAAGGCAGAGCCATCAGAGTCACTTGAGTTTGCAAATGAGATCTTCAGCCAGCGAGATGTGAACACTGGCCGCGATTAGGTCAATAAGCCGCGGGGCGCGAACGGGTCAAATTGTTGAAGCTCCAACAAAGGCCGCTCCATGGCCGCGGATCTACATCGGGCCGTGGTTTATTTACTCCGTCAACACTTGTGCTCTCAATCACCAACCAAGCACGTTTCCCGCATTACATGGCAGTCTCCCCCAGTTTATAAGTCACAGACCCGGTCACAACCAAACTTGGCTCGATGGGGATTCCAGGGTATGTTCAATACTTCCAGAGCCGTTTGTGCGCCAACATGTTCCTGCGGGTCTGCCGCCTAGCAACGGCCAAATGCAGGAGGAAGTTCCATTCACGCTACGGGCTTTGAACGCTGCTGATTCTTTGCATTTAGCCTCATCAATGCCATTGGCACAGGGGAACGTATATCCCTTGCCAAGTTGGCCGTGTCGCACTTAGAACGAACAGCAAGACCCATTCGCGTCGCGGTTGACATTTCGATCTGGTTGTTCCAAGTCCAAGCGAGTCGTGGAGGGAAAAACCCCGAGCTAAGAACACTATTTTATCGGCTTCTGAAACTATTAGCACTACCAATACATCCTCTCTTCGTTTACGACGGCCACCACAAGCCCCCCTTTAAGCGTGGAAAGGCCATATCAAGCCGCAGCTATGGCAATGCACCGATCATACGTCGCTCTAAGGACCTCATCGAGCGATTCCGGTTCCCCTGGCATGAGGCACCAGGTGAGGCAGAAGCCGAGTGTGCACGGTTACAACAGGCAGGTGTTGTGGACGCAGTAATGAGCAATGATGTTGATGCTTTGATGTTTGGATCAACAATGACAATAATGAATTTTTCAAAAGAGTCGGGAAGTGGCACTTCTGCTGCAACGCATGTCACTTGCTACCACATGGGGAGGTCAAAACATTTGTCAAATGTGCCTCTCGACCGGGCCGGGATGATTCTCTTTGCCATGCTCAGTGGAGGTGACTACCTTCCGTCTGGAGTGCCAAAGTGTGGTAGCAAACTGGCTGCAGAGATCGCCAAAGCCCAATTTGGTGATGATCTTTTAAAAGAACTCGGCAAGGAAGAACCTGATCTAGATGCGAGACTCACTGAGTGGCGAGAGCGGCTGCAGTACGAATTGGACGAAAATGAGAGCGGCTGGTTCAGCACAAAACACAAAGCTGTTCGCATTCCGGAAACTTTCCCCGATCGCACAATCCTCGAGTACTATGCAGAGCCAAAGGTGTCGACTGAAGATGAACTAGCCACCTTGAGAAGCCAGCTGAGGCAGGCTTGGGATCGTGAGATCGACCCTCAGGCAGTCAGGAGCTTTGTTGCCGAATATTTTGAGTGGAATTATCGCTCAGGTGCAAGAAAAGTCATTAAGCTCTTGGCAGAGCCTCTCGTCTCCTACAGACTCCGCCTCCAAAAACCGATTTTAGGTGTACTGGGCGGCTCACTGGCTCCTAGCTGCGATACGCCATGGTTTCAAAAGGTCTACCGATGTCGTACGAGTTTTGGCACAGATGGCCAGCCCGAGCTCCAAATGGATATTCTCCCCATTGATGTTGTGGGCCTTGATCTCATGGCCGAGGAGCCAAACCCCCGCTTCCTACACAGGAGATCGTATCTGTCCAAGATACGTCGCAATCTGGAGTAGAGGAGGAAGACCAAGAAGCTGTGGCTGAAACACCACAAACTCCGTCGAAAACGCGGGTCACAAAGCGATATGATCCTTACGCTATCGAAAAAGTCTGGATTTTCGAATCTGTACTCAGGCTCGGTGTTCCTGGTGTCGTCAAGAATTGGGAGGACGAACAGGCTGAAAAGGCTAGGAAGGCTGCTGCTCCCAAGAAATCAACTACACGACGCACGGGCCCCAAGAAGAAGGGGCCTATCGATCCCGGAATGAAGCGAGGAAGCATATTGAAGTATGGAACTCTCACAAAGGAGAGATCTGAATTATCTGCTCCCAAGATGGCACATATGCTGGAAGCTACTGCTTCAAAAAGTCGAACAGCAGCATCTACAGTTGATTCACACCACTCTCCAATTACCGGTCTTGATGACCCTCTCGCTCCTAGTATGTACTCTCAGCAGGACTCAGATCAGCCTCATTATGTCGCTCTTGATCTGGATGAACTCACTAGTACATTTTCGTCGTTGTGTACCATGTCATCAATTGCTGCCGTGAAGCGCCAGCCCTTGGTCGATCAAATGCGCATTCCGGCTCGAACGGCGATTTCAGCAAATGACGATGGCATCCCGGGGCCCGCCAATCCGAGATTTATCGAAAGTGCAACCTGCTCTCCCCTTCGTTGCCGAAAATTGAAATAAGCTACTTGATCTCGGAGGCCAGGAGCTCAAAGGTCCGATTTGTGAAGGATGATCTGGCACTGAGCCTGTCTCGTCCTCAAAAACTTCCACATGCGGAAAAACGAAGGGATCCAAGTTCTCACAGCAGCCTTGAAAAACCATACGAGGTTGAAGATCTCGAGAAGTCCATTGATAATTTGAAATTATCAACTGAGCCCAATATTCACTTGCCCAAGGGTTCATCGTCGCGGCCCTTGTGCAATTCTAAGCCAAATTCAAGAACACGAAAGTATACTGCTCGTCGGCACCCTCAAGAAGAATTCCCCAAGCCTCAAGAGTCTGATCCAAAAGAAGTTCCACATCATGACTCGAAAAGTGAGGTTAAATCCACAATCTTATCAGCACCCTGTGGTGATGACCCCTCACCATCGAAACACGAGTCTTCTTTAGACACGTCGCATATATCGAATCTTAAGCCAAAGATTTCCAGAGAATCCCAAGATAAGAACCCAATTTCCGAGCAAGCCAAGGGGTATGTTGAGAACATCGTGACTTCAAATGGCTTCTGGGCGGTTGGTACCGCTGAGGATGACATGCTTGTTTCGGATACTGGTAATAATCAATCCGGAACTGGAACCGATACACAAGCCCGTCAGAGAAACAAAGGAAAGAAACGAGTCCCGCGTGTGAGCGTCTTGGACCTTATTTGAATTACCATTAGATACCCCTTCACTTTTTATCGTTGTTTTTTTCCCTTCTTTTTCCCGTCTCATTCAGCGTCCGGCGTTCATAGAAGCATTTATATGGCGAAACGTACTAGGTGGAACAGGATGGTTGAACATTTGACGAGATGCCGTTGGGACTTTCAGAGATGAATATAGACTATTCGCCAAAAAAAGTATCAGCCATCAGATTGCCGAGTCAACAAGCTTTCTTAATCCGATGCCTCAAAAACGACTAAAAAACAATGATTGTCATGGACTGAGTTTATTCGTGTAAAAATTGCACTCATCCCGTCTCTGGAACGCGCACCTTGCATTTGCCATTCGTGAAATCTCTATAAAACCAGCTAACACATATCCTGGTCCTCCAAGTGGACACTAGAGTCGAGATAGTAGGCGGTGGGATCACAAGCACGGTTGAGGTCACTTGGCAAACGTCTCCACTTGAAACCATCCCATCAGCAGAATAAAAGCGACAGAAAATGCGAGCACAGCAATCAGATTGTCTTGGGGCACTCGGTGTGAACTACAATGAGAGCTTGACTTGGATTCATCATGATGAGATCAAGCAAGTTGGCGCTCAATGGGTCAGAGGCTTCGTTGATATGCACCAAGTAGACAGCTCTCATGCGGAGGAGGACCCGAATATCAAGGCCCTATTCAGTGTCGCAGATGCTGGGTGTAAAACTATTCTCAGCTTCAAATGGGCTTACCCAAATGCTGAATTCCCTGAACCGGGTAGTCCTAACCACGCGACTGAGCTGGAACGATTGGATCGTCTTCTCCAAATCGTAATGGGAAAGGTTGATATCCTGGTCATCGGAAACGAACCTTTTATTGAGGCTCAACAAACTGATGAGCGCCTCAACGTCTTCTATGAGTCTCTCGCCAATTTTTTTATCAATTTTCGCAATACGCACAACAATCTCCCTGTGGCAACGCGGCTATATATGGGGGCATTGAACCGACTCGATTTGCCAGTCAAGCGCACGCCGGCAATTGAAAGGTTCTTAAGCTTCATTGCCTCGAAACCAGAGCTAGATGGCGTCGATCTCCATATGCACATGCCAAATATCGCAGCTCACAAGGCTATGGTAAATTACGCTTTGTCCAAAATTCGGCCTGATCAGACCTTTTTAGCAACAGAGTTCTCAATGATATGGCATTGGAAAAATCACATATCTGATGAAGCGTCAATCTACTTCTGCGAGAAATATGGCTTTTCTCCTGGTGTCAAAGTTTACCAAGTGATAAACGCGGCATTTCAGACACCTATGCCCTATGCTCAGTGGGAGGACTTTCTTAGACATGAGCCTTGGTATATGGAATACCAGAACTTCATGGCAAATACCATGAATATATATAAGGCAACAAAAAAGCTTCATGTTGCAACTTACGCTCTCTCTCCGATGCGAAATAGGAAACGGCCGCTGCTGGCAATAGATACGCCGTGGATGCTGAATGGTCTCTACTCGCCGTCGACAGTTCAGCTGAACCAAGATGGATCAAGGCATCTAAATTTCCCTTGGGGAGAAGAGTTTCGCAAGCTGCAAAAATTTGGATAATGAACTAGTACAGCTCGGAATATTTATCGGAGAAATGCAATTGTCAATGCAAACCGCCTACTGGCTCTCTTTTAAGCCCTCAGTGTTTGTAGTATTCTGCCACCCAAGTCTTGATCTGCGATACCTCAGCATCAATAATCTTTTGAACGCCCGTGTTTGCAGCACCATTTTTCAAAATCAAGTCAGAGCAGTGGAACCCCCCTTGTATGACGTTCAATGGTGCTGAGGATCGTGACTCAAGAGGGCCCCCGGGCCGGTAATCGGAGGAGACACCCGCCTCTCTCCACGGATCAAATTGACTGTACATGGGTGCTGAAGTTAGCGGGATTCAAAGCTTCTTGGAATATTTAAATTTACCCATTTGTCCAGATCAGCCGGGTGGTGTCAGTAAGAGACCAACCCTTGGTCCATGCGTTTACCTGAGATGCCGTTTTACCCTTTGCACTACCATAGGTGTAACCATTTACTTCAGGAAAGTAGAGGGCGCATTGTCTTTGCCAGTAGTTTCCTGAAACTGCCCGAGAAACGAGCGATGACCGGTCGGATGGTGCACCACTGAGTGAGAAAAGTCAAACAAGAGGCCACATTGAATAACTTGTTAAAGAGGGACTTACTCTTGCCAATAAAACAAGGGCTCATTGCAAAGAAACCATTGCCACTGTCGGTCAATTGCATTGTCCACCGAGATATCTGTGAACATGGGACTGGATGCGTTGTGAGTGTCGTAGCAAGCAGTGGTGAGAGAATCAGCCCAATATCCATAGCTATTACATGCTGAAACCAAACCCCATTAGAATCATCAACATCATCAATCACAATTTTTGACAATTGCAATTTTTTGGTTTTTAACTTACATCCAGGGAGCCAAATCTTCTTGAACCATTTTGCATAGCCTTGGAGAGCCTTCTCAAGGCCGACCCCATCTGCTCCCGGTACTTTTGCCGTTTTATTTTCAACATTCTAGGATAATATTAGTGTGTGAAACGCAGCTATATACGAAATATGCATACCTCAATATAATCACAAAACTGGTAGAAGTTTGAGTAACCCGAATAAAATGAGTTGGACTGCCATAGCCAGGGCCCATTCTGTAGCGCGCTAAGAAAGTATGACAATTAATGGTAACGTCAATTTTCAGTGAAATGCATTGAAGTTGAATTACCTTGCAAAGTCATCATACTCAAGATCTCCCAGCCCAAACATTTCTTGGAGGCTGAGCAGTTGCTTCTCTGTGCCCGTCTCATTGACACTATCAATGTAATTGATTACCCGAGACACATCTTTGCTACAATTTTGCGGCATTCCTTCCTGGACAGGCACAAAATATTGCCACTAGATTTTTGAGAAGTTAGAAATTTGCATAATCGCACCTCAAATTGGTGTATACTCACGTAATCATAAACTGCTTGGACAGGAGCACTTGATGCATGGTAGGCCCAAAATGTGCCAGGAGAAGTCGACTCAGTCCAAGCTGACAGAGCTCCACTATAAGACCCTCCGCTGAGAACCCAAGGCTATTACATATCTTATTATTATTTGATCATTTCGTTGGCATTTTATAGTATACGTACTGCGTTTTGAGCGTTGCTGCTTCCGTTGGTGTCAAATGGAAGTTTCACATTTTTCGCAAAGTAAGTGAGGTCAGCAACGGAATTAGCTAGAGTCAGATATTGCAAATTCTCCGTTGTTAATTCTGTATATGGTGAAGAGTCTCCCCAATAACGATCTATAATGTTCAAACAATTAGCTTCATCTTTGCCGCCGCGGCTCAGAGAACCTACGCTCAAGCAAAATCACTGCACCCTTAATTTCTTGTGCATAAAGACCAGTGATAGTTTTATTGGTTAAGTATCCGGTATATCCGCTGGCTGCTTCCTCTCCGGGGGTGAAGAGTACGACCTAAATAATTTTATTTCTCGTTAGATTTCCCGAAGGTTCAGACAATACTAGAAAGGTTGGCGTACTGGCGATCCCTCACCACCCCACCACTGTGAACTCCACCAGTAACGCTGGGAGAAGGTTCCAAGACTTGGGTTTTCATGATCAAGCAGTTGTTGAAAGGTAGATTCGCCGTATGTCGCGCTGGATGCGGCTGTTGATGGTGGTGGAACGGGCTTCCATGGAATGGCCGCTTGGACCATAGAAGCACAAAGGATAGAAAATGTCACCCTAAATAGTGAATGCATTGTTACAAGGGCGCGATCAGAGCCTAAATGCAAGAATTACATAGTCTAGACTCCAGGAAGCGCCATTTGGCACCCCTTATATACCTGTATAGTGGTCATTAAGCCATCCCGGTCGCTATTGCCGCACTAGAAATTATAATACTATTCCAGACCACCGAAATTTGGCGAATAATCCCGATTCTTCAAAACAAGATTAGTGTCGGGATGGCGACGGAGCGGGAAGCTGTGATGGTAGTCATTCTTGAACTAAAATCGAGAAGCATTCGTCACGCGATATTCCTAGCGCGAGGCTAGCTGCATGCTGTTCACCTGAGCCGAATTCCATGGTCATTTCTCTTTATCTAAGAATCTGTCAGGCAATAGAGCGATAGACGAGAGGATCAAGGAGCCCTTTGTGAAAGATCTGGAGACATTCTATCAGTTCAAAACATCAGGATGTTTTCTCTGGGCCTGGTTCAAGGGCTGTGTAGCACTCCATTTTCGGCAAATATTAGGCTACAGGTAACCCATGGTACCACCGTCGGGAGCCCGAGATTATGTTTAACCGATAGATAAACTAGCCCAGATTACGGCCTCTCAATGGTCACTGATAAATGCTAGCGTATCTTCCAACTTATGCACCTGTGAGTTAGATTACTTAATTATCTACGACTGTGGCATTCATAATGCCACCCCGCACTTGAAGGTGAATACTCCGCAAGGTCTACCGGACCCTCAAGAGCTAGATACACAATTCCTAGACAAAGTATCTTCAGGCTGATCACGAATCCTTTGGTGTTCATCATTTCCATATGTATTGTGAATGAAATGAACCCACATTACCATGGGTCATGACCATGACCCCAATCAGATCAATGTCCTATGTCAGTCGCATTCCAGCATGGTCTCCCCATTATCCATACCGCTTAAGCGTATTCAAGCCCCTGGCTTTGTCAAATGATCGAAAATCCATTAACGGTTTGTCTGAATACGCTACTCCAAATTAATGAACTCATGCTCTGATAATTGACAAGAATATTGATGACACAAAATGGACTTAACTGATCCTATTAGCTCGAGGTAGTCACATTCTTTCTGGTTTTTTGACGTCTCAGGTCAAGCTCATTCATTCTCATTTGATCGAAGCAATATGTCCTATTTTTGTCTTTTTCTTCTCTGTCCATGTCATATGGCTCGTATGATCAGCTCGCTGGATATCATAATTCTGTATTCTAGGGATAGATTCAAGAATGCTACATTTTACGTAAGCGTTCCTTTCGAATAGCATTGTGTAACAGCGTTCAAAATTCGGTCTAGTCCTACACACCATATCCCTGCAAATTGCTGTAAAGGGGCGAATTATGATAACATTGGAATCTTCCCATAGGTCGGCCCGACCCGGTTGGGTTCTCCGAGCCACCTTATGTCTGCAAGCTATGCTCGGCATCCATGCTTTGACCCGGGCCCTCGGGAGCATGTCTTGCACGTCCATGCATAGTGCATAGCTTTAGAGGTGTGCAGTTCTTCATATTGAGAGTTATTCGATGGCAAAGCAATGTATTTCCATGAAGGATATAGAGGAAAAAATTTGATTGGGCAGAGGACTAAAAGCCTATCGTATTGATGCTGATCAAGAGCTACTTTAATCTCGACGCATATTAAGTGCCCCGATCAACATGGCCAGAAAATTTGGGGTGGTACAGAAGGGGTTGATCTTCTTTTTGAATATGCAAGTGATCGATCGACCATGGCAAATTAGAGACAATCTATGTTGACTATGAGCTCTACGGAAAAGGTGTGAGTCAAGTGAAGCTTCCAGACTCGTCAAGTTGATCTAATCATTTGGCGGCAGTTCAGCGAAACTTGAATATCCCAGTACCATAAGGTGTTTCTCAGAAGGCAGGGGATATAAATATTTGATTGAAAATTTTCTGCATATTACTCTTTTTTCATTTCCTTCCCCCATCACAAAATACCTTTCAAAAAGTTCTATGTCTAGTTCTTCGCAAGACCAATCCATACAGATCACATCAAGCGCCACAAAACCACCATGGCAACTACGCTCTCAGCCCCGAAAATAAACGTTTATCAAGTCAACATGCCCCTACACAAGTCACCGAAGGAAATCGACCGGTTTATTCACCTCCATCCGTTAACAGCAGAGCTCCGGAGAAACTCCAGGCTTGCCGAGTCCCGGCCACACCTCTCAGTTCCTGAGACTCGAAGGTCTGAGAACCTTCTGACTGGGGTTCTCTTGGGGTCCCAGAAAATCACTATACCTCCATATTGCTTCAAAGATGATGGCAAGAGCATGGTCATGATCATGCACCTTGGTGGCAATGTCTGCAGTCATGATGGAGTTGTACATGGGGGCCTGTTAGCAACAATATTAGATGAATGCCTTGTGAGATGTTGCTCTCCCGCATTTGAGAATAATATTGGAGTAACAGCTAGCCTCAACATTGAATACCGAAGTCCTGCAAAGGCAAATGCATATATTGTGTTGAAGGCAGAAACAATTCAGGTTCAGGGGCGAAAGGCTTGGGTGGATGGGCGAATCGAGACTCTACCCATTCATGGAGAACAAGCAACGCTAATCGCGGAGGCAAAAGGGTTTTTTGTCGAACCAAAACAGGCCCAAGTGAGTCCCTCAGTTTATGTTGATTGAGTCTTGGGCTAAAACCAGAGTGTAGAACATGAATAGTCTCTACAAGGATGGCTCTTCGTAAATGTAAATGAAAGCTACGTGGCAACGAACTCTGTTATGACGCGCGTGTTTCTACTTTCCAGTTTCTTCTTTCTAAATCATTTTTCTGTTACAGAATGAACTATTTTTTCCGTTCGCAAACTATACATATGTTTTGCTCTGGATATTTCATGTTCATTCTTAAAAAATATCTATTTCTTGACCTGAAGTTCACGCAAAACCCCCAAATCCCATAAATCAGCCTTGGATAATAAAATCCCAGCATGATCTACAAACTATGTTTCTTTTCCTTCTTTTGCTTTTGCTAACAACCACTAATAATCCTTGACTATAGATACGAGCTCAAAAGATAAACTTAGACATATCCTGTATCACCTTAAATATGTATCCCTTTTATAATTTAATGATCATCATACGTGTGTGTGATAACAGGTTGTGCTCTCTTGTGTGTGCGATAAAAAGCGTCAGATAATTGGCAGCTAAGTTTCCGTAACAAGCTACTTACAAAAAGCCAAAATAGCAATCGAACTTGCACCAAACCATTCCACGACACAATGCATAACTCTGAAGTGAAAATATCTTTTCTCAATTTAATCCTTATATCTCTGACTGCTTTTTCTGTAAATACCAATTTTCCAGCAATCAATTCCAATCTGGCTGGAGAGAAGTAATAAGAGCTGCCGAATGTATTTTTTCCACGAAAAAGCCTCCATCAATTCTGACCTTGAAAAAAGTCTTGCTTGACATTCAAGTTATAAACAAAAGGGAAATTTTAGAAAAGTCTCAGGTCTTGATGTGTCATCTTGCCCGGTTATAGCCTCGTGTTAGCTTTCAATGCGATGATTAGGTAATGGAATTCTTTTGGTGACTTCCTGGGTGACCTCTTAAGGAGGATCTGGAAAAAGCCTTCGCAAGGCTATCTCATTTCATCTTTGTCATCATCATAGGATATTGATTTTATACAAACATCCATTGCTCCCCAGATTCATACACATAGTCAATCCAACACCTAGAAGAACTCGCTTCTTGAGTAGCACGCAGCGCCCAAATCTTCTCCAACACTCTCAAGCCATTTTTCACATTCTGAGACCGCCAAATTGTCCAAAGATGTTCAAAGGACTCCACTATTGACTCTCGTTGAGCAGAGGTCTCGGTTTCAGCGCCAATAACAAACACCGGCCAGCATAGCGCTTTATAATGTCCATCCATGGGGTCGATAGACCTGATGCTTGAGATAATTGAATCAAGAGAGTTTTCGGTACTCCATTCGGTTAATTGATGGTATTTCAAGTGCGGCCTGAGGGTCTGCGACGCATATATCTCCACCGCCGTTCTATATATGCGCGCAACATGGTATCGAGGCGTAATATAGGCCATATTTGGGCTATTTACAGCCCATTTCATTGGGGAAAAGTTTTGAAGGAGAGAGATAATGTTTTGTACCAAGTTTGCCATCTGCTTCGTGTTGGAAGAAGCCGAGTTGATCAGTGACAGTGTATAAAGAAGTTCCGCTGGGCATCCAATCCAAGTCTGGGACTCTGAAAGTTTCAATATCTCCAGTGTGGGAATTTTGGTAAACAGTGGTTGATAAGGTTGTTTGTCGTTGATGAAAGTTGAGCCGATGATCTCAAAACTAGAGGTCAGGGTGATTCATTAGACACCTGAACTGTAACAGAAAATTCAGAACATACATTGCATAGTTTGCTTCAAAATATTTTGCAAAATACGAAAATGAAGCCGCTAAACTTCCTCTGAAGCTTTGCTTCTGCATGACCTCCCTCAACCCATGAAGATGGTACTTCCAGAAGTTTCTCCCAGAATCCATGAGTTCAAGCCATATTGAGAGTAAAATTGAAGCAAAGACTCCATCCGGATTATCTAAGGAGTTCCTGGAGCATTGTTCCCTCAGGTAATTTAGTGTCTTCTGTTTGTGGTGAAGGGCATCATGGTACGCCGGGAGTTGTTGCAGACATTTCATAGCTTCAGATGATTGTGAGTCAATCAGTGCAAAAGCCCAATTTTTATCGTGTCCTCGGAGAACATTTGCTGCGGATCTTTGGGCCTGGTGAAGAGCTGCCACTGAAACCACAGTGTGACACAATCCAGGACATGATGGAATAAGTCGCATGAATTCTTTGAATGCATTGTTCGAATCGCAACTATTCAGGACACATTCTTGGCAGCATTGTAGCTCAACTAATCCACTTCTCAGCGGACTATTACGCTCTTATCAGGAACAGGTTACTTACAGTAAGTTATGTAGCCCCGGGTGGCAGGAGACAAATCCTGTAAGCCGGGATCGAGAAGCAGTCTTGCGATTGAGACAGGATCCTCTTGGCTGGGCACAGCTTTTCCCATGAGTTTTCCTCGGCTTGCAACACTATTGGTCCATCTTAAGGGCTTCTCTTTGTTATATCCCAGACAGGAATGATTTTGCGAAGTGCATTTCTGGCAGAACGGCAGTGTCCGGTCACATTTCAGACGTCGGCGACGACAAGTCCAGCAGGCATCACCAGCTTGGCGAGATGAAGTCTCATTCATCATCCACCAGAGGGCATGAGTAGCCGCATCCTCGTCAAAAAGAAATTGAATAAGACAGTCCGATCCTGTCAATGACGGTGTGCCATATCCCCGATATCACGCTATTCCGAATAAGGAAGCCAAGACGCATTTCCCCCCATGGGTTTCCAGCGCCGTGGGCCTCGGCCCAGTTTAAGCCCACTTCAGATCTATAGAAAGAGATATAGACTGCAACAAAAATGGAGTGTATCAAAGTATTTCGATAGAAGAGCAGACACTTGTTTCACCTGCTGTATCTCAATTGTGTTAAAAGACGAGAATCGCCGAGGTGAAAGCACCTTGTTCAATTCCCAAAATGTAGGATTTAGCTCTTATTGAAAAAGCAAGAAGAATCAGTTGAGAGTATAATGCGGGCACGTGTCTGCCCATCCTGAAAGATAAGTACAATAAAAACGCCCAGATATAGCAAAAGAAGAGAGAAGAGGTCCATCAAGGCCAGAAAGCATCAAGTGAGCGCCTTTTCTAAGCCAAAAATCAGATCTGATGCAATGCCATATACCCGAAAAGATAGGAAAAAACAAAGAAAACACCATCCAATCATCTAGACATTAAACTCCAATATATAAGAGAAATGGAAATATGCGTGCTGTACTACTTTATGGTATAAGATCTAACCAAAGACCTTGAGAAATCCCCAGAGGCCAAGACCGCTCAGAACAGGGATAGTCAGGTTGTCATCCCAGCCCCAGAGATCAATGAACTCGCTGCCAGCTGCGATAACGCCAGAAACCATGCTCATGACCCCGAGGGCTAGTGGGCCGGTGATGGTGGTGGACGAAGAGTCACCACTCTCCCAGCCCAAAAGACCTCGGACGCAGTTCGGCAGCAGGTTCAAGCGGCCAGTGAACATGAAGGCGCCTTCAGGGTCATTCGGGAAGCTGCCCATGGTTGGGACGAACCAGCCCCAGAAAGCCGCGGCCGTAGCAACACCAACGGCACAGGCGGCCATAGTGCCCGCCAAGCTCTTGCCCGGCCGGAGACGGGGGGTATAACGGCCGTAAAGACGGCCGAATGTGGACGCGGCTGTGTCGCACCAGCTGAGAAGGAGGACGCCCATGACACCAACGTCCTTAGGGAAAAATCTCAATACGGCATACGCGCCGAGGAGATACCAGATCACGCCATTGTAGCCAGAAACCTCCGTCTCGCGCATGAGAGCCCCCATACAACGGATATAGAATTTGTTGAATCTCTCGGACCGATGCCGAACAACATCCGTAGCCGCAATTGGCACTAATGCGGAGAATAGAACCGGAGTTATTTGTAGTGTTTGGATGCCTCGGCTGTAGAGATGAAGAGTCAAGAATCCAATCGACACATGCAAGAGCTTGCGAGGGATTTCATGGCGGTGGATGAAACTGCGGTAACGAGTATGAAGGGGGATAAGACCGAGAGGCGAAGGTGATCGAGAAATGTCGCGCAAGGCATCAGGGAGCTTTGAGTTAGGTGAGAGGAACCCGTTGGAGGCTTTTCCATTGGTCGCTGGGGGCGAGGCTGGGATTTTCGGATTCGATCTGCGTTTGGGGCGGCGATTTTGCGATGGACCAGACGGTGTCGCCTCATGCAGGCTATACGACCTCCCTGAGCCAGATCCTTCTTCTGAAACCTCTGAAAGACGCTGCTGACGCGCTGCCGACCGCGTTGTCGGCGCAAAATACCCGTCACGTGGGTCAGCTCTATCGGAGAGAGAAGGCGACGGAGAGATGACTCGAGGAGTTTCTGGAACGGACATCGGCGAGGCCATATTGACTTGTCGCAGAGTGAAGGGTGGCAAAACTGGAGACCAGAGAAATCCCAAAAGTGGTCGTTGACTCGTCTCTGCGCTGTCGAAGGCAAGACTGCCGCAGGGGATCAGTCGCCTTCCTAGCGACTCAATGATGGGCAAATGTTTGGAGCGCTTGAGCGAAATCGACGGTCGATATGTATTTCAGGGGCACAAGTGTTTATTTCAGTACATTATTTGCCCTCCTTTATACAAAAAAGACAGAACGAATCTGCTTTCAGTGAATGAACAAGACAGTGTTGGCGTGAAAGTTAGAAAAAGTAGTTCGCGATTTGCCCGATCCGGGCAATGCCGCGATCACGTGCCTCGTATCTAATCGATAACGGCTTTTTTTTCCTGGCAACCTGAAGATTGAGATCGAAGTTCAGTCCATAAACCACACCCAGTCACATCGATTGGAAATGGCTCCAAAGCCTTCCTCTTCCTCAAGGGCGTGGGATGGTCTCACGCCGTCGCTATCGCAATGGACCCTCGATGCCGTGGCTTCGATGGGTTTCACACGCATGACACCGGTTCAGGCCTCCGCCATCCCGCTGTTCATGGCGCACAAGGATGTGGTTGTTGAAGCAGTCACTGGCAGCGGAAAGACACTGTCTTTCCTCATTCCTGTTGTTGAAAAGCTTTTGCGCCTTGAAGAACCCCTTAAGAAACATCATGTCGGGGCTATTATTATTTCTCCAACAAGGTCAGTCCTAGCCTGAGAATATGCTCTGGGAATTGAACGCTTTATCGCTAACTTTGTCTTGTAGAGAATTGGCCTCGCAGATTTACCAAGTGCTCCTGTCCTTACTCGAGTTTCACCCTCCATCTGCTGCAGCCATCCACCCCCCAGAAGACGATGCGCCTCGTCCAAAATCATCCTCCTCCATTTTGAAGGTCGTTCCACAGCTCCTGCTGGGCGGCTCGACATCTCCTGCCGAAGATTTGAGCGGGTTCCTGAAGCGATCTCCCAATGTGCTAATTTCTACGCCTGGGAGGCTTCTAGAACTCCTTTCATCGCCCCACGTCCATTGTCCGCAATCATCATTTGAAATGCTTGTGTTGGATGAAGCGGATAGGCTCTTGGATCTTGGGTTCAAGGAGGACCTTCAGAGAATTCTGCGACATCTTCCTAAGCAACGGAGAACCGGTCTTTTCAGTGCCAGTATCAGCGAAGCTGTTGATCAAATCGTCCGTGTGGGACTTCGGAATCCCGTCAAGGTAGCTGTGAAGGTGAAGGGCGGTTCGGGAGCCGAAGACAAGCGCACTCCTGCAAGGTATGGCATCAAGCACGCTTTTACGATTTGACGAGTTATGCTAACATCATCTCCAGTCTTCAAATGACCTACTTGACAACTCCCCCGGCGCAGAAATTCTCTATTCTAAAAAAGATTCTCTCGTCCGTCCAACCAACACCCCAAAAAACCATCTTTTTCGTATCAACATGCTACAGCGTTGATTATCTTTCGATGATGCTGCCTTTGGTACTGGGAGATGAATTCCTTCTGGTCCCTCTTCACGGAAAGCATCCCGCCAATGTCCGCCAAAAGAATTTCACCCGCTTCACTACTTCCACTACTCCTTCTATCCTTTTAACAACCGACGTTGCCTCTCGTGGACTAGACATTCCCTCTGTCGACCTCGTTGTACAGATTGACCCACCATCAGACCCCAAGACTTTCATCCACCGGTGTGGACGAGCTGGCCGTGCCGGCCGCCGGGGTCTCAGTATCGTTTTTCTTCATCCTGGACGTGAACAAGACTACGTCTCGTTCCTGGAAGTGCGCAAGACTCCGGTCGCACCTTATAATCTTTCCAATCCTTCAACTGATGCAGATGCCGCATTTGCAACTCAGGCAGTGCGCAACGCAGTCCTCAAAGACCGGGCTTTCCATGACAAGGGCCAAAAAGCCTTTGTCAGCTGGCTTCGCAGTTATAGCAAGCATCAAGCAAGCAGCATATTTCGCGTGGCAGACTTGGACTGGGAGGCTCTAGGGAAAGCATGGGGGCTCCTTAAGTTGCCGAAGATGCCTGAGCTACGGACCTTCACTGGTGATAAAACCCTGGGAGTCAGTCTGGATTGGGAGAACTATGCATACAAAGATAAGCAACGAGAGAAACGGCGCAAGGAGGTGTTAGAAGAAAATTCCCAGGGAGCCAACCTAGAACAAGATTCAAAGAAACGACGAGCAGTCGAAACCGTATCCTGGAGTCATAACCAGGAAACCCGGGAGAAGAAACTCCGTCGCAAGGAACATAAAAAGGCCCGGAAGGAACAAGAGAGGTGGGAACAGCTTCCTGACGAGGCGAAACAAAAAGCCCTTGAGACGAAACGCATGGTTGAGGAATTACGTGCCAAGAATGAGCTGCAACGTGCATCGGATCATGCAGCGAAAACAGGTGCCTCGGGTAATGGAGAAGATGATGAGTTCAAGGGCTTTGACTAGTTGTTCATATTGCTACTACCTCCCCGTGACTCTTGCGGCCAGGATTCATCAAAATACAACGAATATTCCAAAATAATCTGGAAAATTCCAATATTCTCAAGAGCAAATCCATCTAATTTAACCAAACAGTGTAATTGTGATCCAGCTTCCATAACATGAGTCATAATAATAGTCAACCTGCGGATGTTGATAACACATGGGTCTAAGGACCTGAAAATTCAAAGGAAATTCAAACTCAAATATCACAACCACTCTTGTAAATCAAAATCGTCCTCACTTGCCTTGTAGGCCTCGAATATGGCATCCCAATCAACAGTCGCTTTGGCTTTGAGTCCAGCAGGTAGAGGCTTAATGTCCAGCGTTTCAATCAAGCCATGCTTTTTTGGCCACTGGACTTCGTTTGTTGTCTGATCAATTGACACATCATCGTACTCATCATCGGAAGATTCATTGGAGATCTGATCCGTGATCTGATTCGCTGCCGGGCTCATAGGCGGAGTTGTAGTCTCGGTGAATAGGGTTGTAGGCTGAGGCTTGGCCAAGCTTGTGGCTTGACTCTTGATAAAAGACGTTCCATCGATGGACATACCATCAGAGATGTAAGGGGAGGTTCCTGAAGCCACTCCTGACGGCGTCGAGGAATTGCTGTTGGTTGAAAAGCGAGTGTTTTCTCGTAAGCGACTTGGGGTTTTCGGCTTGAATTGTTCAGCTTTGTTGCGAGCACGGGTCAATGGAGAAGGATCTTGGATGGTATCATCATCAGCATCAACGGCGGCGGCAGGGGTTGGAGGCGAATCGATGACTTGAAAAATATTCGAATTAGCATGTTCCAACTGAACCGCGAGATAACGAGTCTCTTCGGCTTGGAGTGGTCACAGGTAACGCAGTGGAGGGCTTGACGGTATCAAAGGGTAGGAAGAATCCAGGATTTGGGCTGTCTCTGGCGAACTTGAAATTTCTCTAATGGGCTTTTCCCGGGGATGGATTGAAGAATGTGATGAAAGAGGTGAAAAAGACGAAGAGGTCTGGAACGCATCATGGACACTTGGAGCAAACTTGACGTCCTGCTGCATATCGATATCGCCCGAGTTTGTCGAGTCCAGACTGTCCGAGGAGTATGGAGTCTGAAATGTACCATGGACATTTGGAACAAAGCCAGAGCTCTGGCGCATATCGACATGGCTGGCATTCGCAGCATCCGAAGTGGTCGCAGGAACGGGGGCAGAATAATGAGGATGGGGTTGGGTGGTGAAAATTGCATTGGGGTTTTCACTTCGCATGAAGGACAGAAAACGCTTGGGAACGAAAGTGGAGCCATTCATGTACATACCATCGCGATGACGAGCAGGCTTTTGGGTCTGGGTGGCTGAGTTTTGGGAACTCGGAGACTGGGAGGTAGGGACACCAGAGGCTTGAAGGGGTGGGTTTTGAGTTGCGGGGTCTTGATTCATCTCGGAAACCTCGTCACTGTCAATTGCGGCCGGGTCAGTCATCAGTCGACTTGATTCGAGGGGAGATAGGTCCGGGGCCTGGAGGGTTTGCCGGCTATTGGGAACGAACTCAGGACGAAGGGCAGGGGGGACCCTGTCGATGGGATTAACGGGCGCTTTCCACCGGTTGGACCGACGCTGCTTCTTGTTGTCATCAACACGCTGTTTCTTAGTTGGGGGGAGCTCAACCTCTCCAGTCGTGCTTTCAGTCGCATCTTGTTCGTCATACGCCCTCTTAAGTCTTCGGCCTTCTTCAAGCATTTGCTCCCATACACCAGGAGCGAAATCGTCGGAATCGAAAATGCATTCCTCGTCAGTCAGACCATAACCACGGTTCTGCTTTTTTGGACGAGGTGAGCCAGATGGGGATGCATTCGACACGGGATTGGAACCCAGTCGGTTGGGCGTTGTTTGAGAGATTTGGGTACTTGAAGTAGAGGCTTGCACGCCTGAAGATCTCCGAAAACACTTCGCAAGGAGCTCTGGATCAAATCCAGATTCGGAGCGAGGGCAAGAGCTTTCACGCTCACGCTCGGCGGCTGCAGCTTCTGCTATCGCTGCGGCCGCAGCTGCAGCTTTGGCCTCGGCAGCTGCAAGGTTTCGAGCGTGAGACTCTGCTGCACGAGCACTAAGACGAACGGTTCGCCGGGCCTCTACCTGTCTGTGTTGCTCCCGTTTACGTGCACGCGCATCTGCTGCAGACGTAGAGGTGAATCCGCCAGAAGAGGGTTCTTCTGTGACCAGTGTATGGCAGTCCACGAAAGAGTGCGAACGGAAGTATCGTGAGCGAGGGACTGAGCGAGATTGCATGCCCGCTCTCGGTGTGGCTGCAACGGGGGGTATTCATTAGTTCCGGTGAGAGAAACCGACTGATTCGGCGCATAAGATGAGGCACCAGCGGAATCAGTTGATTCAATAGCCTTGGGCTGAGTGTCCGAAGTAGATGTAGCAGCTATAGCATATAGTAAGCACTGAGTCCGATCAATTATGACGTATGAGCAATTACCTGGTGTAGTTTCATTCTCCGAATGGTTTCCAAATCGATCTCTGATATTGGTCCATTTTCGAGAAACACTGTTGAAAATCCACTTGCTCCAGCCAGGAGAAGCTTCAGAGCTAGCAGCAGGGGCAGTCATTGGGATCACAGGGGTTTCAGGAGCGGCTCGCTCTGGTGTTTTAGGAGTAGGAGTTTTTGGTGCTATCTGCTGAGCTTCACCAACCTGGGGCCCCTCGGGGGGAGGAGATTGTCCAACATTCGTGTCGCTCAGGGAGTCCGAGTTGCTGCGGAAAGACAGAAGTTCCGGAAGACGATACAAAGTACGACCGAAGCTACCACGATCTTGGGTACGGCGAGATGTAGACCTATCTGCATATGAGGTACGGGAGCGGTGGATGGGTGTGGCATTTTGAGATCCCAAAACGCGAGGTCGTTCGGTAGATGAAGGAGAACGCCCAGCTGAGGAGGCAGCAGGGAGACGGCGGCGAGAGGTGGGTGCAGTTCGGGAAGTGCGCACTAAGCGTAGAATCATCAGCTCAATGCCATCCAGGGCTGAGTTCGAAGGGCCGATTTCGAGACCAAGAATGGACAGGTCCGGGGTCCATCTCTGATAGAACTTGGTAATGGGGTCGGCTAAAGTGGAAAAGGCGCCAAGGGGTTTTGCAGGGATTGGTGCCGCAAGAAAAGTGGCAGTAGCATTGGGAACCACAAGACTGCGATTCCAAAATGGAGAGAGGTTTCTGAGCCGGGAGATCCACCAGCTACGCGGCGGGCTCTGGAGATCCTCGTTTGGGACAGGAGTAGTGGAGAGAAAGTCCGCAGACACGAATGTGGAAGAAAAATCGGAGCAGAAAGAAAGGGGGCGCGCAGGAAACAGAGTTGGCAAAGATTCGGAGGGACCGGACAACTCACAGGCTCCAGTACGGGCAGTAGGGGTCATCGATTCAAACTCGCTAGTCTCGACAGAGGGGAGGACAGTGGCAGGGATCTCGATAGAAGGTGTTACAGGCACTGTAATATCCGTGTCCTGCATCTCACGGTCTGCGCTCTGTTCAGTAGTAGGCAAATTAGCTCTGGGTCCATCAATCAAGCCATGGTATGGGGCATCAGACTGCTCCTGAGCCAGGGGATAAACCAGAAGCTCAGGGTGCAGCTGCATTTCATGGTCCTTGAGGATCTCCGCAATTGCAGGCCCACTAATGGTGGTTGCATAAGGAATGTTTCCTCCTTGGGGCAACTCAACCTTTTGTGTGTCAAGCGCGTTGTCGGCACCAGATGTGATATCGTCATCGGCCTCCTGCTGAGGGTCGGGGGAGGTCGAAGTGGCACGGGCAGTCCCCTTCTAGAATAACAGTCAGCCACCAGCGTCTTCGGCTTCTCTTTTGCCAATTTACCTTCTTCCCGCGGGTGCTCTTCGCCCGCGTCTTGCGCACCTGTGCAGGTTTACGCTGGGTGGTCTGGATCTCCTGAGGCTGCGCAGATACACTGCGCGTGGCTCGACGACGTCGAGGCTCAGGATCCTCCAGCTGTTGGAGGCCGTTGGGCGACTTGGGCTGGGAGCGGGTGCGCATGGTGATAGGCCACGGCAACCAGGCGGAGGGAAGACTTTGAATGCTGTTAAGCGCAGCGTACGATCAAATCTGAGCTTCCCAAAAGGGCTTTCTGGGAAGCAAATGAACGAACAGTGATGGAGAGAGAGAGAGGAGACGAAGAGAAGGAGCGAAAGAAAATAGAGGTTGTTGTTTTTTATATCTTCCGAATCGGGTCGTGACCACAACTCGTTCTGCTGAATTTGGAAGGCACGCAGCCACGCCCCTCCTACCTCATATGAAAAGGCCCTTTGTTGCCGCTGTATACCCACCAGAGGGTGTCGGTGCTGTGACGTTCCAAAAATCGTCGCGCCGGTATGGCAGAATATCTCAAATCGACTAGGCGGTGAAACATACAACACCTAAATTTGTTCCTCGTACATCAGGCATGAATAAGATTACATTGTCTCCGAGGTATTGTTGATAATGATCTTCTTGACGAGACTAATTCGAACACGATCAAGTACAATCCTGTAGTCTATTCGGAATTTCAAAGTGCTTGATGGCGCTTACTCTACGACATGGTACAATGGGTGTTGTCAAGCATGCAAAGCTCTGATAACCCAGAATCAATTTGGCATTAGCATCCGATAGAATGGATGGATGAAAAAAAAAATGCTATTTGTACATATGCTACCTGTCTCCCTAGGAATACAACACTTGCGATAATGGTATGAGCGCTCTACAGAGCAATCTCTCCTTTCCATGCCGCCTCAGACAACCCCAGGTTCTCCATCAAGTTCTGCCACCTAGGACCTCCTCGTTCCTTCCTGCGAACATAACGAAGCAACTTCTGTCGCTTGTGAACAAGAATTTGCAGGTTGCGCTTGTTATGCTTATCCTTGTTGGCGGTCTGGAGATGTCGAGAGAGATTCATGATCTTGACAGTCAAGATCGCGGCTTGGACCTCGGGAGAACCTGTATCGGGACCCACACGCGGCGCTTTCTCGGGATGTGTTGGTGCAGACTTGTGTGGGACACTCGAAGGCTTGGGGGGGAGGAAGGAGTCGGTGCTGTGTCGGCCGAATTGTTCGATGCACCTCTGTACGTTCACTCGAAGGCGGTCTTTCGTGTTACCATTGCTCAAGCTTGCTATACGTTGAATCGCAGCCTCCGCATTGCGATGCTGTTCCTGGTGTGACTCAGCGGCTTCCTTCTCGAGTTGGGGATCCGCAGTATCCCGATCCGCGCTCTGAAGCGGCTCTGTCAGGTCCTGGGACAATTTGAGGGCGCCGATGAGATCATCGGCCTTCAAGTAGTAGTTCAACCCCAGACTAGGGTCGGCGACCTGTGATCCGTTTTGAACCGCTTGGATCTCTTGAATAAAAGCAGTGGGCTTGCTTTCAACTGGGTCACCGAGCGAGGCATCTCGCTCCGCCTGGAGTTCTTTTTGACGGGATATATTCGCCGCTTTTCTTTGACGGGCTTGGGCAATCATAAAAAAGTCCGACCGTTTCTGGGGCTTGGCCTTGGAGGAAGCTGCTCTCAAGGGACTTTGTCCGGAGAGGGGGCCTATTCACGAGTTGACCAATATCAGCGCATGGCGTAAAAGATATATGAAAGGAAATAGAACAATTGCAATTTACCTGTCAAGGCCTTCCAAGAAGGCTGGAATGAAAAACGTGGACGCATGGTGGTCAATGGTGCTTGATCACCCCCGGACAACGACTGCGAAGTTCTTCGTATCAACCTTTTGATCGGGAAATCACACGGCCCGAAGGAAGCACGCTAGGCCGAATCTGTCAACTACCATTGAGTTATTTCATGCCTCAGGCATTGGGAGAAACTGTTTGCGGCCTGAGGCAAAAGAAATGATCTTGATGACTAAATTGGTTGTCCAGATCATGCTTTAGGTAATCCAACGCTGCCCTAGCCCTAAGTCTCACAGCCCGCAAGCGAAATTCTCCCGAAGCGCGGTGTGAAACATTTCGTGGTTCGAACTTCGATCTTTTCCCTCCATCCCACGACAAGAGCCAGACGATTGATCTTCCCATCTCGTCAATCCATCAATCGCCCACCATGGCCCCCTCCCAGCTCCCCCCGGTTTTCAACCCTACCTCCCAGGACATTGAGATGCTCCTGGCTGCTCAGTGCCACCTGGGTTCCAAGAACTTGCAGGTGCACATGGAGCCCTACCTCTGGAAGACCCGTGCCGATGGTATCAATGTCATCAACATCGGCAAGACCTGGTATGTTCAAAGAACCAGTATATTTTTTGCGCAAAGCGCAATTGAATCAAGAACTAATTTGCTTTGCGCGATTTTTCAGGGAGAAGATTGTCCTGGCCGCCCGTATCATCGCCGCCATCGACAACCCCGCTGATGTGTGTGTCATCTCCGCTCGTCCCTACGGCCAGCGTGCTGTCCTGAAGTTCGCCTCCCACACCGGTGCTACCGCCATTGCTGGTCGTTTCACCCCCGGTAACTTCACCAACTACATCACCCGCTCGTTCAAGGAGCCCCGTCTCATCATCGTGACCGACCCCCGCACCGATGCTCAGGCTATCAAGGAGGCCAGCTACGTCAACATCCCCGTCATTGCCCTCTGCGACACTGACTCCCCCACCGACTTCGTCGACGTTGCCATCCCCACCAACAACAAGGGCCGTCACTCCATTGGTCTCGTCTGGTGGATGCTCGCTCGTGAGATCCTCCGTCTCCGTGGCACTCTCGCCACCCGCGAGACCGAGTGGGACACCGTTGTTGATCTCTACTTCTACCGCGACCCCGAGGCTGAGGAGAACAAGGAGATTGCTGAGGAGGCCAAGGTCGCCAGCGCCGAGGAGGTTGGCGCCGGTGCTATTGAGTCCGGCTTCGCCGGCGATAACTGGGATGCTTCCGCCCCTGGTGCTGGCCAGCCCGGCACTGCCTTCGCTGCCGCCAGCGCCGCTGTTGGTGCCACCAGCTGGGAGGCTGACGGTGCCGACTGGGCCGCCAGCTCCGCCCCCCAGGGTGGTGAGTGGGCCGAGGCTCAGCCCGCCACCACTGAGACCAAGTGGTAAATTAACTTTGCGGGTAACAAGGATAGCCGTTGAGGGAGTGGGAAGTATGATCTCAAATCAAAAAGTCATGGCGATTCCTCGTGTTCGTAGGGCACAGGATACGAGGAAAAAGTGCTCTTGTTTGTTCTTTCATCTCCCGAATCCATTGACAACAATGGAATAAACCCATTTTCCACAAATCCCCTTCACATGTCTATCCTAGTTTCTGTCAATGTTCAAAAAGCAAGAAACTGAAAAAAAGCAGAAGAAAAATGAGCTTTCACCGGGAACCTTCAAATCCTTTTGCATCAGTGGTCTCAACCTTTCTTACCAGCACTCTTTTCGATTCCCTTGTTTTGTTTACATCGGGGAGGAATGGCGACGTTATCTGTTGACTGGCGCTCATGAGGGAAAGATATCCAGTTACTTATGTGACTGGGGGAAAGCCCTGTGCTGTCAATCTACAAGGTGGACTTAATCGTTACCTTGGTTTCTCCCTGTATGTATATTCTAGTAATCCCAAGATGGTTGTGCTCGGTATCTTTTAGTCGTGTAGATGTGTATTGCTTTGGACTCTTGGACTGTACTACCTTAATTAGCCAACTGCAATATAAGTAACCACAACTGTAATCCTTAGTCGTATATCTGTTGCTATACCTCGTCCTACTATCCTTTCGAGAAAAAGGCAACGAACAGAAGACCAAATACGTCAAAGTGTATTGAATGAGTGGTAGCGCGCAACCTGTTCTCGAGATCTTAGAAAGAGCCTGCTGTATTTGACAGCTCTTAAAGCAATATCACAATTTCTCGCTTTGCTCTCCTTCCAATGCCCTATATTAATAACTCCAAGAGCGCTTGGCCTGATAATTCATTCCCAACATTATCAAAATATCTCAGAGAACATTACATCCACCAGCACTTTGTCCCCCTTTCTCGGTTGTAGTCATAGCGGCAAGTCTTGCGAGATCCTCAAAGGTTTCCGCGAGCAGCTCTCCAGTCACTGCGGAGCATTCAGCATATCTATCACATCGAAGTTCTTGGGCAATGCCATAAGTCTGCACAGGGCATATCAGCAAATTTTGAAAGGCATCACTCGATCTCATGCAAACGCACTTCCTGTGGGTAGATAATGTTTTCGCCTTCTTTTCGCAGATCCCTTTTCAAACCAAGCATCATAACAGGAATACGTTCCCCATGACCGTGTTGAAAATATCTAATGATATCATTGCGCCACTATTTCATGATGCGATCAGCCAAAAGAACTCTAACATGTTCTGACATTCTGCAAATACCCCTCTTAGGCCTGGTAATGACTCTCGGTTGGAGATGTCAAATGCAAGGACGACGAGATCGGGTCGTAGGCTTGTCCAGTGTTGGTTTGGACTCGATGTGTCATAGAGCTTCAAAGTAAATTTCTTTTTGGAGAATCGGACATCATAAATAAATGGCTGGTCACTGTCCCGCAGAAGATCAAGCTGAGTATTGGGCTGTGATGAAGTGGGTTTCTTCCCACTCTTCAGACGACTAAGAAGACATCAGTCTTAGTTTCATCAGATATTCAATGTGCAATTGAAGGTATCTCTTGAGGAATAAGTAGCACCATTCGCTACCATTGGAAAAACGATGGTGGGGGATCTGAAGACTTACGAGAGAAATGTGGACTTCCCACAGCCGGGGTCCCCCAAAAGCAACAAGGTGACCGTTGTTTCCGCATCTGGGCCTTGTGCTTCAGACATCTCGGTTGTTTATATTCAGACCTTTTTCTTCAAACACGCACCATCATGGTGCAATCGTTGGGAGTGGAGTTGAGACGAAGGAGATGGCAGAGATAAGGTTGATGAGTAGAGCGGCGGAGTTCGTGGATCTACACTGAAATATAAATTGTAAGAGCCTTACAGGTCATATGCATGACGCCAGCACACTGAAATATACTCCCAAGTCAAAACCAACTGTCAGTCTCTAGATAGGCCCGATTGTAAGTTTCAATTTAAATCAAAAATTCAGGAAATAAAATCAATCTAAATGCGTCAAATTCAGCACCATTTGGCAAAATTAGCAACCAACACCATAGATTACCATAGGATCCACAGTAATATTACCTAACCTAAATTAAATACAAACTGCTCCGCGGAGGTCAAAATTCCACCACCATCAGATCAACCCACCTTCACACAGGTGGCACGTCGGACCTGTCCGGTGGTATGTGGAGGAAACCAGCCAGAATTTTCGCTTTTGCAAAAAGGTCTCGACAGCACTCTCTCAAATCGCAAGTGCGATCAGTCAGCGATTACCGTGCTCCCACTCCGCAAATCATGGCGGGCACCAGCGACGACATGGGGTCCGATTATACCACCTGGAGCAATTCCAGCCTCATTGAGCGCATAATGGAACTTGAACGACAGCTACAGTCCCAGGCCACACAATTAACAGCCCCAGCCTCGGATTCTTCAGAAGCGGCACCCTGCGCACCCGTTTCCACTGATATCGCCGAGCCTGCGATTCCTCTCGCCGATTCCTCGAACAAACCCCAAAAGAAGCGGGAGCATTCCCCAGAAGGAGATATTTGTCATACACCTGGGGCTATGCGTGCCATAAAGGCGAGGATTAAGGAGAAGGAGCATCGTGATTTCGATCCGTCGAAATACAGCACGCGTTTCATTGCGCTGAAATTTGCCTACTTGGGGCAGCGGTACAATGGCTTGGAGCATACCAATGGAAACGCCACACCACTTCCAACCATTGAGGAGGTTATATGGAAGGCATTGCGTCGCACACGCCTGATTCTCCCAGAGACTACATCTGAGGATGAGCCAGATGACGTTGAGCCGCGGGCTTTCCGTCCCTACTCCATTTACTGGGATGGGTGTGATTACTCAAAGGCAGGTAGGACAGATCGTGGTGTGAGCGCATTCGGACAGGTCATTGGTATTCGGGTCCGAAGTAACCGGCCTAAACCCAAACCAAACGTCTCTGTTGACCAGGAGAGTCAACTTTGCGAGGATGCGATGCAGGTCGAGGAGTCAGCCGCCAACAAGGATTGGGATGATGTGGCCGACGAAATTTCCTACCCCAAAATTCTGAATAGGGTGCTTCCTGATGATATTCGAGTCCTTGCTTGGTGTCCCAACCCTCCACCTGGGTTCGATGCTCGTTTCTCTTGCCGCGAGCGGAGGTATCGATACTTCTTCACCCAGCCTGCATTTTCGCCAACACCCGGCGCATTTGGGTTGGAGAACCGCATGGGTAATGCTAAGGGCTTGCCTTCCAAGTACCGCGAGGGCTGGCTAGATATTGAGGCTATGCGCGAAGCTGCAAAACTTTTTGAGGGAACACATGACTTTCGGAACTTCTGCAAGCTGGATACTAGCAAGCAGATCGAAAACTTCGAAAGAATCATTCACCATTCTGACATAGAACTCGTCAATCCGAAGACCAACCCCTTAGGCTATGTTAGTCAGGATGGATTCCAGCTACACGAGGGCTATGAAAAGAATATGGACATGTCGGAGGAGCTCCCGGCTCCCAATACCCCTCAAGTCTATTCATTCAATCTATATGGTTCTGCCTTCCTGTGGCACCAGGTTCGACACATGGTGGCGATTCTCTTCTTGGTCGGCCAAGGGCTTGAATCTCCATCCTTAGTCGCTGAGCTTCTGGACGTTACCAAGAATCCAAGGAAGCCTGCCTATGATATGGCCTCCGACGCACCTCTGGTGTTGTGGGACACGGTATTCCCGGATGAGAGCAAGAATGCACGGGAAGATGCCCTCAACTGGATTTATGTCGGCGACCCTCAACACAATCAAACCCGCAGTGCTAAAGGCGATGGCAAGTTTGGAATGAAGGGTGTCGTTGATGACCTTTGGTCGGTATGGAGACAGCGCAAGATGGACGAGATCTTGGCTGGTGCACTTCTAGACTTGGTTGTCAGTCAGGGCGATCAAAGCTTGATGCAGAACATGGACGGGAAACAAGGAAGCAGCAAGAAGAAAAGCAGGGGCGCCAAGGTCTGGCTTGGGGCGAATGAAGCTCGCGTTGGGGGAAACTATGTCCCCGTCATGAAAAAAAACAAGTTGGAGACCGTTGAAGTCCAGAATGCCAAGTGGTTGGTGGCAAAAGAACGCAAAACGGCGCTTAAAGTTGCCGAGGCGAAGGTGGAAACAACATTATAAAGATAGGTTGCATATACTTACCAGTTAGACACGGCATTTTTTGGAAGCCGACGTCATGAAAGAATGTTGTGTCTGATCCTCCTTCAGACCACGATGTCATTCTATTGCGCCTGTGCGCCTAGTAAAAGATGTTTCTGTAGCTCTTCGACATATCATGACTTCGCATCATAGAGACAGCGGCGCGAACCCCTCCAGACTTCTTCTAAGATTTCTCGCTTCGGTAACAATTTCTGGTAGACAGAGTGTCTTAGCCTTGGAACGTTTGAAGTCAGGATAGAACTTACTGGAAATACTACCAACACCTCCGGCTCTCCTTCCACAATAACGGCGAGGTAGAATCGGACCTCAAAGCCCTTGAAAGCCTCATGTATCACAATGTCTTGGATCTGTGTTGTAGGGATAAAGCGCGTGGCAGCCGTTGAGAGGTAAGTGGAAGAGGAAGTGGAAGTCTGGATCCCGAAGCCTCGAATCACTAGAAGTGATTCCTCTGCGAAGATGTTAGACAAGACACAGGGTAGTCTCACTGGGGAATTATCTCGCGCGCATACCTGTATAACCTCTCCTGAAAACCCCATATATCACCAGGGGGCTTAGTGCGGTGATAACCCATGGGTTATAGGAGTCCACCGAACGGCAAACACGAGCCCCGAGGGGAGTCGACCAAATGGCTTTCCAGTACTCTAGCCAACCACCTTCTTTGAAGAAGAAGTAATTTCGCATCTGCACGACTATGACGAGGATCACACAGCAAAAGAGAATCGCGCGTAGGAGGATCTGGAGGCCGAAGAGGATCTTCGCGGGGGAGTTGGCGCGGCGCGGCGCATTGGAAACAGTGAAGCTGACCGTTGTTGGAGAAGGCCGCTGGACTCTGAGGCGGCCCGGCATTGTAGATGAGCGGCGGGGGATTTATCTGAATACAATCCACCAAGACCGTGTTCCTTGCGATTCAATCGACACCGGAAATTGAATGACCCTGGAGGCCCAGACTGAAATCACGAAAGAAGCTCATGCCGAGCCAAACACGCTAGGCCGTTCTTGGAATACGAGCACCTGGAGACCCCTAGTCACGTGCATACGGCATTACAGCCTACCCTCCATTCACTTCTGGACTGACACTGTCGGGCACCAACCTACCTCTGTTTTCTCGACCCCTCCAACATGGGTGACCGCTCACGAAGCCGGTCTCGTAGTCGGTCCCCCCGCCGACGCGAGGATGGTGATCGGAATCGACCGAAAAAGACAGGTGGTTTCCGGTGGAAGGAAAAGAAGCGCGACGAGAATGCCCGCCCCGACGAGCGCGGACTAGATCGTGGATACAGAGAACGACGTCGGTCACGCTCCCCCCGTCGAGATCGTGACAGCGACCGCTACGGAGACCGATACAGAGACGGTGGTCGGGAACAAGACCCGGAGCGCGGACGACGCGACGATCGGGATACGCCGCGAGACGACGAGAAAAAGAAAGAAAAGAAGGACAAGAAGAAGAAGCCGGTTGCACCGCAGTCTTCTGAGCCCATGATCGTCGTCCATGTGAATGATCGTCTGGGTACCAAAGCTGCAATTCCCTGCCTAGCCTCGGATCCCATCAGTAAGTATTCCCTTCCCGCGGGCGTGTGGTGCAGCCCGTCGGCCAACCATACTCATACGATTCGCCATCAACAGAGCTCTTCAAAGCCCAAGTGGCCGCTCGAATTGGCCGAGAGCCCCACGAGATCCTCCTTAAGCGCCAAGGTGAACGTCCCTTCAAGGATCAATTAACCCTCGAGGACTACGGTGTGAGCAACGGAGTACAACTTGACCTGTGAGCCTCAGCATTCCCCGACCCGCCATGTCCGCGGAGTATCATAGCGTGCTAACTGCTTTCTAGGGAGGTTGGCACTGGCGATTAGAGGCAGTCAACACCATTACTCAAAAACATCCTCAAGCGTATCTCGGCAGGACGGTTCGGTGTTTACTTTGTCTCTTTTCTTTTTTTTTCTTTTTTTTTCTTTTTTTTTACTCTCGTCTTACCTGGAATCAACGGAAACGGAGCATAGGAGCGTGATGATGTCTTGTGTTATTTTTCTTTTTTATTCCTATTCCTATTCCCTTTTTTTCCCCTGGGTTCCTTTTTCTTCCAATTTTCGCATGTTTCCTTCTTGCAACCTTGCATTCCGCACCCATGTGTATCTATCGGCAAATGGAAGTAAAGGCGGATTCTTCGAGGAGCTGTTTCCATGTACTGCGGTACTGCGGCCAAGTGGTGCATCGTTGCGTCGCTACCTCGGGAGCCATGCTGGCCATTTGCCGGTCTCCGGAGAAAAGCACTGGAGCTGCTGGCCAGTGCCTGCATTTCCGTCGCCGTTTTCCTGCGGGGCTTCATACCGCTAGTCCAAATGCGGCATGCCTCGACACCTGAACGCCTGAGGCCTACGGCGGCGACCAACCCGAGGCCACGACCCGTTCCACTCTCTAAAGAGGCTTTTTTCGATCGCGGGACTCACACGAGCTGGCAATTCTTTTTTTCTCCTCGACCGTCTCGATTCCCCCGCGATGAGGTAGTCGCTGCACTCTCCACTCCTGCTTGTTTCTCTGCTCTCCGTTGCCCTCTGTTCTTCTTTGATTTCTTGGCCTCGAACTGCCCGTCTCATACCGTTTGCCTCCCTCTCCAGATTTTCTATCCCGCCGGAACCCTCGACCTCTTCCTCGACCTCCCTCTCCTCCGCTCAGCCCTACGCTGCCCGACCCCTCCATTTCGATTGCTCCTCTGCACCCATTTCATCAGAACATTCGACCGCCATGGTCCGCAATATCGTCGTCATCGGGGGCAACTCTCACCCCCAGTTGACTCAGACCATCTGCAGTGTCCTTGGCATTCCCCCGGCGGAGGTCCTGCTGTCTAAGTTTGCCGTGGGCGAGACCCGGGTTGAGATTCAGGAGTCCGTGCGTGAGAAAGATGTCTATATCATCCAGTCTGGTGGTGGCAAGGTCAACGACCACCTGTTGGAACTTCTCATCACGATCTCTGCCTGCAAGACTGCTTCCGCGCGCCGGGTGACCGCAGTCCTTCCCTTGTTTCCCTACTCCCGCCAAAGCGACATCCCTTACGACAAGGCCGGGGCTCCTCTTGTGAAGTCATCCGTGACCAACCGCCTCAACAACGGCTACACCTTTGAGAGCACTCCCTCTACCCCCGGCCCTGGCGCAAAGACGGAGGGCTTGGGTTTGATGAACGGCATGGACAACCTGCAAAGGAGTTTGGCCAAGGCTCAGATTGAAGAAAGCAATGGCAGCCCAGTAAAACGGCGCCCTGCTAACGGGCTCCCCCGGAGCGACACCACCGACTCCGTCAAGTCCTTAACCAACCCTGTTGTGCCGGAAGACACTTCCAGTAATGGCTCTACATCTTCCAAGATCAACTCTTTCCAGCCGCGTCCTGGCTACAAGCAGTGGGTTGCACAGGCAGGAACCCTGGTGGCTGACCTGCTCACCTGCGCAGGTGCGGATCACATCATCACCATGGATCTGCACGACCCACAGTACCAGGGCTACTTTGATATCCCTGTTGACAACCTTTACGGACGCCCTCTCCTGAAGAGCTACATTCAGCGCAATATCCCCAATTACAAGCAGGCTGTCATTGTCAGTCCCGATGCTGGTGGTGCTAAGCGTGCCACAGCCATTGCCGACTCTATGGGCATGGAGTTTGCCCTGATCCATAAGGTGAGCTTCTTTTTTTCTGAGGCTCTGCAGAGTCTGAACCATCATGCGCAATAATCTGACTGTCAACACAGGAACGACGCCCTACCAAGATTACAGACAGACAGAATGCCACCATGATGCTGGTCGGTGATGTCCGCGATCGGATAGCCATTCTGATTGATGATTTGGCGGACACATCAAACACAATCACACGGGCGGCTAAGTTGCTGAAGAAGGAGGGTGCTTCCCAGGTTTATGCGTTGGTGACTCACGGCATTCTGAGCGGTGACGCTATCGAGCGCATCAATGCCAGCTCACTCGACAAGGTGGTGGTGACCAACAGCGTAGACCAAAGCGACCACCTGCGCCGCTGCCCGAAGCTTGAGGTCCTAGAGGTCGGCCACGTTTTCGCTGAGGTGAGTTACATACGTCCGTTCAATTAGCGCCACCAGACCTTTTTTGCTGACCGCTTCATTCCAGGCCATCCGCCGAGTCCACCACGGTGAGAGTATCAGCGTTCTGTTCCAGTATGATTGATTTAACACTCAATCTGGATGGGGAATTCAGCAGACAAAATTATCGCACACACTCTCAATGCTGGATTTGGGGTTTTTTTCGACTGGCATCTCAAATGAATTTCGTTGGACCTACTGGCGTTGTTTTTCATGCTTGACGTCATTTTCCTATCTATTTTCTACCACAATCCTCCCATTTTTCATGCTATAGAAATTTTGGTCCCAAGTAGACTTGGTACCACGAGAGCAAATATTCTCGTACATGCGATTGTGTATCGATCACCCTCGTTCATGTCCTTGGGTCTGATGGACTTTCCGGACTTTTGGTGTTTTCTACTTGGCTCTACCGTCATCTGCACATATACGTCTGAATTACAATTTAAACAAACATTCCGGTGGCTGGACATGTTTTTTGGGGGGGTTCACCTTTTTGGATGCTTTGCCGGACGCTCTTACCATCCAAATCAAGATACAAGCCAGAAGGTCTGGACTATTAGAAGAAACATTCATCCATCAAGAAGTTATCCATAGATGACTAGACAACCTTTTGATCAGAAGGACTAATTGATACCAAGTAATACTCATCTGGTTGATGAATTTTGCTCTTCTATATCACAAAAAGAGATCAAGAAATTTCCCAACGCCTCAAAAATCAAGAAGTCAAAAAAAGCCGAAACCAGATGTGACCATTACCCTGGCCGGGAAAGGGTGATGCGCTCACTGCAAGACTCGGAAAAGAAGCGAACTGGGTACTCGATACAACGAAATCGGCTGCCCGCAAGCAAAAAAAGCACACAGCCATGGAGAGATGGTAAGTACAAATAATGGAAAAGGAGAACAAGAGTCAAGTAATGAAGATGTCCAGGTTTAGAAGACGGAGATGAAATTGCCAATTCTCTCCTTCTGATTCTGGGCGATGCACTCCGAGATCCAGGTGACATTCCGGATTTCCTGGTACCTATTAGTTGCATGTTTAAAGGAATGAGGTAATTTTTAGTTGAGGGAAATCCTTACCTGCTCCTTAAGCTTCATCCACGCGTACACCACCGCCGGGGTGAACTGACGAGTGAACACAATCTTCGACATCTCCATCTCCTTCTGATAGAAGAGATCCTCCAGGCTCTTCCCGTCAGCAGGGCCGCCGCCCATGCCACCAAGGCCACCACTACCCTGACTCAGACCTACAGCGTCGAAGAAGCTCTTGTAATCTGCAACAGCACTCACAGCCAAGGCCACACCCTCAACGTCCTCGGCACGAGAGAGCATTAGGCTCCCCTCAGGGTAGAGATTGCCAAACTCAGGGTATAGCTTCCTTCGCTCTTGCTTGGACAGCTCGGTGCCAAACGAGTTGAGCGTGATGTTGATCGAACGGCGATCGGCCTCAAACTGCAGAATCTCCGACATGATATCCTTGGTCGGGCCAGCAAAGTCCGCATGGCTGTTCACAAAGTTATAGAAGTCCTCTAGGTAGTTTTTGTAGAGGGTGTTGCGAACGATCTCAATGTTGAGTTCGTCCAGGTCCTGGTGACTGAGACTGCTCTTAAAGTACGGTGCAAGCGGAGTTTCCACGAGCACTGAGTTGTAGAGCTCCTCGATATTGGTAGCGACGCACAAGACAGGCAGAGTCTCGAACCAGCCCAGCGGGTGACATCGCTCTAGGAGTTCCCGAGTGTCGCGCTCGTGCAAAGTGCCGGTAATCAAAAGGGCGATATTATCAATCATGTAACCGTAGGTTAGATACTCGAGGAACTTGGCTGTTGAGCCGGTAGACTGGGCGACGAGGTATCGGAATTCAGAGACCAGCTTGTCGGTCATCTTGCCAGCGAGGGAAGAGGTGGAGGGGTTCGGGGGCAGGGCGGCAAGAAAATCGCCATATGCAGGCCCTAGCTGCAGCTTCACATCTATTGTATTCAATATTAGACATCAGAGCGATCATTCAAAGGACAAGAAAGTATGTACCATCAATGGTTTCGCATTGTGTCAAGTTGGAGTAGTTCTGGCCGGTCAAAAGGCTGTTCCGATATCCTCGGACGATACCCTCGACGTATCTTGAGGCAAGTCAGTCAGACACCTATTTTGAAACACCTTCTATCCACCTACCCGGCATTAACATTGAAGAACAGGCCCTCCATGGTGCGCGAAGTGTGACGATGGGTTGGGGGAACAGCTGTAGCTCCCTCGACGCTGTATGCCGGTGGTGGTTATGTAAGCCACCGCCACAGGTGTGGCTTTCACTTTTGCACTTTTTCTTCCGTGCAAAATTTCTAGATTTCTCCTCAACGGTGATTGCGTCCACGGTCCACAACGTCCTCGTCTTTCTTTTTCTTTTCGATCTGGGCCTCCTATAATTTTCACTTGAACCTCTTTGTTCCCCCAGATCCCTTGCCGTGGTCGCCCACCATGTCGCTTTTCATTCTCACTGAGACAAGCGCCGGCTATGCCCTGCTGAAGGCCAAGGACAAGAAGCTCTTCAAGCGGGACCAGCTCCCTGAAGATGCTTCCTCTGCGGAGGGTATTTCCAACCTGTAAGTTCTTCCTTATTTTTTCTACTCGGGCAAACCCCTGGGTAGGAAGATCGCACGATCTTCGAAGCCGGCGCAAAAATTTCTGTCGCAGCCAACAGTGATACTAACTTGGCCCACAGCTTCAAATTGAAGAACTTCAAGAAGTTCGACAGCGCCGCTACAGCTGTGGAGGAGGCCTCTGCCATCATTGAGGGCAAGGTTACCCCTCTTCTGACCAGCGTTCTGGAGGACCTGAAGGATGAGAAGAAGGCCTCTCTGGCCGTTGCCGATGCCAAGCTTGGTATGTACAGTTTGCTGTGCAATTATTGGGCTGTGTCCTGACGTGTTTACTACTAGGAAATGCCATTGGCAAGTTGCCCGGTCTCTCTATCGAGCTCATCGCCGATTCTACCACCTCCGATGCCTTCCGTGCCATTCGTGAGCATCTGACCACTCTTATTCCCGGCCTTGCGCCCAGCGATATGTCCGCTATGTCTCTTGGTCTCTCTCACTCGCTCGCTCGCCACAAGCTCAAGTTCTCCCCGGATAAGATTGATACTATGATTGTCCAGGCCATCGGTCTGCTGGATGATCTCGACAAGGAGCTGAACACCTATGCCATGCGTGTGAAGGAATGGTACGGCTGGCACTTCCCCGAGCTTGCCAAGATTTTGAACGACAACATTGCCTACTCCAAACTTGTTCTGAAGATGGGCATGCGCTCTAACTGGGAGACCGCCGATCTCTCTGAGGTTCTTCCGGAGGAGATTGAGGGTGCCGTCAAGTCTGCTGCTGATCGTTCCATGGGTACCGAGATCAGTGAGGAGGATCTGGAGAACATCCAGGCCCTGGCCACTCAGGTTGTTGAGTTCTCCGACTACCGCCAGCGTCTCGCCAGCTACTTGACCTCCCGTATGAACGCCATTGCCCCCAACTTGACTGCCCTTGTTGGCGAGCTCGTTGGTGCCCGTCTTATTGCCCACGCTGGTAGCCTTTCCAGCCTTTCCAAGAGCCCCGCCTCTACCCTCCAGATTCTGGGTGCCGAGAAGGCCCTGTTCCGTGCCCTCAAGACGAAGCACGACACCCCCAAGTACGGTCTGATCTACCACGCCTCTCTGATCGGCCAGGCCACTGGCCGCAACAAGGGCAAGATGGCCCGTGTTCTTGCCGCTAAGGCATCGCTTGGTATCCGTGTTGACTCTCTGGCTGAGTGGGATGACGATGTCACCGAGGAGGACAAAGCCGCTCTTGGTACCGAGGCTCGCTTCAACCTGGAGCGCAAGCTGGCCGCTATGGAGGGCAAGCCTGTGAAGCCCCGTGGTGTTGCCATTGCTCCCAACGGCGCTGCTGTCCAGCCCCAGAAGTTCGACCTCAAGGAGGCCCGCAAATACAACCCCGATGCCGATGCTCTGGCTTCCGAGGAGCCCGAGGAGCCCACATCTGCCAAGAAGTCCAAGAAGGACAAGAAGAAGAAGCTTGTGCAGGAGGTTGAGGAAGATGAGGAGGATGAGGAGATGGCCGATGCCGACTCTGACGATGAGGTGGATGGCACTGGTGACTCCGAGCTCGAGAAGCTTGCCGCTAAGGCTGGTCTCAGCGTCAAGCGGTACCAGCGTAAGCTGGAGCGAGGTGAGATCTCCTTTGATGCCGCTGGCAATCCGACATCCATTAGCAAGAAGGATCTCAAGAAGGCCAAGAAGGACGCCAAGAAGGCAGAGAAGGAGGATGGCAAGAAGCGCAAGCGTGATGACGGTGACGACAGCGAGAAGAAGAAGAAGAAGAAGAGCAAGGGCGAGTAAATGTTTTTCTCTTTCAAAAGTTTCGTGCAAGGTGACGGATGGCTTTTCGCGGATCTGTATGATATCACTTTTTTTGTTTCGCGGCCTGCTCGCTACGCATGTTTGGGGTCATTTAAGGTCGCTCTACCTATTTTTTTTATTTTACTGGCGCAGACGGTGCTTGATGGTATAAGGCAGTACAATTCATCTGAATAATCTGTTCATCCGATTTAAGTAGCTTGTAAATGATTTGATACCATACTGTTTCACCCTAGTTGTAAACCCGCTATGCCTCGGTTTCTGGCATCCGGTCAATTACATGTCACCGAAATTCAAATCTTGAACTTTCATCTAGGAAAACCATGGCAGTGAGGTTTGCTACAGTAGTAGGGCAGCACCTCTACTTTAGACTTGTCACTCCGCATGCATCTTTCATAGTCTAAGGGTAGGCCGCTTTTTGTACCGCCTAATACTGCCGGCAAAATTAGCAATTTTCCCTCTCGGCGACTCGTATATCCCCCTCCTTCACATCCCAGTCGACTCACTCATCATGAGGGTAAGAGGTTTTTCTCTCAAGTTTTCAATACATTAGGATATACTAATAAATGACAAAAGATCATTGACCCCCAATCTGCCGTCCTCACCAATGTCGAGGTACTGGCTTACCTCTCATCCAATCCCCCCGCCGGCCACCGAGCCGGCCGCCAAATTCACGGAACTGGGTACCAAGTCCAGATCTACGAGACCATAACACAGTCGTGAAAGAAGTAAGATACCCTTCGTTGTGCTTCAATCTTCTCTATTGAAGGGTCAGCGCACATTTACCTTCCTCTGCCATCTGTCGAAAAAGCAATAGCAACTGCAAAGTCACTGCCGCAAATTAGATGCCGCTACAAGCCTGCACCAAAGATCCTTGAATAGCATATCAAAGTTTCATAATAGCTAACGGATCAATCTCATCAGATTCACAACTATGCCAGTCGTATCTCTCCCCATCTCCTCAAATACCCGCGTTTCACCTCCCGCCCGTCATCCTCCCAGTCCCAAACTCAAGCAGCCATGACCGGGACCATGAGACCAACTACCACTACCAATACTACCGAGCCAGACGCCTCCACCATCCCCCCACCACCTCCATCTAATGAGATAACCCCCATGGACAAAGCGCTGCGTGATATCGTTTCCAGACTCCAGCCCTATGGCCTAACCAAGGCCGAGCTGGTGACGATCCTAAACCTAGGCATTGGCCTCTCTGCAGGCGGCGAATCGGAAGAGCGCGCAGATGAGGAAATGACCAACGGCCACGGGGATATGGAGGTGGATGGCGAGGTACCAGCTGTGAACGGGGACGCAGAGGCGGGCGAGGCCGAACCTGAGGGCGAGGAGGGCATGGACTACGGCGCGATGGCACTCTTCGACTCAGTGATCGAGGAGCGGGAGTATCGGATCTCTGACGAACAGTTGGTTGAAATTCTGGCGATTATTCGGGAGACTTTAGTAGAGGACTATGGAAGCTGATGCTTGGTCTCTTTTCGCTTTTGATGCTGTCTATACTACTACATATTCTATTGATATCCCGAGGTTGAGTACCTCAATTCTATGTGGACTTCTTGTGTCCTGACCGTATTGTGCAGTGTGGATAATTGATTTGTAGAAGAAATGGATTCCTTCGTTTAGGTTGTATGTGCACCAGCCTTGGATGGACAAGCTGGTCTGGTCTTTATGGAAATCTTTGATCTATGATACATAACAGACGAACCCATAAACGCCAGAACATTCATAGGCCATGCTTGGAATGCCATGGCCTGCACAAAATCAAACAATGGTATCGAGCAGGATCAAAAAACACAACTTGGCAATCGAGCGCTGCGGCTCGCGAAAGGACGCAGTATAGTTGAGCATATCTCTTCAGCAGAGGTTGAACGAATTATACCAACAATGCTCAGATATTCAACATCCAGAACAGATGACTGGTGGATGATCCGATAGACCAGATGTTCTGGCTTCAGTAAGTGAAGGTCACGAACAGAGGTCCTTCATGCGGACCATCAGGACTCATGGCGTTTTAAAGGGACCTCATCTTCCCTCTCCTTGCCCCTGATGAGATTCCCAAATCGGTTGTAGACCGGATCCTCCGGGTCCCCGTTCTCTTTGGCCCAAGGTCCGAGGTCGTCATCAAAGAGATCTCGCTCCTGTCCCTCGCACACCTCAGAAAGTGTGACCCAGTTCTCCTCGTCCGTCCACAGTCCACCGCGTCCACCGCGCATCTCCCACCAGTCCTGGCCTCCCAGGAGAGCCGACTGCGCGGCATCAAACCCGTGAGAGGAACGGACATATCGCCGGAGTAAAGCTCGGGCCCAGGGGAAGAACCACATTTGCTCCCACCAGGCATTGCGCAATTTTGGATCACCGTTGAGGTGAGCGAGGACGGGAACAGAGGCGGAATGGGGGTTTGTCATGAGAGGGACATTGTGCCACGAGTGTTCGTCTGGGTTGGGCAGCTTGTCGAGAGTAGCATTCCATTCTGGCGACGTGGTCTGCTCTTTGGCGAAGCGAGTCTGGTTGAAGGGATTGGGGAGGGACGCGATATCTTCGGGGAGAAGAAGACGGTGTTCTCGTGGCACACCGAATTGACCCTGCAGAAGCGACGTCTTCGTGATGTTGTTGAATTTGACCCACTCGACATCGTTCCGGGAGAGGATTTGGTTGAAAAATAGCTGAGACTCGTAGTCGACGCCTATGCCATATTCGTAGCGGTGTCCAGCCTCCAGTCGAACACTAATTCCGGTGATATTCACAGCATCCGAGATACCAAGCATCTCGTAGAGGCTCTCCTTGAGCCTGTTGGCAGTGCGACGCCGCTCCAGCTCTCTGACTACCTCTTGTTTGCCAAAAATCTGCGTGAGAGCCTGGTAGTCGCCGTGCTTCTTGTGGCGTTGCTCCATCACGCGCAAGACTTCGTCATAAATGAGTCTCAGATCAGCAGCCTGACCAATCACTGCCCCGGGATTTAGCCATCGGGGCCGGTTCAAATGCCCGTCTGGGTAAACATCCGTCTTCCAGCCATACACATCCGGCGGCAGAGAGGATTCTGGGACGGAAACACAGCCGGGATCGGACAACAGTCCGCCGTAGCACAGCTTGCTGGCGCCGAATATAACCTGTTGGGAGTATTTCTGCACCTGTTCTAGAGGGGCACCTTGTGCATTCTGCACCGTGGCGAATCCATACTTTTTCTGTAGCTTTCGGTTATTCGTCCGCAGGATGTCTTGGAAGCGTTCCACTAGGATTCGAGGAGGGAGCTGGAAGAAGACATCCACAGCGTCAACAATCAATACGATATCTCGATCGTTCACGGTCCGGCTTGTCTTCAGGTAGTTCCGAATGCGGGTGATTCGATCCACCGTGCGCTCGAACTCGGTCGCTCCGGGTTTTTCATGATCATATCCCACAAGGGTTGGGGGAGGGTAGCCAAGGATCATCGCCGATGTCATCGTTCTGCAAGCTCCACGGGAACCCTTGGTGGCCGGAATGAGCACATGGAGGTGCGACACGTTCTTTTCCGGGTCGACGGGGAGGGTCTCATTGGCCGTGAGGCCCGGCTTTCGAGGAAGAGCGACCAGCGCATCTTCGGGACGTTCAGGAAAATATGGGCGCGAAGGGAATTTGGTCCAGAAGTCTGGCTCAGATTGCTAGACGTGGCGGACAATTGGTATTAGCACCGGGCTGCATCTCCGAGCAAACGTGGCCGATCCAGGCATGCATGTGCCAGTCCACAGCGGGGTTCGAGGTCTAGGGGGGCCAAATAAGGATCTTCACTCACCGCTGAAGACGACAATAGGATCCAGAGAAACAGCAGGCATGCGATGGCTATGTAGGCCACGGTTTTGGCTTGCTGGGAGCGCGGGCGCTGGTGGTAGACCTGCCACAGTAGAGTTGTGGCGGCTGATTTAGCGTCCTGGAGGTTCGAGAATGGCGGGCTGGGCGACGCCATCCTGACCAAGAGATCTCAAATCCAAGTACGTGACAACCAGGTGCACATTGCAGCAGATACAATATCAGGCACAATGTCGAGCAGGCGATGGCGGGACGTTTCAGATACTTAACCAGGACCACGCGGGAAGTACGCAATCTACGTGGAGATATGCAGCCGCGCAGGGATGATCAGCGCCTCCGCCCCGTTTCCGGCACGTTTGGGTTGGCTCGTTAGGGCCTCCAGGGTCGCAACATAACATCTCGCTCTATTTTCTAATTGGGTTTTGGGGAAAGGGTCTCGCCAACAAGCGCTTCGATTCTAGCTTATGTTCTACTCCAAATAGATCTCCTCCCGTAGGCGCTGTAGGTTGCGGAACAGCCCGCCCGCGGGGGCTCCGCTATCACTATCTCGACGTTGCTCTGTCCGTGCCCTGGGCCCGCGTTGGTTCTGTTCGGCCACAGCCTGCTGATGCTCCAGGTTCCGTCGTCGCTCATCGACAATTCGGGCAAGAGCGTCCACGAATCGTTGGCGGGCCTTTTCCTCCGCGGATCCCTTCCATACCATCGCTAGCTCTCGGAGAGCCTCCACGCGAGCGGTGGCAGCGTCTAAGCCGGAGCGCCCACCGCCATCACGGTCGAGGAGCTCAGATATCTCGGTGCGTAGTTTCTTCATAATCTCCTGGCCCTTCTCCTCCTGGCTATGACCCTCGGCGCCCAACTCGGGGCCGGAGACGGAAATGAAAGACGATGAAAACGATATCTCGGATGGGGGTAAGGGCCATTCCATGGCATCTCCGAAGGTTTGGATAACGTCTTCGAGTCGTGATCGGACTCGATTGAGGGTCCGGAGGTTGGTGATGTATTCAGGTTCATTCGGGGCAACTGCCGGGTCCGTCTGTTCGGTTTCTTCCTGTGGGCCCTCTTCGGCATCCTTTGTAGCCGCCATAGTAGCAGTGGAATCCTCGGTGTTTTCGAGTTCTTGCTCCTTATTCCTGCCCGCGACTGTTTTGTCCGTCGCGTTGTCTGGGACGAACTTGGTGATATCCTCGCGCAGAACCTCGGTCAGAGTCTCTGACAATCCAATTGTCTCTCCTCGCAACACCTCCACCTCGTAGGCTAGCCGTCCGCCACTTCGAAGAATCTCATCGCTGAGCTGAGACAGTGTACTTGACAGACGGACGTTCTGTGCACTGATTTGGGAAAGCAACGACTGGACCTGGGCCGACAGCTCGGTCAGCGGCACGGAGCCGGGTGCGCGAGAGGCATTCGGCTGTGTGGAGGCCACAGTCAACGGCGAGAGCGATTCATTCAGGAACTCGGCAGGGTCGAAGTTGGGGTCGCTGAAGTTCGGTGCTATGTCGGATGTGCTGGAGGGGTGCGGAGGCTTGACGCCAGCTCGGGCAGTTGAGCTGTAGCTTTGAGAGGACGCCATTCGGTCCTTTGCGCTGGGATCTTGCTGTCTCGAGTTTTCTATCCTCTATCCGACTAATTCGACCTTACCCAGTACGGTGTGCGAGAACAATGAGTTTCGAGTGTTTGACAATTAATTAATCGGCGGCATTGACTGCGGCATTCTTGAGACGTGCATGTTCAACTGCCCGTTTCACCGCCTTGTGCCGAATAGCAGAGTAACCTTGAGCGTACATGGATCAATGCAGTTCAGGTGTCCAGTCAATTCTCTAATCTGGATATGAATATATGGGAGATTGAAATAGATGCTACCTGGTATACGTCAAGGGTTATCCATCTGAGATACATGATCAGGTATGATGAATATATATTGATCTTCGGGTACTTCTCGTTCGTATGTCGACAGCGCTTTACTCCTCTATATATATTTCTTTCTTTAAAACCAGTAGTCTATTTATCATGTTGAAAATAGACATGAGAGTGGAATAAAATATTAAAATCCGACCCAGCTGCCTAAAAGAAAACGAGAACCAAAAGCTTTAGGGCCTTGCTAACTGGAATCATCTGGTAAGATGGGGTGAAAAAATAAAAAGAAAGATGCATCATCCGTGAATCGAACACGGGCCTCGTCGATGGCAACGACGAATTCTACCACTAGACCAATGATGCTAGTTGATGTCTAGGATTGCAAATTGATGTAATATGATCCAAACTCTTCACAATGAATCGCTTGCTTCGTAGACTGTTGCTCCTTTCACTTCTCAACTTCATACATTTCATTGACCTCCACATGCTTGAAATTACTGAGCCCTCTACATTACACGAAGAAATCTCAAATGAACCATTTCTTCTATTTCCAATACCATTGATATCGATAGCCCGTCCACCCCCGCGGACTTGGGACGCCCAGCACTGCCCCCAACCCAAACTATCAGTGGTCAAGATTGGGGGCCACAACAGGCAAGTCGCTAGGTTAGCTCGTGAACTGGGTTTTGCGTCATGGGCGCCCTCCATTGCCCGTCCCTCAGAGGATTCTCGTTTGCCCGTTGGCGAAGCCCGTACCGGGGGGAAGAGGTCATCCTGCGCCTCCCTTAGCACCTTGGGACTCCGACTGGTGCAGAGTGGTGACAACGTTGATCTATCGAAGGATCTATGGAGCATTGAGGCTCGGCGGCATGATCCAGTTCTGGTCATGGCGGGTCAGGATGCGAAGGTTGATGCTTCGGAACCTTTTGATCTCAGCCTCCCCTCTACGCCCTGGACAAATCTGCCTTGCGACCCTCCGGTGGAGTCCTATACGGGCACTCATTGCACATCAGGCTGAGCTAGAAAACATCTGGAAGGTTGTGGGGCCCATTCACGTGCCTCATGACGATGGCCGAGCCCTGCCCAGACATGCAATCTATGCAGGAAAAGCGGCAGCCCGGCCGACTTGCCCGTCGTTCTCGTTCCGCCGCGGTTGGTGGCAAGGGGCGACATACCACGCCGATACAACGATAACAACTATGGTAACGATCGCAACATTGGAAGCATCCAGGAATGCACATGGCAGATGGAAGGATTACATTCAAGCATAACCTTTTGTCGGTCTAGGCCGGGACAGCATTGCTCATGCCTGCGCTGCAGCACATACTTCGGGCTGGCCGAGTTGAGAGCGATAGATCGAGGCGATCGATGTTGACGGTCGGTGATTCTCGTATTACCATGTCCCATCCACGCGATGAGGACGACCGCGATCGGAATCTCTGATAGGATTTGGAAAGTGTTCGAAAATTGGATTGATTAATTATGACATCGAATAATTCAGGATCGGATAGTCGGCAACCAGGCGTCCCATGTCCATTTACCCTGTTGTGCACGGTCGACCATGGTCTTTGCGCCCGGGAGGACTCAGCCATGGGAGGCTTAGAAGCCGAACTCTAAGAAAGGTTGCGAACTTGGTGAACTGCTCCAAATTCCTCAGACGACTTCTGGGGGTGATTGGCGGGCTGGCAGCTCTCGGGATCCTCTTTTGGGCCTTCTTGGGTTCTTGATGAGCCTTGATTAATCCCTCGATTTGTCTGCGGCCTGTGACCCCGACCCACTGCGGAGAAAGCTCTCCGTCTCTCTCGCTCTCTCTTCGTCGAACATGGTTCGGGGCTTGGCCCAATCCCCGGCTACACGGCCGATCGTCGTTGCTTCTGTTTATTGTTTGTATTTAAACCTCCCCCTCCCTTCCCCCTCTCGGCTCTTTATCATTTAATCATCACCTGTCATCGCGATCCATCTCTTCCAGAACTTCTCCATCGCTGATCGGCCTTCATATAAAATTTCCCGTTTACTTGCGCACCTCTCGTCTGATTCAACACCTTTACGCTATGTCCGTCAACGGCGCCAGCAACAGCAAAGCTCCCCTGCAGGAGCATGATAACCCGAATGTTGCCCGCAATGGTCACGGGCTGGTGAAGGTGCAACCGGCTCGCTTGGATGATCTCCAGCCCCGATATGCGTCCACTATCCAGCACGACCAGGATAACCCAGAGGCTCATGGCTGGTATGCGCGACTCGGTACGTTAGATTCCCCAAGTAACATGATCTGTCTCCGCCCAATCTAATCATCATTTTTTTTTCGTTTGTATTTAGTCCACACCCTGGGCGAATGTATCGGTTTCTGCGGTGCCGTGCCCTGCTGCATTTGCTGCCCCAACCCATTTAAGCCGGTCAACCAAGGTCAAGTGGGCCTGGTCTCGCGATTTGGACGGTTCGTGCACTCCCCTATTCCGCGATTCATCGTCTTATCTCTGGTCGTTTATTATTCCTGTGCTCCTTTGACCAACAAGGCCGAGACAATCCTGATACTGACCTCGATTGGCAGCTTCGAACGCTCGGTGGACCCCGGTCTGGTCAAGGTGAACCCGCTCAGTGAGCACCTGACCACCGTCGATGTCAAAATCCAGATTGTCGAAGTACCCCGGCAGGTCTGCATGACCAAGGATAACGTGAACCTGAACCTCACCTCCGTTATCTACTACCAAGTCACCTCCCCTCACAAGGCCGCCTTTGGCATCTCCAATGTGAAACAGGCCCTCGTAGAGCGCACCCAGACCACCCTGCGCCATGTCATCGGCGCCCGTGTACTGCAAGACGTGATTGAGCGCCGAGAGGAGATTGCACAATCCACTTCGGAGATCATCGAGGAGGTCGCCGCCGGCTGGGGTGTACAGGTCGAGTCCATGCTCATCAAGGACATTATCTTCAGCAATGACCTGCAGGACTCGCTTTCCATGGCTGCCCAGTCCAAGCGAATCGGTGAGAGTAAGGTTATTGCAGCCCGCGCCGAGGTCGAATCTGCCAAGTTGATGCGCCAGGCGGCCGACATCCTATCGTCAGCCCCGGCCATGCAGATCCGCTACCTCGAGGCCATGCAAGCCATGGCAAAGACAGCCAATAGCAAGGTCATCTTCCTGCCTGCTATGAACCAGACCGTTCAGCAGCAGCTGGCAGCTGCCGATGCCGCCGGCGAGGGCCCAAGTACCTATGGGAACCCGGCTGGCCAAACCGATGATGGCTTCCAGCGCGCGATGAACGCCCGTGTGGTAGAGGACATCTAAACGTATCACCCTTCTTGGTAACGCAGGGTGGTTGGTGTGCTCGCGGTTTGCTTCGCTGAAGATATTATGACCTTTCAACCTCTTGGTTTGTGATTTATTTCAAGTCACCCAGGGGCCTTATGCTCGAAGAAGGAAGCTCTTTGTTTATCTTCGCATATACCCCAAGGGAACTCCTAATGCCCTGTACTATGGCTCTTATGGCTCGATCTGGACCCATGACGATACCCTCTTTTTTGTCCTTTGCGTGTGATACCTTTTTTGTTTCCTTTTTCCTTTTTCCCCCCCATTTTGGCTGGTTGCCTGTTCTCATTTAGCTTAATTGCCTCTATATCATCATTTGAGCTGTTCATGATCTTAAATCCCTGGTAATTATTATTCGTAGCAGATTTTGCAGACTCCTGTCAAGAACACCGATTGATTTGATTGCGGGGATGCGCGATAACCCTCGTGGTTGACTCTTATCGGCCGAGTCTAAAGGCACTCCCGAGGGACGGAGACCTTCAACCACCATCAACCACCACTTCCAGGAACTACCCCCAACCAAGGGTGACTGGCATTATCAAATCCCATTGACTCATGGCGCTAACCCTCCCCCTCATCACGTTTGACCTCAGCTCTCTTCCAATGACAAGCTGGCAACTGCCAATGCTGACGCCATCCAACCCCAACTTCACGTCTTGGGCCCTGCACGCCATCGCACGGGGGAGGCGCCTCTGATAGAAGTCGATACCATGCAGGAACAATAAATATGAAGACATTCCACCCACAAAGAGCGGCAGTTGCCAAAATAAAAAAAACCAAAAGGCGTGCAACATCTCTCTTCGCTCTGGTTTACCTTCCAACCGCCACGAGTTCGACCTCAATCTCATAGATCTAAAGTCAAAAAAGAACCAGCGCCAACATGTCCTCACCACCTAAAAAACAGCTCATCATCAATGCCTTTGCCATGCAATCGCCCAGCCACCTGAATCCCGGCCTATTCCGGCATCCTGGTGACCAGGGCGCCGCCTACAAGGATCTCAAGCATTGGGTCGCCCTGGCGCAAAAGCTCGAAGCTGCCAAGTTTCATGCGATCTTCTTCGCCGACGTGCTCGGCGGCTACGACGTTTACAAAGGCCCGGCAAACCTAGATCCAACTATCCCGGCCGCCGCTCAGTTCCCCATCAATGACCCGCTGTACAGTGTCCCGGCCATGGCCGCCGCCACGGAGAGCATCGGCTTCGGCGTCACCGCGTCGACCACCTACGATGCGCCGTATGCACTGGCCCGCCGCTTCTCTACCGTTGACCACCTCACACGCGGCCGCATCGGCTGGAACATCGTCACCTCGTACCTGGACTCAGCGGCGCGCAACTTCGGCCTCGACACGCAGGTCGAGCACGACGAGCGCTACCGCATCGCTGACGAATACCTTGACGTTACGTACAAGCTGTGGGAGGCGTCGTGGCGTGACGACGCAGTGACCTGGGCGCCCGGCGCGTCCTCTACAGCCGCCTACGCAGACCCTCACGCCGTGCGCCAGATCCACCACCGTGGTAAGTACTTCAACGTGCCGGGCCCGCATCTGTGCGAGCCCAGTGCGCAGCGCACGCCGTTCCTGCTGCAGGCCGGCACGTCGACGGCTGGCAAGGCGTTCGCCGCGAAGCATGCCGAGGCAGTGTTCCTGCACGCGCAGGCGCCGGAGCTGGTGCGTCCGTCTGTCGACAGTATCCGCGCGCAGGCGGCGGCACTGGGACGTGACCCGCAGGCTATCAAGGTGGTGGCGGGGGCGCTGGTGATTGTAGGGGAGACTGATGAAGCGGCGTTGGCAAAGTTCGAGGCGCTGAAGGGGTACGGCGATATGGAAGGTGCGCTGGCGCTGTTTGGGGGGTGGACCGGATATGATCTGTCGACGTATGCGGATGACCAGGACTTTCGATTCGTGGAGCTTCCGGCGGTGCGGAGTATGGTGAACCACTGGGCGAGCACGGTGCCTGGGACCGAGGGGAAGAAGTGGGACAAGCGCACGATTGCGGAGTATCTGGTTCTTGGGGGCAATGGGGTCAAAATTATCGGAAGTGTGCAGACTGTTGCGGATGAGCTGGAGCGTTGGGTCGAGGTTGGGGATGTAGACGGGTTCAATCTCAGCTATGCCAGTCTGCCGGAGACGTTCGACGATATCATCGAGCTGTTGCTACCAGAGCTACGACGACGAGGCCTGTTCTGGGACGACTATGCTGTGAAGGGAGGCACGTTCCGCGAGAACATGTATGGCCGGCCGGGCCAGTCTCGACTGCCCGATGCTCATCCTGGAGCGAAGTATTTCTGGCGAGCGGGCGAGGAAGCCCCGGCGTACTCGCTGGCCGAGTCACAGTAAATTAGACAAGGTTGATCTTGATTATAGAATGAGTAAAAATAAAAGAAATATTGATGATATTCAATGCTGTAATACGCTATTTTGCAATGGAGACAAGGTATAGAGCACCCTGAAAATGTCCAAGTGGTTATTGATTCGGACAGGCGATCCCATACAGAAACAAAGACCCCTACAGAAACATAGATATTTTCGGCTCCCAAAATTGGAATTGTAACAAGTCTATTTGCTCAGACCTATATGACGCCTGTACATACTTAATCTATCTTCTCAAACATCCCACCACCCTTCCAAATGCGCGCGCAAATCAATATCTTCCGGCAGCTTCAGATGCGGCGTCAAATCCGCCGCCTCAGGGTCAAGCTCTCTCGAAGTCCACCCATTCCCAAAATACGCAAACCGATTTCCGCTCGGATTGACATACTCGTACTCCCAATCCTCCCAGCGCGGCTCGCGCCGAATGTAATTCGCATGCGCTGCACTACCAGGGAACAAGCCGTGGATGCGCCCCCCGGGTTTTCCGCCGTTATACCAAGAGCTGCAGTTCGCGGACCACACCGTGCGCGGGTAGAACTGGTCGCAATACTCGACAAAGTCGTCGGCGGCGCGTTTCAACGGCACGATGGACTTGATGCCCTGGGTGCGGATCTTGCGCAGCACTTTGGCGATATAGGTAACCTGGTTCTCGACGCTGTTGGGCACGGTGCCGCTGTGGCCGGAGGAGTAGGGCCCGCCGAGCCAGAGCAGATTGGGGAAGCCTGGGGTGGCGAAGCCCAGGTAGGAATAGGGGAAACCGAAGGCACCGTCTTTCTTCCAGGCGGTTCGGAGGTCGACGCCGTGTGCGATGATCGAGAACGGCGGGGCGTGGTCGACATTGGCACCGGTCGAGCAGATAGTCACATCGACGGGACGCTCGACGCCATCCTCAGTGACGATACCGTTTGCAGTGAATCGCTGGATGTGCGTGCGGATATAGTTGACGTTGTCTTTTGTCAGGGCTTCCAGGTAGCCCGGGCCCGGGGTTGGACGGCGGCAGTTTGGAGGGAAGTCTGGAAGGATGTGAGCTGCGAGTTCGGGCTTGTCGGTGATTCGTTGCAGCATGAGTGCTGTCCATTTCTCGCGCAGGGACTGGTTCTCGGGGGTGTCTTTGAAGATGGCTCCAAAGCGTTGGAAGAACCCTCTTTCCACTTCAGTGCGATACTCGAGGTAGGCTTTGGGATCCCGAAACAATTCTAGTTGTGCTTCTGAGAATAGGTTTGGCTCGAGGCGCCGCACGCCGCTGTTGCCACTGCTGAATGAGTCTGCGATCCAGGTTGGGTTACGGGCATAGTGGTCAATATGGCTAGCGAGCGGCTGGATGGATGGCAGGACTTGCAAGCCCGAGGCCCCGTTTCCAATGAGCGCGATGCGTTTGCCCTGGAGGTCGACTGAGTGATCCCAATTGGATGAGTGGAAGAGAGGTCCTTGGAAGTCTTGTATGCCGTCGTAGTCAGGAAGTTTCCAGGCATTGAAGTGGCCGATAGCATTGATGAGCACGTCGAGCTTTTCTTCATAGACCTAGCATATCCAAGAGAATGGAGAGAGTGAGTGACTTTTGCCGGAGGCGAGGGGGAGGAACTGTGGATGATCATGCTGACCTTGTCTGTGCCGTCTACATGCTGGATGGTGACTTTCCATTTCCCTTCTTCGGCCAGCCACTCGGCTTTTTGGACGCGTTGTTGCCGGCGGAGATATTGATACACGTTGTATCGGCGGGCCACGCTTTGCCAATATTCTCTGATTTCCTTGCCTTGGGCAAACTCCTCCGTCCACTGGGTGTTTGGAGCAAAGGCCGACTGATATGCATGGGCGGGGATATCACACCGGACCCCCGGGTATGTGTTTTCGAACCTATCCGGACAAGATCATTAGTATCTATGCAGAACTACGCGCGATATCAGACCATGTACCATGTGCCTCCCTACGGAACAGGTTATTAGCTTCAAGTGCAGAAAAAAGCAAAGATAGAGAGAGAGAAAGGCTTCAAGAGAAACAGCTGTGCCTTACCACATCCGCATTTTTATCATAGATCCGAAGGTCCAGATTGGGCAGCTTCGCGGGCAACAGGACGCCAGCCGTGATTCCTGAGAGGCCCGCTCCGATAATGCCGACTTTGATGGGCCGAACGACATCGACAGGATGCTCTTCCAGCTCAAACTGGGGCTGTGTTTGGCGTCCGATTGAGTTCAGTTCCTCGGTCTCGGTACTGTGAACCGTCACCGAGGGCCTCTTGAGCGGGTGAGTGATCTGCTTGATATCCGGCCGTGCTGGTAACGACACATCGGGGGTCTCGAGTAGAGCCATGACCAACTATCGTGAACGGCTGGGCCCGAGTCAACATGGATCATATCCCATCCGTGCCATTGGGACTGTGCTTGTCTTTAATGCACCAGGGCACGTCCAGAACCCACCCCTCATCCTGACTGCACGCCATCTGGAATCGATCAGACGTCAACGTGTGTGGCATAGGTCCGAAATGGTCGAACCCCTCCAGGGATGCTGTATGGAGTATCATAATCGGGGACTAGGCGTTTTGGTTCTGTTGTTCTCTTGATTTGCCGCGGCTCACCTCATTGCGGATGGCGATGGCGTGCGGGAGTTGGAGACCGTGAAGGAATTCGGCTGTTCACCACGCAGGAAATACTCCAAATGCTCCGAGAGTCCCATCGCAGAACAGTCCGGACTACTCCATACGTCACATCCATAACATCCAACACCATCGGCCCCGCTCTATACGCCATTGCGGGGGTTTCTCAGATACGATATGCGACCAGCGCTCTATCACGAGTCTGGGGCGTTCATAGTTCGATAGTCTCTCGGCCGATTCCAGGCGACCTTTAACGGTACGTAGAACATGCATGGACCTAATTTCGCTGTTCCTTATCGTTTTTATGGGAGTTTCACAATATAGATCCTCCGCAGCCCGGACGCCGTTGTTCGGCTCTAGCTGGATCACAGCGGTTGTGTGGCCCCGACCTGATCTCCCAAATCAATAAAGGCTCCGGCTATGCCATTGCCGTGAGAGAAAGGAGGGTTGTGGTTATTGATAATCATTTCGTTTGATAGAGGACAACTCGTGTCGACGAACCCGATGGCAGGAAGTGGGCAATCTGTCCCTTTGAGAACTCGCAAGTGGAAACAGTCACAGAGTTCATTCGGTCCATTTCCTCTGCGAGTACGTCTCAGCTTCATCTTTGCCAGTAATACGGGGCTGAAATACGAGATTTTTCGATCGAAGTGGATGAGGGCGGAACGAGACAGCCTGGCGCTGCTCGGGCAATCGGCCACTGCAGCATGACTCACCCCCTACAACGTGGCCCGGCGAGATTGGCAACTGCCTGGACAGATCTATACGAACTCACCAGTTGTAAGACATTTTCTTAAAACCTTTCTCCCGTCGTGCGGCCAATTTGAAAGAAATAGCTATCACCATGTCATTGGCTTCACCCCCGGCCTCGTTAGCCCCTCGAACATGGACTCGAGAAGGTAGCGACTTTTTCATTTCCAACAACCCAGCACTGCTCTCAGTCAAAGCCGTCAATGAGGCCTTTGGGCGAGATTTTATCTACTGGGGCAAACCATTCCCCGAAGACGTTATGCGGCAGATGCTGCACGGGTCCATGAGCTTTGGAGTCTACAGGCGCCTTCAGCCCCAGCCAGAGTCTCAAGCGCAGAGACAAAATATAGATTTGACGGCCACTGCAGATAACACAGAGCAAGTGGGGCTGGCACGAATTGTGACGGATGGCTGTACGTTTGGCTATGTCACGGACGTCTATGTCCTCCCAGAGTACCAAGGCCATGGACTCGGGAAGTGGCTGTTTGACTGTGTAGCGGAGATCTTCTCGAAAGAAAATATGCCGCATCTACGCCGCATCATGCTCCTCACCAATGAGCCGCATATGCAGAATTTTTACGCAAAGATCTTCGGGATGAAGGTGGTCGGAAGTGAGCCGCGGCCGGATACGGGCCGAGACTTGGTTTTTATGTGTGCGAGACCACAGACAAAGCCGATGTCAGAGGAAAAGTAGGAGGCGCAGGATTTCAGGAATGAAAAGATGTATATCTCATACTGTGATGTGGGCAATACCAGGAAGATCTCCGCTTAAAGAAATTGAGACATGAAAGGCAAGGTCGGATCAGGGCCAGTCAATCAACGAAACCCTTGAAATTCTCGATTTCTTTTTTTGTTGTTTACCATGGCAACTGTAAGGGAGTTGGCAGGCTCTTCCCTAGCACGCTCTCTGCAGTTCCAATATCCCTAGGTGTAATCAATCATCAGAATCTGTAGGTCTCTTTCCAAGCTCTCCGTAACTTACCCAGGTCCTCGTGGAGCCCAGAATTCGCCCGTCTTGCTGAGATCAAATTGATCAATAAAGAGCGCAAGAGACTGAGCGGCTTCCTGTGGATTCACGGCTGCGCGAGAACATGATCAGTTGAAACATCCTTTTTATGGTGGCAATTCAGGGATCTAGATGTGATGGAGGAGAAGACATACCTCCGCCAGCATCCCAGTATTTGTCAAACCCCACGCTCTTTGTCATCTCCGTTCGCATAAATCCCGGATGAATTAATCCAACGGCAATTCCCTGAGGTTTGAGGTCCAAGCTCAGAAGCTTCCCGACCATATTCAGAGCTGCCTTGCTCGCATGGTGACCGTAGTTGCCTCCCCCTTCTTTCTCATGACGGAGAGTAATGCTGCCACTCTCGCTGCTAACAAGAATGACCTTGCTCCCAGTATCCAACTGACCAGCTTTCACTAGATGATGCACCACAAAGACCGGGCCAATGGAAGATGTTGTGTACATCTGCACTTGCTTCTCCCAGTCCGGGGAATCGAAGGTCTCGAAGCCAAAGTATCCCGCGGTGATGATGACCGTCGAGAGTGTGGTCGCCGCCGGGATCTGCGCGATCAAGTTCTGGCCGACATTGTGCCGAGAGACATCAATGCCTGTGAGCCAGGTCACTGAAGATTCGTTCGCCGGGGCTGAGGCGGATCTGGTGGTCCCAAAAACACGGTTGGCGGGGTCGTTCGAGTACAGCGTCGCCAGGGCTGCGCCGAGCCCCCGTGTAGCGCCCACAATGAGAATATTATTGGTCATTTCAAGCAGTTCAAGCCTCTTCTCTGGTCAAACTTCACAATTATGAAGTGTTCGCAATTAAGCTAAGCACTGGTAGGTTTGTGGTCGTGGATTTCCTCGAGTCTGACGCAAGAGCAACATGACGTAATTGAAGCGATGCCTGTTTTTGGAAAATCAAAAAGCAATTTCGTCGACTCGACAGTTCATGTAGTTTGGTGAAGTACTGCACCCTCTGGAAGATGAATAGTAAATCCGGAGATGGCCCGCCTGGCCTGAACAACATCGGATTCTCGTCTAGACCCGTCCAGACCCGTTGGGGTGGAACATTATGGGGGCTGTGGCAGCATCCGAAAATAGAAGTTTGTCAACGGGGCGATCTTTTTATACTTCCGAGTCGTATACTTTAGACAGAGAGACCATGATTATGTCCCATAGACCGCACCAACACCATCAATGAAGTTCTGCAGACAGCACTGTGTTCTCTTTTGACTATTTGTAGCCTTCTGTGTTCCAAGGTCCCCGTAGCTCAGACGGGTTCATTGCGCCTAATCTGTCTCCTATGGACTCCGAAGATAATGAGCCTCTGATGTAACCAGAAACCGAGACATTGTCCTCTCTACCCCTCCACTAATCTAAAAAGAGTCTTGAGCAGGCGGAGACCTCACAGGTGCATGTCAAATGGCCCCCCCCCTCGAAGCGGATGGGCGATGAAGAGAATTGGGGGCTTCCCCAGACGCGGGCGGTGCCTACTGCAACGCTTAGTCATAACTAAAGCTTCGCCAAAGCCACGAGGCTAGACAGTTTAATTTGGACCTCGAACAAGGACTTCATATTTGAATACTAACTCCCCCACGGTGTGGTCTCACCGGAGCTGGCCGACCCCCATGTTGTCCAAATCCCCAGTATGACCGGCTTCTCCAAACTACTGCCAGCCGTGCTCAAATTTCGAGCAGCAATCAACCGAAGAAAGCGCGACGTCCCCGATTCCTCGTCGTGGCTAGAGTATGTGCTTGCTTTTGCTCTCTTCCTCTCTTTCTTTGTGTCCAATAATTGGGACCCGGGAAACTACAGTGACATAGATTCTGACGAAATTGTTCCTTCTGCAGTCTTGACAACCATGCTGATCCCCCCCTCGTTCCATCTCCCTGGCCCGTGCCAGTCGAGATCCAAATCAAAATCTTTGGGTACTGCGGCACCGCCGACTTCTTGTCGCTCAAGCTAGCTTGCAAAGCTTTCAACGACATCCTGAATTCAAACGAACATGAAGTGGTTCGTCAATTCCTTCGCCAGCGCCGTCACGGTACCCTCCCTTCTCCCATCGACAACGAACGAATCTATACCCGAAACCCGGAAGACGATGAGGTGCTTCTGTCAGACTTGTTCCCACCATCCAAAAGCGCCAGGGGAGGGCACCTTTACACCTTTAGATACTTGTACACTCTGCGCCAGAGGCAGAAACAATGCTCCAGGCTCTCCTACTATCTCGCCGATCGGATTATGGAGCGGTTTGTCCAGACTGAGGACATCTTCCTCCGAACCTCATTTCCCACGAAGAGAGCCGACCGGACTGCTCTCGTGAAACGCGGCAAAGGCAGTATATGGTTCCATCTTGCGCCGCTCATGTAAGTCTGATAATCGACCACAACGCAATCCGAATCCATCCCGCCACCGGTATACTAATGCTTCCCGCACCCAGGTATTATATCCTCTACTTCCTCGAATCATACGCTTCAGCCAGGCGGGAGCATTTGAATATGCTCTTCCGGGATCACGAGGCCGGCCGCCTCTCCGTTCCTATTCCGCTAGAAGTGCGCCAAAGCATGTACCGTGAGCTCCAGATCCGAATCCTCCAACAACCCCCTTTTACCAACACGATGGCACTGGTTGCCACCCACCACTGCATGCATCTTCTCGTCTCCTACATCCGGTACACAATGGCCCCGGAATCTGAAATAGACGATTCCTGGATCAGCTCTCTCCTAACCGTCTCGCCATTCGGGCGGATCGTCGAGTTCTTCTCTGCCGAAATTGGGGATGGGGGTGATCAGCGGAGGCAGCGGAAGGATTTCATGAATAATTTCTACCGGGATACCAAAGCGCATGAGAAGAATCAGATGAACTCTGTTATCTTTGGGCGCGCTTTGGACCGGAGTATGCATAGCTCTGTGCGCGATCTCTGGTTTGATGCTGCCACTATAGAATTGAATGCTCGACGGGCAATGCCTCATGATTCAGAGGGTGTCTGGCGCTGGGGTGGTATTCCTATTTTGTTTGGATGTCCGGATTGTTATTCTGTTGAAGGATGGCGGGCATGATGCATTGGTTGCCAGCGTTGATGGTGTTGGGGCGGATCTATAGAACTCATTTTCGAATTTTCTAGGCGTTCTGGATCTTAGGATACATAGCTTTTTATCATACTTTATCTTTTTTTACCTTGGACTTTTACATGGATTGTCATCTAGTGAAACTTAATCTAGCAGTCGCGACCCTAGTTCCATCCTAGCGGGCCCGGGAATTCCATCGCTGTTTGTTTTGTTTGCAAATGCGGCGCGTCTCCCCCAAACCAAATACCAACCGTACAAGTAAAAGAGCGCAAATCAGGATAAACAAAGTCTTGCCCATGAATTGAGTGATTGTCTGTAATCATGGAGCCGGCATCTTCATGGCAGCTATTCAATACTTCGTGGACACTTCACCGTCTTTCACCTCTGCACCATGGCAAGGATTGCGAGACGCTCCTTGACAACCCGGCAGCCTTAACGACCTATGCTACCCGATTGCGCGAACAACTTACAGGCAATGTCCTAGCCGGCCTTCATGTTGCCGCCAGCGCCGCAGATGACGATGCGCTTTCCAAGACTGGAGCGCTCCAAGAATGCCACTGGCAATCATTCTCCACCGATTCTTCGCCGGACAGCGAGGCGCGTGCTGGCATCGTGTTTCCTGGAATCTTGATCACATTGGTGTACGAGAACATCAGCTACAAAGCTGCCCTTCTTGCTGAGAGTCTCTCAAGTGCCCAGAATGGCAAGGGCTCGACGCTGCTACCGTTATTGCTGACCAAACTTCCCACTGCATTGCGGCAGACGTTCATCACCTTCCTATCTGCAAATTTCGACACGTACTGCTCCAATCTCCGTCTCCCGCCTTCTTTGCTCTGCAAAGGACTGGTGATTTTTGTGGACGAGCTGCGTGGTACACGAGGGTCTCGCGGTCGTTCTGTGGCAGACCATATGGTCGAAGAAGTTATGAAAGAGCTACAGCTTACCCTAGCATTCTCCTCGTCTATCGCACCGTCCCTGCGGACTCTCAATATCGGTATACCGCGTACATCATTGACTGACTTCCTGCAAGATGAACCAGGTAACCCCAAGGGGCGTTCGCTCAAGCAGAAGCTGCGGAGCCCATTGGTTTCAAACCTCACTGCTTATCTGGAGACTCACCTGGCCATGAAGCTGGACCTGGATGGCTTGTCCCAGAATGAAGTGGCAAAGCAGCATGTGCGGCTCTCGAAGGTTGCCTGCGCTTCTTTTGTGCTCGGGAGTGAAGGGCGCATGAAGTTGGTTGTGGACGCACGGCTGGCTGAGGGCGACGAAGGCCAAGATTCGCCTATCTTCCGCGCAGGTGAGGCCTTGCTGCAAACGGTGATCGGCAAAGCAGTAATTGGCGATCAAGAGCGTACATGAAGGGCTCTCTGTGCTTGACAAATTGACACTATTTTGCTTCGAGACATGGGCTCTTGACACTCATGAACAAGGCGCTACATTACTTATGCAGCCACGCTGCTGGAAAAGTGATTCACAGCGATACTCCAGCAGCCGCTAGCCCATGATCGCTGTGCATTTTGGCCATGTCCACATTTTCAATCAACATACAAAAGGACCCAAGTCATGGGAGCGGTCGGTTCTCTGCATAGAGCCTAGGAGCATGTGAAATCGGGCTCCAAAATGATGGTTATCGGTGTTAGAGGCGGCAGCCTTGCCACCCGATACATCATACACGCACAAATCTCGCTCGGCAGTCGATATCGCAAGCTTATGTCGGTAGAGCGCTCTTCACTCCCAGTCAGTATGAACAACCTGGAATAGGTAGCTCAATACGAACCTGAAAATGTGTATTTGGCTACCGGGTATACAGGAGAGGGTGGACGAGGTCGATGAAGGAAAGAAACAAAGGGAACGCGATGAGTGCAAGATAGAACGAATCGATAGAATTAGGGAGGATAAATTCGGCAAAGCCGAGGCTTTCACCTGTGTCAGAGCTACAACGAAATTTGGTTGGAGTGGTGATGCACAGCTCCTCCGTTTACAGATCTACAATTTTCGCAATCTTGTACACAACTCCCCTATCACGAACACGGGACCTGGATATAGTTCTTGGGTGCCTGATTTCTTATTATGAAATAAATCACCGTTCCAGATGAAAAGCAAATCAAATCAAATTCGAACACTTGCTAGCACAACTGATACACACATATGCCCTAAAAAAAGAGAGAAGCCAACGCTATGCGCAGAGCAGTTTGATCATAAGCAAGAGGTGGCTCGGCTCCATACAAAACGCAAGATCATCTAGATAGAAAAAAAAAATGGATCACCAAATAATCACTTAAATTCCCGTCTCTCCTTCTGTCTCCGCTAACTGTAGTGCCTCATCAACGCTGGGCACGAAATGCGTTAGACCCCCACATTGCTCAACAATACCGCTTCGTTCAAACATGCGGTATACACTGGAGTTCGGCAGTCGGCAGAAGAAAACTCGCACGCCGCTCTCCACATAGGCGTGCACAATCTCCCACAGAACCTGGGTTCCCGAGCCGTCGATGCTAGTCACACCGTGCACATCGAAAATGATGTTCTTGTTATGTTCGGCAGGGCGCATACGAGGTAGAGATGGGTGAGTCCGGCTGGAGCCGTAAAGCTCCAGGCGGCGCAGGCGGTTTTTGAGGTCACCTGTATTGGCGAAAGTGAGAGGCTCAGGGATCTTCACAATCAAAGCTCCCTCAATGAGCTCCACATTTTCGGGTTGCAGCTCGGCATTTTCAAAGCGGGTTGCGGTGCCGGGGACTTTCCCCATGATTTGAATGCGAGGTTGAGTCGAGTGGCGGATGAGAATTATGACTGAAAGTCCGATGCCAAGGGCCATGCCAAGCTCGAGCGAGTAGAAGATAGTCGCGGTGAAAATGAGAAGCATCAGGATGAGTTCGGACCAGCCGCGGAGGCGAAGGAAGAAAATCAAGTCGTGCGGACACTCTTCGACGAGAGAATAAGCAACCACGGAGATCATGGAGCAGAGAACGGCTTTCTGTTCAGTGTTAGAAAATCAATCCCTAATAATGTCAAGAGAGTCTGAGAACAAACCGGAAGATAGTAAAGGTATGGCAGAAGCACTAGAATACTGATGAGAGTAATGATACTAAGAAAGATACTGCTCATCGGAGATCGTGCACCGGTCTGGGAGTTGACCTTGCTGCGACCATATCCACCAAATGCCGGAAGAGCCATGAAGCATCCGCCGACAAAGTTAGCAACGCCCAGCGCTACCATTTCTCGATTGGCACTCATATGCATGCCCTGGATACCATCGGGCTTCTCATCGCCTAGACCTTTGGCTGCAACGGAAGACTCGAAGAAGCCCAAGAGGGTAATGATGAAAGCCTTGCTCATAGCCGTTCGGATGTACTTCATATTCGCCAATCGGAACGGCCACTGGAAAGCAAAAAGTTTGCTGGAGCTAATTTCGGTGTGACCAAGAAGTTCAAGCCCACGATCTTCCCAGTCGAGGTTGTAAGCCAAGACTGCCGAGAGGACAACAACCAGAAAACGATCTGGGAAGTAGATCACTTGAGGTAACCGAGGCATGAGCCATTTTTTCAGCGTTCTGGCAAGGTTAGCGGGAGCAGCAAGGGGACATTGTACCATTGTACGCACCGGAAAAACATAATAATAGCAAAGCTAACGAGCGAAATCACTGCTGTGAGGACATGACATTCTCGCGCATTGCGGACAATGAAGGCTAATTTTTCAACTGTGGTGCCATGGCTGACCCCGACCTCGCTCGCGATTTCAGAAAGGCCTAGTTCGGGGATTAACTGGTCCACGAAGATCACAAAACCAATGGCCGTGATGAATCCTCGGAGGAAAGGCCGGCTGAGAACATTGTCCAGAAACCCTAGACGAGTGATACCTGCGACCAGAATCATCGCGCCGGCCATGGCGGTAGATATGCCGATGACCATGGCGTTCTCCATGAGATCATCTTCCCCAGTGTTCCCCTTCCCTACACTGGCCTTGACGATGGCACCAGTGAGCAGCGAGCCAGCTGCTTCAGGTCCGACCACTAAGAGCGGACAACTTCCTAAGATTGCATAGACCAAAGGATTTATGACAAAGGAATAGAGACCGCTCACGGGAGGCGCATGGGCGAGATTCGAAGCCAAAGACAAGGCCATTGGGATGTAGATAGAAGAGACTGTGAGTGCAGCTATCAAGTCTCCGCGAAGGAATGACCATCTATATTGTCTTATCCAATTCAGGAAGGGAATATAATAAGAAATGTATCTGTAGGCACCCGTTAGTCCTTCTACTTGTCTGCCGACGAGCTTACAAAGATACTCTTTTTGCAGGGATACTTATGGGAGTAGGCGTACAGCTTCTTATGTTCGTTCATGGAGAGGACCGAAAGCCCCGACGACTTCATTTGGGACATGTATTCAGAATCTGGACGCGACCCGGGGGGTTCGTCTCCACCGTGGGAATGACTGGACGCTGCAGCACCAACGTTTCCATCACTATTGTATCCAAACTGCTCGCTCAGGGCCTCATGATATTGGGATCTGTGTGCGCCATCTGGCCGAGGAGAGAAAGTCCCATGGCTGCAGCGCCGTTCACCGCATATGGGATCCGCACGATGGTACGACTCTAGAAGGCTAGTTCTCGCATCCGATTCACTGGTATCGGCGATTCCTAGTCCCTGGGAATTCCGAGACACATCGTCGCTGGATTCGACCCTCGAGCTGTTGGTAGCGCGGAAGATGTTGACAATTCGGTCCTGCAGGGAACGATTTCCTTCCGACTCTTGGCGAAGGAGTGGGCTGGATTCCGACATGGTGTATTGGTCCAGAATGCGTTGGTCTCAACCCCAGCTCAACGACCAACAGCACTGGCTTCCATCTGTAAGAGAAGGGACGGAAGAAGCACAGGCTTCGGGTAAAGCGGAGGAAACTATTGCTTTTATCGACTAGCAAGGGCGGTAGCCACTTAGGACTCGAAACTGATAAGCGGGGCCAAAGGGAAGGAATCTCAAGAACATTGGCCTTTTTTAATGCAGATCGGCAGCCGGTAGCAGCAGTCAGTGCTGCTAAGCAGTACAATCTGCCAAAATGCCACAGTGCCGGACCAACATAGCGACCATGAGACAGCCTGCTCTCTTGATTCGCTGCTAAGTTACGTCGATGCGCGACGCCATTTGTTTGGGTGGTGAGTCACGTGTGTGACATATGCCGGTCCTCTTGGCTAGTCACGTGGCATAGAGCAATGTGGGTTTTGAGCCCGCCACAAAGCGATTTGAATCGATTGTGCTTCCGCCCAAAGTCCCTCGCTCTCGACCCTGTTTCACCTCGATTTGCCCGGATCCTTTTCTCTAGGCTCGAGCTTATCGCTATTCTTGGATTGCCGTCTCACCAGTCCTCCTTTTGATCTGCAAAATTCGCCGTTAAAAATTAGAGCGCAACCCCGCCAAGATGTCTTTAACAAATTGTCGATTCTACGAGGAGAAGTATCCTGAGGTGGATAGCTATGTCATGGTCAATGTCAAGCAGGTATGAGCAGGGAACCCATTTTATTAGACTCTAGACCTCTCCAAACTGACATATCCGGGTGACGGGGACAGATTGCCGAGATGGGCGCATATGTGAAGCTGCTGGAGTACGACAACATCGACGGAATGATCCTGCTCTCCGAACTTTCGCGAAGACGTATTCGCAGTATCCAGAAACTCATCCGTATTGGTCGCAACGAGGTCGTGATTGTGCTCCGTGTCGACAAGGAGAAAGGCAAGCTTCCACTGATAGAAATGTGAATGTAGGAGGGCTCAGAGGCTGACTGATGGTTTTCTTGTACAGGTTATATCGATCTGTCTAAGCGTCGTGTCTCTCCTGAGGATGTCATCAAGTGCGAGGAGCGGTACAACAAGAGCAAGGCTGTCCACTCTATCATGCGCCATGTCGCCGAGGCAACCCAGACCCCCTTGAGGACTTATACCAGCAGATCGCCTGGCCGTTGAACCGGAAATACGGTCACTCCCACGATGCCTTCAAGATTTCCATCACGTATGTTCGATATCGGAGACTCCTCTCTTTTGATCCCCTGGAACATCCCGATACTAACTACATTCCCCAAAGTAACCCCGATGTTTGGAACGATATCGAGTTCCCCAGCGCCCCCGTCAAGAAGGAGCTGCAGGAGTACATCAGCAAAAAGCTCACCCCCCACCCGACTAAGGTCCGTGCCGATATCGAGGTCACCTGCTTCGGTTACGAAGGAATCGATGCCGTTAAGGACGCTCTGCGTACCGCCGAGGCCGATAACACCCCGGAGAACCAGATCAAGGTCAAGCTAGTGGCCCCTCCTCTCTACGTCCTGACCAACCAGAGCCTGGACAAGAACCAGGGAATTCAGATGCTGGAGGTCGCGATTGAGAAGATCGCTGCCAAGATCAAGGAGGCTGGTGGTAACTGCACCGTCAAGATGGCGCCCAAGGCCGTCACCGAGCATGACGATGCTATCCTTCAGGAACTTATGGACAAGCGTGAGCGGGAGAACATGGAGGTCAGCGGAGATGAGAGCCAGTCGGATAGCGATGAGGGCGTTCCTGAGTAAACGATGCATCACTATTCCATACCACAGAGCGCCCAATGTTGCATCGGCGCTGGTGACAAGCGCAAAAAGGCAAGCGAAGAAATCGAAGAGGAGTGGGCAAAAATGGATAGAGAAAATTGAGCACATTTACGCGATCAATGAGAAGAAAAATAAGGCTTGATGGCTTCATGTGCTACGGGGTACGATTGCAGTCAGAAATTGCCTTTCATCCAAGGGCAGTTGCCTGCACCTCGGGTCCGGGGGTGATCTGTGATCTATCCATGCTCGACACAGGCGCTGTCTCCCATTTGGCGAAGCCCTCATGCTCCGGCGCCATTCTCCATGGCTGCTTGGACAGCATGAGGTGCAAGTTCTGATGTATATATGTTGTGACGCAACTGAGACGCTCAATGCCAATGATGTTTTTAGAACCATTTAAGCTCGTGATAAGTTTGACAATTTTCTTTTCTCGGCATTTAAATGCTGAAATATCTTTGTGTTGGTGTCTGGCTTTATTTTTGTCGGTTATGTTGGTAATGGAAGCGTAGTCCGGAGTAGAATGATTATTAGGGCAGCAGGGGGTGATTTGATAGTGGGGAATCTTGCGCTTGGGTCTCTTAGCCGCCGACCTCCTCACCGCGCGGTCTTCTTTCACCCTCGGACCTCCCACAATTTTTACAGCTCGTGCGATTCCTCGGGCTTCAATCTGCAATTAAAAATGGGTCAATGGAAAGATATCTTTGCTTTTGGCCGACACAGGTCACAACACCACGTGGAGATCGAAAGACGTAGACGTACGTCATGATCAACAGAAAGCCGTGTAACAGCACTAACAACGCTTCAGTTCTTCCTGCGTATGTCGCTGACGAGGCACAGCCTTCTGATTCATCGAAGGAGATTGCCAAAGTAGCGCTGCGACTGAAGTATCAAATCGAGCAGGTGGTCTCTTGCGAGGTCGACGAAGGTGTTCTCACCGACCCAAACAGTCGAATCATCACTCGGGATGTAATTGATACGGCCAAGCGGGCTGGCGGCGAGGATTTCAAGGCCTGTGTGGTCTACTGTCTTCTGGTTTGCTTACGATGGTTCAAAATGCAGGCCAATGTCGAGCTATGGGATGCTGATCTCCACCAAGGCCGAGCGGTAGCCTGTGAGGTCATCGCCAAGCGGATGTATGAGTTATCCTTCCTACACTCAGTGTTCTGGTAGCCACCCTTGCTGATCCACATAAAGTATTGAATCCGAGTCTGACCAGGGCTATTTACTCAAAAATATTCTACTGAAACGGTATTCGATCTTTAGCGAAGGAGTTGAGTCTGACCCTGCCAACGTCATCGAACGTGCCGTGGACCTCCACGCGTTGCGAATCATCAGCTCCGCCGGGTATCAGAAATGTATACAGTATCTGTGGCGTGGCTGGATTTGCCAAGAGGAAGGCAATCCGACCAACTTTGTCGAATACAAGGACAAGTCCAACAATGACTATTGGGTTCACTTTCATCCCGATCGAATGAGAACCCCCCTATACCAGAATATCTGCCAGATATTATTTTCACTTTTCTACCTTGCGCTATACACTGCTGTCATTAACACTGTCAATCCTACTGGCGATCTGGATACTGTCGAATGCATTCTTTATGGCATGACGCTAGCATTCATCTGCGATGAGGTGATCAAGTTCTGGAAGGTCGGGTGGAATTATCTGGAATTCTGGAACGCCTTCAACTCCACTCTTTACGCGCTTCTTGTGATATCCTTCATCTTGCGTTGTGTCGCCTTAGCACATTCACCATCAAGCCATGACGCACAAAGACAAATGTTCAACGGATTGAGCTATAATTTTCTAGCCTTTGCAGGTCCCATGTTCTGGATGCGCATGATGCTCTACTTGGATTCATTCCGATTTTTTGGTGCCATGTTTGTTGTGCTCCGGGTCATGATGAAGGAGAGCTTGATTTTCTTCGCTCTCCTTTTTGTGGTCCTGGCTGGTTTTTTCCAGGCGTTTATTGGCATGGCCCAGGTGGACTCTGATGTTGATATTACCAGACCTATTATCCAAGGCATGGCCAACAGTGTTATGCAGAGTCCTGAATTCGAAACCTTTCAGGACTTTGCCTTCCCGTTCGGTATCATACTGTATTACGTCTTCAACTTTGTTGTTATGATCGGTTCGTTTAGCCTCTCTGGCAGCTGCCCGTGTTCCTTTTTGATAATTCGCTTTCTAACCTTGTCTATTTCTTTACAGTTCTCTTGAATATCCTCATCGCTCTATATAACAGTGCGTACGAGGATATATCCGGAAATGCGACTGACGAATACATGGCAATCTTCGCCCAGAAGACCATGCAGTTTGTCCGGGCCCCCGACGAGAATGTCTTCATTCCACGTATGTACATGTCTTCAATTGGAAATCTAGCTCGCAAGTCAACTAATAAAACAACCTAGCCTTCAATTTAATTGAGATCGTATTCCTGGTGATTCCATTGGAATGGTGGCTTTCCCGGAAACATTACGCTAAAATCAATGATCTTGTCATGGGCGTCCTCTATTCACCTCTCTTGGTAGTCACTGCTTGGATTGAGACGATCCAAGCGGAGCGAATCAGGTGGAATCGTCGCCGCGGAGAAGAAGACGAGGATGATGTCCAGGAATGGGAGAATGTGGCGGAAGGTGTTGATTTTGATGTGGACGAAACTTGGAGAGAAGAGGTGAAGCAGAGCACGCCCGATATCAGGGTTGATAACTGCACTGTAGAGGTGAGACAACTAAGGGAGCAGGTTGCACTGCTAACCGAGATGGTAAAGAAACTGAGCGACAAGGCCGGTGAGGGTTCCTATGCGCTTTGAGCAGTCAGTTTTGTGTCTTGGAGATGCTACCACGTATGGACCTGCAATGGGGCTTGTGTACCTGTCTTCCTCTGAGGAACATAACATACACCATCCTAGCCATGGGGATGTATGTACCTCGGAGTTCAATATATATATTTCAATGGATCTATCAGACAGAAGATCACGAGATTTGCATTTCTCAAGTTTGAAAACCGACATTGTAAAATTGATAACAAGTTTCATAAAGCCGTATCCCTCCTTTGTTCTCACCAAAATTCTTTACTGTTCCCTCATGAGTCCGAGGCTAAAATATACGTATGTACGACGACTCGTAGTGAAGGAATTTCAATTCAAGATAAAAAAATAAATGATCTCAGGTTATTTTGTAGGAATAGCCGAACGCGGGGGTCGAACCCGCAACCTTGAGATTAAGAGTCTCACGCTCTACCGATTGAGCTAGCCCGGCAGGGCTGGTTGAAAGGCGATGAAAATTTTGATTCATGAATCATATCTGTGGGGAGTGGAGCGAGACTCGGAGGTTGCGGTTGATTACATAAGAATAGAGTTGTTCGCGGTGACCATAGCTAACGCCAGCAAGGCCAAGGCCACCCAGTGAGAGTTTCATGGAATAGGTGACATGGGAGAGAAAAGGAACCCTTCGAAAAATATATCAGGCATGAAGATATCCAAAAAAATAATTTGAGGGACTGGTTGAATGAATCCTTGCTTGAATCTTCTCAAGTCCGCATAGGTTCACCTGGGTACGAAGATAGCGCTTCTAAATTAAACGAGGAGATTTCTGAAGTGATGACAAGTTTTGCGGAGATTCCTGCATAAAGTCTGCTTGTATTTCAATGTTGATATTCTAATCATCATGCCTGGATGTCGAATGTACAATCTTGTTGACTGTCAAGTCAAGTCCGGTTTGATGAACACTCTATTTGAATATGACAGGCATTGGCAACAGCTGCCAAGTGGGTACATGGTGGCTGATTTTATCCTCTCAGAAATTAAAAGACGGTCGCAACTATACAGCCATTCTCATACTATTTTTAATACATGCATATCGCTAGAGACACTCGAATCTTCCGAGAAAGAAGGGTATAGTTCGGCAGGAGGAGCTCCGACTCCGGGAGGCGACAGGCCCGGGCAGTGCTGAGGGTCCACTACTTACATAAGCGACTAGCGCGTCGTGGAGGCGAACCCTCTGGAACCAAAATTATATCGAAGGTGGCTTCTTCTACTTGGGCATTCCCGCTTAGATTGTCTTCCTGCGCGGTCTCTTTATGCGATTTTAGACTCTCGTTTGCTGGACCCTGATTGTGGTCGTCCGCTTGCCAAAATGTGCGTCGTCCTGGCTCCTCTCCTCTGTCCGATGCTCTTTCAATTGAGACTCCCCTCGACGCTGACTATTATACAGGGCAAAACTCGCAGATGACCCCCAGATCCAATATGCCTCCCTGCATAATCCTCTCCCATGGCAATTTCATACATATGTCTGGCCGTTCCTGGTTATCTGGCCTGCCTTTTTCGCCTTCTACCTCTCCCCTGAGCGTTACGACACCTACATCCAGGGTCAAGAATGGACCTTCGTGTGGTCCGGGTCCATCATCACGGTCCAGTCGCTGCTGTGGCTAATGACAAAGTGGAATATTAATATCAACACACTGTTCACTACTACCCGAGCCAAGTCCATCGATTCTGCCCGCCTAATCAAGGTCATTCCCATTACCAACGCCGGCTCTGCCGAGATCTGCTCGCTTATCCATGACAACTCGGGTGGAAAGAAGACGGTCTCCTTCCTGTTCCAGAAACGCCGTTTTTTGTTCTATCCCGAACGTCATACCTTTGCCCCATTGTCCTACGTCCTTGATGCGGAGCCTAAGCCCGCCCTGAAGTATTTCCAGCAGAGCAAGGGCTTTACTACCAAGGCTGAGATCGACCGCGTGCAACACCATTACGGTGACAACACATTCGACATCCCTGTTCCCGGCTTTGTGGAGCTCTTCCAGGAGCATGCAGTGGCACCGTTCTTCGTCTTCCAGATATTCTGTGTTGGACTCTGGATGCTGGATGAATACTGGTACTATTCTCTATTTACGCTCTTCATGCTCGTTGCTTTTGAAAGCACCGTGGTGTGGCAGCGCCAGAGAACATTGAACGAATTTCGTGGTATGAATATCAAGCCTTATGATGTGTGGGTGTTCCGCGAGAAGAAGTGGCAGGAAATCACCAGCGACAAGCTTCTCCCGGGTGATCTTATGTCGGTGAATCGCACAAAGGAAGATGGTGGTGTTGCCTGCGATATTCTTCTTGTTGAGGGCAGCGTTATTGTCAATGAAGCCATGTTGTCCGGAGAGAGCACCCCGCTCCTGAAGGACTCGGTTCAGCTTCGCCCTGGAGATGAATTGATTGAGCCAGAGGGCCTGGACAAGAACTCGTTCGTACACGGAGGAACTAAAGTGCTTCAAATTACGCATCCCAACGTCAACGGTGAAGAGACCCTCAAGAATCTCGCAAGCGGTGTTACAATGCCTCCCGACAACGGCGCTTTGGGTGTCGTTGTGAAGACCGGATTTGAGACCAGCCAAGGTAGTCTCGTGCGTACTATGATTTACTCTACTGAGCGTGTCTCTGCAAACAACGCTGAGGCCTTGTTGTTTATTCTCTTCCTTCTTATCTTCGCACTCGCCGCTTCATGGTATGTTTGGCAGGAAGGTGTGACTAAGGATCGCAAGCGGTCCAAGCTGCTTCTGGACTGTGTTCTCATCATTACGAGTGTTGTCCCTCCTGAACTTCCTATGGAACTGAGCTTGGCTGTTAACACTAGTCTCGCTGCGCTGAGCAAATTTGCCATCTTCTGCACTGAGCCTTTCCGCATTCCTTTCGCTGGCCGTGTCGACATTGCCTGCTTTGACAAGACTGGTACCTTGACTGGCGAGGATCTCGTGGTTGATGGTATTGCTGGTCTCACTCTGGGCCATTCTGATGCCAAGGTTGAAGCTGACGGAGCTCACACCGAGCTATCCAAGGCTTCGACTGTCGACCCCAATACCACCCTTGTGCTTGCCAGCGCCCATGCTCTGGTGAAATTGGACGAGGGTGAGGTTGTTGGAGACCCTATGGAGAAGGCCACTCTGCAATGGCTTGGCTGGTCTTTGGGCAAGAACGATACTCTCAGCTGCAAGGGATCTGCTCCCGTTGTTTCATCCCGTCCCGTGGAATCTGTCCAGATTAAGCGGCGATTCCAGTTCTCGTCCGCCCTGAAGCGCCAGAGCACTATTGCGACCATCACTACTAATGATCCGAAGACTTCAAAGAAGAGCAAGGCTACCTTTGTTGGTGTCAAGGGTGCCCCTGAGACTATCAGCACCATGCTTGTCAACACGCCTCCCAACTACGAAGAAACATTCAAGTATTTTACCCGCAATGGTGCTCGTGTCCTTGCTCTAGCTTATAAATATCTCTCGCCGGAATCCGAACTTTCTCAAGGCCGCGTGAACAACTATGCTCGCGAGGAGATTGAGTCCGACCTGATCTTCGCCGGGTTCCTTGTTCTTCAGTGCCCTTTGAAGGATGACGCAATTAAGGCCGTCCGTATGTTGAATGAAAGCAGCCACCGTGTCGTTATGATCACCGGTGACAACCCGCTCACTGCTGTCCATGTTGCTCGCCAAGTTGAGATTGTGGATCGTGAAGTCGTTATTCTCGACGCTCCTGAGCATGACAACTCTGGCACCAGACTTGTGTGGCGTACCATTGACGATAAGCTGAACATTGATGTTGACCCGACCAAGCCTCTTGATCCGGAGATTCTTCAGAACAAGGACATCTGTATTACTGGCTATGCATTGGCGAAGTTCAAGGACCAGAAGGCACTACCTGATCTGCTCCGTCACACCTGGGTCTATGCTCGTGTTTCCCCGAAGCAGAAGGAAGATATTCTTCTCGGCCTTAAAGATGCTGGGTATACTACTCTGATGTGCGGTGACGGCACCAACGATGTTGGTGCTCTGAAGCAGGCCCATGTTGGTGTTGCTCTCCTGAACGGCTCTCCTGACGATCTCACCAAGATTGCTGAACACTATCGGACCACCAAGATGAAGGAACTTTACGAGAAGCAGGTTGGTATGATGCAAAGATTCAACCAGCCTGCTCCCCCCGTTCCTGTCCAGATTGCCCACTTGTATCCCCCCGGTCCTTCCAACCCCCATTACCAGAAAGCTATCGAGCGAGAGGCTCAGAAGAAGGGCGCTGCTGCGGCCACTCCTGGAGAACAGATTCCCACTATCACCTCGCCTGGCGCGCAAGCTTTGCAGCAGTCCAACTCCAACCTAACTCCTCAGCAGCAGCGTCAGCAGCAAGCCCAAGTTGCTGCGGCCGGTCTCGCCGACAAACTTACCTCGTCTATGCTAGAGCAAGAGTTGGATGACAGCGAGCCGCCCACCATCAAGCTGGGTGATGCTTCCGTTGCTGCTCCGTTCACCAGCAAGTTGGCCAACGTTATTGCTATTCCGAACATTCTTCGTCAAGGTCGTTGCACTCTAGTCGCAACAATCCAGATGTACAAAATTCTTGCTTTGAACTGCTTGATTAGTGCCTACAGTTTGAGTGTCATCTATCTTGATGGCATCAAGTTCGGTGATGGTCAGGTTACGATCAGCGGCATGTTGATGAGTGTCTGCTTCCTGTCTATCTCCCGTGCTAAGGTACTTACTTTTTGTCTTGCTGATAGAACTGCTATATGCTGACCTGCTATTCCCAGTCTGTCGAGGGCCTGTCCAAGGAGCGTCCGCAACCGAACATCTTCAATGTCTATATCATTGGATCCGTTCTTGGCCAGTTCGCCATTCACATTGTGACCCTGATCTATCTTTCTAACTATGTGTATAAGACTGAACCGTAAGATTTTCCATCCTTCCGGCCTTCAAAACTTGTTACTCACAATGCCAATAGACGAGACAAGGACGTTGATCTTGAGGGCGAATTCGAGCCATCTCTCCTCAACAGTGCTATCTACCTACTGCAACTGATCCAGCAGATCTCGACCTTTTCTATCAACTACCAGGGCCGTCCGTTCCGTGAATCTATCCGCGAGAACAAGGCCATGTACTGGGGTCTCGTGGCTGCTTCTGGTGTTGCGTTCTCCTGCGCCACCGAGTTTGTTCCCGAGATCAACGAGAAGCTGCGCCTGGTCCCTTTCACAAATGAGTTTAAGATGACCCTGACTCTGCTCATGATCTTTGACTATGGTGGCTGTTGGTTGATTGAGAATGTTCTCAAGCACCTGTTCAGCGACTTCCGGCCCAAGGACATTGCTGTTCGCCGCCCAGATCAGCTGAAGCGTGAGGCGGAGCGCAAGGCTCAGGAGGAGGCCGAGGCTGAGAGAGAGAAAGAGCAGCAGAGGAAGGTTTAGTTGCTGACGAGGAGGCGAGAGCCGTCGTGTATTGTATACATAAGAGGTGAAGCTGGATTCATAGAACTGCGTGACATCTAATTTACGGTTCTGTCGATGATTTCTGAATTATTTTAGATATGTTATTTGATTTTCCATTTTTTTGTTCTAGAACTAAGAGTGTTACCAAACCCATTCATGAAATCATCGCTCACTCATGAGAAAAACTGGCATTACTCCGGCGGAGGATGCGAATATTAGTGCCAATCAGCTACTAGAGGAGTATCTTCGCTTGATCTCCATTCTCTCGCGTACAAACTCGCCAGATAATCACTCTATTCCACAATTACTTATTTGTTTTCACCTACCAAGAATCATTCAGTCCAAGAGGAACGATCTGTGTAAACATGGATCACCGCTAGGATGCTTTTGCAGAGAACCCCCACACCCCACGACCCCACTTGATATCATCGCTTTCAAGGCCCATTCGCCACCCACCTCGTCTCTTGATATCTCCTTTGCTCTACACAAACACCTAAGACTGAGGAGCCGTACCGCCAGCACCATTTAAACAATATGGCAGCTAAGCAGACTCTCCAATCCAAATACAAGTTGCTTTCGGGCCATGAAATACCCATTCTAGGCTATGGGGTGAGTACTTCGGAGCTCGGTGACTTTGACGACCGATTGACAAAGCACATTTTCAAATGGCGATGTGGTGTTTGAAAGAGAAATGAAGATAAAGACTAATATTCACTGAAACAATAATACTGACTCATCCCACCAGGTATACATGATGTACGCATCGCGCAATCGATCCGCTTCTCGAGAGATCTACTGACAGCCGCAGCCCGCCATCCACGACCGAGAAGGTCACGGTAGAGGCTCTCAAAGTGGGGTTTCGCCATGTACGTGCAGAATTCCGATCATATTTAAAGAATTTCATCCGGTCTCACGTTCCTATGACCTAGGTCGACTCAGCGATCATGTATCGAAACGAGAAGGGTTGCGGCCGGGCAATCCAGGCCTCTGGTCTCGATCGATCGGAGATCTTTCTAACGACCAAGATTCCTCCCGAGTCTATGGGCTACCAGCGGACTAAGCGTGCCGTGGAGACGAGCCTCGGTGAGGCTAGCCAGGAGTACTTTGATCTGTAAGCCCAGTTTACGAAGGCTCCATGTTTCGACGACTCGAGACCCTGATTTATCTATCTAGCATTCTCATCCACGCACCCTATGGGGGCAAGGAAGCTCGGCTCGGCTCCTGGCGCGCCCTAGTTGAGGCGCAAAAGGCAGGGAAGACTCGCTCGATTGGGGTTTCGAACTACGGCATCCACCACCTCGAGGAGCTGGAGGAATATATCCAGACTGGCGGCGGCGGCGAGATCTCCGTGGGCCAGTACGAACTCCACCCATGGCTGGATCACTCGGACATCGCGGAGTGGCTGCAAAGCCGAGGTATTGTCGTAGAGGCGTACTCGCCCCTGGCGCATGGAACTCGATTCCGTGAGCCTGTGTTGAAAAGGATCGGCGAGAAACATAACAAGTCGCCGGCGCAGGTGCTGATCCGGTGGAGTTTGCAGATGGTGGGTTGTTGATCGAGCGCATTGCCGTAGGGGTCAAAGGCTAACTATAACTAGGGATTTGTGCCACTGCCCAAGTCTGTGACGCCACATCGCATTCAGGAGAATGTCGAGGTGTTTGACTTCGAATTGTCGGAGGAGGACATGAAGTTGCTGGACACGGGGGAGTATAGTCCCACGGATTGGGATCCCACGGTAGATGAGGATTAACGAGCAGGGGAGTAGATTATAGGAACATCACAATGGACATGATTATAGTATGTGTGTCTAGAATCTAGAATGCAATGAATTCGTCCCATCAGAATCTGTCAGGCCCGCGTTTGCAGAGCAGAGGAGAGTCGAAGCCCGTGGAGCCGTGGATTTGTCAGGGACTCTCGGAGGGGCGGCCGAACCATCGCGGGGTTTGCGGCCCTCGTCTTCGAAATATTCACTTCTCCGTCCCAACCGGATCAGCCCAGGAATTTCGGATCGGGACTCGGTTTCTCGTCTTGAACCAGATCTTCCGATCGCCGCCACCATGAAGTTGATACTTTCTACCTCGTAAGTCGCCCAGGCGCAACCCCCGCTCGACAGAACCGCGCTCACGCACGACTAGAAATATTATGACAGGCGGCCGATCCGTGATCCGGCAGCCTCTCACACAAAAATCGAACGTCGAGTTGATCAACTCCCTCCGGTCCAACTTCCTTGCATCGCAGCAGATTGACTCTGCTGCAGCCTCGCATACGAACGGAACAAACGGCGACACGAACGGTTCACGCTCGGAACAAGCCTACCGCTCATGGACGAACGAACACGACGGGGCACTCTATATCCCCGCCATAGACTTCGCCCAGCCTGGTCTGGCTGAAGAGCGCGATCAATACGATATCACGGTGAAACTATTCTATCTACCGGGGATCCCAGCGTCCCGGCGTTGCGCGCACACTAGCGAGGCGATTGATTTGGTATTGAAGGAATTACATGTAAAGTCTATCGATTTGCTGATTGTGTCGTTTCCGGGGATTCTGTTCGATGCCGAAGATGACAGCGACGACGAGGGTTCGGAGACGAGCAGCAACGAGCCGGACGACTTCGACAGCATGGTGCAGACCTGGCAGGTGCTCGAATCTTTACACGAGCAGGGCATGATCGCCCAGCTGGGTGTCGCCGAATTCGGCAGCGAGCGGCTGGCGCGCTTCCTGCCCTACACTAAGATCAAGCCCTCCGTCGATCAGATCAACCTCAAGGACTGCTGTGTCGTGCCCAAGTCCCTGATTCTCTATGCCAAGCAGGAGAAGATCCAGCTCCTTACCCATAACGACTGCAACGATATCCTCCCATGTGGCACGACAAGAGAGCTGCTCGGGCCCATGGAAAAGGGCGCAGGAATCCTGGCATCGGCGCCGGAGGCCGACGATGGTATCCAGGGTGATGTCGAGCCCCAGTGGGTCGTGAAGTACACGGCAGTTGTCAAAGATCGCGGAGTGGTTGAGAACAAGGGATACTTCGCTCTAGCAGATGTCGGCACATGCGTCAAATGCCGGTCGTGAAATGCGCGCCGGGGATAGAGAGAGAGAGAGATATCGATTAAAGTGTGTGTGTGTGTGTGGTCGTTAAACAGTTCTTTTCTTTTCATGATTCAGCGAGGGCGTTATTTTTGAGGATCCAATGAGATCAAATCTATCCATGCCGAGATATTTTGCATCCGCAAGGCCGGGACAATGGGGACGAAGGACGGCAGGCCGTGAAAAGACAGTCTTTCTTCTATCCAATCATACTCCGCTTGCGGCCTCTCAGTCGAACCTCCTCGAGTTTCTTCAGCGTAGACGCAGCACCCTTGTAGCCGTCCCGATAGCCCTGTAGGAGCTCCTCGAAGAAGGGCTCCGAGCGCGGATGCGTGCTGCCCATCGCCCGCTCCAGCACGTATAGGTCGACCGCGCGGTCCTCATCCTGCGCGCTCTGTGACGCCAGCCCGAAATCAATGATGACCACCTCGCCCGCCATTGACACGCCCGTCGCGCTCTCGGTCGTGCTGTCCTCCGGCGTGCGGAGCATCAGATTGCTGGTGGTCAAGTCTCCATGAACCACGCCGGCCTTGTGCAGGCCCGCCAGGGTCCCGCCGATGCGTCGCAGCAGGCCCCGCACCAAGTCTCCCTCCGCCTGCAGCTGCGTCTGATCCAGAGACAAGGCGTGTTTCTTCATCCAGGCTTCCCATTTCTCAAGCACGACTCGCACAACCGGGCCCTCGACCCATTCCATCATCAGCCATGCCCCTCCCCACCCGCTCTCCGCGCCGCCCTGGCCTTCCCAGTCCAGTGCCAGCACGGCGGGAACGCTGACGCCCTCGCGGACTAGTTTCACCATACATCGTGCTTCCTGAATGATCCGCTGGCGAGTGAGGCGGCGGTCAAGAATAGGGTGTCGGTACGGTTTGGAGGGGCGGACTTTGAGGGCTGCTGGGATGGAGGGGTCGAGAGAGGTCGTTTTGTAGAGGTGGGCCTCGGCGCCTTGGACGAGAAGCGTGGGGGGTGGGCAGGTGTTGGTGAAGGGAGAGGGGAGAGCCGGAGGTTTGTATTCGTCGGCCATTATGGAGGATCAGGCGAATTGGATCCAGTAATGGATGTAGGAGCGTGTTGTGGTTGGGGAAAGCTGGTGGTGCTTTGGAGGTGAAAAAGTTCCCGGTGGTGGGGCTCTCGGCCCGACTGGAGGGACGCGGTCTACGGGGTAGTGTCGTAGTGTAGTTCTAAGTTGTATATGTAGTCTTCCTACAGTCGCAGTGGATGTTCTTCAGAATTTGAGCAATCAATGGGCTTTGGAGCATGCTAGTGATGGTGGAACTTACGTTGTTTGGTATGTCTTAGATCTATCGGTCCGGATATTTATGGACATCTTGCTCATAACTATATCAATTTAGTGACAAACCCTAGCAGTCTAAGGCCTACGTGTTACTTCTTTTCATACAGCACACCACCTAGATCTGGCTGCTCAGCAAGGTAAAAGGGAGAGGTCAATGGACATTGAGTATTACTTTCCAAAATTCTCAGACATAGCGAAAGAATAGTGAATGCATATCAAACTGAAAGGCAGTCTCGTCGAGAGCTACCTGCAACACTCTTCTATTTGGTCGTCTCCGTGATATCTCCGATGGCAACAGCGTCAGTCTTGACGTGATTGTAGTATCTTTCCTTATCAGCCGAAATCTGAGTATGGAGGTAGCTCTGGCTTGGGGAATACTGCGTGGCACACATTTTCAAGCACGAGGCATGGGTTCTTGTCTGGAATATATAAAACAAGAGAAAAGGGACCAATGATTGCAGGGGCTACCTGAGCGGCATGTATTTCCCTCCAATTCTCCTAATAGAATACGATGCCTAATTCAATTCATCATCAGGCCTTACAAGAGCTGCCTGACTTCAGCTTTGTGCAACTAAGCAGGAGCTAGTCAATCCCCCCAATCGCAATCGATGTAAAATAGATATTATCAAATCAAGGGATTTTCACCCCCACAAGGGTTAAGAGGGGGTCCGAGACAAACTCCTGGAGAATCTCCTCCTCGCGACCGAGAGCGTGTGGGTGCTCTTCGGAGTGGTCAACTATATCTCTAGCTCGTGGGAACTACTCACCCCGGGCCGATCCTTGATGACGCTGACTCACCAGTGAGATCTGAGCTGATAGTTCATCAGGCTGGGCATTCAAATTGATTCGGCAGACTAGTAAAATAAGCTCTTCTGCTGACGAGCCCAGTGAGTGGCTTGCAAGACAAGAAAGCAAAAGTGAAGAGAAGAAAGAGTGCCTTGCCAGCAGGCAGCACTCAGATGAGGCTGAGCTTGGGAGGATCTTCGCCGTAGTTCGCTGCAAGATCCCTGCAATGAGGTCATGAACTCCGAAACAAAAAGGACGCCTGTTGGCCTGGGTTGTGGTTCATGCTTGCTATCAGAGACATCCTCATGGCTGTGGTTATAGTGTCTACCTGGTCGAGTGGCTTTTATTTCCGAGTGATTTGACGAGGGCCCTACAATGTCCCATGGTTTAGATGATAGATGGAGTCATATCTGGGGGGTCATTGATGGGTTGACACTTAATTAAAATTCTTCTCTTGCTACTGGACTTGGAAGTTAATTTATGGAGATGATGCTTATAGGAAGGCAGATTCAAGGGGAAAAGACAACCATCAAGCAGCCAAAAAAAAAATAAGAATTTAAATAAAAGCAAAAATAAAAACCAAATACAAATCCAAAAACCCCCAAAGTACATAATGGGACGCAAAAAGTAGGATCGCAAGAAACGCAGTCAGCGGAGTCTGGCTTCGCCACGGTGCCGCGGCCTGCGGGAGGGGCCATTGTGGGTGCTGGTTGGCCGTGCGTACGAGGGTATGAGTCAACGGGAGCGGGGCCCATGCGACCTTCCAAGGGGAGTCAGCGCGGCCGCCCGCCCAGCACGCTGCTTAAGGGAGAACAGCCGCCCTCCAAGCCCTGCTGGCCCGGCAGGCCCAGCCCAGCCCGGCAGCCAATCGCAACGCTGCCAGTCGCCGGCGCAGCACCGTCGGGGTCCCAAAGCGGCTTAGCAGAAGTCGGGGACTCCAAATGGGAATCGCGCTTGGATCCGCTTTTACAGTAGTCTTGGACGCGGTTTCTAGCAGTTGACTGCGAGCGACATTGTGACATAGTGAGCATTCACAGGAGGTTAAGCAGTGCTCGACAGCAGTACCATCCACGTCCTCGGACCCGCTATACATACGGGCTCCTGTCCCTCTGCCTCACGTCTCAGGTTCTCTTTTCTTTTCTCCCCTCGGAGCCCTCATTTCCCCCACTTCCAGCTTTGCTACTATCACGGGATTCTACGGCCTCGTGCCTGAAGTCAAATCCTTCTCCTTCCCTCTCCTCCTTCACTGAGATTGGTCTTTCTTCTCTTTGTTCGATCAATCTCAATCTTAATCTCTCCCTCTCTCCCCCTATTTTGCAGATACCCTGGATGTGAGACCCGGATACCTCGTCCCTCTCATACTCTGCATTGGATATCTTCCTCCCATTCCGCCATCCCGCCATCCCGCCATCTCACTATTCACCCTCCACTATCAATATTCTTGGAATCCCAGCAAGATTGGTAACAATGGCGTCCGTTTCCGATCAATTCTTCCACCTCGATGGCTCCAGTCAACAGCCCGAAGAGTGGCTGGACTTCGACCAATTCTTGGACCTGCCCGCAGCCTATGGCGATGAATATTCCGCCTCGGCCTCCGCCACTTCGGTCTCCCCGGACATGGCTCTTCCGTACGAGGCTGAGATGCTCGCCACAGACCTGCCGGACCTGATGCAGCCCGCTTTCTCGGACCTAGTCAACTTCGACCTCCCGTCTGAGGGCTTTTACGTCGACCAGTCCCCCGCCATGGGCATGATCCCCGATCACACCCCGGCCATGGAGCACGCCATGTTCACCGGTTATTACCACCAATATGACCCCTCATTCGACTTTCGACAGATGGTTGAGGCGCAGGCCGCCGCAGACCCGCGTGTTGCGTCCATCAAGGAGAAGCGCCGAGAAGCCGCCATTGCGCTACACCTGCAACGATTATGTGATGCCACAGCCCTCGACCTTGACATGTCCTCCGACTCCAACACCAGCTTCTCCTCTCCAGCCTGGTCAGAGTACATCCGCGAAAGCTCGTCCCCTCAATCCGCCAGTGCGAGCCCGCAGACCCCATCGGCTCCACCTCCGGCATCCGGCAACGCAGGGTTGGAGCTGGTGCTCGACCTGAATATGAATGCCACCACCAACCTACCCAAGAAGCAGAAACCTCGTTCTCAGGCACAGAAGGAGAACTACATCAAGGCCCGAAAGTATGGCGCGTGCGAGAAGCACAAGAAGCAGCACAAACGCGTAAGTCAAACCCAGCAAGGTGACCCGTCATTCTCTTGAGCCAGGCGCTAACATTTCCACCAGTGCAACTGTCTCGAGAAGGCTGCAGCGGCCCGTCTAGGCGTCAATGATGTTTCACTGAACGCCGCGTTCCAAGAACGATCGCAACGATCATCCCACTCCACGCCAGTTCTGCCCGATCTACGCACCTTTGGCATCCCAGGCCACGAAAGGTCGTCTGTTTCACCAACCCTATTCCCATCAGTCAAGGTGATCAAGAAACTCACAAACCACTCTCCGGGTCACGACTCCTCTGTCAGCCCCTCTGTGGTTCAGCCACACGACAGCGCTACGGCCAGAAACCGTAGCCGCAGCAGCGTAAACAGCAACTGCAGTGTCTTAGAACGCGATCCACAGCACAAGGTTTGTGCTGTACAACCCCGCAATCACCAGTCAAGGCATCGGCCCCAAGCGCAAGCTCGGTCTACCACCGCCCTCGTCCAGTTTCGACTTCCCCTTCGGCAGTCAATACGGATTACAAGGCAGATGGCCAATCCAACACGTGCTGGCGCTTTATGGGCTTCTCTCCGACAGTTACTTCTTTCTCCAGCGAGGAGAAGAAGAAGGATGTCAACACGAAACCCGCCGTACAAACAACAACAGCTCCGGTGAGGGGTTTCAGCTTGAGCAGCAAGCGCTCCACAGCGATAGACGGAGCTGTCCGTCTACAAGACACAACTTCCTTCGCGCCAAATGAAACCAGAAGACAGCCCTTGGCGATTTTGTCGCCTCAATCTCAAATTCAATCTCCTGGGAGATCTCGAATTCAAACGAATGCGTTTGACCCAAGTCGGAGCACTACCCGGATTCCAGACAGAATCCAGACGCCACTGGCCATCTCTTCGATGTCCCAGCCTTCATTCACTGCACCAGATTCGACGAATTCCTTCATTGGGTATCCCGCTGATAGGATTGTTCGCTCGGTTGCTCAACAAGTTGGCGACGTATGGGCGAGGGTGGCCTCGCTCACTGCTGGTATCAGGCCAGCAACGGTCGTCCGTTCTGGTCTTGAGCAGTCAATAGGCAAATGTCTGTCCTGGGCAGGACGGCAACTCATGTCTGCACGTGGCGGGCTCGGCTTATCGAAAGTGCGACCCGCATGGTTTGCATCTTCGACCTTGCCTTAATAGGCGTGGAATTTTTCCCCGACAAGGAAAGAGACCCTCTATGGTGTTCATTTTTCTTGCTTTGCGGTTTATCCGTTAGCGTGTCAAATTCAGCGACAAGACCCTGAATTGGAGTTCAATTGGTGTGGATGATACAACAACTTCTCGAATAGAGACATTGGCTTTAGAGCTCTTCTGGTCCATATAAATATGCGAGAGATTCGCGTATAGCATATATAAATTACGAGAAAAGTTATCATGATTTTAACAATTTGCTTCTATTCTAGAAAAAGTCAGCTTATCAAATCTTGGCACAATACATAGCGCTCTGAGGGTGTCTATAGTGGGTTTTCCCCCTGTTTTTGGCTGTGAACGTGCTTTTCCATCGCCGATGCGGCTCCACTGCCCCACTACGCACGAGGGTCGAAGCTAGACAAACCTATCGGTCTTCGTGGCTGTCCTTACATAAAGCCCTTTTCCCTTGAATTACAACATCAAGGTCTAGCATAACCATGGTAGAGAAGAAATCTTTCAGTTTCAGCACAGTGACAGGCTACTTTCTCCAAGATGACCCAGCTACCGACCCGGATACCTTCGACTATGTAAGCCCCCCCAACCAGATTCGCAGGAACCACACCCGCCAAAACATAAGATAAACAACTCATCTCGCAACCAGGCAGCCGTGAATTTCGGTCTCATCTCCAGGGCATATGATTCCACTCCCGAAGATCACCAAAATGATACCCAGTGGCAACGATTCGCTCAGCATATTCAATCCCTGAACTCCACGGCGGGACCGCAGACGCGGTATAAAGTCCTCTTTCTCGGACGGCACGGCGAAGGCGTGCACAATGTGGCCGAGCGTCGCTATGGCACCAAGGCGTGGGATGTATGTGAGGCCGCTTGTGCGTCAAAGAGTGTGGCTCACTAAAAGAGTTCTAGGAGTACTGGTCCCTCCTTGATGGCGACGAATACGGCACATGGGTCGATGCACACCTCACGGAGCTGGGCATCGCTCAGGCCCAGACTGCCCATGAGGCGTGGGCACAGCAGATAGAAAACGATATCCCGGCACCGGAGTCCTACTATGTGAGCCCGTTGCATCGGTGCTGCCAGACAGCGCAGGTAACGTTTGAGGGCTTGGCAATGCCGCGAACTACTCCCTTCCAGCCGCTGGTCAAGGAGGTCAGTATTGCCTCCTCCTGTCGTGTTTCTGCTTTCGGAAACCTCCATTGGGGTTGAATTCTATGAGAGATTGTGTACTAAGCCGTACCAAACAGCTTCTCCGAGAAACCATGGGCGAGCACACCTGTGACCGCCGGTCTGCCCGGTCTGCTATCACGACCGAGTTTCCACAGTTCCGGTTTGAACCTGGGTTTGCCGAGGAGGATGAGTTGTGGGACCCGAAGATCCGCGAGTCGAATGAGCATCGTGATGCGCGGCTGCGGGAGCTGCTTGGTGATATCTTTGTTAATGATGAGAATGTCTTTCTGTCCTTGACCGCGCACTCTGGCGCTATCACAAGTATCTTACAGGTAACTGGCCACCGGGAATTTCGATTGGAGACTGGGGCTGTCATTCCGGTGATAGTGAAAGCGGACGGGCGGATGTGATGTTGAGAGGCGTCATAATTATATTGTGGATACATAGGGTCTGCTTTAAGAGAACTGAGAGTCTCGGGTTGAGATTCGTATTGAATTCTTGTATATTGTACAAGGGCGACTTGCCCAACTTTCTCGACTTCAGAATGCAACTTTCTTGACACACGGTCCAGGCAATGGCAACAAGGGAAAATGAAACAAAAGAGACCGCTATATCTACCAAAGACAGTGCGGAGAATCCGGGTGTAAAATCGTACAACGCAACGCCAAAAAGAGGAACCCCCCTTTTTCGAACAATCACCAACTGTAGTATTGGTTCTGAGCAATAACCTTGCGGTCTGGGAGCTGGGTCCAAAGCTGAGCCTTGCGTTTCCGCAGCTCCTTCGCCTCCCGATCCTCCCACTCCCGAATCCGGGTCTTCTCTTCCTTCAGCAAGACGGTCAGACCAGTCGCTGGGGGCCGCAGTCGGTTGATCTGGCCACGAGCGCGGTGGTCCATGCCGAAGCCGTACGGACCACGGTTAACCCATGCCTGTTGGATATAAATCGCAGTCGGATCGGCGATCTTCTTGCGCTCACCTGACTTCAAGGTGACAGTAATTGGCTTGGGGCTTTCGCCGTTGGGGTCCGGCAGGCCCATGCCGGCACGGACCATGGCGACGTTCTTTGCGTGCTCCAGGTGTCCCAGGATATCCTGTGCGGCCTTCTTCTTGCTGAAGCGCATCTGTAGGATGGCCTCGTCGATATTCTTGCCCGCGATCTGCCGGGCGAGCGGACCCAGCTTCTTCACAGATGTCTTGAACCAGTGTGACTTGGAGAGCGATTCACGTTCTGTGCGCTTGATCTGGACTTCCTTCGGAATGCGGCCGCGTTTTCGGATCTCGCGGATCACCATCTTCTTTTCCCACCGTATCTGGGCCCGCGGGTTGGGGTTCAGCGCCATTTGCAGGTTGTCCCGTTCCCGTTCCTCTAGCAATACGGAGGTCGGTTCTTGATCTTGCTCGTCTTGTATCTGTTTCTTCTGCTTGCTGGGTTTGGGGCCGGACGGGGTGGCCACGTCGTCGGCGAAGATAGAGCTGGCACCGAGGCCACCTTCCTGGGGCTTGGGAGCGGAAGGTGTGCGCGTCACCTTGGGTTTAGAGCTACCAAGGACCCAATCCTTCATAGAGGACAAAATTCCAGAGCTCTGTTTCTGGTTGGCACCGTCATTGTCGTTTGGGGCACGGCAGATGGCGCTCGAGGTCAATGTTCTTCGGGGGATGCAGGAAACACGAGTCCGGGCCGCTAATGGGAGTCAGCAAAATCATGCACGGGTGAAAATAAGCTGAAGAGAAAGGAATTGGCACTGACCAGTCCGAACCAACTGCCCATAAGGAGTGACAGCGCCCATTGTGGCCATGGCAGAGGTGGTTGTTGATCTATTACCCTCGGGCATGTAGCGGGATTGGAAAAAAGGTCAAACTTCCGCTGCGCAACTGGCTCATCCGGACTGCCGTAGCTGCCTCAGGCTACCGGCGAACTAAACCATGCAGTCGCGACGTGATCGATCAGAAGGAAACACACTCGCGGCGCCAGAGGAGGCCGTAGCTCAAGCCAGGAACCTGTAGAATCACCGAACTCGTAGGGAAGACCCCTCTGGAAATGCATAGTCTGCCATTCTCGAGTCTTCACATTCTCCCTCACCTCTCTCACCGTCATCTCCACAGTGAAGATCCACTAGCCCTCACTTCCCTCTTCCAAGACCTTCACTGCTCTCCTTCTCTTTTATCCACATCAGCATATTTCCCTTTTTCCATCCTTCCCTCCTTATACCTTCCCAGGCTACCTGCCTGTGGTTTCTCCTCCTTCTCCATCCTCCGGCCGTGTTTCTCGTTCGTCTCGAGCTCTAACTTCTCCTCCAACCGGTCGACCGACCACACCCTGGCGCCTTCTCCCGCTCCTTCGATACGTTACTTCTCGCCGTACCTCAGTCTCCCTTCATCAGTCGCAGTGCATATCGCCGTGAAACAGCCAGAAATCTTTTGCGCGATCGCTATCGCGCCGATAAAAAAGCACTTTTCGCGACCCTGGAATTCGACACCGCGTTACGGGATTTGAACTGGACTTAAAGCGGCGTTCAACGACTGCGGGAATGGACCTGTTAAGGGATCTCGTGGCTCTCGTTTGATCTGGATCTCTGCTTCCCCTAGCACTATCCGTAACCTCTGGTCTTTGACAAGATTTCTGAGAGCTTGATCGCTCCGCCCTTCCTTGACCATCTGGAGCGTGTCGCAGACTTTTCCCACGAACCTACCAAGATGGACATCAACTCCTTGCTTTCCCCGGACTCAAATCCGCAATCTGGAAACTCGACGCCCGTGCCTGGTCCTACGTCGAACAACGCACCGACCACAGCTGCAGGCCCATCCCCCCACAAAACAGTTCAACGGACGCGTACGGGTCGCAAAGGGAAGACATCCTCGCCTCTAGCCCAGCAAGTCTACACTACCACCGGACACCCCGAGTCTTCTCAAACAGTAACGGCACCACTCGCTGGTCCTAATGAGAGCGCTGGCGGAAACGGATCGTCCCCCAACATCGAACGGCCTCCATCGAGACAACCCTCGACACCGGGAATGGATACATTGGCAGACCTGGCTGCGATGCAGCACCACCAACCACAGCGCCCAGGTGCGCCCAGTATGTTACGGAACACCAAGACATACGAAAGTCAACTATCTCCGTCTACCATTCATCCTCATGTGAATCCAATCAATCATAACACCCCGACCCCCCGCACCTCATTTGATCTTGCAATGTCAGAGGGCCCTCGGGAAAGTGCACAGCGGAACTATGTGCAGACATCGCTGGATCCAGATGCGCAACGACAAGCGACCGAGCTGTTCAACAAGATCCAAGAAAATCCACACACCTATGACGCGCACGTCCAATTCATCGGGTTACTACACGCGGGATTCGTAAATCATGTCTATCCTCCCAATAACCCAGACATCCACGGTGATCCCCGCCGTTACGATCTCCTTAAGGATTTGAGGACGGCGCGAGAGGAGATGGACAAACTTTTCGCAATGGGAGAAGACCTCTGGGCAGAGTGGATTCAGGATGAAAGTATGCTTGCTCACTCAGTCAATGAGCGCATTGCTGTGATGGAGCTATGCCAGCGCTCGGTTGAGGAGGAGTTTGGCTGTACCAAGCTCTGGCACATTTATGGCGAGTGGGTGTTGTACTTATACAATGCGGCCGCTGGTGAGCATGGGGCCGGTCAGTGGACCGAGGAAGATCGAATGATTGGCCGCGAGGTCTTTAACTGGCAATCGGTCCTAGATGTATGGCAGCGAGCTGCTGAAGCGACGCGGTGGAGGATCAATAACAGCCACCTCGTCTGGGATCGATTGCTGGATCTCTTCACCCAGGATCTTACCCGTTCTCCATCCCAGGAGAAGATTACGAAGCTTCGCAGCTTTTATGAAATTCGGTTGCAAACCCCACACGCTACATGGGACAAAACCTTTCAAAACTTCTCTGGGTTCATTTCTACATACTTTGAGTCCACTTACGAGGAGATCATGTCCGAGACGGTTGCTAGGTCGTCCGAATCGAAGAACTTCTATGGTGCGCGCGAAGAGTTTGAGCTTCGGCTGCAAAAGGCGGAGGATTCTGGTGACAAGACCCTTGAGTGGACAGTGTATACTGAATACATTGAGTGGGAAATGCATCGCAGTCGTCGCCGAAGGGAATTTCACTTTGAACTAGCCAACGCTATCTATCAGCGTGCCGTTCTGCGCTTCCCGACCGATGTTTCTCTGTGGGAAGACTATGTAATGTTCCTCATCGGCGAGTCTATGCATGGTCATGCATCTACCACAACTATTGCCACTCTTGACCGTGGGACCCGCCACTGTCCCTGGTCTGGCAACCTTTGGTCGCAGTACCTCCTGAGCTCTGAGCGAGAGGGCCAGTCGTTCTCTACTATTTCCAACATTAAACACAAGGCCACTAGCACGGGCCTTCTCGATGCTGGTGGGATGGAAGAAGTTCTGAAAGTTCATACCACTTGGTGTAGTTATCTGCGCCGTCGCGCCTTTTTGTCAGATTCCACCGATGAAGATTTGGATGTGGCAGAAGTTGGCATTCGCTCTGCCATCGAGAGTGTTCAAGAGCTGGGAGAGAAGAAGTATGGGAGATCTTACCAAGGAGATCCCCTCTTCCGGCTGGAGCGCATTTATATTCGATACCTCAGCGAAAGTGGAAGCTGGGACAGTGCTCGAGAGACTTTCAAGGGCCTTGTCCCTCGCCGTGGAAACAGTTACGAGTTCTGGCTTACTTATTATAGCTGGGAGTTGATTTCTTGGAGCAAGTTTGTCCAAGGCGAGGCGACTGTAGATGCCGCGAGACGGACTCCCAACCCTAGCTACGCTACTGCAGTTCTCAAGCAGGCCATCAAGCGAACCGACCTCGACTGGCCAGAAAAGATTGTCCAGACCTATATTGCACACTGCGAGGATTATGAAGATTCAGATGAGCTTCAGCTTGCTGTGATCGAGACCCGCAAGGCTATGAGGACCGTCAATGCCAAAAGAGAAAAAGAAGCCCGCGATGCAGCGGCCGTCCAGCAGCAACAACAGCAGCAGCAGTGGGAAGCAGCAGCTGAAGCATCGTCTACTTCGGAAAAGCGAAAGCGTGAGGATGAGAAGGATGCAAATGGTGAGCCTACTAGTAAAAAGGCTCGTGCCGACGAAGTGGCGGCCCCAGTCACGACCGAACCCGAAGCTCCTCGCCGCGATCGTGAGCATGCCACTGTACTCGCCAAAAACCTGCCCCGCGATACCACCGAGCACCAGGTTCGGCAATTCTTCCGCCATGTGAGTTTTTTTTTGTTGTCTTTAATATTATGCATTTGGCTGACGGCATGGATTAGGCTGGTACAATCAACGGCGTCAAGATGCTGCCTGACTCTGATAAGGACACTTTGGTTGCAGTTCTGGAATTCGAAACCAAAGAAGAGGCCCTGGCCGCCATGACTCGCGATCAAAAACTTCTCAACATGAACACTATTGACGTGACAATCGAGAGCGAGACGACTTTGTGGGTGACAAATTTCCCACCCACTGCGGATGAAGGTTATATCCGCGATCTCTTCAGCCAGGTATGTCGTTCCTTTGATCTTGTTCTACCTCGAGACAGTTTGCTCACTAAAATTCAGTACGGCGACGTCCTTGAAGTTCGCTTCCCCTCACTCAAGTATCAAACCAGCCGACGGTTCTGTTACGTGCAATTTGCGACGCCAAGTGCAGCGCGCCAGGCCACAGCATTGGATGGCACCGAGAACGAGAAAGGTCACAGGCTGGTGGTGAAAATATCCGACCCGTCACAGAAGAAAAATCGAACTGGAGCCTTCCAAGAAGGGCGTGAGATCTTTTGTAAAAATTTGGACTGGAAGATGAAGGAGGTTGACATCCGGGCGGTGTTCTCAAAATTTGGCACCATCGAGAAAATGCATATTCCCACAAACACTGACGGTGCCCATCGTGGGTTCTTTTTTGTGACGTTCTCGAGCAAGGTAAGAAAATCCCTCCATCTGATTGAAGGCTATCCATTCTCACAATATTATCTAGGACGAAGCAGAGGCGGCTCTCGCGATGAACAATGAAACATTGGGATCTCGCCAATTGACTGTAAGCCTGAGCGGAAACACTGGTGCCAAGCGGATCGCTAGTACCATCATCTCGCGCGTTGCTTCATCGGCTTCACCGCCAGCCGAAGTAAACGGTGATGGGTTGGATGTGGTGGAAACGACTGGCGAGCGGTCAAACCGCACCCTGGCCTTAATGAACGTGCCCGACACCGTTAATGATGCTCGGATCCGTGCCTTGGCGGAGCCATTTGGGACTCTGGTCAAGATCATTCTGCGACCTGACCATCAGGGTGCCATTGTAGAATATGCCGACGTGCATGATGCCGGCAAGGCATCCTTGGCCCTGGAGGGCAAAGAGATTGCCCCCGGCCGCCCACTCCACATTGGCAGTGTAGAAGAGCTGAAGAAGATGCATGCTGAGATGAAGACCGATCGGGTCACGTCTATCAAGCCGGAAAAACCGAAAAGCACGCTTCAGCCCACTGGGCCGATCAAGCGTCCACAACAGCCCAGCGCTCGGGGCCGGCGAGGTGGACTTGGTATGAAACGAGCCCCTACCACTACTACGACTTCTGCAGCGGCCAATTCAGGTTCGGATCAAATGGACACCACCGTCGACGGCAGTGGCCCCTCCAAGAAGAGCAATGATGATTTCCGTGCGATGCTACAGCAAAAGCCTACGGAATAAGATGCAAATGGCTATGTATGGGCTATGGCAAGTGCAATGACGGTATCCGGCGCAAATATTTTACACCTTTTTCTCCATCTCTTTCGACACCCCCTTCTTCCACCTTTCCTTCCCTCTTCCACACCTCTCTCGACCCTTTCCGACAAACCTGTTGAGAGTCCTTCCCATTCCAGGCGGGTTGGCTTCTCATTTTCTCATATAAATTTTGTGCCATGACTTCCTTTTTGCTGTTCCTTTGCTAGTCCTCATGTTTTGCTGGGTATGCACGCCCTGCTTGTATATTACGTCTACGTACTGGACTTCCTTTCACGATTCTTGGCTTTCTTTTCCAGATTAGTGCTTACCCTCTCGCCGATTTTACTTGCTGGGTAGATCTGAACAGGGCCTCTGGCTCAGTGATTGGATCAGTGAGTCCTGATCATGCTTAGCGAGCTTGCGTAGTAATTGTTCGCAAACATTCAGAAATGATTATATTCTTTTGGAGCCCTAACCTGGGTTCCTGCCACTTTGAATAAGCGGTTATTTTATACCCATATATACGATTTCATTCTAGAATGTTGACGAAGATTTTTTCCTTTTTGTGAATGAGTTCATACGTGATCGATGGATAGTATTCCCGCCACTTCAAGCAGGAATCGTAAGCTGCGCCATATTTTGATTCTGGGGGCTGCTTCGCAAAAGTGAAACAAGTTTGGACGTCTGGCTAGTAGTCATGAATGGCACTCTCACTTTGAATGGACATAGAGATCCTAAACAATCTCCAGTGTCGAGCAAGCTGTTGGGTGTGTTACCCAGTATTCGAATTGGTGTTTCCAAACGCGGTTTTCAGCGCCAAATGATCTGTATACAAGATCACTGGGTGCTCAACTCCTTGAACTAACCATCGACATTCTCCCAAGCACTTAAGGACTGCCAGTGCTTCTTTCTCTGTAGTGTGATAGCGCGTCTCCGGATCCGAAAGAGCGTAGGACATATACTTGACCGTTTGCTCCTTTTGTGTCTCCCGCGATGCTCGAGTTCCGACAGGGACGTCTGCAATCTGAAACAAGACGCCACCTAAGCCTTGTCCTGATGCATCTGTAGCCAGGTAATATTAGATCTTTAGATCTCCTCCCGTGAGCTTCGCACGAGCAATATAATATTTAATACGCTGAAATGCTCGCTCTTGATCTCTGCCCTATTGGAAGTCAACTACTTTCCAGTTCTAGCCTTTTCCGACAGATATAACTGCATTCTTGGGAACTCGGACTAGGTCCGTACAGCCGGAGATATAGGTGCAGAGAAACAGGTGCATATAAATAAACCGCATAAGCTCAGGCTCGTTTGCGGACCGAGTCCAATTTGCAATTGCTGCAATTTTGTCTGCAGATGATCGGATTCCGGTAATCGAACACTCATGACCGAGAATCTTAGTTCCTATGACATAATCAGGCGGCGATGGTAACAGCGCCTTTCTGGTTGCCATGGTATATGTGTTTACATCCGATGGAGGATGAGAGGGAATTGAGGTGCTGGAGATTGAGAAGTGTGTGAGAGAGAGGGGCGCAAGATGAGGGCAAGGTGAGGAGTGTATGAGAGATGTAAGAGGGCAGACGACTGTCCAAAGGGAGGACGTGACCACCCGCAGTACATCCGTGAACCTAGGCTACTAAATGTAGAACACTGTTTACAATGCCTGCCTAGGGCAGGATCGGATTATAGTCACGACGAGCATGCGAGCATCTGATCACGTGTCGCATCCGACCTGGGGAAGATCGCCCGAGTTGCAGGTGCTTGGACGTTGTCTGCCTTGTTTTGATAAGATGCCGAGTGGGACAGTGGGTCGCCCCCGTTCTGCCCGTTGCATCAGCCGACTTCGATCCTGGTGCCATCACCTCCATTCACACCGATTGACCCTCCTTATCTCGGTTCCTTCCTCTCCTACTACTCCTCATCTTCCTCCTCCTCCTCTTCCTTTCCTATCTTATCATCAAACTCTCGCGCTGTTCGCCTCTTATTGCTGCCTGGGCGTCTCCCGCATTCTTCCCCACCTCTCCAGCCTCATCCGATGTACCGCCCGCCCTGTCGCACGGGCCAGATGTCCTGAACACCGACGCAATCGGCCCTATCTTTCTACCTCCTACCTCTGCCCGTCATGGATTTCCACCTGGTGCCCCGGGGTACTGATCGGAATTATACTGGCTTTCTCACCAAGACGATTGTCTATTCCGGCACCTTGGTGTTGTTCCTGGCTTGTAAGTTGAGCAAAACGCTCCCCACAGGTTCCACCCCGTGACAGGAAGGCTTGGTCCTGGGAACCAGGTCCGATGGAGCACGTATTAACGAGTCGATCGAATGGTAAACAGCTTTTGCCTTGACACTATGCTCGATCATTATCCCTAAATGGGTCAGCTACCACAGCGAAAAGGTAGGTCGCCCCCGGGCCTTGAGAACAAGCCGATTGTGGCAGTTCTCTAACTTGCGAGAATGCGAGACCTGATTCGCCTGAATTTTTTTTCGTTCTTTCTTCTGAGCAGCCCGCCCATCACTACTCGTACGGCCTCCATCGACGCTGTTCATCCCTCTCCGATACCTGTGAGAGCTTCCCGCAACGTGAAGACTGCCATGGAGACGATCGGTACTTCTGCTCCATGTGGCGTTCTGTTGGGTTCTTGATGTCGTTCGCTGTCGTCCTGATGGGCATTAGCGTGGTGGCCTATCTCATTATCCTGTCTGGCGGAAAGCGACTCCGCGAAAACGGTTGGAGAATCCTCAGCCTGCTCATCATCTTGTCGGCCGTGGTGCAAGCTGCGGCCATGTCGGTGGTGGTAAGTTCTCAGTTCTCGCGAGCCACGGAGGTCACGATCGAAGCATGATGCTTGGATGTTCACTGACGATTTGGGTGCCTGTGTGCCTATTGCAGGCGTATCTTTTCGACAACGAGGATCGGTTCTTCGTTGGATGGAGGCTGGATCAGTCCTGGATCTTCTGTACCATCAGCTGGTGCTTCAGTCTTGTCTGCGCAGGCGCAGTCATTGTGGCTGCTTATGCCCTACCTTCAGAAGGGGGCTATGAATTGATCCCAGATCACGACACTCTGAGGGTTACGTCTTGATTTTGATCTTCTGTGATCATGGTGGAGAGAGGTTGTCTCATATGAATTTTGCGCATTCGAAATACATGGCACACGATCTCATGGGTTCGCCAACGATATTAATACCCGATTTCCTCTTGTCTCTGTCACACACACAGATTTGTTTTTTTTACTAATCTTTCTCATAACATGTTGGATTGGCGGGATTCCTTTTGCTTGACTTTCTCGTTTGTCCTTCCCATTCTGCGATATGTTATATCTTTCGGCGTTGGGGCTGTACATGACAGTGCAAGGACTTTTCGGTCCATTTGATTCGACCAACCCTGTTACCAGAAAGAAGAATTTGTTCGGGATTCAATAATGATAGGCTAATACAACCTGGGACATCTCAAGTAATTTGAGTCACATATTTGACATCGAATGGGCTATATGGAGCATAAGGTTTCTAACGTAATTCACTGGTGAGTGCGCACTCAACTGAAAACTCGTCTCCTATCTTCTACCTACTACCTTCCACCACACACTATGCCACCAAAACGTTCCGAAAAGCGCTCAAAATCGCTAAATAGGGAGAGTAGGATACTCGCTATCAAAGCTATTCAAAATGATACTACCCTATCTATATGCAAAGCAGCAGCGGCTTATAATATGCTAGAGAGCACGCTTCGAAGGCGTATAAAGGGTGTTCTACTAGGATACACGATCACTATGTCTTAAACTTACACAAGAAGAAGAAGATTCGCTTTGCTAGTAAATACTATCGCTAGATAAGTGTAGTGCGTCCCCTAGGCCTATAGAAATTGCTGGTATAGCGAATCTTCTACTAGTAATACGCCGTAATACTATACCTTCTACTATAGGTGTTAATTAGATAACATGCTATATTAAACGACGATCTAAGCTTCGTAGACGATTCTCTAAGCGCTACGACTATTAAAGTATATAAAACGAAGATCCTACTAGCCTACGTAAGTAGTTTAGGCTAGTAGAGTGTACCTTTAATAAAAACGGGATCTAATCAAACGATATCTATAATTTTGATAAAACTAGGCTTTGCAATAGGCCTAATATCTACTACTAGAATCGTTACACGAAAAGATTTCTATAGTCGGAAACCTCTATTACAACTAGGGAATCGGGAGTAGGTAATAGCTATTAAATCTACTTTAGCAACCGGCTTCTCGCTTCCGCTGTATATAATATTTAAAGCGAAGGTTTATATAACTAGCTAGTTCAATAATCTTCCCAGCAATTAGCGATTTAAAATCTCACTAAACAGTTAGACTAGCGATATTATAGGCCTACAATAGCCAGAAAAGCTCTTTATTCTGGCCACTACTCCGCATACGTAAGGCAAATATCGGCCATTAATATTAGACAGTTATAGTAGTTATTTAATGCTATAATTTAATTAAATCTACTAGTAAATTAATATTATACTAATCTATATACTACCGTATTCGTTATATCTTCTACAGCTTCTCGATATTGGATATTTTGCTATATTAAAGCGTTTATACAGTCTCTCAATCGAGGCGCAAGCCCTACAGAGAGAGCGCTAGATCAATTAATCAAAGGTGCTAAACCAGCGTTTTATAACACTCCTTTACAAGCAGAAGAGATTCGGCAACTACATGAATTCAACGAGAAGAAACGTCAGAAAGCGTACACGTTTAAATCGCTAGGTATCTAATTAGTACTGTTTTACGCTCAGCGAATCTATATCTCTAGATTCAACAGGAGGAGACTAGTAGTAGTCAGCAGCCTACTATAGGCGATGAGTCTACTACTTAGCGTGTGTTTCGGTGTTCTGGATGTGCTTATATAGGGCATACGATTAGCCGGTGCCCTACTAAATAGTTGAATTAAATATCTAGTTTTATAGTGGAAAAACAGTGGATTCAAAATGTAGTAGGTGGTAGGGTGTTTTGTTCCGCTCGCTAGTGAATTACGTTACCGGACTATCGATCACATTACAATTACAAGCCCTGGAGTACTTTGGTGGTCGCTGGCGATAATCACTACCTAGCATTTAGGTAGTACAATTGTAATAACACCCAGTGTAGTTGCATAATTTGTATATCAGCATCTTTCAATGAATCTATCAAGTCTAAATTTCAAACTATTCCCCTTATAATTCATCGTCCGCACCATCAAATTCAAAATCCCATCCATAGGTTGGTCCTACACAATATGCGGTCCCAACGACCAATTTAGAGGTACAGCTATCCGCACTCAAAGATGGATTTACGTCCAGGAACAGACTCCAAGGTATCGATTCCTGAACGCAAATCGTTGTGCAAGTCTCTTCAAGCTGCTCGTTGCTAACAACGTGCCACTTACCACACCGCAGAGTTGTTCCATCGGCAACGGGTACATTGTCGGGAGGAGGAATTTCTGGAATGGCGTAGCCATCGCTGTAGTCCGGCGTGGTGGTGTCTGTATCTGGAGCGTCCCCCGTTGAATTTCCTGCCTGCGGACCAAGACAAATGACATGCCCATAAGCCACGTTGCTGTTCATGTGCAGATTTGTACACTCGTTGTCCAGCCACGGATTATAATTCTTCAGAGTAAGACCATCCTGGTACCCGATATTCTGGGCCTTTTCGATGGAACTGCAGGTGTCGTTTGCTTGAAGAGTATAGATATTGGCACACTCGAATGGGATGCAAAGTTTCGTTCCCACAGGAATATTGTCGCAGAATTTCAGGTTGACGTTGCCCATGAAAAGAGCAGCAGACGCGACTTTGTGAGCCTGGGAAATTGAGTCACAGGTGTCTCCTTTCACAGACGTATAAGTCACATCAGAGGCACAGAAATCCGTTGTAGGCTCATAGGGATCAAGGGTTGGAGTCAGCGGATCGGGGATATCCGTAGGTATATCGAGTCCACACTTGGAGTTGATTTCTTCCAATTTCGATTTCCAAATTTCACTGTAGTAAGAGTATGGACTAGATTGCATCTTTTTGTAACGATCCACTCTACAGAACGAGCAAAGCTCATCAGTAGATTCGTCCCAGGAAGTTTGTTTGTTCAAGACATCTGTTTGTCCGAGTAATTGAAGTTAGCAGCTTTTCGGAAAAAAAATGGACAGAAGTCTTCTAACTTACCGCCGCAATATTCCCCTGTATCGGGGTCTTGAACACAGGTTTGATTCCATGATGCCCAGAGCCTGCCTCCCCTGGCATTAAGGACGATATTGGTCTGATTTACGTCTGCGCAGTTTTCGGTGACATGGCTAAACCACGACTTTATGGAAACCTCGCATTCAGCAGAACACACCTGCTTGCTGAGTGTATCATTCTCAAATCCGCCTTGCCAATTAGCAGCTTGGAATCCTTGGATCTTATCAGGACAGTCAATCACCTGCGTTAGTGCAGATTGACAAGCTGACGGGAGCGTGTTCAGCAAATTCTCATCGTACTGATCTTCAAATAGATAAAATCCGGTGAAGTTGCGCTTGCCAATGACATCTTCCTCCGCACGGAACCAGCCAAGCAATGACGAGGTATATCCGTTTCGAGAATCTCTGGACCAAATAGCTGTTTCATCAAGAGGGCTGATAGATTGAACAATTGCCTTTGTCACAAGATTGACCAGCCAGACTCCACTGCTTTGCTCAACATAGAAGGCCTTGTCTTGGCAGTTGTTTGTTTGTAGGCAGTCCTGGGAGTAAGACCTGAACCAACTATACATTCCTAGAAAGAGAGGGTTAAGGTGTCAGTCCCGGATTTCAAACCTATTGGCAAATAGATCAAAACATACCTGCCCCGAGAATAGAGATAGATTCTGAGTCCACGATTCTCATTGCCCAGGAGCTTGTGCAAGTTTCGCAATCAACATCCACGGGGTCATTTGGGAATCTTCCAAGAGTAAAAGGCTCTGGCATTGGAGGACTAGGCTGGAAATAAGGAGATTCTGTCTGAATCATCCCCACAACCAAGTCCTTGGCTTCAGATAGTTGATACTGGTATAGTACACTGTGCTCGGACGCTGTACCATACATCCACGTTGGTCCTTGGCTCTCCACAAGAATACCTCGTGCCACGTAGATGTCGACTTGATCCTGTGACTCTATGTCCATATCGTGATCTGCGACCCACGCCCAAATATTCTCCATATAGGCCGAAGCCCGTTTAGTAATGCGAAGCATGAGTGACCCAGCAACACAGTCTTCGTTTAATGACGAAGCTTTCTTGGGGCATTTGTCTGCTTGGAGTTGAGATCCAATAGCGCCACCCACCCGGAAGTGAGAATCTTTCTGATGTTAGCAAAAGGTTTGCGAATATATGAGAAATAACGTACCCCAAAGTCCGGCGGACCCTTGACTAGATTCATGGACATTCCATTCCATGAGAACAGCCCCAGCTGTAGGCCCAGATGAAGTGAACATCATATTCTGAATCTCAATAACTCCAACATCTCCCTCATTTCCAACCTGAACAGCCACATGGGGGCTCTCCATATCCTCAAACTTGGTACCCTTTGCCATGATTTGCGGCCAAGCCTGACCAATGATTCGGGATCCGAGTGGTATATGAACAGTATCCTTGATCACATAAACTCCATACGGGATATGAACAATTGCGGAAATATTCGCCGCAAAGGCCAGAACACTGTTCAAAGCTGCTGTGTCATCTGTGACACCATCGCCCTTTGCACCGTAGGCCTTCACATCCAACACTTCCCCACCACCAAGATCGTGATACTGAGGACGGCGCCTAGTGAAGAAGTTGAAGGTCCCATCCACATAGGACTTGCTGCCAGTTAAAGAACTCTTGCGATTGAGAGATGGTAGTTGAACCTGTTGAGCAAAATGCATGCCACTTTCGTCGGCGTAGAGGCCAAAGCCCCAAGTGTCAAGCATGACTTCATCTCCGCCTGCTAGGAGAGGCTCTGAGCGGGTGTCTGAGACAATTGCCTTCTGGACATTGAAAAAACCCACATTCTGTAGAAGAACTGCGGTAGAGTTGTCTTCGTATGAGGATGTGAGGATTCCCGTCGGTGTGTTGGCTATGATAGCATCAACTAGGATATAAGCCCCGACAGATTGGCCATCACTCATTGGGCCACCAGCCTAGTCAGTTAGAAAAATGATGCAAGCTTATGGAACAAGAGAGATTAGTTTACTCACTCCTCCAACAATAACAACTCCAGTTTCGCATGACTCTATGACAACATCTTGCATCGTCCATGCCCAATCCCAGTGGACTTGAACAGCAGTTTTGCAATTCACAAACACCAACTCGCTTGTAGTGAATTGCTGGTTTCCAAGGTAAGCACTAAGATCTTTTGTCAGATTAAAGCTTATCTAAGTGGTATTGAATCGAATTCAGACCCGAAATTTCCACCCACAAAGGTGAGGTTGCCCATGAATCCTCCGCTTCCATTCTCCATATAAATACCCTTCCTGGTGTCAGCCTGCATATACAAAAATAAAGGGACAAGGCAAAGGTACCTGCTGTGTATTTCCAGCTGCTTGAGACATATAGAAGTCAATGTTCTCGAGTGTGGTTCCTTGAGCGACTTGCCAATGGATGGCACAAACATAGGCACCAGGATCAGTGCGAGTAATATCCATCTTGAAGTTACGAACGCTGCGCAGGAAGTTGTTCGTGTTCAGGTACCTAAATCCAGTATAAAGCGTTTAAGTCAGTACTAGTATTAGAAGTAGGTAGGAAGATATCGTCTTCTTCAAGAGGGGCATAGGCTGGTCTTACCATTCCTCCGAGTCTCCAACATAGACATCAGAGGTGATCACTCCGAGGCCAACGAAACTTGCAGCAGCAAGAATAGTTGGATAGTCCGTAGGCTTTGAAAAGCATGCATTAGAGAAGGTTTGATCAATGAATACCGAGGTAGAACAGAGTAGATCTTACATCGCCGAGGAATTGAGTGTTGTAATACTGGATGAGAGGACTGCTGACAAGATAGTTTCCGGGAGGAAAGAAGACAACTGCGGGAAAGATCGTACTAGAGCCACAATTCGCTCCACATCGACCACCATCTGAGATTGCCTTGTTGATTGCAGCTTTGAAATTGATCAGAGAATACATTTCTTCTATCGGAAGGCAGAAAGTCAACTTACCAGTGTCATCAGTCACACCGTCTCCCTTTGCGCCGTAATCCTTCACATTTCTCCAGACCTATAAACAAACCATGATGTTAAGCAAGCCCTAAAGTTGATGTATTAGGCTTTATTACCTTGTAATCGTCTGAAGCGTACGGGCTAGTTCCTCTCTGTTCAAGATTTGCCAGCCAGTAGCTAGATCCGGAGGTAGCACGTTTGTTCAATTTAGCCTGATTGGTCTCATCTGCAGCCAGATACTTCACGCCGTCATCTTCATTATACTCGAACAATCCATTCGAACTTTGGAGACGCTGTGGAGGCCTATTGGTATCGTTGGACTTTGATCCATACTTCGCTCTGACTTTTGCGGCCAACTTTGTCTCCTCTCCCCTACTAGGGGATGGAGGTGATGACTCCGCTAGCTCACGAGCAGCTTCTGCAAGGTCCTTTGGAATTGTGTAGGCAAAGCTTTTCTTGGATGCGGTGTCACGCTTCTTCTTTAGGGATCCAGAGGGGGAAGCATTTGCAAGAGAAGCAGAAAGCTTGGCCACAGTATTCTTCGAATAATCCAGGGGAGGAGCAGAATCTCTTTTTTCGGAGCTCTTGATTTTATCATCCAGAGTGTAGTTGTTGAAATTGATATTTTCAATGCGTAGCTTATTGATGACCGATAGCGCTTTCAAAGCCTCGGAGACTTTCTGGGCAGCCTCTGTATGTCCGAAGTGGTTCTCATGGGAGACAGATGTAGACTTTGGTGCAGCAACCTCAACTGAAGTAACTTTATCCCGGCCAAAGTGTCGATGTAAATGATCATGTTTATGATGTCCGGCCCATACAGCAGTGGCTTGACATATGAGCAGGAAGCAGCACACAGCTGATATCATGCCCTGCATGTTGACTGCAGTAGGTCAAATGTTGTATACCACCAATCCCAAAAAAATTCTTCACATCTACGAATGCAAAGGGTGGAGACCCGTAGAAGATAAAGAGCCAAAGTTTTTCAGGGATGCAAAGTGACCACTCTGCTCTTCCGCAGATACTGTGATAATACCAGCCTAATTCCTACACGCATTGGAAGGTTACATCGCTTGAACTACTAGTGAGATGAGTGGAAATGAGATGTCTTTGATTTTATGTCGGTGGAATGAATTATTTGGACTCTTTGGATCGTGCATATAGCTTTGTGTGGTATTTTAATGCACAAAGGCTAGCATACGAGCTGGATGGGAATCACACCTTTCCATTTATGGGCTACACTAGGCAAAATATTAACACATAAACGACGAACAACATCCGATTCTGAAATTATTAGTAAATCTAGTAGGTGATGTGGGGGATAGAAATCAGTTCCGGTGATCGTCTATTTTTGGTGGCGGCTCTGCTAACAAAATGGCTCGGTTGAAAAAAAGGGTCCAGCTTCGCCAAGAGCGGAATTTATCGTTGCGCTTGATCAAATCGGACACTAACTCTTAACTAGGTCGGCATTTAGTCTAATGCCAAGGGATTTTGGAAGAAGAGGCCAAGGCCCTACTCAAGCAGGCGCAGTATCCACTCAGGGATACTGCTTTTCTGATTGGATATGGCAAGGATTCGATTAAAAATCACTCCACGGAGCTATAAAAATGAACACTACCCTGCTAGTTTAGTGGGAAAATTAATACCGAGCAAGCGATGTACTTGGCTTCTATGGTCACTTAGCACGGAAGTCTCCTGTTTCAGGGAAAAAACGCCAAATAAAAATGAAATTGAGGAAGTAGGACCCTGAAGGGCTATAACTAGTTAGTTGTATAAAGGTTCTTGATTTGCCGGAATTTCAATATTGCTGAAAAGAGATTGTCCCACTAATTCAAAATGCGAGGCCATAACTTGGTTTGGCTTCTTGCTTTATTTTGTGTCTTCCTGGTCACCGTTCTGGCCGAGGACTGTAGTGCAGATAAGCCTTGTGCCACTGGTTGCTGGTAGGTTCTGAGTTTATGACCTAACAACGATTTACGTATGTGGTACCTATTGACAATTCATTCAGCTCAAAAGATGGATTCTGCGGAACAACACCTGAGCATTGCGGCGAAGGATGTCTCGCGAATTGTGACTATAAACTCGGATGCGACGCAAATAACCCCTGCGAAAAAGGATGCTGGTAAGATCGCCCACTATTGTGTTGATGTACCATAAGTTTAGAATTTCATCTTAACTCTCATATTTCAAGTAACTCTTTCGGATTCTGTGGCCATGGGCCAGACTTTTGCGGCAAGGATGTTTGTGTGAACAATTGTGATCGCAAATCGGAATGTGACCCCGGCTTCGGATCAAAGTGGGCAGAAAGCTCGACTTGCCCTTTGAACGTGTGCTGCTCGGAATTTGTAAGCAATGGAAGATTTCAACTCATTGGAAGTCATCAGAGAATTGATACTGATCGCTTTGAAAAATTAGGGATTCTGTGGAACGACTAAAGAATTTGTAAGTTATATCGATATCGTGGTCCTAACTATCATCCGCTACTATGTAAGCTAATATTGACTCTATATAGTGCGGAAACACAACCGTGAAACATAAGACCTGCTCAAAAGATCGATATCTGTCAAGAATAGTAGGCTACTATGAAGGATGGTCCACTCGGCGTCCCTGCCATAGGTTTTGGCCCGAGCAGATTCCACTTGGCGTGTACAGCCATATCAATTTCGCATTTGCCACGATCGATCCTGAGACCTACGAAGTTCTACCAGCCGACAATCGGGATAAAGATCTTTATAAGCGATTGACCGCCTTAAAGAAATATGATCCCAATGTGGAAATCCTAATCGCATTAGGTGGCTGGACCTTCAATGATCCTGGCTCTACCGCTACTGTCTTCTCCGACCTTGCTGCGTCTGAAACAAAGCAGAAGAAGTTCTTCAAATCTTTGACCAATTTCTTGTCAAACTACGATTTTGACGGTGTTGATCTAGACTGGGAGTATCCCGAAGCCACCGACCGCAGCGGACAGCCTGAAGACTATAAAAACTTCCCGACGTTTATGAAAAACCTGAAGAACGCCCTAGATGGAACAGGAGGGCGAAACACGCTTTCAATCACACTTCCCGCCTCCTATTGGTATCTTCAACACTTCGACTTGAAGAACCTTGCCAAACATGTCTCTTTCTTTAACATTATGTCCTATGACATGCATGGTACTTGGGATGAAGGAAATACATGGACAGGTGCATACCTCAATGCGCATACCAACCTTACCGAGATCAAACAAGGAATGGACCTTCTTTGGCGCAATGACGTGAAACCTGACCAGGTGGTGATGGGTCTTGCTTTTTACGGCCGTACGTACACCACAATTGGTGGTTGCGTCGAACCTGGATGCGAATATGCATCGGGAGGCCTCGCTGGAAAATGCAGCCATGAAACCGGCATCCTACTCAACAACGAAATTATGGACATCATCAACGAGAAGAATCTCAAACCTAAATTGTATAAGGAGGCAACCGTCAAGGTGGTCACTTGGGATGACCAGTGGGTTTCTATAGACGATAAAGAAACTCTGGGCCTGAAGGCGGATTTTGCTCGCGAGCAATGTCTCAGTGGCATAATGGTCTGGGCTATCAGCCACGACACTTCCACGGGTGACTTCTCCCGGGATTTGGCAAAGGTATCCAACAGACAAGTATCTATGCAATTCGACCAAATCGGCGATAACGATACCGTCATCGAGAGAACCGATCATAGCCAATGTCGCTGGACAGATTGTTCACAACCTTGTCCGGCTGGGTGGTCAATGATCGAGCGAGCAGATAAATGGAGGAAATACGACGGTGAGCCAATGATGGACTCCACTTATTGCGGTGGTCTCGGCTACGCTTCATTTTGCTGCCCACCAACATCTCCGCTTCCAAAGTGTGGCTGGTATGATTATGGCAAGGGAAAATGTACAGCTGGATGCCCTGACGGAATGCTTGAGATTGGCTCAATACTAGAGGGATGTGAATTTTCTGTGCCTCAGCAGTATCAGTCGGCTTGCTGCGCCTCCACAGATGACGATGGAAATGAATTGAAGAGCATGGCTCTATATAACACTTGCGAATGGTCTGATTGGCCCACTTGTCCATCCGGGTCGTGCTCCGGTACAATGGATACCGTACTGGTCAATTCGATGTGGGGTACCGGCGTTTCTATGTGCTACAAAGAGGGTCGCGACCTCTGTTGTGATACTTCGAAAAAGAACAAGAAATTTGAAAACTGTGACTGGCACGATGGCAGTGACCTGATCCACCCCGTTACCGACAACCGTTGCTGGAACGGCTGTCCCGAGGGTCAAATTCGGGTAGCATCGAACAGCGATGGTAAATGTTTATATAGCGGTGCGAGCTCATACTGCTGCGATGGCACCGACTACACGGAGACAGAGCATCTATCAGATGATTTGCAAAAATTCAAAGATGAGCTTGGCGATTGGCTTACGAACGCCAAATGTGAACTGCATCTGGCTAAAAGAAGTGGCGGTCTCGAAGTACGTGAGGATCTTTGTGAGATTGTCGCGAAGCATTCTCTAGTAGTCAAGCTAGCTGCAATTTTTGCTGGCTACTTGAATTTGAGTGGTAGAACAAGCCACTATAATCGACTCGCCAATATATGGAACATGGTCACTGATACATTTGAACATCTCAGTACCAAGTTCATGCTTCCATGGATAACATCCAATGATACATATCCAGAATTCTATCAACAGGGCTATGAGGTTACTGCAATGCACATTTTGCAATTGCCTGAAGGTTATGACAAGATGATTGCCAATTCCAAAGACACTATCTTCTGCACATTAGATTTGTGTGAATACGGAGATGGTATGTGTGATCGGGATGAGAGCGATTTGGACCTCAAACGCCGTCAGGCCGAGTGGACAGAAAAGGTAACCAATGGATGACTCCCTCAATTTCTCTAATATGCTGACAGATTTTTCACTTGCCAGAGAGACGTGCTTAGACTTTTGGGGAAACGAGCCAAAGCAAAGAAGGAAAGCGTTCAGTGCGAAGACGAAGATGGCACCAAAAGACAATCCAGTATACTCGGTTCGCATATCCTGGAGCAAGTGAGTGGCCCGCAACAGCTGTTCAAGTTAGAGAGGCCGTTGTTCTGGCGAATTCGGATAGTTGTACAAACACCGAAGTCGAGGAACATGAAGCTTCTACGGAGGAACGGGCGCCTGGAGAGAATAATAGCAATCCAGAAATCAACAGTAAGTATCAAATGGGGGACTGCTACGAAATTTCAATATTAACCAAGTATATGTCACAGCGGAGCATCTTATTGAGGTTAAAATGATGAGTCTGTTTATGCAATGGGCTGTTAAAGGCGGAAACTGTGGTATTGACTGCAATTTCTTTCTTGATTTCTTCACCCAGGATGTCATCGAAAACGCACCTCGCACACCAGGAAGCAGTCAAAATCTGAAGAAGCCAGCTGATCGTGTCATGGAACAATTTGGAAGCAAATCAAACAAGGAAGTATTCCGGATGCTCAAACAAAGTATCAATGCAATCAAAGGTGATGTAAGTCTGACTTCTGTCCATATAAACCGAAACCCATCATCATAAAATATTAATCAAACTATATTAGCTTTGGAGTTTGAATGAAGCTCCGGGAGCACCAGGCTCCTGGCCAGAGCGGGTTCAGGATGATAACCCGCGTGGGGCATTGAGTGTAATCCGAGAGGTATGTGGCAGCATGACATTAGCTAACTCAAAATGAGGCCTATCTCACTGACTATCAATCGCTAGACAATTTCGGTTTACAATTATCAGAACATGCCCAAAGTTCTGAAACGCTTCAAAATGGTTAATGATGGCATTCGTGCTGAGCTGCACCGCACTTCAAAGGCATACAAAGATCAGAAAGGAGTGGACATCGACCTTGTAGACTGTTGGGACCGCTTTTTCAAATCCAGGAAGAATCAAATGATAGAAACAGGCCGCAACTTTGTCAATGAAGCGATTGAGGGAATGCGCACCAGATGGACCCAAGATTCAGACGCCAGTGTTGAGTGGAACGACCGAGCTCGTGCGGTCCGCGATGCTCTTACAGAGCTGGAAGGCCACATTGGGGAGATTTACATGGATGATCTCGAGCTTGAGGAACTCAGTTGAATAGTTGATTTGGAGATTTTCAACAGCAAAGTATACAAATTTATTCAGTTTGTTCCAATGGAAATATGGATCGTACAAATGAATCATGGATCACTAGAGCGCAGCTTGGCTTTCAATTATGATACTCTGCCGCTCACGATACTCAGACTCCGTAACGATCGGGTGTCTTGGAATTTTGGGTTCTCGGAAGCGGGAATTGATATCGTAATCAGATGGACAGAGAAACACATCTTGTTCCTCAAGACGTGACGCATATCCATCTGTATAAATGACTTTCCCGGGCCTTTCCATTCCCCAGTCGCCCCATTGTTGTTCTCCGGTTTGGAGATCTTCACACATGAGAGCAAAGCAGACAATGTCCTTTAAGCAAACTCTCAATGATCCATCATAGAACTCCCCGGAGTCATTTTCAGGATCATTTGGGTCAAAGTCACAGTCGATCACATTAACGTATCCGACCAAAGCAGAGTCAGATTTATCATCTGGCTCTGAACTTGCTAAGATTGACCGGATAGAGCGGTCATCCAGAACAATGCAGTAGTCAAATCGAGGCCTCCCAATATGACGGTCGTAGCCCTGCCCCTCAACCCATTCAATATGTCGTTTACGAATGGTATCTATTGGGGCAAATTCTAGATTTGGATCCTCGACAATCACATTTCGATAGCCCTCCCAAACAAGCTCACGAATATTTGGCTGGGGTGCGAACTGATCCCCGAATCCTTCCTGAGTGTGAAATATTCGCCTGTGGCAATACCGATCAATCTTTTCGATCACGGCTGTCCAGTCCTGGTCAGATGTAGTTCTAAAGCTTGTGCGATAGATAACAAATCCCCACGGCCAACCTTCCATCGAAGCGTTAAATTGAAAAAATCGAGGCAAATGATGATGCCAACCCGATCTCCATCCCGGTTTTGCGCCGAATCGTTTGTTTCTCTCACGCGGAGATTCCTCGGGGGGAAATTCTGCTGATTGCCATGGTGTAGTCCACGAGTCGTGGTGGAAAAGGCCCGAGGTCATGCTTTCCTGTAGAACAATCCAGGGGATATTAAATGCGTCAGATAGCCAGGCGGATATGGTGCATCGCTTAAATATTGGTGACGGATGTCAGTGAGAGTTCGCTTATTGTCGTGTTGCCCTGGTGGCGGGTGAGTCACTACTGCTACTAGCCCTTGCTTGGCATTAGACACGATCCCACCCGAGTGTGCTGGACTGTAGTACAATGTAGACATTGGCAGAAGTGAGCAGTCCCCCGAAACAGAGCTATGAATTTCCTCCAATAGATGCCAAGATTTGCTTTTATTTAATACTGTCTAAAAATTACGTCAAAATTTTTTTTTGGGTTGTTTTTGGGTTTCTGGATTGAGTCTTCAGGCCTTCCACCTGTCGATGACTAGGCCGTAATACTTATTTACTGGTAGCCTATAAATAATTCAAGCCAATCTAGGTTTCCCTTGGTCCTGAGTCTTAGCTACGAGAATTTAATTATAGCCGAGGACACTCGACGAACTTATACAAGGTTGAAAATATGATTCGCTGGCTCAGAAATCGCCCGCCTACTGAACCGAGCTGTAATGATACACACAGATCAGCCAATGGATGAGCACAAGCATCGCTTAGTTTTCCAAGGATATTAGTACTTATAGATTCAATAGTTGCAAAAAAGAAACCAAAATTCTCGGACGGCATCAAGGTGTTGCTGTGCACCGTAAATTTACATGAAAGGTGGGGATGAAAATATTGGGCATCGCAAAAGTAGTATCACTTCAAAAGCAGTTTCCATTCATTGGTATTCATATACTAGTATGTATGCAAAGAGATGCAGATTCAAACTGAACTTAAAACAAAACGAAGAGGAAGAAATAAGAAGAAATAAACAAATGATGCTTGACCACATCACAAGCTCTGACCAATCGACAATCCACCTCAATTAAGCTTGCGATTTATTCGGAATGATCTCCGCCAACGCAATCAAAGGACCACTAGACAGCAGCTCCAAAACTTGAACATTTGCATTCGCCTCATGGGCAATCCAGTTGCGAATTTTAATCGCAACCAGAGAGTCTAGACCCAGCGAAGCAACAGTAATAGAAGGATTTATATCCTCAAGTGAGACAAAAAGGACCTGCGCCAGCTATGCCGCCAACGCCTCATAACAGATTTGCAGCGCCTCTTCCTTCGATGGGGCTTTTGCAAGCTGCGTGTTCAGCGGCACGGCAGGTCCACCACCAGCACCACCAGCAACTAACGTGCTTCGCCTAGCCTCGTACAGAATGCTGAACTTGGCGTTCTGCGCCCAGAAGTGGTCCAGCGTGCTGCCGAGCTCGAGACCCGTGATGCAGTGTTCGCCACAAGATTTTGTCAGATCTCCCGTGATGGCGGCAGCGAAGAGGGCTAGCACTTCGGCTTCGTCCATAGCGTCTGTGCCGATGTTCTTGAGAACATCTTGTTGACTCTTGCTGTCGACTTCGGCGAGGTAGCCGACGTCTCGGACAGCGGTGAGATCGATTGATGTTCCAGGCAGACCTTGCGAGCGACGGTATTCCATGAATTCATCTAGGAAGACGTTTGCTGCGGCGTAAGCTGCTTGAACCCTGTTACCGATTGTACCGGCCACGGATGAGAGAGCCATGAAGAAGTCAAGTGTGGAGTCAGAGAGCATGTCGTGCAGATTCCAGGCTCCTTCTACCTTGCTATCGGCGACGGCTTGGAAGTCTTCTAGAGTCATCTTCTGGAAAAGAATATCCTGTGGCAGCGTGTTAGTAGTGTTTTGATGAAACAAAATGAGTTGGTCAATGGGTCACTTACTCAAAGAACTGTTGCACCGTGAACGACACCCCGCACTGGGGGAAGATCTTTCATGTTGTTCTTGACTAGATTTTCCACAGAAGCACGGTTGCTCATATCGCAGGCCTTGATGGTGATGTGTGTACCATCAACGGCCAATTCATCAATCAGCTCTTGCACGTTATCATTGACAGATGCGCTTCGTGAAACAAGCACGATGTTTCTGGCACCTCTGGCGGACATCCACTTAGCCATGCTTCGACCAAGACCTCCAGTACCACCAATAAGAATATAAGATCCATCTCCCTTGAGAACATGGCCAGTCTTTAATGTGACAGCCTGCAAAACATGTGTTAGTAATTGCAACTATCGTAACAAGTTTAAGAGTTCACTTACCTTGACATGATCTCCGGGGTAGGGAACAACGACAACTCGTGGAGAATATTAGCGTCATTGTCCTTTGCAGCATCATAGTAATATCTCCTCGTAGAATTGAACGAGGCTTCAACCTGGCGACGACCTCAGGGTCCTGAGCCCAGTAAATCGCAGGGTACAGCTCTCTTCATTGCCTCTGAAAGGGGCCGCTAATAAGCTCTGATTCACGAGGACGTTTCGCTCAAGGAATTAGTGGTATCGGGGAAGCAGTACCAAAGGAGTAGGCATATGACGCCTTGTGTAATACGTGGTTCGCGCCCCCACCCCCAACCTGCCAGTGAGAAGGGAAGTGGTCCCTGATCACCACGGACCGTGCCGGTTTCTGGTAGCCACTTGGCATGATAGTTTTGAAGAAGAGCCTCTAATGATCTGTTTGTGAAGGGGATTTAGGAAAATGGCTCGATTGATATTCCAGACTGACTATTTCGCTGAATCTGATCGTTCTAATCTTTACCCCCCACACGGGACCGACTGAAGGCCCCTGCGGCCAATCTATTAATCTACAGCTAGATAGTCCCATACGACAATTGACACGGTTGCGCCCTTTTGACTGACGGTGAGGAACAATATTCTGCAGTTAGGTGTCTCCTTCATCTAACCTCATCTGGCGGCCTCGTGCTCCCCTCTGCGCCATGGCATCCCTCAAAATTCTCGACAGCCCCCCCTCCTATACGATCGCCTGGATTGCTGCCCTTCCTATCGAGCGGGCCGCTGCAGAAGCAATGCTCGATGAGGAACATGCTGCTCCAACCGGCCTCGCCAGACACCAAACCGACACGAAAGTTTATAAGTGGGGTCGCGTAGGAGAACACAACATTGTTATTGCCGCTCTCGCCTCCGGTGTCTATAGAACTACCTCTGCTGCTATCACAGCCTCGAGCCTTCTTGCCTCTCTGCCATCTATCCGTACTGGTCGCTTGGTTGCCCTAGGCGGCGGTGTCTCTTGTCCGGACAGGGGTCATGATATACGGCTTGGTGACATTGTCCTGAGCCAGCTATATGGGACTATAGGCAGTGTCTGCCAGTATTACTTGATTAAGGCCAAGTTGAGTGATAAGTGTGACCGTAAAGGATTCCTTGGATGTCCTCCAACAGTCCTCCTGAATGCGCTTGCCAGCATTCAGGACTATCACGAGCGGAAAGACTCCGACGTTCCGTTCCTTCTTCAAGTGATGCTGGAGAATAACCCAAAGATGGAAAGAGAACCAAGAAAAATCCCAGCTATGCTCACTAGGGCTTTGATAATGGCCGCCTCTTTAAAGCTTCATATGACTAAATTTTTAGCCCGGATTGTCAGAGATGTGACATATCTGATGATATTCAACGTGATCCCAGAGAGACTACCAACCCTGATATCCATTACGGGACCCTTGCATCTGGCAACAAACTTGTTAAAGATGCTGCTACCCGCGAACGTATTGTCACTGACCTCGGTGGCGATTGTATCTGCTTTGATATAGAAGCGGCCGGCCTGATGAATCAATTTCCCTGTCTTGTGATCCGAGGGATCTGCGACTATGCCGATTCTCATAAGAATAATCGATAGCAATGCTATCCCTCCGCAACTGCTGCTGCCTATGCCAAGGAGTTTTAGCGTTGTGCCGGTTACGGAGGTCCAAGAGACTAAGAGAGCATTAGATATGCTCCATTTGGGTTAGTTCTTATCTTGTTTACTAGGTAGACTAGCAAATACACAAGACCAAATCAAATCTGAAATTCGTATACGTTCTGACTATGAGTAGTTCAATACGAGGTTGACGGCGTGCCGCAGACGACAATTGCAACAAAGGCTGCAACTGATTTTATCAGGTCTGGCCAGCATACTGATAAGATCAAGCATTGGCTTAGTCCCCCAGATTCAGCTACAAACGCCAACCATGCAAGGACACTTTGCCATGAAGGCACAGGTGCTTGGCTTCTGGAAAGCGCTGTCTTCCAATCATGGCATTTAGGGTCGCATCAGCATGTGTGGCTCTACGGACTCGCTGGATGTGGTAAGACTGTTCTCAGTGTGACTGTGCTTGATCATCTCGCGGACAGAAACGATGCCCTTATCCTCAACTTCTTCTTTGACTTTAACGACATTACAAAGCAGAGCTTGGATTGCATGCTGCGGTCGTTTGATTTTCAACTTTATCTAGATAGGACTAGTTTTGCAATTCACCTTGATGCTTTATCTGAAGCTCACCAGGGTGGCCGTAATCAACCTGAGACGAAGGTGCTCTCAAAGACTGTTTTCAGGATGCTCACAACCCAGAGGAAGACCTTTATTGTTCTGGACGCCTTAGATGAGTCAAAAAAAAGGGATAGTGTCCTCCAGTGGATCAAGGACATAGACTCCCAGCCAGAAATAGACCATGTCAAGCTGTTTTATGCCAGTCGACCTGAGCCCGAATTTCTGCGACACATTCCCCCACTGATAAGAAAGCAAAATTGTCTAACCTTTGATATTCAGACTGTCGACTCTGATATCCGATTGTGGGTCACAGCACTACTTTCTCAAAGGCATAACTTCACAGAGAAGTCCTTATCTCAGGATCTTCTCAGATCCGGAGCATCCCGATCGAATGGAAGCGGATGAAAGCGGAAACATCCGAGGAGATGTAGTCAGCTCCTTGATCTACAGATCGAGTATTTGATACGCCAATGCACATGCAACATCCGGATTATCAGCTGCTGGAAAATGGAGAGATATACACACTGGGATTTTGTCAGCTAAGGAGGTCAAGGTCACTGTCACTCGACGATCGATGATCTGGTCTCGCATCATCTGGAGGAAAAAGTAATCATTCAATATCTTGTGTTCGTCCTTGACAAAAATATTGACATAGTAGAAAGACATAATGTCATTGGGTTTGTCTTCAACGGTCTTTTAGGAAGCGCCCGGATGGATCCTGGGACTTACCTTGAAAGCTATTTGGGAAACCTGATGGATTAATAATGAAGATATTTTTGACGGAGCAGATTGAGGAGAGGAGCTATTCAAATAGTGTTTGCTTCTTGGCCTAAGAAGGAGGGGATCTGTGGAATTCTCGAGTGGATGTCTTTGTATTTCTTTTGACCTTTGTTCGAGGATTCTCTTGACTTCAGCTGCTACAAAGACGCCCTGGCCCATACAATGTCACTAAATAATGCCGCGCTACAGAACCTTCAAAGTTATATTTAGACGAGCGAAAAAGCCTCTACTCTATGAAAACAAATTTTGCTTTTTTTTTAGGAAGACTTGGTCTTGCCACTTCGCGGCACCATATATATCAGACCAGAATGAAGCTTCTCTACATCCTCCTCCTCCTCCTTCTACAGCTTCCTCTAATACTTTTTCTTCTCGACATTCTCACCATTGCTTTCAATAAGTAGTTGAGACATATACACCAGCTTTCTTTATCTCTGATCTAGATAGCCAAGACCAGCTTGTATAAATCGTAGGTATGAAGGCAGGAAGGAGGCAACAGGCCTTTAATGTATATCCCTCTTGGACTGTCGACATGATATTGCAATGCTGCAGATTGTTGTCAAAAAAAGATCGTTGTTACTGTTCGCGGTAGTCTTCGGTCTCTGATTGATTGGGTTTTCCTGGTGACCCAAGGACATCCTCACTCGCAGGATGCTCGCTATACATAGCAACAGGCGAAAAAAGGAAAAGCGAAAACTAAAAAATTTACATACAACAGCAGGGATTCGCTGGTGGTCACCCACCCAACTACTAACCTGCCGGCGTGTGGCTTAAGTACGGCTGAGCGGACGGGAAGCCCTGTTCTCCACACCCTGTGGTCGTATGTGCTCATTGACACCCTGAGAATACTTATATTTTCCATGGCTCAAGTAACTTCAACTACAATAAATCCATAGAGCACCACGCTAGTTTCGTACAACTGAAAGTGAGCGGAGCGAGTGCGCAATAGACGGGGTGAGAATCCGGGTGATGGTGGGTGATTTTTACCCTCCGACGCGCGACCACCGCACTGATCCTCTCACACCTTGCTCAGATGTAGCATTTTGGTTCACTTTGATTTAACCGAAACCTTGGTCTCCTGGCACTTGCATATACCATCGAATCCCAATCCAGGATTGGGATTATCAACGGCGAGGCTGACTTCAATATTCACTAACGGACCGAAAACCCACAACACAGAATGGCCCAAAACCTTCGTCCTGCTTGCTATACAGGTAGATAGCTGTATGTGTAGTATATTCCCTTGTATTATAGACGAATGACAAGTGCCATTAATCAGCCACGAATTTCTCTAATTGGTCTCTTCTGACAGTACTTAGATACTCCAATTTTATAATTCTGAAGAGGGGAGGGGCTGCATAGGCTAACATCCACTTCAAGTCAACTACCGAACCTGTTGCCTGAATAGCGGCCGACATGTCCCTGACACGGGCAAGTCCATTGACTGGAACAGTGAACTGATTTGGAAAACGCGGTTGTAATTCGAATTTCAATGGGACGGACTCGAGGATGAGCTTCCAGGAATATTTCAAACCCTATGCGCTTCCATTCGGTACAATTTTGGGGCTTTGAAATTCCATTTAATAGATAAGCGTGCTGTGTTTGAAAGCGATGAGCTCAGCTAACGTAACCTTGTAGTCCATGGATTTTCCTCTTAAGTAGTTGAAAGCCTTAACCATCGACTGCGGGAAGTCAATTTTCAATACGAAAATTCGCAAAGATTTAACGTCAGAAATCCGGTACGCCACTGTACACAGCTTCAATGTGTCATTCTTCATACTAATCATCAGTAGAAGCATTCGTGCCAAGACTCTGCAGTCTAATGAGGCGTCGTTCATAGTGCAAGAGATGATTTCTGCTTACCGAGCTGCATTTACAACTCAAGGCAAGTCAAACAAGGCTTCAGACAGAATGAACGAAATGAAGTAATAACTCCAACGGCGAGAAGGCCCTGACAAGGCCAAAGCTCAGCGCGACATAGTTCAAGGCCGGATTGAGAGTGGAATGCTTTTCCCCAACATCATCCGTGCAGTTTCAAATAGCATGAGAGATATATCCCGAAGATCTTTTGATGAAATGGCAAATATCACTGGAGAGGTATTCAAGCACATTGAGTGTGATATTTGTACAGTCTTCTAGGTGGGAAGGGGCCAAAGTTCAGCTAAGGAACTTTTTGCTAAGCTATCGACAAACTCAAGAGCCGTTGGCTTGCGGAATATACGCGATTGTTGGAGTTGGCAACTTTGCCAAATTCTATCGTCTTAGAAACAGCTCTGATGACCTTGAGGAATTCGAGGTCAATTTGACAGCCTTGAATATTGACAGAGACCCAAATCAAGTTCAGGCCATACTTGTTTTGATGAAGAACGAAATTGAGTATGTATTATGAAGCGTGCGAAGCCGATTTTATTATTATTGTTATTCAAATCATTATAATACGCTAGAGCTTAGGATTGAGTCCTCCATGGCGTCCATTTAGGTAGCTTCTTTTCCAGATAGTTTCATCTATTATCTTCTTCTCTCCTTTGTGTGCGAATATAGCCTCTAGTATATTGGTTACTTTATACTAGAGGAATTCTTTTTACTTTCGTTTTTTAAGAACATATTCAGATCTTTCATAATTTCCTCAACATGATTTCTCTATTAATTTTTTGAAACGATATGAAACATTATAGATTATTGGTCATTCCTATACATTGAATATATGGAAGCCGTTACTAGACTCGTTTAGTCATAACAAATCGTTATCCTCGAGAAAGATATTGTAAAGTCAAATCATATTGATTATCACTAACAGAACTATAAAGTCATAGGTAATGTCTAATCGATTGATTTGATCTGAAAATAAAGGAAATTTGATCTTAACCTTCGGATTAGCTTTCTCTTCTGAATCATAGGTAGATTCTTTCTTTCAACATATATCGAGCTCGGAAAAAGCAAAGATATAAACTTGGTTTTAAAATCACAAATAAAAACCCTATATTGTCAGGCGTGTCTGTATTGAGGTCTCACCCTGATCATATATCGATAATTTTCACCTGGAGTTTCCAGGCTTGTATTGATGGAATTTATAGCTTTTATCTTCTCTTTTTCGTGAAGAAATCGGACTTTTCTATTAATCAACAATCAAAGTTAGACGAAGGTCATTATTGTTTATTTTTAGAGGCATCAAAATGACAAAAAACTACTTTGTCACCAATAAGGAAACAGATTCCTAATCAAATTAAGATTGTAAAATTAATCATACACTCTCATATCTAACGCGTGGAATTAATGAAGAGATACATGAATTTGATTTTTACTTGTTGCTTGGACTTCCAATAGTTGTATATATGCAGTTTTCCACCTGAAATTAGGTTTGTGTTACAATAAGCATGTTCTCTGTCGATTTTAAATCTCCAATTATAGTGTCATTCTATTAAAAACGATACCAGGATACTAAAGAAAGTAGGTGTTTTCATGGAGAATATTGACTGAAGCAAAAGAAGCTATTCAGATACAGGAAGCCTGCGGCATTTGTAATTGCAGCCTCTGGCTTCAGGATTAGGACCGACCTCAGGCTTGTAACATGGAGTTCGTAAGATCACCGAGATCTATTAGATTTCAGTACTTACGAGAAGTGAATTTGCAATTATTGTTGCAATTACTTTCTGAACAGCTTTTAGCATTTTCTAGATTAAGCTTTTTAATCTAACTTGGAGACCTTTCATACTTACGATATGAATTCGAAAATGATAAATTAATTACGCCCGACGGCAATATCTTTCAAGACGGGCTAGTGGCGTCGACCAAGAAAGTAGTAGTAGGAAATCTAAGGCTTGTTTAGTTCGAAGAGTCGTGTAGAGTAGATGTGGCTTATTCATCGCATGACGTGGGAGCTGATGATGCAACGCTGATGGGCATACCTGGCCGTTGGCATGATAATTTCACTTTTTCCGCAACTTTGAAATGTCGAAATCCAAAATACGACCCGTCCAACTATCTGAAGATTTCTTTGCTTCTTTTTTTCCCTCGAAGACAAGGCTTGTGTCTTTCTCGTCTGTCAACAACTATCATTCAAAATGCAGGTTCCCCCGCAATGCTGTGCATTGTGTGCACGGCAGAATCCAATAGACGATTTGGAGAATAGTCAGTATATCTTATCACAGATATTGAAACCACAGCTGATGATACCAGTCCAAACATTTGGACCACTAGAGTCTACAGTCACCCTCGGTATGTTTGATGATATTATTCAGACAGGTTATCTTAGTTGACCTCAGTAATGCAGAGAGCGAGTTTTTCGTTCATGATTTCTGCTGGAAAAGGCTACTAAAGCATTTTAAAAGGCCACTAAATTTTGATAAATTGATTGAAGTACTACAAGAGACACCTACGCCAAATTACAGAGAAAGTAACAAGATCTCACCAACCCTCTCAGCATGTTGGCTTTCACCCGTTTGACACATACTTCCAGGTTGCAAGGCAAGAAACCGCATATCGGGAATCAAATCGTTGAAAGATATAGAGATGGAAAGGCTTCTCCGTCCGCGTAGAAGCCAAGCTTGCATTCCAAGCTTGAGAAAACACTGCGGGAAGGTCGATTCCCAAAAGGAGTCTCAAGATTGTTTCCAGGTCCTTCCGCTGGAAATTCGATTCAACATCGCTCAATACATATCCCCCCTTGATTTCTTCAGTCTCAGACTTTCATCTAAAGCCATAGTCACATTATTTGAGAGCCCGCAATTTTGGAGAACGAGATTTTCTCAGGATGGAGAACAAGGCTATTTCAGTTATCTGGAAGAGGAGAACTTTCGAGACTGGAGACTCTTATATCGGTATACTCAATCATCAAAGTTCGAATGGCCGCTTATATTAAATGACTGGAAAAGACAATGGCTTGTGAATGAGAATTTACGAGATCGATATATGATGCTTGAAGATCCAAACTGTCCTTTGACGTACAGCAGCTCACCACTAGAAGTTGAAGCTCCCGATGGGAGTTTTCGCTGGGAAATAATTCAGCCATATTGCATGGTGCACAAAAGGGAGCATCTGCAATCTGATGATCATTTCCATATCATATCTCTGCCTAAATCCAAATTTAGTGCGCTTCAATGTGGTAGATGTGGACGGCAAGGGTGTATTACAAAAACACATACAATTCGGGTCTCTTATCCGATTTTGAAAATTGCGGTTTCTGTTCTTGTCGAGGATAAACGGACATATATATCTGGTTTCGATTTGATCCATGGACAAAATATCTTTGATACACAATTCGGCTACAGAATCCCTGGAAAACAAGTGACATTAGATCTTCATGGTCAAATTTTGCAGGGATTCCAGGTCACGAAGAGGGGCCCCGCCATTATCGCCATTCGCCCATTGATAGATACCGGCGAAGATGGCTTTTACAGTTGGGTTGGTGATCCGGGACATGGAATTAAGTATAGCGTGTATCTGGGTTTAAATGAAGATATCGCAGCCATTTTGGGGGATTTTCAGGTGAGCTTATGACTTCGTTTTTGCTCTTCAAAAAGGAAAAAAGCGCATATATGAGTTTTTCGAAGCTGACAAGTATTGACACCTAGGATCGTAAATTGGTAGGACTTGCAGTACGCTCAAGATCCAAATCCAATATCGGCCACTCGTAATATAATGATATTCTCTCCCTATACTAAAGCCTTTAGCCGCTGGGATGCATACAAGAATCGGATATTTTTCTTATGACTGGTGTTTTTTTGGTCTGGATGATTGCTTGTTCTGTTCAGTACTCACATTTACTTTTGCTAATTTCCGTGGATTGCTTGACTACCTTCTTCTATCTTCCTCTTGGATGCCCAAGAAAGATTGATAAACTCCAGACAGTCGAATGTATGCGCGTTTCACTCATATTCCCCTTGTTCCGTAAAGAAAACAGAAAGAAGCATCTCGAGCGATAATACATGGCCACGTAGTTGTCCCTTCTGACCCAATCCCGGACATTGACAAGACCGTTTACGCTCATGCCAGCGGTCATTTCATAGTCCGCCAGGGTCATAGAGCCGACACTATTCCCATTGTGGAATGCGTGGCTTACTTGGCTCGAATCCTTATTCGTGCCTATGGGTCCTAGATCTGGCATGGCCTCCTGTGCCACGTAAGTCGGTCCAGTAACGCGTGGGGGAAATCCGGGGCGATTAAATCCGGGGCGATACTAATAGCGGAAACCTGAGGTATATGCGCTCGGTGTAGCTTTACTAGCTCTCTTGGCATGACGGGTGCGACAGCTAAGACAGACTGATGCTAGGGAGATCGCTCTTCCAACCACCCCTCCGTGACACCGGGCCGCCTGCGTGTCCATTCTCGATATAGTCTCGTGAACCTCTTCCCTAAGTAGCGATCTACCAAGATTACGTCTGATATTACGAATTATAGAGCTCAAATAGAATCAATTTTGCTTTCCTTACTAAAGGTTAGTAGGGGGTGAATGGGCTAAATAGTAGGGCGGCAAGGGCAGTTTCCTCGACGAATAAAAAAGACTAGGAACATACAGGACAACAGCAGGAATTCGCATATGATCACCGATCTTCTCAAATGAGATAATGCTTTGAATGCGGAGGGAGCTGTGGACGGGATGCTGCGTGATGCATCATGATGGAACTTGGCATGGACATCTTCAGTTGAGTGGTAACCCAACTTGTTACCCCGTGACATATGTGACTTGCTAGGAAGTGCTCTGTACAATTGTGAAGTTGGACTTGAGACTTTTGTGGTGAATGGGAAGGACAAATCATGATATTGTAATAGAGAGCTGTGTATTGGCAGCAGGACAGTTCACAAAAGCCTATCTTTTTATCTAGCCCTCTTGGAGCAGGCTTCATTGTTTCTCGGTGGAAGTATTACTACCGAGAGCAGTAATATTTCGCTGCGTCGGGCGGGCTGTTGGGATTACCTATAGTTAGTCAGCCACTACCTGATATTCTGTAGCAGCTGCGTCTTTACGTATTACAATGGACATCTTTGACATCTTCCACCTTACTTTTTGTAACAGAAATTGAATCATATCATATCTTCATTGTTCGAGATTGAGACCTTTATATAGCAAAGTCAGACCGGTATAACAACAGCCAGCAACGGTTGTCAAAAAAACATCGTGAGAAGTAGGGGGATAGGTAACAGAAAAACCTCCTCTCATGCTCACATAACACAGCAAACCCCAAACGCGCAGGTAAATAGACAACAGAAATGCTTCATCAGGATTCATCACACACAGTAATACATGCCAGTTGATGTTTAGTTCTTTTTTCTTGTTCTTTTTCTCTTCGTGCCATGACAGGTCAAGCTACACCTACCAAACAATCTCTTTTCCATTCAGACCCTCAATAGCTGGGATCTGAGCCCGCAGCGCATGTCCATAGTCGCCAGCGTTAGGAGTGCGCAGGAGTGTGTGGATATGGAACTTCTTGGGCTCCTCGTTGTTCAGGAACACACCTGAGTGGTGGTCGAACTCGACCAGGATGACGGGGCTCTGGATGCGGTAGTAGAACGGATCCTCGTCGCCGAATCCGCCAATCCAGCAGAAGTATGTCTCCGACTCGAACCGCCGCACCTGCTCCAACTTCATGGCCCGTGCCTTCGCGGGCAGATAGAGCAAGTACTGCTCCAGGATGCCGTACATCAGGGTTTTCTGCGCCTCGCTGAACGTCGACGCCAGAATGCCCTCGTTCGGCACCTCTCGGTTGTCACGGTAAGCACCGCACAGGTGCCGCTGATCGTCTTTGTTCCAGCGGCCCGGCGGCATGGCCGGGTCCTTCATCTGTGCGAAGACGCGCGCGCTAGTCTGCAGCTCCGCCGACAGTGACTGCATCAGCTCCAGGCCTAGCTTTTCTTCAACCTGCATGATGCGCGTGCCAGCATAGGGCCCGGCATCAATCTCGTTCGGCTCAGCGCCAGTGAACCACGGTGAAGCGATGATCTGGCCCTTGTAAAGGAAGATGTTCAGGCAAAGGTGGTGGCCGTAGAAGGACCAGCCCCAGGGCCGGGTGGTGGATGGCCGGCCGAAGAGCGCGAAGTTGTAGGAGAACTCGTTCATGACGCGCGGCGATTTGACTAGCTCGCCGAGGAAGTGGTTGATACGCATGGCTTTGACGGCCTTGTCGTAGCCCTCTGGCGACAGGGTTGCCTTCAGGATGTTCATCACGGCGTCGCGGATCTGCGTGGATACCTCGTCGAGGCGGACGCCCTTGTGGCTCAGAAGGAACTCCGGGTTCGACCAGGTGCGCCACTGGGGTGAGTCAATATGATAGCAGACAGCCTCCTTCTGCTTGTCGTCTAGCAGGCCCAGCATGGTCTGGGTGGTGTCCACGATCTGTTGGATGGGAACGTCTTCATCCTGGAGTGTGAAAAGATCCGGACGGACCTTGCCTGATGGTCCAATGTATTAGCATAGAGGTCTCAGACAGAATTGAAAAAGGAAGAACGGTCAACGCAATCCCCACTCTCAAGACTAGGTAGTCCTCGTGAGGCGGATGCGCTGGGAGATTGTATAATCGGGGCTCGTACCATCAGTGGTGACGCCTTTGAACGGCTCCTGCAACAGTTCCAGCCAGTGCATATACAGAGCGTGTAGCCACGGGGGCTGCTTGCCGGTCTTGAAGGCATGCGCATACTCATGCGCATCCTGGGTGCACATCACCTCGAAGCGCGGGATGTTGAGGTCGGGAAGATACTGGCGGTACTCGCCCGTGGGCTTTCCCAGCTCGTTCGCATTGGTCGTCGTCATGATGAAAAAGTGAAGGACCCGCGCAGCAGAAATCCAAGCAGCAATGGAGGGAAGTTGACGAAGCGCGGAGGGGTCGGGAGTCCCCAAGAATATTATAGTCCGCGGCGTTGGCCACAACCCCACAGATTCGGAAGGCGGCGTCCCCACGCGCGGCGTGGGGATTGTGGGTTAGATCTTACCCGGCGGTGGTTTGCACTGGTTTGGCCGCCGTTTGGTGGCAACAACTGGCCTTCTGAACCAATCCGGAGACGCCGGAAAGGCATTTACGAGCAGCGGTTGGAACTGGATGCCACCGACCAGGCCACCTGTGTAAAGTAATTGCCCTTCAGGCAGTGGCTACTGGTTGATCCTGGCTTTGGGTTTTCTGGGTTCTTCTGAGTTCCTGTTCCTCGGTCTCCATACGACCAGGCCAACGGCTAGTGCCTCTCCCACTTTGATTGTGGGAAAGACCGATCCCGGCGATCGAGTCCTGCGGGGGAGGCGAGGCAATGACTCGGCATCGATCACTCGAATACGGAGTATGCTTGTTCAGCTCATTGGGGAGTTCGGAGGCATATGTTGACCCTGAGTCAATTGACATCCAGGAAACCCAACCCTTTATAGCATACAATTTGATCAGACTAGATCCATGTCCATCTTGTCCATCTTGCCCATATTACTCATCTTGCCCATGCATACTCGCGACTGGCCCTGGTTTTTGCGCGACGCGTCCTGGACGCGGGGAACCCCGCCCTCTTTTACCCCGCCATTCGTCTACGTGGCCATTGTTCTCGGTTCAGTCCCGAATTACAGTCAAATGCCTTGGTGTGATTCTAATATCCAATAGTTCCTGCTGGATGGAGTATCAACTGCAGCACGCGAAGAGCTCATGGTTGTTCCGGTTGAGTGAGTGCCAAAAAACCCGATCGGCCGAAGACTCGGCACGGCAATTGCATAATCGGCATCAAGTGGACACAAGTCTGTTCATGAAGCAGACGGCCTTCGGCCTTTGCCAAGCTCCGAGTGTACTAATGGCTCTTTCTCTCTCAAGTAGCCAATTGAGTTCCCAGGGCTATCGACTGCCATGTCCATTAGATGCCCTGGTACTCTGACCCACAAGAGAGTCATGCAGGCGAACTCGGATCTTCCGGGCACGGCTTCTCCGCGCTCGGCAGCAGGTCCCCCGCATGCCGACGTACGTGTCGATAAGTTTAAATCTTCAGATCGGCCGCAACACAACTTGTTCCTATCCTCATTTCCTGCTACACTATTCTCCGTCAATCCCGCCTAGGCCTAGCTCAGAAGCTTCTCGCACAATGCCTCTTCCATTCTCCAACCAACCGCCGCCAGAGCGCGTCCCCTACGCTGTCCCTCAGCTCGAGGGCGAGCGCATCACCATCCCGGGCAGCAAAGGCGTCTTTCGCATCCTGACTTCGGCAAAGCAGACCGGAGGGTTGATGGCTGTCTTCACAAGCGGCGCGGTGCTGTCTGATGCCCCGGGCTTCCACTACCACAATCATGCCCACGATGTCTTCCTGGTCACCAAGGGCTACCTCAAGCTATACAATGGTGATCAGTGCCGGATCATGGCTCCTGGTGACTTTGCTTATATTCCTCCCGTATGAGTTCCTAATCCCCTTTCAAATAGAGGTGGAAGAGCATGCGTGCTAATTCGCTGGGCTGTAGAAAGTCGTTCACAACCCCGAAATGATTGGCCCGCACACGGAAACACAGGGCCTGATCACACCCGGCGACTGGGTCGACTTCTTCCGCTACGTTTCCGAACCCTACGAGGGAATTCTCGTCCCCGAGAACGATAATCGCGACCTGAAGTCCATTCTGATCCCAAAGGTCATGGCCGCGAAAGAGAAGTTTGATGTCGTGTTTCAGCCCCACTACGTTCCCCCCGAAGTGGGCGAGTGGTCAACTGCCGATGAGAAGCTGCCCGAGGGCCACGAGGGTTACTTCCTGCGCGCCAACACCGGCCCCCGCTGGATGCTGGGAGGCGTGATGTCTCGCCCGTTCGTCACCACGAAGCAGAGCGATGGCGTCTGTGCCATCTCCAGCATTGAATCCTCGAAGGAATACGGTGAAACAGTGTTCTCGAAGTATATGACCTTTGAATCAGTGGATCACTGCCTCGTCGTCATGGAGGGCACTCTCAAGGTGAGCCTACAAGGATCGGGTGATTCTCTCTTCCGGGAGGGCGAGACGGTGGTAATTCCGGCGGGCCACGCATTTGCCCTGGGCTTCGAGAGTAAATATGTCAAGTTCCACTCATTCGCCGATGGTGATGGCATCGAGGCTTTGATTCACAAGGCAGGAAAGCAAGTGGACGATGTTGTTCTGCCGGAACAGGCCCCGGAGCACGATGCTTCTCAATTTGCCACGGCCGCAGAGAGCCTGAAGGTCTCCTTCTAAACTTCATAACGCCAGTCACGACGCTCAAGCATTTTCACGTATATAGATCGAAGTTGTAAATAGTCGCCTATCAATTTCCCTTCTTGTATCCACCATTTTTTGCTATAGTATAGGATAGACCCTACAATAACGTCCAACGACCACAGCTTCACCCACAGAGATGTGTTGAGACTACACCAGCGATAGAAAAATGATCATTTTTATTTATTAGCCTCGGGGTCATGTACAGCAGCCCTATGATAAACATTTACCGAGTACTGAGGCACAGACAGCCTATTCACACCCCATGGGATGATGGGGACGTCCTGAAGTTCTTCCTGGTCATGTCGCGATGAAGAGAGGGTCGAAGTATCGACCGGAAGGCGCTGCTCGAATCTAGTCTATTGATGACCAAATTGCAAATGTACACCATACTATACTAGAGATTTATATGACACTATAAAAAATCACAGAGACTTGAAACTCAAATGCAAACCCTAATCTCATCTAAATTGTGTGCTAGTCAGGTCTTTCCAATAAGCTCGAGAACATAGCCACTACGATCATTCCGAGCACCGGGTCGTGATTTTCGGCTATACTACGCTGGGCGACGTTCGCTACGACGGCTCATGTCCTCGTGGGCGCTTGCCGAGCGCTCATTCTTAATTTCAAGTCATCGATTTCAGAATTTGGTCTTTGGCTCTCAACTACCCCTCACTGATTGGACCCGGGTTTTTTTTCACTACCCGATGAAGCCCCGCGGGGGAGTCACGTGGGTCCGGGGCTAACAGTCCGGGATTTCCGGGGTTGTCGCGTCCCTTCCACCATCAATCATCTGCATCCCACTAGTGGCCCCTCAACCTTCGACCCCGTACCCCAGATCTCTGTGGACGAGGACAATGTCTAGATAATGAAACCCCATCAAAGTCCACCTGCGCTTGCTGTGGACGAGCCAACACCCAAGCGGGCCAAGCGACCGCGCGCTGCGCAGGCCTGCGACCGGTGCAGGACGAAGAAGTATAAGTGCGACGAACAGTATCCGTGTTCGCATTGTAAAAGTCTGTCATTTGAATAAAGTTAACTGTGGGAGGACGGCCTGCTGACCTACTCTTTCAGAGAGTAACTTGCTCTGTGTCTATCAAGGGACCTATCGAGAGCGCGAAAGCAATCGATCTGCAAGGTATATGCATCCCTGCTCGTGCCCATGCGGATGGAATGCATGAGACCAATGGATCTATCTACTACATGTGGAACATGGCTGACCTGCATTTCAGCTATGTCATCGATCTCGAGAAGAAGGTTGAGGAATTGGCCTCAAAGCTTCGCACCGCCGAGGCTAGAATAACGGCTTCACCGCTACCTACCAAGGGGCAAATAGCCCAGCCAGCCACCCTGGTAGGGAATGAAACAACACCATGTTCCATGCCACGAACAGGCTCCACTCCTCGGGAAATAACAAAGGCATCGGGGGACACAGAGCAAGAGGAATCTGCCGAGAGTGCTGATGACGAAATCAATGAATTCAATCACCACACCAACGCCATTGAATTCCACGGCAGCACATCCTCAGCAGCTATTATCGGCCATCTGCAAAAATCCAGAGATACCCATGAGGAACAGTACCATCGTCCAGCAGACTTCTCGCTAATCTCGACATTGCATAATCCAAGCTTCTCGCCCTCGTGCACCACTGGGCCAGGACAGTCGACATCAACGTCAATTGAACATCAAAACTACTATTTCGAACAGGCACATATTTTCATGAATGGATACTTCGAGAATATCCATTTCATCCACCCATTCATTGACAAGGAAGCCTTTTTGGTTCGTGCCAATGATCTATGGTTTAACCGGGAACATACTCCAGAACCCAGTTTCGTGGCATTATATCTCAGCGTTCTGTCAATTGGGGCCCTTGTACGTGTTTGGGATGAAGATAAGCTCGCTGGCCTCGGCCGATTTGAGTGGAGCCGAAAGTTGTTTAGCGAGGCCCAGGCATATTTGGTCTATCTACGATTTTCCAACGATCTTGAAACTGTTCAATGTCTTTATATGATGGTATGTGGAGATCGCACTATGCAGAAGGGAATGGAGCTAACATGTGGGTATTCAGGCAAAAATTTGCCAAAATGAACTCAACCCTAATCGTGAGTTTTCTTGGAGGGCGGCTTTAATGAGAACTTGATGCTAAACGTGATGAGTGGCCTATATGTACCTTGGTCTGGCAGTGCGTACATGTCTCTCTGCTGGATTTAATCGAGAAGTGCGATGTCCTAAAGACCAACGTTCGAGCTGGATCTCGAAAACCTGGTGGTGAGCAGATTTGACGGTGATTCCTGGGTTGGAGGCTAATGAAATTGTTCGTCTAGGGGCTTATTTTCACTGGAAATGTAAGTATCAAACCGGCGTTCTCTTTGCTATGGATTTATCCAGAGAGTTAACATATACTATTAGAGAAATGAGCTTCTCTGTAGGACGACCTGATACCCTCGGAATGGACGAGTATCATAATCGGGCCATACCCCCCCGAGATGACTCTGAATACGCCATTATCCCCTGGATGATCGACTTCGCGCAAATCATCCGGCGAGTTTCTGTCCAGATATACCACTCCAGAATATCGCTGCAGGAGAAGCTTCAGTTAGCTCTTCAAATCGAAATGGAGATGGACCGTTGGCTCGCACGTCTTCCCGAGAAGATCAAACCAGACATTGGTGCATATAGGTTGTCTCGAAGTGCCCTTCGCGATCCGAAATGGGCTCGACGTCAGCGGCTGGTACTGGGAATCCGTAAGTATCCTACTGAAACCTGTCAGGATTCACGTGTTCATTCAATTTTCTTTCCTACCAGGCTACTATAATGTGAAAATGCTGCTATTCCGGCCCTTCCTGAACCACTTCACTCGCAAACTCCGCCACCCACCCAGTGAACTTGAAGAAACCATTACCAAAGGCCTGGATTCAGCAATGAAGACCATTGAAGTGATCCATGATATCTACCGGGTTCACACATTCTTCCGGTGCTGGTACGTAACCCCTTGTACAGTACCGTCTCTTGCTGATCCCGGCAATTCTTATCCTGACGACTTCTAGGTGGTACAATACAACCTATGTCATGTTTGCTACTTCAACGCTGCTCCTCCCAATGTCGAAGCTTGGCATGTGCGCCGATACCATGCCGCTGCTTCGCTCCGTAGAAATGGGTGTCGAGATTTTAGAAGCCATGGACGAGTCTGTCGTTGCACGGAAGTCAGTGGAAATCATCAGACAGTATCTGCGGGACTTCAGAACCTCGGGACCTCATACCCAGACATCGGGGACTGGCTCGGGGGTGAGGCGCTGTCTGCATCAACCGAGCCAGAGTCTAGTCAGTCTGGATATGAATTTCCCGAGTGGGCCTATGGTTTCGGCTTCCCGGATTACTCTTTCGAAGGCATTGCCCGCCTATTTGACGACATTGGTGGGTTGCCTATGCTCGATGGTTAATGCTGCCGCTGTGCTTCATGTAGTTTACTTAATGATGATTCCATGAAATTCCGAACGGATCAATGATCCACAGAATGCGCTCAATCTGATCCCGTTCTGACCTAGCGCTTACCCTCCGGGTCTTTCGGGTCACTTAATTCCGGTCTTGGGGGCCACCGCGTCGCGACCGTACTCCGCCAAAGCTGTGGACAAGAGCTATCTAAGCTGCGCTACCTGATCCAGCCCCGATAACTCCGCGGTACTCTGATCCTGCCGTCTACATTTGGGCAACGCGAGTTGCAGGATTGCTTTTTGAATCCCTTTGATTCCGAGTCAGAGTTCGAGTTAGGGCCCCTCCGGTGTTTATTGGAGTTTATCTCTTGATTGATTGGTTATCAAATCCCCTTTGGAAAATCCTTCAGATCCACCACGGTCTTGTGTCATAATCGTGGCTCATCGGTCGGCCGCCTCGAGCTTGCTCCTGAGCACCACCACTTCCAGCCAGCGAATGATATTTCAATTACAACAATCGCCTTCGAGTTGTTGTAGTGACTGAATGGTCTGGACGGGCAATGTTTCAGCTGCCCCAATAGTCTGCGACACGCTAAAGTCGCCCAAAATGCGATCGTGACATTGAGTCGCCCTTGCTCCATCGGCGTCTATTTGGTATCAATAGTTCTTATTGAGGCCTTGCTCCTAAAGATGTGACAGAAGAGAAGTGAACCGTGTGCGAGGGAGCGGATTAATATATCACGGTTGATTTGAGGTTGTAAATTGTATTTTTCGACCTAAGCAGAATATGACTTGTAATAGAATGGTGGCACTAAGAGCTGAATTGACAGCTGATAGAGATCCTAGGAGATCCACAAAAATCACAGGATGACCGCCGTCGCGGTAGCGCATCCTGAAGTCTGATGTTAGTCACAGTTCGTAGCCGTTCACGTTCAGCACAGCAGGAGTTGACCGTGTTAGACCAAGCCCAGGCTGGACCGAGCGACTGAGTAATCAGTGGTGCGTGGCAGCTCCCGCCGACTCAAACAACGTCACATCTCAGCCTGCAAAGCCGGTTTGATGCATAGCAGACTATATAAAGAGGGAGCATTTCCCCCGTTGTCTTGTAATTGAGATATTAGTCAATCTCTCCATATTCAAGATACAGGGCATATCAAAACTCTTATTCGTTTTATAAAAACTTTTTCATCTGCGAAAGAAATCTTGCCCAACATGCCTTTGACTCTTCACCACATGGGCCTCTCTCAATCCGAGCGTATAATCTGGCTCGCAGAGGAGCTTGGCATTGACTATCAGCTTGTTTTGCACAAGCGAGACCCTGTCTTCTCCCCACAGTCCATCAAAGATCTCCATCCGGCCGGCACGGCCCCTGTCATGGAAGATGATCCGTCTCCAGTGACAAACTCAAGGGTGGTCCTCGCGGAATCGGGCGCCATCACAGACTACCTCATCGCCGTATACGGCAACGGGCGCCTAGCCCGTACGCCCAAAGATGGTACCGACTACCCCAGCTACCTTGACTGGTATCATTTTGCCAACGGTAGCCTTCAACCCGCTCTATTCCGGGTTCTAATGACTCGTGGGCCATCGACTGACCCGAACTCCCCAATCGTGAAGCGCACATTAGACAAATGGCATCATCATCTGTCGATGCTTGAAAGCCGATTGGCCGAGACGGGGGCGTATCTTGCTGGCAAGGAACTCACCGCCGCGGATGTCATGATCACCTTTACATTGACCACAATGCGCGGCTTCTGTCCCGTAGACTTTGATACAGAGAAGAACAAACATCTTCTGGCATATCTGAAACGGATTGGAGAGCGACCAGCTTACCAGAAAGCGATGAGAATTTGCGAGGGCGATGACTTTGTGCCTTTGATCGGGGCCAAGTCTGAGCAGTTTTCGTTGATGAAGCGATGAGCGGGACGAGAATAGTCTTATCTGCATACTGTGTAATTGAGATCTGTAATATAATACTCAACTCTGATGAAAATGACATTGACAGTCATTGATGATGCATATTTATTGATTTGGCTATATGAAAACAATCTATCCGTTGATTCGACTTTGGTCACAAAATTTCACAGAACGATGAACGCGACTGTGATTGTTTCGAGAACAACTCGGGGTTCTGCGCAACGGCCTTCTCGACTTCTTTGACAGCATCATATCCGTATAACCAAGGCTGGACCTCTGGGCATGTCCTGTGGAAGATAGGTTAGAGATGCAGAGAACAAGGGGTACAGAAGATGGAGTATTCGCATACCATCGGCTGGGGAAAGCCCCCTTTAGCTCTTTGCCTAATTGGGACAGAAAAACTTCATCGCGCTTCTTCTGTTCCTCACCATCTTCCATATGGAAATCGTGTCTCTGTTTGAATGTCTCGCGCACAATTGCCTCCCCGCGAGACTTGCGCAGACTCTCGTAGAGACGCAAGACCCGGGGAAGCTGTGCCTTGTCGGTCATATTTCCAAGTAGTAGACCCAGAACGGCACCGTCTTCAAGGGAGGAATTGGCTCCCTGTGCCAAGTATGGGAGCATCGGGTGACAAGAATCGCCACTGGGTAAATAGAGTCAGCTTGAATCTATAGATCTGTACGAACCAGGCGAACTTACATGAAAACAAGATTGGAAGTATCGTTTACCCAGTTCTCCATTTCGCCATCTGAAACACCATGAATTAGTCACTTCCGATTCATTCCGACAATTAAATTTACTTACGATGCATCAACTTCCACTTGTCGACATCGGTAACGTGTGTGAGGAATCGGTTGAGGCTGACCTCGTTAGACCATCTGCACCAAATAGAACAATTCCTTGACGAATGTACTCACATCGGATCCCAGCCGACAAAAAGCTTTTGCATCTCATCCACCGAGCCGGCCTGTCTTGAGACTCCCGGTGGCAGGTTATCCGGAACAAGCAGCACAATGTTGTACATCTGTCCACCGCGCAAGGAGTAGCCCACGGCGTGAGCGCCGGGTCCAATCCAGAAGTGGACCTCCGGATTTGTGACCAGAGCCTTGAGATCCGGATCCGAGATTTGGTCCGCTGTCAGCACAATGCGATACGCCAAATCCCCTGTCGGGAGAGGCTCGTCCTTCTTCCCCTCAAAGGCCTCACGGCACTTGGACCACAGACCATCGGCCGCAACGATCAGATCACCCGTGAAGCGCTTGCCGGCCACGGAGTGCACAGTGGTGGTATCAAAGTCAATTCGCTCAATTCGTTCCCCAAGCTGGAAGGTTACCCCCAGATCTTGTGCGCGCGCATATAACGCCTGCTGCAGGTCGACTCGGTGCAGATCCACAAAGGGGGCATCGTACTTGGCCCGGATCCCCTTGTCAAAGGCGCTATCGTGCGCCAGGACCTCGCCCGAGTACCGGTGCACCGTTAACTTCGTGGGTTCTGCCGCTGCCTCCCATAGTGACTCCGGCAGCTTCCAATATTTGAGCAGACGTGACGCGTTGGGGGTGATTTGCAAACCGGCGCCCACTTCGGCGAGCTCCTTTGCCTGTTCAATGACTTGGACACTGTGACCAGAGAGTGCAGCGGAGATAGCTGTTGCAATGCCACTCAGACCAGCTCCAACAATAACCACGCGGAGACGAGCTTCCTCGGGGACCTTAAAATGACGCTGTTAATGTCCGTGAAACTGTCAGAACGGCACTCGTCGGGGGCTTACCATCTTGAATGTATATATTGAAGGAAGTCTTCTAAGCCAAACTCGGAGATGATGAAGGCTCAGATGAGAAATCTATAAAGCAAAGACGGAAGAGAAGAACAAGTGCGATTCAAGATATTCGCATCTCCGCAATTGTTGATTTGCGCCGGAATGGCCGAGAGTCCACGCCACCCCCTCGTCCACTCGGGATTGCCGATGCTCGGAATTCCCAGCTTCGGTGGGTCGTCAACACCGAGAACACCGAGGACCAGTACGAGTCGAGAGCCCACGGCATTGAGAGGACGCGTATCCCTCGGTGGGTATTGATTCTACAACTTTCTGTCTCCGGGGTGCATATCACCGTGGGGATGACAGGTTCAAAATCCGGGGTACCAAGACCTGGGGCGGTCTATATGGGTCAGCATCTCGAACCTACTCGATGGCGATCTAATTGCCCTTGCCCATGGTTAAATGGGTCCTTGAGAGTCGTGTGACTACTCGCTAGAAAAATCCCACTTTGTTCGCCTCTTGAGTCATGAGACTGGGTTCGTCTGATACCGCTTCGCCGTATGCCGATGTGCCTACCTCCCCCATGGGCATACTAGGGGTAGACGATGATCGTGAGGCTCCTAAAATAGCGCCAGAGCGAATGCATGGAACACATAATTTAGTTTTCTATCCAGCAATCGGTTCCATTGCTGAAAATGGTCCGTTCTTAATAGGGGTCCTACTGCCTTTCCCCGTACCCCGGCCTACCGTGGGGCCGACGGATGAGGTCCCGAAATGCATCCGGACATCCCATAAACGGATAACCCGCCAAAACTTCGGGCACAGTAATGACCCTGTCATTATGCAGCTAGCCCATAGAGCGTGCTAGTATCAGTCATAGCTCTCTTGGGAGTTCCGGTGTGGCTTGCTGATTTCCCGAGCTTGGCTGCCGACGGCTGTTATATTTGGCGCGTTCCCCCCCATGCTGGTTGTCCGATTATCGTACGATCCTCCTTCCCCACGTTCAACATTTCCCTCTCAGTGGTTCCCGCAATAGCTAGGATGACTGTGGTGGACCCCAGAGTAAGTAGTCTGGCTCCCTGGACCAAAGCATATTGTGGTCATGGCTAACTTTTGCAGCTCTTCCCGCAAAGGGTACGGTATGCCGCCCTGCTTACGGTCAATGTATATGTTTTTATGGGCAACATGTATTCGGTAGATACTCTGATTCCGATCGAGTTGCGATGATTCTAACCTCTTCTCCATCATAGTCGGGCTTGGCCACGGGTTTTGAGTCCCTTGCAAAATACTTCCATGCCGACAACTCTACACTGGCTGGCCTAGTCACATACTCCGTGTTGTCGATGGGATTGGCCAATCTATTCTGGATGCCGCTCGCCTTATGTTTTGGAAAGCGCCCCGTTGTCATTGTCTCTATGGCGATGTTCCTAGGCGGCATCATTTGGAGTGCAGTCGCCGATTCCTTCAATAGCCTGCTTGCTTCCAGAGTCTTTGCTAGTTTTGGTAAGTCGAGATTTGCATTGAATATGGGGTGTTAAGTTTTGCAAGCTAACTCAGAATACATGAAGGCTACGGAGCGATTGAGTCCCTCGGGCCTAGCATCCTCGCAGGTATGCTCTAGTCACTGTTTAGATACATCACTACCCTGTCTGACACTGCTGCAGATCTCTTCTATGAGCGGAATTACTCGAGCGCGATGGCAGCCTATGCTGCCTTCCTCTCTGGCGGCTCCCAGATTGGCCCAGTGATCGCCGGTTATCTCATCCAGGCTCGTGGATGGCGGTGGTTCTTCATACTTTGTGCCATCATCGCGGCCGTCAACCTCGTCACCACCATATTCATGCTGCCGGAGACAATCTACGAAACAGATGAAGTTGACGAGCCTGAAACCGTGGAAGACATTGGCAAGGACACCTCTAACCACCTCGAGACTGTCCCCACCACGTCACAATTCGGCGACCGAGCCAAGATGGACTACGGAGACTACTTCAAGGCACTTTTCACATTCAAGATCACCAAGAGCGCAAAAGAGAAAGGTGTCTTCAAATACTTCGCGTATCTTTTTGTACTCCCATTCCCCCTACTGATTATCCCTGGGATTTTGATTGCTTCGATCATGTATGGCGTGGTGCTCGGAGGGTAAGTTTCACGGGTCGCACATGAACTTTTGTGACCATTTCTTTCCTCGCATCCGAAGATCTTACTAACGACGATCAGGATTGTTGCTGTATCCACCCTTTCTCCTGACCTTTTCATGCCTCCACCATATCTCTTCTCCTCCGCCGACCTAGGTCTTTTCACTTTCAGCAGCTTTGTTGGCGTCGTCATCGCTTGGCCCATCGCCGGCCCCCTGACCGATCTCCTCTCCCGCATCCTACGCAAACGCAACGGCAACGTCCACAAGCCAGAGCACCGTCTGCCCGCACTTATTCTCCCTTTCCTCGTCTGTCCCATTGGCCTCATTGTCTTTGGATACACTGTTGCTCGGCAACAGAACTATGTTCGTCCTGCTGTCGGCGCCGCAATCTCAGCGGCCGGCCTCACGCTGGTTCCCTCTGTGATGCTCTCCTATGTTGTGGACTCCTATCCACGCGTTAGCGGCGAGGCGCTTGTCTTAGTCAATGCTTCTAAGAATGTGGTTGCATTTGGCTTGGCTAAGGGTGCTTACTCCTGGATGGCGGCGCAGGGCGTCGACAAGATGTTTTACGAATTTGCTGGTATCCAATGGGCCTGCATTGCACTAGCACTGCCACTTTACCTTGCTGGGCCGTGGCTACGAGCTCGTACCCAGAAATTATTTTAGTAGTTTAGCTGGCCTATAATTTACATCTGTGTTTTTGTGACAACAATTTAATTGGACCAAATCAGGTTTCCCTCACTTGGTTTTGTGTGTACGACTCTCTACTATGCTCCTACTAGTCTAAGACATGTTCAACGCCTAAGGCATATAGAGCTGACTTTGTACAAAGACTATAATGGAATGAGTTCAGCCTAACGAGCCCTAGGTACTGGATTTTCCCTTGCACATTTTGGTTTCCCTTTCCGGATTAGTGCTCGCCCTCTCGCCGCTTTTGCTCACTGAGCCCTCCCTTCTGCCTGAGCAGACTGATCGGCTCACTGAATCTCCGTAAGTCTGGATATTATTATCAACGAAGCCCTTCCGTGCCTGTTGAATTACGTATTCTAACCTCCTTATTGGAAATATAACTTCCAACAGGATAACAATGCAGCCAACAAACACTCCCTTAACGGACATTGATCCCTTTCAGAATCAATATTATTAGGGAGATTACGCACTTCGATGCATCTTCAATATTTGAGGTAGATCTGGATGGACAAAAGTATGCATGGATACTCTTTCACGATACTCTTTTACAATGAGGCTGACCCTGGATATAACGAGAAAGGTCGTGATCTGAATCGATTTTGCTCCGAATCCAATGCATACAAGAAGATCTTCACTTCTGGGTCCTGTGAGCGTACCTTCGTTCCAAAATTCTACGGCTACATCAATCAAGTGGATCCGACTGCTTCCATCCTGCTTTTCAACATTTCGCCCAAGACAAGTTGAAGCCGAGGGCAGTATTGCTAGAATATCTCCCAAAAGCAGAGAGCTTAAACTGCGTGAAATACTCAGATGCGCTGTATCCCCGGGCAATTGAGGGCATGGAGGAGATACACAGTACTAGAGCTCACCACCAAGATATCTACTCCCCAAACCTTCTCCTTATTCATGGAAACCCTGATAGGCTGGTATGGATTGACTTTGATGTTGCAATAACCTACACCAACTTGAAACCTGAACAGAAGGCCCGCCGTGACTACGAAATTGCGCTTGTGAAGGGACTTGGTGATGCGCTGGTAAGGGCTCCGTTGTTACCTTTTTAGGAAACACCCAGAGTACTGACTGACGAATACAGAGAGATGACCAGGATGCGGGACTTCTACCGAATACAAAATTTTATTGAGGGTTTTATAGACCTTGAATGATCTGACAATATTTGATGGCATTTGTGCGGTCATACAACAAAGAGCTCATGGTAGGCGCAAGCTGCGGTGTCCGTGCGTATAAAGTGATAAGTTCTGAGTTTTCACTGTCAGAAGCAGTTGCATTGCGTTAAATTTCGAACTGGGCGAGCGTATGTAGTAGAATGTGTTGAATACTGAGCCCCTGAGGCTGTACTTCCGGCCTCGGAATTTGGCGTTCAGCATTCAACAGACAAATATTACGTTACTTTCAAGCGCCCGTTCGAACTGCCGGTAAGATGTCAATATGAGTATATATTGTAGTGGGGAAAGGACAAGCGATAGGTGATCTCTGGTCGGAGGGTATATTTTATAGCAAATAGTTTTTACAGATATAGTTTCGCGTCTTCGATAGGGAGAAATATCACTTCAATATTCTTTTGGCTTACACAGTATCTACATACCCTTTAGGATGCCTTCTTTCATTGTGGTTTGTGGTGCCTTGCTAGCTTGTTCGTGGATCCACCTCATCCTGCCTGCATGTCAGGTTTGCCGTAGAGCACCTGGTTTGCTACGTAAAACATGGGAGCATACTCGCGTAGAAGTTGAACGTTGGGTAAGAGGTAGGGCAATCGCTTCTATGTGAATACAAAGCGCAAAATAGTACGTGAAGAACGTCGATTGAATAAAGAATCTTTTTAAGGAAAGAAAAGATAGAAAGGCCAGTCACAGCAAGAATCACAAGATGATATGGTAGTCCGATCATCCAAAAATAATAACATGTACAAAAAGATTGACCGAACATCCAGTGTGGTCATATGCAAGAAAGGCATGCCAAGTAATATTCGAGAATGGAAAAAGCCACAACCAGGTGGTAGAAAATGACCGAATCATAGATTGCGAGGCGTGTTCGTCTCAACACGTCCACAGTTTGTCCCATCTCTACTGCCATCCGGACGTCTCAAGGATCTACTTGCCCGTGGGTCAGGATGTGAAGGGTATGAGGTGGAGGGACTCCGGCTCAGTGAGCCTGGAGACGACGGGGCCGATGAGCCCGGGGTGGTATTTGTCGTAGCCGAGGCGGCAGCAATAGAACTCGATCGGACGGCAGCCGCAGCGGCCGCGGGATTGCAATGCATGCAGATGAAAATATTGAAGCCTCGACCATCGCAGCTAGTGCAGATGGCTCCTCTATAGAGCATAAGCATACGAAGGATAGGCCAAGGGCATTAGTACGTACCTTGGAGCATTTCCTGCACAGTGCCGGCAAGTTACTACTGTCCGTCCCCCAATACACGAGATATGATTGGGATCAAGGTCGAGGATAGATAAATTGGAGGTGGCCATTGCGTGTTGACTGCGGCAAACAATAGTGGGGCGATGCGGCGAGAAATCGTATGCACAAAGCTGGAATAGGAGATGCTGCAAGGGCAAGGTGATAAGGCGATATATTGGGAAACGTACTGAATATCTCAAACTTTGTAAGATACTTTATTCTGCGTCTGGGATTCCCTTTATTTATTCTGAGCAGTGGCAGAGGGGCGCCGCAGGGAATAGATATCTTAGCAGGTTGTCCTTGAAAGACACGACTTTCGGAACAAAAGGAAAGACAACGTGTTGGATCCCACGATCGGACAAGGGTAAAATCCTGCCAGGCCGAAGTATAATGAGCCCGGAAATAGGTGGCATAGGAGGACTGACTCTTATACTTGCAAGGTCGAGGTGGCACACGACAATCTCAAAGTTGGATGTTACATTTTCTGTTAAAAAAAAAAAAAAAAGAAAAATTTGGGTGAATCGACAACACCGAGGGAGCAAGATAAACGCCGACAAATCCATGGATCAGCAGGACACTCTGTTGAAATGGAAGGAGCAATTGCAGGTCATGTTGAGTATTGTTCAATAGCGAGGCCGGTCACTCGAGGACAGGCGACATATTTCCAAACGCGTCCAGCCAATGAGAACGGCAGCTAGAGATCTGGCATAATTCAAGAACGGCATATGCGCTCTAATGGGATCAGCCCGGCTTCAAATCTCTAGCAGGGTGCGTCAGAGGGGCGGCAGAAAGCGCACCCGATCACTAAGCCAGGCCTCCCAAAGACGCAAGTCCAGGGTTGCTGAAATGGACCGAGCTGGTGGGGAAAGGAGCCATCGGTCTTGGGCTAGGTATCGGGGGCGTTTTATTCCATTTGATTATTGATATGTTTTATTGAATTGGTGGCTCAGAAAGCAGATCGGATGAGAACTGCGATCGTAGATATTAAACTATAACGGTGTTCCTGAGCAATTCGGTTGTTCTCACCTATCTAGAGGGTTCCAAGCGACCAAAAGAAATAACAAGACAAAGCAGAGATGACCAGAGCGGGGCTTTTTTTATGACTTCAAATCAGACTCAATCCTGGAGAGGGACGAGTCACCGAGACGAGCCCCTGTGACTATCTTCCCGGAAAATAAGTCACGGCCGCATGGCAGCCACCACAGCCTTGTGTTACAAATTCTTACCAAGACTCATTGTTTTTTCAGAGCTGGAATGCGGCCATGTACCAGGTGGTAAGTGGAGCAAAGCTCGAGAGCCCGGGCAAAAAGAAGTGGATCAATACCGCAGTCGAGGCGCGACCCAAACGGGGGGGGTCCATCCACGGATAGCGGCAGAGAAGGGACGTGGATGATCTCATTTCCAAACTATGTAGACTATAACACGCCAAAAGCTGCCTGGACCTTTCCAAGGTGACCTTTGTCAGCTTATGGGGCTGTGTGCACGGGTTTCATTCAAAGGCTTTCCATCTTCGAAAAAACATAGCTTTGCATCTTGACTGGAGACAGTGGACCAAGATGCAGGAAGCATTCGCAACAGCAAGTCAGAATGATAGTCAGATGTCCATCTGCATGAGTTGGGAGCGTATGAGGACGAAGGAATGCCCCATGAATTCATCGGGAAATCTTTCGTCGAAGGCGAAAAGAACATTTACCTGTATACTGTAGTAAAATGCGAGCTTTGGCTGGCGCGTCTTCCTACTCAGCCCTGAATAGACAAGATCGGGGACTAATGTGATGGTGGTATATCAGGGTGCAGCTGTAGCCTCTACCAGGGTTTTAGAGATCCCCCCAGCTAGCTCCAATTAAGATGTGGATCCATGTGAATTTTGGATACAGGGAAAAGGACAGAATGATGAGCGAATGAGGAGCCGAAAGAGATGCTGAGAATTGCTTGCGTGGCTAATAGTAGCGGCTCGGGATTTATACGGGATTTAAACGCTGCCAGTCCTCAATATAAATGCCAAGGAGCGAGCATGAGATCAAAATGCAACACGGCCGATATCCCCCCAGCCCAAAGTGACAACCGGTGGGTATTGGGGATTGAAACGTATGGACGTCTTCTGATTTGACCCTAGGATTAGACTGTCCAAAAAATTCGACTCTGTTATCGAAGCTCGCTTAGAACCTTCGGCGGCATCATGATTGATGCAAGGTATTCCTGGTAACCATTGGGATCCAAGGTTGCTGGCTTCCATTAAAGCCGGGATATGGCTGGAAGCTGACGACTCCGTAAGAGGCATAAATTTTCCGGTGTTCAGGAAGCTGCGTGCAGCGAGTCAGCACTAAGGAAATGTACCTGGATTCGTGGGACAAAGCATGACGTGGAGCTCCGCCGTTCGCATGAATGTGCCCATAGGTAGTTCTTGCATTGAGCCGAGCGTCGAGGAACCGTGTGAGTGAACTGCAGCCATCCATTTCCCATCACGCGCTAGGTTCGGGATTTCAAAATGGACTGGAATCATGGTCTCGTACTGGCAGCAGCGTACGTTGTTGCCAACATGGCCCCACCTCGAGTCATACCTCAAACGGGCTGTCTGAAACGAGGTCAAGAGAACGCCCGAGAGAACCCCGTCAGGTTACCGTATTGGAAGCCCTTTCAACGGGGCGTGGTTGTGGAACCATCCATCCTCGCGAGGCACAGAAGCTGACTGGGGGGTCTTTGCAAGGTGCAACGCACATGGACCTTGCCGAGTCAGCTGATACAAACCGCCAGGGTCTCCACGGGCCCTTTTTCTGCAGCCCGATTGAAGAGGTGGGTTCTGATAGTCTTTTTGGCACCGATGTTTTAATCCATGGGACACGTAATCTGATTTGGCCTTAAGAGGGGCCTGAGGTGTAGTCCATATTTAAATCTCAGAGACGAATCCATATTGACTTGGCCAGTCAAGGCAAGTATACCGCCGCTTGCTCGGAGGCTCGGGTTCTACTACTTTGCGGTATGAGGTAGATCGGATATTACGGAACTTGGATGAAGAGGGTATTAGCCTGGGGGGAAAGGGATCAGTATACGACACTCGAGCAGCCCAAACACCACGAGTTGCTCCGTGGGAATGCAAGAATGAAGCTCGGGATAGAACCTATTTGCTGATGGTGATCAATTTTTTATTCTCCCGATTATCGGCATATTTCTCACCTCGGGGACCATGCAAAAGGGCGAGGGAAGAACCCAAGTACTCACAGCTAGTCTCCAGGTCGTGCATATTCTATGAATCCGGCAAGATGACATCACGGCGCACTTTCAAACAAGTCTGCCTGCAGAGAGCGGTACCTGGCAGTATCCCACGAGCAAGAAAGCATGTTGAGATCAATACTATTTTGTAGCGAGCAGAAATTGCGTAGAATTGTAACAGGGTAAGCTAGATCATGGGTCACAAGAAGCATAATCCAGGAAAAACTCAAAATGAAAATGATTGGCATTCTTGCTATTCATTATGGCCTGCAGGTAATTGCGATTGTAACAGGGGGTAGATACCATAAGCGACGCAGAAAAGGCCTATTCGGCCAATACCTTCGTCCCAAGACGTCGGTATTGTCGGTAGACGAGGGCAATGGGAAATAAAAAGAAAGGAAAAGCGAAGGCAGAATAAAAAGTAGCCACCGAGTTCATTGTATCCGAACTCCCCAGTCCTAACAACTCCAACCCACCTTGTGACACAAAGCAGAGTCCTGGTAGGAATCTTGGATGAGGCTGAAACGGTCACAAGGGTAAAAAAAGAGGCGAGAAAACAACATTCCACGTGCCGAAAAAGAAACAATTTATGAACTTCGCCGGCGACTTGACATAGTCGGAAGCTTCGAATTGGGTATACCCAAAATTCCAGATCACGTCGATGGCGGAAGTATCAACAGCAAAAGTAAACCCCGCCCCCACACTTCGAGCAGTGGAAGGAAAGAGGTCGCACACAATGATCACTGGAAGTATTCCGCAGGCAGAGCGGCTAGGAGGGCGATGGTCCCCAGTCCACCAAGCAAGGCACTAATCACAGCAGTAGCAGTGTAGCTCGCAATGTTGGAAGCATGAGAAGTTTTGATTCGTTTCGTAGGAGGGCTAGGCACATGACTCGTGTTTTCAGAAAGAGCGGAACTAATCGCATCAGCTACCTTAGATTTGGTGACACTTTCGAAGTCAGGCATTTCGGACTGTGAAAGGGCCACGTCGGGAATCTGAGCATCTTGTAATTCTATCTCAGATGCCTTTCGCTTCAGGGAGACGCATTTTGACCTCATATCTGGCTCTTGAACCGATTCGACTTGCGATTCGACGGGTTTCTTGACACTGGCATCATTGGAACCCGGCATGGCTGAACAGGCAAACGGTCCATCCTGGTAGGGGTTGAGGACATCACTGATGCTCAGACGGCCAAGACGGCGAGATTCTTCCTCTTCAGCACGCTTCTCTACCCATGTTGGTAAGGCAGAGGGGATAGGAACCTGAGGGAAAGGGGTTCGAAGAACTTCGTTCACCTCGGGTGATTCCACCTTGATGCAAGATTTGCCAGTCATATCATTCTCATGCGAAAATGTACGCAGAGCAGCTCCTGCAAGCGCAGGGGAGTCCGGTTCATCACTATTATTGAGAATTGTCGGATTAATGAACTCATTATCTTCTTGGCCAAGCAAGAACTCATTCTCTTCAGCATATTCAGAAGTAGAGTCATCGTCGGACCTAGACTCCACACAGAGAAGCTCGGTATAAGAAACACGTTCACTGGTCTCGCTGAAGGATGATGGGTTTGAGTCAAGATCTGAATCTTCTTCGTTGGATTCGGAAATTTCTCCATCCGAATAATCTGCCAGAAAAGTTCCTTGGAGGCGTGAACCCTCCTTATGGCCGTTGAACTTGGTAGCTGGGATTTCCTCAATGTCGCTGTCATCATCCTCGGGGACACAGAATGTATTTGTGGAAGTACTGGCTTGAATGATACAGTTGGGATCTGTCGCAGGGAATTTGGGAAAATGCTCAGCATGAGAGATGTCCAGCACTTCTTGAATGTCGGCAGGCACGTAAACATCTCCGCTTTCTTCAGCCTTTTCATCACTGGCAAGCCACTCAACTTCGCACTGAACACTCAACGCTGGGAATTCTTCTATAGATATCATTAGATTTCTTGTCACAGAATCTTGCTAGGAAAACTTACCGTCACCACGATCCACGTTTACACCAAATCTCAGTTCATCTCCGCTGATCAACGGGGTCTTTTCTCCAGTTGACAATTTGACGTTGTTGAGCCAAGTGCCATGAGTGGATCCGTTATCGCAAATGTAGACGCTCTGGATGATCGCCCGCTCAGCATAGTCCTTGGGGTAAGAAGGGGTCCGTAGGAGAGGGAGAGTTACCCTTTTTTCCAGTGAGATACCTAGGTCCGCATGGAAGCGCGACATGACCCGAGAATCAAACCATCCGTTATCCTCTGCCGGAGAGCGGTTTTTATTTCCCCGCTTTGATGACCGGCCGATCTCCACGGATGGGTTGCTGGAAGAGAGAGAGATATTACGAGTAAGCGAATCGCCGGAGGCGAGAGGGTTTAGGACGATGGACACTTTGATGGAAGAGACGGAGTCAACACCCGCTATATATGAGAGCACTTCGAAAAATTGCTTTTAGTGACGTTCGAACATACCTCGTGGTTCGGGCATGATGACTGATACCCGACAGTTGTTCGGATATATTGCATGTACGACGTGAGGCTCAACGGGATAAGAGAGATGGACGAAGCTGGAATCTGCCGAGATGAATGTTAGCAGAGGGGTATCAAGGGCAACGAAGCAGAGATATCAGGAGTTATAAAGCCCATAGCGACCTATGCGACATCACAAGACTACCTGATGGTAAGCAAGGCAACTGAGGTGGAGGGGCGCTTACCGGGTTGGTCCGGCTGGATTAGCACAGAGGAGCTGATGGTCGCAGATGTTTCCAGAGACCAAATCCAAGACTACAGCGAAGGATGAAAGCAGTTGAACCAGAAGAAAACCTAAGAGGTGAAGAGTGGGAGAAGAAGGTTCCGAAGGGTTGGGAGTGGAAGAGGGGTAGGTGATGATGAATCAGGTTGTCAAGGCTAAGTTCCAGTTGGGGGAGGGGGGCTTTCTTTGGAGAGGGGACCCTTGGGCGAGCAAGCACGGGACCAACGTCAAAAGGCCGACCAAGCGGAACAGACCTCGTCCTATCGGAGCAACACAGGACAGACTGTAGAAGTAGAGAGGAGCGTTTAAGAAGCGCCGGTGTGATAAGGCGATGTGAGCGGTATACAAAGGGCGAAGGAGTGGGGCAGCGAGTTCCTTATCGCGTGGATGACGTGGGGACAAGGCCTCAGGCCAAAAAGCCGGGGAGATCTACAAGCATCCGGTGCTTTCAGACGAGAGTGCGGATTATAGTTAACCACGACAAGGTACTGCGTAAAAGTGAATTGATATCTAATGGAGGTAAACCTGGACGGAAAATAGTCGCTCTGATCGAGTCATTATCCTGCCCCACCACGGTGTGACGAGGTGGAATACATCACCGGCCACAGACAAGCTATTTAGTGAATTCTCTTCTTATACATCTATTGCAGCCACCCTTGAGGATACTAGAAGCAAAGGCAACAGAGAACAAGTAGAAGACATCATATTCACCTCTATGGTACACAAATTACTCTCCAATGTTCACAGCCCAATGCAAAATGGTCCGGACCCAGCGCTAGCCCCCAACGTTCCGGTTCGCATCTCTCGGATATCTCGGTGTGGAGCCCATAAACAAACATCAAAACAACGGATAAGAGGGAATATGTCAAAGAGAGGGATACTAAATACAAGGAGGGCAGAAAAAATAAATGGCCGGGGGGAGCACCGCAGGGACGAGAGACGAAGAGAAGGTCGAAGACCAGAGTCGAAAAGGGGATAATTAAACATGCGCCCGAGTCCAGATCCGGGAGGCGAAGAAACGAAGCGAACTAAGAGGGAAGATTGTAGGAATAGTGAGAGCTGGCATGGAACACAAGGAAGTCACAAAAGCAATAGACGGGATGATTTTGGTTGCTTTCACATGCCAGGTGCCCCAGCTCCCATAGCGCCCATAGCATTCAGCCGGGCAGCCAGCTGGGGATATTTCTCCTGAACCTCCAGCTGGGTGCGAGTGGCCTCGGCATAGGAGATGGCATTAATGATCTCCGCCTCGGTGCGAGCCAGCTCAGCAGCCCGCTCGAAGTACTTCAGGGCCTGGGAGACCTTGCCCTGCTGAAGCAACAGCTGGGCCATGGTGCCGACGGCAATATCACACTCAGGATCGACTGGGATGAACATTAGTTTTCAAGGCCAAACGGAGCGAACGGAATGAGGTGGGTTGAGATGACTTACTAATCAGTGCTTTCTGGCACAAGTTCTCAGCCTCCTGGAAGTCGTGCTTCCACTGGAATAAGGCCAGGGCTTTGTTGATCAGAGGCAGCACATTGATACCCATGGGCTTGCTCAGCTTCTCCATCTCAACGGCCTTTTCGAATTTCTCAATGGCCTCGGCATAGTTTTGCTGGTCGAGAAGAAGTTCACCATAGTAGTTATACACGTCCGGAACCTCCTCGAAGTTCTTGACGGTCCGGCGGAAGGTGGCCATGGCAGAGGCTACAGAGCCCATCTTGTACTGGGTCACACCGAGCTGGATGTGGGAGAAAATGAAGGACCGGTCCAGGTCAATCGACTTCTGGTAATCCTTCGCAGCTTCGGCAAACTCACTCAGAATGAAGTGAAGCTGGGCACGGTGGTAGTAGATGTCGGGGTCATCCTTGTTGTGAGTAATAGCAAGTTCGAAGTCGTCAGCGGCGGATTCCTTGTTGCCTAGTAGACTGTGAGCACAGTGCCTTAGAATTAAAGACCTATAACGGATTCTTACCGAGCTCAAGGTGCAAGCTGGCACGCTTGATATAGCTCTGGACCAAAGTGGGCTGCAACTCCACACTCTTGTTCAGGTCAACCAACGCACCCTGGGCGTTGCCGCCAAGATATGTGAAGGTGGCCCGCATGTTGAGAGCCAAAGCCTCAAATTCACCCAGGTCACCAACCTCAAGAGCCTTTTCGAAGGAAGTAGCAGCCTCTTCATAGCCCTCACCGGTCTTCTTGACCATGGCGATTAGACCCTTGCGGAGCAGACCCTTGCCAGAGTCTTCACCTAGTTCAACCGACTCCTCCAGACCCTCGGGAAGAGGCTGCGGGCGGAAGCTCTGCAAATAGTTGGACACAAAGGTAGCGCTGGGCAGCTTCTTACTACGTGACTCGAGGATTGCCTTGCTCTTCTGCTCGGCAACCTTCTTCAACAACCGCTCCAGGGAGTTGCGGCTCATATCGTTGGAGAAGGCATCGATAATGCAGCTGGCTGTGAAGTCCAGCAGGGCTTCGCTGTACTTCTCCAGGTGCTCATATGCGGTAGCTCTGCGGTTGAGAGCCTTCACATATTCGCTATCCATCGCAATTGCAGCACTGGTGTCCTCCACAACCTTCTCCCACTCGGACAAAACATTGTAACAAGCGGCACGGTTCGAGTAGAAGACGGGGTCGGGCTTGCAGATGATGGCCTTGCCGTAAAGCTCAATGGCCTTGTTGTAATCCTTGGAGCCGTAAGCTTTGTTGCCGGCAGCCTTCAACTTGGCAGCATATTCCTTCCGAGTCTTCCACAATTTTGATTGTTAGCTATCATCCCGGCGTGAAGAAACTCCAATGGCAATGAGATACGAACCTCCTCAGACAGCTGGCCAACTGTCGCCTCATCGACCTCCGGGAGCTCCTCGACGGGCTCCTCGGTCTTTTTAGCAGTAGACTCTAGGGTCATGTCAGTCGCAAACCCTGCCAGTGTCAATTAGGATACATCACGAACCATCCTGCACAGAGGCGGTCTTCGCCTTCTTTTCTTCCTCCGCCTTCTTTTTCTCTTTGCGTCGCTGATTTTTGCTCTTCTTGGGTGTGGAGGAGGAGGTGGTTGTCGTCTTGCTCGAGTCAGACAGGTAGTAGACAACACCAGCACCGGTCACGACCACGGCGACACCGGCAATGGTATAGACAACGGCCTTGTTCTCCGACACCCACTTCGACACGCGATCCCAGATCGATGCTGATGACGAAGCAGGAAGCTTCGCGGTGTCCAGCACGATGTTCTGGGTGGGAGTGGATAATGGCGACTCGCTCGACATGATGTGAGGGAACCGGACACGGCGACCGATGCTGTAAAAGTCCTGATTCTAGAGGGTGTCAGCTTTGGGATATCAATGCCGTAAGAGATGGAAATGTCCAATGATACATGAAACGCACCGGTCTTTGGCCAGAGGCGGGAAGTGTGAGATAGGGAGAAATGACGGAAGCTTGGAGGAAAAGTCGAGAGTTCCGGCTGCCGGCACGGGCCAATCACGCGCTGCGCGACCGTAACGCTTCGACGTAGCTTCTCCACACTCATTCGGTTTGCCCGGCACAACGAAATGCGGCCATTTCATGCAAAGGGCTCTGATGCATTCTGCGCTTGAAAAAAGAATCCCTCATGTGGAGTGCATATGATTGAGTTGATTCTCAAAGCCCACGCCGGTCCAATGCTTCATTAGCATCTCCGAAGCAAGACAACCATCACTCTGTTAGTGAATGACGCAGGCTACAAACTAACCACCAGGACACAATTAACGGTATGGCAGCAAAGCAACAACGTTGAACATACTCGAATATGTCCTCCTTTCAGATCATTTCATCCCTTCGATATGACCCCGATCTGCCGACGGTGACCTCCCAACATGCAAGCATCTACCCTCACCCAGCGCAGTCGCCTTATTATCTCCTGGCCTACCATCAACAGCGTCTTATAAGTGCTGCCCAGCACTTCCAATGGCCCAAGGCATTGGATTTTCTACAACGGGACCTAGGCGATTTCGAACAATTCCTAGACGCGTTTATCCCAGACAAGCACAAGCCATGGAGATTGAGGATTGTGGTGGATTCCGAGGGGAATGGCTCAGTTGACGTACATCCGGCTCCTGCTAGCAGTCTTCTTCACTTCGTGATCCCTTCCCAAGATACGGATCTGCGATCTCCTGTGTGGAAAGTATATCTGGATACACAGTCGACAACGCCCTCCGGCTTCACGACTCACAAAACCACTGCGCGGAATGACTATACGGCAGCTCGTCTACGAGCCGGCATTAGCTCGCCAGCGGAAACATCAGAAGTTTTAGTGGTCAACCCAAATGGCGAAATCATGGAAGGCAGCATCACTACTCCTTACTTTCGACGGCACGACACTGGAGACGGTGGTGGAGCTTCGGGTCCAGAATGGATTACGCCGCCCTTACAAAGTGGTGGAAACGCGGGAACATCTAGAAGATATGCGTTGTCCCAGGGATTCTGTACAGAAGAGGTGATTAGCACGGCCCAGCTAAGAGACGGCGATGAATGTTGGCTCAGCAATGGAGTCCGCGGGTTCATGCGTGGCAAAGTCATTCTGGACCGGTAGCTTTCATGGGCCTCTCCCATTGAAACGAATGGCTTTTGGCCAAAGACTTTGGGATATCAACCCAATCAAGAATTCTACTTCGAGTAAGAAACTTCGAATTAAACATGATTAAGATTTTACAAATCGATTGGGTATGGTCAAGAACTGCTAAATGTTTATTTCTGGGGGAGTATATTGGACTTTTCAGCTTGCCCCTGGTCTCTATTTCTTTTCCTTCTCAACGACTACTGGGCTGGGGTTTCCCTTCCACTCCAAAGGACGTGGGCGCATATATTCGGCCACAATATCGTCAGTGACTTGCGCCCGTCGTTCCTGGAATCCCTGCACATACTTCTGAAGCTCGGCGATGCAGATCTGCTTAAGCTCACCAGTGAGCATCTCGCCCTTCTCGTAGGCAGTTCGGATACGTTCCAACTCCTCATCATCTTCGAGGAAGAAGGTCAGATACTGGAAAGGCACGTCGACCTTAGAGTTGCCTCCGAGCTGACGGTGGAGCTCGGTTGTTTCCTGGCCGCCGGAGAAGGCAAACTTGTTGATCTTGTTCTTGATCTTGTTGGGGGCGTCACTCATGAAGATGGCAGACGAATCAATACTGGCAGACATCTTAGAGCCGGGGCCTTGGAGGGCAGGCAGGAAGATAGAGTGGATGAGCGAAGGCTTCTTGTACTTCATCTTCTCGGCGTGTTCTCGACATTGCCGGAAGTACGGGTCCTGGTCAATGGCACAAGGAATCAAGCAGGGAATTGAAGCAACCTTCTTCCGGTCAGTGCCGAAGATCTGGGGGAAGCTTGTCGCGAAGGCCGTCGCAGACTGGGTAGCGCAGAAGTGGAATTCTCCGATGTTATTACTATCATTGAAGCCGAAGGTGCCGCGAACCTGGTTGATGGTGATACGCTTGGCCATTCTGCAAATGTTTTCGTAAAAGGCTCCGCCAACAAAATCAAAATCGCTGAAAATGAAAGTCTTCTTCATGTCGAACCCAACAGCGATGATGTCCCTCGCATTTGCCTTGGTGAATCGCTTGACATCGTCGATCTCGATCTTCTGGGAATGCATATATTTCTCATCGTCGGTCATCATAATGACGAGGGGGACATCGAAGACATCCTGGAGCCACCTTATTGAAACATTGCATATCAGTGATCGGATCGTCAAAAAAAGAGACACGAGGAGCATACTTTGTGAACTCGAAAGGAACAGTGTGTCCCACGTGCATGCTATCGCTACTCGGACCACGTCCTGTATAGAGATAGAATGGCTGACCCTTCTCATGGCGGTCCAAGATCTTGCTCAGCTCGCGGTGACTGAAGACGATGCCACGGCGCATGAAACGGTGCGGGCGATGACCAGTGACTTTCTCGAAGCGCTCAAGAAGGTCCGGGGTCAGAGGCGTGGCGCCAAATTCCCGCACCAATTTGTCATAATCAACAGGCAAGAGCTTGCCGGACTCATCAACACCTCCGGAGACATCGAACGGGGTGACGATTTGGCCTGTCGCCTTTGACTGAGGAGCCTTTTCGGCGAGACTCAAGTTTGTTAGCGCCGGAGGCTGTCCTGGTTCGTCCGCCATGATATTTAATCGATATGGACTAGGTGTAAGCAATTAGTTTCGCCATTTTCTTCAAGAATACCAATTGATCCTTACCTTGTGCGTGTCGTGGGCTTGCAACAATCTTCAATATTTGGCGGGGAATTTCTGCCCCTCGCCGGCGATGAGTCAGATCCACTCGCTGTCAATTCACAATGTGATTGGTTTATATCATAAGACATCACGTGGCACTAACTTGAAGCTGAGGCATATATCACTTCAGCCTGAGGCAGTCAGACTCCTAGTAGAGCTTTTATGTAGATAGACTAGTAAATCTATCCCGCTTGAAGAAAATCAGAACAATACAGCAACATGATAGGTGACAAATATTATTCGTCATAAAAATGAATTTATGATCGTCTGGAAACCGAGTTAGAGCAAAAGCTCTGGTCCTTGTGATTGTTCCCAGATCACTGGACTTGAGCTACTTTTGCAAGCTTAGAATGGGTGCCACGCTGGATCAAGCATTGAGAATGAGAATTTCAATATATCATCATTCAAAGATCCCAACTCCATGCTTTTCTGAGCTTGGCCCCAAGAGCAGTCGATGGCCAGTAATTGTTATCCCGAACAGTATTTACAATGATGTCCATCAATGCCTGTTGTTCTGCAAATTCAGAAAATCTATCACCACATATGGCAATGGCAAAAGCTGCTGTCAGAAGTGCGGTCGGCTCTTGTCTGTTTGATATCGCTGTCCCGCAAATGTCCAAGACAATCGACCTGAGTTTGGCATCCATAGACTCCATTGCGCTTCGATGGCCCGGGCCAACCCGTACCACTCTCGGGTCATAAGCTGTAAGTAATATGTTGATCAAGCCAATTGTTTGCTCGGCAACAATGTGGCAATCATTCAAGTACCACTTCCGAGGAAATAAGTTGGCCTTCTCTTCGTTCCAATTGTCAGAGTAGATAGGAAGGAAAGAAGGTGGTCGCTTTTCGAGCCATCGGTGATAGATTGATGTTAGCTCCTCATAATCTGTGTGTAACTGCGTATCTTGATCTTCATAGCAATACTTTACGACATGCGCAGCAATAATTAGAAGTCGGTTGACCAATACATGGTCAGGAGCAGTGTCCCACGAGAGGTAGCTATCGCACACTTCAAGAGAGAGACGAAAGGTACGCTGCTGCAAGAAGGCCATATGGAACTCTTGTCTGAATCCGACCCAGAATGCGGCGTGTCGTAGTCCAGAAGATAACAGTGCCAAGCTTGCTTGTGCTTCAATGAATACTTGCAGTCCCCTAGTAGCAGCATCAGTAGGCAATTCCATAAATGGAGCTACGTATATGGTAAGCCGGTGTTAGCCAGAATAATATAGACAGAATGCTGTTGAAATATGGGTAACCATACAATCTAATTCCTCGTAAAATCGAAGGACCACTGCCGCAGCGAGCATATTTTCGTCCATAATTGCGTCTGGCTTATTTGCAAGGAGTCTCAATTGCGCAATAGATCGGCTATGATAATCAAGCACCGCGGCTTCGCTGATAATAAGGTCACGGTGGATGCCTAATTCAACTGCCTTTTCCTTCTGACGACTTTTCGGCAATGTCGTAAAGTGCCTGGCTGATGCAGAGAGGACCGCATTGAAAAGAGGCGAGCAAGAACGTGCCCGTTGGGGGACAACAACCCCAAAGTGTTGTTCAGGATCACATATGTCGAACTTAACAAACTAATTAGCAATTTGGACTTATTGATATTAATACCTACTAAACTTACCCAATTAGCTAGTTCCTCCACAAAATATCTTAAAAGAAATGCTTCTCCAAAGTTAATCTGATAGGGAAGATATTGATCCTCTCTTTGAAAAAAAGGTAGGATCTATCAACATCAGTTTGAATCCGGTTCAAATGTGAGAGTCTTTTCATCTTCTGGAAAACCAGGGACGAGGGGAATTATATCAGTTCACCTACAATCGGTTCAGTGTCCCTGGATATATTTGACTGGGTTGAAACTAGTTCTTTCGAATTTCGATCAAGAACAGTATCATTACCAGTGATTTTGGCATTTTCGCTGCGAGAAGTATGCTGGGAGGGGCCGATCTCAGGACAATGCCCAGTGAACTTGGGGGTCTCATCGACGTATTGAAGCACTATAGAGACATTATTATATAAATACCGAAATCATTTGGAACCTGACATATTAGATCTAACCTGATTCTGAAGGGTTTGAATTTATCTGGGAAGAGGACCTGTTGCGAAATTGCAGCTTCGACTCCTGACGGACGCAGGCTCGCCCTTGCTTCTTGCATCTGGTGCATTTTGGCTTGATATTATCACCTACATGGCGATCAGTTGTCAGAATAAATATTTCAGATTGATGAACATATCACATAAAGGGAAAGCTGTTTACATTTCAAATGATTTCCTGTCGAGGGACTAGAGTCAATTTAGGGTCTAGACACCGGTGGGGAACTCGGTCAGGAGGACCTACTGCGGCAGTTCTCACTGGAGAAAGTAAGCGTTGTATATCATATTAAATCCGAGTCGGATATATTTTTGCATATCCAAGTTCACATACCACGGCTTTGATCTCGGGGCCATTAGAGTTGGGTTTGGCGGACAGTCGTCTACTGATTGAAAGTAAAATGACCTGGTGGGATGGGAATGTTTCTGGTCAGGTGACCTTCTCTGACCCAGACTAGACTCACAGTTGAACTGTTAATTCCTATTAAAACGTACATTTGAGATATCAATAGCCGGTAGTCTAATTCTACTATACCTACTGGAATATGATAACACCAGATCTGATGTCCATTTATGTAACTATTTAGAAGTCAAATTTCTGACCGAGCCAAGTAATAATCGGAGCAAGTGCCAGATACTAGTGAAAAGAGATCTATCAATTTCCAGGGACTATGAAATTTTCTTCAAATAAATCACAGCCCATCATCTGGTCTCCATATTCTGAACCATCGCTGATCAATACCCGGATCATTCTTCTCATAGAATCTCAGATCTGTACTAAGGCGGATGCGACCTGTGTGGTCCTCATTCCGTCCACTAGCATGAATACTGTGCGGGTCGTGAAATACTACATCTCCTGCTTCATAGTCTGCAACAAGCCATTTATGAACCCCGTAAGCGGAGTGCATTTCCTGGAAGTTTTGAGGAGACGATGCAATCATACCCCCACCAAGCATGCTCATGTTGTAGGCCGAGATGCGATCTTCTTGCGTCATTGCTTCAGACCGCTTAGTAAAGTCCTCCTCAATCGCACGGCCAAGCGGGACTGAGTTCTCGAGATAACAAAGGCCACCTCCGTTGACAGAGATATCCCCTATAATGAAATCAACTAGATGAATGTTGAACCGAACAACATAAGCTTACCGATTGGTACCCAAGCTGTCAAAAAGAATCCATTGCCTCCTCTTAGAAACAATTTATCATAATGGATGCCGGTTCCCATTCCAAATGGAACATTGTGTCGAAGCATCGTTCGATCCAATATTTGATGTTCTTTCCAACCCATAAGATCTCTGATGAACCTAGTCAGAGCTGGATGTTCCACGAATTGTCGATATGCCAAGTCTTTATGAGCGTCGATGAGGATCTTCTCTTCTACCGGATCTGCCGGAAGGCCTTGTCCGCCAATTCCTTTGTGAGCATCCGGATGGGCAGAATTGTTAAAAATACCATCCCTGGGTAATGTTCCAGGCTCTAGGAATGAAGTACGAGAATATTGGCGGAAATAGCTGAATGGAAAGATGCTTGTTAGGGTGGCCGTGAGCATTTGTCGGAGATTTTGGAAGAGATTTACCTCTCTCTCATACTGAGAACATCATTTCTAGGAATCAATCCCTTGATAAACAAGTATCCGTCTTCTTTCAGCCGGTGTCTCATTCCGTCGATCGGCAGAGATGTTGACGTTGGCCGTAGGAGGCCAATGTGGTCCGTGGATATTCGGCCACCATTCTGTCCCAGTCCGTCAGGTAGAAAATTTTCTATAGATTTGTTGAGAACAGGAACCGATGCGGGCTTAATGAATGTTGCAGCCATGTTGAGCAGAAGAAATATCTGAAGGAAAAAAAGTTTCACATCCTGCTGTGTCGGGTTGGAGAACTCAACTTGGGCGGGGCAAGTATGATCAGCCGATCTATATATTGCCCAATAATATATACATTCTGTCAACCCAGCTTGAAAGGCTTGAGAATACTAGACCAATAAGCTACTTGGAGGGGGTCAGCAAGTTCTGGATGAACAGGAAGTGCCGCGCAATCTATAATAGATCGCCCACATTGGCAGGAGAAGTCTCCACTTCACGATCGGAACGTTGGTACACTAACCATATTTATCCAAAAATCGCCGAACTCTACCTATTCTGGCTTGAATTCGGCGAGTATGACCTATTTTAGGGAAGCACACTCAAACTCCCATATTCATTTGAGGATCAAAAACATGCAAAGTGCGGAGGGCCGGAGGTAAACTTGATTTTTCTAAATATATATCCATAGATAGATAGCATATGTACACAATTCTAATAATGTTTAACACATTGACGTCTTTGAGCTTACTGAACTAGGGCCATTTCCTCACTCCAAAACAACCAAGAAATTGAGTCTTAGGAAATATATATATATATAAACTCACTTTGAGTAAAAGTTTATACAGTGTTAGAACCGGGGTTTTGTAGCTACGTGCACCAAGTTGAACATAGAACAACAAGTCACTGCACCTTTTCACTCTAAAATAGCAGGAATCCCTCACGTGGCGCGCAAGGTGACCCATACTTGGCCAGGGAGTGTTCCATGATAGAGGAGCCAGAGTACAGGAACGTATGAGAAGATGAAGTGACTCTGGTGTTGTGAACAGTCTGAATCTCAAGGCTCGGTAGAATCCTGACTGCCTTTTTAATCTTTTTAATAACTAGTAATTTGGTTAACTAATTAACCAAACTAAGTTAACTACACAAAAATTCCCCTACAAACAATTCAAGTTAATGTAGTGTATTAAGAGAGAAAGAGTTTCCATCACAATTCTTTGCTGACTTTGAACCATTTATAGAAATAAACTAGTCCTAAGAAGTAGGCATATCGATCTATTTTAAGTGGTTGCTTTTGCATACTAAAGCCAAAAAGCATATAAGCTTCTCCTATTTACTGTGATTTTATATAATTCGTTGTTATATGCAGGGGCAACTAAATGCGAAGGCCGAATCCTGTCAAAAACCTCACTCGTAGGGGTCATTTGGTGTGGATTTTAATTTCAAAAGAAAAGCATAGCATACTGGCGGCTTATATTTCTAGATACTATGTGAAGTCGTCATAGAATTCGTACCTCATCCCAATGACGGCAGTTGCGAAGAAGCTCGCCCAGGCCATATCTGGTGCAATGTCCTCGAGCGGGCAGGCAGCCTCCCGTATACTCTGCAATTGCCGCCAGGGCTCGCAGTGCTCTCCGTCATTTCTCTGCACCACTTCAAACGCGCTCCGGGCCCGACTCCCGACTTTACAGAAGACGCGCAGGTCTAGCCCCAGTCAACATTCGACCCAAGCTTCACTGATGGCACCAACCGAGCCGACGTCGACGTCATCCTTGATAAGCGCTGGTGAGGCCACGTCATGGGAAGGCGTAAGCAGTATCTCGGACGTTGATCCTCACTCGGGAATCAACCCCTCGAGGGGCTGTATGAGGACAACTTGGTTGGCGCGGAGTAGAAGGTTGCTGACTACCTGTGTCACGTCCTGAACCGAAGCTAGATGGCTATCGCTCACTTCCCATATCAGAGATCATCATTATCCTAGTATCTCTCACCTTTACCTCACTTTCACATGTTCCCTTACATTGTGATGATGATAGTAGTGAGGTGATAGAAGAGGTGAGAGTAAACGAGAGAGCAACGAGAGAACAAGGAGAAGATTTTGTATATATTCGCCTAAAAAGACTGATGATAAATAAATGATCATGGGCCGCGCACTTTGTAAATAAACCTCCCATAGGGAGTTAGCCTCGCACAACTTATAATTCTTCCGCGGCCCTCACACCTTGTGCGCTTTCTGAAAGTAGAATGCTGCAATCTTCGGACGGAAGCACTTACAAATAATTGCTCTACAGCAACCATCGTCTTTTTGCTCTGAATGAAAGCCGTGTTGCTGATCATCAAACATATCTTCTATTGAATATCTCTTCGAATAGTAGGTCTGAACGAAAGCCTCCTCAATTCATCCCCAAAAGTCCCTGTGTTGTGGCATCTGCCAAGCTCGTGATGTAATGAAGAAGAAAATTGCCTCGGAAAACGGGCCCCGATGTTTGACCGAGCCTGAAGAAGCAATAGCGATAGCCGATATAAAGGATACAAAATTACCCTTCTGGGGAATTAGCGGCGACGAACAGACTTTGACGGGCTCAAAAATGAGTGATCGGGCCTGCCTTGAAATGCTGATTTGACGTTCCCCGCATATTGGCTGCGGAACGCGGGGTTTCGGGAGATCTTACGTGCATTTAGTGTCAGAGTAATACCCGGGCAATTGATTGGGGATTGCAAAGCTGGGGATATATACAAGTATATAATCTTCGCGTGCCGTTTACTGGAATACTTATTTAATGGCATTATATATCCTTCTGCAGATAAATCACGCTTACGATCCAATTGGCACCTCTAAACAAAAATGAAATCCATTGTCATGTTTAAAACCGACAATTATACCGAAAAAGGCACAAGGGATATGCACGACTGCTCTGACATGTCCAAAATGGAAGACTCAGAACATATCGAACTACCCCATGATGCAGATATTGAAAAGACCAATATGTCAACAAAGGTGGAGGATATAGTCAGAAGTGTTGACGACATTCCTGTCAGCCTATTTGTATGGCTGGTAGCTGTCACCACGTCAATGGCAGGGATGCTCTTTGGCTATGACACAGGCATAATTTCGGCCGTCCTTGTATACCTAAAGGACGATCTCAACAATAGACCAATAACTAGCAATGAGAAGGAGTTGATTACATCCCTCTGCTCTGGGGGCGCATTTGTTGGTGCGATATTTGCAGGGAATACCGCAGACAGAGTACGATTTTCTTCTTGTCTATTTTGATTTTCTATTGATGTATCCCCCCTTCCTTCTATGCCGCACGCTTACGGATTCCTTTCAGTTCGGCCGAAAAATGGCGATATATCTCGGTTGCTTCCTTTTCCTTGTTGGCGCTGTATTACAATGTGCAGCTTATACAATTCCCCAAATGGCTGTCGGTCGGTTGGTGGTTGGCTTAGGCGTGGGGTCGGCGGCGATGGTCTTGCCATTATATGTCGCAGAGATCGCCCCCGCCAAAGCTCGGGGAAGATTGATCGGATTGAACAATATGTCGATCACTGGAGGTCAAGTCATATCATACGCAATAGGAGCCGCATTTGGAGGAGTCGATCACGGATGGAGATACATGGTAGGGCTCGGGGCCGTCCCTGCCATTGTTCTTGCTTGTCTTCTTCCCTTCTGCCCTGAGTCTCCCAGATATTTGACATACAACGGCCGTGAAGAGGAGGCCAATCTTATTTTACAGAGAATTTACAAGAATGCATCGGAGGTGCAACTGGAGTCGATAACGATGTCAATAAAAGCGGCCTGCGAACAAGCCCGAGAGATCAACGACAATGGAAGTCGATTCCAGAAGATCAAACAGCTGCACCTGGTTCCTAGCAACCTCCGTGCTTTAATCAGCGCTTGTGGTCTGATGGTAATATCCCAATTGTCAGGTTTCAATTGTTTAATGTATTACAGTAGCTCTCTTATCTCTGGCATTGGCTTCAACAATCCCACGGCCGTTGGTCTTGTGGTTGCAGGAACCAATTTTGTGATGACATGGGTGAACATGATGGTAGTGGACAAAATGGGACGCAGGCGTCTACTTCTATCCACAGCCTGGGGAATGTCTGTCGGGCTTATTGCGATCGCCGTTTCCTTCAGATGGATCCCAATTGATATGGACACCGCAGAAGTGGAATCAACAGGTCAAGTGTCGGTAGCAGCAATCATCGTGATTGTTTTCATGGTTTGGTTTGTTATTTTTTACGGTGTTTCTGTGGGGAACACCGCCTGGATGAGCACAGACTTTTTCCCCCTAGAAGTGCGCGCCATGGGTACCATGTGGCTCACCTGTTCTAACTGGGGTAGTAATGTGATTGTCTCCAGCACATTCCTTTCGATGATGAAAACCATGACTCCTTCTGGAGCATTTGGCTTTTATGCTGGTATCTGTGGATTTGGGTATATATGGATTTATTTCTTCTATCCTGAAGTTTCCGGACTTGTTCTGGAGGAAGTCCAAGAAGTCTTTGAACATGGCTTTGGTGTTAGATATGCGAAAAATCTACGCAAAGAACGAAGTAATATCATCAAGGAGCAACTGAAGACTCAAGAAAAGTCTTTCCCCGCCGGACATTGAAGTTGAGGGATATTTGACCACGCCACCTTCCAATATTTCCATGTGTCAAGATCTGAAATGACTCTATCTACATTCACTACCGAGTCCAATTATGGTCCATAGAATCGTCGGATTCAGTTAAGAGATTTTCTTTTTTTGCACAGGCCATAAATGATAAATTTAGTTTATATCTCAAATAGACATATCATAGATTCTACCAAAAATGGTATAGAAAGGGAAGTTCTACCTTTTATTCTCATTAGCGCTTTTACATGAGGCAGAATCCACTATCGCCTCAAAGAAGACGGCGCCTAGGGTGATCTAATGAACTTTTTAGTCAAAGGCAAAATGTATGTCTTCACTGGGACCAATTCAGATGGATATTTTAAGCTTGTAGGATAGCTCTTCATCATGACTAGACCACTTGCTCATCTGCGAATTCAGGATGTTTGTGACGATTGGGAGACTGGTATTGGGCGTATAAATTGAATCTCAGGATCAAGTTTCAATTGTCTTAGACTCAAATCTTTAGACACAGTATCATACCTTTGACTCCATTTGCACAGTAGACGAAAGTCTAGAAAATCTGTGATTAATACTAATCTTCTTTTTGACCTCAACTATCAATAGAACCGATACTCTTGCCACGGTGTATGAGCCTAAGAGGTACCATCGATACAGTAATTAAAAAGCCTCAATCTGGGAATATAAAGAAAAGCACTTTCTCATTCAGACTCTCCTAGTACTAGGCCACGCGTTGAGTATTTGCCTAGTCGGCTGCACCTCCTTCCGTCAAAGTGCCTGCCGCTTTGGTGCATATACCTGCTTATACTAATAAACGAGGTAGTCTGATGTAGTAGATCCCACGCAAGTAAATGTCCTTGCCAGAGACTGACTGACTTTACCACCCACCTCTCCAGCCACCACCTCGCCATCCACCATTCCATCCACCGCCACGCCATCCACCGCCGCCGCCCCAACCGCCGCCCCAACCAGGGCCCCAGTTCTCATTTTGGCCGTTCTGCTGAGCTTCTTCGGCTCGTTTCATCATTTCAACATCTATGGAACTCGGTTAGCCAGCAACGCTCTGTACCGAGATGAATTGAATCACACACCAGGCCCAGGCTCGGGTGCTGGAACAGCCAAAGCAGTACCTGCGAGGCCAACGAGGACAAAGAAGTGACTGAGCAGCATATTTCAAGCAGAAAACTGAAAACCCCAAATTAATATTTATCTCGACTTGATAGTCATCTTTAATGAGATGCTGAAAGAGGTGTCACCTACTTTGTGCTTAGGTTGATGAAGAATAAAAGCACAGTTGCTTTGAAAATGTTGAGAACTCAACGACATGTGTGTCTTTTTATAACCGCGAGATGATTTATATGACTCAGAGTCGAGTCTTCTATTGTCGCATGGTGTAGTTCAAAGGTATGAATATGTCCCGAGATTCTCATAGTCTGAGCCAGTTAGAACAACTCCTTAGTTCCCGACAATTGAGTTCACACCGTGGTCAAGGTCAAGGATTTTCTCATCAAAAATATTCCGCCAAATCGTGTCTGATGCCTCAATTCAGTTTGTGATACCTCCCGGCATTAATTGTCTACCATGTAAGGATCATAGCTGCCAGGAATTTTGGTAATCTATAACGCAGGACAGGCGTGGACCGATGAAAAGATAGGTGTCGCTTTCGAGCCGTGAACTGCCCCGGGCTTGAAAATAAACCAAAGTGGGCAAAATCTTATTGCGCATTTCTTGTTGGACTTTGAATTTCTGGTCTTTCTATTGAATAGCTGTAAAAAATACCCCTTGGCTAATGTTCAAGTTTGCTGCAGCATGTTCGGAAAATATAAACGGCATAAAAGTCACACAATGGTCTTTGTTTCAGTGACCAAGGTATGAGCTATATGGAAACGCCTTATTGTCAAATAGTTGGTTCACTAATTGGGTAGACTTTCACCTGTTGAAGAACAGCCGGCGAACCAAAAAGAGAGACTTGCAACTTCAGCAGACTCTCAAGTTTCTGAACTGTATAACAAAGGAACAGGGATGTTTCTTGGACGACGGCTTGGGTCCCTGGTATTTTGTTTCGACTAGAGAAAAGAAACTTTAACAAACCTGCCCTATCCTCGTTATAGCTGAGATCCAGAACCTCGAACATATGAAAATTGCGCAACGATTGAGGTTCAATATTATGAGGTCCATCCATGTACATTACGAGCTAGATGAATTGTAGCGAAATTATGAGCCAAACTAAGTAGCAATTTCGTTTCACAAGCAATATGATTTTGGTTCTTAGTAGTAGTAGTACTTTTTCATACGGTGAAATTCGGAAAGAGATAGTTACGCGTTTGGTTATCAATTCTATAGCTTGAACTTAGGAATTAATCCTAGATTGACGTGCCATGAAAAGAACAGAGCCCCGGACCCTCTCGGTGACGCATGGGTATCGCTATGCTTGTAATAAATACAAAATATTGAGAAATCTAATCAGACCTAACCCCACACAGATGCTTTTTTTTCGTGAAACCAAAGTAAGTTGCAGATCCAGACCGGCCTATTTGCGGAAGGTCAATGACTTTCCAGCATCATTACGTTTTTGCTTGCGTGCACCCCAGGGTGCTTCCATTGCCTTGGCGTATGGGTTGAATGGCTTTTTCCTTGGCTGTACTGCGCGGTTTGATGCGGAGGGTGCATTGAGAATGGAGTCTGCGGCACCATAATCAAATGGTGTCGACTCTGATTCGGATTGAGAGGCGGACGTTGCAGACTTTTTGGATTTCTTTTCTTTGCGCAACTTCTCATTTTGCTTCGTGTCTGAGTCGGTGTCGTTGCTTATGTTCTCTGAGCTATCGGATGTTGATGATTCTTGATCCGGGACTTCAGTCTGTGCAACCTTCCTCTTGCGAGGACCACCAAGTTCCTTAACAGTGAAAATTTTGGGTTCTTCGGGCGCCGGAGTGGGGACTGGGGCTGGTTCAGAGACAGGGACAGGCTTGCTGCTGGGTTGAACTCCGAGTTTTTCGCGGGCCTCAGAGATAGTTGTCGGCATGGGTGGCAAAGGAAGAGAAAGCCGGAGGGCTTCAGCTGATGCGATATCAGAGTACGATTTCGGAGCAAGGGTTTCTTGGATCTCCCAGACATCACCCCAGAACTGAGATGTTTCGTAACGCTCGGCGACAGGGAACTCAATTTCCGCTGCATCTATTGCGACATCATTCAGAATGGCCTTGGGGCGAGGTGCAATATCGCGCCACTCCGGACCGGTAGCCCCGGCGACCTTCGCCTCTTTGATGATAGCTAGCAAGTCCATGGCTCGATTCTTCGTGATAGGAGTCACAGGCGAAAGAGTACGCAACAAGGTTCCCATGTCAAGAGGCATGACCTGAGCAAGCTTGAAAAGCATATGCTTTGGAAACACACACTGCCAACCTTCATCTTCAGCCCGTGCCACTTCATCACGCCACTGATGAACGGCCCGAAAGACCGCAAATTGCTCTTTGGAAATAGGTCCGGAATTTCGGGAGAGCAAGTCAAACCAACCTCCAGGACCTTGACCATTCGTCGCATCATAGACTGGGCGCTCATAGCGTTGCAGTGCTTCGTTCTTTGAGTTCTCCTGGACGTAATCAATGAGGCTTGCGTCATTTGATGAGTTTTCAATGAGTTCATTTCGTAGGCAGTCGTAGATGTAAAGGAGGTAATGGGTGTCCGATCGAGCATAGTCGAACATGCCGGACGGGAGAGGGCGAACACGCCAGTCGGCCATTTGGTATCGCTTGTCGGCCTCAAAATTAACGAATTTGTTCAAAAGGAATTTCAAGCTTCTCTTTGGGAAACCTAGAGCAGAAGCTGCATGGAAGGTGTCGAACATGCCAACCACATATAGGCCCAAATCACGCTGTAGCCAAATAATATCCATGGTAGATCCATGAAGAACCTTCAGGATCTTCGGGTCCGCAAATACTTCATTGAGAATCTGCAACTCTTCCCGCCATGGCTGTAAGGTATCAACAACCCAATCCTTTTCGCGGGTGCTTATTTGCATCAAGGACACAAGGCCATGGTAGGAGTGAACGTCGTGGTGTTCCAAATCAATCGCAATTTCTTGTGCTTTCTTCAATTCTCCAAGCATTTCTTTGACTCCATCAAGTGTATCAACAAAGGTCGCAGTCGTGTTGTTGAAAGCCAGGTAGTCGATGGGTGGGGAGGTCTGGTATACGGACTTTGGGTACTGCGCATTGCGGATCTCGTTCTCGTAAGGATGAGGGTGTATGAAAGCACCGCCGACTTGCTTTTTTTCCAACGATTTCTTTAATGGAATATTTGCATGCGGCTTGTTCTTGAGGAGAGGAAGGAAGGGACCCAAATCGGAATTGTCAGGTTGATGGTCGAATTTCAGCTGTGGCTTGGGGATTTTTGATGGACCATAGTCATAGATAGTTGGGAACTTGGAGGTCTTCTTGACTGCGGGTGCCTGCTCCTCCTGCGATGGGCTCAACTTTTTGATTACCCCAGTGAACTCATCCAGGCAGGCATCGGCCTTCTCAAGAAGCGAGTCGATCACATCCACCACACCACGCCAGTTATCCTCCACTGAATCTTCATTTTCAAGTCTTGGCGCAGCCACACCAGTTCCGACAGTAGCAGCTTTAAGGACAGCTGAAGTCAGCGCAAGAATGCGCTCGCTTTGTTCGTCGAGCGACTCGGCAAATTCCGAGCTGGAAGTACGATGGAAGTTGAGATCCTCTGACGACAGCTGGCCCACAGTGCGGGTCACTTGTACCAAGGCAGAAGTTAACTTCTCCTGGAAGGGATTGAACTCTGCAGAATCCATGGCAGTTCAACCTGCAGATTCACTGTCGGCAGCAACTGTTAGATTTGTTACAGAAAGCGATGCAGCTACGAAAAAAGTGAACAAAGAAGGCCTCCGCCTTGACCGCCTTCCCCTTCTGGTGGCCGTGGCAGTCCATTTGCCAAGGTTTATTGGCCGACCTCCGATCCATCCTCCGTGGCGACTTTCCTCTGCAACAAGTCTTCCGACGGGTGATTGAGAGGAGTGAAATTATTGTGATTGAAAATTGTTAAAACATATCACTGTCAACTCTATACAATACTACCAATATGGCTGCTTCAATTGCTCCTGAGTGCAACGACATCAAAGAGTGGGTTCCATGCCGATCTTTCAGCTTTTGTCGATTGTGCCAAAAGACCAGTGATTAACTCTAAGTTATCAGGAAATATGACACTTGTTTCCTTAAATGGTACAGTGAGAGTATGTTCAAGGGTCAAATATTCCAATATGCTACCTATGGCTCATGATAACACAGAATATCTTCGAGGCAACACTACATCAAACGACTGCGAGGAGCTATTTAAGAAATACAAGGCTTGCTTGACTGTGAGTACTGTTTTTAACATCAGAACAGGCCTCATTATTCTAATATGGAACTTTTCTTTGTACAGAAATCCCTTAAGGACAAGGGTATCGACACCATGCTGGATGATGCTCGAAAGAGTAGCAGTGAAACTGACTCTGAGTTCCTCAAAAAGTCGTGAATCCTATTTTGGCTCTTCATAATCATCTCTCTTCTTTAATCTCTTCTCTTTCTGTTTGTCAATAGCGAATTGGTTCGGTGCATACTACAGACAACCTCTGTTCTCCCCCCCTGTGTATAATATTTAGCATTTGATGCATATAAGAAAGCTTTGCATAATTTTAGATTGGGCATTCGAGCTAAAGCTGGATTATTAAACCCCCCTTATTGGATAGCCTCCTTACACTGGTGACGGTATAAAATGCAAAGTTACCTTACCACTCTATGAAGGAAGATTTTTATAGCATGTACTCCCATCAAATGAAGGTGGCCCGCCAGCCTATGGCTCAAGGACCGTCCTTGACTATTTTGAACAAACACAAGACGCCGTTAGAAACCATAAGTGAATCAATAGATGACAAAGTTACCAGAGACGTCGGTAAGGCAAGACTGTCCACAGAGAGATGCACTTCAAATGTTCAATTGGGGGGAGGGGGGGGGTGTTGTTAAGAACAAATGAAGAGCCTTTAAGATCTCAATATATATGTGAACCAACTTGCTGAAATTCTCTAAAAGTGTCAATACTCCCCAAAGAATAGTCTCCAAGAGGGAGTAGAAATATTGAGACTCCACTTTAGGAATAGTGTTTTGAATGAGCAAGAATTGTGAAGCATACGATTGTGTTGTTCATCCTGTGTTCGTAATGTTGATATATTTTCGCCATGCAGTGAAGCCTAATGTGGGAAACGCTTGGCCAAGAACAATAAAACTATCTGTTACCAGAACAGGAGTTTTGTTATATTTTGGTCCAGTAAAGGCATGAGAAATTGATTAAAAAGTAATGGAAAACTGGTTGATATATATACTAAGACCGTCACCGATCAGACCCAACATCAGCGATGGCTCCGTCTTCGAACATCGCCCTGCCCAAAGTTCAGCGGGACTTTCGGAACCGGATTGCCGAGGGTGCTCATACCTCCACCGATAGAGGCTGAGCCACTGCCCCCGTTGCTGCCTTTCTTGGGCTGGGTCAGCATCGACCAAACCTCAACCATGCCCGCTCGACGAGCAGGAAGCATGCTATACTGCATGCTGTACAGATTTCGGCGGTGGATGGGCGGTACAAAGCGGCCAGTCATAAGGCAGAAGATGACGCGGGGAGCTAAATAGTGCTTGCGGAGTCGATGGCCCAGCTGGAAATACTGGTCAAACATGGCACGCAGTGGCAGGGGTATGGACTGGAAAGAAGAGGTCAGTATGTGTTTGATGAACCTGTCATAAAACTTAGAAGCTAAGCTTGCGGACGAACCTCGAGATGAATATAAGAAGCGGTTGAGGGCATTGTGCCCGCTGCGTTCTTGTCGTGTTCTTCCCGAAGCTCGAACCGGATGCCACCAGGCAGCCTTCTTGAATCTTTCACGCGCAGCATCAATGCGAACAGAGGGAAGTGGTTCAAAAATGCTAGACAGGTATCAAAGCCAGCCTTCATGGAGATGATCAACATTCGGGCGGATGCAAAGGTGAGGTAAAAGACGATGACGGTGGGCAGAAGGAAGAAGAGGACGGTGAATAAGATGGTTCCCAACAAGAGCTGGTCGAGGTCGTAATCGCATGAGTCAATTCGGTTTCGCAGGACGTTGCGTTTTTTCCCGCGGAACAGATGGAAGAGAGAAATTATGATGGTGAGCTGCCAGTTGAAAATGCGGGCAGAAGCGATGTAGAAGGAATAGATATGGACGGTGAGGATCGAAAGAAGATCAGAGAAGAGGGCAATAGGCATGCTGGCACCGGCGAAGCTGGAGCAGCCAACAACGTAAATGACATGCGGTAGGTACGGTTGGAGGTTGGCGATGCAGGCAGCCCAGTTCTCAATCACCCATAGGAAGAGGTCACCTAGGAAAGCTGCAAGCTCGTTGTTCAGCTTCAAGCCAGCGGGCCAGTCCATCAACCAGGAAATGGTGCGTTGCAACCCCTCCACAGTCCAACCAGTAAGCACAGTGTTTATTTGGGAGGCAACCCAGTTCGCATTGTCAATGATATATGACCCAAGGGCAATGCCGATGATCACATCGTTGGCAACAAGCCACAGACTGTTATAGAACCGAATATAATCCGGATGGCTGGTTGTCACACTTTCCCAATTGTCCTTTCTCTGCCGAAGTTTGACATATTGGATAGGCCAGTAGCAAAATTGCTGTAACCGTATGTCAACCTGTTGGGCGGTTGCGGAGATATCTTTCAGGGCAGCAGCATCAGGTCGAGCCCGCCACTCAAGAATTTGAAGGACGACTTCGGCAACAGATCGATGACCCACAAGCCCTATCACAAATATTCGGGTGACAACCGGCCAGATCCATTGCCAGAAAACATGAGCGATGCATAGAACAATGAACCCCCACAGAGTCGTTGCGGATTCGACGACGCGCTCTCCAACGCTCATGCTCCGCTTGGCACGGATTCCGATGAGGTGGCTGTTCTTGTGCATCAACTGTGCCATTTCATAGGCACAATTGACCTGGTTGATGATCAAGGGAAGGGCCTGCTCCTTCTGAGACGGAATGTGCCTGACAACTGTGTGTAGTTTGAGCTTTTCAACCAAGACTCGAGATCGAGCTTTCTCTCGTTCCTCTTCCGACTCAATATTGTTGGTTATCGAGCTATCCTTCTCCGTCGCATTCGCTTTATCCCCGAGAGCCAGAGAAATCGGATCCAAAGACATATACTCCATGCGGGTCGGATGCGGGCGATCATACATGATGACTTGGACTGAGATGTTCGCTTCCGAGGGACAATATATCTGTGGCGTCTTTGATGACGGAGGTGTCTTCACGTAGAGATGGGAAGGGCTGAACGGGGTCGAAGGAGAGCCCGAGTTCGTTGAGCCGAGAACATGCATTTGGGACCGCCCACAGAGAGTGAAAATGCGAACGATCGGATGGGGAGCATTTCGAAAGAGGATTCCAGCACGCAGGGCATTGTCAACATTGCGCGGCTATTAAATACGGCGGTCAGCTTTCGTTCAACACCGAATCTAGAACCCGAATTTGAAACCCACCTCGACATCTTCCAAAACTGTGAGCACGAATACGTCGAGCTCCGAATTGCGCCAGCCGACAATCACGCCCGGTGCCGTCGATCGGGGAAGGTCATATGGCCAAAATACCCGCAACAAGCCATCGCTCATGAGCATGTTGTCATCCTTCGCTCAACCCCTAGAACGAGCCTCGACGGCGCAGCTGTTCGCGCGCGGAGACACCGAGGTTCACGTGGCGCGGGTGCTAGTTCATCGGGAAGATGTCAGCCATTGCTCTAAATATCAGCCGAGAAGATCATGCTGGTCCATAAAGACGATCTCTCGCTGCCGATGTTGGTGGATAGGGAAGCTCACGAGATTCCGCTCCTTGGCAGCCAGGTGATTGATGGGCAGGACCAGGAGGAAAAAGAATACGGAAAGAAAAAGAATCCTTTCAAAGTTCTTGTCTGAAAGTGATTGACAAAGAAATATTAGCGACACGATCTTGACAGCGCTATACATCAAACTGAAATTGGGCGACGGGGGGAAAGGAGGGGCTGCTGGGTCGTCGAGAACCTCCGAGGATTACGTACCACAACACCGTGATCCCAGGCGAAGATGGCCAATTCGTAGAGACGGGTGACTAAGTCCCACCTGGCGGTGATGTAGCCCGCGACAAAGATCCCAAGGGTGAGGATAGAAAAGGGGTGCATGAATCAGGGTGGTTCAAGCGGTCCGCGGTTTAGTTAGCACGCATAGCTGGCGGAGTGGAAGGTGGATTGGAGGTATTTTTATGGGTTCTGGTCGAAAGGATCGCAAGACAGCATCAAAATAGGTCGGATGGAACAGTGTGCCTGATGAAAGTCATGAACGAGCGAATAAACCGACAACAGACAAGCTTTGGACAAGCCGCCGACCTGGTTGCTCCGAGGCGCGTTGGCGTCTAGACCGTTAAGGTTTCCCCACGTGACTGACCCTGGATCTATGCGGGACGCGACACCTGAAAACATCGTCCAAAGCACGATACAATCGAAATAGAGGAAAGCTTAAGGTTTACAAAAAGAAGTAAAACGCCTGAAATTGAGATTCAAGCTTAAACTCTCATAAGATGAATTTCCCCTAGAGTCCCGTTTGAACGCCAAACTCCATGACAAAGCCTCGTCCGCATAATCGACTATCTCAATCCATAACCATTACAGAGCCTTGATACCCTGGAACACTTTATTCGCTTGTAATTTTTCATCGCCCTTAACAAGATCGCGCATAATCTGGCGCTTCTGCTCAGACGAGAGCTCTTTACCTTCAATCTGTGCCTTCCACTTCACTAACATGTCTTTAAGGAGAGCACTGCCTTCCTCGACCTCCTCCTGGGAGTACTTCTCGAGCGAAGGAGTCGGCTGCTGTTGTTCAGCACCTTCCCCAGTGGAAGTTGTGAAGTCCTCGAGCTCATCGGCCTTCTGACGGGCCATGTTGACGACTTTATCTGGGAAGCGGACAAGCTCTGCGACATGAATCCCGAACGATTGATCGCAGATACCGGGCTCCACGCGGTAGAGCAAAGTGACCTGGCGCTTCTTCTTCGTCTCAGCGTCCGCATCAGCCTCGGGCTCAGTGCCATCGCCGATGAAAGCCACGACGTGCAGGTTCTGGACGGATTTCGGATAGCGGTCCGCCAGAGCAGTCAGTTCGTGGAAGTGTGTGGCGAAAAGACCAAAGCAGCGAATTTCCGTCACAATGTGTTCTGAAATAGCCCAGGCAAGGCCAAATCCGTCATAGGTGCTCGTTCCACGACCGAGCTCGTCAATGATAATCAAAGACTCAGAGGTGGCAGACTTGAGAATGTTGGCCGTTTCGATCATCTCAGCCATGAATGTGGAAACACCCTTCAGTTGAGAGTCACTGGCACCGACTCGGGCGAGAATGCAGTCGAAGATTGTCAACTCTGCTTCTGTGCAGGGGACGAAGCAGCCTGTTTGCGCCATTAGGGCGATCACACCGATTTGTCGAATATAGGTCGATTTGCCGCCCATGTTCGGACCGGTAATGATGAGGAAAGAGGACTCGTCTCGAATCAAAGAAACATCATTGGTGATAAAAGAAATATCATCTTGCATCTCCATGCAGGGATGGCGCGCCTCTTTTAGTACGGTATTGCCTGTTCCCCGGGGGTGCATTTTTGGACGAACATATCCCGCGGGGGCATGAACAGACGCATGCGCAAAGCTGACGATGACATCCAGATGAGCTAGCACCCCAGCGAGCTGTTCCAGAACAGGACAATATGAAGCGGCGACATTGACGACCTCATTGACGAGGCCAGTCTGAGTGCGGTTATAGTTGGAAGACAGCTGGTCGTGCTCACGGCGGAGAGATTGCATAGTCGACGTGGTGAAATAGACACCATTCTTCTGCGTCGAGCACTCCTGGTACCCCTTCTTGTTGCGAATGCAACCAGCCTCCGTACGAGTAAGGCGGAAGCACCAACCATGTACACGGTGATTCTCCATGAAGAGCTTCTTCTCCATGTCCTGGTTCAAGTCTTTGGAAACACGGCGATGTTCCATATCCATGTCGTACCTCATCTTGTCAAGCTTCTTGCGAATGACCCGGAGGCCCTCGTCAAACTCAGGTTTGATGATAAATTCATGGTTCTCCAGCGCATCTAGGTCCACAGTCGTTTCAACCATTTCTTCCAGTTTTGCTAAGCTGTCAGAGTGAGCTCCAAGCTTGGATGTATACTCTTTCTCGAGCGGGGCCTGGTACTGTTCATCCATAACATCTCCCAGGGCATTGACGAATCCTGGCAGTCGAATAGCGACTTGATATACTCGGACAACATCCTCCAGATTGGCCAATTTCCGTTGGAAACGCTTGGCAAGCCGGTAAAGATCCGGGATCGAACGCAAGTGCTCTTCCTGCATGGTCTGGCGTAATTCCGTATTGACAACAAACGCTTCCACAAGCTGCTGTCGCTGCTCAATAGCCGCGAGGTCCATAAGAGGCTGCTTCAACCACTGCGCCAAGAGACGGCTGCCGACGGGGGTCTTGCAATGATTCAGCAAGCCAAACAGACTCATGCTCTTAGCACCATCCCGTGGACCAGGCATCAGATTCAGCGCCCGAAGCGCAGCAGCATCCAGTTTCATATACTGTGACAGATCATGCTGATAAAGCTGGTACTGGCCGAAATTCGTCGGGTCTGTCAAGACGCCGAGATACTTGATCAGCGCCGACGCAGAGCCCATAGCAAGCTTCAGCTCCGTCTGCGGCAGGGTGCCCACAGAGCGCTCATCACGCAGCAGCCGCGTGAGATCCTGGTCGATATCACGCACGCCGAAGTCTGCCGCGGGCCGCTCCGAGATCGCGATGCCACAACTGTCCGCAATAGCGCGGATCTTGCCCAGCTCAACATCCTTGCGGGTCGAGTCCATCTGCACCAGACACTCCTTTACGCCGAGCTGAATGACCAGCGATTCGAAGTTGGAGTAAACGTCGTTGTCGAGGAACTCGCTGACGCCGAGCTCGCGCACGCTTGCGTCCGCAAAGCACACGCCGACGTTACGGGCCTCCGCGGCGCGGGCAGAAATCTTTACAGCCAAGATAACCGGCGCCGAATCCATGGACAACGCGCCAACACTGCCCAGCTCCTCTTCCACGTCCTGCAGGTTTCCTGGGCTGGCCTGCTTCGCCAGCTTCCAGTTGCCCTTGCCGGTGCCGCCAGAGGCCCAGATCTCAATGCGCTTGTTGAGGCGGAACAGGGCTTCGCGGAGGAAGTTGCGGAACACGGTGACGCTCATGGTGACGGATGGAAGACCGGCGGTCTCACTGCGGCCCAGGTTCCGGAGCACCGAGGTCGTCTTGTATACCGTACGGGCGATGAATTCTGCATCGGCACCGTGGGAGGAGTACCAGTCTCCGCGATCGAAGACACGGATTGTCTCATTGTTGTCTGATTCGGGGAGAGAGCGGTAGAAACGAATGAAACCGACTTCGTCGTCGACCTATCGAGGTTCCAGCGAACCGTTTGATCAGCGACAATTTTGGGGGAAGGGGGGCGAAATGGGATTTAGGTTGCAAGTATTTACTTACCTTCAGGTCAGGCCGAGAAGACATCTTGCCAGCAATTCTGCAATCCGCTGCAGCAAAGGGATGAGAATAATTGCTGGGCCTAGGAGTTGTGGCTATGGTTTAGGATGAGCTCCAGACGCGGTCTGTTGGCGACGCGGTCACGTGCGACGCGTCGCGCGTTAAGTACCAATCGACAACGGCCATGGAGACGGACAGTAACCAAGCAATATCTACGTCATACAGAAAATACCTACATACTCGTAAAGAAAGGGATTGATCTTTCTTGATAGTCTTGATTATGAGTTATGGTGTATGCTAATGGCTAATATAACATGCGGTAATAGAGCGTAATAGAGAGGTGAACTACTACGCTGCCGTACAGGGTATCAAACAAAAACGCTGAAATGCAAGACCGTATGCGAGACCAGCTCCACGGATGCGAGGTTAACAACAAAATCAGATCCGGACTTTCCACCGACCACAAGTTTATCAGATACGAGTCAACACAGGGGCCTGCACACAAGGTGCAGACTTCTCTGCCACGGCGTTCAACTGAGCGACCTTGGCTGGAAGTTCCTTGGCCGCGACGTCTTTGCAGGACTTCAACACGACCGATCGCATCTCGTTGACAGTCACCATTGTGACCCAGTGACCGGCAACTCGGGCATCCGCGAGAATTTCGAGACACATTTCCACTTCGTCGCGCGGAATCGGGGTTCGGACAGAATCGCGGACATGCTCAATCATCGTCTCCAGCTTGAAGGGCTTGCGCTGCGAAGCAAACATCGCCTTGATGCCGGTGCCGCTATAACAAGCCGGACGCAAGAGAGCTAGGATATTTGCAACTTCCTCCACACGTTCCGAGGCTGACTGGCGGACCAGTTCCTTCTTCGTTGGGGGAGGAGGCAGCTTTGACTGACGCAGTTCCTTGTTCTTGAGACGGTCCAGAAGTCCCTGCCGACGGGTGTTCGTGGCTGCAGGGGATCGAGGGCCAACGTTCTCCTTGTCAGCGCGCATTTTCTCCATCTTCATTCGGATGATGCCGCCTTTCAAGTCCTGTAGTCGCTGCTGGCCACGCTGAAATGCGGAGAAGGGGGCGAGAGATTCGTGAATCACGGCCAGATCCATGGTTTCCAGGAACCAAGTTGGCCGGTACTCTTCCTTCGAGACTTCAAGGGCCTGTTCAGCTTGGGCCCAGAGCAGGTCCAGGGCCTGTTCGAAGGCATCCTGGAGGGCAGGAGGTTGTTCGTTAACCTGCACCATGCGCTCCAGACAGATTTTACCCAGCCCGTAATTGGCGAGACGATAAGACACGTCCTTCGCCTTTAGACTGTGCTCCCAAACGCCCAACAGGCGTTGCAAATCCTTGGTCTGCACCTTGCGCTTTTTCCAGATCCGAGTCACGCTGGGGAGGAATTCTCTGAGGTCGGCAGGGGTGCTCGGACCATTGTGGGCTGCGTGGATGGAGAGGGCCTGGACAAACGCGGAGTGTAGATCTAGGAACTCATTGATACAAGGGGCACGGGGTGCCAGCTTGGGCTCCGGGACAATCTTTTCGAAGGGGAGAGTGCGCTGCTTGGAAGGGGTTGCGGGAGCCTCGTCGATCGTGGCGACGGCGGACACACGAGAGCGGCGACTCGGGGTGCGCTTGGGCGAGGCATAGTGGCCGCTCCGGGGCGAGGAAACCGACAGTTGGCTGATTTTCAAGGTTTTGGACGGGGTGTTGGCTTCCTCGTCCTCGATGGATGGTCGACCCGCAGTGTCCACGTTCTCGAGCTCCTGCAGCTTTCGCTTTTTCGACGGTGAAACGGGGAGAGATGCGACCTTTTTGGCAGGTAATTGCGGCACGACACCAGCCTTGGTTGCCCTGGCAAAGCTTTGAATTGCCGGTTGACTCTGGCGCAGGCTGCTCTGCCGAGTGGTGCGCAGCATCGCGACTGCAAATTTTTGTAGTGGACGCGGGGCCGGATTCAGGGGTGGAGTGGTGGTACTGAGGAAATCGCGACCGATAAATGTAACTGGAAGTATACTCCAAGTAAGAGGTACCGAATATTAGTGAGGGAGATAAGAGGAAAGCGTGGATAATGGGGAAGAGAAAGTGTGTGTGAGAGAGGGAGTAGGGAAGGAGGTGGTTTAACAAGACCCGAGTTCAAACAGGGCGAAAAACTCCCTGAGACGCGTCGAGTCGCGTTGTGAGACGCCCTTGGCCCGTTTCGGTTAGATGACGCGTCGAAGGATTAAGACCGCGATCGAGACACCAAAAAAGAAGAAACGAACAAGTGAATCGCGAATTGACCACAATGAACATGAAGGAGCATTTAAGATAAAAAAAATACTCGTATGTCAAAATGACCGACCATCAGAATTGGTGGGGAGCAGCATTCTCGTCACTATGGTAATCGTCCGGCATGGGAATGTTGCCCACCGGAACAAGACACACCGACCGGCGTGGTCAATCATTAAATTGGTTTGCCAATGTATCAAATAATGGCTGGACGGCATACGATGAAGCTACAACACGATCCATGACACGATGTTTCGCATCGCATGATAGCTTCGTGCGGTTGATGCTATTTTCTCAAATCTGCAAGGGCAACGGGTCTCCACTTCGGCTCCACAGTCCTGCAAGATCTAGACTCGACCAACTTAACTATACTCCTCTCCGTAATCTGCGACTACTTTTCAACGCTTGTGATCCCGAGACAAACTTCGTCCCAACTGGGGCGTATATTCCATCAGAATTGCAATTCGTAGTTCCATTTAAGATAGATAGATGAAGACATCAAAGGGTTATGGTTTAGGATTGTTTTCCTTTCACATGGAAACCCATCACGGAGACAGAGAGAGAGAGATGGCAGGGGAGAGGCAGAGGATGAGCAGGAGGGAGAGCAAGCGCGCACGAGAAAGAGAAGCGCTCGAATACACTCTCCCTCGGTCACATGAAAACCAAAGCAGAGCGACATTCAGATGGGTACAGAGGAGCGGCCAATTCTATTTTTTGCCTCCAAACCAGCCGGAGACAGTGCCCTTCGCATCGGACGCCTTCTCCTCCACGGTCCGGTCGACCTTGTCCACCGTGGCGTTGATCTGGTCGCGCGCATCCTGACGCAGGCCGTCCAGCTTCTTCTTGCCGTCTTCGGCCATTGCGGGGATACGCTCGTCCAGTTTGGTCTTGGTGCGCGCGTTGTTAATCTGATTCGATGGCGAACATGGAGTTAGTATGAAATTCTCAGCAACATGTATGTAGCTCTGTGGGAAAGCAGAGAGAGAAAGACAACGACAAAGAGAGCTTCTCAAAAGGAACGGGGCGAATAAAGGGGGCAAGTACCGCTTCATCCACCGTTGCACCGGCCTCTTTACCGGCATTCTGGCCCATCTTCTCTGCATCGCTGCCGCGCGGGAGCTTCTCGCGCGCCTTGTCAGCGTCGACTGAGGAGGGGGGATTCTGATTAGCATGAACTTCTTCGCGGCCCAATCTGGACCAGGGCAGACGGGACGGCGACATACTCTTCATTTCATTTTTGGCGCCCCGCACATCGCCGCCCGCGCGGTACAAGTAGTAACCTGCGCCGCCGGCAGCGGCGAGACCTATGTACAGGCCTGTTCGGCTCTTGGACATGATGGGGGAACGAGGGGGGAATTAACGGAGTTGAGGAGGGTGACGGTTGGGTGGTTGGAGGGTGATGAAGGTAATTTGGGGTAATTTGGGATGACAGGCGTGGTAACGAGCAGCGAGTCGAGATGGCGAGGAGAAGTCGGGCCGGCACATCAACGCTTTAAAACGCTTTAAAACGCGGAGGTTGGGGGTCACCGGACTATGAGGCCTATGACGTCTGTGTTCCCGGGCTGGGGGGCGCTGGGCGAGACCGGCTTCGCGAGGGTCGATTCCTGCGTCTGGCAGGGCTCGACGCGGCAGACATGCGAGAATAGAACAGGCGAGGGGAGGGGGAAAAAGAGGGTTCGTGCTGGACAGCTGCACAGTCGCGTTCCACTCGTTCCTTGCCAGTCGTGGTATCCCTGATCTATCGAGTTCCTTTCTACATCGCCTCTTCACTACAGCCCTCCTCCCCCTTCCCGCCCGAACAGCTCGAAGGTTCGGGGTAGGGGAATATTATTATTAGCCCGGCGCCAGACGGGACCCGGCTGGGCCCCACGGCCCCGGACCTGCAACGACGTCACCGGCTGGTCATCGCCGAGCTAGTATAGTTTCCGAGTGCTACGGCATGAACCAAGGTTCCCCCACTTCAAACTGACGGGCTCCGTTTGGATGAGCCCTACACATTCGGTGGGAAAATTCCATCGTGAAGAAGGGAAGACGGGAAAGAACGAACCGAATGAGAGATCTCGGGGGTCTGGCGGGGCTGGAAGCTCTGGCCGCAATGCACCGTAATGCAGGGGTGGCTGCTCTAAGGTCCCGTTTCCCCAGAATCCCAGTTCGCAGGACTCGCAGAAAATGAGGGAGCTACATTTATGGAGAAGAAAACGGCATTGGTATTGGCATTTGCAGTCACATTGAGGGGCCATAACGATATCATCAAAAGGTGCGGGTAACGTCCGTGAACGACATAAACGACATGACAGGACAGGATCCACCAAAAGGGAGTATAGTAAGACAACAACGGGAACGAGAAGATCCCCACCGCGCGAAGAAGAGAAGAAGTGAAAAACAGAGAACCGACAGAAAGGAAACTCGTCAAAGTCGAAGGAAATCAGAAATGGAGAGACAAGACACCGCAGCGTGTGCTGGGAACAATCGAAACCACACCGCGACCGAGGAAATAGAGAAAAGAGGTGAGAATAGATGGAGTTGTAAATTTGGAAGTGGGAGGGAACATCAATTGATCATCATGAGGGTATCGTCATTGCACACGATGCCATCCATACGCTCCAGCTTGAAACGCCAGGACATGCAGCAGAGAAACCGGTGACACTGAGAGAACAACAACAACATCGTCATCGTCATCATCATCATCATCATCATCAACGTCAACAACGTCAACCGGAGCCTGCAAACAGGTGAAGTGATAACAGAAAACCACAAAGGCACACACGTATTACTCCCGAACAGGATTGATAAGAGAACGGTTCATGTATAAGAGAAGGAGGGCGAGAAAAGTCATCATTGTCGTTACGTCGTCAAAAGGATTCTGCAACCTCTAGAAACGAGGGCATGAAAGCGCATCCTCCTAAAATCAAAAGAGAAAAAGAGGTGGGGATGGCAAAAAGGGAGACAGGTAGAGGTGATGGTGAGAAATGGGATGAACCCGATGAACCCGGAGGCTCAGAGAGAAAGAGAGAGAGAGAGAGAGTCGGGATGGAGAAATGACCTGAGGTATGATCTACCCGGTCGAGATCAAGAGAGTGATAAAAGGTATATAGAAAGAGAGCCGCCCAGGGCTCCTTCCGGCCGGTTTGGTCATATACACAATTTACAAGAACAATTTGGCAGCTCCCTTGTTCTCACTGGTCGCGACCGCAACCAGCGCCTCCAGGCGGCCCATGCCCGAATCTGGGGCGGCAGAGTCTGAGAAGACATCGGTCCGGGGCTCTTGAGTAGCATGACCCGGATAGCCGTCGGCGTGAGAGGCCCGTCGACCACAGATCTATGACGGCATTAGTAACCGGGGCGAGAGCCGTCTGTTCGAAGAGGAGTTCCTACCGGTTGCGTATGGTCGGATGGCATGGAGTCGTGCGATTCAATATATCCACTGCTATGCACAATCGCAGGGTGATATTCGATCGAGGCAGTGGACGGGGTGTGCACACCCTCGCTGCTACTAGAGTCTTCGGGAGAGGTCTGGGCCGGGCGGCTACTGCTGATCGAGAGGGTGGGCGCATGACCCCGGTGCTCTTCGGGGCTTCGTTCGGCGGTTGGACCAAAGGTGGGTTGGTAGAAAGACGAGGGACGCGATGAGACGTTCTGGAGCTCGGCGATCGTCTGTTGGCTCCACTGGGAGGCATCCCGAGACGCCCGTCGGTCGCGGATATCAAGGCCTGTCAGGTTGGTATGCAGTGACATGTCCCATGATACATGGCCGCGACGATGCCCCGGACCCGAGATGGGCGGTGCCGGGCGTACGGAGGGCTGGGAATAGTTGTACCCAGGGCCAAATCCATGATTAGCAGTTGGTGGGGGTGGACGATGCTGGCTGTCAATCTGCATCGGGCTCGGTTTGCGGGTGGGAGGGGTCAGAGGTCGTTGCTGTGAGACCACCTTGTCGAAGCTCTCAATGCCAGGCAGCCGTGGCGGCTGTTCTCCCGAGTGGTTACCCGCAAAAGATGGTGTCTGGACCGTATCAGGGGTATGATATTGGCTGAGGCCACTGGTCGAAGGCCGGCCGAATGCTGAATAGGTGGAAGGATGCCAGGTCCGTCGCCGGATTTCGGCCTCGGCTGCGCTGAGGGTACTTTCATCTCGGGAGGGCGGATAGTGGCTGCTGGTCGGGCTAGCGAACACTCCCGTAGCAGTTGCATATGGAGGAGCGGTGGGTGAGTTGGCATATGGAGGAGGATACGTATTTCCGTGCTGTGCGGCGAGAAAGGGATTGCTGCTGGTGGGCACCGACAGGCGACGGGCCGCGGTCTTGCCTTCCCAGAATCCGTGGGACACCGACGACATCGGCGAAGTAAAAGATGGACTGGCGCCCGTGCCAGTAGAGTAAACGTTGGAGGGCGTATAAGGTGAGCCTCCGGCGGAGGGTCCTGAAATCCCACGTATCTGACCCGGCGGCGTGCTCGGGGGTTCTCCCATGGGGTCAAGCCCGAGTCGTGCGCGCGTCGTCGGGTCGTTGGCCATGATCAACGGCGGCGGTCGTCGTCGAAGCTCGGGAGGCTGGCTGAAGGTCGAGGTGGTCGACGCAATACTCGACGTTGACAGATTCCTGCTATGTCCACGGCTGTGCGCTCCTTGACTACCGACAGTTCCTGCTCGCGCCCGACCCGGTGGGCGTACTCGGTCCGTTCGCACCTGTCTCTGGAAGCGGGTGCCCGTGGCTGCGAGAGAATCGCCGGGAATCTCCTCGTTCACATGGACGGTTTGCGCATGTTGCCGGAGATTGTCCAAACGGGAGAAGCGCCGAGAGCAATGACACTGGAAGGGCCGCTCGCCGGTGTGTTTCCGAATATGCCGGGCCAGATGTTCGCTGCGGGTAAAACTCAAGTTGCAAGGTGGGAAGTCTGTGCAAAAAAATCGTTGTCCTTTTTTTCTTCTTCGAGGGTGGCGCACTGCCCGGCTCGGCGTCATGATCGGAGCCGTCGCGCTCTCCGTCGGAATCGCCGTGCATCGCATCGTCGGAGACAGACGAGGTCGTCCTGGAGTGACCCGGTCCTGGCACCCGCGTGGGGTCTTCACTTTCTCTGGCTGTCTTCAGGCCGGCATCCGGGCGTTGCTCCGCCAGGGCCGGCCGGCCTTGGAGGCCTGTCACGCCATTCGGGGTCGCACGGGGGGTAGTCGCGCCGTCCATGGTGTGGTCTTCGGTTGTGGCCGTGTTGTTGACAGGGAGAAAGGAGGCCATGATGGCGACGTAATGGAGGGGGAGGAGGAGGAGGAGGAGGGGAGCGGAGGCGGGTGATGTCAAGGTTGTTCGTATCGGAGGGGCCAGAGGGGCGAATCCGAGGGGAATAAAGCCGGGAGGGAAAGAGAGCCGCCCGATCCTCCCACGGTCGCAAGGGGACCCAATCCGTTCGATTCCCGACTCTGGAGGGAGGGTGCTATCCGTCGCCGGCTGGCGTCACAGCGCTACGGAGGTCTCGGGAGGGCAGAGAGAGAAAGGTCGGACACTGTACAGATTTGCGCAAGAACGTTCAGTAACCCGAGCCACTACGGGGGAGCAGTAAAAGATCTGTAGATGAGAAGATATTCCATACATACGATATTCAGGGCCTGCCCGGGACCGCAGGGCAAGAGGCGAGGTGTGTAAGTGTATGCGTGAGTATATGTGTATATGTGTATGTGTGGGTGGACGGGTGTGGGTGTATGTGTGTGTGTGTGTGTGCTCTGGATTCTGGGCTTCTGTGGGGGAGGGGGGCAGGGACCCGCCAGCTGGAATGTGCCCTGAAGCAGGATTCAGTTGAAGGAAAGGGTTGGGGCCAAAGCAGCGACGACGCAAGGAGGTCTTTGGAGGTTGGGAAGGGGGGATGGGGGGGTTGCAGCAGCAGAGAGGAAGTAGAAGTAGAAGGAGAGGGAGAGAGAGAGGAAGAGGGAGAGTCAAGAAGTGAGATGCAAGAAAAAGAGTAAGAAAAGGAGTAAGAGAGAAGGGGGAGGAGGAAAGAGAACGCGGGTTAGTCGATCGCAAGCATCTCTCGAAAACCTGCGAGAGACCGCCACGCGGGAGATCGGAGAATAGAGACGAGGATCGGTGGGCTGAGGAGGATCTGAAACCCGAATGTGTGCCTGGAGAGGAGGCAGAAGGGGAAGAAGCAGTTCCAGGGAGGAGGAAGAGGGGAAGAAGAGGGAACAGATGGGGAGACGAAGAGTCAGAATGAGGCAAAGAGGGGGAGGCGAAAGGGAAGGACTCGTTCGGATAGGTCGAGGGGGCGGGTTGGAGGTGTTTCAGGTTGGCGAACAGCTGAAGGTCCGCTCAGTCAGGGAGCAGCTGGAGTCCACGTCGAGGCAGCGCGGGCGAGCAAAGAAACGGAGAGCCGAAGAGTCCAGGAGTCCAGGAGTCCAGGAGTCCAGGAGTCCAGGAGTTCAGGAGTTCAGGAGTTCAGGGAGTCAGGAGTTAGAAAAGAAGACCGGTCGACAGACCGATGACATGGAGTTGAAACCCGATTCCGTTGAACCCGTTCAACCAGTCAACCAGTCAACCAGTGAAACCCGTTATACGCCCGGGACACCCGTAAGCGCGGAGACGGAGAGGGGGGCGGCCAGAATGGTGACGACGAGAACGAGGCTTATCGGGAGGCGAAACGAGCAGTCCAGAGCCCCCGAAGAAGGGACATGGACAGACATGGATAGACACGCGAACCCCCTTCCGGGCGTACCGATGCGAATCATCGTTTCACCAGATCCACGGACCATCGCGAGGCTCTCGTCGACCTGGATTCGAGAGTCTAGAGTCGAGAGGCGAGAGGCTACATGCGCTGGTGCGATGATGCTACGGTACTATAAAAACTATGATACTATGATACTATGATACTATGATACTATGATACTATGATACTATGATACTATGATACTATGATACGATGCTCGAATATGCTCTGTGATTCACACCCCCTCGAAGCCTCGAGGCGCTAATAGACCCGGCAGGCCCTCTTCCGATCTATAGGCTTCTCCAGGGTCCATCAGGTCTATAGATAGCATCCCTATGCTATATCCCGCGACGAAGTATAGCCTGGCCACAGCGGTGAACAACCAGTCCAGTCATCCGGCAGCCAGGGAGACCAGAAAATAGATACCAGCAATAATACCATACCTGGGAGATACCTTTCGATCCCCAGGCACGGCGATCCCGTAAAGGCACCAGGCACCAGATTGGATGGTGAATCATAGTCCATCCAACTCTCCAGGGTCCTCGTTCGTCCTCCCGGCGTGTGCGCGCGCCTCCAGTGCCCCGAGCTCCCGGGAACCACCCAATCCACCCAATCCACCAACCCGCGACCGGTGGCCCGAGTCCCAGTTCCAGTTCCAGTGATAGCTCTAGTTCCAGTTTCCAGACGTTCTCTCCTGTGGGAAGACTGTTCCATGGGGCCGGGGAAACTACATAGAGGGGGAAAACCTCTCCAAAAAAAAGTCTTTGACGTTGACTTCGCTCCTAGACCCTGGGACGGGGCTGCCCAGCCCCGCCACGTCGTTGGGTCCGTGGCCATCGATCGCGGTCGAGACCGCGGGCGTTTGGGGGCTTTCCCCACAAGGGACGAAGGGGGAGGGGCTAACTAGTAACCAACCCGTATAGATGGACGACGTAGAGAGTCCTAGTTTCCTCCGAACCCGTTCGTCACAAGTTTCTTCTTCCTCTACTTCTTCTCTCCACTACGACTTGACTCTGAAACGGAGAAGTATGAATCTTTTTTTTTTTTTTTTTTTTTTTTTTTTTTGCTTTTGGTTTCTATGTTTGGCGCAGTAATGCTCAGGGCCGTTCGCATTGGTGTATCTACTGATTTTTATTTTCCTTCCCATGCGGCATCCGCCCCCTTGCATTGACTGCATGGATGTATCATCCGCAGGTCACTCGCAGGGAAGTGGGGGGAAGGCAACGTTTGGAAAGCCTAGGAAGTCAAAAAAAAGCAAAGCAAAAAAAGAAAAATACACACAAAAAGTTAAAGCGGCCAAGGGAATAAGAGACGAAAAAAAAAAAAAAAAAAAAAAAAAAGAAAAAACAGAAAAAACAGAAAACCGGAAAACAAAAGGGAATCTATACCGGGGACATGAGAGGGTTGGGAAGAGAAGGAAAGCGCTGGTGAGAATAGGGTCATACAATCATACAATCATGGACTTGCGCCCTCTCCTTGGTACGAGGGCTATTACGAGGGCCTGGTTACGCGGTAGGGGGTGAATTCCGAACGGTCCGCCCTGATACGAAAAGAAAAATCTCCGCGTGCCCGTTAAAGAGGCAGCGCCTGGACCTGGATGCAGGCGGGCCCTGTTCGCCATGACGGAGGCTCGGGGAGGTCCAAAGTCCACCCTCGAGCACATACAGGGAGATCCCTTCCTTCCAGAAAATGCAGAGGACGTATCTGAGTAGATGAGTAGATGAGAAGCCCAAAATATCAGATCTCTCCCCCGAGGCGTCGAAGGGATCCCGTTGATGACAGTACAGCCTCCCGCGCCTCCGATATACATTTTTCCCTGAAGTAGAGATTGATCGATGCAGGGATTCTTTGAGAAGGGGGCACGGATTCGAGAAATCAAGATTCCCGAATCTTGCATTTCATCCAGACTGGATGATTTGAAGGGGATTCTCAGCATACAGTATACAGAATACAGTATACATCAAAACACGGGCCTCGCACGTAGCAGATAGTATATAGGACATAGGACATAGGATACAGTAATTCCGAGAATCGGTGTCACCACCGACACTCTTTCATTGTTTCCCATGCTCGAACGCACTAAACCTTGTTGGGAAATTAATGGAAACAACGATTTTCCGGTCTTTTGCGAATACAGATATTTACAGGATGAAGGTATATACCACATGCTCGTACTAGAAGATGGCTAGGAACTTCCAGCATAAATGCGAACAATTTACACAGCTCTAGCTATTGATGTAGACTAATCTCTACTGTCTCGGCGAGAAACTTCTAATTCAGATAACTATTAACAATATACATAAGCATGATTAACTTCTATGCAGAAGCGATAAAAGAGGAAAATCGTCTATCCCCTTTGTAGTCCCTCTACTACCTAATCTATCTGAACTTCTCTATCCCGCGCCCTCGAGGATAGACTCGGGGCTATAAGCAGGTATATCTACATTTCTAGGCTTACGTGTTAGATATTAAGACACTTTTATTAATTTTCGAAAGGCGCTTGTACTATAGGAGATAATCCTTTTCTTCTTTTCAAGAATAACCCGAAGAACTATAGTATAGTCGCTTCAGGTAGGCAGCGTCTGCTAGAATAAATCCCTTGCTAATTTAATTATTATTTAAAAATAATTAATTAGACTAGTGAACTTCACCTAAAACTAAAAGTGCCGCTAACGAAGCATTAGACCTAGCGCGGGACCTATAGGGCTATTCGAAACCAGCTTCTTCTACTCCCTTTAGGATTCTTTAAAGGTTTTTCTATAATTTTAAGAACAGTTAGTTTGCTACGTTCGGCTTTATCGCCTCTCTGATACTTCTAGAACGTTATATCTAAAGAAATATTTCTTCGACTACGTTTTATATATAGTCGAGTAGATAAATAATAGCTAAGCTGTAGAAATATTAGTACGAAGTCTAGCTACAGAAGAATGAGGAGAGGTATTATAGAAAAGTAGTCTTAAAAAATAGTAATATTATTTAAGGTCTAATTAGAGATTTATCCCGGAAAAGAAGTTATGAGACCTTAATTTTAAAAGCTACTACATATACAGAGAGAATTTGATACTATTAGTCGCGATAGAATCTTAATACTTACATACTTGTTAGATTAAAATAAGACAGACTATCTCTTCTAAACTCTATCTAGTTATCATACCTCGATTTATCCACGTAGACGAGGTAGTGTAAGCTATGATTTAAGCTAATATAACAGTAATTATCATGTAGATCTAGGTCACGCTCTTTTACCTTCTATCGAGCTGTCTTCTTAGATTATACCTCATACAATATAGGGCATCACTATTTAGAGACTTTAGTTTGGATACATCAGATCTATCAAGAGGGAATAGTCGGGGATTCGAATAGATTTTCACATAGGGTTTCCAACATAATCAGAGTGATGATGCTCTGTGGCAGTCCAGCTTTGATAGGGGGCTTCGACACTACCGAGTAGTCGCAGGATAGACGGAATTTTGATCAGACCTTACAGGTAATAAACATATCCCCCGCTATTGAGATAGTCCGGTAATTTACGTTACATCTCTGAAACAAATGAGGCTTACCTGCCTCGGGGTTCAGGAAACAATGAAAGAGTTGTAGGTGGTGACACCATTTCTCGGAAATACTGTACGGGATCAGCTCACTCCTCTCCCTCCTCTTCCTCTGCACAAGACCAAAAGCATCTGCATCTTCTCTGGTACGATCTTACCTGAAGAAACGCGGAGGCCACATAGAGTTCCAGCCTCGTCACCGATCCCGATCGTTCCGTTTGTGCTTCACAGTCGCACCTCAGGCCCTCAGAGCGATCACCAGGCCACTCAACCAGTCAATCCCCGTCCCCAGCTGAACCTTCAGGGCCCGCCGACCGCCGACTCGACCATTGCGCCGTGCCTGCGTCGTTAGAAACCTTCCCAGCGAGGTGCTGCTCTTTTTCGCCGTCCAACCCCGCCTCTGCCAAGTCGAAGTGGGGGGAAGGAAGGGCGGGGACTTGATTGCAAACGGCAGGACGCTGATCTCGATGATCGGCGCATGTACCCCCTCCTCCCTTGCCCCCCCAGAAATCCAGTCGAACGGCACACGCTGGTACATGCCTTACATCGTATACACAACTTGCTATGGGATATTCTCTGCTATCCCGGATTACTGGAATTAGGTGCGACCATGACGCTGTCTTCTGCCTGTCGCCCACGGTACACCGGCACTTTAATGTACTCTATTCCGTCCCATGTCCCGTCTCTCAATCCTGTATACCTTCTCCGCCACGGAATACTCGACTCGCGGGCTTCCGGCCTGAACCTTTTCCCCCCCTCTGCATTCCTCTTCGCCCCTCGACTGTACGCTGCGATGCTCAGTGGTTCCATTGAAACTGGATGCTCTCCTGGCTCTGTAAGAAACCGAAATAGAGTCCGGCGTGACGCCACCATCGGCGTAGATGATGTGCTGCACTACTCCGCTTAGACGCACGCTAGATTGGGGACAGTGGATGCTGAATACATCATGTCGTAGACTGGATTCGTGCTGGAGAAAGACGGAACGTCTTCCTCGAGCCGGTAGTCACGGTATATGCGTGTAGATCGAGCGGGCTGGAGACCAGAAATCCGGATTCTGGGGAGAGAGTGAGGGGGTTGGGGGGGTGCAAAATGGCCGACTCTCATCCTGAAACGCGTGGATACCATTGCTCTAACTTGACGGTAGCAACAGCCGAACCGCTGATCGGCTTTCACTAAAATATCCCCCTCCCATTGTTACGATAAAGGGGAGGATGCAGCAGTCCAGATCAGGATTCGGACCACCTGCAGGGAAAGCGGTACCGAGTCGCGAGCACGCCCATCGCAAAGGCGTTTTCCTAGCAGGACCCAATGTATTCGCAACCTGGGAACCTTTGGCCCGGCGGACGCGGTACATGCATTTTTTTCTGTACAAGAGCCTTTACGACCTTCCAGCGCTTGATTGGCCGAGCGCATGGGCACTGTAAAAAGGACCCGTACCTGTACATGTAGGTACCACTCACTGGCCACAGGCACCCTACCCGCTGCAGGGCGCCACGTCGAGGGCCGAGTCGACCAAGTCCAGGTACCTGCAGGGCTGGGGCTGGGGAGAGGGGTCCGCTTATCGCTCGACTTATCGCGGAAGACGTGAATCATGTTTTTTTCCCCGATCGGCGATCGCGCCTCTCTGACGTCGTTGACTTGTCCCGCCTTCAAGGCCCTCGAATGCTGACTGGCTGGGATGTCCCGATGCTCGGGATCTCCCCTCATTTGTACTTGGTTGGTCTCGTAGTACGTAGGACGGTATATTGCTGTTATATCCTTGCATGTTTGACGGTTATGTCAGGTGCATCTGAGGTCCCATTCCTGAAGAAATCAAGGCGGCTGAAGGCGGGGGAAAAGGAAAGAGAGGAAGCGCAGGGTTGCCTTTGGAGCGGTCAGACTGGTCGAGGGTTTTGCTCCCTTGCACAGATGACAGGTCCAACTGGCAAGGCCGTCGTGTTTTCTTATGCGCAGGGGGCTCTAGTGGGCGGTCGCTCTGCATGGCCGACCGGGAGCATCCATGTATCTCCAGAGAGGGTGGGAGGGGCAAGGCGGGAGGGCGGCCACGTACGCTCATTCCGGATGAGCACAGACACGAAGATACGACGGGGCAAGGGGCTGAGTGGTCCCGCGAGGAGGTCTGATGTCGGTGATTCCATGCTGGGGGATTGGGATGTTGGCAGCTTGTCAGACGGAGAGGCGATGCGTCGATGGACATGGGCGGCTACACTCGGGAGATTTGGGGCCGAGCAGATCCCTGGCCAGGATCATCTTCGGGATTTGGGGAGTGGGAGAAGACTTGAATGAAAGTCAAGGTGCACAGGGAGACAGATAAAGAGAGGACTTGCATGTGCTGGTACCTCTTGTGGTCGAGGGTCCGTGAGATAGAGGTATAGTTGGGACAAAGGTGGAGACACACGGAGAATGTATAGAGGTATAGAAGAAGAGCTGCATACAGCCAGATCGAGAGATAATGGGATCTGGTCCACACCGCAACGATAAGACGAGCAAGTGCCCAGGTACCCGGCCGCTCTTCACGAGCGTGGATGTTCCTGGTCCCTGGCTCTTTGCGTCGTCGCGAACATGTGATTCCTGATTCCAGACTGAACCGGCACAACCAGCTTGGCATCCTCACCTTTGCTCATCTGCTCATCTATTCATCCGCGCATCCGCGCATCGACTCTTTCTTTCTTTCTTTTTTTTTTAACCTGGCAGCCTAGCCAAGTCTGCGCGGCCCTCGTACATCCCTTTCCAGGCCCCCAAGCCTCCAGGCCGCCCAGTTTTTGCCTGTGCTTGGCTCTTCGCATCTGTGGTGCATCGTGCCGGGGCCACCCAATACCCAGATCCCTGCCCGCCCACGCTCCAGCAATCTATTAATCCCCGAAGGCGGAGATACCTTGTCTTGACCCTATACAGCGCGTCTTGGTTATCCTGAGGCCCTAGCGCAAGACCCAGGTCTTGATCGTTTCCATGCTTCGTGAGCGATGCTGAATCCGGTAACCTTGGTGTCACCCCATGGGTTTGGCTTTCTTTTGAAGAGTTACCACGCCGCCTCGGGCCCGGAGATGCCAGGTACCTGGGACATGGAATTGTGTCAATCGGGTTAGCCCTTTCTTTACTTTTTGTTTTCTTCCCTCTCTCCCCTGGTTCCTGGGATAGCTGGTCCGTGGTGCGGGTGCAAGATTCAAGATCGCGGGTGGACCGTGGGTGGGTCTCAATTAGGTTACATACAACAGATGGATGATGGAAAGAGTGCGAGGTTTTATAACGCGGTAGAGTCCACTTTGCGGGTATGAACTACGCAAAAGAGAGAGAGAAATGGAGAGGGGGAGAGAGAGTGTGTGTGTGTGCGTGAGGGAGAGACGAGGGTGCATTCCCTTGATTCGAGGTTGTAACCGTGCTGTGGTGACATCTATATGGTATATGCTACGCTATCGTAGGCGAAGGGAAGCCAAAAATAAAGAATTAAGGGGCCGCGTCCAGTCGTCACCGGCCAATGGGTCCGACAACAGAGCTCACCATTACCGCGGCTTCCCGTTCCCAATTACCCACGCTGACGGTGTCCGGTCCAGACCGGCCCTTCTCGGCCAAGAGACTGGTGGTAGACACATGGGATGCGCGCATCACGCATTCTCTAATCTCCATTTTAAGTCGGTCCCGATTCGACCGGAGTGTGCGAGCAGATACGCCGCCGCGATTGAGGATCTCCTGCACACGTGAGGTGAGAGCAGAAGCCACTGAGCGCCAGTAATAGGACGGTAAGGACGAGGTGTCCAATGCTTGGAGAAGGGGTTGGAGAAGGTTGGTCTTCGTAGCTTCCATCTCGCTCTCTAGGTTCGAAGGGGATTGATCGGCAGTGGCGGCAAAGTTCAGGAAAGGATGATGGGGTGGCTGAAGGATTCTCAGGATAGACTCAAGCGCGACGATGTCCTGACATCGTGCGGAGACCTCGCCGAGCGTGCGGTCCATGGTGGGAAGTTGTGACAACGCCCTGGCCAAGGAATTCACAGATGTCATGATAGCGGTTTGCATGTACCCTTGAAGAGTTGAAAGCAGAAGCTCTGGTTTGTATGTGGAGGCTGTGATGCTTTCCCTAGGCAGCGGAGACAGGAGATAAAGTGTACTAGCAGCCGTCGATAGGCGTGCTCGTGCATCTCGAACTTGCTTGTAACTCAATGGCACGGAGTGACCATTGGAAGCCGAAGTCGAAATCGTAAACCGGTTGATGGCCTGTTGCGCTCTTGATTTCACCATATTTTCGGCTGGGATCACAAATTCGTTGCGCAATGTGCGCATAACCCTGACTCGCTCTAAACCGTAGCCTTCATCGTTTTCGTCTGAAGCCGAGAACATTTGTCGCAGGTTTAGGATGGTATTCGCAGCCCGTTCCAACGCTCGGAATCCCTCTTTCCCTGTTTGCATCTCGTCAGCACCTCCGATTTGATTTTGTCCTGCTCCTGGCCGGCCAGTGATTTCAGCCACTTGACTCTCCAGTTGTCGCCCTAGCGCCAAGCAGCGTGCAACAGCCCGTGCCAGCCGAACCGTCGCCAGTGAATTCTCCGCAGCAATTCGCGCATCGTCAGCAGTCTTCCATTTCTGTAAGACCTCCTTTTGTAGCCGCTCATATCCTTGGGTCACCGATGCGATCTGCGTTCCCGATTCCTTCAAGATACGTTCGCCGGCGGCCGTTTGGGTTTGTGTATGTGATAGCAATGGCAACGCGGACTTTGTTGTCAGGGCGTGGATGTGCGTATCGATCTCCTGGAGATCGAAAAGTACCCTTGACAATGGTGTCGACAGATCCAATGGCGTATCTGTGGCATTATTGGTGCTTTGCACGAGCGTGTTGGCGAAGCCGGCAGGTGAGAAGTCGGGGTCAAGGAAGGCTTCATAATCAATATAGGAAGGTTCTCCTTCGGCCATGTTGAAGGACGCCGGCACTTATAGTGCCCCGTTATATGCAATAATATGTCGGTTTTCGCCAAGTAATACGGTCAGGGATCATATCAAACACGTCCAAGGCTCGAGTGATTAAGGAGAAATCGCGGATTGCGATACGAACGATAGGCAGCGTAAATCGCGGTGGATGTCAATAAGTGCGCTGGGAAAATTGACACTGGGATTGATCCATTCAAGAGATTCAAAAATTGAGACCGATGCTGCTTTCGGGGGCCACAGTCTATCACTTGTGGGCGTGCAGCGAGATTAGATTCGTGTTGGAAGCCAGCTGTTGTGAGCTCCGCGATAATCCCACATGGCGCCGATAAAGATGATCACGTGAAGGCCTTATGCATGATAGGCCTCAGGCTTCAAATTAAAGTCATCCGGTTTAAGTTCGCTTCAGTCGCGATAGTAAACATTGATTTGATCATAAAGTCGATGTGCTTGGTCATTCGACTCGCATGACTCTCTACTATCAAAATTATTTATAACAGGAGCTGACACGGCCCTATCTTTGTCATGATGAAGCTAAGGCAGATGATCAGGGAACGAGCAGTCCAATACGCCATCCATCAAGCACCTTGACGAGCAATTTATGTTTTCTTAATTCAGTCGCACATAATTCTCGGGTGCTGTGTCTCACAGGAATCAAGAAAAGGTCAGCTTCATTCTCAAAAGCGCTAATCGATTGCTTAAAAAATGCTAAGGAGGCTGATGCGGAGAAGAAGCGGCTTCGACAGCAGTGGAAGAAAGCGTAGGGCACGTCACCACCACCTGATCCTACACAGGAATCCTAGATATCGTAAGATAGGGCAGAGGAAGCGCGTCAAAATGGGCAAGCTTCCTGTATAGATGCTGCTGTGATGCGTTGATAGATAGGCGCAGTAGGGCAACGAGGGAATTCTCAGTGTAGGTGCAATTCAGCGCGTGGCGCACGCACAACACAAAAAGCGGCATGGATGGGTATAGGCATTAATGCGGACACCGGCTACCAGGAATTTGACTTCAACCATCGGACTCGGTTGCCAGTTCCATCTGAGCCCAACGGAACTGATGACCAAACGCATTGCTCTGAGCGGAAAAGAATCCTCGGCGCCTTCCTGCCCTAGGGCCGCCTTCCAATGACACACAAGCGGGGTTTGGGGGTGGGGCAATAGATAAGCCTTGGAGAAGACGGCGGCCTCTCCAGTCCTCACTACATTGATAAGGCGGGCTACTTCTTGATATTTTGCTTCTGACTCCTCGCTGTCTATACTGAATTCCCGCCAGGAAACCTCCACTGCAATTGCCGGGACCGCACATATATCAACCGTCTTCTATTATATATCTGCCAACATGACGACTTCAACATCAACCACCACGCAGCAGACTGAGCACGCTGTTCTTCTGGCTGCCGAGGAACAGATCAAGTCAGCTGCAAACGATGTGAAGTTCCAGTCTCTGGCACGCGGCAACCGCCAGGGTACCCTGAAGCTACGGGGTATTCCCACTTTCTCAGACCCTCTTGAGAAGCGCAAGTGGATGAAGGAGCATATGGCTGCTGCCTTCCGCTACTTTGGCAAGTTGGGATATGGTGAAGGTGTCTCTGGACACATTTCTATGCGAGGTAGGTTTCGATAATGTCTCGCGTGAGGTTTGCGGGCGAGCAGCTACTCACGCCGACCAGACCCTGTTCTCAAGGACCATTTCTGGATGAATCCCTTCGCCAAGCACTTTTCGACCATCAAGGCCTCGGACTTGGTTCTTGTCGATAGTGAGGGATATGTTACCGAAGGCGGTGCCCAATTGCCTATCAACGAGGCTGGATTTATGATCCATTCCGAAATTCACAAGGCCCGTCCCGATGTGATTGCTGCAGCGCATACCCACAGCATTCATGGCAAGACATGGAGCTCGTTCGGGAAGCCAATTGAAATGCTGACGCAAGGTTCGTCAAAATATATTGATACTGAAGAATCTATGGATGTTAATCTGTGCTTTTAATAGACGCATGCAACTTCTACGGCCGCGTTGGCATCTACGACGATCACGGCGGCATTGCCCTGTCCCAGGAAGAGGGTCGACAGATCGCCGCAGCCCTAGGAAAAGAGAACATTGCTTGTATTCTGCAGAATCATGGGTGAGCCAGACCCTACCCGGACAAGTCGTTTCAATTAGCTATGATGGCCTGGTACTAACCTGTGAAAATTTCCATAGTCTTTTGACTGTCGGTCGTACTGTTGATGAGGCTGCTATTCTTTATTCTATGCTGGATAATGCCTGCCACTCCCAGCTTCTTGCCGAAGCAGCAGCAGCAAATGGTATTCCCAAGCGAGTCATCAACGATGAAGTGGCTCGCTATACTGCCGAGTTTGCCCAGAACCCCGTGAGTGCCGCCCTTGAACATTGAAAAACAGAGAGAGGACTGCACTGACCTATACAAGCACAACTTTTACACTGAGTTTCAACCTGAGTTTGACTTGGTTGTTGAGGAGACCAACGGAAGAGTATTGCAATAATAGTTCATCAGACCATATGCGTTATAGTAAATAAGTCAAATTTAGTTGGTCGATCTAGGATGTTGATCCAATGCAGATACGATCACAATCACTCTGTCTCACCTCCTATGTCCAGAGAAAATCAAAATGACTTGAGAGGCACAATCTGACAAAATAGAAAATGTCATCTTAATTTGGCCTTTTCACTTTAACTTACAAGATACGAAACAGCTCGTCGATAGATGTGATCTTGGCAAAGGCCTATCATCAGATAATATGAGCTTCAAATCCTACTTGGTGAAGAGGTACCCTAATGTAGGAGATACACAAGCTGAGGTTGAAGACTTCTGAGTGGAGGGGGGCATCTACTCCAACGACCCCAATTTACACCCGAGGTCTGATGTGAACCAACCTACTACAGGCTTCCGATAAGAGCAGTGATAAGGCGCCACAAGGTAATTATATTGTAGCACGGACATATTTTCTGCATAGCTTGGGGTTTGAGAAAATGCATGAGTACTTTTAAGACCCCAAGATGCGGGGCTAGGTTTGAACTTCATCTTTGTCTCCGTCCCTCCTCGTCTCTGGACCATTCTTCAACTGTTCGCGCATTGTCATTCACTTCTGATTAGGAAAATAAGACAAGAGATTTTACTCAAACTTCTCTTCAAACTTTACCATGGCTCTTACTTGGGAAGAGCGCGCAGCTGACAAAAGAAACCGGATCAGCAACTCGATCCCTGAAGAATGGAAGATCAAAGACCTACCTACTACCGATTCAGTTCTGGACTTTCCAAGAATCTCCGGCATGCTATCTTCACAGGAACTTCTCATCACAGAATCAAGTGCTACAGAACTGGTTGAAAAATTGAGCAAGGGAGATTTGAAAGCCGTGGATGTGACAATAGCATTTTGCAAGAGGGCAGCAATAGCCCACCAACTAGTAAGTTGAAAACCATTGCCAATATGTCTTTCATGTTGTTTAACCTTTTTTAGGTAAACTGCTGTCACGAATTCTTCCCTGAAATGGCGATCGCGCGGGCAAAGGAGCTTGATCAATACTTTGAAGAACATCAGAAGCCTATTGGTCCCCTTCACGGACTACCTATTTCACTCAAAGATCAACTACGAGTAAAGGTAAGCCCGATTTTCATTGATTAATTCACTTTGAGAAATTCAACCGGACGGAACGTTGAATTTTATGAATAGGGGCTTGAAACCTGCATGGGATACGTCTCATGGCTAGGGAAGTATGACACAACGGAATCTGTCCTAGTAACCCTTCTCAGAAAGGCTGGGGCCGTTTTCTATACCAAGACCACTGTACCACAAACTCTGATGGTCTGTGAGACTGTAAATAATATCATTGGAAGAACACTGAATCCACGCAGCAAGAATTGGTCATGCGGTGGCAGCTCAGGCGGAGAGGGCGCTATGGTTGGTCTCCGTGGTGGTGTCATTGGAGTAGGGACTGACATTGGTCTGTTGAATTGCCATACCTATAAGCGCGTATTCAGCTAATCACTTTTTTAAAAAGGGGGTTCTATCCGTGTTCCATCGGCATTCAATTCCCTTTACGGCATCAGACCGAGCCATGGCCGAATGCCTTACGCAAAGATGGCGAATAGCATGGAAGGCCAGGAGACTGTGCATAGCGTAGTAGGCCCAATGGCGCATTCGGCGGCAGGTTCGTGTGTATTATATCAACATACTCAACCAAATTTGATAACTCATCGTCACAGATCTGAGATTGTTTCTCAAGTCTGTCTTGAGCCAGGAACCATGGAAATATGACCCCAAGGTTGTTCCTCTTCCTTGGCGATCTGCAGAAGAGGATTATATCGCATCGAAGGTGTCCAATGGGTTGGTATTGGGATACTACTCTTGTGATGGTCTCGTAAGTTACAATCAAGCTTACCATTATTATCAGATCTTGCTAATTCTGTCTTCTTCAAGGTTCTTCCTCACCCCCCAATTTTGAGAGGAATTAAGACAGTTGTCTCGGTTTTAAAACAGAACGGACATACTCTTCTGCCATGGAATCCCTATGAGCATACATTTGGGCATGATCTCATCAATGACATATATGCTGCAGATGGAAACATAGTGAGTGTAACAGTTTAATATGGATGCATTTAAATGATTTATGGAGACTAAGACTCACACTTGATTTTAGGATGTGTTCAAAGACATCAATGCCTCCGGCGAGCCCTCGATACCAAACATCAAAGATCTCCTGAACCCAGACAAAAAGCAAATAGATATGAACCAGCTTTGGGATACACATCTTAAAAAGTGGAACTATCAAAGGGAGTATCTAAATAAATGGCGTGAGCTCGAAGCCAGTCTTGGTAGAGATATGGACGCGATAATTGCTCCTATCACTGCCACGGCTGCTATACGTCACAACCAGTTTCGATATTATGGTTACGCCTCAGTGATCAACTTGCTTGATTTTACCAGTGTTGTTGTGCCGGTGACATTCGCAGACAAGAAGCTTGATCCCAAAAATGAGACTCACCAACCGCTTAACAAGACTGATGCAGATGTACAGGCTGAATACGACCCTGATATATACCATGGGGCCCCTGTTGCTATCCAAGTTATCGGACATAGACTAAGCGAAGAGAGAACATTGGCTATCGCAGAAGAAATTGGTAGACTGATTGGGAATTGAGTTCTTCTAAGCCCAATACTGGTCAGGCCTGCTTAGAAAAATGACACCTCGAGCTGGCATTTTTGTTGTTTTGGATAGCATGGCTTGGCCTTAATTTTTATAGTTATGATTGAATTCGGTTTAATGAACTTGTTTTTATTCTATTTTATTTCTGGGTCAGCATCACTTTTTTAACGACAATTGACGATGACCGTTCACCTTCACATGTACTCCTTGACCTTTACGTAGTCAATGATATTTTCTCTCATGGAGATATATAATTTAATTGCAGCCGATGCTCAATCGTCCATAAGAATAATCGAAAGGAGTGAAATGTGAGTATCTAACAGTAAAACCTCCTCTTAATTGAATTGATTCTCCCTCATACTGTCATGGCTTGCAAAATATTCTTATGTATTCCAGGGAGATTGGCCCGAGGCCTGTCAGTGTATGGTCAGGATCGGCTTACCGAAAAAGGTTAGATAATGGGATAATAGCGGAACAGTGAACCCACTCATCTGCCTATGTAAGAACTAGGAAGCGGAATTACTCTTGTAGTTGAGAGGGGAAACAAGCAAGTACTATTGAGAACTAGGGAATGGACCTGCCAAGAAAGTGGGGGTACAAGAAGCTGGGGTATAATACTACCCAGGCTTTTGTGCTACCATCCCTTCTTAATCCCTTTACCCCTCCGCCAAACCATTTTAGTTCAACAAATTGACATCCATGGCTACCAAATCGAACCTAGAGAAGCTCGACGAGCAAGCCACGCACCTTGAACTAGCTCCTGCAGAGTATAAAAAGCTTCTGCGCAAAGTTGACGCACACATTATTCCCATACTAACGATACTCTATCTTCTGAGCTTTCTGGATCGAGGTAATGCGCCACCCGATTGTTGATTTTGAAAACTCCAAACTAATCGAATAAGGTAATATCGGCAATGCCAATGTCCAAGGCCTTTCCACCTCACTTGGCTTAGTTGGCCACCAATATAATTGGTACGTGCCAACCCAGCCGGCTAGAAGCTTAATCTAACGATTACCTGACAGGTGTTTGACAATATTCTTCTTCCCATATTCGTTCCTTGAGCCTGTGTGTAATTTGCTGCTTGTGAGACTCAAACCTAGCATTTGGCTCCCGTCTATTATGGTCGCTTGGGGTATCAACCACAGCCGAAATAAACAAACATTGAATACTGACCACAATAGGGATTGTTACTACATTGACTGGGATTGTACAAAACTATACAGGCTTGATGGTTGCCAGGTTCTTTCTCGGTGAGGCTGTTCGCTACCAGGTGACAAATTATACATATTGCTAACCCCTCGTAGGCGTGGCGGAGGCAGGACTATGTATGACTTTCTGATGCCATGAAAACTATAAATTACGCTCTATCTTAATGAGTCTAATTTCTCAAATTCTCTAGTTCCGGGGTTGGCATTTTACGTCTCATTGTGGTAAGTTCAATCCCATTCGTGATATTGGGCTGTTTGTATGGAACTGACAACAAACAGGTACCCACATGCTGACGCTCAATTTCGACTTGCTCTGATTTTTGCCTCCGCTTCAATGGCCGGCGCATTTTCCGGCCTTCTTGCATATTTGATAGTCAAAATGGAAAATGTTGGCGGTCTTGAAGGTTGGCGATGGATGTAGGCGAAGCATAGATGTTTCCAGCCCTGACATTGAATACTAAGATTTGATAGTTTTATCTTGGAGGGCTTATTCACTGTCATTGTCGCAGTTGTTTCTTACTTTTTCGTGTGGGATGAGCCGGCAACTGCAAGCTTTCTTTCGGATCATGAGAAAAATGCGCTTCTAAATGCTCTACAACCGATCCGAACGGAGAGTTCGACGACTGCCCAGCTGGGCCATGGTCATTCATTCAAATGGAAACACGTCCGTGCAGCGCTTGTGGACTGGCAGGTGAGTCTTCATATTTGCAGTGTAGAACGGGGTCCCAGGTATGCTAACGAGTGCTCTCCAAAGTTGATATTCCATTGTCTTGGATATTGGGGAATGGTGAGTTGCAGTCTTCCTGATATAAAATATGAACCAAACTGACGATAAACAGGCGTGTGCTGTCTACGCCCTATCCTTGTTTCTCCCGACGATTATCAAAGGGCTTGGCTACACCTCTGCCAATGCGCAATTGCTAACGATTCCGGTCTATGCGGCTGCAACGATTGCTTGTATTACTGTGGGCTATGTATCGGATAAGACCGGCCGGCGAAGTTTTATCACATTTATCTGCTATTGTGCCGTGATGGTAGGATACCTGATTGCTGTGGCACCGGCCAAATTCATCCCTGCCTTGACATATGCTGGTTGTTTCATCGCGGCGTGCGGGATCTACCCAGGTAGGCAGAGAATGCGCCAAATAAGTACCATTATGGGCATCACTAACTTAAGTTTACCAGCCATTCCTGGCCTGCTGGTATTATCCTCCAACAACTGGGCCCCTAATGGAAAACGAGCCGTGGGCATGGCTATCCAGATGGGCTTCGGAACCATGGGGGGCGCAGCTGCTTCTAATTTTTACCGCAGTTCAGATGCCCCCCGATACCGTCTCGGGCATATCTTGGTACTCGTGTTTACTGTTCTGGGATTGATAAGTATGAGTTTATATTATATTGTCAGCGCCAAGGTGAACGCCAGGAGAGATGCCGAGGCCGACAGGGCCTCCCGGTACACGGACGAGGAGCTGCTGGATATGGGCGATAAAGCGCCAAATTTCAGATACAAGCTTTGATGCTAAGTTGCAGGGGTTTCTTGCTGCGGCAAAAGAACTAGATCATGAACGGAGACTAGCAGTCTCCAGAATAGATTATCGCGATACTATATTGGACACAAAAAAAGGAGGATTATCCATTCCCATCATCTTCGGGACAAACGCCATCTATAGAGATGAAACCGTGACAGGGTATACAAAAGGAGGGAGATGCATGAAAAGGCGGCTAGCTTAGCATCGGCACCAAAAGAAACTTGTACCTAAATGGTACCTAAATAAAATCATAACCCAATAAGGAGACAGAAGAAGGATATTCGAAAGGGTGCGGCCGTGGTATCTCTCATACAGCACGTTCACCAGTTTCCCTCATATCGTCCATTTCGTATTCTCCAGCCTGAAGGCTGCGCTCACGGCCGCGGCCCCGACCAAAGCTGGACTCGGCCTGACTATCGGCGCCATTTGTTTGTGACGACGAGCCTTCCTGGCTGCTGCTCCCAAACCCGCCGAAGGTGATGGGTTTGAGTTCTCGATGCTGGCATGCCCACATGCCGAGAAAGGTCATCATAGCAGCGCTGGAAAACTGCAGAGCCCACCAAAGCAGGTTTGTAGGGAGAGAGTGGGTGTAGAGCGTGGTGGCAATGAGATGCAAGAAGTGAATCGTAAGGGCGAAGTCGGGGACTAGTTTGGAGCGAGAAACGAAAAGAAGAAGAAAGATAACGCTGTAGACGTTACAAGCTAGTCAGCCAGAGACTTGGTAACCTGGAAGGAGTTTGGTCCCCATTCCAAAGCGAGCTCGGCAACTTACCTGATGAAGCAATTCAACATCCAAACCAGTCCAAGCATCCACCCAACCGTCGTGTCACCCCGCAAGTAATCCCATCCAAAAACGAGGTTCAGCGAGAAAGGTGTGCCGTAGACAACCGTCGTGAAGAGAATGAGAACCGTGGCGCAGACATAATAGGCCGCTTGGAGCAGGACGATCTTGCGGATGATTTTCAAGGGCGGGAGGTCAGTTCGCGACCCCGCTGGAAGACGCCGGCGCCCGGGCATCAACTAGAAAGCCAGGGGAGAAGCTCCCCTTTGCGACCTTTAACGGGAAGAGTGGTGGTCCCGCGCAGTGCGCTCCGGTGTCGAGGCGAGGAGGCGAGGAGCCTAGAGCGGCGGAGCACACATGCGATGACGATCAGATCTCACACCAGGATGGACCACACCAGCCACTGGGCTTTGTGATCGAGTGTGGAATAGCAAGGAATATTCGGGGTAAACGGGGTAACAATAGAAGCGTCTCGTCGTGAAGAAGTTGGGAGAAAGGAAACGGGGCACTGTTGCGGCGACGATCAACAGTCTTGGCACTGCCGAGTCCGCGGGAGCAACGACCAGCAATGACCGACTCCGTCATCCACCGCTGTACCACGAACCCCACGGCCAAACGCGTTTCCACTCCAACTCCCGACCAATCTCACCGCCGAATACCCCTCTCATTCCTTCTCTCTACTCCTCGAACCGATCTCAATTCACCCCCCAACATGGGCTGGCTCCCTTGGTCTTCCGGCGACTCCAGCAAAGCCTCTGACGGCGGCCGCATTGCCCCAGATCGGACGAGTCGCGCTCGTTGCTGGGAGGGCCGCGACGCCTTCTTCGCCTGCTTGGATCGAAATGACATTCTCGACGGCATCAAAGATGACAAGGCCGCACGACAGAAGTGCGCAAAGGAGGTTGCGGAGTTCGAGGCAGCTTGCTCGAAAACTTGGGTACGTCTAATTTGCGCTTATGGCCCTGAAGCTTCTTTCTTTCGAGTTCGGGTTGCCAAATTATAATATTATTCCTTCTGAATTCTCTGCTATGTGGGCATGACATGCATTGGATGAAATGAATGCTGATATTGGTCGCCTCTGTAGGTCAAATATTTCAAAGAAAAGCGGGTGATGGAATATAACCGGGACATGACCATTGAGCGCATTAAGAAGGAGGACGCTGCCACGGTACAGGAACTGAAGTCCCAAGGCTGGAAAGCTAAATAGATGGCTTGATGAGCTGGTATCAAATGATTTACCCTGTTACACAATGTACCATATCCACTCCTCTCACGGTTTACACGAGCCCGTCATTTAATGCTGCCAAAAACAATCGCAATGTGAAATTTATCAACTCGCATATCAAGAGCCTTGTTATTAGGGAATATATCAAGAATCACAGCCTATTTCGTGAGCTGGGCTTACTATGTCACCCGAGCAAAGAGAACAAAGCTGTATATACAGAGCATGGCTGCTGGAGGAAGTCTATGAATAGAGAAATGCACACGATAGCAACATCAAAAAAATATGTTTATAAAACACAATGTCCTATAAGAACAGTGTCATATTATATCCACCTTGCCAAAAAGCTTGTAGTTGGAAGCTGTCAGCAAGAGAAAGCCCTCGTCAGAATCGCCGAGATGAACTGGGGGAAAAATAAACAACAACTCCGACCTAGAAACCACCTTCACCCTGAGTATCTAGAATCTTGTTACCCTAAGAAGCCCCTGCAACTGTAAAATGAATAGGAAAAAAAAAAAAAAACGCCTGTCTCTGCAAGAGGCTGGAAAAAAAGTCCAGCATGAAAAGATATGTAACTGTGGGAGCGTGGGAAACGAGAACAAAAGACGGCGAGGAAATTAGCCACCGCAGTCCATGAAAGCCGATAGCAAGCAAACGCCAACCTGCCAAATGACAAAAAAGAGTCGAGATTTAAACTCAGCATAAAGTGATGAAGAAATAGAAGAATCGTTACATCATTGTTTCCATTTGGTCAGTTGGTTCATGATGTTCTGGACGTTTGAACCAACAGGACCTTGTCCCTGTGGCTGTTGATTTCCGAGACCCTTGGCCAAAAGCGAAAGTAAGTTTGGGTCAGAGACCATCGGAGCCTGTGCCACAGGAAGATTTGGAGGGTGTAGGGTGAAAGGTGAGTGCGGAATTGGTTGTTGTGGGTTATGTTGAAGCGGAGGTCGAGTGGCGTTGGTCAAGAGACTTGCCAGATCTGCAGGGGGTGGCGGATTGGGGGAGGAGAAGGGGGATTGAGTTGCCGACACTGGCTGGGATTGAGGGCCCGGGCGCTGCTGGAGGGCCGACAAGAGAGACTGGAGGCTAGGTCCATCCAAGGAGCCGATGAGGTTGGCGATGTTGGGAGGATTTGTGAGGGCGGGCAAGGTTGGTTGAGCCATGGGCATGGCCTGCATTGGAGGCACGCCGAAAGCCGGGTTGGGTACGAAAGTAGCAGGTGGGCCTCGTTGCATAGCCTGGGCTTGATGGAACATGACTTCTGCGGCGATGTTGGGGTCGACTTCCGGATAGTCTAATTCAAAGTTAGTGACTGTAGCAGAGACGAGAAAGCCAGAGGAGGGTCGATACGCACCACTGAACCGAACATTCTCTGGACCGGCACTTCGGTCGAAAATCTGGAGAGGGATTTTGCGAGAAAATTGATTGGGACGAGAAAGTCGCACAACGGCCAGGACGCCTTCAACATATTGACGGTGGACTGCTGCCCCGAGTGGGATGCGCGGACCTAGCACAAGCACGTCTACCCGCAAGCCACGGTTGCGAAAGGCATTCTCCACGTGAAGAATGAAGTTCCTATCCGACAGGTCAGTTATGGGGGTAATCAAATTGACATTGGAGAGAACTGACCGATCGACTTCCTCCAAAACAAGGATTTGGACCTCGGGCACATCTCGCGATGCCCGTCGAGGCACGGGTAGATCCGCTTCTCCTTCATAAATCCCACGGGGTCGTGGGCTAGGGCTGCGATACCGCCGATCGCGGGCATACGGCGAGCGTGGAGAGCGGGGGGAACGGGAGCGTCTTCGGTCACGACGGTCAAATCTTTCTGGAGTCCTGTCACGGGAGCGATATCCATCCCGAGGGCGGAAGGGTCGCGGAGAGGGAGACCGCGGAGGGCGATAATCATCTCGTCTGCGGTGTGAGGGCTCATCTCGGAAGTCGCTGAATGGCAACCGGTTGGACTCATGAGGTCGGTCATAACGGTCGCCGGCAGGGCGTGGATTGTTCCGCGCAGGTCCAGTGCGGCTGAATTCGGGGGATCTTGAACGGCGGGGTTGAGGCGCCCGCGACGGCTCATTCGGGCCGGGTCTGGCTGTAGATCGCTGCGGTTTGGAAATTTCAAGATCTACTTCTTGTTAGCGGTCGGTGTCTGGCGGGATGGACGTTCCGTTCTCGTAGCACTCACGAATCTTTCGGCCTCGTACCAGAGCGCCCTGCTCGGCCTGCAGTGCCGCTTGGCAGGCACCTGCTTCCAAGAACTGTATGAAACCATAGGCTTGCTTGATCGATATTTGGGCCAGCTTCCCGTACTTGTGGAAGATATGGAACATGTCTCGCTTGGTCACTCGTTCGGTGGGGAGGTTGCCTAAAAGACATCACGGAAAGATTAATTCACTGCACGAGCAAGGTCATTTAAGGAATTGCCATGGGGAGGTACGGACCAACAAAGAGTCTGGATCCGACGGGGAACCGATCCCAGAGACCCTCGGTCACATAAACCCTTTCATCGTGGAGAAACTCGTCATATTTCTTTTGCACCTCAGGTCCCCAGGGCGAGTCGTCATCCCCGCCCTTCCCGGTACGCATGGCAGGCTTGTCGCTGCGGCCTTTCTTTGACGCTTGGGCAAGCGCCTCGGGGGAACCTCGCGGTTCCGGCGCCGCGGGAGGGGTCTGTTGGAAGCTCGGCATGGGTGGCGGGGGCAGATTACCCATACCGGACTCCGTACCTGGGGCCGCGACCGGTGGGACAGTGGAAGGGAAGGGTTGATGGGCATTGTTACTGGAGTGTGCTGCATAGGCGAGGGGGGGTGCAGCGGTGGGGGCGGAAGGGGGTTGATGATAGGCGAAGCCATCATTTGGGGCGTAATCGGAGGGAAGGGAGGGGTCTTGGATAGTTGGGCGGGCAGGGAGATTTGGAGACTGGGCATCCAGCGCTGCTTGGGGATCGGACCGCAAAAGCTTGTCCGTCGGTGCTTGATGGAAGGACGAATTGTCCGCTAGAGGGACGGCCCCGGAGGCCGCAGCAACAGAGCCCGAGGCCGCGGGTGGTGCTGGTGGACGCGAGAGATTATCCAGAAGGGTTTGGAAGTTGACCCCGGCCGTGGGCGCGCCAGCCCCCGCCTTGGTCGCTCCCTCGAGGTGATCGGGCACCCTCGACGACTCGACCGGGTAGCTGGCATTGTCTAAGTCGCTTGCTGGGACGAAGCCCTGCGGAGCCGGGACAACCGGGGATGCATGGGAAGGGGTGGGATGGGAAAGAGGGAAGTTTGCGTTCATGTGTCCCGCCTGCTGGTCCATCCCAGGATTGGTAGAGTAGAAATCCACTGCCGAAGCAGCCATATCATTCATCGGCTGGTCCGTCGGCGGCGGCTGCACACCGTGCACGCTATCTGGGATCTGCTGCTGCTGCTGCTGCTGCTGCTGCCGCCGCCCGGGTCCTAGTTCCTGGCCCTCTTGAGGGGCTCCTGACCATCCATCCTGTCCCTGCTGTCCCTGCAACCGCGTCTGCGCGTAAACCGAGTGTTCATAAGTGGAGGTATCGTTGAAGACGGGGTCCATTTGATTCTCGAGGACGGGGATATTGGCTGGCTCCGGGATATGGAGTGGGCGTGGGCTTTCCGGAGTCAGTGTCTTGCCGCGGAAGTGAAGCGCTTCATCAGGGGGACTGGGCGTCATGTAGACGAGGAGGTGGTCGTTTCATCTACAAAAATGGTGGTAGACGGGGAGGGAAGGGGAGGGTAGATGAAGGTGTTGGAGAGGATTGGGTTTGAAGGGGGGGGAGGACCAACGCCAGGTGAATTTTCGCAATCGCAAGCTAAGGTGGGGCGATGGGATGGACTGGGCCCGCTGGATTTTTTTTAGGTGTAAAGTTTGGGACTGGGCGGTTGAAGGGCGGTCAGGGTCCCCCGATATGGCAGATCTGGCCGAGCGTCAAAGAAGCCGAAGAGAGCAGGTGGAGAGAGAGCGCAAGAGAGGTGGGGATTCAGGACGAGGTCGGGGGGTGAGAAAGAAAGAGCAAGAGAAAAGGAGGCTCTCGGAGGGCAAAGGCCGTTTAATCAGGCGATCGTGAGACAGGCGAACTGTCAGGCCCGTGGGTTCCTTTTGTCAGAAGAAGCATGACTCGTAGGACTAGCAGGACGACGAACTGGAATTATGGTGACTTGCCGGGATGCACGTACAAAGGACCCGCCACCCGGTCCGTTCAGAACCGTCGCGTATCGTGTATTGCGGTATTGAGAACCAGGGTGCAGACTCGGATCTTCTGGCCAATGGTCTGGGGTTGACCCTCCATCGAGATGGTGTCCTGGACACTCAATCACTCAATCGCTCCATTAACTACTCATTGACTCAATTACTCAATTCCCCTGTAACACGCAGAGCTCCTGAGTCCCCGACGATCAGTGTCCAGGACCGGTTTTCTCACGGACATTGCTGCCTCTCCCCGCCCCTAGTACCCGCCAATAAGAACTATAGAGGAAAACCCATGGGAAGTCTGCGCCTCTCAACTCAGTGGACGCGCCGCAATTTCGAAGAAGGGGAAGCTAAAAGATGTAGGCCTAGTGCTTGTTCCCGTGCCCCACCACTTTGACATTTACACATTCCTTTACGGGCTCAGAAACGGGAGGTTGGTCGTATACTCTCCTCAACTTGGGGGGAAATAAACAGATTTCACATCGGGACCTCCACAGACCAGCATTAGCTCTCCATCCAAGAGGTACTCTGCTACGCCTCGTATGCAAACACGGACACTTTGCGCTGAAAACATGACAAGAGGGTCTGACTATTCTACATAGCATTGTCCACTATAGGATGTTTGCTTCTTCAACGCCGTGCGCAACATCTCGCCGTCAGACGATACCTTCGATACCGAGGGTTTGATAATCACTGGTGCGGATAAATCAATGGATGGATCGGAGTCGTTTCTCGTAACAAATGGAGAGTTCGGGAAGAACCCTCTAAGCAACAAAGTACAGATCATATACAGAGTCCATATACACAGTCCATGTAACCGGACGGAGCCGTGCCGACGGAGGGCGGGGTGCATGATCATTTCTTCTCCTGCACCTCTCTGCACCTCTCTGCGCCTCCTGCATTCCTTCGTCTAGCTCGGGGTCCTAGAAGGCTGGTGGGAAAGGCAAGAAGTTTTAGACTGGGCAATTAAGTCGGGAACCTCCTTTCCGCGGCAGGATCGTTGCAATTAGTCAGGACATCTCCACCAGCGTCCCTCCGTTAACTTCTGCGGCTGTACTTTGGACGGAGTACACAATCTCCCTTTCCCCCCCAACCCACCTCCAACTGGAGCATTATTTATTGCTCGGAGTCGGGCAGCAGGAAAACAAAATGCCGCTCCCATGGCGGTCATGCGCGCTTCGCTCCATTCGCTGGATCCGGCCGTTTCCCTTTGGGCCCCGGTGGGCGTCGCGGACGGGGTCATCTGACCAGCAGGAACTGGAGCTAGCGCGAAGGTGGCTGAAGAACTTCGACTCCAATTCCATTCCCCGCCAGGTTGGCGAGCTCTCCTTCAGCCGTTCAAGCGGACCGGGCGGACAGAACGTGAACAAGTCGGTGCAAATCCGAAGCGCTCCGGTAATATCTGCAAGGCTAACGTCGAGACCGTGGGGGCCCCTGCCTCCCGAAACCCCCCCAACAGAGTCAATTCTAAGGCGACCTTGAAAGTGCCCTTAGTGGAGCTGTTCCCGCTGGTGCCACGGTTGCTACACTCCCCGCTGCGCACCTCGCGCTTTGTCTCCGAGCGCTCACAAACGCTGGTGATCCAATCCGATGAGTCGCGCCAGCAGTCAATCAATGTCGACTCCTGCTATACGAAGCTCTACCAGCTCCTGGTCAGATCGGCCAAGGAGGTTATTCCCGGCGAGACCTCCAAGGAGCAGAAGGATCGCGTACACAACTTGTAGGCCCGTTCCAATGCACTCCACTGGCACTACCAACCACATTGGAAGTCGATCTCCTAACCAATGACAAACAGACAACGGGCCCAGAACGAAGCTCGTTTGAAGGACAAGAAGTTTCATAGCAGCAAGAAGAGTAATCGGCGGGGAAACAAGTACGATGATTGATATGGGGGGGGGGGGGGGGGATGTGGCCTCCCCTCTAGGGGGTCAATTTACCGCTCACCTACCTGCCTACAGAACTAATATTCACGATACCAACAACAACATTAGAAATTAGAAACAGATAATGGGAATTTTCGAGGGCCCCTCGAACATTCTGCTTTTTTTGATTCATCATCCAATCCCAAACGCCTCTCAAGTGCTATATCAAACAAGGTACTTCGGGTATGCCTCACATTACGCTTTCGATGAAACTCGTTCCGCATTGCGCATGGTCGCCACAACGACCTTCTTTAAGGCAGGATCCAGATCCTCCGTGTTGGCAATTGGCTGTAGCCAGCTCACTACCTCCGAGGCGAGATCGCTGGTCATTGAGCACTCCTTCAGGCGGGCCAGCGAGCTTCCAAGGGCGCGTGGGAACTCCGGTGACGTGACCATCACACCCGCGGTCGGAAACTTGATGTAACAGATCTGCGTACGGGGGCTGGCGGGCTTGTGCGTCCGCATTGTCTCCACCACGTGTCCCAGAATCTTGCGCAGACACGGAACATCTGGGAACTCCAATACCATCGCGTAAAACTCGGCCCCGAACCGGTCATCCTGCTGGAAGTTTTTCATGGCAGCGTCGAAAATGGCTTGCGGGATAGCCCCCGTCAATGCGGGTGTGGCATTCAGGGTCTGTAGCGCTTCTTGGTCCACCTCCTCGTCCCCCCGGGTAGGATTGATGTCCTCAGCCGTGATTTTTGGTAGCGCAATCATATCGGCATCGGCATCGGCATCCTCCGTTGCCGTTTCCTGGGCGAACTGGGAGCGGCTGGCCTCGTCCAAGCCCAATATCCGTTGGCGGGCAACCAGCTTGGCGATGTAGATCAATTCCAACTTGGCATACTGGATCCAAAGCGACCGGACACTCTTGCAGAACCGTAGGCCTCGCTGCATATAACTTCGAGCCTGCGACATGTCGGCGTGGTCGTCAAGTACTGACTTGGCGGCGTAGATCCATAATTCCGCACTGGTCGGATGGAACCGTAGCGCATCGGTGAAGATGTTGGAGAGCTTCTTGTGGGCCTTTTGCTTGCGAGCATATTCAATGTACTGAATCCAAATGTTGAGATCGCCGTGGAATTTGCGAGTGGCTCGGTCGAGGATGAAGAAAATGCGACGCTGACCGCCGTGTCCCGCGGACCGAATGCCGAGGCGCTTGACTCGCTTTTTACGGAGGGACTCGAGGTTCATTTCATATTCGACATATCGCACGAAGTCGATCGGCGCTGCGCCCCGCGAGTTGAGTTTGTGTTCGAAGTCGGACCGCTTCTTGATGATCGAGGTGATTTCATCCTGGTAGATGAATGTTAGCTCGTAACTCCACTCCACCGGTCGCCAGTGGCGCACCCACCTTGCTGAAAATCTTCTTGCGCTCGTATTCTTTGAGCTCTGGTACGGACTGCTCGAGGAAGAACCGGGCCTTGTCGGTTGCGGCGGACATGGTGGACAGAGTGCAGGGTCAGAAACACAGGACGATCACAAGAAAAAAAAGTTGTCGGCATCCCGCATGGACCAAAGCACCGACCACCGGGTCTGAGCTAAACCCGATCGGGCTAGACGGGCTAGGCGGACAACAAGGACACTCTGGAGCACCGGCGGATCCGATGTTTTCCTTACCTCAGGGGCCCTTCGCTCTCTAAGCTGTCATTCTTTCTTTCGTTTCTTGACGCTCTTTTTGTAACCTCTTTCGGTCTCCTATATACCTCCGAGAAGAAGAGTTCTCCCTCTCTCGGCGCCGCCATGGCCCCCAGATTTAAGGATGGAGATGCCGTGGTTGCCGTACGTGCCCTGACACGCGATAAGCTTCTCCGCCACTGACTCAATTTCAATGCAGATCAATGGCAAATGGATTGCCTGGGCTCACACCATCTTCGCGTATGCCGCCTTCTTCAGCGCATTGATTGTCGGTTGTGCGTTGCATTACCACAAGATCGTCCAAAACGAACACTACGGTTATCCCGATGAATGGTTCCCCTCCGTGTCTGCAACCATCGGTGATCGCTATCCGGAGCGTTCCTTCTTCCAAGTCTTCATCGCTATTACCTCCGGCCCTCGCTTCGCTCTCGTCTTCCTGTGGTACGTCCTGACCGCGCGCCCGAACTCGACTCTGCCCAAGATCGTCGCAGGCGTGGGTGTTTTCCGTACCTTGACCTGTGGTGGATGGACTTATGTCACTTCCACCGATGACCATGACTGGCATGACATCTTTATGATCTCGTATCTCGTGGCGACGCTGCCGTGGACGCTAGGCTGCCTTGCCCTGAGCCCCAACAACCGCCGCGCTGTAAAGTACCGCAAGATCATGGCGAGCTTGTTCTTCGGGACTCTGGTGCCATTGATTTATTACTTCATTCAGCACAAGGTCCACAAGGTCGCTGGTGGTAAGTCAATCACTGCTATGAATCTTTGTCACTTGACTTTTTTTCGCTCTATTGACACATATCTCTAGCTTACACCCGATACGCCTTTTTTGAGTGGTCTTTGATTTTGTTCGATGTGGGCTTTGATGCGATTACGGTGCTTGACTTTGAGGGATTCGAGCTGGTGGTGCGCGATGTGAAGGGAATCAGCAGAGGGTATGTACCGTGGCTTCCGAAATGACACCCACAACAAATGTATAGTGCCATGTTACGTTTGGTTATGAGAAAAAGCATTTTCTAAATTGGCTATCATTTCTCAGGCAGTTGAAGACGACTGCGGATTCTGTCCTTGAAAAAGAGTGTGTACTTCCCATAAGCTCCTCGAAACCCCTTCGGAGGTTAACCACGTAGTATAGGAAGGGCAAGTCTGTCGGCAACACCTTCGGCGAGGGCTTCTTCTGGACTGAGATCATTGACGCCGCTGCCGACGTTTACAACGGAGTATGGTGCCTAGCTTGATAGTATTGAAAATTCGCTGACGGTTGACTATAGTTTGTTTTCTGGACAATTGTGACCGGTCTACCCGTGCTTGTGTGGTGTTAGTGACACCAGTCTTTCTTACACTGGAGAACAACCCTGCTGACTTTATATTTATAGATTTCCCACTGTGGCATATGGGTATCTCGGGTTATGAAGTTGCCATTGCTGCATGCATGTCGCCTCTATTTTTTGCCATCCCGTCTTTGAGACAGCTGGCCGTCAAGAACCTCCGTCTTCTTCATTTGATTTCCCTGGCTGGCCTCCTGGCCTACAAGTTCCAGGATCCCGCTAACCGGCTCTTTGTCACTGCCTTCGCTCTCTCGACCACCTGCGCAGCGTGGACTGCGACCTTCTTTGCTGAGCGTGCCAACACGCCTCGTCTGGAGACTCGTATCATGGCCTGGGGTATTGGTCTCATCATGTCCACCATTTCCAAGTTTGCGTGCTCCACCAATAATCCTCTCTGGCCGATTATGCACGCCGATAATGGCGGTTGGAACAAGATCGGTCTTTTCATTGCTGTCTTTGCCGTCCTTCGCTCCCAGCGGCCCACCACTACTAGCGGCGGCGACTATCTCCCTGCCAGCGGCAAGAAGGGCTCGTCTATCCTGGCTGGTATTGGCTTCGGTGGACTAATGTTTGCCATTGTGTCTCTTCTCACTGACTCAAGCACTATGATCTCGTGGGTTTGGGAGGGATACCCCGTCCGTGGCCCGATTGCTGTGCCCCATGGTGCTGTAACTATCTTCGTCATGGGTGCCGGTCTCGTTTATGGTGTGTTCCACCCTACTACTGCTGGTAGCTGGACTGCCTTTGGAATCGGCTCGCTTGGCGCGGCTCTTTTGACTTGCTACCACCACTGGACTGGATATTATGGAGCCCTTGCTTTCGCCTTCTATATTATGGCCGTTTCTCCTGTCCTGATCAGTTCTGGTGTCCGTCACTCCCCGGCGACCGTGTTTGGCGTTGGCTTCCTTTTCTATGTTTTCATGCTTCTCTTCCATGTCTGGGTTGTCGCCTATGCCTTTGTTCCTGGTGGACCGCTTGTGCGTGAACATACTGATTGGGTCATGATCACCACTATGCTCGCCATCGGCGCTGGTGTATTTTCGGCTGCGACCTCGAACTCGACTCGCTCCCGTAACAAGCCCATCAGCCCCAACAGCAAGCGCCAACGCTCATATTACATCTATGTCCTTGCTGCCCTGCAGCTGCTCTCCGTGTCGGTGGCCTATCTCCGCTTCCCGACTAACGACTATGTCCCTCACCACAAGGAAGACAAGGTGGTAACTGCCGGTATCTGGACCGTCCACTTCGGCCTGGACAACAATATGTGGGCTGCCGAGCGCCGTATGCGTGATGTCATCGGTGAGCTTGAGCTCGATGTCATCGGCTTCCTTGAGTCCGACAATCAGCGCATTATCATGGGTAACAAGGATGTCACTCAGTACATCGCCGAAGATCTTGGCTACTACGCCGACTTCGGGCCTGGTCCCAACAAGCACACCTGGGGTGCGGCCTTGCTGTCCAAGTTCCCCATCGTCAACTCGACCCATCACCTGCTCCCTTCGCCTGTTGGTGAACTTGCCCCTGCCATCCATGCCACCCTGGACATGTATGGTGAGATGGTTGATGTGGTTGTCTTCCACTCCGGTCAAGAGGAAGATCCCGAAGATCGTCGTCTCCAAACTGAGTATCTGTCGAAACTAATGGGCTCGTCCCCGCGCCCTCTGATCCTGTTGAGTTACCTGGTCACCAAGCCGCTCGAGGGTAACTACAACACCTATGTCAGCGATGTCAGCGGTATGAAGGATATCGATCCAACTGATTGGGACCGCTGGTGCGAATACGTCCTTTACAAGAAGATTCATCGCACCGGTTATGCTCGTATCAGCCGTGACACTATCACGGATACTGAGATACAGGCAAGTCACTCTCCATTCCTTCACGTGCTGTCTATTCTGAATTTCACTAACTGGAGATATAGGTCGGCAAGTTCGTCGTCGGCGAGCCCGAGCCCGAAAACGAGATGCGTGTCCCAGAGGACATGGTTCCCGTTGGCCGGCGCTTCCCGGCTCTCTTCCGTGGCGATGGTGTCCGTGGACACCGCTACCATGTCTTCGATGAGCCCCGGTACTGGCAGTAAGCAGTATCTAGCTCAGGAAGATGGTATATTTGCGTTAACAGAAAATGGTTGCTTTCGAGGGACTAGACCTCATGATTTTTTCTAGCGGTGAAATAAATTGGAATGGAATGGTGAAAACTTCAATATCCCAGTGGCTGCATACTAGCAACAAATTAATGCTATTTTCTCTTGTTCACCTCTGTTTCTATTTGCTTTACTGTTTTCTTTCCAACTCTTCCGAAAGCCGTCAGTATTAAAAACCCTGATATAAGCACCTAGATCGCTCGACCACCGGTATACAAATCATGCTGGTGTAGACTAAGAAAAGTTGAACGAGGCCAGTGAGATCAAGTAGTCAAACATCCAGAAACTAATTCATCTGCTCGCTTCTCGATTCCTTCAACAGATTCAACGGCCAGTGTTCAATCCCCGCCCTTCCGGGGAATGTACGCCAATCGAGGGCAGTTCCTTTTACTATAATCCGGGGTCTCAGGTCTGGTAGATCAGGTCTGGAGATCTCGGATGTGCGAGCCGCCCAGTCAACACGATTACCGATCTTGTTTTCTTGCGCAGATCCGCAAAACAGGCTGGATCGATGCCCCTAGGAACGCGTTCCAGGAGTCCAGTTCTTCCTTAGAATAGAACAATGACGGCAGTAGAGTAGCACCCTCACATTCCAAGGGATAAACGTCATACCTAATCACATGTTCCTGGCCGGTCTCTTGATTCTTTCACGAGACAGAACAACCGAGTCATTTGCAAGTTTCGGGGACTGTCCAGCGACTGCAATACAAAGAACACCGCGCCCTAGCCGTCTTGCCTCTCTTTCGCCCCATAACTCAAAGAAGGCAAATTCTGCGCCGAAATTATGATTCATGATCGACGCTGTTAGTTATCGCTTTGGTCTGAAAAAAAAAAGGTAATCCCACTAATCTTGCAAGAATGAATGATGATGGCATTTCACATATACCACCAAGCTCAAATCCATCTTAGCTTCTTCTCAACCCTAAGGATCCTCGGGAAAAGATTTTGATCTTGAGAGGACCATCTCGTCAAGGTGCATTCAGTCTTTTTGGCAATCAAATCTTGCTCGGAAAGACGTATCCCCATGGTCAATATAGGAACTCAGGTATCGTAGCTTGTATCAGCAAAAGCAGAGAACATTAACAAGCAGATCTTCTGACCCGTCTCCGGAGCAATTTTGAGTTACAGCATTCTAGAGGTCAGACTGAATATAGTCTTGAACTCAAAGCAAGTTGGTTGACAGGTTTAAAAAATTGACCCCGTGTCTTTGTCCCCAGTGTCCCTTGGGCATTCTGCTGCGTGGGGCCGAGCGAAGAACTATACAAAGAACCCATTTTTGTTGGCCCGCCAGGCGCTCACATTTCTTTGAGGGAATTAGTAGACATAATCAGGCGTCATTGAGTGCTCTAAAGACGTACTTTGACCAAGCGTTTCTCTCTCGACTCTTGCCTCCTTTGCATAGTGACGTTTCGCATAATATTTCGTCCACTAGGAAGATTGTAAAACTAGTGAGCATCATCCCAAGCAACGAAATAATTTTTTTTCATTATACTCATAACCAAAGCCATATTTTCAGACACTTGGAAATTAATCTTCGAATCCTTAAATTCCGCACCGCATCACCCTTCTCCTAGCACAGACGCAGCAGATGACTCGGGATTCCCCCCGACCTCCTTCTGACACCCCGGCTGCGAGACAGAGCAGGACCCGATCTTCAAACAGAGGCAGCCGAGAATTAAGAAACGAACTTAACAACTCGGACGAGGCTCCAACATCAACTTCAAAGACAACTGTCGGGATGGTCAATGATTCTAGTGTAAGTTCGGGTATGGCTTCCCTCGGAGTCTTATCTGAACTGAAGGGGGCGCACAAAGCTCCCATGAACAAGAAAGAGAACACTGGAGCTCAATCAAAGTCACAAGGGCTCACCATGGTGCCCAGGACTGTGGACCCCACGGGGACGTCGCTAAAATTCCATACTTCCTCCAATGCCAATTTGCACAAGACTCCAACTCTCTACTTTGGGAGTAATGCACCATTCCCTCGTTGGCGAGTTGAACCAAGTGGCTTTGGCCTTGGCAAAGACAATGAGAGAGATTTAATCAGAACCCATCCAGCTAGAACTATTGTTCGTGGTCTACGGCCAGACTCCCACGCTTTTTCTGGGGATACGAGAATCGGTCTCGCCGAGCTTAAGTGGGTATTTGATCCAGGATCATGGACGTCTTGGGTTAGCATGAACGGCGCACAGCTTCATGATTTTGCCCTGGAGGAACTCGAAAATGCGCTGCGCGATCCCATAATTCGAGCTCAATTCCGCAAATTGATCTTCAGAGGTCCGTACGCAGCCTCAGTCGCCAATGTTGCAGACCCATTGCCGCCGATGCCACAGCTGCCGACTAAAGCTCGAATCTTACCTGAACCAGTCAAGGAAGCTTCCCGTCGGATTGAGAAACGCCATACTTTCTACCACTCTTACAAGCGTCCAGCTTTGGTCACTCCGAGGCGTGGACGATCCAAGCCAACAAAGTCAGCTTTAGCTCATCCTATCTCCTCGAGGATATTTAAAACCATGAAAGGAACCCAGGGACTTCCCGGACACATCAGCCAATCCTTAGATCCAGAAGCAGCTACCTTGCCACCTGAAAAATACAATAGCTTTGATACTGAGAGCTTGAGTACACCAACTTCTGGTGAAGAAGAATTGGATCCCACCGAATTTCACAAAGCACGGGGGTCGTCACCAGCGCCTCCTGAGCATGGGCCCAAAACCGCTCGAATAGGTGAGTACAAATGTGTTTGGGTTGGCGTTATAATCCTAGTCATTTGCATGTTCGTATGTCTCTTTCTGTATTCAGTGCACATTATTTGATGATGTATGTAGGAATGTGCCAATGTATAAATGTACCTAGCCTTGGATGAGTGGACCCTACGCAAAATCTCACTTATCATGCAACTCATGCTGGCCGTTGAGGCTTTCTTGATAATGGATGAAGGACTCACTTCCTTTCCATTTCCGAGGGGCTCCTTGCACATATCCAAGCCTTCTTTTTCCCGACCTGAGAACAAAGCTTAACCGTTTACTGGTGGCTTAGCGATAGTCGTGCTAACCTTTTCCATTCTCTCAGACCCGGAGACATCAAAGCAGACCCCCCATCAAGGTTCAGGTGAGTTAAATCCTTTCGGTCAAAACAAGAAATAGGCAGTTGTACATGCTGACCTCATTTGAATATAAAGCCCCAAATTTCCAAAGAGCGCAGGGAATTTTCGGGGCCTTGCTCAATCCAGACACGAGGGAAGCAGAACTGTGTAGTTCAGAATCTGGATCATCCCAAAATGAACCACTGCAGCGTTCAATATCTGTATCAATCCCAAAGCTTGGATTTAATGACGGGGATTATCTTCGATCATGTCAGCGAATTTGCGACGATCCCGTAGAACGAGTGAAGTTCTTCCCAGCAGTCGAATGCTTCCGTCGAATACGGCCATGGGCAGGTGCGACCATGCCACCAGTCATTGAGCAGAAGGCGAGAAATACTCTACCTCCTTTTAGTATCCCCTATCGCCCATTTAGTTCCATGGACTCTACGGTTGTAAGTTGACCTATTACTGGCTCTCGTGGAATAAGGGGCTGACTCGATACAAAGTCGGCTGACTCGCATACCTCTATCCTCAGCCCATCGGAGACAAGGAGAGCATATACTCGAGATAGATCAGGTAGGTTTATGAAACAGAAATAGCAGGGTGAGAGAAAGCGACAGCCATGAAATAAATATATATGCGTGCTATGGTGCTTGAATTGTTCTGTTCTGGGTAGATTGTTTTGTATTGTTGAAATGCGTTTCTATTCATGAATGAATTGTAGTTATTCGGATGAAGCTTTAATATGGACTTAGTCATCTTAAGTTGTTTTCTCCTGGCCCTATGTAGGATAGAGCCATGTATCTCAGGTATAGTTTTTATCTCGATTTGTGATTGGGCTATCAAAACAGATCACATGACCAGAAGCTCCAAACAACGCAAACACACCAGCTGGGTTTCCGGCCGGGACAAAGCAGATCGGACGGTAACGTCAAATGCTCTTTCTCGAATATCTAACCTCAGTCCTCATTTTCTTTCGTTTACAGAGGACTAGACTGCCTTATTTAAATCATGAAGCCATGAGATATCCTGTGTCCTGAACAACAATACTCAGATTTGGCTTGATTGGACGTGTCCTTCCCTTGTCGCGAACACACTCCCTCGACTAGAGTAAGGTGGATGAATCGCGACTCAACAAAAGGAGCCCATCATGTTCACATTCACACCATTACTCGGAGCCCAGTCCTCATCCTCGAGAGCTTCGCAGTCGATCTTGGAGCTCGATGGTGGCATCAAGATCCTCGTGGATGTTGGCTGGGACGATACCTTCGATACCCGGGACTTGGCCGAGCTTGAGAAGTCGGTTTCCGTTCAATCTTCCCTGTCTTTGACAATTTAAAACTAATTCCTTGCTTCCGATAGACATATTCCAACTCTTTCCCTTATCCTTCTGACTCACGCGACACCCGCGCATATCGGTGCCTTCGTTCACTGCTGCAGAACGTTCCCTCTCTTCACGCAAATCCCAATCTATGCTACCAGCCCAATCATCGCGCTTGGCCGTACAAGTCTGCAAGATCTCTACTCATCAGCACCCCTTGCCGCTACTTTCCTCCCCCAGGCCTCCATTTCAGAACCTGGCGCATCCTCGGCCGCGTCGGCGGTATTTTCGGCGGGAGAGAGTGAAGAAAAATCCGAAGCTGCTGGCAGCACAGGGCGTGTTCTTCTTCAGCCACCTACGACTGAGGAAATTGCCCGATACTTTTCTCTCATTCAGCCGCTTAAATACTCACAACCTCATCAACCTCTCCCATCTCCGTTTTCGCCGCCCCTGGACGGGCTCACTCTTACTGCTTACAACGCTGGACATACTGTCGGTGGAACGATCTGGCATATTCAACATGGGATGGAGTCTATCGTCTATGCGATGGACTGGAACCAGGCGCGCGAGAGCGTCGTTGCAGGTGCTGCGTGGTTTGGCGGTTCTGGAGCCAGCGGCACGGAGGTCATTGAACAATTGCGCAAACCCACAGCCTTGATTTGTAGTACTAAAGGAGGCGATAAGTTTGCGCTCTCTGGAGGTCGCAAAAAGAGAGACGATCTGCTTCTTGATATGATTCGAAGCAGTCTTGCGAAAGGTGGCACTGTTCTTATCCCAACAGATACTAGCGCCCGAGTATTGGAGCTGGCGTATGCACTCGAACATGCTTGGCGCGATGCCGCGGCGGGTGGAAAAGATGATGTCCTTCAATCAGCCGGCCTATATCTGGCCGGAGGCAAGGTCAACACGACAATGCGTCTTGCTCGAAGTATGCTGGAATGGATGGATGAAAACATTGTTCGCGAGTTTGAAGCCGCCGAGGGCGTAGATGGAGCTACCGGCCAGAAGACCGGGGGGCAAAGTCAGGAAAAGAGCAGCGGCAAGGGTGTTGGTCCCTTCACTTTCAAGCACCTCAAGACTGTGGAGCGCAAGAAGCGACTTGAAAAGCTTCTGGCCGACCAGGGACCCAAGGTCATACTTGCATCTGATACCTCTTTGGCTTGGGGATTCTCGAAAGAATCACTGAAACGGGTTGCCGAAGGTCCAAACAACTTGCTTCTTTTGACCGACTCCTTCCGGAAGAAGGCAATCGAGGGAGCGGGAAATTTCTTCAATAACATTTCTCTTGGGGCCACTCTTTGGCAATGGTACGAGGAGCGGAGGGATGGCGTGGCACTCGAAAAGTCTTCGGAAGGGGAATTACTTGAACAAGTTCACAGCGGCGGGCGTGAATTGACATGGACTGATGTCCAGCGCGCGCCTTTGAATGCAGGAGAACAATTACTTTACCAGCAGTACCTGGCCACCAAGCGACAACTCCAGGATGCCTCTCAAGCACGTGGGCAGGAAAATCTTGAGAATGCCGCGGATGCCCTTGATGATCGGTCCAGCTCAACTTCCTCCGAGGATTCTGACTCGGAACAACAAGGCCGCGTGCTTAACTTTTCGACTACACTTGCACATTCGAATCGCAGCAAACTGGCGCTCAGTGATGAAGATTTGGGTATCAACATTCTCCTCCGACGGAAAAACGTCTACGATTACGATGTCCGTGGCAAGAAAGGCCGCGAACGCATATTTCCGTATGTTGCACCGAGAAAGAAAGGCGACGAATATGGAGAGTTTATCCGTCCTGAGGAATATCTTCGAGCGGAAGAGCGTGAAGATATCGACGTACAGCAACGTCACTCTGATGCTCAGACAAAGCTTGGCCAGAAGCGACGGTGGGACGAGAATATCGGCGCTGGCGGGCGTAAGCTTTCCGGCGGTGCTGCTGGAAACAAACGTCAACAACTTTCCAAAGATGGCCAAATAGTGGCGGCAGGTGCCGGTGATGATCTCAGTATTGTCTCAGATGGCGATGGTGCTGATGCTGCAGTATCTTCCGAAGACGAAGCTGATGGGCAGACGTTCGAGGGCCCAGCCAAGGCGATTTATAGCAAAGAGTCCGTCACGATTAATGCCCGCATCGCCTTCGTTGACTTCACGGGCTTGCACGACAAACGCAGCTTAGAGATGTTAATTCCTCTTATCCAGCCACAGAAGCTCATCCTGGTCGGCGGAATGAAAGAAGAAACATTTGCATTGGCAGCCGAGTGCAAGAAGCTCCTCGCTACTAAAATCGGCGTTGACGCCTCGGCAGCCGTAGCGGATGCATCTGCCATCATTTTTACTCCTGAGAACGGCGATACTGTTGATGCAAGCGTCGACACGAACGCTTGGACTGTGAAGCTGAGCAACAACCTTGTCAGGCGACTTAACTGGCAGCATGTTCGCAGCTTAGGCGTCGTTGCTTTGACAGCACAGTTGCGAGGGCCCGAGCCCCCTGCAGATGAAGCTGGAGATGGTGACGACGTCGAAACAGCTGGCAAGAAGGTCAAGCTAATCAAAGATGAAGCTGCCTCGTCCGCTTCTACGCCGAATATTGAGAGCAGCACTGAGAAGCCACATGCATTGCCTCTTCTCGATACCCTGCCTACTAGCATGGCTGCTGGCACCCGCTCCGTGGCCCGACCACTCCATGTTGGCGACCTTCGTCTTGCTGACCTTCGCAAGCTCATGCAAGCAGCAGGGCACACAGCGGAATTCCGCGGTGAAGGAACTCTCTTGATTGATAAATCAGTTGCAGTGCGGAAATCCGGCACCGGTAAAATCGAGATCGAGGCCTCCGCCCAGGCGGCGGCAAACCAGGGTGCCTTGGGTCGTGGCGTTGGCAGTTTCCTTGCCGTAAAACGGAAGATTTACGAAGGTTTAGCTGTTGTAACAGGAAGCTAGGATGTTTTGTATTTTTAAAAGGGAACAATCTATACTTTAAATAAAACCGCTGCAACATCAATCATGATTTTCTTACTTCCATGCTAAACTTCCTAGAGTAAAGCATCTCCAGCGAAAACATAAAGGTGACCAGATTGTCTCGGAAGATCAAGAATGATGTAGTTAATTATTTGTCTGATTTTATGTAACGTCGAGAGCTGGCCAATCCCAGTGACCTATCATATTAGTATAAAATGATCGAATCGGCCATTTGTTTCTTGAGTCTGTCCTCATAAACCTCTCCCATTGTAAGCTCCAATGTTGGGCTTCGAAGACGAAGAAGTAGAAACGATGTTATTCCAAAAGTCATGGCCACCGTTGTCAGTAACAAAGATCCCACTTTCTAAAGCAGGGCTCCCAGAGCGCAGTTGATAACCATTAACGGAGTCAAGACTATCCTTTCCAGTTCCGGGATTGGTGAACTGTGGATTACCAGTACTTCCAGCCGTATCCAAGGGCATTGCAACTGTTTGAAATAGATTCGTATTCCATTCAATAAAGGCCCCAGTTGGTAAGGTTGAGTTCGCAGTCCCAACCCAAATATTATTCGAGAGGTTGGTATGTGGCGGCACTGAGATTTCAAATTGCTTATCTGGGCAGTAGACCACATTATTATAGAACTCCAACTGTACATCGTCTCCGTTGCTGTACATTCGGCAGTCGTTTTGGAAGATATTATATCGCACGATCTGAGTGGCACCGCCGGCTGTTCCGCAGCCGTCACAATTCAAGAATATCCCTCCGGCATTATCATGGCTGTAGTTGTATTCGACCGTACAAGTGCCCTCGTTGCCCCAGTCGCAGTCGAATGCTTCACTGTCAACGTCGGACATGAGCGAATCGTGCACCACGTTGAAGCGCATCACTGCGTCCTCGCACCCTAATACCCATATTCCGGCGAAGTTACCCCCAGTATATGGATACTTGCCGTGGCCGAGGAACCCACAGACATTCTTTTCAACCATAGGGGATATGCCATATGATACGACTATTCCATCACCACCAACGTTGGAGACGTTGTTCCCCCAAATATGAGTTTCTGCGCCCCGGTTATTCATCTGACCGACGCGGACCTTGATGCCGCCTCCACCACAGTCATAGATGGTATTGTCGTAAATGCGAACATCGTCATACCGACTGCCGTTCTCGGTGCCGTTCACAATAATGCCCGCGGAGGCTATAAAGGCAGCTGACTGGGTTGCTTTATTCGTTTCGCCGGCAACATTATAGACTGTAACATCGTGGATATAAAGGCCGCGGTGGACATTTCCATCTTCCGATATCGCCGCAATACCCCGTCGCCAGGCAATCGTCGAGGCAGGGTTAATGACTGAAATTTTGGAAATGTCCCAATAATTCTGATTGGTCAAACGGACAGCCTCCTCTGCTCCTGAACCGTTGATGATAGGCAAAGCGCCATCGCCGTAACTGGTGAGATATATAGGGCTGCTCTGCGTACCACTACCTTTCGGTGATAGCGTGCCTATACATGTTGTCCCAGCTTTGATTTCCAATGAGTCTCCAGGGTTCAAAATTGCTTCGTTGACCTTTGCAAGGGAACTGAAAGGATGAGACCTGCTCCCATTACCCTCTGAACTTTGACTGCAGTCGACATAAAAACTGCCTCCCAACGATGGTTGGGCGAGGCCCAAAAGGACTGCAATGGCGACACCGTATCGCACAGTCTGGAAGAACATGTTTGTATTCAATGATTCTAGCAGAGAATCCTGTTCCAAAACATATTTTGTGATAGTTTGTTGACAACATTAAAGCAATCATACCCTTTAAATAGGGGCTGTGCGGTTGCCGACCATAGGCTTCTCAGGAAACATGATTGATCAGCGTCACAAGGGCGACCACGATTTCCTCGCAAGTGGATTTGTCTGTGAACATTATCATTCGGACCTTTTCTTCGACCGAGTTGTTCCTGGCCGGTCGAATTGATTGCCCGAAGAACCGAGCGTTCTGAACGTCGATCCATTCTGGGAGCGGGGTGCAGGTTACGGGCTACGGAACCAGATGCAGTGATTTATCTCATCCGAAGGATTTGATGCTTCTGACTTCACTAGGATGATTAGTTGGAGCCTGGTCGACAAATTCAAGTATGTCCAAATCTCAGGACGTTTGCTAATATCTTCTCTCGGAAGAATGTTTATGGAAACCATGGAATATATTTCATTTCAATGCCTTGGATTTGGCACAATAGCTGCCCGATTTCTATCAATAAGTACTCTAATATAGATCTTGATTCATTATAAAGCAAGACCCATATCCAAGAGCCGATTTCCGAGCTCTAGAAAGTAGTAGTCGGCATAGACTAAGCCATGGTCCCAGTGTCGATCGGCGTGATCCTCATTGAAATTCGCAGTTGATCTTTCTAGAATCGAATCGAAAAGACGCCCCTCAGATTCTCCAGATGACACAACTCGGATTGTTTCGCTCTTTTTGTCAAAGGACAGGCACACTTGCTCTCGATTATATGCTAATGCGATCGTGTCATTTGCAATGGCCAAGGCATACTCCAAATAGCGTCTGGCACACTCTGGTCGGCCCAAACTGAGAAGCTGCCCGTAGAGAATAATCATACCATTTGCAGCAATCAAGCCAGCAGACACGTCTCTCAGAGGCGTTTGTATCCCTTTGACAGTGGTAAAAGTAATCGGTGCATCGAAATCCCATAGCGGAACGTAACGTCCATGGCCGCTCGCTTCAATGACTTTCGGCGAAAGTTCCATGCGATATATGAAATAGTCCGCTAGGCCCATTGCGGTTTGCAAAAAGACCTCTTGTTTGGTCCATGAGAATGTCTGCGCGTAGCCTAGGATTGCCCAGGCCTGCCCTCTTGCCCAGGTTGAGTTGTCCGAATAGCCCTGAGCAGTGAATTTCCGTTTCAGATGCCCTTTATTAGCTGGACAAAAGTTGACAGCATGGTAAGTTGAATAACACGTCTCTCTATTGGGCACAGACTCTTTGCGAAGATGTGTAGTCAGAAGAGTAGTGGCGTGTGTTTTTCCGATGGAGAGAAGGCGAGTAGATCGCGTATAATTCGCAGCATAAAAGAGTAGATCGAGATCTGTCAATAATATTTTAGTTTCATGTTTTAATAACAGAAAAGATAATTCGGACTTCGTACTGCACAAACTATCAATTATGACTATGAAGTCTTCTTCCATATTTTCAATGTCATGATGCGCATTTGAAAATCTGTTCCAACTGCGAATAGCCCCAACCCGGTCATCATATCTTGAAGCTAAGCTGTCGGCCGCAGATAATAGTGCATCCAAACTTTTCTGTCGACCAAAAAGCTCCCAATCCCTTTGAAGAGCTGGCTGGACAATGAACCCGAGATCGTGAGTGTCTTTTCGAGATGCCATAGAGAAAAGAGGTTCAGACCATTTACAACACAGATTGGTCACATAGGAAAGAAGCTTGGTATGAAAGTCATTTGGAAGGGCGGTCCCAACGGCGATTGTAGATATACTTGATCCGGGGTACTTTCGAAACCTCTCAAGAAGACAGTAAAGACTACCGGGAAAGAACCCGCAAGTCCAAAATTCAGCATCTCTGCATTGATATTTTCCATAGCTTGAACCAGTCTGAGGCACTGTTTCTGGGAAGCGGGTCGGTGGATTCTGAAGTGACTAGGGTTAAGGAATCTAATTGAATAACGATGGTGCATCTTGTTTCTTACATTGTTTTCTAAATATGTCGAACCAGTTCTCAGAACTTTCGCCAGCGTATTTTCTTGGAACAAAGGTGCCAGGCCCAGGAGAGTCTTTGATCCATGACCACCGCCTGCAATATGGCTCAAGGATTTGGATACGATATCCATGGCTGGGTCTATGGATAGAGGACGCGGGCTAAGAATTTCAGGTGCCATGATATCAAGGGCGAAAACGGGATGGAATGAGCTGTCAAACACCTGGACGATGAAGCCTAACGAGTCAGTGGAAAACTAAGACTAATTAATAGCGGCGGATTACCCAGAATTTCATGGAGGATTGTCGTACAAAATGCAAGATGACCATCAATTCTCGGCCCGCGTTGTGTATCGGGTGGATCTCTCGCCCGAAGGCCGGTGGTAGCGCACGAGGGATTTCATACAAGTCTACAGAAATCTTAACGCCTTTTGTTTCATTTTACTAGGGAACTGACAATATTTTTATTACTTTTCAAAAAGAGATATTGCGACTATGTCGAAATTTTCATATCAAGAAGCACTTATCTACGCATGATCGAGTCTTGAAAGCTGATTATTCGATCCATATCCACATACTGAGGATCGAGGAGAAAGTCAGACAACGTACCAAGTCCCTCTATATGATTTCCAAGGGGCAGTGTCGCTTGGGGTTCAGGAAAGATGCCATCCAGGGCTATGTTCATCCTCTCTTGCGGTGGAGGAGTTGGTCCTCTCTGAGAGGGAACTGCTCCTGGTCCAGCTGAAAAATGATCTTCCCTTTCGAACCTCGTACTGTGGAAAGAACCCGACGATGGGGTATGTAGCCTTTGGGTATGGTCAATTAGTAAACAGCACTATCCCAAGACAGGAGCTGAGGGCTTACGTATTGTTGAAGGGACTCTGTTGGCTGTTTTCAGGTCTCAACCGACTTCCACTGATGTAGTGAGATTGTCTCTCACTAACGGGTATTATGCTATGGCGTTGTTGGCCTCGACGCTCTTCGATCCATTGGCTTTCTCGTAGATTGGAGTCCGGCATTTGAATCCCAAGAGCTGTATTTACCTCCGCAACATAGCCCATTGAAGAAGTGCTCAAGAAGGGCGGCCCGTCTCTATTTTGTAGAGCCTGGAGTTGATCCAAGAGATTGCCTGCAAAGCTCCTCACCTCACAATTCAGTCTTAAGCCTGGATTCATCGATATCCAACGGTCAGACATCTGCTGGAGGCTAGACAGAAGTACATGATACGCCTCGGGGACAACGGAATTATGAATGTGCGAATGAACTGCATAATAGCACAGGGTCAGCCGCACTCAATTAAGAGGAAATGCAGAGCTTACCAAGCAAAACACGAGCACTAAGAAATGCACAAAAAGAGAATTGTGGGCTGACCAGTCCCACAAATGGTGTGTATTGCAAGTACTTTTGAACAATGTTGGCAGTCTCTGACGCAGCAAGTTGGCAAGTTTCAGCACTTCCTGAGCTTACTGATCTCAACTTTTCAAAGACAGTGTTGTGTGGATACGCAATCGTCTGGTGGAGTAGTATCATTGATGTATTGTGTGTGATGTGTGCAAGAGTGAGATTAGGGTCCATATGCACGAACGCTGGTTCTTTCGAAATGTTAGAATCTTTCCACCTTCGAGGTAGGAACATTTTCCAGCTGGAAGAATAAAAGGATTAGAGATATGTTATATGAATATGCGATAGTTCTCCAATTGATGCTTACTGGATAAGCTGTAGATCTAATTCCTTAAATCGAGTCAGCCAAGCGCTGAACTGGTGTTTGTTTTTGAAATCGACAGGCCGCTGAAGGAAGTATTTGACAACACGGTTAAGGGACTCTGTCGCTTCCACGCAATAGGCAAATGATCCTATAGTGGAAAGGTCTGTATTTCTCTTTTCCGGGGACTGGGAAACAGGGGAGATGCGTTCGGATGTCGATGCTGTAGCCCCATCGTCCTTGTCTCGGTCAGAAAGGGAAAAAAAATGACTTGGAAGAAAAGACACTGATTTCCCTATCTTGGCCATCGATGTATCCCAAATGTTCAAAAATGGAGTTATCACAGGCTCTTCCTTGACCCAATAAAGACCGTCACTGGGTAGTCGGACTTGAACGTCCTCACTGGACAGGCTCATATTCCACCTGGTTTATGAGAAGGAATTATTGGAGGTACCTTGACTATTGAGTGCGGAAAAATACCCTGTAACCATGGAACAGAACCGATCCAGCAAGAAGACATTCCAAAAGACGCGCCTTCGTTCTTCTGCTTCTGTCCAAACTCGAGGCGGTGGAAGGTGCCACAATGGCTTCAGACAATGGTCTTGCATATGGTTTTCTTCTGGCTCTTTGTGAAGCCCTAGAAAAACCACGGCTCGAGCAAGCATGCCTATGATTGGCCATGCCTTGTTGGCGGTTCCATCACCAATATGCACAAATGCTACTATGACAAGTGCTTGAGCGTTTTCAACAGATAATTGCCCCATTCCTGACAATAGTACAAGTTCAAAAGACCTCTGCAGAGCGGTTGGATATAGCTCAAGCCACTCTGTCGCAAGTCGTTCATTCGCGACATATCGCATAGCACATACCACCATAGCATGGAGGATTATGACTAGCTTTGACTTTTCTGAAGGGTCTCGCAAACGAGACCGAAATAGCATTTCATGAATAATCGGTATGAAAGGATGCACAACGGAGAAGTATGCGTCAAGAATAGCTTCTACCAAGTTGTTAGGAGGTAGATGAGATGTTGGAACCTGTTCGTTTGAGTCATTATCTTCATGACGTCGTCTTTTCTGAGATGTACGGCTTTCTGGTACCGCAATGTTTGGTTGACTTGACTCCGAGTTACTTTCAATTTCCATATTCTGGCCGCTAGATCGTTGAAGGGGTTGTTCCGAGAGCGAACGATGGCTCCACCATTCCTCCATCAATGATGATACCAAGCCTCTAATGTTATCTAAATCGTTATCTGGACTGTTCGAGCTTGAAACGTTGTTTACTGGACGTTGCTCGGCTCGAACCGCTCGCACTTCGGCTTCCAGTATCTCTGTAATGATGTGAGTGCCAGACTCAATACTTACTGATATCTTGATGAGTTTCTAATACTCACCTACTCTATGTGTCAATGTTTGGATTATTCCGATCTTCACGCCTGGTTTGTTTCTGGTATAGTCATAGTGACATTCAACACCTGGCCACTGATTAATCTCGAGTCTTTCGCGAGGCTGAATGCAAAGTGGGGGCTACCAAGACTCTTGCAACGATTACAGGCCGGAAGATTTCTCGAGCAGCGTAATTTTCGACTTCGACATGACTGGCATGCAGGTGTTTCTGACTCGTTACTGTTCTGTGTCGAGCCCTCTCGGGCGTCGGAGGAATCCATAGTGCGGCAAGAGTTAGAAACCGTGGGCCACGGGGAAAGGACGAAATTTGTAAAGTGCAGTAAGTCAATGCAGGTCCTTGGTCAAATTCACATCGAATGCATTCCAGTAGTTTTGCTAGCCTACGAGTACTACGGTCACAAATCTGGGGAAATTGTGGGGATCGGCGATGCTACACTGCCACCTGCCGGGAGAGTCAATCCTCCGAACTGGCTCCTTTACCCCTCACCGCACCAGACTCGTTTCGTATCAATTCCACCGGCAAAACCTTCTGCATTCGGGGCTATAATCTAAGCGAACTCGAGCTTGGCATGCGACAGGCTGAATACTATCGCAGAGGCGCTACTCTTCCCAACGTTATCCGGCACGGCACCTAAACAACGAAACAATTGCATAAGCTGTTCACGATGCCCCCTCTTCGTGGATTTTCCGACAATAGATTTCGGGACAGAAAGGATATACTGAGCGCAACAAAGGCTCTGACCTGCGCGCTTAAGCCTTACTTTTCACCTGGAAAGGCACGCGTCCAGTTGCCAGTCTATTCAGGCGCCCACTTTGACGAAACTGCCGCGCAGCTTGAAGGTTATGCGCGCCCAATCTGGGCAATAGCCGCCGCGGTTGCAAGCAATTTCGATCTAGAAGAGCCGGAAATTGCCTCATATGTCCAAAATTTGGTAGAAGGTCTTGCCAATGGAGTCAACCCAGCGCATCCCGAGTACTGGGGTGCTGTTGGAGACTGGGATCAGCGAATGGTGGAGGCTGAACCAATCTCATTCGCAATTTTAATGGCACCCAAAATTTTCTATGAAAGACTGTCAGACAGAAGCCGCTCACACTTAATCGACTGGCTATCTGGCCTCAATGGCAAGATAATGCCGGAAAATAACTGGCGGTGGTTTCGAATTTTTTCGAATCTTGCTTTAAGCCGCGTGTGCGGGATACCCTATGAACAAGTTCAATGCTACATTGACAACGATTTTGCGATGTTGGATCGCTTTGAGCTAGTGAATGGGTGGTCCGCCGACGGAATCTGGAGGGATGATTCGGGCTCGGGGAAGGAGGCCTACAGTCGACAGGCGGACTACTACTCAGGGAGCTTTGCAATCCAGTATAGCCAGCTTCTATATTGTATAGTTGCTGCAAAGTCTGATCCTGGTCGAGTAGCCCGCTATCGCTATATGGCAAGGCAATTCGCGGCTCAGTTCTGGAGATTTTTCGATGAAGATGGCGCCGCCATTCCTTTTGGCAGATCGTTAACCTATCGATTCGCTATGGGAGCTTTTTATGCAGCCTTCGCTGTTGCCAAATGCTATGATGGTTCAAATCGTTATACTTCTCCAGGCTTCGTGAAAGGGGTGCTGCTACGACATCTGAGATGGTGGGGAAAGAACTCTTCACAGATATTTTCCGTCGATGGAACTTTGACCATCGGGTACCTTTATCCAAATATGTTCATGTGCGAGGACTACAATTCGCCACAATCCCCTTACTGGGCCATGAAAAGCTTTGTGGTTCTAGCCCTGGAAAGCACCGACGAATTCTGGACTGCTGCTGAAATTGCGCACCCCTTTCTTCCTCATCGCCCGAATATGGCCTTATTTCCGGTGTTGAATTTCTGCCTGCACCATCTCAAATCCTGTGTAATCACCGCAATGGCCAGCATCATTTCTTACTTTCGGGTGGTCAGTTTTGTATGTGGCCTTTGAAGGCAACAGAAGCAAAATACAGCAAGTTTGCTTATTCTTCTGCATTCGGTTTCAGCGTTCCAACCGGACGCCTATTGACTCAACTCGCTCCAGACAACTCACTTGTCATTAGCCGCGACGGTGGAGATTCATGGGCCACAAGATGGGAGACTATTGGAAGCCCCCGTCTGAGAAGTATTGCTTTTGGTAACGCAAAACTACAATGTGTGCAGAGCACATGGAAGCCATGGAGAACAGGCCATATGGAAGTTGAGACGACTCTTATCCCGCCATGCGATCAATGGCCAGATTGGCACATCAGAATCCACAGCATAAAAAGTCTTCCGCGAGAGTCTATTGAACCAGAAGACATAAAGATTGTTGAAGGAGGATTTGGGATACAAGCAAAATACCCAAGGCAAATGGTCGCTCTAGATCAGAAATGGGGTAGGGGATCTGGACATGAGGGGATTCTGGAGACTAGCATCAGCGCACTCGCCTTGAGCAGAGCTGGTGTAAGTGGCTTGAAGAGCATTAATGATACAGAAACCGTTTTTGAGGGAAAAATATTGAAGTCCGACCCTAACACGAACTTGATAGAGCCTCGGGCTCTCATCCCTACAATAGAGCACAAAGCCAAAATTCGACCAGGTCAACGAGTGATAATAATCACAGCAGTGTTTGCGATTGCTAATGGAAAGAAAACTTTTACGCGAGAGGAGTTGTTCCGAAGATGGTGCCAACAGCCTCAGTTGGGTAATGTTGTTGAGATGCTAAATTATTAGGTTATTGTGAAAATACCTATAAGGTTCTTGCCTATTATCAAATTGAAACTCATATCCTTTGATTTTCACCGAAGGATCTACGTATTATAGTGGCAAAACAACCTACGATGCACTGGATCTCGTTGGATACTATATTTCTGATACACAATTCATAACAGCTTTATCTCTATATCCCAGAGAGATCAGAAATAAATCTTACTCACTTTCGTCATTCAACAGCTTCTTTTTTCGCTTGAGAGGCCGTCCTCCAGCGTGATGTGCGGTGGTTTGTTCATTGGTCTGTTGATGCCACTCGCTAGTGAGACACTTAAAGGGAATATATCTAAAGGCTTAGGAATCTTCATGAATGATGTCCTATCAAAGATGTCTTCGTATATGATCAAGTTCATGCCATGGTAGACCGATGGAATCACTGGAATGTGTCATCTCAAGGCTGCTTGCTGTCGGAGGGTTCTTTCACCCGAGCAACGGAGCATTCCCCGCCCGCAGCGTATTAGCGTCGAGATTGAGGGTCGATCGGAATACGCGCCAATCGGTTCGGTCATGCGGGCTTCCCAGACTGACTAGTGATCGAGAAGCTGTTCCATTGGAATATATAACGAAATCTAATGGCTTTTCCGAAAGGTCTCATTTCTTATCTCACACAACAGAATAATTTCTGGCCATCGTTCTTGATTATTGTCTAACTGCCATGACGGTTTCTTTGCAATCTACGGATGGAGGCTATGGTATCTTCAAGGAGCCGTTAGAAAAAGCATTTGTCCATGATGAAGGGCTTCCGACACGGCAAGATTTGCTACAGGCTCTCCAAGCTGAGAAGCCATCGCCATGGTCACCAAACCTGAGAAAGCTCTACGTTTTCTGTGTGATAGCCTTTCTATGCTCAACAATGAATGGTATCTATGCTTGCTTTGACTCACTATAAATGAAATGTCTATACTGATTACCTTCTAGGCTATGATGGATCTATCTTTGGTTCTCTTCCAGCCCTAGAATCCTTCAGGGGCCAATTCGGAGTTGAAAAGAATGGAGCAAAAATCGGTTACATTTCAGCAATGTACACTGTTGGCGCAATCTGCTCATTGCCATTCAGTGGACCGGCCTGTGATATCCGGGGCAGGAAATGGGGCACCTTCATAGGATGTATAATCGTTGTTGCTTCCACTTTCGTGTCAGCACTCTCTCGCGGCGTGCCTCAATTCGTCGCTGGGCGGTTCTTTCTCGGATTTGGTGTGAACATAATGAGATCTACCAGTTCTATCTGGTGTGCTGAAGTTTGCCCGCCTGCCTACCGTGGAATAATAATGGCTTTCTACAACTGCACCTACGCCGTTGGATCACTAATTGCTGCTGGCGTTACAAGAGGATCAGCCGCCTACGACGGTAACAAGTCCTGGCAAATCCCACTATGGTGTCAGATGATTTGCCCAGGAATTGTGCTTCTCACAGTATTATTTTTCCCCGAGTCTCCTCGATGGCTTTTCGCACACAGCCAGGAAGAAAAAGCTCTAGAATTCTTGGCAAAATACCACGGCGAAGGAAACCCTGATCATCCTCTAGTACAACTCCAGCTTCAGGAATACAGAGAATTTATTTCTCTTTCTGGATCTGATAAGCGCTGGTGGGACTTTAGTGACTTTTACAAAACAAAAGCAGGAAGATGGAGATTCATTAATGCACTTGTCACCGGAATATGGGGGCAATGCTCGGGCAACGCCGTTGTCACTTACTACCTCCCCGCCATGCTTCTTACGACTGGAATCACCGCAGATGAACAAGTGCTTAATGTCAATCTTGGGTATACCATTGTTTCGACCGTCGCTTCATACTTGGGGGCTAGTCAGATCCAAAGAATGGGCCGCCGGCCAACTATCATATGGACAGCTGTGGCTTGTTCGATATGCTTTGCCTGCATCACGATTGGCTCTGGATTATATGCTCATACAAATGCCCCATCGGCCGCCTCTGCTGGTATCGCCTTCATTTTCATCTTCGGATTCTGCTATAATGCAGGTATGACTCCTCTTCAAGCGCTTTATCCTGTGGAGGCTCTTTCCTATGAAACTCGAGGGAAGGGAGTTGGTTTAACGTTCTCAATTGCCCACGGATTCACTCTGCTCAACCAGTTTTGTTTTCCTGTAGCTTTGAAGAGAATTGGGTGGTATACCTATATTGTTTTCATTGTCTGGGACTTGTTTGAAGCAACGGTCAGTTATTTTGTGTCTGTTGAGACCAAGAATCACACCCTTGAAGAATTGTCGGAAATTTTCGAGAGTCCGAACCCAGTGAAAGCTTCTTTGAGAAAACCAATTTGATGAACAGAGGAAAACAATTCTTCAAAACTTTACTATAAGACCCAATCAGCTGAAGTACTGAATTCATCTCTTTAAAGCACAATTTCTGCTCATATTACTACTATTTCTACTACTTGAAGTAGAATGTAGAACTTGGAATTCGAGCATTATACAGATATCGACATAGGACATGTCCATGTATAACGTCATCCTAAGAACTGATTTTCTCCTCATTCAAAAAACCACTCTTGTTAATACTCCCTTCGCCTACATGATTAGAGCTTTGGAACTGGCAGTACTTAATTTGCCGATTGACTATTGATTTCACCTCTATCAAATAATCCCGCCTCAGTATAATAATAAATAGATCTGAAATTGTGGAACGTGGTACTGATTATCCGTCAAATTAGATTCTGTTTGAAGAGAATAATATTAAGAGCCAATCCTGTCTATTTGACGGTTTCAACAGATCCACCGAAACTGCATATGTTGAGGCTGCAACAGGTGCGTGGCCTGGGAGATCCAATTGTCTTCAATATTTGCCATCTCATATGCAGCTGAATTTTCTGCAACACTCGTGGCCAGATTCGAGGTAGCATTCCATAGATCATCACTGTCTGGCAATGCGAACTGTAAGTCAGCGAGGGAGAGAAGCTTAGTCCTCTTTGTTGGGGGTTGATGTGCAGAGTTCAAGGGTGACCTCTGCTCAAGGAGCTTGGTATCATATACTCGAGCGCTTTGGCACACTTTATATAGCGATAAAGCAAAGCGTTTTATTTCTTCAATGCCAAGCCAAATAAGAACAATCGGGTGCAGTTCTGACTTGAACTGGCCAAGTATTGAAGGGTAGAAAAACATTTTTCGTCGGAGACAGTTGCTGACAAGAGTAACAAGGAGTTGCGACGGCACCTCTGGAAGAGGCTGAGTTAAATGCAGATCTAGCTCGCGTTGAGTGAGAACGGAGAAGATCAGATGTAACAGAATGCCTTGATACGTTGCGATTGGCCAAGACGTAGGCTCTGCAAACAAAAGTTCCTGGTGTAGCATAGTTTGCTGACACGATATGTCCCATTTATCCTGTTATGTACTTGTTAGTTTAAACCAAGAAGAATAACTCATGACTTACTCTCTGTTCGTATATCGAGCAGGACAGCTTTTCATGCAATAATTTGGCGACGTCTTGGTTATCCTTTATCCCTGTCACCCACATACCCATCATAATAACAGACTGAAGGAGAAAGGCCGGTTCACGATTAGAGTCAAATGTTGCAGGGTGCAAGAATGGCCAACAAGGATGAAATTTATCAAAGTAGATCTCGATATATTGCAGACCTCTAATCGGACTGTTTTCGATTATTTCCGAACGTGGGAGAGAGCTAATGCTGTTCTGACGAAGGGAAGATAAGGAGCCCTCATCTAATGATGACATGGGTTTTGCATGGTGATCACGGCTAGTGGGGTGGTTTGAATAAACACATTTCTTTCCTCGTTGGTTGCATGTATCACACGGGTCTTGTCCGGAGCATTTCGACCGTCGTGAGCGACAGGACGTACAGGCTCGAATTGCCCGAGAGGACTGCAGTTCTTCATGCTTGTGATGAATGCGAGCATGCTGTCGAAGAGTATCGTTCCTAGAAAAAGTCCGATCACAAAAGGGACATTTAAAAGACTGTGGGGGAAGATGCTTCTTCGCATGTCGCGTCAGGTGTTCTTTGCGGCGGTAGCTCAAGCGACAGCCTGGAAATTGGCATTGAAAAGAAAGCAACCGTGGTGTCATCGCAGGAACATCGACCAAGAAGCAAAATGGGAGGATTCAAGTTCAAGACTCGAGATTTTCTTCGTCTCGATCAAATAATTACTCAGTTCTTGAACTAGAATCTCTGGGCGACATTAGAGATATGGCAGCATAGAGACGACTGGCAAAGATGATGGGATAGCGATGGGATGACCGGGCCGGTCTTGGCACGACAGGCTTGGCATCCGAGGACAAACCAGAGTGAATTTTAATGAAGTAGTTGGTCACCTTGGCTCTACAGGCATATTCTACCCATACAAAGCTTCAACAAAATCCGACTCACAACTAGTCCCAACCTAGTAGGGCTTATATCACTTCTCGCTCTCAACAAACGCTGTCACACAATCTGATACTAGCATGATTACCAGTAGTAGTACGAACAATTAGAGGAGCAGGTTACAGGGGCAATAAAAGCCGGCAATTAGAGGATCAGGGGAATACTTCACTAATATCACTACCAGTGGCAGTTAAAACATAATTTAGTTGCAAAAACTGAAGAAAGAGGGAAATGAAATAAGAACTCCATTTAATGGGATTAAATGCGTTAGTCCCAGTCCTTGTCTATCCATAAATAATCTATAAGAGTGCCCAGGTCATTACACAGGCTTTCCAAAGCCAAGCATATTTTCACAAATGCAGAAGTTTTTTTCTGGTCAATTAAACCGTGATCTCATCATCGTCATCAAAGTTGTCTTGGTGGTCTTCGGTCGGAATTTCATTGATGATATCATTTGTCTGTGGGCCTGTGTATTTTCTGTTGGGAAGTACAACGACGCTCGTCAATAAATGTTCGCATCAATCATATGCATGGAATAATTCTTACCCTCTTGCTGCAACCCACCACCAGATGAGAGCAAACATGGCAATGAAGGCAGCAACACAAATCGCATAATTCCTATTTGATAAACGGTTAGAAGCGACTGGGTCTTACGAATAAATGAGCGCTTACATGTTGGCTGGCGTCACAGGAAGCTGTGAAGGGAAGAAGAGAATAGTGCTGATGAACAACACCCAAATAACGGCGATGTAGTTGATTGGAGTGCCCCATTTACCAAGCGTAAAGGGACCCTCAATGAACTTGACTTTATTCTTGTAAAGCTGGTGTGCCAAGATGACGGAGATGTATGACAAGTCGAGAGCCGGTGCAGTCACACTGAAAATGGCAGTTGCTGTCTCTGTGGACCCGATAGCGATGCAGTTTAATCCAATGCTAAAAAACACCACGAACCAGACTGAGTTGACGGGGGTATGAGTGCGCGAATTGACCTTGGACAGAAAGCTTGAAAAAGGTAGAGCATTGTCCCGAGCGAAGGCGTACGCCATGCGAGTATCGGCCAACATAGCAGAGCAGCCAGTGAAGAACTGGACAAGGATAGCAAAAGCCCACATTACAGTGCCTCCACGTCTTCCGCCCGCGTTCATAAAGATCTGCGCTGCGGGCAGACCAGTCGGAGACGCCAAAATGCCTTCGAAATCGGTCAAGCAAAAACACATACATACGGTTAATAGCCAGCCGAAGATACCAGACACGAGTACGGCAGTCTTGATGGCAACTGGGCCTCGCACGGCGGCATCATGGGTTTCTTCGGACATGCTATCATATGTAAGGATAAGATAACCAAACTGGAGAATAAGGAAAGACTGACTGTGTTGTTCCATCATAATCGGTCATGGTCCATGCCACGGACAAGAACCCGAGAAAGAAGGAAAATCCCTTGGAGCCCCACCCGGACCCGTCCGTGAAGTGGGTAAAGACCCACGAAGCCGACTGCTTATCTGGGGTAAGGTATAATAATGCAACGCAGATGGCGATGGTAGCAGAGACTGGACGTTATTAATGACAAGTGCTAGTTGTTTATGGGGATCCTTACTGTTAATTGGAGCAAACCAAAGGATGATCCGATGCAATGTCTTCGTTGTGAGAGAGCAAATGACGCCGAGAATGCAGAGTATTCCAATAGAGACCAAGACCGTCTCCAATGCTGACCTGCTGCAGATTAGCACATGGCAAGGATTGGGCTACAGTAATCCAAACATACGGGGAATACGAGTATTGGCCGTTGACAAGATCGGAGTTCATGCTGACACAGGCCAGCAGCATCTGGCTGACTGTATAGGCGACACTAGAGACCCCCGCCGTCTGGCCGAGCAGATTGCACCAGCCTTGAATCCAAGCAAAGATTGGGACTTGATCCGGGGGCACAACATGTTTTGTGACGAAATACATCCCTCCTGCGGTTGGATAGGCAGAGACCAGCTCTGCTACGGAACTGCCGATACACATTGCCATACAGGAGCCGATCAACCAGCACCAGACAGCGGTGGCCGGACCACCCGCGGCCAACGGCGAGCCGAACGTCGCTGGAACGGAGCCGAGGACGCCAAGGATGGAGATGGCATACGAGACAGTAGACCATTTGGAGAATTCTCGCCTGAGCTCCTAAAAAAAGGGGGAAATTTAAGTTAGATCGCCGCTGTCATGTATACACCTTGAGACACGAGAGGTTGGATACCTGTTTATAGCCAATTCGAGCGAGCAGGCGCTCGTCATCATCCTGAATGGTCGCCATTGACGGTTGCGATGAAGATACTGGGGTCACGAACTGATTTTCCTTCCCTTTACGATCTGGATCAGGGGCCTTCGCCGTCAGGTTTGTCATGATCAAAGTGGGACAATGAAAAGAGGGTAGAGATAAGGTTGAATAAAAAAAAGCAAAATAGCAATGCTCTGATAAGGGAGCTCTTTCTTAAAGACTAGCCACATACCTCTATTCCCCCGAGCGATCTTTTTTTCACATCGAGATGGTGACGCCAGATGGAGGGGCTAAGGTCCGATTGAGGAGCCAAACAGAAGAGACGGTGAGGACGCACGCTGTCGAAACCCTAAAGCCGGGACCCTCCACTGGAACGCCCCTCGGTCGACGAGCATAAAAATGGGGTGCAAGGCGATAAGCGCGAATCAACTGATTCGAGACGACCGGGATTTGGGGCCAGTAGATGTCGCGATAGGGGGTTCGTGGACGACAGGGTACCCGGGGAGCCACACGTTTGGCGGGATGAAACGGGCAGGGGACGGGGGAATCCTAAGTGGAACGGCTGGACGCTTATCGGACAGCATGCATGGAATTGGAGGGATGTGTTTCCGAATTTGTCACTAAACCTGCCTGAGCACGGAGGTCGCACATCCCGAAGCCGGTTGATGCGCATCGCGCATTGCGAATTGTGAATAACCATCAAGTGCGAGCGACACGAATGGCGGTGGAGAAGAGGATGTTCAAGGAAAGGGCCGAGTATGAGGCCACTCGGGTCCCGCCATCGTAGCCCTGCTACCGTGAAGTCAAGGCCAGCAAATTAAAACAACAAGATGCAAGAGCAAGTAAAACACAATTCTGGTACTTTGGTTTTTTTGTATACTTTGTGGATGATGATTGGCGCAAAAAAAACAGCAGAGCGACGTCTCGCAAGCATAAAGACCAGACAAGACACGTGAAGGGCCTCGGAAGCACATAAATCCGTGACGGTAAGGTGGTCAATCCGGTATATCATCAACAACCGCGGGGTGTTTCGCTTTCGCCCGTCATGCTTTGAGCTCTCCACCACGTCCCTCTGTACGGCATGATCCACCATGGCTGACCCGATGTATCACGCAATGGGCCAGGGTGCTGGTGACGACCCGGCCAACCCTCACACTCAACACCCAGCAGCCTACCCTCCCGGGACAGCTCCTCCACAACCAGGAGCTCCGGCTCCCTACCAGGACACGTCGCCAAACCAGTGGCCACCCTATGGCTCCCCTCAACAGCATTATCAGCCCCATGGCGCTGAAGCAAACCCGAACGTGGCAGGACTCGCCTCTCAGATGAGTGGATTGGGGATTGCCGCTGATGCTGGAGCGAGGACACACCGCAAGAAACATCGGCATGCCCACCATGAAATTGGGACTGGCACAGCAGCAGCCCCTGCGCAACAAGGCTTCAGCAATACCATGGCTCCTGGAGGTGAACAACCGACATCTCAGTTCCTCAACACCGGCTTGAATCAAGCTCCGCAACCAGTGTCTCCAGGCGTTCCCTCTCATCCAGCACCCGGGATGGCCTCACAGCCCGGGGTGCCCAGTGGAGCAGAGTCCGTGCCGACACAAGGTCGGATTGATCCCGAGCAGATTCCCAGCATCCCGCGATCGCGCGACCTGCCCGCACAGTACTACTTCAATCATGTGTACCCGACGATGGATCGCCATCTGCCTCCACCCGCGTCGATCCCGTTCGTGGCTCACGACCAAGGCAATTCCTCCCCCAAGTACGCCCGTCTAACGCTCAACAACATCCCCTCGACCTCTGACTTTCTTTCATCCACTGGGCTGCCGCTGGGCATGGTCCTGCAACCACTTGCCCCTCTAGACCCCGGCGAGCAACCCATCCCAGTGCTGGATTTTGGGGATGTTGGACCCCCGCGATGCCGACGATGCCGCACATATATCAATCCCTTCATGTCTTTCCGGGCCGGTGGTAGCAAGTTTGTCTGCAACATGTGTACCTTCCCGAACGATACGCCGGCAGAGTACTACGCACCCCTAGACCCGTCAGGCGCTCGTGTCGATCGTATGCAGCGACCGGAGTTGATGATGGGCACGGTGGAATTCTTGGTGCCGAAGGAATATTGGAACAAGGAGCCCGTGGGGTTGCGCACCCTTTTTTGATCGACGTAAGCCGGGAGTCGGTACATCGGGGCTACCTTAAGGGTGTTTGCGACGGCATTGCGGAGGCATTATATGGCGAAGATCTGGCTGCGGACGGCTCCGAGGGCGACGAGTCTAAAGCTCGAAAGCTACCGGCCGAAGCCAAGATCGGCATTGTTACATTTGATAAGGAGGTGCATTTTTACAATCTTACGGTATGTGGACCAAGATTCAACGTTACTGTGTGAAGTGCATGTGAAGCTTAAGGATCCTTTAGGCAACATTGGATGGAGCGCAAATGATGGTAATGACCGATCTGGAAGAACCTTTTGTGCCCTTGAGCGAAGGCCTTTTCGTTGACCCATATGAGTCGAAGTATGCATCATCCAACTTGGCTTCTTGATAATCTTGCTAATTGGCCAAATTAGATCTGTGATTACCTCCCTCTTGAATCGCATACCCAATCTCTTTTCTCAGATTAAAAACCCCGACCCCGCTCTTCTTCCGACTTTAGAAGCCGCCCTCTCAGCTCTACAGCCTACAGGAGGCAAGATTGTTTGTTCGGTGGCAAGCTTGCCGACGTGGGGCCCTGGGCATCTGTCTATGCGGGAAGATCCCAAACTCCATGGCACGGATGCGGAACGCAAACTGTTCACTACTGAGGATGCAGCGTGGAAGAAGACCGCAAGTAAACTGGCGGAGGCAGGCGTTGGCGTTGATTTCTTCATTGCGTCGCCAGGTGGCGCGTACATGGATGTTGCGACCGTCGGTAAGTTGGCAACATGGCGGCTTGGTAAATGTGCAGCACGACTAACCCATGTTCTAGGATACGTGTCGAGCCTCACTGGAGGCGAGACCTTTTTCTACCCTAATTTCCATGCCCCGCGAGACCTGCTCAAGGTGCGGCACGAATTGGCACATGCTGTCAAACGAGAGACAGGCTATCAATGCTTAATGAAGGTTCGGTGCTCGAACGGCCTTCAGGTGTCTTCTTATCACGGCAATTTCGTGCAGCATGCTCTTGGCGCTGACCTCGAGATTGGCGGGATCGATGCAGAGAAAGCTATTGGTGTGATTTTCAGCTATGATGGCAAGCTTGACCCCAAGTTGGATGCACACTTCCAAGCTGCGTTGTTGTATACCTCTGCGGATGGCCAGCGCCGTGTCCGGTGCATCAACGTCGTGGCAGCTGTAAATGACGGTGGCATGGAGACGATGAAATTCGTAGATCAAGATGCCGTTGTGGCTGTTATCGCCAAGGAGGGTAAGTTGACTGATTATCATATTCACTTCCTTGTTCTCATGCTAACCTAACGTGTGTAGCTGCCTCGAAAACACTTGACAAGACCCTCAAGGACATTCGAGCCAATATCTCCGAGAAGACCGTTGACATCTTTAGCGGATACCGCAAGATCTTCTCTGGATCGCACCCCCCTGGCCAACTGGTCCTGCCAGAGAACCTCAAAGAGTTCTCTATGTACATGCTTAGTTTAATTAAGTCGAGGGCATTCAAAGGTGAGTAAAAGCATCCCGCTGCCGACCTGCCTCGGGTCAGTCTGGAGAACAATTGGTTGACCTATGCTCTCTATATTAGGTGGCACTGAGTCGTCAGACCGGCGCGTTCACGACATGCGCATGATCCGATCATTCGGCTGTACCGAGCTCTCGCTCTATCTATACCCCCGCATCATTGCCATCCACAACATGCAGCCCGAGGATGGATTCCCCAACGAGCACGGCCAGCTTCAAGTGCCGCCCTCCCTGCGGGCCAGTTTCTCCAAAATCGAAGAAGGCGGTGCCTACCTGGTTGACAATGGGCAAGGTATCATCTTGTGGCTGCATGCCCAGGTCTCGCCTAATCTCCTCGAGGATCTGTTCGGGCCGGGGCACAACTCTTTGCAAGAGATGAACCCCAACATCTCGTCGCTGCCTGTCCTGGACACACACCTAAACGCGCAAGTGCGGAACCTGCTACAGTACTTCTCCACGGTGCGCGGGTCGAAGGCCGTTGTCATTCAGTTGGCCCGACAAGGGCTGGATGGGGCGGAGTATGAATTTGCCCGTATGCTTTTGGAGGACCGGAACAACGAGGCCCAGAGCTACGTGGACTGGCTGGTACACACGCACCGGCAGATCAACCTTGAGCTGGCCGGTCATCGCAAGAAGGAGGAGTCCACCAACGAGGGCACATTGGCTAGTCTGTCGGCTATGCGAGCGCCGTATTGGTAAGGAAGATGGGGGTGAAATAGGGCTAGGTAAGGTAAGGGCGTCTGGGTGCGCGGTCTGTCTAGTGGCTGCCTGGACTTGGACATTGAACATGGCCTTTTTTACGTGGCTCCTCTAATGCTCCTGGTATTCCGGGTCTACATGATTGGGCTGCTTGGGTGCACGGCCTCGGAGGGCCCTGGAGGAGTCCTATCCTGGGCATCAGTCATATGAGGATACGAAAACAGGACGGAAAGAGCAACACCGAACGGGGAAGGTGACTTGGGTCGCTGTAAGGTGGTGGGGAACGTCCAGACACCCTCGCGGTGCCACAGCAGGGGCGAGTGAGACCAGCGGAGCATCTGTACACAGTCGTCGGACTATATCTAGCGGGTCAGGTTCTTCTTTTTGTCATCATTCATTGAGCATTTGGCCTTCGGCCCACCGAGGCGTCGGACAGCAGAGATTTGGTTTTGTTTTACTTTTTTGGCCCATTTTCCTCTGTAATAATATTGGTAATCTCTATAAACTGTATATTTTGTACTCCATAGAGGCTGTGATGTGTTCGGTTGTACGGGCGCCGTAAGAGCTCAGGCTTGCCCGCAGTGTGTGCGGTGGGCCCTGACTCACTCCCCTCCAGCCCACCAGCGGTGCGGGCACCGGAAGACCGGGGTGTCCAGGTACCCCTCCAAGGGTAAGCCAACGCCGGTCAGGGCGACCGATCACCAAGGCCCCAAGAGGCGGTCTAGAATGATCGCAAGCGTTCTGGAAGCAGAGCGATCGGCGCCAGACCCCCATTTCGGTGAGAAGACAGGAAAAAGAGCGCAGCCAGGCCCTCGTGGATGGGGTCAACAAAACTACCCTAGTGTCCTAATGCCCTAGTTCCCGGCCCACCGGGGGTTAAGGTGACCACCGGCCGTGGAACGGACGCAGGCTAAGCCCAAGGCTAAAGGGCGATCCAACATAAGGCAGCATATGCAGAACAACTGAGGGCGGGGGTGGCAGGACTAGTTGTGTATAACATAACCCCATCAAGTTGAGGAAGTAGACACGAGATAGTATCATTCAACCCGGAGGACTTCCGTCCGGGTGAGGAAGAGTGGTTCAGGGTCTTCAAGTTTTCGCTTTGGGTGGAAGCTGGGGCCACCACAGGACGCAAAAAAGAAGAAAAACCACGCATTGCCACCACCGTTCCTGCGTCTGCCCCGATGATTCCAGACTGGATCGGCAAGGTACACAAAAGCCTTGCGACGTCAGAGGCCATTCGGCGGCGATGGTGGCAGGGGCGCAGAGGGTCGTGTTGACATCTGGATGGAGACCCAACCGGCACCAAGTCTGGGTTTGGCCGCCACGTCCCGTTCAGGAACAGGTCATGAAAAACGGACAGTGACGGGATGGTGGGGAATGGTCAGGTCGACGTGTCCAATCTCATAGGCCTGCCCGGCGGTGGAGAGAGGGAAGGGAATGGATTGGATAGGACGGTGGAACAGGTCGACCGGCGAACGTCCGCTGCAGGTCCCAGAGAGCGAGGTCGGTTGGATTAGCAATTTCTAGCGAACAGGGTCGGGAAACCAGCAGATGAGATTTTCGGATGGACATAGCGTCTTGAAGGCGACAACGCCAATGGTTCTGGTGGTGGCTCTGGCCCTGGTTGGGATTCTTGGCTCTGGTCCCCGAGGTGACTCTATACATCCAAGTATAGGAACGAGGGGCAAAAAGACCTATGAGAGCATGGGGAGAGTCTGTGCAGCCACATGCCGACCGAGTTTGCCAGGGGCAAAGTGCTGACCCGGCGTGAGTGACAAGTGAGTTGGTCCTGGGTTCTGCAAAGGAGAACCGCGGATGCGCCCGGGAGAACTGGAAGAAATGACGTTGGGGTTGGGCGCCGATGGTATTGCCACGGTGGTGGCTGTCGGTTTGAAGGGACGCGGGTGGAAGTTGGGTCGCAGCCACCGCTCACACACCCTCGGGTCACGCACCGCGCTGGTTCCTCCAACACCATTTAGTCCGAAGTATAACACGTACAAGATAGTCAACCAGATCTATAGCGAACAGAAAAACTATACCGTAATGAGAAATATGGTGCTCTGTACACCGGTATCAGCACTCAAGGGCTGACACGTCCATCGACCTATGTCTACGGAGTATATCACACTGCATGGACAGATACGAGATCTCCCTTCCTATCATATCGGTCAACGTTGCCAGCGCAAATGACACATTCTGGATCTCTTTTTTCCCCTTCTCTTTCTCAATTTGGCACCAAGCGATTGCCAATCATCGTAGGTCTGGACCCAAGTCCCTTCATTTCGAACCCTTGAAACCCTTGTACCCAGACTCTGACACCCTCCCCCAATGCGACGTCAGGAGAGAGACCCTCCGTCACTGAGATTCTCCCGACAATGATTCGCTTTCCCAGGTCCATTCACGGGCCCCACCTTGTCGTTTTTTTCGAGTCTCTCTTTTTTAACCTTTTTAGCCTGTTTGGGCCCTCTTTCTTTTTTTTTTCGCCTGTGGACATTGGCGACTCCACTTGGTTCCTTGGTGCGATCCATGGATCGAAGGTGCGTGGCACTCTCACCACACACGTTTTTATGGATCGGTACCTATCCGGGGTCCCTGACCGGGGAGTCCCTTCAAAGGTATAAGAGGGCCCTGTTCAGTCCCTCTCGAGGGCCTTCTTTCATCAAGTCAATCTTTCAAAGACACTCACTCTATACTTTCACTCTTTCTTTCGAGATCCCGTCTCGACACATTCTTTATAGTCTATCGACTAGACATTCTTTTCACGTTCCAAACGATCCTTGTCTATATACTAGACATTTACGAATCTCCGGACCAATTGTCTATACAGTCTTTCAACTCTCCAAAATGATGTTCACCAAGACCTTCGGCATTGCTGCTGCCTTCGCCACTCTGGCGTCTGCCCTTCCTTCCGGCATGATGGTCCGCCGTAACAACACTGTCCCCGCCAGCGGCTCTGTTCTGATCACCAACAACCTGAACATGGACGTCTACGCCTGGTCCGTGTCCAACGATGTTGGTCCCATGCAGACCCTGTCGGCCAACGGTGGTACCTACACTGAGGCCTGGCGCACCAACCCCAATGGCGGTGGTATCTCCATCAAGCTGGCCACCGATCCCAGCCAGTCCGATGTCCTGCAGTTCGAGTACACCCAGGCCACCGACACCATCTTCTGGGATCTCTCCTGCATCAACATGGAGTCTGATTCCAAGTTCACCGAGTTCGGCTTCGCCGTCCTGCCCTCGGACTCCGGCAACTCGGACTCCTGCCCCTCTGCCGTCTGCAAGGCTGGTGACTCTGCTTGTGCCGCCGCCTACCTCCAGCCCACCGATGACCATGCCACTCACGGCTGCCCCATCGACACTGGTCTGGCTCTGACTATCGGCCAGTAAATGGATTTCTTCATTTACATTCTTTTTTTCTTACCCATGAAGGAATCCCTTACTGTCTTGCCGGTTGACCCGCGCACTCGTTCTTTGAAGGGTCTTACTTTTTTTTCTCTTCGTCTCGCCTGAAACCCTAACGGGCTGGTGATCCCTGTTTCCTTTGGAAACGTTTTTCTCTTCGTTCCACCCAAGTTGGTGGCCCTCTGTTGAACTTCGTTGTTGTATGTTCGGTTGATTCGACATCATCTTTCCCCCCTTCTGGGCGCGGTTGATTTCCGCCGCCGGGACAGGACGTCGTCTTACGAGCTATGATTTTTCTTTTTCTTTTTTTGATGTCTTTGATGAATACCCCCCTCGGATCAGGAATATGGGAGATCAAAACTTCCAGGAGTTTTATTGGGGATGATATAGACTTGTATAGAGATTGAATGACCACATTCTAACCCACTTTCTTTCACAATTTCTTCGTTTCTCCATTTCGTATTGATAAGATTCTTGTAGTGCACCACCTATTTCTGTCGACAATGCTGCTATCCGTCCAGCTTAATGGCTAGAATCTCTCGGCTAAGAGGGCTTTCTTACTTCCAGATTTCTTACTTCCACTCCCTCACAGGACAAGGGCGCCAGCGCAAACTCAAACCGGCACACCAAACGAGGGACGCTACACAAAATGCCTCGGGTGAAAGGCTCTGAGCAGGAAATCACAAAGAAACAGAAGCAAAGACTGGGTACACGAGCATGATTCGCCCACGCCGTGTGTCGTGGAGCGCGCGCGACGAGCAGTTGACCTCTGAGAAGTAGAAGAAAAGAAAACTCAGACTCCGAAACCCAGACGATCGCATCTAGACCGAGTGATAGACAGGGACCCCCGCCAGGGCAGGCCCGCGATTCGATCGATGCAGCCCCGACCGCGCCCCCGGACTCCGATTCGCAGAGGGCACCACTGGAGCCCAGGGACCCGCTGCACGCCCACATCGCGATTTTCTGCTTCCCTGTCGATCCGCGACCAGTCGGATCCCAAGCCTGAGCGCCTCACCGTTACAGGTGGGCTGGGGGGCGACGTGTCGCGGGCTCCACCAAGGAGGGGGAGGGGCGAATGATCGGAGATCCAGCAGCGCCGGCAGTGTTTCAGGGCAGCTGCTCCCATAGTCCTCCATAGTTTGAGGGCACCGCCGAACTCCATCGCGTTCGACGGTTGTGTCTCGGTGAACGCCTAGGATGTTCCTCCACGATTTTCCGAAACGAACCTGTAAAATTCGGCACGAAGAAGTGCCGTCTCTGGCAAGACTTCGTTTTCATGGCACATCCGTTGTCCACACAAATGGTACCACCACTTTGGCTTGAAAGAAGAAACCAAAAAGAAAAGGTACATATAACTTGGGACATACCGGGTTTATCCATTCGCCTAGTCACCACAGCCAATAATCGCACTTTGTTCCTGGCCACCAGCACGGTAAACCCCGGTTCTGACCACTCTGCTCTTTTGTTCAATACAATTGTTCGGTTCGGAGCGATTGCAAACTTGGGTGAACCACAACCGTTGGACTGGCTCCTCCAATCATATTACAATTGCCTACTCCGACCATCGGGTAAATGCCCGAGCGGGCTTTAAGAAAGGAAGCCGAGAAAAAGAAGTGTCGGATCCAATAGGCTTCGTTTCTACTCCCTTTTCACCACTGACTGCGCCTCGTCGCCAAGCTCCTGCCTACATCTCGCCAAGGCTCCTGTCTAAACCTTGTGGCCGGACTAGAAGGGTCGAGAATATGATGCACTTTCTCGAGAAGTCCCAATCACGTGATTTATCCTCATATTGAGGGTCGAGAGGGAGTTGGGTTTGCCTCAGCAGTTCTTGCGACGATAGAAAAGTCGTCCCAAGGAGGCCAACGCCAGTGTCCTTCCCTCATCCTTTTGAAAGGCCGTTGTGTAGAAGTGTTACTAATTACACTATTGCCAATAAGTCTTGGGGGATCTTATAACTTTCTCATTATGGTATCTATTGCTGCCGGTTGAGTTACAGCTAGGGATGGCCAGGTCCTCTTCCGGATTTATAAGCGCTTCTCTCGGAGCGAATTACCTATGAATCCTATTGTTACAGAGGTAGTAGAATCAGAAGATGAATAGGTAATGCCAATTTTCCATCTTTGAATCTACCGGCAGGTACATGGATAATCAAGGACAATTAATTCCCAAAAGGTGTCCGGTATGGACCAAAGAACATATGATACATCCGAGAGTGTGGAGAAGAGCCTTGAGACCAAAAGCACGAGCTTTATTGTCTTTCTCGTGGCTATAGCAAACAGTAAATAGGACTCAAAGAGAGTTGAAAGAAAAGCTCATCACGCAACTGCTTATCTTTCAACAGCGCTATATGTCCTATCGAAGGCCGTCGGGGCTATTTGCGATAGTCCTATGTGCAATACAACGACGCTGGGCGGAAACAAGGCCTGTTCATCAGACAAGATCATTCCGGCAGGCATTTCAGGCATCTGGGTTTCCATGTACCGGAGAATTATCTCATTGCAAAATGAAGTCTATCCCTTTATCGACAACCACGCCGTCCAACTTTAATAAAGACGCCGCGAGGTTCTTGTCTAATTCTCCAATCGTATAACATATTTGTTAGAGAGCTTCAACGGTGCCAATATGCTAGTACCGTGGCCTGGTACCCACTTGTATAGAGCTAATGGTCTGTAATATACTACAAATGGTATATCATAACAGCTTTGGCACGCATGCAAGAAGCTTCCACGATATCGGTGTCACGATGGATGACGCCCCCTACATGTACTCCGATCATTTTAGAGAATGTGGAACATTTTTGACTCGGTGAAAGTCTGGAGTTGCTTGTGGGGATGGGCTCAATTCTTGACCATCTCATATATTTATTGGGTTTCACGTCGCCCCGTCGGCTGAGGGGTGCAGGAACATGGATTATGTCAGGTAAAAGGGGAGTTCTTATTGATCGTCATGTATATTCACCGGGTGGTCATCAATTCAGAGACCTACGAGGTCGCTTACCATTTTTGGCCTTCGCAATGGCTACCCGGGCCCTGCGCTGTCTTTGGAATGGTCTCAACATTGGTCGATATGCAAGAAAATTAAAAGAAAAATATAGTAATTATATTTAAGGTAGAAAGCCAAGTGACATCAAAGCAAAAGCAGGGGTATCTTATAAAACCAGGGCAGGCTGAAAGAAAGCGAAGAACATCATGTCGATCGTCGAGACCGCCGCCACTCACGCCACCGTTCCATCATGCGATGTGATCGCATTGCTTTGAGGAACAAGTATGCAATGAGTCGATAGATTATGGTGCACACACCAAGGGCCATCACGTTCATGGGCCCATCTTTATCAAGGTTATATAGCGCAAGCACCTGTTCGCCCGTGTTGATCGGACAACTCCCGTCCGCAAGCTGCTCCACTACTGAGCAGTGAAAATGCTGGCCATGCATCGAATACGGTGCCAAATTGGCAATCGCGTATTTGATAGGCGACAAGTGGTTGATGCCCTGCAAGACAGAGTTGACATTCAGACTCATAACGCCGCCGAGGATTGTCGAGATTGAGAGCAGAATCGACGTCACGTTGACAGCAAAGCCAACATGCGAGAACAGTGTGCAGAATATTATTCCCACGGACTCACCACAGCTGATGATGCAAAAGCAGTTGAATGCGCTAATCAGGAACATCTGCCCGCTACGCTTGAGGTTGTCGGCGAACGCCGCGAGCACACCGAATACCAGCGCCGAGGCAATCTCGAAAGGCACCTCAATCGTTGTGTATGACAGCATGAATGTTTCGGCAGAGTAGCAGTTGTCCGCTTCTTCGCGGTAGAACACATCTCGTTCGTTGGGGTAGATAGCGATGTTTTGCAGCATACCTATTCATCGGTTAAAATTAGTCCTCTTATGAACCGTTCACCCAAGTAGTAGAACGCACCAACGAAATATAGCGCTGCAAATTCCTGAATGAAGCCCATACGGGATTGTACGGCCGCGTAGTCATTCTTCAGCGGTGCAAAGAAAAGTGCCATGATAATAGCAATTCCAACAATTTGCATCGACCGCGCCATGACCAGCGGTGGCTGTCGCCAAAAGTTGATCATGGACCGATGTAATACCAACGGATATGTGACCCGAAACGGTAGCATCTGGCGTCGCAGACTTCCCAGCTCTGCCGGCGTCGCAATCTGCGATGAGGCTCGGCCCAACTGCGGCGTTGCGTTAGTCCAGGAAGTAATGAGATGCTGGACGCGGGCACGAGTCACGGCCTCGCGGTCCTCTTGCTGTAGATCAACCGTTATCAGATCCAAAACGAAGTCCGCCGGATTCGTGGTCTTCGGGCACTCGTGGCCCAAGGTCGCGAAATGCGGGAGCATTTGCTGGCCCTGGCCTGCGTAAACGGGGTAGCCCCCGCGCGCAAGGAGCAGGACGTGCGAGAAATGGCTAAACAGGTCTGAACGGGATTGATGGATTGTCATGATCAACGTGCGACCCTCAGATGCGAGGCTTTGTAGGACCTCGATGATTGACATGGCCGTGAAAGCATCCAGACCGGACGTCGGCTCGTCCAACAAGAGGACTTTGGGGTCGGTGAGAATCTGAATCGCGATTGTAACTCTACGTTTCTCGCCGCCGCTGATTCCTTTGATCAGCTCGCTTCCGATCAAATTGTCGGCGCATTCTTTGAGCCCCATCTTGAACAGAATTTCTTCCGCCCGGCGATTCTTCTCTTCGCGTGACATCCATGTTGGCAGTCGCAGGCCAGCGGCGAACCGAAGACTTTCGCGGACAGTCAGCGATGGCATGAGAGCATCGTCGTCTTGGGTCACAAACGACGTAACTGAGCGGATCACGTTTTCCGATGGTACGGCCCCGTTGTACAACATCTGGCCGCCAAGGCAATACTGTGTGCCCATCGATCCGTGCAGCCGACGAGCAATCGAGTTAAGCAACGACGTCTTACCGCTTCCTGATGGGCCCATGATGATGTTCAGTTGTCCCGGATGAAATTCCGCAGTAATGGGACGCAGAATTGGAAGAGTCTGGGTATGCTGCCAGGGCAATCGCCGCTTGCGAATCTCCAAGGCGTACTGGTCCAGAGAGATCGCAACTCGACGGACCTCCTCCGCAGGACGAACTGCCATCTTGGCCTTGCCAGAAGGATCCCCCTCTGACCTTCGAGCTTGCGCGATATCGATTCCAAAGCGGTTGTATTGTAACAACAGCCCAGCCAGGAGGTAATGTCCGATAGTGAAACCGACAAGTATCACGATCGGGCGCCATATCCAATTCGATGGCATTCCTAGACTGTCCATGATATATCGACCTGTATACTCTTTGCATGCCGCATCGAGCGGATTATCAGAGTACGGGCAATCGTAAAACTGACCCAGCGCTGAGCCGTTCGGTCCGATGAATTCGTTGGCACAGAGCGCCCCGAAGATGTAAAATGTATAGGCACACCATTTGAGCCATCGGACATAGACGGGGATCTGATTAGATTGCACGAAGTAACCACAAGCAAACGATTGGAGTGTGAAACACATATTGCCAACTAAACTTGCCCCAGGGAAGCTTCGAGCTACCCCAATCGAGACAGCTGCGAATGTCACCGCAATGTAATGTGTGAGCAGAGTCAGAGCGAAGAAAATAAAAAACTGGCCGACGTCAAGGCGATAGCCGACCATGAAGTAATAGATGACAGTGAATAACAGCGGCACTGGAAGGTCCTCCAGCGGGAACCGGGCGACTCGTCGACTAAGCAGAAATGCTGGAACGCCTACTACCCCTTCGTTCCTTTCACGGTCAAAGAGCCGAATGTCGATTGTCAGTCTGTAGGTTTCGTATAGCAAGATTAGATATCCATTGAGACTACTGGCAGTATATAGACTGCCCTCCCGCGACCGGATACCAGCCAAACTCTCGTCCAGCTGTAAAAAGATCCAGCCGTTGATCACAGCCATACCAATGGCTTCAAGTAAGCTTCCAGCCATGCCCATCGGGTCTCTTAGGGTGGTTCTGAAGGTACGTGAGGTAAGCACATGGAATTGCCGTTGAAAGGATACTTTTTTCATGGCGCCAGGGTCCACGCATTCCAATGTCGACGCTGCTTCCTTCTTCTCGCCTTCATCGGCCTTAATTTTCGGCGACGGTTGAGATCTCCATGTCTGTCTTAGATGATCGACACGAATGTGTGAGGCAGCCTCCAGTTGCTCGGTTCTATTATCGATTGCCGCCAGATCAATCAGAAACTCCGCGGGGTTGACGAATGGAGGAAGAACATGGCCATATCTTTCGAAATACGGCAAAGTCTTGCTTGTAGGGCCACTATACATCACAGAGCCACGAGCGAGGAGGATCACATTATCGAACAGACGCCAGATCTCAGATCTTGGAGCATGGATCGAGACAATCACAGTGCGACCATCCTGCGCCAGACGCTTCAGCGTGCGGATGATCTGGAATGCGCTGGTTGCATCGAGTCCGGTCGTCGGCTCGTCGCAGAACAAGACAGATGGGTTTGCGAGCAATTGAACGCCGATACTCGTACGCCGCTTTTCGCCACCACTGCATCCTTTGTGAGCTGTCGTTCCAATGCGCGTATCAGCGCACTCCTTGAGTCCGAGCTCGAGGATTACCTGTTCCACAATCGCACGTCGTTCTTCTCGGGTCGTCGGTGGCGGCAGTCGGAGGTCGGCCGAATACTGCAAAGTCTCGCGGACCGTGAGAGCTGGGATGAGGACATCTTCCTGCATGACATAGGCGCTGCGAACACTTTTGATATCGGGATTACCGTTGAAAGTGGTATTCCCTGTCGCAGTGGCTTGTGAAAGAGACATTCGGCCCGCCATGAGATTCAATAGCGACGTTTTGCCAGATCCACTGCTGCCAATAATTGCTGTCAGACTCCCGCTTGGCATGGCGGCGTCCACGCCTTCCAGCACGGTCTTTGCAGTCCCATCGAGCTTCTGGCCGCGAAGACGACGCCAGAATTGAGAGCGCGGTGTTTTCCATAGCGACGGTGCAGTCTCTATATCAAGAGATAAGTTGCTCACACCGACATCAACTGGGTTGACGGCGCGCAATGAAAGATTATACACCGCATCCTGGAGCACTGCATCAAATTCCGCTGCCTCCTTCTGGATGGCGAGATCAGTGCTGATATCGTCTGTGGTCGTATCCATCGCCGATACGGACTTTCAGGAAACAGCTAGCTTTGCAGCAAACTCCAGAGAAGTTTTCCAACATGCCCGCTCCCCCCGTGCTATCGGCCAATTGCGCGATCAAATCTCGGAGAATAGATGATCTAGCGGGTCCAGCCGAATGATGTCAAACGCGCACAAGATGATCCAGCCCGTACCATGAAACCGTCAACCAAATTTTGCGACTCTAGAGCAGCAATCAGGCTGGGTATGTCTGGTGCAGGCTTGAAAGCTTTCTTGCAGTCAAAACCCCAGTGAGATTGAAACAGCCCCCGAGACCCAAGGCCCACCTCATCCCCGGACTATAAACCGCCCCGTCGCCCGTCAAAAAACTTGATTGGCTCGACGCCCTTACGTCCCGACTGACTCAGCGCACGTGGTTCCTTGCTTTTAAGCGAGATAAATTGACCAATAAAAATGTGCCATTGAACCGTGGAAGCATGCATGGACTTGTCATGATTCGCGCAGGGAGGAGTTTGAGAAGTGATGAAAAACATGTTTTTGACAAGCTGTCTCAGGACCATCTCGAACATGCAGCAATATTGTCATCTGGAAGTTCAATTGAAAGTTGAGAATATTAAATAAATCCGAGGTCCATTATAGATTTCGTCTGTAGGCTGACCACAGGGACATGTCAAATCAGTGTCAAGAATCGCATCCCTCACACTCGCAAAAACCATTTTTGTTCGGCTTAACAAGGCATATATAGTATCTACATGTATTGCTCACAAGGCGTATATATTTATCAGGTCATTGAATTCTACTCAAAGGACTGGATGAATCAGATATTTAGGATAACATTCGTTGCGTTATATACTTCACATGGTATTTCTTTAGATTCTATGTCGTTTAATAACCCTCACGCGGACCACCCTGAACGAGCTCACCGTTGGCAGTCTTCAGCTCATTCAGCATTCCGGTTCGAATGACACCAACATCGGTGTTAACCGAAATCATATCGAAGCCTTGCTCGGCGCGCTTGCGAGCATCGTTGCCGTCAGTGCCTATGCCCCTCCTAATTAGTAAACAGAAGCCTTAAATCCATAGGAAAATGATACTAGGGGAACATACAGAAGATAGCGGCCTTCTTGCCGGCATTGTGAGCAGCTGCCAAAATACGCTGAATGGCTGCCTCGTGCTCTTCACCACCGCGGGTCACACCCATCTGCTTGGAAAGATCAAAAGGCCCGATGAAGAGCACGTCGATTCCATCAACGGCAGCAATCTTCTCCACGTTCTCGACACCGGGTCGTGACTCGATTTGCACGCATACTGTAATGCTTGCATTCGCCTGATCATCGTAATCGGGTCCGGGGTTTACGCCGGGAAGGGAGTGGGGAGCGAACATCGGGCCATAGCCACGGGTTCCTTGAGGAGGGTAGCGTGCATATTTGACAACATTGGCAGCATCAACCTAATCAGGCGAAAAGTGAAATGATCAGTTCCGTATGTAGATGCTAAGGAGCCACTGAATTCCTTTTCACATCTGGACTTACTTCTGAATGACACATAGGTGTCATGATTCCGTGAGCACCGGAATCAAGGGCACGCTTGATCATCCACTCCTCCGCCCAGGGCACTCGGATGATAGGGCTCGCACCCTCGGAACCAATGGCATTATTAAGCTAGAAATCACGAGTTAATTTTGCATTGACATGAAAGAGGCACAGTTTCAAGTCAATGGGAACCATACCTCATAATAGTGGTGATCGGAGATCAATCCGTGCTCTGCGTCAACTAAAACCCAGCTAAACCGCGTTGAAGACCCGGAGGCGCCGTGAATAATAGTCTTGGCAACGCCCGCACTAGGAAGACTGTCAAGATCATTGTTAGCTGACAAGCGATCTCAAATAGGCCAATCTAAGCTCCATGACGAAGGAAACGTCCTGGCCGACATTCTGTCCAAGGCTAATGGGTTGAGACCTACGTGAGCCAGAAGCCAAAAGCCTTGGAAGGGCCCTGGAAGGTTGAGCGGATCGCAGTAGTGAATGGCATTTTGTGAGTTATTTTAAGAGGAGGAGACGAAAGAAAGAGAAATCGCAAGAAGCTTGCGATCACAGATGTCAAAAAGAGGGGGACTTTTCAAACGTGGGGGGCAACTCGGGATAATTACGCCCGACCTCGGGTCCCGCCATGGGGTACGCGCGGGATGTCAGAGTCGGCGGCCGGAACTCGGGGTAACTCCGCGCCAAGCACGAAGCCGACAGGAAGAATGTGGAGCTGCGAATCGCACACGCATAATGTTGATGTCAGATTTGAATCAATAACTTATTCTACATTCAGGTTCGGAGAGAAAGGTCTAGACATAGGCAGAAAGTGACCCATATGTACAGGTCTGCAGGAAAAGTTTATTCTAATCGGATCCCTTTCTCCTGACCGATCATAAACATGGACGTTTTGAATGCCGCAGCAGCTCTTTTCATCATCCCATGAGTCAAGAGGTAAGACATCACACAGTATTGTTTTCAAGGCAGCTATAATCATTTATGAGTATCAGTTTGGTTGAATGGGAGATGTCATACTTACACCAGATGTCAAGGAAGTCACGATATCCTTAATATCATCGATATTAGGATCTTTTCCGGTGATCTTGAAATATCGCTGGACTTCTGGGAATTTCCCTTCATTGCTCTTGCGACTCATATTCTCAAAGACTGATCTCATCTTATTGATGTCCCGCAAGCTCTCACTATAATTTTTAGCTTTGCCGTAGCTTGCGGCATCCTGATCAACCAGATCGGCACAGAAAAGAATGATGCCTGCAAGTCCGGAGGCAAGAGCCGTGGCAACTGAGCTCCCGTTGAGTGTTTGGACATTTTCCTCATTGTCAGATAGCACATCCAAACCCGGAAGAATGAATTGCACAGACTTTCCGTCTCCCGAGCTAGTTTTCACCAGGTTCCCGGATCGTGTAGCAGAGCCGATCTTGAATACTTGGTCAAGACCGACGGGGTAGAAGCCTTGTTCAATTAAAGCATCTTCACTTTCTCGTAGAGCGCAAAAGAGAAGTTTCTTTTGCTTGATAGCCTCGGCTATGGCAACTTGAAACTCTTCAGTATCCTTAGGGTTGGGTCCCTTTGCTGGGATTGTCCAACTCATAGAGATGATATCCACATTTTTGTGTAGCGCCCAATATATCGCCTGGAAAATGTCAGCGAGAGTTATCCCTTCCATCATCTTGGTTATTAGGTTAGTACATACCGCCTTTGCCGCTGTTGGCGGAATATCGGAACCCGGAGCTCTCTTTAACCTTGCGACATAAAGATGAACATTGGGACACATCTTACTTATGAGTCTTCCCATGATCGTTCCATGTTGACCAGGGTCAACATAGTAATTATCGAGACCAGTATCACCCATTTCATCAAATGTCCTTCCTTCATGTACTCTGAAGTTGGTCTTTTCTGGGTCAATGCCATCGTCAATAAGAGCCACTCGCACAATAGGATTCCGTGGAGCGTCGTAATTGCGCATTCCCTCGCAAAACTTGCTCATATGGTTGAGCCAATCATGACTAGATTGCATTCTGTTAGCTTTCTGCAAATCGACAAATTTATGAAACAATAGTCAAGGGGTATGACTTATGTAAAATAGATGCATACTTTTTCTTTGCACGACCCACTAACTCTTCATGCCCTGGGTCGTTGGGGTAGATCGAACTGTACGGAACAGCGTCGTTAATGCCAACTTTCACTTTGACAGATTTCGCATTCTTCGCGAAACGTCTTTCTAGCCTTTTTTTGAAAACATCCCTATAGTCTGTTAAAGAGTCGACATCTTCAAGACCCTGGTCGTCGGTCAGTGACAATGTATTCACCCGGACTCGATCACCAACATACCTTGTGAATTTTCACATTAACAGATTCCAGCTAATAGTTTGAATGTCAGAAGATGATTTGAAATCCGAGTCACATCAGAAACCTACTTTTTGAAGCTTGGCGAGTCCATGTTTACAGGCCCACCCTTGAAGTGCCGAAAAGTTTCCGCTTGAATGTAACACAACCGTCTTCACGTTCGGTGCTGCCTTGAGAATGGTGTCACTGTTGATATCAAGCTTTTTCCATTCCCAATGTTCAATGTGAAACCTTTTCGTCAAATCCACAATTGATTGGTCACTGTGTGGTGGTCCAATAAGATCATTGACAATGATTTTGAAAATCTTCTTGACTTTTCGCCTCTCCAAAAAGTCAAAAATTACTTCGTATGTATCAAGAAAGTCCGAGTCATCTGGCTTGCCTCCAACAAGTTTGACATATTTGCGGGGTGGCAGGGAAACATAACTCAGGCAAGTTTCAAATCGGAATTTATCAAATTTCTCATCTGTGATCGCTTTGACATAATTCTTCCCAATAGCCCTAGATGATCCGAGGTCAAGGCAAATCTTAAGCTCTGTTATATAAGTCAATATCAACTTGCTCTGCCCTTGCATAAAAAGAACAACACTACTCTTGGGAGACATAGAGGTACGTTACCTTCGACTCCACCAGGGTACAGGGAGTTGATCTTCACGTTATGGTCTACCATATTATCCCCAATGTAGGCTTCCTTAAGAACCTCCAGGACTCTTCGCTGGAGCTCTCCGGCAATGCCCTTGCCGGTCGGCTCTTGGTTGGCTTTGTGTAGAAGTAGTGCCTCGTAGGCCGTTTTATGTTTGTCGTCCTTCTCATACAGAGCTTGAGGACAAACCTCCACAATGGTCTTGATTATATCTTTGAGACTATTCAGTGCTTCGTGGTCCTGCTCTTTTGGCCTTTGGAACTTTTCGACTGCCAAGTGAAGCAATCGCTGACTGGAGTTTCCTCTTGGAGGAACAATAACATCTGCACCGCTCAGTCGAACTAGCTCTTTCACTGCATTGCAATCGGGAGCTTCACAATAACGGGCAATTATGTAGTGAAGAGAAGACTTGCTTGACTGCGTTTGTTGGGATGCTCTCTGCAATTTTAGCTTCAATTGATCATGAAACTCCAAAATCTCATCTGCCTTTCCGTGGGGGCATTCGGAGCCCTCCAGCCTTGTTTCCTTCGCATACGCGATCAGTGGATGCTTTAGATTGACTCGGCAAGCTGTTCCATCACATTGTTGTCGAAGAATCTCTTGAGTGGTTTGATCCAACAACAGGTTCAGCATACAATAGGCTATGGGGACGCATCTCTTCGCAGCAAACTCTAGAGCATTGGGTTCGCCTGCTTGATCACCCTGGTTTGGGTTTCCTCCTGTATGATCAAGCAAGTTGGGATTCTTTCCTATCACCCAAGGTATGATCTTATAGATTCCCCTTATCCACTGCTCTTTGCGAACGTTTTCTCTCTTCTTTTCTAGATCTTTGATTTGCTTGGCCATCCGATGAAAGATGGTCTGGTCATCATCGTCCACTTCCAGTACCCACTTGTCCTGTTCCAAGCGAGCATAGGGGTTTTCCATGTGGTCAGGAAAATTATTGAAATGAGTAACCAGGGCCTTGTGTTGAATCATGACATCTTGATCATCGGTTGAGCTCTGAGTATCAGTGTCGGCCCTATCATCTCGTCTCCTTGGATAAGCGGCTCCATCGCCTGGCTGGATTGATACATCGCCTTTTCTGAGAGGTAAATCCACCTTTGAAGCCTGGATTGAGATTGGAGAGTCGGAGTAGTTGACTCTATGGCTCGGAAAATGCCCACGGGCGGTCTGCTTTGGGACATTCTGCTGAACTGTCTGGACAGACATTGAGAGGAGTATCACCACAGAACTCTCTTAGATCCAGGCTCATCTGCTCATCCGAGTAAATTTCTGCGGCCAACAGCATGCGACAGCAATTTTCCAGGATCTATGAATGCGAGTTCGGAATGTACGTCTGGGCCGTTCACAATTAACGCCAATAGATTGTTGTGAAAGGCGGTGTTTTCACGTTCTGCGAACGGTTTTCTTATGAACAGGTTCGCCCGGGTAATAAAATACAGGTGAACTCGCCAAAAAGAGCCCCTTGTATATATTACACATCGATGTAAGCATAAGAAATGAAATACGGAGCTCAGAATACTATTCCTGGAATGAACAAGGTCTACAGCATGTACTAATCTTTAGCCGTCGGCCCAAGTCCCTTTATTTGGCCGCTCCAGCCATTAAGAAATGCAGCTGCAGTCACAGCGCACAGGCCGTGCTGACATGCACGAAGGCGGGTCTATCACACGCCAGCAGAGGCCACATTTGTTCCCGGAGGGCCAGGTAGGAACCCAACTTGAATTTCTTTCTATCCCGAGACTGTTAATTTCGAGGTATACGGAAGCATTTTAAAAGAAAGACGCGATACTCAAATTTCAAACAGAAGTAGCCTTTTAGTAACTACTCGACGAACGCAAAACTGGGAGGAAAGGGGGAATATAGTAGGCAGCCAGGGCTTGCGGCTGAAGGAAGCCAAGACGGCCAAACGCCCTGGTCATCCAAGAAGTCTGCCAGTACGAATGAGGGCAAGACTAAGACGAGAGAGGGATCAGCTGCATTTTTCTCTTCTGGGTGACCCCCTTCAAGGCGTTTGTTGTAGAATCTGGTATGGGCAGTGAAAGACTAGATCTTATTTCCACGGATTAGAATACGTGGCTATCGTCTTAGCGTAGAGACATCATTGTTATACTGCCATCCCCCTCATATAAAGCTGCTTTTACAAGTGTAATCCTAGGAACTATTCGAGTTTACCAATCTACGAATCTGCATTGGAAATGGCATCAAATACAGACAGCCCTCTTACTATCCCATTATTACCCGAACAAGACGGGGCTGGCTATCATACCCGAAATGGTCCAGGAGAACTTCAGCGCCCAACCATCATTGATGATCTCTGTGCCGGGCTTCTGCTTCAAGTTGAGTTACAGGGTGCTGTGCATGGAACACTTAGTCGTGGAGGAGATCCCGCGACTCTTCTTGTGGTGAAATTTTACTTCCAAGGCCGCACAGAGAAGCGACGGTTTCGAAGCGCAGAGATCAAGATTAGATTTGCCGATGAGCAACAACCCCTTCAAGAGGACCCAGAGGTCTTAGCTCTCTGGCCAGAAGGCGACTTCACTTTCAATGAATCCCAAGTGGACTTGAGCGACAGTAAAAGCGGCGGCGCCAACCTCAGTGGAGGAGCTGGAGCATTTCAGATGGGGCTTAATGGCACCTGGACACGAACCCAGGGTAGACAATTGAAAGAAAGAGCCAGCATCAATGGTGCGAGACGAATTGAGGGGCGTGATTGGGGTGCAAGAAACGTGGTGCGCTTGATTTTGGATGAGAATCGTGGCCAGGAAGGAGGGATCGTCAGCACATTATCAACAGCAATCTTGGTGAAGCGCAAATATGCCACTCAGCGTTTCATTGCCCAAATCGAAGTTACAGCACAGGCAGATATGAAATATGCAACAGCCTCTAAGATCCGGGAGCTCTCTGGCAAGACTCCCTTGAATGATCCTGTGGTGTTCGACCCCAAATGCGAACCAACCATTGCGGCAGTCGAGGACGCTTCGAACTTGGCAGCCGAGAGTCTAGAGTCTCTAGCCAGTATTATTTCCACGACCGTTCTTTCGACTATCCGGGGTGTTGCAGACGGGCAAAAAGAAACGGCGGCGTGATATGTGCCACAAGTGGGGCTACCAATGTAGTAATTTACGGAGAACATTCTATTTACGGATGAATCTTGGCACGTATTGAATTGTTATTACTTGTCAGATAATGGAGGTTACTTCATATGGGGCTGTTTCATGGACTAAGTTTGCCGGCAGGCTGACAAAGTATTCTGTTCATTTGTCGGGTTGATTTAATGGCTAGGAAAAAGCGAAGGTGGAAACACAGTAAACCAAAGCAAGTTGGTTACAGGAAACAATGTTTGATAAAGCGTTTCAACCAGCGGGATTATGTAGTCAAATTGAAAGCCCAACTGGTTAAGGCTCAGGATGGATATTAAGGAACCGTAAATTTTGTCTTGTGTGCAGGATTTCAAAGCATATGCAGCGTAGGAAGCCCTTTGGGTGGGAGCACCCGCATCTAAGAGGCTATTTCAGAAGAGATTAAGACTTCATTGGGCCCTGGTCAGTTGGTAAGACGTACCGGCTATTCCTTTTGACCCGCCCCCCCCCCCCCTTAGGCAATCGAGCTACGTTCGCTCCCATTGACCCTTCCCCACCCCAGTGCCAGAGAAGAGCACAACCAATACTTTCAGGCAACGAAGCTGACGAAGTTCCCCCGACCTGAAAAAAGCAACGCGTCTAGAGGTTCTCCTCTTGCGGCTGACCGCTTTTCATGCACACACTGCGCATCTAGCACTTGCTTGCCTTATTTCCTCCACGCGAACAGCATCGCTCTGTCTGTTGGAGGGAAGCGGACTTGGAAATGGCTGCAAATCATCCGACACGGGTATTATCCGCGGGAGATGATGATTGTCAACATGTGTCAGTAGCTTCACGTTATAGTGATGCAAGTTCGGGTTCTGATGAATGTTCTAAAATGTAGTGTCGCTTTCATTGGGCTCGGTGAAGAAATCGAGACACTACTCCTTGATGTCATTCCAGGTGTTCGCGTCCTGAGTTTCCCAGCCCCGTCGCCGTCAAAACAAGGTATCGAAGCCGGTGCGCGAAATCTGCTCCAAGGTCTTCACGAAGATCCCCCCATAAGTGTAAGTGATAATCCTAGAGAGTAATTATATTATGGCTCCTAAATCATTCAGCCTTGTCTAACTCCATTTATAGGAAAAGTCCCCCGAGATCACTATCTTCAGCCACGGAATTGCAGGTTTTATGGTCAAGCAGGCATGTTTCAAAAATGCTTATCACTTAAATATCATTTTCGTATTAATTCCCACTCTAGGCAATGATCCATGTTAACTCCCACAAGAAATACACGGAATTGTCCAGCATAATAACAGACCTGGTTCGCAAGTATCCTCCCTTCTCACAGAGCTACTCCCGTCCTGATGCGAAAATGATCTAGATATTTCTTGGAACACCTCATCGAGTTGAAAATGACTCGAGCTGGGCTACAGTTCTGAGAAAAATACCTCGTCTGGATGCGCAAAAGCTTGAAGATGGTCTTTCAAATTGTGTAGACTTGATATCAAGCTCGTTCCTCTCCATCGCAAGGAGATACCACATGACAAATCTCCTGGAACCCCAGTCTTCTCTGAAAGTTAGTTGAACTCTGTTTAGGCTGTGCTCTCTCACTAACGAAATGGCGGTGAAGATTGATGGCTTTGACACTCGCATATTCGGATATCGATTCGAGAAGAACATTGAATTTGAGAAGTTTTTGACTGCCCCCGAGCTTCGGGGCAAGATAAATGATCAAGAATGCCTGCATCAGTGCCTGACTCCTGCTCGCTTCACAGTATACGGTAAGAAAAGCATCGACATTGAGTTGCTGTTTTTCACACATACACATATTCATAGTTAACATGACCTATAGAAAATGTCGACGAGCAACGGTATTATCTGAGAATCCTAGAGGGTCTGTCTTGGTCGTGGAGACCAATGGATGGCCATGGGACGCTGAAAGAAGAAAAGTCCATGTTACGTCATCTTTTAGAGGAGAAACTTGGAGGAAGTTCTGCTCAGTCAATCCAACTTATCGGTCCAACAGGCTGCGCCAAAAGAACTTTGATGAACGACCTGATTTTTATTGAAGACCGAAAGCCGCAGAATACGGTCCTAATACTATCAAGAAGAGAATTCAAATCTCAAGATAATCTCTCAGTCTATGTCTTGAAAGCATTCGCCCATCAGATTCTCTGGCAGAAACCGTTTCTATTGTCTAGATTACAGCCCCATCTGCCAAATTTGGTGGATGATTTTGACTACGGTTGGACTGAGTCCTCTTTGTGGATCTTGATACGACTTTTATGTCAAGGCGATTGGACAGACGAGTTGGTTCTCTTTATTTCTGATATCTCTAGCTGGTCACAGACACTCCGACCACTTTTGCAGTTCATCCAAACCTCTTCAAAAATCCAACACCGAATCATCAGCACCAACATAGAGCCAGATCTCAGCCAACTCCCGGACTCTACATTCATATTTAATGTAGCTGACCCTGAGATTTGGAAATCTCGCTCCAGTCATATTATTCAGGAGGCTATTAGTAATAAACCTGTCTTCGATCATCCCGATATACTGGAGAAGGTTCATGGGTTACTTCAGCCACTTCTTGGGGATTGTCTTACTGCAACACTCTATTTGGAGCTAGTCTCACGTCTGACAGTCATTCCCACCCCCGCTGCTATTGAGCACAGTCTCAACAAGTTTCCAGTAAATCGTGAAATGATTTATCACCATGCGTTGACTTCGATCACAGCCAGGGGGCCGGAAGTTTCTCGCCTGTGCTCCCAAGCCCTTTCCTGGATGTTGCATGCCTCTCATCCACTTAATAAGAAGGAGTTGAAAGCAGCATTGGCTATCAGCCAAGCTGAACCGAAATCGTCGAAGCAAGAAGTGATGAAACACATGACTGCAAAGATGTGGCAGTTTTTGGATCAACACATTGGGTTGTTCCTGCGAGTTGATAATCGGACCATGCTCTTTGTCCACGATACTGCGAAGCACTCCATTCTGAAATACTCAGAAGAAACCGCGGAAGATGGATTTTCTATCTTTTCTCATACCATGCTTGCAACTCTGTGTGTTCGACATCTCTGTACCTTTCTTCCAGAATATCAACCTCACATGGAGAAATTACACAAAGGCGATGCGTTCATTCCATATGCAGCAAAACAATGGGCCCGGCACTATCATTTAGGCATACAAGATGCGGTTTCTGATGAGGCAGATGATGCCTCGACTGAGCTAGAAAGCCTTATCGAAGAATTCATTTCCTCGCAAGATCAACGGGACTCATGGTATGCCATTGTTCACCCAGAACTGACAGAATTCGACAAGTCTGGTGACATCCCAACAAAATTGGAAATGGCTTCTGAGCTAGGGTTAGCTCGAATCGTGGGCGAGGCTATCAAAAACAGGGATAATGATGAAATCGACGACAAGGTCCTCGAAAGATCGCTTCGACTAGCGACAAAATATGGCCATGGAAATATTGTGAACCTAATAACTCAGACGGAAGTTTCGGTTTCATCAGCACTACCATTTTCTACGGAGCAGGACAAGGTCCAAATACTGCAACACTTCCTCGAAATTGATCGCAAAAAGTCTTTCCATTTTGCAACAACCGACATTTCTGCAGCACTAGAAAGTGCTGCTCAAAATGGTCATTTGGAGGCAGTGCGGTTGATCCTTGCCCACACCAAGGGAATTCAGGAGTACGAAGTTGTACATGACTTGCCACTTGAAGAAGCAGCCGATAGGGGACATATGGAGATTCTGGATTATCTCTTGCAATACGTAAAAGAGTTGCCAGAGACCGAGAAAGCCGATCAGGAACCGCCAGCTCAAGAGGAGAGGATCTCTGATGAAGACCAGAAAATAGAAGACAAGGAGGATGATCTTGAAGTCAAAGACAGTGGACAGCAAGCAGCCGCTGGGGAACCGCAATCCGAGGATGTCGTCGAGTCGAAATCCGAGCCTGAAGATGAGGAGTCTGTTTCTGAAAACGAGAAGCCGAGTATTGAAGACATGAAAAAAGGTGCCCTCTATCGTGCTTGCCGCCGCGGTAACGAAGAAATGGTGCGCCTTCTTCTGCAACACGGCATAAAGCCCACGCACAAAGCGATCAATATTACGGCAGAAGCAGGATATTCCGATATCATGAAATTGATACTCGAAGCTCTTGATCCACAGAACGCCGATGATGTGAAATTGAATGAGACATTTGCTCTGTCGAAGGCTGCCGAGAATGGGCATCTTGCGGTGGTGAAGCTGCTTTTGGATAACAACGTCTCGATTGATGGACTGTCCCCAGAAGAAGATACCCCGCTACACAGAGCTGCAGCAAACGGATATGTTGAGGTCTGTAGGCTCCTCATTTCACAAGGGGCGAACCCGAATGGAATCAAGGACGACAAAATGACGCCCGCGCAACTAGCAGCAGATGGAGGATATCTGTCGACATTCCAGGCTCTTCAAGAATGCCCTGATCCATCCAACTACTACAATTATATTCGACTTGCCGCCGAGAATGGCCACGTACTGATGGTCCGTTATCTGCTTGGACTTGACCAAGAGCTTGATCCGAAAAATAATGAACTTGAATCTGCTCTTGCGACGGTCGCATCTAAGGGGTACTTGGCAGTCACTCGTGAGCTGTGCAAAGCTGGAGTAGAAGTCAACCGACGAACAGGGAATCACTCAGCTATTCACAATGCCGCTGGAAAGGGACATGTGCAACTGGTTGAATATTTGCTGACCCAAGGAGCGGACGTGAACGCGTGTGGTGATCTGAGAAGAACACCGCTCCACGAGGCAGTGAAGTACCCGGAAATATTGGCCATGCTCCTTGATCATGGCGCTCATGTTGATGTTACAGACTTAGATGACAGGACACCGTTGCACGCCGCGATTGGGGCAAAAGAGGAGACTTCAACGGAAGATGACCTTGAAAGGTCTGTCCGAATGCTCATAGAGGCCAATGCCGATGTTGATGCAAAGGATGAGGACGGTAATACCCCACTTCATCTTGCTGCCCGGGTTTCTTTTGAGGCGGCCGTCGATGCCCTCCTTGAACGATCTGCAAAAGCCACAGGGGCGAACGAAGATAAAAATACTGTCCTCCATCTTGCTGCTAAGTTTAGCAGCCCTGCAATCATGAAGAGCCTCCTCGGAGCAAGCACTGGTGGTTGCGATTCAACTAACGAGGAAAGCAAAACGCCTTTGAATATTGCTGCAGCCCGTGGAGAAAATACCATTGTACTTCTTCTCGTTGAGGAGACCAGTGACAAAGCTATCAATACTGCCGACGAAGATGGCAAGACTCCTTTACACTATGTCGCTCGAAATAGTGATGGAGAAGCCTTGAAGGCCCTCGTGGCTGCTGGAGCGGATATTAATGCAAAGGATGCCTCGCAAGCGACTGCCCTCATAAATGCTGCCACGCGTGGAGACCTGGAAACTGCTAAACTTCTTCTTGAATGCGGGGCGGATATGGAAATCATTGATAAAAATAATGATACCGCACTTCTTGCAAGTATTCCAGAAAACTATGTCGATATTGCAAGGCTGTTGTTGGAGAAGGGTGCCAATGTTTCCGCGGTCGAAACATATGGTAACGCCCCACTTCTGTTGGCTGCCCTCGATGGTCACAAAGATATGGTTCAACTTCTCCTAGAGAGTGGGGCAAACATTGACCAGGCAAATGACGACAAATGGACTCCTCTTGCTGCTGCTATAACCAACGACCATGCAGACATAGCGAGTATACTGGTAGATCACGGAGCCAACATTGAAGCAATGAATACTTTTGGCTCCACCCCCTGCATCTTGCGGCTATTGGAGGCAACATGGAAATCATTCGTCTGCTTCTAGAGAAGGGCGCAGATATGGAAGCCGCCAGCACCGATCAGTGGACGCCTCTTGCTAGTGCTGTCAGCAAGGGCCATTTAGAGATATCAAAACTTTTGATAGGACATGGCGCAAACATCGAGGTAGAAAATAGCCTCAAATGGCGTCCACTCAATCTTGCAGCTTCGAATGGTCATTTTGATATAGCAAAGATGCTGATGGAAAAGGGAGCCGATCTTGAGGCTCCTAATAAGGACAAATGGACACCCCTCCCAACAGCTGCCAACAAGGGCCATACCGAAATAGTCAAACTACTTGTGGAAAAGGGTGCCAATATTGAGGCAGCTAACATCCATAAATGGCGTTCACTGAACCTTGCAGCCTCAAGTGGATTTATTGACATTGTGAAATTTCTTTTAGGTCATGACGCGGACGTTGAAGCCGCTAATCAGGATAAGTGGACGCCTGTTGCAAGTGCTGCGCTCAATGGTCACTCGGAGGTCGTCACGGCCCTACTTGATCAAGATGCAAATATCGAGGCGAAAAATAAATATGGCTCAAGTCCTTTGAGCCTCGCAGCGTCCAATGGCCACCTTGAAACTGTGAAACTATTGGTAGATCGAGGAGCAGATGTCGAATCATGTGATACTGACGGGTTCACTCCGCTTATAGTCGCTGCATCCGATGGCCATCTTGAAGTATGTCAGTACCTGCTTGACAAGAACGTCAAAGTCAATGTGACGGGACGAGCAAACGAATCGGCTCTTTATCGAGCGATCAGATACAAACACTTGAACGTTATCCGGCTGCTCTTGAAGTACCGCGCAGATCCCGATATATGCACCGACCACGGCTTCAGCCCGTTGCATGAGAGCATTCATAGTAATTATGTTGATGGTGCTGCGGTACTTATTGAGCATGGTGCATCAATTGATTGCAGAGACATGCTTGGTAAAACGCCGCGCGATTGGCTGATTCTTCATGACGCTGATAAATTCTATGAACGCATCCCCTCGTTGAAGCAGATGTCACCAACAAATGAAAGTGATTGGAAAAAGGCTACCAGAGAAAGTATTGTTCGCATACTCGGCAAGATTGATGTGCCCGACAGCAATAAAAACCACCTGCTGTGGCAGGTATGCCTGTGTCTCTCCCAGCTAGGAGATATATCAATTTCGAACAAGTGCATGCTGCAAAGAGCCGAGTTAGACGCCGATACCAAGAAGTTCAAATTTGTTGGATTTTGCGATCTATGTGAAGAGCCATTTTATGATGTCGTTTGGATGTGTCGTATGTGTCCTGACACTTCCTTCTGTGAAAACTGTGTGGAGAAGCAGAAGGAGACCCAGAAGGTGATGTGGTGTATGGGACATGAATATCGTGAAATTCGTGCCTGTCCCCCCTATACTGATGATCCTCCGGACAGCGAAGGGAACTTGAAAGCGCTGCTAGAGGAAATCCACTCCGTGTATGATAAACAAGGCGATCCACCTGCATGATGCTATCTCATAATCTTTGTTTCGTTCACTCAGGGCTACCCAATTTTTGCTCAGATTTACCTGGAAATTTTATCAATATCCATTTATTAATTATTTGAATTCATAATGAATTTATTAAGAATTATCTAGGGTAAGATTAGAGACATGAAACATAAATCAGGTATCGCGGCAAAAAGATGATCAACAGCAAAATCAAAATAGCAATTCTACTATCTTGATCCTCGAGGCCTCTGGGCAACTCAAGTGCTAGCATCGATAACCCACCATAAGCCCTCCGATTGTTGATGGAGTGCCAGCCTCCCATGCAAGCAGCATATCCTCTCTGGTCTCAAAGAAAACGATCACACATTCGCATTGGAAGATCTGAATTCCGCTTGCTTTAGGGAGAGCCGACTTGATTCGAGTAAGATCCTCCGTGGTGAGCTGTTCTCGCACATCAATGTTCCGGAGCAAAGGATCGGCCATTTGGGTTGAATACTTGGTGTCGTAGTCTGCAGGAGTCTCGAAGAAGGGCTGGGTGTGAAGCGGTCGTCCACCCACTAGACAGAAGGGGATGCTGTCTCCCATTCGTGGAAATATCAGCCAGACTTGATGGCCAGAGTGCTTCTGTGTCAGGGCAAAGACTTCTGGCTCGGAGCGAAAGGCTGGATGGAAGGTACGGATCAGGTCCTCGTTCTTATCGGTGACCCGTTCCAGGCTTGCACGTCGGTTAGCGAAGGTTGCCGGCCCCCATGCCTCTGAGTTTGTTTCTATATTGTTAGTCCCGATGAACAGCTCTGCTGGTTATGAGAACTCTCTGTGCGAGATAAAGGCAGCAAAACTCACTGTCAATACGGCGCATCTTGCGACCGCCGCTGAGAACAGGAGGTCCGATTGACTGGTCGCCTTTCAAAGGGAAGATCTTAGCCGGAGATCCTATGGCCCGTGGGCGCGAGTGGGAGTTGACTGGCGCCATGACCATTGATTGAGAGAAAGCTGACATGGATCTTGGTTGTTGAGGATATTTGAGGTTCACGGGTTGAGGGATCTTGCGACCCTCCAGATTATGGGAAGCACGAGACAAACTGACATTTAAGGTGTAACGTTGAGGTCAAAATTGGTCAGCTTCAAAAGACTGGGCCGCGTCTTAATCGGTTCCATGGATGGTGCCCTATGTCGCAAGTGCTGAGTGACTGTTGACGGTCAACCCGCGGATCACGCCCGCCTTCGGATAGGGAAGCTCGCTGCCATCTGTCTCTACATCAGGAATGCCAGTTACGCTAGGAGGAGAACTGCAAGACCAGACGAGACCAGAAGAGACAGCAGAGAAGATCATTCTCTTTTCATTGACGTAGTATTTCCCGGGTGGAAGGGAATCGACAATCGCATGATTGCTTTGGATGTGAATTTATTCAATGTAGTAAGGACCAGTGTTGTGAGGCTTTCCACGATGAATTTTATATCTCAGTCACCAATACTTCTAATCCTCGAGCCTCAGGGGCACAAAGTCGTATTATATTTAGAATTCCAGGCTGACAAATAACTCGAGTACTGCATCCAATGCCAACCAATTGAAGGACATCGTGATTTAGTGACTATGTATTACATCACTTGGAAGTCATCATTTTCGCTAAGCAATCCTAGGAATACCTACTCGTAAAATTAAATATATTCACCACCGAACCGCCAATCCTGATGTATGATCTTAAACCTGACGAGAAGAACTATGATTCTGAAAGGTTTCCAGCCCAGGTCTTTGTAGATACTAATCAGCCAGCGAGATACAGCCTTATCATTCTACCAAAGGCTCCTCCAAGGTAACATTGCACCCCCATTTTCTTACGAAGGAAAGAGCACTGGATATCGTCGCTGGTCTGTTCATTCCAACTTTCTGTCCTGAGCATTGCAGACCTCGAAGAGCAACGACGGCGCTGAGCAGTACTCGATATTGCTCATCTCCGATAGTCATGTGTGCAGGCACATAAACGAAGCAGAGACGTGGATACGAGTCGTTTGCTCTTTCGTCTACCGCCACCGCTCTTTCCTCTCGTTGTCCTGGTCTAGACCTGTCGGACACGTAAGATCCTACTTCTCCAATTTACGTTAATTTATGTAAATGGGTAGTCACGGGGCTCTTCAAGGGGAATCATCTTTCATTTTCATGTTGACCGCTCAATTGTCTTAAAATACACAAAATATTCGTAGCATGCAATCGTTGGCAATACATACAGAGCAATATGAAGGGGAAATATATACAACACGAGCCACTCCAAGCCAATAAAAGGATATACACGTAGAACTCAACATATTCAAGGTTCTCCTTCCATTCCCACCGATAGCACCGTTCCAAGGGAAGCACACAACGCCACTCGTCATCATTATAATAAACCAGCACAGAACACATCCTCTTGTGCGAAACTAGAACGACCACCCCAACTTTTTTTAGGCTTTAGACTTTGTGCATATCCCAGCGCAGTGGGAAGGAGAAAGAATGTTCACAGTCCACGGACAGCGTTCGCAAAGCGGACATGATCGACCACCCGACGTGACCTGTCCTTTTCTTGGGTTCAACATCCTCCCCATCCCCCCATTCTCCCCCCGCATGCCATCCCCCCACATACAGTCCCTTGCTGTAGGGCACACACCGGCTGCAAATCGCCATTTCACAGAAAGAGACAGGGGGTGGGGGGAAACACCAGACCATGAGACAAACAGAAGCTCAACACTCGGGCCTCCCATGCCCTCGCCTTTCCAATGCAGATGCATGGTGAATCACACAGAACAGAGTAGAACGCCACATAACATAGTACAGCCTGCCCGATGAAAAGGGTCATCATATGCTCAATGTCGGATATTCACGATATTGAGCCGGAATTCAAGGAAAGTTTCGCGTCCAGGTAAGGAAGAGGTGACCGAGATGGACACGCCTTCGACTGTGACGGATTGGAACAAGTAAAAAAAAAAAAAAAAAACAATGCGTAACGGAAGTGAAGCGTGAGAGGAAGAGGGTATCAAATAAAGGCGTGAGAGGTAGAGGGGAAGAGGAGCTGCGGGGCGAAGGGGGTAAAACCCGTTAAGTGATCAGGAAGTCCATGTTCATGTCATGAATGATCTTTTCCCAGTCCCAGCTGTCCTCGATTTTCGTATCCATGATATCCCACACTCGAGCCACTACCTTGAAGGCGGGCTCGATGTTGCGGAGATTGGAGTAGGCTTTAAGTGATTCAAAGCCACGTTGTATGCGTTCACGCTGGTGCGGGAGGAATGCCGAGCATCCGAGCAGGAAGAGCGGCATTAGGACAATGCTGTAGGCACCGGCATCCTGCGGCAGGCGGTCCAAATAGGATAGGCCGTCGTCGACGACTTGGGCAATCTTGTCGCTCGGGCGTGAGGGCCGGATCGTGCGGTACAGGTAGACCCAGGTGGACTGGCGGTAGACTTGGGCGAGGAGCCAGTTCGGGGTGTCTTCCTCGTGCGAGGTCTTCCAGGTCCGGATGGCGCTATCGATCTGGACGGCCTCACTCAGCGTCTGGTAGTCCACGGCAGGCTCATAGCCCTCGTTGAAACGCTGGCGAATACGGTCTCGCAGTTGGGTGATGTCGGAGATGTAGTTGAATAAGCCATCAAACACGCCCAGGAAGGCTCCGGCCTGGGCCCCGGGGACGAAGTCGGGTAAGCGCAGCCCACCATGCATCAGAGCGGGACGGCGGTCCAGAGATGTGAGGGCATTGGAAACATCGTGATATTGGAAGAACTCGACGATGAACTGCCGGAATTTTTCGTTGCGGGGTTGCTGCGAGACGAGGAGATACCGGGCCGCGTCCATGTGTGGTCGATATTCGCCGTTGGTCTCGCCTTCGCAGATGGTGTTCAGGCTGAGAGCAATGGTGGATGCGATGATCGGATCCTCGACGAGCAGCTGTTGTTCATCCTCATCCATGCCCTGGCCCTTGCTTTGAGATGATGAGGCATTAATGTTATCCTTCAAATCCTGAATAGCTCGATGGAAATGAAAGTATTTCCGCTCTTTCAGCTTGGGCTCTGGATCAAGGCCAGACAGGTGCGATCCTGATAGACACATGAGCGAATGCATGAGCCCGCGGTGCTGGGTTGCCATGGGCAGCAAGATTTCCTTGAACGGGTTCGAGTCATCGTTGATGAGAGTCAACACCCGACTAAATCCATAGACAAAGTGGTCGAGAAAACGGCGGTCGATCTCGGTTTCAATCCCATCGATGAGGAGGGGGAGGTTGCGCGGGACGGTGACGAGGGACTGGCCTCGGACGGCTGAAGGGCGAAAGAGGGATGCAGTCAGCGAGTGTCACAGGTTTGGTTGGGTGCTTGCGCGGCCGTATTGAAATCTGGTCAGTGCAGGAACATACCGTCGGCCATCTTTTGCCGTCCGCTCTTCCATATTTCCTTCGGCGGGTACCCTTCACAAACAACGGCATTCTTCTGACAGTTGAGACACCTACACCGACCGCAAAACACAGGACAAAGAGGTTAGAATTGAAAATGATTCTCATATCATAGATCGATCACACAGAGACGGGTCGGGAAGGATCGGTTTCCAAGGTCAGTTGATCTTTGATCTGGTCCGGGTGGCACTTACGCTGGCTTGGTCTCGTCGCACTTCTTCTTCCTACGACGGCAGGTAATACAACCGGTCTTGGACCGACCCTTGGTGACCTTGACCTGGCCGCCTGGTGCCGGCAGCGGGTGTTTGCGCGGTCGTCCACGTTTCCGTGGAACGGCGGCGGGAGCGCCCGCGGGATTATCATGCTCGTGCTCAGTCCCCACATCCGACGGCTTGATACTTTGTATATCTTCGTCGTCCAACTCCTCCACCTTGGGTAGAGCATCGTCCATGTCGAAATGCGCATGCCGATCCAGCCCGAATGCCGCCGAGGCCGAGGAACAATCGAACGCATGCGATCGGGGATATAGTTCGCTGTGCGCATCGAGATCCTCGGGCGGCGACCGATCCGAAGGGTCGGCCATCCAGTCTGGCGAGTCGGAGGAGGTGTCGTCGGGACTGGCGCCGGTGCTGGTACTAGAGGTGCTGGCCCTCAGCGCGATCCCCGAGTGCAGAGTGGGGGAGATCCGAGAGGCCTGCGGTGCGGCCCTCATCCTGAAGACCTGATCCATTCAAATCTGAGGGCGCGAGGAAGGAAGGATTCTGCATGGACAACATTGAAGGGCCGTCCTAGAAGAAAGGACGGGTACTAGGAGGGAGCCAGCGCAAGTTGTGGGCAGTCGGCGCTGCTGACGGGGGAAGCGGGAGGGGAAGAGAGGAGGGGGGGAGAGGGTCAGGGAGTGGAGGCCAAGAGGATCGGTGCGCCGGGTATAGTTATGGCATGCACTGATTGGGTCCGGGGCAGAGAAGGATGGAGGAGGCGCGGGTAAACTGTGGGTGGCCGATCCGGAGCAGGTCAGGGAGAGAGAGAGAATCAGCTCAGGCAGGTCGGAGGGGGACGGGGGAGGGAAGGGAGAGGGGGAAGTGAGGCCAAGCAGAGAGAAAGCTAAGTCGAAGCGGGGAGGGGGCGCGGATATAACAGACTATAAGAGGACTGGAGGACTCGAGCACTCGAACAGACGACGAGAGGCGCATTTGCGCAACAGAATTCAATGTGTCATGGAAAACCTGAGGTCATACGAATTGGGGCCCTGAAACTGCGTTCTTCCAGCATTAAACTTTCCATGCGGGGGAGGCTGCCAAGCATGTTGGATCTGACGCCCTGATTTGCAGTGAGAAAAAAAAAAAAAAAAAAACAATGCGGGAAATATAAAATATTAGAATATTAGAATATTAGATTATTGGATTATTGGATTATTGGGATCTTGGGATATTTGGGATTTGGCATATTGGGCTATGGGACTATTCGAAAGGATCGTTGACGGGTCTAAGAATGGGGACCGGGGAAAGCCGCAACCAAAATAATAATAATAATAATAATAATAATAATAATAAAAACAAAATAGTAAAATAGTAAAATAATAAAATAAAACCAATCTAAGTCTGCGTTTGCGCTTGGGGAAAGATTTACTTTTTACTTTGTGGCCTGTTCACGCCCATTTTTCTCCATGCTTGAATTCTCTAATTCTCGAGCGATGGAGATTTTCGTTTCTTTTCTTTTCCCTTCGTTTCTTTTCCTTTGGGTATCCTTTTTTCCATGGCGGCTTTTGTCTCTTTCTCGTTCTCTTTCTCTTTCTCTTTTTATATTTATTTGTATTTATTTTTGTGTTTATTTTTATTTTTATTTTTTGGTTTCTTCATATCTGAACCCGATTGGCAAGTGACCGGTTGAGGGGGGTTGCCTCCATGAACCCTCTCATCTGCTGGTGGCGACGATCCATAGCTTAGGCCCTCATTCTGAAGTTCCGACGCTCTGCTGGCAGGATGATTGGGCTCTGCTCCGGATGTTTGTCTGTTCGTCTGGCCCTCAACGCCCATCACGCTCACGCCCATCCCTCCTCTGCGCCTCGTTCCTAGATCCCTAGATCCCTAGATCCTTGTATCCCGATATCCCGCTGTGTCGCTGTTTCTTTGCTCTTCATCCTCTCCTTCAGTCCCGGGCCCCAAAAAGTAGGTCGCGGAGGCTACAGGTCGAGCGGGGGCGAATCATGCAATACCTGCCTGCTTACCCCCGGACATCCTGACCTATGAAGAATCATCCCTGGAGAAGTTTGACCTATAGTAACCCTATAGTAACCCTAAGCCCCGGGAGTTGTCCGGAGGTCCAGCCAGGACGAGAAGTAAAAGAAGGCAGTCTACTAACAGGGAAGCGCAAACGCCTCAAATCGGTGTTTGTCCCGTCCCAGCGGTTCCTCTGATGACGGGCTGAGGGATGGGTCCCCTATAACTGGTCCAACCTATAGGCCCGATGAAGAGTCTCCATATAGTATGAATCATATTATGCTATCATTCTTCTCACTGTGGTCACGATGCTCGCGATGCTCCTCCCAATCCGACCCAATGTGCTTTCCTCTTCGGTGCCACCGGGGCGCCGTTCTATGTATAGATGGTTCTCGGGGGCTTTTCTAGCCAGGACCAGGGGCCAGGGCTCCCGGGGCGCCAGGCCCAGGGAGACCAGGCATCATCCCCTCCCCGGAGGGCCCCCCTCCTTGACCCCCTTACCCCCATGCTTCCCGAGCCTGTGACCCTCACCGTGCCCCTCTTGGGGGCGGTTAGTAATAGGCAACAAAGTGAGTTGTCTACTGGGGCAAATCGTACAGCCGGAAAACAGACTCTGTTCTTTTCCATATTCGTGTCCGCGCCAGGACCCAACGGCTCCCCTAGGTACGACGACCTGCCCCTGTTCGCCTAGTGTTTTGCCCAAGTAGTCCAATTTCGGCCCAGGAAAGCGCGGCAGGTTTCACGAATTGGTCCTAGTCATCGTACGCCCGACGCTCGCCAATCCTCAACCTTTCTTTGACCAGTACTTTTGGCACCTTCCGACGGCTGTCGTCTGTACCCCGTACGCCCCGCTCTCTCAGCGCTAGGTTCTAGGTTCTAGGTTCAAGGTTCAAGGTTCTGGATCATAGCTTCTGGATCATCATCCTGGCACGGGACGAGAGTAGATCGTCCTCAAACAACGTATGCTCCCGCTTGATCCCCAACCTCTTCACGGACGAGAGTCGACCGAATGCGGAGGGCACTGTGGACGGCGGAAACTGAACCCCCCCCGTATTAGAAGACCAGGCCTAAGCGCATTCCTCCCCCGCCTTTCGGGACTCGTTTCTCATCGGTGAAAATGAAGCATGTCCGTCGACATTGAAATCTGTTACGCAATTTTTCCCCCTTTGTACGACACCCACAATCTGGGGTAAGTGGGCCAGATCGTCTTCCCAGCGAGCCCAGCACGGACATCCGCTGCAGGGAATCGACCAGGTCGGTCACTCCCTTCCTGCGGGTTCCACCTATGAGGCGGGACAGGTTTCTCGCCTCCTATTCCTGACCGGTCGCGTTGCCTAGATCAGCAGGCCATCACTCGACCCGCTTGAAGGGGGAGGGTGCGCGCCGCGGAAATGGGGAAGAAGGAAAAGGATTCCGACACCGGGGAGGGAGGTCTGTGATGCAGGGCCATGGACCTCTTCTCGGTCCTTCGATCCGATGACAGCTATCCCCCCCCTTCTCAGGCCCCGAGGACGCGGGCCGGAGAGACAGGAGGGCACAGGCAGAGTAGAGTAGTCCAAGCCCACGATCCCACTACGGAGAATGGTGGCGATGGGCTTTGGACGGATTTGGATTCACCACGGAACCCCCGGGCCTCCTCCCCTGCCGCTGGACCAACTGGGTAAGACTCGGATGGCCCTGCTGTGCTCGCACCTCGAGGCTTCGAGGGCAAAAAGACATGTACCCTCTCTGTCCCTATTGCCACTCCATGTCTTCACGGGGGTATTTCTCTCTTTCGCGGTCGTTTTGGTAGCAACTCGCTTTCTCCGTCTGAGAAACCGGGACGAGAATAGCTACGGTCACTACTGTACGCAACAACCTTCCTCTTGCGCTAGTGTCCGCTGGATGTCGAGACGAGTCGAAGACGGACAAGCCTTTTAGCCATTTTGACTCTGGCGCATCAGCTGCGGCCCCGGGTGCCCCAGAAGGGAAATCCGACAAAGTTTCAGCCGCGATCTTGGCTAGTTGCCTTCTTGTTTCGGTCTCAGGTACCGGGATCCTCCGCTGACCAGGTTGAACATGGGACCGTCCATGATCAAAATGCGTGTGTTGGGGAGGGGATGCGAGAGGAACGGAACGCAGTGATTCGTCTCTCGGTGGACGAGCTCGCCGCGAGTCAAGCCCTGGGTTCTTAGTCTCTTCTTAGTCTCGGGCACCGGACAATCAGATGGATACTCCCGTCGGTCTATGAACGAGGATGGAAGATACTATGGAGTACGTAGAAAAGACCGAGTCGGTTTTCGGGCGCAGGCTCGCGAATAAAGATGGACGTTCCCGCCCTGATCCAGCTCACTACTGCAGCTTGATGGAGTCTGGTCCCGGTCAAACGAAGGAAATTACGTCGTCGCGATCGCCCGGGATCTGGCCCTAGTGGACACAGGCCAATGACGGGACGCTGGAATGTGTCGCAGATTGGAATTGGGGGGAGAGAGAGGGGGGGCTGCTGACCCGCACGCCGATGAATTTTTTTCTCCCCCTGGACGGGGATCACTTGCAGTTTTTCCGGGAGAGAATTGGCGACTCGGCGGTGGTGGTGGATGCTGGGTGTAGGCTGCTGGACAGTCGATAGTCGATAGTCGGTAGTAGATACTAGTCGCCGTCTGATGCGCCGGATGATGCGCAGCATCGCGTCTGGCTCATTCCGAGTGCCCCGTGCTACTATAAAGAGTACTCAGTCGATCTCCCAGTCCACAGGGAAGTACTCGCCAGGCCGAGATTGCTACCCAATGACGCCCAGCAGGCAAGGCGTTGCATTTGAAACCTACCGCGCCGGACTGATTCGCAGGCGCGTACAGAGGATTCCGTGAACATGGACTCAACCCCAGAGCCCGCAAGGAGCAGCAGCGGGGCCGAATGAAGGTTCTTCCCGCATCCGTTGGGGGGAGGGTGGGGAGGAACCATCGGCTGGTGCCGAAAGGCTCGTTATTTTACCGGCCGCACCGTGTGGTTTTGACGTGCCTGGAGCCACCGGGGGAACAGCGCGAGGGGGAAACCCGACCAGACGACCGAACGGCCAGACGACCCAGCGACCCAGCGACCCAGAAAGGCTGGTGCATGAGACTAACGTGCGAGAGAACCCAGTGCGTGCCTGGCGCTTCGTGCGGGTGCCTCTCGACAGCCCGACCCGCCCGCTAAACTCCATCCGACCCGCCCCACGTCTCCCTCGTCCCTCCATCCACTCCCCATCCGCCCGGCCTCGCATCCTCGCATCCTCGCGCACCACGGGCTCTCCAGACTCCATCCCGGAAGCTAAACAGGCGATCCACCTGACCTCGTGTACCAGCACAGCAGGTTTGCCGAAACGAAGATCTTGGCCTGCCCGTGGACTCCCTCCCCCCTGCTGCTCAGTCCATTGTGGAGACATGGAGATGACCCGGGGAAGGCTCTGAGCTAAAACGGCACCACGAAACCCTTTCCTTCTGTCCTCGCTGATCCTACGTACATCTCCTCGGGCGCAGTATGGAACCCAGCCACGAGCCTCGACAGCCCCATCGATGGCAGTCTCGAAGTGTGCACGAACCAGGTCCCAGGCCCCCCTCCTCTCCCCCCCCTCCGGCCCTATAACATGGCCCCGGAAGCTGCGCATAAGCACCATTCAGCCAACCCCCCGTTGGTTCAAGACTCTCGGGCATGAAGAAAATTCATTACAACCCCGGGGATCCACCGAACTATCGAGCAAAAGGAGCAAAAGACCCCATTTCTTCCTAAAAGGGGAATTGCGAGCGCCAACGGGAGAGAAAAACAAAAAGAAAAAGAAAAAAAGCAAGTAAGAAAGAAACAAAATGAGTTTGCCCAGAGTTGACGGGGGATGGTCATCTGATGCTCTGAGGTATGCGGTATGGGGTATATGAGGTATAAAGTATGAGGGCCATTGAGATTGAGTCTACTACCCTCTCACCACGCTACCGATCGGAGCCAACATCGAATTCAACAATCGCTTCCAAAAAAAAAAAAAAACCACCTCCCCCCCCCCCCCCCTTTCCTTTCGATTGGGAATAAGACTAGAGCTGGAGGTCAGGAAGTAACGGGAAGCCAGCGCCCAGATGGGGTCGGCAGAGACGCCAAGCGCACTCGGCGATCATTGCGATCGACTCGGAATGTATATCGCTCGTTAGATTTTGCTCTTGTTGGCCAAGTGCCCGTGATGGAGAGGCTCCACTCGTGTGCTCGGCCCTATTCGGGGCCCATCGTTTCTATTTCCAGATTGTAACACGCTCCAGGATCTACGATCACATCCAAGTAAGGGCAACAGAACGACGAACTGGTGTCGCGCGACATAGGCGACTACAGCGACGACCCCTGCTCTGAGATTAGAGGAGGGGAGGGGAGGGGAGGAATAGGACCCAGATGATCCCTTCCGATTTCCGGAGCTTTTGACGATGGAAGAAAGTGCGAGCGGTCGAAGTTCTGCCCCCTCTAGTCAGCTTGGCCGGTGAGGAATTTTGAGCCTAGGGCAATCCAGCCGATGGAGAATTCATATGGGGGTCGTGGTAGGACAAGGGTGATCCTAGTCTATGGCGCTCAATATGCCGATGGTCCCGGGGCAAAAGCCAAAGCCAATCTACATTTGAAAAACAAAGGGCAATTGAAAGGGCAATTAAAAGGGCAATTAAATAATTGACTGTCGGGTTCCATGTTCCATGGACGCACTCCAGATTTGTAGGTTTGATTGTATACAAGAACCCTGACGGGCTCTCTGTCAAACGCCATGCGAGTACAGCCTGGTAGACAGGCATGTCGTACCGCAATGGCTCGTTTCAAAGGATACTCCGTAGTCGAAGCAAGGACGGTGCGTCTACGGTGGCATCTGTAGCCTCTAACGATACAGGACGCGAGGGATATGTCGACCACATCGGAGGTGTTCAGCGCGAGCGCGACGACCGTCTCGTTCTCGGTCTGCGGGCCTGTTGAAACAGCAGCCGCGTCACTGGTGGTTCCTCGTTTGCTTTTCCCTTTTCTGACTATCCATGCTGGACTAGAAATGGAGGTGCCAAGAGGAGGGAGAGAGCGTCGAGTTGCCCTAGCTGAGTTCACCTGGTTGCTCGCCTCCCATTTCGGATCTACAAAGTCCCACGTCTCAGCCGCCTCCGTTTTCTTGTCTCTCGGTCATCGGAATGATCCCTCAGCCGCCCCCTCTCTCTCCATTCGGTCTCAATAGCCCCATGCGGGACGACAAAATCGGTGGCAAGAATCAGCTGGCCACTGGCCCTGTGGGACAAGTTGGGCAACATTGAGGAGTAGGTGAGGTGTGGCTGAGCCCGTCTGAGCCCGTCTGAAGCTTCTTTCTCCTCGGACAGAGGCTATTGCGATCAGCAGTGCAGGAGGATCGATGTCAACCGTGGACGTTCTTGTTCGGCAAGGCAAATAGTGCTGCGTCGGGTTGACAGGTGCGTTTCCGATGTCACTACCAGGGTTCGCCTGGGAGATCTTCGACGTGCGTGCCACCATTGACTAACGGTATAACAGGCCAAGCGAACTAGCTTCAGTGGGATGGAGACATCGAACAGCCAACAACCGTCGGGTCACAGCCATCGATGGTCCGTCCTCTGCCTGACCCGACAGTCCGGTACTGGCGTTTTGCTTTTTATTCTTCTCTTCTGGTTCTATTTTTCTTCTTCTTGCTGCCGAGCAGGTAAATCACGCAATCCGGTGATGGGCGAACGTCCAATTCAGCGAGGCTATTGGCAAGTCTATACTTGCCTCTGAGCAATGATCGACGCGCAGATCAAGATGGATCAAGAGACATCTTTCCGTATTCTCCTGCCTGGCCCGCCATTCTGGCTCCGGCTCCGGACTGCAGAAGACTAGCGACGTTAGAACAACGCTGGGCAGACGATAAAAAAAAAGACGAAAGCGACCATCTCCTCGGAAATGCGGGAAACGCTCGTCGTCGCCAGTGCCGCCAACGATCGCCTTATCTTGGTCCGCATTCAGGGATGATAAGACGTGATCGCGCGAGTGGCCTCCGCTATTCGCCAGATTACCCCAAGGTCCCCCGGCTAAGCTGCATGCCAGGACCGGAGTGGGGGGATCCAGGGCTATGGGAAAGGGGAAATCGGGAGTTGTGTCGATTCTCCAGGTGATGCTGGGTCAGATCCTGACTTTGCGAGACGACAGCCATGCTGCAACCTCGTACATTCGCTCTGAACTCCCTTATCAAAGCCAGTAGACGTGGCTGGCAATTCAGTAAATAACAGCAACCCCTCGACAAGATCTTTTGAATTGACCTCAGATATCTAGTGACATGATAATATAATCCGGGACTTATAAGGACATCTCCTTCGGATGGCCTTGCATGAGGAGTAGCACAGAGCCTCATTGATTCCCACCAGTAACACGATCAGATCACTGGAGGAGGCCAGACACAGAGATTGGAAAAAAGTACTGTTCCTGCAATCCGAAGCACATACTCTCCTTTGAGATGATCTCTTGTTCATCATTCACGTCATATCTGGCCAGCTCGTCTGACATATCTCGTATCTGGAGAGGCTCTCTCCTCCAGTGAGGCTTTTTGGCCCTATCATACATTCCTTTGGCCATGAAAGTGCCACTTGAACGTGGATGCTCTACCTTCAAGCTTCTGTACTCCTTATCTTCTAATTCTTTCATCGTGGGAAATCAACAGCAATAGAGCAGATTGCAGATTGTCTCCTTGATCCAGAATCAATCGAGTACTTGGTCTATTTTCAGTAACTAAAGGGGAAAACCAAAATGCCGATATCCTCTTTTTTGATATTCTTTACAGGAGAGACGATGCTGGCCGCAACTTCTTTGCCATCCTATTCATTATCGAAATACAATAATCATGGATTCGTCCCATTGCAATTATCCGAAGGTCTGAAGCACCGGCGCCAGAAAGGAAAGCTCACCCTCTCCTTCAATTATCACAGTCGGAATGCACTGACAGTCGTCTGGCCATTTTAGAAAGGGCCAAGCAGAATCTGCAGTTCACGCGCGCATACCCATGTCAGCTTGAGTGCGTTTTCACTCTTCCTTCTATATCTCCATCCTTACAGGCTGCACGGGAAGCTCCATCTAAAATACTGATTGATGACGGCATGGAATCTCCGCTTGGGCTCATAGACTCCGATCCAGAAAGGCTGGGATGTTAAGTGTTGAGAGCTGCATATCAAAGGTGGTATATCGGTATATCTGATCTAGATTAAAATTCTAAACTGCTGGTAGGGCTTTGCTTCCCCTGTTTTTCCAACTAGATGGCTGTAGAGCGATTAGTGTTATGGTAGACCAACTGAAGATTTGGCTTGCATATTCAACGTCCTGTGTTCGACCAAGGCTTTTGCCTTCATCTAGGCAAAAATTGGATTGGTTGCGTGCGTCTGTATATATGCATTTTTTCCTGTATAGTATATCCAAAATCCTGTACCATCTTAAAAGGGATAATTAAAAAGTCACATCTCAATAACCATATTTGTTCAAGACATAGATGCTTTGTCTAGAAATCAAATAGAAAATCCTTTTACTAGTCAAGTTAATTGATCACTTCATGCGATATATATAATTACCAACCGAATGTCAAATTTTCGGAACAATGATGTAGTTAGAAGTAATGCTCTACAATGTCTTTCTAAATGGGTCAAAACTAGATTATATATTTCCTGGCGCAAGAGAAATTGTAATATCATAAGTGAAGTGAAACGGGGTTATGACTGAGGAATCATAGAGTTGAGAAAGTATGGCGTTTCGTATGCTGTTAGGGGATGGCCAGCTTGAGAAGGAAACAAGTTAATTAAGTAGAGCTTCTCAAGGTTGTCTAGCCTATTAACCTATAATTACAGGTTGGTGAGGATCCATGAGTCTCAATTAATCATCACGGTATACGCTCCCTTTGAAACATGTTGGGTCTATCGGCAAAAGTGGCTCGGCCTCTGCTGACTTTTTCTTTTAGAAAACCTTCGTATTAGAACAGCCTTCTCCATGTTACTTTATATTATATGTAGTCGCCTTCGTCGGATCAATATAATGCAGTAGAATGAGAGAACAAAATTCCAAATTACTACATACAATACATACCGAATTTGGTGTCACTCTTTGCGTTCTTTCATTCTTATTGACGGACATACTAGTCGATAATCACTTGTTGTGGTAGATAATACAAGAGAACAATCAATTTTGTCTTTCATCTAGATCATGTACAACACCAAATATCCAAATACACCCGAGTGTCAGCAGAATGAGATACCGCAGTCATGGTCACAGAGCGAGTGCATTATCTGTCCTGGTAAGGACATTTAAACACTTACTAGGAACAATTAGTACCCACAACCTGTTTTATAGAGGTCTAACTATACAATTTAGTAAGCTAAGCGCTTAAACACGACTACTGAACATCCTTTTGTCTTCTCTCCGGTAGATCTCGGCATTGTTGCAAAGGAGTGCTTTTCTGAGTAATGAGCATTCATAGGGTCTTATAAAGCTGTCACAGACGGCATTTGTATATTGAAATTATAACGAACAGCGTGATGAGAGGGCACTCCTGCATGACTGGGACCTTTTTCAGTATGAGGTGGCGATTTTGATAGTGATTATGACAAGAAGCCGGAGCGAATGAGTTGTGATATCTCTTTGCGGATAGCAGTCTAAGTCGAGACGACCATCCCGAGTAATGACAAGTAAAACCACACCCGAGAGCAGAATACTTGTCATGGAAGGGAGGATGTGTGACTGCTAGTAATTCTATTACTGAGACTGTGTGCAAAGGGTCCCGAAGACAGGATTCCTCCGGTTTGTCATTCACCCTCCTCCTTGACTGATGAATAGGCCGCTAGGTAATTCTGCAAGTAGCGCCTTCGAAACTTAGATTCAATAGTCAAGATTTACGGGACTAAGGGTATGTATTCAAGTATTATTTCATAATCAGTCAAGGTTGTATCCTCTACTAGGTTCCAATCCTATCTTCTGGTCGGCCATTCTATAACTCAGGATATAACGATCTTTATATATCTCTATGCCTATTTCTCCCCTTTGATTTGACCTGATACTACCTCTCTGTTTTCCAAGCTGTTTAGCCGCACGTTGTCTATTTTTGGCACTCCTCCTAAGTCTAAGTAGGTCCTCACTTTAGTGGTCTCTCTCGGGCTATAATTCGATCACACCGCTAAAATATGTAGAGGTCAAACTATTTGGGATAGAATAGACTAGAAGTAAGTTTATGCTGATAGTCAGGGGCATGCACGACATGGAAAGATGGGCAAAATTCCCAATTTCCAATATTTCAGCCAACATGGACTTCACTACCGTGACAGGTCTATTATACCTCCGAATCTAATATTAGATCAGAAAATCCAACCAACAAAAGAGCCAGTGACGAGTTCCAGATGAAGCAGGAATAAAGAAAGACTACGTACTGCTATTTCTAAGCATGTAAAATTTTGAGAACGTGTTGTAGGTCTGGTGTCTTTAACATTGTCTATTAATGATAAATTTCTCGACCCTCGGATGGTCCAGGGAGTACTCAACACTACAAATCTAATACGATACTACAAAGACCAGAGACGGCCAAGAGAGATGTTGTAAAGCAAGTTCATTTGCCGGGGTAAAATGATCCGAAGCCCAGAACTGTAACCCATCCGTGTAGACCGATCCCAATGCAAGGTGTAATATATGAAAACGGAGCCCGCATCAAGCCATAACTGGAGCCCCAGTAACACACATACTAGATAAATAGACAAGAAAGGAATGCAGAAACCCCATCCGACCCATGCAGGAATGCTAAGAATGACCAGCATATGATATACAACGCCATAACACAAAAAGCACGAGGTGGATATCAAGTGAACAGACTCCCTGGCTCCGTTATAAAAAAGGGATAAAAACGCATATGGTGGGAGACAAAGCAGGAAAAAATGTCATTCAAGAAATCGTGGGGTAGCGAAGGATCCGGCGAGAGACGAGGGGAAGAGGGTCGACAATCTCGTCTCTGGAATGTGTCATAGATAAAACATGACCGCTAGATCCATATTTAAGAGTCCAGACCAATTTCAGATGAACTTTAAAGAGGAGTTAACGAGCGAGCGCTGCTTATGCAGTGAAGACCCGGTCCAGCTGGCGCAGTGCTCTCATGTCCTCGCCACCGAAACCAATTTTATCGCTCGGAATATCTCGTGGTCCATCTCCGGTGACCGAAGCCCGAGCATTAGGCGGGCTTCCAGGCCCAGTCGCAGGGCTACCGATAGATGTGATCGGAGCCAGTGATGCGCTGTTCATCAATGAACTAATGCCGGGAACAGAGTTGGGTTCTGACTTGGGGGGAGTTCCCATAACCGCTAATTGCCGCACAGGAATTGGAGGAGTCTGTTTCAACAAGTGCGGGCTGCGGCTAGCTCCGTTCGCTTGTGATAAAGAACCAGATGGTACTCGTGGGGATGACATGCGATTGTCAGCAACGACATGACCGTAGACTCGGGGGCTCCGCTGCTCGTGGGGTGCATCGTGGATCAACCGAGGAGAACGCCCTGGGTAAGATGGGGGTCCCGCAGGAAGACCAGCAGCCATCGATGGTTCTGGGTGAGGCCGTTCATACGGACCGGAGAGGACCTGTGGAGGTGGAGGAGGTAGCGCATGGTGGTGAGGCTGTTGATGAGGCGGCACTTGATGTTGTGGCTGGCTGTAGGCGGGAGGGGGACCATTGCTAGCGGGCACAGGGGGAAGGTAGGCAGCAGCACCGGGATATGGCACGGCCACTGTGGGCGGAGTGGCCAACGGGGTGGGAGGCCAGGCATACGAAGGGGTGTAGGATGGGGGATGTGTCGCGCGGGCATAGGTACCCATTGGGTGCGGTGTAATGGGATATGTTGCTCCCGTCATCGGCCCCCGCGTCACAACTGGGAGGTTCTGCTGGTCGTTGACAGTCGACTCCGGATACAGGCCCTTTTGGGGTCGGACATGTCGAAGGGCGGGATCTGAGGAGGGTTGTTGTAGGTTGGCCGCCGAGGGGTGGGAGCGGGAGAAGTAGCTGATGAGGTGAAGATGTTGGCCAGTGGAGGTGGTGATACTGAACGACTGCTTCATCAAGCCATCAGGCTTATACCGATAGCCATCGGGGCCCTCATCGGTTCCGTCACCTCGGTCTTCGTCACTGCCACGGGTGCTCTCGGGAGTCTTTCCTCCTCGCGATACTGAGGGCTGAGACACACTGCCGCCACCTCGCTTGCCTTCCATCTCTCGGTAAGTCAGGAAGCTCCCGGACACACGACTGGCGCTCCATGATTTGCCGTCAGTCCAGCGTCGCATGCCCGCTTCTCGCTCGTCCCATACGAATACGGAGCCAGATCGAATGGATTGGCGCTCCTTCTCGGAGAGTCGACGCTGCACTCGTGGCAAGAGGCCAATACGACAGGCCTCGAACAAAATGATGGCGTCCGCGGGGGTGCGGACATGCCCGTAGTAGGTCTCCATCCAGCCTCGCAAGTCGACCGAAGACCCGGATGGGTGAGTTGCCTTGACGGCCAGGATGTCTGGCAGAGGATGAAGATGTTAGATGAGAAAGGTAGGGACAGTTTCAAGGACAGCTGGTTCTTCTAGTTGTAGCGTCAAGATCGATGAGAGCTGGAGTGAAGTAGTCAAGTGATGAAGTGGTGATGTTTGGGTAATGCGATGAGCAGGGTCCAGATAAGAGGCGAGATAAGATCCGTAGTTAATCGGGGTTCGAGGACGGAGTCGAAGTCGGGATTGGGGGAAGAGAAGAGAGGGAGGCTACCATATAAAAGGAACCAGGATCCGAGTCAGTGATGATCGGGTATGGGGTAGGCTGAGTATCGTGGGTGTTGTATTTGTATGGGCCGGCGGTTCCCAGTGGGTAAAGGCCGAGCTTTTTTACGTCACCCAACAGGGTTAGACGGGCGTATTTTTGATTTTAATCTTCTGGGGCGTTTTCGATTTTATTTTCTTTTTATTTTCCTTTTTTTTTTCTGGATTTGGAATTTTGAGATTATTCTTTTTTGGGGAAGAAAAGGCTGAATGAGCCTGCAGAGATTGGTAGTGGGGCTTTCCCGAGTGGGTTTTGGGTTGGGCGTAAAGAATGCCGACAGGAACACAGAGAAAAGGCTCTGTGTGCTAAGTGGGCCTCACTGGCCTTTTGGACCCCACAAGACTGGAAGGATGTGGAGTTAGGCCCTCAAACGGGTGTCTCAGCGGCAAGAAGCGGCTAGATAGAAAAAGCCCATCAAGTGGCGAGCAAGCAGAGATGGCAGAGGGAGAAGAGAAGAGAGGGGGAAAGAAGGAGTAGGGGGGGTATATAGATAGGACGATGGTGAACCCAGAACCCTCGAGAACTTCTACAGCAAAAGGCAAAATGGCACTCAGACCAGGCAGATTCGTCAAAAGAAGATTAAATAAGGGAACCGAGCCAGTCAATGCGGGAGCCAACGATCGGACGGAAGTTGCTAAACGCCGAGATTCCAAGAATGGGACCCGGAGAAACCGAGGATGGTGATCGGTTCTGACGGCTTCACATCCCCGATCACAGACCTAGCATCGGCGAGGCAAATCCAAATCAGTTCAGGGAAACCTCTCAGGTGAAAGAAAATCTATATCATAATCAACTATAGAACGACGGAGTACGAAGCACATGCTGTGCACAAAGAACACCTTCCCAGTGTGTCTATATTTTTCGCCATCCCAGGAGGGATCATTTCCCAGTAATGCAATAATACGGATCAACTGACAGCCTGGGAAATCAGAGTTGGGTGGGGACAGCCAACTAAGGTTGACAGATAGAGCAAAAAATGATCTAGATGTGATAGAACATAGAACAAAAACCAGGCGAGACGCCAAATCAGGGGGAAAGAAAAGGCAAAAGGGAAAAAGGAAAAAAGGAAAACCCATAAACGAAAAAAAAAAGGAAAAAAGAAAAAGAAAGCGTGGCCAATGCAGAGAGAGCCACCGGTCGTTGATTGGCAATCCATGCGGCCATTATCATGGCCTGACTGTTATACCGAACCTTGGGTCCAACAGACTGAAAAGGAAAATGCGGGTGCTCATTGGAAATGCTGGCCAGTGGCAAGGCCGAAGCCTCATAACACTCGCTATAGAAGAGCGTGATAAGAGGAAGACACGCGCATAGCGGCTATTCTGAATGAAGGATATGTCTTGCACCAAATAAATACTGAGGAATTTCAATCTGGTAATGTTGGATCCAAAGTGTGACCAGCGGCTTTTCAAGAAGCAAAATGTGGCATTGTGATCGCACTGACAGCCTCTTAGGGCATGAGGTCGTTCCTTACATGAGTGTTGGTTGTTAGGTGCTGTTTGGTGTTTTAGATCTATAGTTGGTGTTCAGTTGATTCAAAAAAAACTGCTGGAGCAGCGGGATGGATGAACAAGCAGGCTATACTTCATCTTCTTATTGGCCTATAGCTTCTCCCCGAGACGACAATGGCCTTTAATTTAGCGCCGTTGGAATTTTACGGCGATTGACTGACCCCGCCAACTTTGGAGGATCTGACGGCGCACTCAATGCCTTGTGAAGACTAGTGAATTGGGCCCCTTTCTTCCCCTGATCGGGGGGCCGAGCAGAGTCCATATGTCCTGCCCCATGACTCGCACTTTGCCTTGCATCCTAAAAACAGATTTGCTGGGTACTAAGTCAGATTTCGGTCTAGGCTTGCATCAGCAAGACAACTTGTCTTGTTTGTCATTCTAAATTCCAAGCCAAGCACAAGCCAAGCATGTACTTCTGAGTATTGGATGAAAGCCAAGCGCCCAAGGCCTTGGAACCTCTTGGAACGGCCTTGGCTAAGCTTACGGTGGCTTACTACAAGGCTCTGGGGTGGAGGCGGTATAATGGGTACTCTAGGAGGAAATAGGAAGAGCGGCAGGACCAGGGAAAGCCCACAGTAAAGGATAGTCCTAAGCTTCTTGGCTGCCCCTTCGCAAGGCATCCCCATTCCTGAGAGAATGTGCCCAAAGAGACCCGAGACCCGAGAATTTTGAATAAAATTTTAAGAACCAAGGAAAGCGAGAATGTCCAACTGGTCCAGGAGCTTTGGGACGGCGCTGAGAGGCGAGAGTAAAGAGTAGCTCATGAGCGACCGGAGCACTGGGCAGGCACGGGTGTACGGTACCTCCGTACGCAACATACGACCCCGTAAATAATTGGTGTCAGACCGATTCCCAAGGTGGCGCTCTGATCGCAGGAAAAAGGTGGTTAGTGCGCGCTCTCTGAAGCTTAAGCTTAATCCGACACGAGGGGGCGGCGCTGAACTTTATGCTCGCTTAGAGAGGCCGCATCCACCCGGTTTCCATTTTCAGCTGGCTGATTGATTAAAGTCGCTGATACCGAGGCGACTAGACTGGGAACAGCAATCCTTGATTTCCTTTTATATTGGATTTTAAATTATCGCCTCCAGTCACTCGTCATTTGTGCCTATTATCCTGTGCACCCGCTGCATAAATTATTCAGCTGGGTGGGGGGTGGACCATGGCTCTTTTGAGTTGGTAATGTCGTGACACGGAGTTCGGACTTTGTATTTTTAAACTTCCCTTGCGACCATGGTTTAAAGCCTCGAGGAGCGAGGAGCGTCGACCCTGATTATGTAGCATTCCAATCGGCTGAGCCGATAGATCGGAAGCTATGATTATATTCAAATACAAAGACACCATCAATCCATCATGATTCATGATCAGTATGAAACAAACAGAAGAGCATACAGGCCGCCAGGCTCTCCGTCAGACTGACCAACTTTGATTATTCGGAAGTGAGCCCCAATGCGACCGAGGCATCCGATCGACCTCCACCAATCTGTTTCGATGGCTTTAATTTATTCCCCGATTATTAATAATAAGAACAAGAAAACAGGCCCGGCGGCTCCCTCGGCATGAGCCCCCCTTTTCCCCAGGTATCAACGGTGGTTCTAGCCATAAAGCCACCTCGGAAATAACTTTTCCTTGACTTTGGTGTGAATATCGAGGATCGGGAGAGAAAAAGCCACAGTGGCCATTTTGAGCTCGTGACTCGTACTCGTATCTGGCAAGTGACGCGGCCAAGGTTTAGATTTCAACTACGCTGACCGTAAAGCTTGACAAGAGATCATCGTTTCCAATGAGAGATGAGGAAAACGCAATTATCGGAACCAACCAGAGTAGTGGGGGCCATGGCTTGTGATTCGATCAATGTACGGACTTGCACAGGCATACATGGATGATTAATAAATGGAGATCATTTCGAATCAGGCCTCCCCCTCCCCTAGGGAGAGAGGGGGGGATTATCCATGTCCCCGACATGTTTACGTAGGAAGCACGATCATAGACTAAGAAGCCACGTCATATTCACTCTTCGTCCTTTCAGGCCGTGTAGCGCTCGGGGTAAGTTCCTCCAAATGCAAAGTGGAAAGGATGATAAATAATGGCAGAATAGCCTGGGAGCTAGGATCACTAGAATTCCACTAGGAGGCGCTTCAAAGGTGTGACAGGCCCCCCTCCTTGTTTGGTGGCCCTTGATGACCACTTTAGTTGCTCTTAGTGTATTCCTGCATCATGAGTCGTAACCGCTGACAATAGTTTGACTCAGCGATAAGGTTGGGGCATGGACAATTTTCCCACGGCCAATGCAGCGAGCCCCCTATCGGACCAACTTGCAGCTGATGAGCAGTGGATACGATGCGAGTAGTGATGTCGAGTTTGATGGCGAATGAATCGAAGTGAGCAGCCAATAGAGACACACCGTAGCCGAAGCGCCCGGATACACTTACGTCGAAGGGCGCTAGGTTGTCAGCGGAAGTCAAAGCCAAGGTTTCTGGGCGAAAAAAGATTCTCAAATCGCTCGCAAGCTCTTTTCAAGGATGAGCTTGCGCACGGACCGACCCCAGAGGCCCAGTAAAAGCGCATCGCCAACAAAGACTGGTTGCACAAGGGAGGACTGAATTAGGGTTGAGAAGATGGTTAAACCTTGGCAGCTGATTGTTTTGCAGAGGCCAAGGTCCTGGGAGAATGGCTGTTTTCTAGGCAAAGATTCCATACTTTTGATACCTGGGAGCGTCTTGTGGGAAGCCGATATGTTAGACTTACCTAAAAAACAAGGTGCATCACGAGAGAGATCAGCGTCGAGTTCAGAACTGCGTGTTCGGCTGCGGCCTGCATTAGATGTCTCACATGGCGCCAACTAGTGCGACTTGACGTCGCGGCGGTGACCTGAACTCCCAATGACCTGGTAGATGGAGTAAGCCATGTCGCACTACTTTCAGTATGGAATCAAGGAGTCAAAAAGAGCTGAGAACAAGGAAAGAAAACAGTGACAGGTGACGGTGGGTGATTTCATACATTCATGAAAACAGGCTACGGTGGATTTAGTCTGAATTTCCGTCTTGTCTATTGCATGCATGTGTTTCAAAATCTAGAGGTCAAGAGGGGACGAAAATAAAAACCAAAAAACAACAACAGTACTCTGTGTGCTGTACTGT